AGTAGTATCTGTACAACCTTCTCGTGACCACCGTGCGATGCTGTTTGCAGGGCATTGCCATAGAACCCTCCTTGAGCATTGATCTCCACCCCTCTATCGAGTAGTATCCGTACAATCTTCTCGTGACCACCGTGCGATGCTGCTTGCAGGGCATTGCCATATCCCCCTCCTTGAGCATTGATCTCAGCCCCTCTGTCGAGTAGCATCTGCATCACCTTCTCGTGACCAAATTGGCTTGCCCAAATTAACGCTATGGGACCATCATTGTCGGATTCGTTGATGTCGTGATACTTGTTCGACTGTAGCATTAATTCAAGTGCCTCTTCATGTCCTAGACATGCCACTAGGCAAACGGAGTTCATCCGTGGCTGATCAATATATGGCATAGTCGCCCTCCAAAAGATCGTAAACCATAGATCGCATAGACCACTATTAGTATCATAAAGGGGCCAAATCCTATTCAAAAGCGAATCGTTCTTGTGCAGGTGTGCATCTCGCAGGTGACGAGGCCAGTGCTCTGCTGAATAGGCCACAAGGCATTCGACGTAATTTTCTTTGTCTAGAATGTCGTCTATTCTCTTGTGTCTTCCTAATTTCTCGATTAGGAATTGTATGTTCGGCCTAATGTCCTCAAAGCACAAAAATTCGACCAAGATTCGAGTCATGTCTTTCTCAATCCCGCACGGATCAAGACAGTGTTTCCATGCAGACACAGTAGCAGTGGAGCCACTACTACAGATCAAAAACTCCTTGGCTGTTTGGTGAATAAGATATATTCTGCCGTGATTAATAAAGACGAAGAGTCCACACCAATGTCGAATGTTGCTTTCAAGCCGAATGGGGTCGAGCTGCACCTGGTCTAGCGACTGAGTCTGCCTTGCCGTGGCTATTCCTAGAGTGATGGCCATCTCCTGGACGGTTAGCGGGCGACGTGCTCCTACCACAATCTGCAAGATCTTTTTCACATTGCCTGTCTGCTCCTCAGGCACCCGCCTCAAAATCTTCTCGTACGCGTCTTCCACAGTCGAGGGGAGTGATTCAATGGATGCTTCCTCAGGTCGGAAGCTGTATCGATAAGTCTCGTAGATGCTCTCAATTGCCAAATAGAGCCATAAGTACGTTCGATGCTCCATCTTAAGCAGTTTTTCCTCCAGTTGGTCCTTTGTTTGACGATTCAATTTTAAGTCCTTTGCTAGTTTTCCCACTCTCATTCGGATGACTAGGTTAATCTCCTGGTGGATCTGGTCATTTTCCTCTTCACCCCGTAATCGAATGGTAGGTAGATCTCCTAGAGTATTCTGGAATTCAATTTCAATGTCGTCATATGGTCGACTGGTGACTAGAAATTTCAATCGACCTCGTCGTGCAGTTGACGGAGAGGACGATATCTGGGAATGGAACTTGGCCAACATGTTGATCAGCCAGTACCGGTCAGAATGTCGACATTCGTCTAAAGCATCGAGAACGCACGTCACATCGTGAGCCTCGAAATCCGTGGCTGCAGCGAGCAACATGCGCCAGAGTTCCGGCACTTCTTTTGATAATTTGTCTCCGTTTCTCTCCCACGCCGAAACCGCATGTCGAATCAGCTGGGGCTGATGGGTGAACAATTGATGGAGAAGGGCACAAAGAGCCGGCGCTAAGCTATCCTGCTCCTCATTATCTTTGAAGAAGAAAAAGCATACCGTATGCCCTTCAGTATTTTGAAGTTCATTGTCCACCAGCGATTTGGTAAGGACTGACTTTCCGCAGCCCGGGTCAGCTGAAATCCAGAGGAGATCATCGTGGACATTTGTACACCATTGAAGATAATGAGGATGAGACAGGACCCACTGACAGGTGCCGTCTACTCGGTCAGGATTGACATTCTTGAAGTGTTCGTACGTGCTTGTTTTGAATGCTTGATGGCAAAGTCGATGTTTGTCGTCTTGGTAACGTGTCTCTGTTTTCAAATGTTGCTGTCTGGTCTCGTTCAAAATTTCCTTGTTCACCTGCAGCTGATCCGCTAAAATACCTTGAAAAGAAGAAAATTGCATGTTAGTATAACATTGCGGCCTCAAGGAAATGATTCACTCACTCGTACTACTTACCCACAACTTCCTGAATACGCCTCTCACCGGTGGTCTGCTGCGGCGTTACATGCCGCAGGAGGCTTTTGGCATATGCAGCTGCCGTGACGGCCGCGTACCTCTGCCACGCATCGTTTTTGTGAGAGTCGGCGTAATCACAGATGCCTCGCACAACAACGCATGGGAAATTATCCATCAAACCTGCCGCTTCCATTTCCACGCAAAGCGCATTGAACTTCTGGCCCAGTTGGTCCCGGACTCGAGCATCTTTGACCACTTGATTCCCCGAAGCGATAGTTCCGTAGTGAGCCACCGGGTTCTCGTGATTGCGAGACGGCCTGAGAACTCTACCATTCTCACACCTCTCACAACGTAACAAAGGGCAGAACCATAGCAACAACAGCCAGAGGAACCACCACCAATGAGATGGGTCGCATTGAGAGCAATGCAGATGGTCCATGTTGATACCTGGAGAGGAGTAGCCCTCGTCCTTTAGAGAGGGATATTTCTGGTCCATTTCCGCGAGATACTTTAACACCGGGCTGTTTTGAATGCCGGATTTGGACTGAAGAGAGGACAGTGCTGTCAAAAGTAGAGTCGGAGGACGGTTGAGAGAGCCTTTCCGTTCAAATCCACCTTGCCCCAGATTCTTGCCCAAGTCGTACTGAACGACTCCGCCGAAGGTTTTGTCTGGCTGGCTCACCACCACATCACCGAGCCGGATGTCACGACCATTCTGTAGGTTCGGGATTCCCCCTCCAATTCCCACCAGCAGGCCAAAGCGCAGACCAGTAAACGTCCTCAACATGTCTTTGGCGACGGTAGCGGCGGCGTTAGTCCCATAGATACCGGCTGGTAAGCATGCAATGACCACGTTATGTTGACTCATCCGGCCCAGGACGTAACTGTTATTGTCATGCACATCTTTGCTTTTGATCGGCTCATCCTCCTCATCCAGCATGGCTATCGCCGCAGTCATCTCGTGAGGTAGGGCGCAGACCACCCCGACATGGTATTCATCGACTGGTAAAGACCGTCTAATAGACATTGGTGACGATTAATCGCTGTTATCGATGGCAAGGAGAGAATAAGAGGTGGTAGTTCGTCTCGGAGCAGAGGAAGAGGAGACGCAGCTGAGGGCGGGTAGCGAGGGCCGAATTTCGACCATCAGGTCGAAGCGAGACCATGGAGCGTGAAAGGATGGGCCTCTACTATACTGGAGGGCTGAGCAACTGCGAAGACGAGCGCGCAATCATTAGACCACACCAATATGGAAGGGGAGAGATTTTGAAAGTAGTGGAAACCGGCAGGATGTTGGGCGGCTGCGACGTGGCATTCAAGCTAGAATATAATGTGCTCCAAGGCCGATGTGATAGCGACATATTTGGCTGCGGCCGAGCCGAAAGGTCGCAGGCGCTTGGATAGCTGTCAACGCATCAATTCCGTACAAATGTGAGGCTGAAAGCATTACCTGGGTCCTTGCGCGTCATCACGTGCTCGGATTTCGAGGAGCAAGAGGCAGTCAGCCACGTGGCTGTGGCTGATGCTTGCCCTGTGGCCATCATGCTACTAGTCATTTACACGTGACTATAGTATTTGCCAGGCAGAATAGACGGCAGCACAGACATAAGTAGGCGTCGTTATCGTTACGATATGCTAGTAGCAGGCTACACCAAGTATGGGTAGGGCTTGCCACATGAGATGACAACTATCAATGATAGTTGTTTCTTCTCCCCCATGAAACGTAGATGGAAAATCTATCCAAAATACATCCGACTCCATAAGTAGTCGGAAATGAACACAAAAGGGTGAAAACCATTTAAGCTTCCTCCCTGACTCGTGGCAGAATTCCTCTTCCAGGCACGCTCTGCTCACTCTGCTCCGTCATAGATCTTTTTTCCATGGATCGACTCTTAGTGAAGCTTCTCGCCAAGGTGAAGAAGCCCTGCTTCAAACCCAGCGCGGTACGCTGGTGTCTCCTGGCTTTCATACCCTCTGTCTCTTCCTCCTTGAACCAGCCAGTCGCACGCTTGATGTACTTCCACGCCTCCATGCCCGACACAAAGACAAAGACACAGACGATAGCCGGTGCCCATTCCCAGCTGATTCCTCTGTGTTTGAAGACGCTCGTATTCAAGCCAGGAATATAGACGGCAGGAAACACGGACACGGCCCCAATAACCACGGACCAGAACAGGAATTGGTTCTCCCAGATATCGGCGAAGAAAGGGAATGCGCGAGTGTCGTGTGGGTTGATTTTGAACATGCTGCGGCGCATCGCTTTGAATTCCCATGCCGAGATCAGGATGAGCCAGGTGAGTTCGGCGAAGACGGCGGCACGAGCGCGGAAGACAACGTCGCAGCTGTCGCTGTAGTGGCGGTTGCAGTCCACGCCGAGGCCGTCGCGGCCGGGTCCGTAGACGATAAATACGAAGGTCATGAGGCAGCAGGTTCCTTGGATCGTGCCGTACACGAGCATATCAGTGATGAGTTCCCATGTGAAGACGCCCTTCTTGTTATCGTGTGGGGGGCGTTCCATCACGTCGGGGGAGGCTTTTTCTCGACCGAGTCCAAAGGCCGGGAATGACGAGGTGAGCATGTTGATCCAGAGGATTTGGAGTGGGGAGAGAGGGAAGACGGAGAAACCGGACTCGTCTTGGAAGCCTAGACCGCAGATCAAGAGGATGACTTCGCCGACGTTGGACGTGAGGAGGTGCAAGACGAAGCGCTGAATGTTGTCGAACATACGTCGTCCCTCTTCAACAGCGTTGACGATGCTGGCGAAGTTATCGTCGGTCAAGACGATATCGGAGGCTGATTTGGCAACGTCACTTCCGTTCAGACCCATGGCAATTCCCACGTCGGCCAGTTTCAAAGAGGGGGAGTCGTTGACGCCATCGCCGGTCATGGCGGCGAATTTGCGGCGACGGTGAAGGGCTTCGATCATCCGGACTTTGGTCTCGGGAGCACATCGGGCGACGACGAGGGGGAGTGTGGGTAGAGCGTCGATTTCCGCGTCAGTCATTTTGTCGAATTCAGCGGCTGTCTTTACGATAGCGGCAGCCACGTCGGGGGCCAGGGTCCCCATGTTCTTCGGAATGATGCCCACCTCTTTCGCAATGGCGGTGGCGGTTGAAGGATGATCACCAGTCAACATGGACACCGTGATACCTGCGGTGGTACAAGCTTGAACGGCCCCTTTGGTCTCGAGTCGAGGAGGATCATAAAGACCAGCAAGGCCTAAGAGGCAAAGATCTTTCTCGACCTCGGCACGGTCGATATCCGAGTGTTCTGCAATATCCATTTGGGTGAATTTTCGAGCGATGGCCAGGACACGGAGACCCTGTTCGGCCAGGAAGGTCATTTGTTCGAGAATACTTTCCTTGAGCTCGGGCGTCATCTCTTGCTCATATTGACCGACACCAGCGGACGTGCAGAGATCAATGATACGTTCGACGGCACCCTTGGTGAAGATGATGGAACGGTCCTCGGCGGGTTGGGTATACACAACGGACATACGCTTGATGGAACTGTCAAATGGGAATTCCATCTTCTGGGACCATCCCTTTTGTTCTTCGAGAGTCTTCTTGCCATAATGGAACCGGTGGGCGAATACTTGGAGAGCAATTTCGGTCGGATCACCAGCGGTCTTCCATTTCTCTTGGCCATCTTCCGTCACCTTGCGAATGATGGCTAAGTTGCACAGGGCAGCGGATTCGAGAAATGCCTGGAGCTCGGGCGTGGCTTCGGGATTCTCTTTGATGACGCTCTTCTCCTCTGACGCCACCTTTTCGGTGTCCTTACGAAGCTTTTCCGCTGGCACATCGAAAGCGACGCCGGCCACACTTCGCTTGCGATCCAGCTCTTCTTGTCTGGCGAGCTTCTCTGCCTCCACTTCCTTTCGAGATCGGGGAGCTTTGCCAAAGGTGATGGTTCCTTCGGTGGGGTCGGACGCGTTGTTCGAGTTTTCGACACTGTAGATACCCACTCCGGGAATCCATGCCTTTCGAGTGACCATCTTTCCTTGTGTGAGTGTTCCCGTCTTATCCGAGCAGATGTTTGTGACACCTCCAAGCGCTTCAAGAGCACTAAGTTGTCGGACGACGACCATTCGCTTTCGCATTTGGGTCATTCCCACCACCATGGTGATGGTCAGAACGGCAATCAAAGATTCGGGGATGATGGCAATTCCGGTCGAGATGGCATAAATGGCAACTTCATTGGTGACATTGAATCGATTGACACCAAAGACAATCATGGCCAGGAGAATCGCGCAACCAAAGAGGACGTAGGCCAATTTGCTGAGTTTGATCTGGAGAGGTGTGCCCTCTGTGAGACCAAGGAATTTGAGAATTCCATCCCAAACACGGAGCACACCTCCTTTGACGGGCTGCATTGGACCATACTTCTTTCTCGACATTGATCGATTGGGCTTGCGTATCTTTCTCTGCATCGTCGCGGCAATCCCTCCAATCGCGGTGGACATGCCGGTGTAGACGACGACACCACGACCACGGCCTTTGGTGACGGTGCACGACGAGTAGGCGATGTTTAGTCGATCTCCCAGTCCAAGGTCTTCTTTGACTGTACCGTGCCTCGCCTCGAATTCGACTTCTTTGGCCACGGGAAGGGCTTCTCCCGTCAAGATTGCTTCGTCACATTCCAAGTTCATGACTTCGAATAATCTCAAGTCGGCCGGGACGGTGTCACCAGTTTTGATGGAAACAACATCGCCCGGCACGACTTCGCCAGATGGAATAGTCATCTCGTTGCCGTCACGAACAACGGCGGCGGAGGGTGATGAAAGCGATCGAAGAGCGTCCATTTTCTTCTCCGCCTGGAATTCCTGATAAAATCCGATCAGGACATTCAGAACAATAACTGCCGTGATGACGGCTCCTTCGACGAAGTCTTCCACACCATAAGACAGTGCCATGGCGAGCACCAGGACCTGTCCGAGTTAGTGGCGAGCGGGGATTCATCAAATGGCGTCCGATCCGAGAAACGTTACCAATATCATAGCATTCGAGATCTGTTTTCCCAAAATGGTATACCAGGACACTCCTCCATCGCCCTCTAGTCTGTTAGGGCCATATTTCTCTTGGTATTGTTGCACTTGAATACTGGTCAAGCCGGAATCGACGTTGGTCTCAAGCTGGCGAATGATCTCATCCGCTGAAAGTAAGAACGGATGCTTTCCGTAGTTTTGCGCGGCTCTTCCACCTTTCTTACCCATTGTGGGCCCGTACCGGGATAGGGAGAAGATATGGGTTCAATGTTGAGATTGCGTAGATTTGCTTGGTGGCAAAAAAGGGTTGTGTATGAAATGGTCAAATGTTCAAGATTGGCTTGATTTCACGAGAGGTTGGTGGCACCTGGGAGACGGGATCTATGATTTGTTTTATGGCCTGAGGCAGACTCCGATTGGAACACACAGACTCGCCATCCCACGAAGGCCCAAGACTTCCGCCATGTATAATCCTTGAAGCCAAGAGATATCAGGCATCGACAGAGGATCACGACCTACCTTGGCATGGGATAGTGAGATGCTGAAGGGGTGGGCGGCTACGTGACCAGGGTCCGAAGACGGAGCGGAGGCGGCCAAGGCCGGAAATGCATTGCGATTCAAGAACATTCCAAGAAGCAAAACAGCGACAGATGAACGGCGTCTGGTTGAATTCGGGAGAAGAGCACACGAGAAGGCGCCCAAGAAACGCCGAGGCTGCCCCGAAAGCGAATGCCAAGGACAGTGTCTGTCTTGGCATCCTTGGCTCTCCGCTTCGCTTGCAACGGCAAGTCTCTCCAGACCTGTCAACTCTCGCCCGCTTTCCGCCCACAAGTTTCGCCACCAGATTTGACTTTGTTCGGAGTGTCGGTCCTGATGATGCGATAATCCCCCAGAGATGCGCCTCCTCATCCCGGGCACACGAGTGTGACCTGGACTGCACCTCAACCTCTGACGATCTTTTCGCCGACCAAGCTCTACAAGCCTTTTGCAAAAGATGGTTGCAGTCCTCATTGGGCCCCGGCTGAGGTCGACCTTGAATGTCGTGAATAAATACTCGGTCAATACCTGGAGGCCGATCGGGAGACCGACATTGTCTGTGACAGGGGCTGGAGGATCGGCTGCACAAGGCAGACATCATTCGACTGCTTCCTCTGTGTCTACGTCTGAGGTCTCACATTTCTCCCGGTTGGCTTCATCGTGGTGGGATCCACATGGACCATCGAGGTTATTGCACCTCATGAATCCCCTCCGCCATGACTTCATTCAGTCGTGCATAAATTCGTCCGCTCTCACCACTCCTCAGTCCTTCTCGTTCCTCGATATTGGCTGCGGCGGAGGTATTTTCGCCTCCTCCGCCGCTCGCCTTCCCACAACATCAGCCGTGACCGCTATTGACCCTACTGAACTGGTGATTAAAGTTGCCAAATCCCATCAACGTTCCGATCCTGCAATCTTGCCTCCGAGACTGCGGTATCTCAACTGTGCGATCGAAGACCTCCCTGTCCCCTCCGTGGAAGAAGACCAAGTCGACATCTTGACCCTCTTCGAAGTTCTCGAACACATTGACTCTCCCTCATCTTTCCTCGAACTGGCTATTCCACACGTCAAGCCCGGCGGATGGATCATTGGCTCGACAATCGCCCGCTCGCCCGTGGCATATCTGACCACAAAACTCATAGCGGAGGCGCCTTTGATCGGTGTTGTTCCAGCAGGAACACATGATTGGAACAAATACATCAACCCGTCCGAACTACGCCAGTACTTCGAATCACGAGCCCCGGGGACCTGGGGCGACTTTCAGACACAAGGCGTGACCTATGTTCCTGCGCTTGGCTGGCAGAGCGTGGATAAAAGCGAGGACTTTGGCAATTATTTCTTTGGGATTCAAAAACTTGATTAGATGCACCAAGTAACGGGCACCGGGCTGCCTGTGGAAACATGATCGCCAAATGGGTCCCAAGGAGACCACTGGGGTCAATCTGTCTAGACACTTTCTATCCAGCGATTTTCCTCGACGCCTGATGCATGTTGTGCCGTCATTATTATTAATCTTCACCAGGCGACCCTTCACGAGCATCTGTACAAAGCTACTGTACTTTACCATACCTCAAGCATTGTATTCCCACGGCTAAGCGGCGTTCGACGGTCATGTAACCAGATTCAACGAGACTACGGAAAATACAAGTTATAGACGACGATACCTAGAGCAGCGAAAGATACCTAATTTGGTGAAACATGTGGAAACAAAAATTATGGTAAAGGGGGGTATCATAAATTTGCATTCATCAACTTCAGGATATATGCCATACAACACAATTCCTCGAAGGGAACAGAGTCCAACTCGAACAGAACATGGTTTCTCGATCGTTTGTGGCCAGATAACCAAGTTCGCCTCCTCATTCCAGCTTCATGTGACGATTTTCTTCGACTTCTTCCCTCTCTTCTTCCTGCTTACACTCTCCTTTGCCTTGCCCTCACTCTCGCCATCATCGTTGTGCTGGCCATCCGCCTCGGCCTCGCTGTCTTCCGTCTCCACTGTCACAGATGTCGACGCAGACGGGACAAGTAATCCCTCACCGAGCAATCTGGCCCTGCACTCGCCGAGGATCTTTTGGGCCTTTTCATCGTCCCAGTTCTTTCCCCGCAAGCTCTGGCCGAAGATATCGGTATAGAGGAGATAAGACTCGTCCGTCTTCCCGACCGACGCAGAAGAAGGTGCTGAGCTCCCAGGGTATGCCACCGGAGGCGGTATTGATGGTGAACTGCCTCTGCAAGGCTGATCATTTACCGTCTTCCGCCTTCTTCGTAATGGGATCTTCTTCGCGGCTGGCCCAGCTTCAATCACCGCTCCTTCAAGGTCTTCCTGTTCAAGCTCTCCTTTCTCAACCATCTCCTGTAACTTCTTCTGTGCTGAGATCTGCATCATGGCATCGTGATGTTCTTCTCTCAATCCTTCCATCAAGAACTCCTTGGTCGCGTTCTCTTCTTCAAGCCGCTGAATCGTGTTGTTTAACTCCTTCAATTGCGTCTCTTCCAGGAACTTGACCCTCTCCATGAGACTGGAAGTCAAGGTCCTCTCTTCCTGGTATTTCAAGTTGAAGCTCCGAGCCATTTCCTCAAATTTCGCACTTCGTTTCTCGAGTCGCGCTTTCTCCTTTTCCAGTTCAGGAACCTGACCTTTGGCCACGAAATCATGTTCATTCTCCAGAATGTGCAGTTTTTCTGTGGCGACGCGACACTCCTCCATTGCTCTCTCAGCCTTCTTCGCAGCTTCGGCAGCTTTGTCAACTGCTCTCTCAACCACTTCTTCGAAATAGACTCTCTGACTTTCAAGCTGACTCGTCAGGAGGTGCGTATATTCCAGAGCAATATTTTCCATTTTTGCCACCTCAATATCTTCTTGACCCTCGAGGGCAGTTGGTTCCCGTCTTCTACCCGGTAATTCCACCAACTTTTCACCTGGTTTGGCGGCATCTTGAATGATTCGGTGCACGTACCCATCTCCAACATAGTCCCAAACTCTCTTACTTTCCAGATCCATGCTGAATGTGTGCCCACTCTCCTCGAAATGCGCGTAGGCATGCTTGCCTTCATATCTTCCACAACCAACTTTGCCGCATATGAGACACTGCCAAAGACTTGTATCCACATGACAAACCTCACATTCCAACGGCCCATCGTACACTTCGTATTCACCGGCGTTCTTGCTCTTGTACTTGTACGAACCGAGGCGGGATGAGAAGTCATCGTGAGTGTACCGACATACAGGACAGCCACCGCCTGACCACTTTTCCAGACAGGTACAGTGAAAGACATGTTGACAAGGGATGGTCAGCAGTCCGGTGGTTTCGTCCATCCGCTCCAGGCAGACGGGACAGGTGGGAAGTTCGACCAGGGACGGCGTTCGAGGAGCAAGAGGTCGTGAGGTTGTTGATGCGGGTATGAAGGGATCGTTTGACATACGAGGATAACTTGTCGTTGGGGAACTCAGGCCGCTGTTCTGTTCCGTAGCTGGAGTTTGAATCAATTCGACCGATTTCAAGAAAACAACGTGACATGTTTCAGGCTATTGAAAACGTTAGGATCGTATGGGGGAAGTTTCATCTGGAGGATCACTCACCTCCATGCTGTTAAAAACTTTCCCATTCCATTCGTATTGCCATTCTCTTGCCTTTTTGCCACGTTTAAACTTCATCAAGACCATGTATCGGTTGGCTCTGGAGGTGCGGACCATTCTGAAGTGGCTCACTTCGTCCCTTGTGTCCTGACCGACGAAAGACAGGAAATCTGAAGGAGTCATATAGGACGGTACGGCCAATATGCACAGGGTAGTACATTCTTCGTCTTTGGGAGGAGGATGTGGTTTGCCCGGTGGAGGGTTGCGCAGCCCATCACTCCACAAGTCGCTGGTTTTGTAGACAGAGTCCTTGTATAGTCCTGAAGTCTCTTCAGAGTCTCGGTAAAGATGCACAATTCCCCACCCTTCTGCGCTGTCGTGGCCCTCCAAAGGCTCGTATCGACCCTTCATGTGATGCCCTGATATTGCGCTGCCAATTCCTTTTCCGATGATATTCTCTTTCGAGCTTGGCGACTCCACTCCTCCAGAATGGGACGACATGTCCGTACCTTCAAGGAGAATGTTGTCTAATCGGTGATCTTTGGAATCCGAGTGAGGAATTTCAGGACTGGAAAGATTGTGATCCGGGGGGGGTTGCTGGCGGCCTCGGCTCGGGGAAGGGTGGTTTTTCAGGTCAAAATGATGATCTCGAGATCGCCTTCTCGCAGAATGATTCGTGAAGGGTTTCAAGGCTCCGAAGAACTGTGTCAAATTCGGTGGTGGGGAATGTTCTGTTTGGTTGGTGGCGGTTGGATCTGTGAATAGTTCAATAGCAACGTGAAAGAAATAGTCGGGCATATCGTAAAGACACGGGTTTCGAATAAAGCTGTCGATTTCAAGAGAACTTGAAAAAGGAAAGATGAACAAGGCGAAAAAGCCTAGTCATGAATGGTTTGGTCACGGGCTTTTGAGTGGCAAAAGGTACGATCACGCGAATTACGACTCTTCTTGATAACAAAACGTGACAGAATTGAGTGAGAAAGATCGTAATTTCGTTTGATTCTACTTCTCTAAGGCATTGCTTGGCATTCGTCGCCAACGCAGCCAATATGAATGTCATGAATTCCAAGCAACCGAACGGTCATAAACGTGTCAAACCCCGATGCAATCCACGAAGTAAAGCCGCTCTTTTGCTTACTGACCACCACGAAGTCTCAACACCAAATGCAGAGTGCTCTCCTTCTGAATATTGTAGTCAGAAAGAGTGCGTCCATCTTCCAATTGCTTGCCTGCAAAGATCAATCGCTGTTGATCCGGTGGAATACCCTCTTTATCCTGGATCTTTGACTTGACGTTGTCAATAGTGTCCGAAGATTCAACTTCCAACGTAATAGTCTTTCCGGTCAAGGTCTTGACAAAGATCTGCATGCCACCTCGCAATCGGAGGACGAGATGGAGAGTCGACTCCTTCTGGATGTTATAGTCGCTGAGAGTTCGACCGTCTTCTAATTGTTTTCCAGCGAAGATCAATCGTTGTTGGTCCGGCGGAATTCCTTCCTTGTCTTGAATCTTCGATTTTACATTGTCGATCGTGTCTGATGATTCCACTTCCAGTGTGATGGTCTTGCCAGTCAAGGTCTTGACAAAGATTTGCATACCACCACGGAGACGAAGGACCAGGTGAAGAGTCGATTCTTTTTGGATGTTGTAGTCACTGAGAGTGCGGCCGTCTTCGAGTTGCTTGCCGGCAAAAATGAGACGTTGTTGGTCGGGAGGAATACCTTCCTTGTCCTGGATCTTGGACTTCACATTGTCGATGGTATCGCTGGACTCGACCTCAAGAGTGATGGTCTTGCCGGTAAGAGTCTTGACGAAGATTTGCATACCACCACGGAGGCGAAGGACCAAATGCAAGGTAGATTCTTTCTGAATGTTGTAATCACTCAAGGTGCGGCCATCCTCGAGCTGTTTGCCGGCGAAAATGAGACGTTGTTGATCAGGAGGAATGCCTTCCTTGTCCTGAATCTTGGACTTTACATTGTCGATGGTATCGCTGGACTCGACCTCGAGGGTGATGGTCTTGCCGGTCACTGCCAAAAGATGTTAACATCAGGTTCAATTGGTAAAAGGGGGCCAGGAGATAAGCGCCCGCGGTCACTTACAGGTCTTGACGAAGATTTGCATGATTGCGAATGGAATGAAGTTTGGTAGTGAGATGAGATGATCAGGAGAGATTGACGAAGGATCTCAAGATTCAAAAAGTGGGAAGTGGTATGATGAGAAGGAGGGAAGGGTTGGTAAACGGAGTGAGGGGAGCGGTTTAAGTAGGAAGTTTGGCAAATAAATGCAGGTGGCAATGCGCTGGGCGGCGGCGGCCGAGACTTGCCTGATTGGGACTAGTACCATGTGGTGCCTGATAGTCGGAGAATCTTGTCGAAGGCTCTGGGTGGGAGTGTGACAATCCCCAGGTCACTACTGTCACAGCAAGGAATATTCTGATGCAGGGCAGAAATGGGGACACATCGCCTCGAGAAATTTCACCGTCAAACAGGCACTGTGTCAACTTGCCGCTCCAGCTATTCCAGTCCACGTGAGCCATTGCCGGTCTTTCTCCTTCCCCGCGTCTTTTCCGTCCTCGTCACTAGAACCCTCAATCTCTGACCCTTCGCCTGCGATTTGCGAGGCCGGCCTTGAAGACATTCACAAATCCCTGAATCAGCCACTTGCAGTGATGGCGGCATCGTATCCCAGGACTTCCCTCCGCCCCCACAAAACCAGCCCAATGACGTGACTGGCGTCGCCTCTAACAAGGTATGACTCAGCAATTGTCACGTCACATTTGCCTCTGTTGTCAGTGGCTTGGTCGCTAGCTGCTCCCCAGCTTTTCCCTTTTCGTTCTCAAATTCAACCAGATTACAGACACTCACCGAAACAGACCCTGCAATTGCTTATAGCATCGTCTAGCTCTTGATTTCCCCAGACTTTCAACTCACTTGTTGCAATTATCTATCCTAGAGCCTATTGGAAGTGGTCAGCATCCATCTGTCACGCCACCTCAAACTTCCATATTGTTCGAACTTCCAACCAAAGAACCCGCTTGGCTACCTCCTCAATTTCGACAGTTTGCCTTTGCTACTGCTTGCATGTCCCCTATCCCGAACATTGGCCACCATTCTGTTTGTCTGCTTGTCCTGAAAGACCGAGATGAACGTACCTGCATCTTTGCCTGATATCTTTTCTTCTCGAATCTTGCACCGCTTGCACAGAGAATCTTCCTGAACTGATCCATATTTCTTTCGGGTTGGACATTGCTTCTGGGTAAGTCCGCTTGCTGACGGGCATGTATGATAGACTCGTGGTGCATCAGCCCAGTGGTTACAAGGTCGATGATATACGTCTTCGACGTAGCACATGGTGGACTTGAAATTGGTTCGAAACTCCGGCACCCTGAGTGTCAATGCACGACGTGATCTCGTCCATGGTCAAGAGATGTGAGCATTCCAACTGATGCAAAGTACATGAAATACTGCTCTGAATTCCCCAGAGCATCTCCCATGGCAGTGACGCGCTCTTCGACCTACCTTGAAAGGGCTCTTTGTTGGAAACCCCAGCCATCTTTGTCAAATTTTTCCAAAGAGCATTCGATCTTTGTCCACGATCGATGGACTCTTGTCTCATGTGGTCAGGGAACGAATTGGAGTCGTGGCAGGCAGGACTGTTACTGGACCAATACAGGGTGGAGTAACTTTCGACAAATAAGATACAAAAATCGATGTCCTGGAGAGTTTTTTAGCCTGTCCTGGCAAATTTTGAAGTCATGCTAATCGAACAGGTCGGGAGAATGGCCAGAATGCGACGGACCATTTGGTATATAAATGAACCACGACCGAAAGACAGTTAAGTGCCTCCACCTTGTCGGAAAGCGCATTTGGGAATGGCCATTATGAGCGATCGGCGTGCATGCTGCAGGGTCAAATTTTCACTCAATCTCTGCCTTCTGATGGGGAAAAAAATAATCCGATTATGGGAGAGAAGGGCTCTTTCTCAGGGAACAATCGAGGCCTCCACGGAGGATCAGTGTCACCAGTCATGGAGAACATTGTGAACGGCAGGAATTGACATGATCGTGTATGGTTGCCAACATCCGTCTTTGAAGACCTCCTTCCTCCAGCGCCATTGAAAGCACCATACAAATCTATCAAAGAAAAGAGGGAGTGGTACATATCCACACTTTTCCATTGGACATTCAAAAGGAAAGTCGAGTCACCAGAGCTTGGACCACATCGAGTCACGAATACTTTCGTACAACATTCCTGACCATTTTGGCCTTCGACGACGAGTTTCTGGGGCACCCAACAAATGTTGTTGATTTCCTTCATCTGGAATCCGTTGGCTTCACGTCTTCCATCCCTTGGACTGAACCTACCGGTTTCTCAATTATAGTCACGACTTGAACAAGATCGACCATGTCTCTGGGAAACTCTCCTGATTGTCTATTTCGACCAGAAGATGAAGTCCTCAAGATGTTATTTCCCACATCTATCGAAGAGAGCAATTCGCTCGACGACGTTTTCAACGAAGATATGTACAGGCTCGACGGCAGCGACGAGGAGAATAAAGAGCAGTTCGAAGAGCTTTTCGGCAGTGATACCGTCCCCAAGGATCAGTTCCACTTGCCTTCGCTCGATGCATCCGCGAAAAACAGCCATTCACCACCACAACCCTGGCGGCAGGGCGTGTGGTGCTTGAAGCAAAGACAGCAGTCTGCTGGGCTTGCCGTGGAAAAGACGCGCAAACCAGAAACAAAGCTTATCGAACCCATCCAAACAATGAATACCGTCAACCATCAAATTCAGACCACACCAATTCCAGTGTCACCACTCGAGTTCACCTCATTCAGCCGAACAAAGCGATTTGCGACGCCATCGACCACCGGTGGATTTCCGGAAATGAGGACGTCTGTCATGGCTCGAAATCAAAGAATCGGTATTCCTGCGTCGGGGTGTCAAGATGACAATGTGGATACGGACTACTCCTCCGCCATTGACCCTCTGCTCCTCAATTCGCATGGACAGGGACATCAAGACACCATGCTGAATTACAGCCAAGATTCACTCTTGTCGCAACATCAGCAGAGCGCCCATGGGCAAGCAACCGTGCCCTCTCCTCCTAGCGGAAATCCGCCATCTTCAAGCAGCTCGAACCATTCGCGGGATGTAAGAACTCATACTTCCGATACCAACAGGGACATACATTCCCAAGCCCTGTATTCACTGCCCACGATGAACCGTCATCCTCCTCTTCCAACATTGGCACCAGAAGAAACATATCCTGCCTTAGCCGCGCCCACTCCACAACGAATGCCGCACCAAATACTGCATCAGCCAATGGATCCTAGATTGTCGAGGTTGGGGATTCGATATCCCGAATCGGAGCAGATGAGTCAGGCAGTCTTGTTCGAACCTCAGACATATCTTCGGCGAGGCGCCACTATAGCAGTGCCATATCCGTCGACGACCGTCGCGGCGCCCGGTGGCATGAGTCCATATCCACCGCTTCCACCGCCACCGTCGCACGTCTTTTCAGAGAGCTCTCCATTTATCACACCACCAAAGCAACGTCGATCGCCATTTCGATCACCCTCGTTCTCCAAATCACCCACAAATATCAGTGCTCGTCGTCATGCTCAGCGGTCGCCCACAAGGACCGTGACCGATTACAGCCACAGCGGACGAAAGTCAATCCATAAATCAGGACCGATCAGGGACAGCGGAGTACAAGAACCTCTTCCAGTGCCTAGAACTAGGTCGGCTTCCAGGCCTCCACGCACGCCCAAGACTCCCAAAACGCCAACCGGCGGTGGACCAGTGATGGATTTTGTGAATTTCACACCCAAGGACTCTGCAAAATTGCTAAGTGACGTCGCGCCGAGCGGAAGTTCGAAGACGAGAGCTCGGAGAGAGATGGAGGCGCGGGAGAAACGAAAGAAATTGAGTGAAGCGGCATTGAAGGCGGTAAAAGTTGCGGGTGGAGATGTTGCGGCCTTTGAGAAGGCGATATTCACATAGTTGGAAGCATTGTGAAGTGTCAGTCTCCTCCTAATTGTATTCAGGAGGAAGGAGTATTTTTTGCTAGCAGCGTCGGCCCTTACTAGGGTTCTTTGCGTCTACGGTATATTTCATTTTTGACAGAAAGAGGTAGGGATCCACAATATCGAGTGGATGAAATCTGTCTGCCCTTCCAAGTTTTATTCAACCGAACATTTGAAACCCCACCCGTGCAACCTGTGGCTACTCCGCTTTGTCCCATGTCTCACCGCAGATGAGGTCCTGTGTATCCTCAATTTTGATGTGTGATATAGCTAAGGTGTCGAGGTATCTGAGTGCCAGTTTTCCATTGTTTACCTTTAAAGGCAGTCGCCACAGCAAGTCGGACCAGGTTGAAATTGGAAGTCGAACTTGATGGCGGCGCTCTTGCCGCATCTTGAATGATCAGTTTTAAAGTGACGTGCTTCGATTCTGCGATGACGACGGCGGAGACCAACGCGAAGGAAAGGGAAAGATTCATCGGGCACCTCGTGCTCCGCGAGTCGTTATTCATGGACAGGTATTCCGATACTCCCTAATTATTTTTATTCCCTGATTCTTACTGGTTGCAGAACAAGTCAGGCAAAACATGTTCCAGCACTTAGCGAATTCTGGGGCAGTTCAGGGCCCATCAACGACTCCACCTGCGACAATGGATCCCAGGAAGCGGATGACTTTCTGCAACTGATCGTCCACGGACGACCCTGACGGCGCCGATTCCAACCTACCAGAGGAAGCTTTTCGTTTCAGCCGCAGCCCAACCAGTCAGGCTTGTTGACAAAACATTCAAACAGGGGCACTAGGTCCCATTGGTCTCCCCGGCTATCTTGGAACATCTTGTCCGAGGCTGAACGAATATAAAAATGAAAACGCTCCGCCCCCATTCAAAATTCCATTAACTGTGCAGACGATATCTTGACCATTCTCCCATCTTTTTCTCTCTGTCTGTCATCACCACGATTTGCCATGGACAGTGTCAAGGATGCTCTCAAAAAGGCCGCTTCCTTTCGACTCTCTCCAAGAGCCAAAGAACATGCCATGAAAGACACGACATTCGTTGATGTAAGTCTTGATCTCATTCCCAGCTGCCCACCTCACAATCCACCGAACCTCGAGATTAATGACTTGTCTCTTGCAATATAGGGCCTGCGAGGAATCGCTGCCGTCCTGGTGGTTTCGTCACATATTGTTCTTTGTTATGCTCGAGAGCTGATCCCGCCATGCTGCGCTCCAAACAGTGAGACTCCGTATTTGTTCCAGAGACCCATCTTCCGCCTGGTCGCCAGCGGTCACTCATGGGTTGCCGTCTTTTTCATCCTGATGGGCTTCGTCAATGCGTTGAAACCTATTCAACTGGCCAGGGCCGGCCAGATTGAGAAGGCTCTAACCAAACTGGCTTCGTCGTCCTTCAGTCGGATATTCCGCCTGGTACTTCCCGCAACGGCTGCCACGATCATTAGTTGGTTCATCTGCAACATCGACCTGTACCGGATCTCCAGTTCGAGCGATGCATTTTGGTTAAAGAGCAATACTCCCGGTGCCAGTCCTAGCTGGACCCAAGCCCTTCGGGACCTCCTTGCCGGCCTGAAAGCTACCTGGGTTTTTGGAGACGAGAATCCGTATGATCAACCACAATGGGCCCTAGTCTATCTTCTTCAGGGCAGCGTCATGATCATCAGCGCTTTAACCCTTGTCATATCCATGATACCGCTCTGGCGGACCGTGACACTATTCATTCTAGCATTCTGGTCTCTGAATTGGAGCTGGACGATCGGTGACCGTAAGTCAATTCAATCAGACTCATACGCCCACGAACTGTACACTGATTCCAACTAGCTTGGACTGGCCTCTGTTGCTTTTTGGGCGTTGCTCTGGGCGAACTCAGTCTCTCAGACTTCCCCAATGCTGTCGCCAGTGTCTCGCCATACTTATCCCCTCCAATTATCCTGATCTCCCTCGTCATGATGTCCTATCCAAGCTCCTTCTCCGACCGCGCTTCATGGTCCAAGTGGTTTCATGAGTTTGGCATCCGTTTCCTCCCTGTCGACTACACCGCCTCCTTAGACCGCATGTACGGTTCTCTAGGCGGACTGTTGCTCATGGTGGGCATCCTCATCTCTCCCCACGCTCGCTGGGCCCTTAGTTCTCGACCACTTATCTGGCTTGGAAAAGTTAGTTTTGCAATCTACCTGCTGCACGGGATGATTGTACGCACTATCTTTGCATGGATCCTACACTTTGGCCATCCTAAGGAACTTATTCCAGAGTCCACCCAAAACGGAGCCGAATATCATGTTGAGCGATATCCCGTTCCCGGATTTTCCCAGCGTGCGTTCGCGACGATTATTCTGGCGCTCTGTGTCGGTGCAGCCAGCCATGAATGGACCATGAAAATGGAGCCGCTGTTTGCCAAAATCACCACTAAGCTGGAGGGTCTTGTAACAGGGAAATTTTACATCGAACTCAAGTCCAAAGAGAGTACGATTCTTCCATTGCGAAAGGATTGAACATGGATGGCTAGGAAAATCCCGCCCCAAACGGCCAGAGGATACAGAATTTTTACGCATCACAGGCCGAGAGCGTCCATGTTATAGCATTCAAATTTTTTCATGGCCAACAGGCCCCTTGGGATGCGATGTGCATGGAAAAGCTGAAAAAGGATCCCCTGACATGTGAATGGGGCATTCAAAGTCTCCCAATTCTGGTCAATCTAGTCCATTTGGCATGACCGAACCTCCACAACGAACGGCGGGCGATTGGGGGAGCCAAGCTATGGTGAGACAAATGCGCCTCAACAGGATTGAGTTGCATTAAGTGGGGCGACTTTCATCCGATCATGCCCGAAGGAGCTACGGGACTCAGCCGGATGCTCGATGGCTAGCACTATTCAAACCCGGCAATGCCGCAGGATTCATACAGAATGGGGAACAACTAGATATAACTAAAGTCACCCGTAGATGGTATGGTGAACGAAGGAGCCCGAATTAGACCGTGCGAGCTTACACCGACGTACGCCTCGCTGAATGATGAATGTCGGACCCGTAGTTAAAGACGAGCATGACCTTAGCTTGGATAACACTGACAGCTTCCGTGATGTTCTCAGGTGAAGACTTGAACTGCTGAGGCAATCTGAACTGGAGGAGATTGGACGATAGAATTTCCCTGGACTTCATCAGAATCTGACTTGCAAAAAAATTGGAATAGGGTCAATATTGGGGAGTCTCCAATACCGACAACGTGGCCTGTCATTCGGGGAATTACAAGTCCAAAATGTAAGAGTGACATGTTTGCAAAGCTGTGACCTAATGTTTTGCAACGGACTATAAATTATGGTTCGAGCAATGAAAGTGTTATTCCAGCTGCCGAGAGCTATAGCCAACAGAGAGTTAGTCTTTGTACCTTCAAGATCTTTGTCTTCTAGCAAACATATATTAGCGTGTCGACCCTTCAATTCCAGTCGATATGGCTAGTGGTCCAGCACCAATGGAGACGGCGTATGCCAACCCAAGGGGATAAAGGTTCGTCGTCGCAACCTTTGCCATACCGTAACTATTCTAACCCTCAAAGCACGAACACCCGGGGTATCACAAAGTTCACGGATTGCAAAGGCATCGGCGATTGGGAAGAGGTCAATATCTCAAAACGAAGACCGAACGGGCATATATGCGCCAATTTTCATCGTGGTCGGCGACCTACCACGGTTTGCGAGGAATCTCTCGAATTCTCAACAGATCCAGAAACGGGCCGTCAAGGTGAACTCGTCGCAACAAAGACGTAGAAGCCTACGCCTCCAAACCGCCAATCATATCCAGACACGCCCAAGTCCGCCCAGCAGGTGAGGATGTCAAAACGACCTTGAGAAGAAGACGGAATTCCACCGTCCCACGCGTCTCCAAAATGAGCACGAACATCGGTAACCCCGATCAGCGAGGCTCGGGTTGAGTACTGGACGAACAACGGAACCTGGCCGACAGAAGGACAGGAGAAGACAATGGATCGGTTTCGAGACATCGTTAATCACGCGCTCGCAAGAAAACGATCGGGCTCCCTTAGCCGCAAACGCTCAAACACCAGCAGCCAACAACCACGGGATCAGAAGAGTTCCCCGTATAGACATCCACTGTTTGAAGATCAATTGAAGGAGTGTGGCAGCTTTATGGACGATTACGAAGGAGGCATTACTGCGCAAAGCGAAGAGCTTTGCCAAACGCTCCTGAAAGCACCACAGCCATCACCTGAACATACCCTTTTCTCCGACAACAATCTGTTCAAGAAGACGTGCAAAATAACGAGGGGCGAGGACGGGACCAAGGTGGTCCGCGATATTGCACCGTTCATTGTTCCTTTCAGCTAAGATACTGGCCGACAAGGGAGCCAGCCATCTAGAAATTCTCCGAGAGAATACCAACGTATGCTGGGTCCACGCCATCCCTTTTATTAAACCTCCGGATTCTCGCCCTGCTCCTCGTTCGCAGCCAGACTTTGGCCTTGAATTAAAGAGAGATGTATTCAATCGAGAACAACTTCAAAGGCTGCAACCTTATATTGGCGATCCAGTGCTGATTCCTCCTTAATTACAGCCACGTATAATATGTTCTTCCATTGCTCACCAGCGAAGTCAAATGCGAAGCAACTGGGACTTGACATTGCTGATCGACGGAATGCTCACAGTCAATCCGTCATATTACGTGACCTGACCCCACTCTTCCGCCTTGCAGGCTGGGAGGATGAGCTGCATCAGGAAATCAATGGCTTTTGTCCAGAACGTCTACGATTTGTGGCTTCAAAAGAATCTGCTCTGTCATCGACTCGTTACCCGCTAAATTTGAATTTCGACGTCTCCAATCAGTCCGAACCTCGATTTCGAGATCAGAAAATGGCTTCACCACGCTCAGGACCATCCCAGTGACTGGAAGAACACAGCTTAGCCGATGAAGGAGTGATCCCGAACAGCCAGCCAAGCGTCCAGCAAATCACACCAGACATAACGATCCAGTCCGAATCCAGCAACCCCAAGAGAAGAAATAATGGATTGCATCTCACCCTCAACGCCAGGTCCGGCTTCATCTCTCGCGACAGGCCCATCCGGTCACTCGATACACAGTGGTACCAGGTCCTTCGCCTTCATGCCAAATCCGCAGCAACTGCAAACACCGCGTGGCGGCACGATTTGCCATTTATGGGCACAGGGCGGTGTTGCTGAATCTACAGTTTCCTTCTTTCCATTTCTCCGGATTTGCTGTGATTTTCATCCCTTCTTTTGTCCACAATTGACCAAGTGAAAGGACTGGGACTGTCGACCTCGAGCTGGCTATGGATGACCGATGATGCCGGAGAAGTCTTGCCCTTTGCGATTGACATAAAGCCTGACGTTTTGGAGTCCTGCCTCGGTGGGGCAGTGAGCAGTACAACCGTACACCAATTGGCCGGTTTTCAAGTGAGGATCTATCGGCGAGTTGAGGAAAGCAAGCGCCGATCCAGATGGGGACCGTACCACCCACCCTCCAGGTCCCGGAGATGGAGTTTGTACCCCGAGCATACTAGCTCCCTAGGTAACCCCATGTTGCCTAGGTAGTAGTGCAGACGAAGCTTTGTTCCGTTGACACTTTATAGAATCCCTTCCACGTGGCCTTCGCTTGCCCCTTTTGGCAGAAAGTCTTTCACTTTCATCTTGGTCCTTTCGATGGCACCTTCTCATTACTCACCCCACTCCCATCATACAGACAGAGCTCTCATGTCGACCCGCTCAATGTAGTGGACTGCTCTGAGAGCTTTACCACTGTGACGCCCTGTCGTGCTGGCCTTTGTGGCAGGGTGGTTGGTCAGACCCAATGAAAGACATGCCCAGTACCCGCTTTGAAGCCGCCTTCATCATGGCGAGTACTTCTGAACCTGCAGCGGGTGCTACATGCCGAACTCTTCTGCCCTGTCGGAGAAATTTCATCCCCTGGCCGCCTTTACATCCGCCTTCTCGTGTTCCCCCCCACAAAGAGTGGTGCGCCACAGCGATGGGCGACAATCACTCACGAGATCAAGTGACAGGTCTGCTAAGATTGGGCGCTGATAGTGCACGGCTTGGATTGTGATTGGCCGCAATTCGATTGGCGACAGTGCAAAATCATTTGGAACCCTCCTGGGCGGTGTCTCTGTCAGGTTGCCTTGCATTAGGTCCGGTCAAGGCGCATTCGTCGAAGACCAGTTTGCTCGACCTCGCAATGCGAGAGCTCGCATGGAAGCCAGGCGTTCGGGTGCTGGAATTTCTCTGGAAATATCGATCCGAGACACCACGGTCTGAATCGAAAGTATTCCCTTCTCCTGACTCCTTCTATCAGCACGGATTTGCCCTCAAACGTATGAATTGACTCTGAATGTCTGCTTTCTGGGTTCCGACTTTGCACGTTCAAATTTCTCAGGTTTATTAAGAATTGCTTGTGGGTCTGAATATCACCATGAGGTGCACAAGTCAACTAAGCCTTCTGTCTTCCCCAGATAAGAACTCGGCAGCTGTCGATATTGTTGCTGTCCATGGTTTGACCTCGACTACGGCTGCCGACAGCGTGTGGTTGTCAACGTCGCTTCCTTGCGACCTGCCTCGCGCCCGAATTCTCTCTTTCGGATACGATTCCTCCCTTAGGGGTCCTGATATCGTCAACACCTACGCCCGGCAACTGCTTCTGGACTTACATCAAGTTCGTGCCAAGGAGAGCAATGTCAGTGCACCTCTTTCTCGTTCAAGTTGTGCAGATTCTTTCCACACATTCTCAAGTTGATATTCCGTAACTTCAGATTCGTATCCAGATTGGTATTCACTACAATGAGGCTTGGATCTCAAAATGGCTATCCCCCTACTGACGCTGCAGGCGGGTTTGTCCCAGGGAAGGTCTGGCCAGATACCCTGAACGCTGTCTCATGTACACGAGCTTTCTGCGCGAGCCCCAGGCTTTTCAACAAGTTAACGGAGCCAAGTGGCTAACTCTGTCATCAGATTGACCGCCCTATTGTCTTCGTTGCCCACAGTCTAGGGGGCATCATTGTCAAGAAAGCCCTAGTCGATTCGGAATCTTCCTCGGACGGACTTCTTAACAAGGTTGCTACTTCGACCCAGGGCGTTGTGTTAATTGACAATCCCAATCGCAATAGCCCGCATCTCATCAAATCTATCCTAGGCACGCCCGGCAGTTCTGACGATTTCGTTTCATCGATTCAATCTATAACTGCTGAATTCGAAGCCTTGATTCATTTCAGCCTCAAGCACATCAGGCTTGTCTCTTTTTTTGAAGAGACACCCGACCCAATCTCCGAAGTAGGTCCTCTGCTGACTTCGTCACTTCTCCTATCGCATTCTCATACCACTCAAGGTCGGCCCAAAGGAAGACGCGGCTTTAGAAAGCGTCAAGAGCATACCGATCCATAGTGATCATTCGGCAAGTTTGGCTTGACTTCGAAATGCCGACGCCTTTATGCTAACGCTTCCAGAAGATCTGGCAGTCTCTTTCTTCGAGCAAGGCAAAATATCAACTCGTCCTTGGAGAGATCAAAAGCCTTGCGTGGCCGTTCTATGGTCATTGTTCGACCCCGTCGCCGCCCGAGAATTCCGGTAAGAGGCCAACCAAACTTGTAGACTGCTGGAGAATTTGAAAGATTAATGCCATAGATAGGTTCACTCGCACTCGCGGAGATCGAAGACGGTCGCAAACACATCGCCTCAGCGGTGACTGGAACTGGACTTTGGCTTACTCAGAACTCGGCATTCGCCGACTGGATCCAGAGTGACAACAAAGGAGTATTCTGGATAGTGGGGAAGCCAGGCTCGGGAAAGTCGACACTGATCAAACATTTTCTGCAGCAGAGCAATTGTCGAAGGGAAGGCAAGCCTGCTACCCTGACGGCTTCTTATTTTTTCGATCCCTTTGGAAACACATTCGAACGATCGTCTGTCAAATTCTTCCGTGCTCTGTTGCACCAATTTTGGATTCAAGCAAAACGCCTCGAATGCGAGCACGATATATTGGAGTCGAGCACCTTTCAAATAACTAGCCAGCTACGCAAAAGCCGGTGGGGCGAATCATCTGTCTTGATTGACCAACTTGACCTACTCCTTTCAGAGTTAGGCCAGGCTCATCCTCTGTTTCTGGTGGTGGATGCCTTGGATGATTGCGAGGAAGCTGGAACTCTTGAAATTCTCGGTTTCTTTCGACGTGTCCTTGACAAAATACAAGTTAAACACCTCCGGATCATTGTCTCCGCGAGATCAACAACATTGTCGTGCAATGAGAAAGACGTTCGAGTCTTTGCTGACCAGGAAAATCAAGAAGATATAGCGACATTCACCCGAACTCTGATCGGTATTCACCAACCCGAAGACGAAAACCTGCTCCTGCGCTTCAAAGACCAGATCCTTGAAGTGATACTGGAGAAGGCTTCTGGAATCTTTTTGTGGGTTTCCCTCATCCTGCCCGTTCTCCGAAACAAAACCCAACAGAACTCAGACGTACTGCAGACCCTGAGAAATTTGCCAACCGACCTTGACAGCGTCTATCACATGGTTTTGGACCACATAAACACCGACGAATTCCAACGAGGTTTCCCAATATCTCAGATCTTGTCCTGGGTACTTCTGGCTAAACGCCCTCTTTCGCTCCAGGAGGTCCATGAGGCGCTTTGCTTCGCAGAGACCAAAAAGAGTCTCAATGGTGCCGATTTGTGCTCTTCTCCCGCTGATAATTGGCAATCTCCCCGGAAATCTGTACCAAGCCTTACACATGACTTGATTGACCACAGCTGGGGCCTTCTTCAAGTTGGCCACGACACATATGCGCCTAAGCCGGCGACTTGGTCCGCGACCGAGACCCTCGTGGTCCAATTCATACATCACAGCGCTAAGGAATTCCTTCTTGACTTTGAATTGAATGTCCCAAGTTCGAAGTACAGATCACGATCCGAAGCATTGGTCGAGAGAAATTTGGACTTTGCCCGCCTCTGTATGGACTACTGCATTTGGTGCAAATCAGTTGAAGATCAGTCGAACTGTCACAAACCGGACTTGGAGGCCCGATACCCATTCCTGGACTACTCAGCAACATTTTGGTTCGAACACCTGCGGGGTGCCAATTCGGAGGTATCACAGGTTGATATATTATTCGTGAAACACTTCCCCGTTCTAGCAGAAGCCGAGCTGGACTCCTGGTCCTGGGCGCTGAAGTCATTGGGGAAAGAGACTCATTTCTATCATTCCTCTTCAGTCCTGCATGTTACGTCTTATTATAATATCTCAATCCTTCTTCGTCTCTGTATACAAAACTTAGGCTTGAAATCAGAAGCTGGATACAATGACGAATTCGACGGGCATTGGGATCCACTCCCCAACAAGATCGTTCAGCCGAGCGAAAACATCGATTGCGACGGCATTCTTGATCAACCAGACTCCAATGGGTGGACCCCATTAACACTTTGTGCCCAAGTTGGCAGTTTTGAATCTGCAAAGGTCCTTCTTGCAGCCGGTGCGGACGTGAGAGTGCCTGAAAGAATTCATGGTTACTCTGCCTTATTCTGGGCTGTTGCATATGGCCATGAAACTATCGTCAGGACACTCCTCGATTACGGCGCTGACGTTAACGCTGAGCAGATGGGTACATCTCCTCTTCAACTAGCTGCCTCAAGAGGCCATCGAGCCATTGTCGAGCTCTTACTTTTGAGGGATGCAGATCCAAGTGCGGATGGGATTGTTTCAGCCATACAGGATCATTCCACATGTTCTGATCCCTGGAATCGTGCAATGGTGAAATCCTCTCGTCTCCATCAGAGCGGATCAGAGACAAGCTTAAAACCACTGACCCCTTTGCATCATGCCATATTGCTCTCCGACGTCACAATGTGCAGACAACTTGTTGACCATGGCGCCGAAGTAACGCTGCCTTGTGTGACCATTCCTCCCCAGCAGCAGTCTTTGTGGCTCAATAGGATGATGCTCGGTTTACCGTCCCTGGTCGCAAACGTGGCACCTCACTCATGTCCTGGTTCGGGAATTTCGGATCACACGTATGGAGCTGGGGATTTGCAGCCAAACAAACGCCAAGGGGGGAATGATCCCAGAAAACGAAAATTCACGCAGAGGCAGCCGACAGATGAAGATGGGGAGGCTGATGAGAATGACTGGCAGTGTCCGCCAAATAAAAAGTCAAGAATATCTGAAGGCATCCGGACGAAACCAGGCATTCAGTACGCCTGCCCCTTTTTCAAGTACGCTCCATCAAGATTTGGAAGCGGCTGGCCCTGCAGCACAAAAGGTTGGCCAGACTGCCACCGACTGAAAGAACATCTATACAAAACACATCAGGTTTATTTGTGTCCTAGATGCTATTCAACATTTAAGACTGGGAGAGAGTGGCACGAACATTTGCGTGCTAGAAATATTTGCGAAGTAAGGGAACGCGATTATGCCGTCGGTTTGGATGAATTGCAATGTGAAATACTTCGCAACAGGACAACGAAGAGGAAGGAATGCGGAGGGGACGAGGATCAGTACTGGAGGCAGATTTACAAAATCTGCTTTCCTCATGTGGATGATGCGCATATCCCTTCTCCCTACTTCGAGGGAGAGGCCTCTTCTCGAGCATATCACACATTTTTACGCCAGGAGCTGAGAGGATCCCACGCAGAGGATCTCTTTCGACATGATCGCTATATGGCAGATCCCTTGAATGCCCTAGATACTTTCTTGGCAGACAGCCACGAGCGCTTCATGACACGGTCAGAACCTGATTTTGCAGCCGAATCTTCACTCGTACAACTGGGTGGCCCTGCATCAGCCTTTCCTACCTCCCAGCCTACAGCCCTTCCACAAGATTTTTACGGCATCGCTTCACATCATCACAATTCCATGAGTCTCATACCACCTCCTGAAGACTCCGGCATATACGCAATGGGGACGAATACGACAGATCTCGTATCCAATGGAGTGGCGCACGAGTGCTCTGAACAAAGTCCCAACAGGGATGATTGCTTTCCCTCTGACGACATCCATCTGCATTCAGCAGCGGAGCATAATTCACTCTCACCATTGTCATCTCAGCAAGCGATTTTGTTTCACGAGCCGGATGAGACATCACCTTGGTTGCCATTTGCAACTCACGATACCTTCGCCCCCGCTGTGCCTTTTCAATTTTCCCCGGCCGTGAACTCTATCAATTCGATCTACACCCAAGAACGCCAGCAGCTTCAAGGAAACCCTGTATTCGCTCATCAACAACCAAATTCCCGGATGCCTCGAGGAGGAACCCGTCAAGGACCATGCTCGGACAGAATCAATCGACAAACGTAGGATCTCATTGCCAGGAGGTTAAAATCGTTCAGCTGATCTCCTGGAATGCTACCTCTACAAGTCATTATAGACTCCCATTTTTGTCAACATTGCATCAAGATCGCCCGAATAGTATGTCGTGGAAGTGCCATTAGTGGGGCTTGAACCTCATCTCAGGGCCAGAGCCATCGAGATCCGAAGCAAGAGAGACGCAAAAGTCAGCATAATGTCAACGGCAGAAAGAAATTTGGGGATCAATTCTCTATTGACGATCAAGTTGGAATTGGCTTCCAAATTCGAGGCCGTTCCCAAAGCGACCCTTGCCCGAGCTTAGAGTGTTTCACACCCGGCCATCCAACATACTAAATCTAGACTTCACACATGTGATCAAACAGGGAGTCTCCCCGGGACTCATATTCTCTTGCATCGAATTCTGGCATACAGGGTTTTGGAGAAAAGAGAACGACTCCCTCACCATTGATGATCCTCAAACTCACAGCCTTGCAAATTTGCAGCCTTTTCCCTCACTGCTTGAAAGTTTGCCACGAGCGGCCTTGTCGAGATTGTCCAAATATTCAGCCACCTCAAATTGACGGTGTTCTTCAGGGGTTTCCAACCTCGTATGGTTATACCCCAGCAATCTGTCGGCGACGCAAGAGCCGTCATGGAGATAGGACAACAGCATCGATGGCGTAGACATTTTCGAACATTCACTGTGTTGTTTTGGTCTCGGATGCAAGCTGCAAAGTTGACCTCTCGTTAGGATCTTGACCCTAGCAAATCGCCACCCAAGATGTAAAGGAGGTCATGGGCATGACGACATACTGGTTGCGAATCCCTTGGGAGGAACCGTCGAACCCGTGGGACGCCATTGATGTCGAATAAACCCCTTTTTCTTCGTATATAGACGAAGCGAATTGATCCGTCAAATGTGGAATTCAATCAAAGATCAGAACTTTTCTTCAGAGCTTTAACGGATATCAGTACAAACCAGCAAGACAGTGCAGGTAGGCCCACCTCTCGCAATGGCAATCGTCTTCAGACACTGTCACTGGCACCAGTCTCGCTTTGCCTCGAAGCTTGTCTCTTGACAACACACAGTCTCCCTCTCATGCGCTCTCATATACATGCACGTACTTGTAGCCTTCTTCCTGTGCCTGATTCGAGGGCAAAAGAGAACTCACCAGAGCTGCTTGAATGAACCAAGCTCATCTCCTGGCTCAGGCTCCCGCGTCTTTATATAGTGCTCTGCTAACTAGCGTATTGTCCATCGGAATTTAGCATTGGTACCCCCAAAATCAAACTATGCTACTGTCCCGAACTCTGACCAGCTCTCTTTTTTTGCGCGGACAGGATTGACTGACGGCTCGCCATTTTGCAAGCTTGAATATCGCGTACCTCACATTGCGCATTGCTGCGTCTGGCAATGCAACGACAATCCTCTCGGATTGCGAGCAGAAAACACCCAGCTTGTATGGGATGACGTGGTAGTGGGCCCTACAGTGCTCAGAGATGTGTACCTCACTTTCCTTTTCCTGGTCGTTAAAACCAGGCTACTGTTTCCTCACGTTTGTTTCTGGGGTAGTTCCCAAGGGCTCTCTCGGGGCGTGGAGGAACTGCGCAAGGTCGCGTTTCCCCGTCTCTCGCATTGCCTCCCAAGTTATTTGGTTTCGCTGGATATCTAGCCATAGAGGGCTCCCGTGATACCACTACCTGTATCATATCTTCCTTCTCTATGCCTAATCACTCCTTTTTTTCCCTGCAAGGCTAGAGCACAACATATGGATTATATCACCTTTACACATCTCAAAGTCTCTTTCTCCCTTTGAGTGCTGGAGCTGCCAGTTTGGATACTTTCCCACGTGTGGACAAATTATCTTTTTGGGGCCGCCTGACCCTGCGCCCGAGCCTGATTATGGGGCAGTTTATCGTCAATCAGACGGGGCAGACCGGTAGACCCCGTATTAAAGAGGCCCACACTTGCAGCCTATCGCACAAACTCCTTTGTCAAAAGCGTATGACATTGGCTCGTGGTCGAACCTTTCCTGGAATTTCTTGACAGCGTAGTTCTCAACTTAGTCAAAATTTGACAGGCGTGAAAGGTGTGGGAATTGCAGTTGATATTGGGGAAGATGGTCGGAGCTTTGAACGAAATCGAGTTCGCTGTCCATTACGTGGCAGCAGGTCTGCCAGGCTCGATGCCAGACTGGACGTGTGAATCCCAGTGAAGAACTGTATATACCAAAAAGGGGAAACGGGACTCCATCTCCTTCCTCACATCCTACCTATTTCTCTTGTTTACTTCGTCCCTATCTGCAGTTAGAAGTTTGTTCAGCCAGCTTGTCTTCGATCTCGGCAATCCAACTGACAAGTCCATGCGCTGGCATTTATAAAATCGCAGCACGAGGATGAATCCAACTAGGTGTCGAGGTTAGCGCGAGGCCATTTTTGATGGCGGTGACAGCCTCATACACCCTTTTCGTGGATTGAATTGTAATTGTCATAACGGTCCCGATGGAGGAAGCTGCTTCATCCATTGCTGCGGGCAAAATTCCGAAGGACTTGGAATCGACTACTAAAGAACCAAGCAGGTATCCGAGGAAAAACAAGGTTGAAAGTGGTCAATGAACGATCAGACTGGGAGCCGAAACAAGGTGTGGCGGTTAGCTGGGCAGTGCAGTGGCTTGCTGAACTCTTTGGTGATCGACTGGTTCCAATGTCACTCTTGACCGTGTAATCATAGCTTGTCAGGGTTACCGGAGAATACCGAGCTACAGGTCTCCGTCCTCTGAAGGTGACAGCGGTTGACCTTTTTTCAGATAACGGCAGTTGGTTGACCTGAGGCCGAACGATGGAGTACTTCATAAGGAGGACGGTCCAGATCGCTTAGGCTTTTGGCGGCCATATTCAGTGGCCTTCTTCCCATTTGATGGGCAGTAGCCAGGACAGTGGCCGAGGTTCCACTGTTATTTTGATATTCATCTGATTGTCATTCTGCAATCCTAGTGCGTCGTTGGGGCCTCTCCGATGATAGCCAATCAGCTGGTTCGGCTATGCTATAGCCGAAGGAAGATCATAGCCTCGCAATAGTCGATGGTTGTCAATCTCAGTCATCAGCCATGACTCGGACATGTTACATGACTGTCGAGTCTAGGAGGCCCATAGAGTCATAGCGTGCACAGTGGTACTTGTGGTTATCTACGGAGTTGCACCAGCAGGATGGACCTGCTAACCGACGAAGTATCTTTCCTATAGCTCGATCACTGTCTGACGTATAAATACTGGCTTTCTCGCCGGGTTTCTTTTCGAGATTGAGCCATGCCATTTCCTCAGTTCAATTTTCGGCCTTTCCACCATCATAACCCCATGGACTTTTGATTTCGAGGCCCCTTTCTTGTTCATTGATTGCTTTGACCACATTCCGCAAATATGTCGGCACGAAAGATCATTGAGACATCCAATCATGTCGGTGTCGTTGGTGAGGAACATTATAGCAACCGCGGTGCCAAGAAAGAACGGCAAGTCATGAATGTGCCATCTTATGCCGACCTCCCGGCTGTTCCCAATATGCCGCATGGCTGCACCTGGGGCTTGTGGGACCAAGACGGCCAACGAGATGAATTGGGAACTCTTAATCTCTTGACTCCCCCCACTGTCCTCACGGCCCGGAATGAGATCCAACATGGCGTCAGTGTCGCAATCAACTGGTCACTTGACAATTGCGAGACTCCCCACTCAAATCGAAGGAGACCTAGTCATAGGATCATGCCATTGCCTGACTGGATCGGACATGATGACGAGGTGGAGATGAATACTCAGAGTGGGAGTCAATGGGACGGTTTTCGTGAGGATGATCCAGAACTGGGAAGAGGCATGTTTCTGATCAAGTTCTAGGGCACTGGGCGCATCAGCCGTCGAGGATGTATTACAACGGCGTCCCACACGCTGATATCACCAACCCCAGTGCCCCAGTTCGGAATGGAATCGACCGTAGGAAACACCGTGTAATAGTTCTTGGAGCAAGCTGACAGACCAAATCAGAATGGACGAAAAGAGGTGGCATAGTTGGACGAGGTATTCTCCTGGATTATTACTCCTGGGCGCAGAGAGAAGGTATCCATTATTCACCAATCGAGCGTCACGCCATTTCCGAGAAAGATCTCGAGGCTGTTGCGAGATGGCAGGGAACCCAATTTCACCCGAGCGACATCTTACTGATACGGTCTGGATTTGTGAAGTGGTACAAGGAGGCTAGTCCCGAAGATCGCAGGCGCGGGACAGTAGACGGTTCGGCTTGGGCTGGAATTGAAGGAACGAAAGAGTCCGTCGAATGGTTGTGGAATCGTCACTTTGCTGCGGTGGGAGGAGATGCCAATGTCTTTGAGGCGTGGCCAGCCAAGGATGAAAGATGGCGTAAGTGATTTCGAAACCACTGATACCCTCGTGACTGACCATCTCAAAATCACAGGCCTTCACGATAATCTGATTGCCCTCTTTGGAATGCCAGTGGGGGAAATGTTTGATTTGGACGAGCTGGCTGCTGTGTGTCAAAAGCTCAAAAAGTGGAGCTTCTTTTTCACCAGTGCGCCTTTGAACTTCCCGGGGGGTGTGGCCAGCCCCCCTAATGCCATATGTATCTTGTAGATCGCACCGTGGCATGATACCCGTTAGTCGCTCATTCAGAATTCATATTCAAGGTCTGCCCAGGCTCCGTCATCAAGAATTGTCTGCCAGTCTGCAGGGTAGCTCACTGGCATTGCCATATTTGATGCTTCGGGGAAGAGATATCTTCCAGCAGGATGATGAGACACGGCATAGATCTGAGACAGGCTTGGATCCTGGTATTGAGACTTGGCGTGGACCAAGGGCGGCGGGTCTATAATTTGACCCTGGGAAGGAGCCTGACCTTCGTTGACCGGAATTTTGGTTTGGATCGGTGAAGAATTGACGGGCTCGTTGGGGAGAAGTTCATCTCCATTCCGAATCCTGCGGACAATTTTGGCAAAGAGGCGGAAGATCCACCCACTGACCGGCCAAGTACTCTGAAGTTCACGCAAAGCGATCATGGCTAACCGGACCTTGACAACGCCAAGTTGCTCCAAGATGGACTGCCCAGAGCAGATATCAACAGCTTGCATTCCCATGGCGGCAAACAGAGCTGGAACGATATGGATTGGACAATGCAGGATATGAGAGCGCGATAAAAGCTCTTCCACTATCCGAACCATTCGATTGGCGGCGTCCATTGCGAGTGTGTGGGCCGTCTTCACCGAAGGAGGTGACAGGTTTTGTGGTGCGATAGATCGGTGAGTTACTATCTCAAACCAGCTAGCCCGGAAAATATTAGTAAATGAAAAACCGAAAGGGAAGTTTCGGGGGGGAACTAACCTGTGGGCGATGTGTAACATACTGGTCCAGAGGCACGTACTGGTATTCTCAATGCAGAGCTCTGGAGGAAGTCGAGCTTTCCACTGCTCGAGGGCCTCCGAACAAGATTGAAACATGTCAGAATTGCAGGACGTTGTCGAATTGAAGGCAGTGAAGGATCTCTGGACGATGCCTTCCGCAATAGTGGATAGCTCGACCAAGGCGATGACATAGAGGCCATCGACGATCTCTGGCCTGCCGAAAATATCAGGCCTCGAGACGGGCGGCTCCTCAAAATCTGCTCTCTCGAGTGGCTCGACGTCACAGTCGGCCTGCCGGATGTGAACTGGTCTTCCCAAGGCTGTGGCAGCATGTTTGTCTTCGGCAAAAAGCGACCACCATATCTTTTTCCACAAGCACCGGTCCTTTTGCTTCATGTCCGAATGTCGAGTGGAACGATGCATTCCAAGTGTCAAGGCTAGACTGATGGCGATACCCAGCCAATGCCATGTATCCTTCTGATCTGTGGGTCCGCTCCACCAGAAGCTGATCAGAAAGACGGATTGGACAACCGTAACCTTATTCGGCTCGTGATCGTTGTCGTACAGAGCTTTCGCTCGCTGAAAGAATGTCTTCCGAGCATGATACCGGGATTCAAACCCCGCGTCATGTAGGACGGACAGCTCACAGTGCCCCGAGGCCATGAACAAGACGGATTGAAGGAGAAGATACGAAGGGGGATTCGCGGGATTAGCATGTTGGGCAGCAAACTCTGCACGATCGAGAATGGGATAATGGGGATGGACAAAATCGAAGTAGGTGCGAAAGAGCTGGTAGCAAGTGCGGACATCAGGGACAGTAAAGGCGCCTTGCTGTTGAAGAAAGGACGCGAGAGCACTGTCGTCTTCTTCGATGGGATTGGTCGCGCGGTTCATTGGATTGAAACGAACCAGATAATGTCTTTTACGGGTCGATCGAGCTGAGTCAGGATCGGTCTGTCGTAACAAATGGGTCAGATTGAAAGTCTCGCCCATGTACATCACATGAACGACGCCCTCCTTGACGTCGGGAAGTACGCCTGCATTGGTGGCTTTATCGAGCACTTGGGCGTACAGTGTTTCTTGTGATTCTTGCACAAATTCGGGCTTGTCGTGTTCACAAGAAGAATGGGGTGCCCCCGTTGAGACACCAGCGTGAGCGTCTTTTGGTCGCGCCCCCGAATCTCTCAGAGGGTCATAGACATTGCCGTGCAGCGGTGTTCCACTTCTTCCGGACGAAATTTCCGGAATATTGGAGAGGTCATTGTGTAATGCCGAAGGAGATGAGGAAGCTTTTCTTTTCTTGCCTCTCTTGCTCTCAATCAGCATACAGTGGCGGTTTCCTGCCTCGCAATTGGAACAAGGCGTTCCCTTCGCTGCAGCATTGCATTTGACACGCCGGGAATGACACCAAGTACAAGCAACAGCGGAACGCTGTCGAGGCCGCCCTCTTTGGGTCGAAGAGGCCTGATGTGGTTGATCCGGTGGCGGAGGCATTTTCGGATAATGAGAAAATGTCAGATGTGGGAATGTCGAAGTCATAGGCTATGGGCCCCAGAAATTGGCCAGACCGGGGATGACTTTTGGAATGATGGGCGTACGCGCGTGCGGATTGTTGGGGTAATGGAATGGAGTCACCAGCATAATCTGTTCTCGACGAACAAGCGCCACTCGTGTGCTAGAAGGGATGCAGACGGCGATTTGGTGCGTGTACATGTAAAGAGATGGGGAGCGAAGTCGGTGAAAATGGCGGATATGTGCGATTCATATGGCCAGGTCATGGCCAGGCTGATGCTTGGTCGCCCTGCAACAATGAATCCTCCCTCCTTGCCCAGGTTCATTTTCATCAAAAATGCGACATTGTTTGACCAACGAGCCATTGTCTTGAAAAGTAGAAGCCGGCATAGGTTAGTGGCGAAGGGGTCATCACAGAACACCTGCCACATATTTTTTGAGAGCGACTCACAGTCCCCCGCTCCATGGGTATACAGGGTCCATTTGACTTCTGAATCTGGTAACCTACGTCGACCCTAGTAAAAACTCCCATGTGCTTGACGAAGACAATAAGGGCATTAGGGACCATACGCCGTACATCCGCCACGCACCATCTGCCGCTAGAAGCGGGTCGGCATGGTCCTTTCGAGGAAAGTGGGAAAAAAGATCTGCCGTGTTGAGATGCAAGCCGTGGTGTGAGTTGGGGAAATGGAGAAACAGAATCGTCACCGAAATCTCTCCGCCATCTCCCGCAGGCGTCTGAATCCGGGACGGGACGGGATAGGGAGAATTTCTTCACGTCTCGCTTGCCCACCGTACTTGCTCGAGTGGTGTTGATGGCTGTATTCTGGCACGACCCGCTCGGGGAAGCATGTCGGTAGAAAGAGACAGCCGAACACTGGGGAGGTCGAGTTTCATCAGCGGCCTCCCTATAACCGAGTCAGTAGCGACAGAATAGCCTAAGTACTGGGGTACCAAGGAACCCAAGGAGCATCAGAATGACCGGTTTTATATCACCGCGTCCAAACCCCACAATCTCTCCAGATTGCCGATTACCTTTGTGTCCTTTCTTCCATCCTCTCCTGGTGTTTGGTTAGTTATGACAAGAACATATACTCTCTACAATCTACGGATCATTCTGGTCTTGACCTTGGGGAGTCTCACCTTCGGGTATGGCTTCTCGGTCATTTCCAACACCATTGGGCAACCAGGTTTCATATCTTACTTCAATCTCGAAGCCAACTCTGACTATACCAATGCCATTACCGGTACCATAAATGGTCTCTATTGTGCAGGGGCATTGTTCGGCGCACTCCACGTGGGCTGGATGTGCGAAGCTCGTGGCCGAAAGGAGACCATGTATTTGGCTTCGGCTGTCAATATTATTGGCGGAGCTCTGGAAACCGGATCGGTCAATATGGCCATGTTTCTTGTCTCGAGATTCATTTCTGGTTGGGGAATTGGCATGATGGTGGTGTTGATCCCCATTTATCAAGCGGAGATCTGTACGTTTCTCGCTCATCGGTTGAACCTCCGTATCATGAATGGTTCGTCTGACAAGCAATGAAGCACCTCCCAATGCTCGAGGTTTCCTGGTCGGTCAGCACGGAACTTGGATTGTGCTGGGATATGCAGTTGCTGGCTGGGTTGGAGCGGGGACCTATTATTCGTCGAATTTATCCTTCCAGTGGCGATTCCCAATTGCCCTGTCTATCGTCCCGCCTCTCGCACTGGCCCTGTGCGCGCCTTGGATCCCCGAATCGCCCCGTTGGTGTAAGTCGACGGCGTTCTAAGCCAGTGTGGCGATCGAAATACTGATTCCCGAAGTACTCACCAGAGACCGTCGTGAAGAGGCCTGGGCCATCGTCAAGCGCCTCCATGGAGGTGCCACTGAGGATGAGAAGGGCCTCCAGTTTGCTCGTGAGGAGTTCTATCAGATGACTGAACAAGTTCGAGTCGACGCAGCGGCATGGAATGAAGGGGGGTGGAAAGGCATGTTCACCAAGAAGTCGTACCAGAAACGTTTCTGGATGGGCTTCTTCATCCAATACGCCGCTCAATCCACCGGAGCCCAGGTGATATATGGTAAGTTGCAACGTGACAGTTCGGTCGTGAGGAGATGCTCACGAGATTGTCAGTATACATTATTGCCCTGTACCAGAACCTGGGTCTCACCGGCGGAGTTCCGTTAATTTTGGGAGCGGCGTATGTCACGGTCGCGACCATTTCCAATTTTATCGGGGCTCTCTTGCTTGACAAAGTAGGACGAAAGCCACTCTTGAGTCAGTCAGCCATTCTTTGTGTCCCCCATCTCAGCCGAACACTGAATACGTGCTGTAGTTGCCGGATTGACTGGATGCATGCTCTCGGTATGCCTGGAAACCGCCATGATTGCCCAGTATGCCGGCACCACGAACACCGCCGGACTTTCAATGGGGGTCTTCTTTTCATTCTGCTTCATTAGCTTTTACGGAGGTGGTATCGACGTGGTCGGATATGTTTACTGCTGTAAGTGTGTTCCGCTCCCGATGACCCATGTCAATGCAGGGAGAAAACCCCGAGCAGACAGCCTTACCGGCGTGGTTGCTAGGTGGGCGCTCTCTGGTCCAGATGGTGCTTTTTGTTCTGACGCTGTAACCTTAGCTGATCTTACTTGCAGCGGAAATCTTCCCCACACATATCCGATCCCAGGGCGTCGCCTGGTCTCTGGCGGGGACATTCCTTTCAACTTTGGTGTACGTCGAGGCCGCACCCACGGCCCTCGCCCACATTCAATGGCGATACTATGTTGTGTTCATCTGTTTGACTTTCGTCAACGTCCTCATATTTTATTTCTGGTGTCCCGAGGTAAGTGTCCGAAGCCCTCGAAGACCAAGTCGTATGATCAACCATCTTTCCGCAGACCAAGGGTCTCTCGTTGGAAGAGATCAATGCCTTGTTTGGCGAAGAAGTTGTGGTCCATTTTGCCGATGCGACCGAGGAGCAACGACATGAACTGACTGCCAAGGTGCTGGCCGAGGAAGAACAGAAGGAATATGCTTCGAGACGTGGCGAAAATGAGCGCACGACAGTGGTTTTGAAAGCCTGAAAACACCTTCGGTCACTAGGATCTCCGAAGAGCAACAAACAGCCAGAGCAATAGCCAGAGCCAATCGCTTTCTCCAGAATAATGTCCGAGGATCGTCGTCCGCAGAGCTCATTCTTCGCTGGAGCACCCTTTGTCGATCATTAGCTGTTGGAGGACATTCTTTTCGATCTGTCCCCCTGTCATCGACAGCATCACGCGAAGGTCCGAAATGGGAGGTATGGGTCATGGATTCTAGCAAGGCCGTGGCTGGGCCCGTGTGAAGGAGGGGGAGAGGATTGGGCGAAGGCGTGCAGTGCCTTGTGGCTGCATTAGGCGTCGGATATTAATATCCTCGCTAAGGGCCAGGGTCCGAGGATTAGCGTCCAATCACGGGGGTTAGCGCTGTTTGATTTCGTGCCATTCGGCCAAAATCCGCAGTACCTTAATCATGATCCCGGGGGGCTAAGCTGCTAAAGCTGCCTAAAAGTAGCTAAACTGAGACATTCGCCTGCAGGTCAATTTCAATCTAAACGACCAGGAAAACCTTGCACAATGCCCTTGTGCGTTCGTGTTACCAACCACCGCCTTCTGGAGTACCAGGTCATGCCAGGTATGATGAGTATCAAAACTTGTCAACCGGCACAGGACGCTTATCGCCAGCCTCAGCCTTTTTCCCATAATTGTCCTCCGCTTCCTCCCACGGTCTCTCTGCTCTCTGCTCTTGTCGGTGCTCGGTCGTTTCTTTCAACCTTCCCAATTCCCCAGATTTCAAGAGAGAGGGGAAAGACCCAAAGATATTAGATTGCCCACACGCTACGCCACTGCTACTGGAAAGTTTGAACCCATTTGAACCCAAATGAGCCTTTGTTCAGGGAAAGCTTGTCGCCACCCGCTAATCCAGATACTCGATCACTTACTTTATCGCCCATCACTTCTTCCCTCGTTGTAAATTAGTTGAGCTGGGATCACTCACCATCGTTACTGTGTACCTCCCGCAACAGCACAACCAAAAAATGTCGACATTATCAACGGCTACGGTCACAGAAATAGGGGCCATGCCATCATCCGCCTCAAACCACCCAACTCTTTTGACTCTGCCTCCAGAAGTAAGGAATCTCATCTACAAATTCGCCTTTCAACAGCCAACCCCTCTGAGACTCCGTTCTCCCTCACAAAGGCGGCTTCGTCCATCCCGACCTGCCAAAGACGACACGCGAGGGCTCCTGGATACCTGCCAGCTGATCCGCTCCGAGGCCGTCACACTCTACTACAGTCTCAATCCCCTGGTCTTCCGTTCTACAGAAGACGTTCTGGCGTTCATGTCTGACCCAAACATCCATCCGTTGATCAAGCCTTCCTTGACGCACATTGCCGTTGATTTCGGCGACTCCACTGATGCCGATTCCATTCTCAAAGATCACATCAGCCTGGTGGACAGCTGTGTGGGCAGCCTGCCAAGGCTCAGAGCTCTTGAAACCCGCTTCTATGCCCGGACCTTGGACGCCTGCTCATCATCCCATTTCCGAACTCTTGCCTTGGCTTTCGATGGACTCGATGCCGACATGAATGCACCTCCTTCACCTCGCTCACCTCGCTCTCCCCGTGGCTCTCCTCGAGGCTCTATCTCCAGCGACACCTGTTCACCTTCCCCGCCATCTAGCCCCTACTCCCCTACTCTCTGGTCAGACGCCGAATGTGACGCGGAGCCTGAACCGGACACGTCTGCCATCCAGGCTGAGGTGCTCGAACAGTACTGCTTCACACCATCCGCAGCCCTGGCGTTTGCGACCTCTAAGCTCAAGTTCTCTGTTGCGGCCTCCTCCCAGGACTACCCAGGCGTCAAGCATGACAAGTTGATCTGCTATAATCTTCGCATCGGTGTCGATGGGGTCGTCAACGCTCTCGGCCCGGCCCAAGAAGCCGTCAAGCAACGTGTTAGCCGCGTAGGCATACTCCCAAGACGCCTAAGCGAGATGTACGAGACCGCTGCTGACGGCAGCTTTCACCAAAGGGTGAGAGCAACCATTGCCAGTTGCGCGAGAATCGATGTTGGTGTATCGTGATGGCCGTGACATATCCCTATCACCTGATTGTCATTGTTGAAGTCTCAGCGGAGCACTTCAAACCCAGGATTGTCTTTCCGTCTCGCTGGCGCCTCTGCATTTTAAAGTTCGAAGTTAGTCTTGGCATCTGCAGCATTCAGTCCAGCCACCGCCTTTTGGGATCAAGCATGGATTGCTTTATTCCCTCCGGGGGAATAAGACGAAAGGAAACATGACCAGAAGTTTGATGAGGGCATGAAAGTTATGAGATGGACCAAGCATGGCGTCACGAATGCTCTCCCTCCTTTTTCGCCGTTCATGAGCGGGGGGGTTCTTTTTGGATCTTTCAACCTAAGATACCCTGTTTACCACTCCGTATCATGCATGTAATATTGATATTGATATGAGGTGATGAAAATGAGATATGATTATGAGGCTCCTTTCCATCTGAATGTTTGCTTGTGACCTATGAACATTTCGATATTCACGCGTTAGCTTTTCACGGCGCACCAGACTCTCAACTTCTCAGTCGCCTCTGTTCTCACCGGCACCGGCTGCACCAGCGAAGCAACTCAATATAACCGGGACAGAGACAGCATAATGAAACTCGGAGATGCGCCGTTTCATTTCGCCTCCACGGGGACACAATCCCAGATCTGACGCGACTGCCACAACTGAATGACATCTCACGCCTCTCATCGTGTGCGAAACCACACGGAAGCACATTTACTGTCCAGCCTTCGGCTGCAGGGGATTGAAGACAACTTTAGCAAACGCTCGAGAAGAACAAGCCATGCGACCACCACATTTATCGCACCATTGCCGAGGACTGCGCCTCGCACCGTCGACAAAAGTACAAGGGACAGAGCAAACGAAGATACCCAAGATGGTCAAAATCCAACTGCGGAGGAGGGGCGGTGTTTCAGTGGGCACAAGACTACGTGTCCAGCGGGTTGCTTAACAACTTTCTGGTGGAACACTGTGAGAAGTTCCGCTAATGTCATGGAGATGACATAAAGGTCACCGTTTGAAGTCCAGGACGTTACGTAATCTCGTCCATGCCGCTTCCACTTCGTCGGGAATGTCTACATGAGCAATGAAGTTCTTCCCTTTCGGGCCATATCCGTGCTCATCATCCCTGAGTCGTGGAATCTCACCCATGAGGAGATCAAAGAAGCGCCGGTGATCCCATATATCTGTCGGATGAATGCTTGCGGCAACCACAAAATGGACTTCTGGCTCGCTACGTTGTGGACTTGACGAGTCAAGAGAAATCATCGGCACAAAAGTTGGACAAGCGAAGAAATTCGGAGGGGGACACACCTCGGCGTATGTATGTCTGAATGATGCTAGGGTGCGGAGACACATGGTGGGATCTTGAACGATGATCAAGGATTCGGGCATGGGGATGGAATTTTGTTCGAGAACCCGACGCGTTTCGATGGCATTGGCTCCGCAGTTTGTCGATTTGTCCTCGACGATGAGTCTCATGGTGCCGGAGCGAATATGTTCAACGAGGATCGGGTAGAATTCCTTGAGGATGAAACGGAGGACGATGGCTTCAGGTAGTCCCTCGATATCCCTAGCCAGATACCCATATTTCCTGCTTTGTCGGACCGCCTCGTACAACAATCGAGTCGAGTGTCCAATTCCACCACAGATCACCAAAGTCTTTGCCAGATCCGGCCGCGCCTCCAAGACTGAAAATACATTCTCGGCAATAGGAATGATTGCATTTCCACATAGAACTAGAACATCGACAGGAAAGCAGGTAAGGAGAGAAGCTATTTGCGGGCAAGAGATGAAGCGAGAGATGGTGTTGATATCCGAGACGGCGGATTCCGAGAGGGTAGTCATGATTGGAGAGATTTGTCTTTGGTCGTGTAGCCTTGTGTGAAAAGAGGAGGAGCACCCTTAGGTCCTGATAGAGCAGAGGGCTAGTCCAATGAGAAAGGCTAATTTGGCATTGGTCTTGGTGAAATCATTGCGAGATGGTCGCCAGTCGATCCGTGATCAGAGATCCTTTTGAAGTTACAGAGGGCAGCACGTGATGTCACATGCCAAGCCGCTACTTGGGTGATCGACAGCCCTCCTGCCGCGCATTTCCTTTTGCCGTCGCCGCCACATTTTTCAAGCACCAAAATTCTGGCATCAAGTCTCTTGTGTAGGACATTCGACTTGTTCACGGTGTTCATCTCAACCTTCTTCGTATCAGTCTAATATATCATCCTCTCGAAGACCCTCCCAATCAGATGATTCAAGGTAGGGCTCTCTTATCAGACCGAGGGGCCTCCTAGGAGCATACCCTGGCCCCTGGGAACAGGCCCGACCCCTCGCATATCACTCGTTGAATCCTCACTTGACATTGCTAGCATGTTCAGCAGCGAGAGGTAACACAATGCAACGCTAAAAGCTTGGTCCCGTTTCTTGGGTTACCACGGAACTCCTTGCTATCATGGCCGCCACCTTCTCGCTTGGGAAGCTCTTTATTATCTCTCTCTGTGTGTACTGTACATCAATAATGCGGAGGGAGGCAAACGATAACAAGGTACCAATACTAGTATTTATCCTCGGCTTCCACTATTGTTCAATCGTGAGTGGTGTGCCTGGTGATAACCTTGCTCCACACAAGCAACTCCAAGCTCCTTCCCAGAGCCTGCTGGCCACCATTCGCAAACGTCCTGACGTCTGTTTAGCCATCTTACCACCTAACCGTTCATCTTGGAATAGTACCGGTGATCTCAGTACCTACTAAATGCAGCATGGCCACAGTCCACCGGATAGCTACGGTAGATAGAGGTCTCAAAGTGGGGAGCTTATATTGTGCATGGCATGCAGACAGGGCCACGGGGAATAAATTATTAACGTCAGAGCCGCCCGCACTCAAGATCAACCTCCGTTCAACCTCGAAAAAGTCATTATGAGGACATATATGCGACAAGCTGTGGCGGCCGTTTTGGCTGTCTTGCCGATTGCAAGCGCAATCACTCCTAGGTTCATGCTTCTCCTTGCGATAAATACGCCCGGAGACATCACTAACCGCACGTATAGGCAGATGATTGCTGCCCCAAGAAGGAGTGCACTGTCACCCAATCCGTCAGGCGTGAGTGGAATGTGTAACCTTGTAACGCGGGAGCTAACACACTTTGTCCAACAGGAAATTGGTGTCTTCAGTTCAACAACCTACTCCTGGGAAGATCATGAATCCGCGACAACATGGAATATCATGAACCTGACCACAGGAGAAATCTCGTTGCTCTACCAAGGGTCTGATATTTCCGAAATTGTTTGGGTTGGTCCAAGTGACACCAGCATCCTGTATATCAACGGAACCAACGAGGAAGACGATGGCGGCATTAGCATATATGGGGGCGATATCACTGCGATCGACGAAGCGTAAGCTTTCCCTCTTCTCTCCCCTTGGGGGGATCGAACCCTGAATCCGACTGATTTCCGTAGCTATTTTATCGCGTCCCTACCTGCCCCATACTCTGGGCTGAAAGCTGTTGTCACCCCTTCTGGAGACATCAACTTTCTCTTAAACTGCCTTGCATGGCCCAATGGCACGGCATACAACGAGGCTTTGGTTGAAGAGCCGGTAAGCACAGCAAGAATCTACGACAGCATCTACGTGCGCCACTGGGATACCTGGCTGTCTGAGAGAAAATACGCCGTTTTTGCGGGAACCCTGACCGGGGGAGATGAATACTCTTTCTCTGGAGATTTGACCAACCTCGTCACGGGAATCGGCAACGTTACTCGTGCCGAAAGTCCTGTTCAACCGTTTGGGGACTCTGGTGACTACGACATTACACCCGATGGCAGCACCGTTGCCTTTCTGACCAAGAACGTGGATTTGCCCTTGGCAAACTCTACATCCTCCCAGATTTATCTGGTTCCTCATGATGGGTCTCGCAAGGCGGTTCCTATCAATGGATTTTCAGGCGCTTCAACTCCGCCCAATGCTCAAGGCGCCTCAGCTCACCCCACCTTTTCTCCGGATGGCTCCAAGATCGCATATTTCCAAATGGACCAAATCTCCTACGAATCTGACAAGAACAAGATTTACGTCGCAGATGTCGACTATGAAAACTTCAACATCACTGTTCTCGCAGAGGCCTGGGACAGCACCCCTGATCAAGTGGCATGGGCCAATGATGGCAGATCACTCTTCGTGGCAGCACCAGATCTCGGCAATGAGCGCATCTTCGAGATTCCTCTGACGGCCGGAGCCAACTTTGAGCCTACTAACATTACAAACCAAGGCGTCGTTGCCGGTTACTCTCTCCTTCCAAACGGCGATATTCTGGTGTCAGATTCCAAAATTTGGTCTTCCCGCGACTTCTATATCATCTCCCAAGAGGGAGAAGTTGTCAACGATCTTTTCCATGCCAATCAGGTCGATCCTGAGCTGGCAGGTCTGGGGCCGAGAGATGTCTCGGAATTCTACACGTTGGGCAGCTTCACCTCAGTTCAGAGTTGGATCGTATATCCGGAGGGATTTGACCCTGGCAAGAAATATCCTCTAGCATTTATCGTTCACGGTGGTCCTCAAGGTGGACACTACAACTCGTGGAGCACGAGATGGAATTTCAAAGTGTGGGCAGATCAAGGCTATGTCGTCATTGCACCCAACCCCACCGGATCTACGGGGTGGGGTATGGCTTTCCAAGATGCCATTCAAAACAACTGGGGAAGCTATCCTTATGAGGATCTTGTTGCCTGTTGGGAGTATGTCAACAGCACCCTGGATTACGTCGATACCGAGAACGGAATAGAGGCCGGAGCATCGTATGGTGGCTTCATGACCAATTGGATCCAAGGCCACGATCTGGGAAGGAGATTCAAGGCCCTTGTTACACATGACGGCGTCACGAACATGGTTGGTCAATATGCGACCGAAGAGTTGTGGTTTACTCAGCGCGATGTAGGTTCCTCATCCCTTCGAGAAGTTAGGCTGACCATGATGCAGATGAACGGTACTCTCTGGGCCAACAGAGACCACTATGAACAGTGGAATCCAATCAACTTTATCGACAACTGGGCAACCCCTCATTTCGTGGTCCACAATGATTTGGATTTCAGATTGCCCGTTTCCGAGGGTCTTATGCTTTTCAATATCCTGCAAGAGAAGGGTGTCCCTAGTAAATTCCTGAATTTCCCCGATGAGAATCATTGGTGAGTGATGTTTGAACCTAGCTGGAGAAAAGTCTTTTTCTGACCATACAGGGTTCTCAACCAGGAGAATAGTCTAGTCTGGCACAGAGAAATTTTCGACTGGATTAACCACTATTCGGGAATCAGTGGATAAGAAGGGAGATATTAGCCCAGATAAATAAGAAAAACCATTATTATGGAGTATACTATGAGACTCCTAACCTCGAAAGCTCATCTGACTGAAAGAACAACACCGTCGAGGGCTGCTGCACACGCCACATGTTTCGTATACGAGAATCGGCATTACACACGCATGTGACACGTGCCCGCAACAAAATCCCAACAGACCGAAGTTTGTCATCCGTCCCACTCGTCGCCGCAATTGGCAGTGATGCAACATGGGTCAGGGCTGAGCATCAGTGAGGGCCAAATGACTGACAGGGTACCTATGCAGCGCGCCCCGCAGGCACTGCCCACGCAATTCCGCGGCCGTTGATCGATTTGTACAGGCTTTCTGTTGACTTTCCCTATGTGCGACCGTATTTTTCGCCCACCAAAAATGCCCCAGACCAGGCTGAGGGTCATTTTTTGGGCTTCCGGAGATGGAACAACACTGGTGGCCTCTCCAGTACATCAGGTTCTGAGTCCGGTGTAGCAGCGACCTCAATGCTATGTCTCGAGATCATTCTAGATTAGGCAATAAATGTACCACGCTTTTTGGCCCTGGTCTTGACCAGGAAATTTCATGCCGCAGAGGAGGTTTAGCACAGGGAGGATGTCGTCGTCAAAGCAACAATACAAGAAAAGTTCGCTACAAAATGGCTGGTATACGAAAATATCAGATGCAAACACAAGGAGCGCACCTTAGCGGAAGGGAAAGGGACATTTGACACGGCACTGGACTGTGGCTTGAATATAGATTTCGAGTGGGCCAATCAACCGCTTTCTACGTTCAAGTGGCCGAGACATCTGTAGTTCTAGAGCTGGGCACACCGAGACATATATTGCCGTAGTCATTTTTCGGATCATTCCCTGGATGTCTGTGGACTACGCTCTTTTGGCTGGCCAGCCTGTTCGATGGCGGCCATTGTTGTGGCTCCAACGCCATATCAAGATTGCGGGTGGCGCCGTTCGAAAACAAGAATTCAGTCCTGGGGTTTCCCTCCCAGATTGACCTTGGTGGAATGGTGTGTGATATACCAAATCGCTCTCGCAGGAAATACTCCCGACCGCTGGAGCATTCCCACTTTGATGGTGATTGGAGCCGTGTTCCTGATCGGGCTGATTTACTGAGTCTCGGATTGCCCGCATTTTTGATCGGATTTGCTTGATGCCTTTTGCCTACAGCGTCACACATACGTACATGTGTATGCCTGGGCAACCGCTCGCGATGCCACTCTACACAGCTGGCTGCAGGTCCTGATGGGTCTGGGACCGGATTCCTCATGTATCGGTCGAAACGATATAAATAGCTCTTGTTGATTGGGGTCGTCGTTCGATTGATGGCATATGGGGCCGGGAGCGGAGCAGTTGGCACGGTGGTAATTGTGGTCGTCGTGTCAAGAGCGGAGCTACCACAATCCACCGCCCTGGAGTTGCTTCGTCAATAGTCTCGGATCTGCATCCAGGATCAGATGCTGTCTACATGGCCATCGCGGCGTTGGTCGCCTCAGCCATTCCGATGTTGATGGTGTGGTTTCTTGACCAACCTTAATGATAACCACAATCTGGCACATGATCCCGGGGGCAATAAGGAAGAAAGCGGGAGAAAGAAGTGGAAACACAGGATGCATTGGTGAGGAGCAATCGATCTGAGAGCAGAATTATCAACAATCTAGATGATTAAAGCGGAGCGTGAGCGGAGCTTTTTCTAGACTCCGACCCCCCCGCGTGAGGCGTTCAATTTTGTTCACGTGACTGGAGTCATCTCTGATTGGTCCAAAAAAAGACAAATCACATGATCTACCAATCACGTGATGCAGAGCCCTTGGCCATCTCCAATGCGGTGAGCCCGCCGCGTGGCCGGCCAGCCTCCAAAATACAGAAGTGTAGCTTTTACCCCCCGTGGATCCTGTCCACGGCCCCTAGTATAGAATGATGTAACGGGGCATCAGGCATCCACACACGACAGCATATGCTGAATAATCATCCGATCACGTGAATGAATGATGATTGGCCGATATTCAACTCGGCGTTAGTGCTTCGGCCGGAACGATGGCGATCCGGAGCCGAAGCAGCGCCGGGGCGTCTTTTTCTTCCCCAAATCATTCCATCTTGATACCCCAACCCCCCGTCATTAATATCTCGCCTTCAAAGAAGTAGGCACACAGCAGTTGGCGCCAAATCGTACTACTGTATCTTCCTATAAACACCACTTTTCATTCCCACTCATATCAGCGCCTAATCTCCGGGATGTCCTAGTGGGCTAGACTAATGATCAAATGCGTTTATCATGCAATCATGCCTCTTTGTCCGTCATTGATCACGGACCTCAATCAGGCTCTCTTTTTATAGCTCCTGCCAAGTACATCTGACATAAAGCAATATGGCGACAAAAGAGCCGCCTCTTCCAGTCGAGACTCTGCCTCCGTTTCAGCAGAATCGCTCTCCGGCGACCATCTCTGCCCTTCAAAATGTCGCGTCCCAACAAGGCCCACAGCGTAATAGTCAATCACCAGACAGTATAGAGGAAGATGAGGCTTCGAGTAATGAGAAACCCAAACGTCAAAAGCGTTCACGCGCCTGCGTGGCTTGCCGAAACATGAAGATCAGATGTCTCCCTGTTGAAGGTCAAGAAGCCTGCAGCGGTTGTGCCAAAGTCAACAGGCCATGCATCATGCCCGGGCCTCCTCGAAAGCGACAGAAAACAGTCCATAAGGTCGCCGAGTTGGAGAAAAAGATTAACGCCTTGACGGATGCTTTACTGGCCAAAGGGCAGCAGCAAACCGACACACCGCCCACTGATGATTCCCCAGACAATCAACAAGCCAGCACAAATTCAGACACTTCCATTACCAGCATGGATTCACGTCAGCAAAAAGTCATCGAGAAAGTAATTCCCACCCCAGCCACACCAGAGCTCAAGGCACCTTGCCGCCCCTACACGGTCGAACCGATCGCCAGGGACACTTATGTCGACGTCATTGAACGAGGCGACTTGACTATGGAGTCTGCGTCAGCAATGTTTAATTACTGGATGCATGAAATGTCCCAAACTTGTGCTATGGTTGTCTTTCCTCCAGGGACAGAGGCCCAGGATATTCGAACCAGACGACCGATGACCTTTCTGACTATTTTGTCGATAGCAAGTCCCGTGATCCAGCCATCCGCGAACCAAGCGCTGGCGACTGAAACCAATCGTCAGCTGTCGGAAAGAATACTCTTTCACGGGGAAAAATCTTTGGACCTGATCCAAGCCGCTCTATTGAATTCCCAATACTATACCCGACCTGCAAGTGCCAGAGATCTTTCTTTCAATCAATACATACATTCGGCCATCCTCATGAGCCTAGAATTGGGTATTGGAAAGAGATCCAAAGTTGACCGCAGTCTGACGCCGGCTCAAGATCTGGAACGCCGTCGGACGTGGTTGGCATGCTATCAAGCAGGAACAATGTAAGATAGGTTCGTTCTGATTGACCATTCCGCCCGGCTGATTGCAGATGATGCAGGGTGTCGACCGTTCTTCGTCTTCCCTCTTTTGTCAAATTCAATTCTCACCTTGACGAATGTCTCGACACACTCTCCAAAAGTCCATACGCCCTCCCAAGTGATAAATGGCTCTGTGCCACGATCGGCCTTCAACGTATTGCGGAAGAAGTGGCCGTGGCCTTTCACATGGACGACCCTGGCGCCGACTTGAATTTCACCGAGCCCAGGGTTCAATATCAACTCAGATTATTTCAACGACAGTTGCAACAATGGGAGACATCCTTGGACCCCTCTCTGGATCGGCGTAAGACACCGTTCCTCCCTCATCCGATTTCCGAAACAGGCTGACCGTGTTGAAGGGATTGCACAACATCAAGCAAACACATTGAAGATTTATACACATGAGGTTGCCATTCATTTCGAACACAATGTGGATGATTTCCGACCAGGAGAGATGGCCCATGCCAAACTACCCGATTTTGTGACTTCTCGTCACGCCGAAGCGTTATCCATTCTCCTCGAATGCAGTCATCGAGTCCTCGACAACTATATCTCACTTGATCTAAGCTATGCACGAACTCTCCCCAACCTATACGTCGTCTGGAACGCTTACGCTATGGTGGTTTTGATTAAAATTCACTGGATCGTGAACAATCCGGATAGTACACTTGGGGCCGTTTTTGCGCCTGAACTCAAGACGGATTTTTATCTGGATGCCTTATTGAACCGATTGGCTGAAGTATCCGCAGATGGACATAGTCCCTGTGCTGAAGCGTTTGGCCTGGTAGTCAAGAAACTCAAGTTTTGGCATCTCCATCGAGGGAACCAATTCTCGGATGATGAACAAGGTCCCGACGACGAGTCCCGTCGACCCGCTGCTGCGGAAATTTTGCGAAAGGATCCAGTCTCCATTATCGGCGCCGCAAAGAATACGGATGACTCAAAGACTGGGCTAACCATGCGACCTTTCACGCCAGCCATGTTGCCAGGACAGTGGAATGTAACGGATAGACTTGGATCCAATCTGAATGCTGCATACGATGCTGCAAGTTATGGAAATACCAATTGGGATCAATTCAACTTCAGTACAGAGGAATTGGATTTGTTTGATGTGTACATGAATAATAGTGGATGGATGGGATATCTGCTTTAGGGCTGTACAATTGACGGTGAAAAACTCGACTCTGACCCAAATGATTTATACACGACGCGCTGGCTCAAAATGCAGAAACTCCCCAAAACCGCTGGTTTCCCCCGTCGCTGGGAGGGGGAAAAAGAGGAAATCGAGCATCCCCCCCCCCAAAAAAAACGTCAACCCCAGCCTATAACACCCTCACCCAGCACCCTTCCACCCCTACTCTCGACGATCGATACCGTTCTTCCAACGATGCCATCTCCACCGACACCAAGATTCAATCTCAGATTACCGGTTGTGGAACTGTTCATGGTGTTGAGGAAGAAAGAGTACAAGATGGGATTCTCCACGTTGTCTTCATCCTCGGACTCTGAATCGATATTTGAGTTTTCCGACATGGATAGTGGCTGGCCGTATTTGCTAAGAGAGGAAAATGTTAACACTATGGATCGAAATCTGAAACGAGGAACGATGGCGATTGATTGGAGGCTTTTAGGCCACTTACTGGATTCTTACGTTCAACAATCCATTTCTGTTCGGACCACACACTGTATCACCGTCGCATTGAAGACTTGAGCTTGTCGCTCCGGGCATTCGATTTGACAATTTCAGCCGGCCGCGAAATGTTGACTGAGAATTGGGGTGGATAATGGCAATGAGATCGCCAGATTCGGGGGCGGGAGGGAGATGCGAATCACCACACATGATGTTTGATGGTGGTATGAGGCGACCGGCCTGAATGGGAGTGGCCGTCTATGGCCTGTACGATTCTTACACGGTGGTAATGAGTTACGCGGGTGATAATGAAAGTTTGCATCGATGGATGAGGAATCTGGACACAAAGAATCGGGAATGCTGCTTCATATACCCCATGGTGGGAGGTGTTCTGCAAAATACTTGCTCAACTCGAATCACCAATCAATCACATCACACACCCAGAGGGAAACATCCCAGCCTTAAGGTTGCCAATAGCTACATCCTGGACAATATTGACGCCTATTTACCAAAGCGAATCACACAGACAACCGTGCAGAATAGTGTCTCGAAGCGTGGGGAAGTAATAACAATGAGCAAGTTTTGGTAGAGGAGTGAGCACGTTTGGTCTGTGGCGAAGACGCTGCGATTGTTGAGGCTGAGTTGCTGAGTTTGACTGAGCAAGTTTCACCCGCCAGGATGGTCCAAAAGTTTCATTTGTTGCTTGTGCGCTTATATATGCTCAGATTTCCCGGCCATGTCCACTATATAATCCTTCTAGGCACAGCCTGACTAGTCCTGGGACCTACCACTGCGGCCACATAAATACCGAGACAAATAGGTAGCTAATTTTATGAATGAATGTCTGTCCTAATCAATCCATCGCAACAGCCATTGCGCCCAAAATCGTACCAACCACCAACACCACCGTCCGAATGGAATTATGCCACTGCCACCGCCTTACCAACTCCACCGTGCTCATCTTCTTCTCCCGATCAATGCTGCGTTTCTCATTGAATGCATAAGTCAACGCCATAACTCCATTACCTGGCCCAGCCAGTTTTTCCGACCGAATTGACAGAGCACCATTTGTTCGGCGCAAAAATGTCAGCGCATACGGTACGCCCGAGGCGGTGGAGACGGCTGCAGCGATGTACAGGAACCGCACCAGTGATGCAGGCAAAGCTGGTATCAAGTCAGTAAGAGATTGTAAGTATTGAATATCCTCAGCAGAGCTCAGGTGAGAGGATTCCAGACCGCGATGTGCCAGGTACCCAAACGACAAGGCGTTCATTGCGCACAGAGGCCGTGAGATCTTTGCGGTTCGTCAGATTAATTGCAGTCAAAGAATGCCAGACATATTTGATCTTCAGGCAGGAAGGAAAACCTTACATAAAATCCATCCAGATATTGTTCACGCCACTGTTTGGCCAGCAATACTTCAGGCGCAAATAGTATCGTCGGCACTGCGGCATGTGAAAGTGCCCACGTGTATCCTATACGACAGAAATCAGCCCCATGGAAACATACCTGGGAAGGAGAAACCATGCCAGCGAAAACTCCCGCCGATGTCAACCCGAACACCTTGGCTAGGACATGTAGGTCGATATCCATACTATCTTTTGTTTGATTTCGATACATAACAGAGCATACCGAATCAAAATGAGGCTGAAAAGTTCTTCGGGAGCCAACCTCCTTATAAAAGAACACAGAACATTCCATTCCTGCAATAGGCACTAGACGGAAATCTCATTTGTCGCGTCAATACAGTAATCAATCAACAGTCAGCCCACTGGCAGCATCAAGGGGCTCATTGTTGATACGAGCCGACCTTGCATAATACCAATGTGCCAGATGTGCCAGATATTTCCCCTGATACGTAGGTGTTGCGTCTGACGTGCGCAACATGCTTCTGTTTCTACACGAGAGGTCAGCCTCACCTACATGTGCACTAGTTACCCGAGTAGTTATGGGCTAGCCTGACGCCCTCGGATAACGCGCGTGGGCATGGCATGGTACATTAAACACATGCGAGGATGTGGGCTGAACATGGGGCCGATCCAAATCCGAGGCCACCGACACTGGCGATGAACAATGTTTGATTGATCCTTTTTGCTCCTTCGACAAAGAAGGGGACTCTGGACGCGCAATGAGTGCGATGACCTAGAAGATAAAATAAAGCGGGGCCCTCTGATCCCCTGGAAATAAACTTATCGGTTCTCTGAGATCATGAACTTTGGGGGCCGCCATTTAGATATGGAAACTCGGATCTCAATGTCCTGGAAAAGCCACTGATCAAGTTTTCGGCCTCCTGGCTCCCCACTTCAGCTAACCATGACACAATGGGAGGCATCAACCTTGCCTAGTTACATGCCCACACCAGCCAAACGCTTTTCAAACGCTTTTATTCCCGGACACCCATGAAAACTGAGAATGAACATGGTTCTCATCTGTCTTCGGCAATGAAAAGACTAGACGTAAAGTGTAACAGCTTGTCATCTGCAACGTGCGTTCAGCTTTGGTAAGTAACAGTGCCAGTTTAACTGCTTCAGGAGGTTTATCCTTCGGTCAGGAAGACTAGGCGAGGGAAAGACTTAGGGTTCTCTGCCTCAGATCTTGTCGACCTTCTTCGGCCGCCTGGAGCGAAGTCGCTTGAAGGATGCAGGGATTGTCCTCCATCGCCCATGGTCTTTCTACACCCTGGGACTCCCCGGAATCACCCTGAAGTCGATGACTTTTACAAGAAGGTATACGAACGTATAAGCCGAGTGACCTCATGAACTTCAGCTTCAACACTCCAATGGGGACGTTACCGGGTTTCTGAGCCCCGGACCGTCTCATCCCAAGTTTTTGAACCCTTGGAGACTCGCTAGGCATGGCTCTGGAGCTTCCTCGCCGTTCTCTTCCTCACAGTATCAACATCAAATCATCAGTCGATTTCAACCCATACACGTCAACGCCTTCCTGTCTATCTTGGAGTCAACCTTGCCAGTCTACCTGCATGCCTAACGATTCATCTATCCTCCTCCTTGGGTCATACAATCCGTTCTCAGTCAGGCGTACAACTGTCGGAAGAAACAGGCGGCCAGCAACCACATTTCAACCTCCTGGAGTATCTTTTCTCTCTTTCGTTCTTTCCTATACCCCCATTCTCAGATCCCTCAGGTCATAAATTTCACATTTCTCCTTCGCCAATCACCCTTTGGGTTCGACTCTCTGCCCTCGCCCTAGTTTCAGACATTCGATGAATTTGTGCTGGATGGTGCGTTCACAACTGGTGAATCTGACCGTGATGCTCTCACACATCGAATTGGTTCATTATCTTGACGCCTTGGCTTCGGTGTCATTGAATTTGTCACCAAATGCCGTTGGACACTTCTTCCCCGAGTTATGTTGATTCCACTCTCGTCTCAATGGAATCCAATTAGGATGCCGTTTAGTGTCTGTTCGCGCGTGATTACGACTATGATGATGTTTGTTAGGACACGAAATACGATCTTTTACGGAATCAGGTCTGCCGTATCGCACGAAATGGAGAATGAAAAAAGAAAACAACCGAAAGTATCGAGGGAATTGGGACCAGACATGCAGCGTCAGATTATCCTGTTATCCTGTCCCGGTCACGAATTCTCAACCGTACTAGTAAGCAAACAACCACTCGCCCATAGTCCTCATTTCGCGCGCTGATGCAAAATCGTGCGACACAACGTGAACACAACACGAACGCAACGCAACACAAACGCAAATCGTGTACGAGTACCTGTTGTGTGTATGTGTCACCCCTGAGCATAAGATGACATGGAGAACCACAATTGATTGTTATACCAGAGCAATCATTCGGTCAACGATCCCGCCCTACGAAAGTATTCAGGATTGAAATATGAGCTACTCCTTGAATTCGAATCATTCTGTATGCGCGAAATACAGCCTCCTGGGCCGCACTATCGTCGAGTCTGCCTCGATATGATCGTGGCCGGATTTAGGTGAACCCGGTGTCCTTTTCGGATAGAATGAGGATATGTGGTAAGTATTTGCGTTAAGCAGGTGCCGGAGAACTGGTTCACTATGCCTGCGCCATAACAGTGGCGATGAATTCCGGATTCCCAATTCTCAATTCTGAATATTTTGACTCTTTATCGTTGTCTCTGCGCAATGCACAAGCCACAAGCATATTCGTGCCCATGCCTTACTTGTTGACCTCCAGTTCCTTGACCCAGCGTCAGACTCGAACTCAATGCAGAGCATATCAAAGTAAATCCTTAGCGAGTCACCACGAATCCAATCCACCCACTCCACTCCACTCCACTTTATTCTGCGTATGCGTGTTGCATGGTACCTTCCTTGTCTTTCTATCCAGTCACGAGGTGAAACGACATCAAACTCAAGTCTCAATCTGTATTGGTCTTCGGTTTCGTTCCCATTTCTCTTTGGAGTTGACACCGCTTTCACGACTCCTCTACTATAATCCCGCAAAAAGGTGAGGTTGTGCGTTCGGTTGTCGAATTTGAGACCAGACTTGAGTCTATCGACGTTGATATACCTTGGATTGCGGTATTGGATGTGTAAGGTACGTTTTCTTGTGGGGTTGCGTCGGTTATGTTGATCCATAGGAGAGCACAAATGAAGAGAAAAGCTGAAGAGAGAGCGATATAGCTTCTTTAGTCCGACAAATGGCGGCCGGTCCATGTCATGTTGAGAGGCGTGGTGAGGACGAATCCCCGTTTAACACAGCGGGCGTGGTGAAGGCGGATGAGAGTGAGTGTTTGGCTCTGATTCCGCATTGCATATGGAAGTGAGAGACGGAGTGACGATGAGAGATGAAGGGCCGTGACACAATCAGGATCCTCAACTCGAGGCTATAGGAGAGGAAGAAGATAAATTTCACTCTCATACATTGGGAAAAAGGAGGAAGGAAAGGAACGGAGTGGGGTCAGGGACGGGGATGATTCAGGGCTAGCATTCAAGCACTGCCCTGCAATCTACCGGATAGAAAATGCGTAGCAAAAGGAGTATGAGCGAGAGAATAAAGCACGGAGGACAGATATTAACATGGCAGAAGAAAATGACAGTCCTTTCGTCCTTGACTGGATAGGAATCAAAAGAATTGTGCACTAGATGGAGGCTTCTCGAGATTTTCGGAAGCTGGTTTGGGGGTCCATGTCAATGAGAATATCAGTGGCAGAAAAGACTCGCAGCAGCGGATAGAAATCGATTTTCCGAGGTCGAGTTCTGTCAGTTTACATCGATGTCTGCTCAGATCTTGGGTAATTTCTGACCGGATTCTCGAACAGGCTCGGATGGTGAAGCCCGTGACCAGCTCCAGTCGTGGTGATCATCAGCACAACAGTGGTGGAAGTCTTTGAGACCCTTCTTCATCACATTGACTCTGGGCGTGCATTCCATCTCATTCTCGTTACCCTCTGTTGCAGAGGCAGATCTCTTCCCATCGCTTCCAGGGAGCAGCAGGTTCTTTGACTCAACTCTCCTCGAGGCATCTCTTGAGCCCGTGTCCCATACGATCATCAGTCGTGTGGGTGTATGTCATATGCCAAACAGTAGGGCTGATCCAATTCGAGCGGTGTTTTTGGCCGCATAGACTGAAAGTCTGGTCCGGTCCTCATATTGTCGGCATGACTATGAAACATATTCATATTCCTTGTCCGTCATCACGACCCCACAGTTTGACTGTTCTGTCATGACCACTGCTGGCAATCCATTTGGCATCATCGGTAATATCGACACTGAGTACATTCCCTGAATGACCACTCAGTTGTTTGGCCAATGACCAATCATCAGCAGAGTAAAGATTGACATTCTTGTCGAATCCACCGGAAACCAAAAATGTTCCCGCTTTTCGAGGATTGTGCTCTTGTCTGACACCATTTGATTCGACCAAAGATGACACATCCCCGTCAAGACCTTTGTACCATCTGAGATCAGACACGTTGCCATTATGAGCACCAATCCCACCCACAGCTCGAACTTGTCGAATATCCCAACATTTAATCCACCCATCGCCAGAACCGGAGAGGACTCGATATCCATCGATTCCCCAATCAAGGCTGAATATTTCACGGATATGACCATCGAGAATCATGACGGTTCGACCTGTTCTGAGATCCCAGATTCGTCCAATACTGTCGAATCCTCCACTGGCCAGAAGTGACCCATCGGGGTTGAAGCTGACCGTAAACACTTGTCGTGAGTGACCTTCTTGTAAGAGCAGTTCAGTGGTGGTTTCCACATCCCACAATCGCCACGTGGTGTCGAATGACGCCGAGGCCAGATATTTCCCGGACGGATGAAATTCAACCCGACATACGCGATCGGTATGTCCCTGGAGAGTTGAAATGGGTGTTTCTTTGTTCAAGGACCAGAAATGGATTTCACTTGCCCCGCCTTGTCCACCGGCTCCACTTGCAATGTTCAGAGCGTCGGAAGAAACGTTGGAAGCCTGGAGTGTTGATCCAGGATACCAAGCGATTCCACCGACAATTCCAGTGTGGCCTCTCAACGTCACTTTCTCCTCGAGATTTGGCACATCAAGCAATTTGATCCCGCCGCCCCAATTTCCGGCTGCCACGATCTCGCCACTGGGTGAGAAACGGGTTATGCTGACGGGTCTTTCGCCTGCAATTTGTGTGCCGAACAGCTCAAATCCTTGGAGCTTCTCTTTGATTTCTTTGCGATGTTTGATATGCGTTCGAAGGGGAATCGTCGAGTCTTCCCTTTGTCTCATCAGCCTAACCCTGGCTCTGGGTAATGAGTATTTGGCAATGAATTTCCTTGCTTCGAGTAACTCGGGTAGGCCTTCGGTGTAGAATTCTTCTTCTTGATCTCCTTGATCCTCTGTTTCTGGCATTTGGGTATCTGTTGCAGTTCCATCTTGAGCCGCGGCATCCTGCTCATCCAGTAAAAGTTCTCTCAAACGATCTCTCCGATCAGCTGGACCTTCGCCAAATAGAGTGATTGGTTCTCCAAGTTCTCGGAGACGTGCTCTCACTTTTCCGTCGTCTGTAGGAACAGCTAATTGGGCTAGTCTTCGTTTTCGGTCAAATTGAGAGAGGATAGCAGACGCTTTTTCCGGTGCGACACCGCCGGCAGAGGGTATCTCATAGTTTCGATCGATGGCTAATTGATCGTCAGTACGAATTTGTTTCACAGGGATGTAACTCTTACGTATGCTTGCTAAATCCATACCCATCTCGACATCCTGTTTCTCAACCATTGCCGTCAGTCTTCCATTTGGCTTCTTCATGTTTCCTCCACAAAGAAGGTCGGGCCTTGACGCCGATTGTGAATACAGAGACACTTCAAGACAAACAAGCTGAGGGTATCTTACCTGAGCCTCCTCTTCCTCCACGTAGGCCTGTCGCGTAGGATGCATCATGGTGGTCGATGTTGACGGGGGGGGGGATGGCTTGGTCAAGTTATTTTCAGATTCATTTGATTAAATCACCAATAAATTCCTCCGCAAGCGAGAATTAGGGGCCAGAGAATCATTTGAGAGCTGTGCTGCTCAACCTCGTCTACTGAGTCGCGTGGGAATAAAAACTTGGCCATACAAATTCATGCCAAGACTGTCTCCGTCATTCTTGACCTGCGGTCTTTCGATTCCCAACTTGAACCGCAGCCTCATCAATTCACCAGCTTCAACAATTCTCTTCCACTTAATATTGTATATTAGCCTTATTTCACTCTTCTCGACACGTCTTTGCATGTGTCTTAATAGTCTTCCTTCTCCTCCTCTCCTACTCCAACCAATGCCGACGTTCACGATCTCCCTTCCGACGAATCGAGTGTCGTTTCAGGTTTTGTAGATTCGTGATCGTCTGCGGTCTCTCCACGCGCGCTGAATGACGGTTGTGTCATCAATATGGCTAGCACAACTGCGTCAGTCGCGGATATGATATCGCAGCTTGAAGCAGCGCGTAAACTGGCACTTGCAGATCCGCAAGTGTACAATCAAGTTCTTCCCGGAATCTTGCCCATTATCGGTCCGTCCGCGCATGTCCAAGTTCGAAGATGGGGAGCAGATTTTCTGGCAGAAGGATTTGCAAGTCCGTCCCTGTCAAATTCACAAAAGGAACAATTGTCGTCGGAGGTACTACCTGTTCTTCGAGCAATGTTGGAGAAACCAGGGGAAGATCCTGCGGTGGTGAAGAGTGCGGTTCAAGCAGCAGCTAGCCTATACCCATTGGTTTTCAAACGAGTGTATGTGATATCCGTGTTTGAATACGCAAATGAGTCGATTCCAGACGATTCTCGTTCCATAGTATCAGGACCGTCTCTAACATTTTCGTCATAGCATATCACATCCAAACGAGGCCGCATTATGGCAGGATATGAGCAGCATCAAGTTGGACATCCTCCAGCGCATGGATTCAGCCCCAGTTGCAGTCAGAATATGTTGCATCAAGTTTGTCCAGAAAGTCGTGCAGGTAGAAACACCTGGATTAATCTCAGACCCTCGAGTAAGTCGAAATAGTATTTTTTTTTTTTTTTATGCCTCGTTTATGAATGCTAATGTGGTTCAGCGTCCGGACCAAAACGAGACATCGATTGCTCTGGTTCCACGAACCCATCCTTTATTGCAATTGCCGAACCTAGAAGCTGAGGCATCTGGTCTGTTGGACAGGTTACTGAGTGTTTTCCAAGAGAATTCAATGTATGTCTTGTTGGCCATACATTTGGACTCAACTAACAATGATAGGGATCCTATCCTTGTTGATGCCACACTCAGTTGTCTGGCAATCCTCATTCGAAGTCGACCTCCAATCTCGACCAAAATCGTCTCTACAATCCTCAATTTCAATCCAATGAAACAGACCAATTCGCCCATGACCCCTCGACTGATGGTCGTTGTTAAATCAATGGAAAGGACCACAAGAGCGTTGTTGAGATGGGTTCTGCGATCTGTCCCCAATCATCCGATGGAGCAAAAGATTCAGGCATATCTATTGCGACTACAACAATCGAGATCGGCATTGTTCTCGGAAACGACCGCCCAGAAACGGCCTGCAGAAGCTCTGGAAGGCGGTGATGATGCGAAAAGACAAAGACTTGCGGGTGGACAGCGTAAATTTCCACCCATGCCACCACCACCGAATTCATTTGCACACCTTTTCACCCTCACTGAGGATCCTAGCCTTCAACAATTTGATGTGACGCTTCTCCCTGCCGACATTGTCAGCACCGTATGTGCTGTTTTCTTGCAACATGTCGATCCCAGCTCCCTGGATGAGGCCATCGATGTGGTTCGAGCGAGATACCAACATTTGCAAAAGGTCAGCCAACCAACTCCCGTCCCTGAGGTGCCGATGGCTGGTCCGACAGGGATCGATGATGAAGACGACTACGACCCGGAGTTTGTTGCTACGTCAGAACCGGTAGTTGAGCCCACTACGGAGAGAGCCCTTGAAGAATTGGCCCAACCAGCCATTGAGTTGGGGCCTTTTGAATTGCCTAAACCTCCCCCGTTGACCGGTGTAGAAGTTGCCTTGTTATCAGATCAAACCGTTGGCCACGTGTTTCAACTGGTGGCCTCTCTAGATGCGGTGGGACAATCACGCACCAAACAGAAGCTGGGTCTGAATCGTCTCGCTGCTAGTACCAATGACCGGGATTCTTGGGTAACGATCCTCATGCGGCTGGCAACCAGAGCACCCTCCGGATTGGATGATGTGGCCAGCGCCTTGACCGATGGCGATACACATCCCCTGCTCAAGTCAGAAGACGCCGAAGAACCTAACCTGGCGAGTCGTATCAGGCAGGCCCTATTCATGTATATTCTGGATGATTTCCGACCTCGCTTGAATATTGCCATATCCTGGCTTACCGAAGAGTGGTATGCCGACAAAATGACGGCGAAGATCCATCCGGAACTCGGAAAAACTCTCCCTAACTATTCTCGATGGGTAAATCGACTGATCGACCGCCTATTACCTTACCTCGACGCCAGGGACAAGAATCTACTGATCCGATTTCTGTCTGAGATTCCGGCCATAGATCACGAAATACTGGATAAAGTCAAGTCTCTTGCACGAGACCCCGAGCGGCTCAACATGTGTATTCTTGCCATGCAATATCTGTTGATGATGCGTCCACCGGTTCGGGATATGGTGCTTGACACAATCGAGAGTATCTGGCGTGAGGGCGATACCCAAGCCAGGAATGCTACGGCCAAAGTCCTAATGAAGTGGAGGCCAGGGTGCCTAGAACAAACGGCACCAGCTAAAAAGGAAGAGTCGGTCGTGAAGGAGGAAACCAAGATCAATGGATTGAAAAGTCCTCCCACCGTGAACTCGGAGTTGGTTGATCCGAGGAAGAGAAATGCGAGAATGGCCGTCACCGCAGGGGATGGTTGACTGAATTGTACCACACGTAGACGAAAGATCTATATGACAGGCATTCCGACAGTCGACATGGCGACCGGTCTCGCCGCGCGATGTCTCAAATCTTGAAGTCTATGAACATCCTAACGAATCGAATTCTTCAATGACACTTTTGGGACGGCGATATTCCCCCACACTCTTCCATTCCAATGGCAAACCAAAGTATTCTGGACCTCCAATTCTCAATCCTTCTGGTGTCCCTGTCCATAAAGGATGTGCCGGCATACCAATGACTCGGACTTTCAGACCATAGCGAAGTTCTGGGGATCCCAACGCTTCTCCATCTTGACCAAGGATTGATATCAGGTCTGGAACGGTGCAGATGACATCCTCTTTCCCTTTCCCGCTGGCATCATCCACGTATGCCGCGTACAAGTATTCGTTTTGAAAAGGAATTACCAAATGCTGAGTCTCAGGGGCTGAACCATTCCATGTGTCGTCCTCATCCGCACCCAACGGAGCTATTACGCTGCGACCCATAGTGTAGCCTCGAGAAACGTCCCTTGTTACATCAATTATCTTACCCGTATAGAGGGTCTTGACCGGTGTGACACTTGCCTTTTCCATCGTCAGAGAATGAAAAAAAAAAAAAAACAGGGACGCGCATGGCAGCACTTACGATTGCTTCTATAAAGTCAAGTTTGGACTGCCTAGCCAAGAGGACAGCTCTTCCTAGGTACCATGCTTGTGATATGGTATTGGGAACGGAATATTTCTGAATAATGTCACCAGTCAAGGGTCTCGCGGCTACAGCGGTGGCATTGCCGAGTTCTATGCAGGTGTTACGAACCATGCTCTCCACTCGTGTATTGGTCTCGGCAGCCTGGGAAAGAATCAACATGTGTCAACAAATGCCGCAGGAAAGCTAGTGACGTACAACAACAAGAGCCGTGTTGCCTTTACAATCGGCCGTGCCAAATGGTAACAAGGGCATTCCATAAACATATGGAGTACCGTGTTCCAGCGTTGGATAAGCTCGTCCCATCAAATCACAATCGATCACCGGTCGATCGTATCGAGCACTCGTGGGGAAAACAACCAAACCATTCCCACCACCGATTTCGTCGGCAACAATACCTTGAAAGTCAGTGATACCCATTACGGTGTTGATGGCATCAATGGTCGAAAAGACGTCTGTGCCCGAACTTATTCTTTCGTCACTTACGGACGGGGCTCCGTATGAAGCACCAAAGACACATATGTCTGAATCTTTCAGAGCTTCAGGGCGAATGACTCGCATGGTCCCAGTATTGCTTTTGCGAAGAATGCTGAGGGTGTATAATGCCATGAGGTATGAGGAACCTCCACCACCGGTACCTAGAATTCCCGTTCCCAAAGCAATCAGTTCAACGTCAACGGGAGAGATATACCAAACTCCGTTTTCGACTCTGGGACGATAGTTTGCCAGATCCATGCCCAAGGACGGCTTAGCCATGCTCCCCTTTTCCGTGTTCGTCATCTCAGCCTTGGTCGTTTCGTCCCCTGGATTATTATCATTCTCCCAATCCTCATCGGGAATATTCATCTGGCCAGACTCTTGGATCGAGACTTCTGCTGCTCGGAGACCACCAACGGCCTTGACGACAAATCTGGTGGCCTTATTGGTCACATACTGCAGCGGTATTTTCTTGATCTCCACGACCTCGACGTTCCTTTGGTCTGCCCCTCTGGAGATGGCTGCATCAATAGCTGCTTTTTTGACCATCTCGACTGCTCGATTCTCATCGCGACCGGCCAGGATTTCAATCACATCAACTTCCCCGGCAACCTTGGCAATCGCCGCTCCAACGGCGTTTGCAGAATCGTGATGAGGCGGTCGCAAGCATTCTTCCACCCCATTGAGAGAGTCCGTGAGAATGACCGATCCACCGCCGACCAGCAGAACAGAGACAGGGGCAGAGGAGACTTTCATATTGTCAATGGCTCTTTCCAGTTGCTTTTGGATATCCGCCTTGGCAGCTGCGACCAGGGTTTCCGGAAGGCTGTTGACCTTTTCCCAATCTCCAATATCTGCCGCCTTGGAAGCGACGACAATATCAGTTGCTGTCATGATATTCCCCCCAAATATCATGGCATCGGCCGTCAGGCGATGAGCAACGGAGTCGGGCCCAACAGTGACAATTTCCCCATTTTGTCGCACGCGACTCCCTCCACCCAGACCGATAGAGAGTACGTCCGGCATCGAGAAGGCCGTTCGAACACCACCGACTTCGACGAAATTGGGTGCTTGGCGAGGAAATCCCGAGGGGAGGAGAGCACAGATATCAGTGGTGGTGCCGCCAATATCGACGACGACGAATTGTGTATCGGTCATTCGTTTATCTCCATGATCCAAGCCCTGAAGAAATGCAGCTCCCATCAAACTGTTGGTTGGACCACTGGCGAATGTCTTCACCGGCAATTCAGCTGCAACGGCGGCATCGGTGAGAGTTCCGTCATTTTGAGTGAGATACAGGGGACAAGAGAGGTCAAGTCGAGACATGGCCCGTCGAAAGCCCGTGATGGTTTTTCGAGCAAACTCGAGGATGGAGGCATTCAGGATGGTGGCATTCTCTCGTGGCAAGAGACCCGGTCCTCCGATCAAATGAGAGCACACCACCGACAATGCGGGTTGGGCTTCTTGTAAGAGAGCTTTACACCTTTCTTCGTGAATGCCATCATGGTCGAGGGCAGAAAATACCCCGACCACAGCAACACATCGAATACCGGCTCGGGAAATTGCCGTTGCCGTTTCTTTGATTTGGTCGGGATTCAGAGGAGTGATTTCGCGACCGTCGATTTCCAAGCCGCCATCCAGATAGAATGAAGGACCCTCGATGATGTTTCTCAAAGCATATGGGAAATCGGAAAACGGCGGAGCCTGAATTTTATAAGCCCACTGCACCTATCTTGACACAACGAGAGCTTGCCTTCCTGGTGTATGGACCACACAGTCTCAATACCGCCACCCGATGGAGTCTTCGGGCATCGTTTTCAACCACGGCGTTTACGAAATGCGTGGTGCCAATGGACACGTTGAGAACTTTGCTCCTTTCGACCCTGGACTCGACAAGCACATCTTCTATGGCAGTCTTGATACCCTGTGTTACATCTCGGGTTGTCGAGGTCTTGCAGGTGGCCAGCACCCCACGAGATTGGGATTCGACAGCAGTGAGATCTAGAATAGCCGCATCGGTATTGGTTCCGCCGACGTCTACACCGATTCGGTACATTGTTCCAGAAAAAGAGGCGTCCAACCGATTCGATGTCCTATAGACGAAGACTAGAAATCAGATCAGAGATCCAACGGAAAACAATAATAAAATTCAGAGATCTCAGATTGTCCCATTTCCCAGGGATCGTCCGAGCTTCGACCTTCGGACATTTTCGTGATTCAGACGACGGCCACGCCCATCTGCGTGTGAACGGCAGTACCATACCAGTAATATGCTAGTCATATACTTAGCACTTTACCGCCATGAGATGACGGGCTAAAACAGAGCCAGTCTGACAAGCCATTCTCCCCTCCAAAGATAAGAAGGATCTTGCTCGACTGATGGTCAGACAAGGCTTAATTCCTTGAAATCGATATCTCGCCACCCCCGTCTCCACCACTTTTGATTTGCTCTTTTATCTTCGTACTCAGGATGAATAAGCGCTGCCATTGCACCACTGAGACGATCTTTCCGAGATGGGCTGTCACAGGAACAAGTGCCTTGGCCTTTTAGGGTAAATGAACATATATATCAATCCAACAGATACAGGTCGTGCTGATCTGCTCCACTTCCTGCCGAACTCCATCAAATTTGTCCCTCTTGCTGAACATCAACCATCATGGCGGGGATCACGACCCTCTTCAAGAGACTCGAGGTGCCGTATGAAGGTGGCACCATCCCCAACCGATGGATCAACAACGATATCAAACCCATTGAAGCGGGCCGGCGGACATGGACCTTTTGGACCTTCCACAACCTATGTATGCCCTCCCTTCTCTTCTCGTCGAACCTGGATTCCACACTGACAGTTCCCCAGGGGTCCTAACCAACACCAATATCTCAACCTACATGACCGGCAGTTCGCTCATCGCCCTGGGGCTGACATGGTGGCAGGCCATCATCGCCATCGGCGTTGGCGCATTCTTATCGACCGTCTTCATCATCTTAAACTCCATGACCGGATCCTACTATCATCTCGGCTTTCCCATTGCGAATCGCTATTCCTGGGGACTCTATGGCGCTTCCTTCGTCATCTACAACCGGATCCTCCTGTCTCTGGTCTGGTATGCTGTCCAAGCGTGGATCGGCGGTCGCTGCGTCTATGTCTGTCTGGAAGCCATCTGGCCGAATCTCGAGGAGCGAATCCCCAATCACATCCACGCGACCGGCTTGACATCTGCCAGTTTCCTGACATACATGATCTTCTGCATCATTTCGTTGCCTTTGATCTGGATCCGTCCCCACAAACTGAAGAAGTTCTTGTACCTGGCCGTCGCGTCGATCTTCGTCTTTGAGATTTCCCTCCTGATTTGGGCCCTGGCTACCATGGATGGCTTCGGCGATACGATTTCCAGCCAACCCACGACCCAGGACCACTCGATCGGCTGGACGATTCTGTTCGGCATCATCAGCACGGTCGGAGGCATTTCGGCCGGAATCCTCAATCAGAATGACTACGCCCGTTTCGCGCGTCGGCCTCGAGACGCCATCCTGGGCCAACTTGCGGCATCTGGCACATACTATCTCCTCAGCTCTGTGGTCGGCATTCTCGTCACAGCCGCGACACAACGACGTTACGGTGCTCCTCTATGGAGTCTGCCGGATCTACTCATTGCCATGATGCACGCCGGCGGTTCTCGATCGCGAGCCGCTGGATTCTTCGCCGGCGCTGCCCTCGTCATTTCTCAATGGGGCATCAATATTCCTGGCAACGCGCTGTCCGGCGGGTTTGATTTCGCCGCCACCTTTCCCAAGTACATCAACATTCGACGAGGGGCGTACTTGACGGCATTGTTGTCGATGGTTGTCAATCCGTGGCAATTACTCGCAACCGCATCGACGTTTTTGACCGTGTTGTCGGGGTATGTCGTCTTTTTGGGCCCCATGATCGGTGTCATGGTCAGTTCGTACTTCATCGTCAATCGCCAGAAAATCAAGGTCGATGATCTGTACCGAGGGGACAAAAGCAGCATTTATTGGTATACGTGGGGAATTAATTGGCGGGCTCCTGTGGCGGTAAGTTACCAATCTCCCCCTTCTAAAAACCCCTGTGTCCTCACCCCGCCTTGCCTCAACCTCTTCTCATCTTGATATCTCTGCTGACTCCGGTCTGTTTGCAGTGGGCATGCGGTGTCGCACCCTCAATGCCAGGCTTCATCTCCAACGTCAACCACGGCATCAAAGTCTCCATCGGCTGGACGCGCGTGTACTACATTTCGTTCCTCGTCGGATTCTCCGTCACTACCGTCGTCTTCGTTGGGCTTCATCATTTCCTCCCCGCCCCGAGCGTCAAGGATTTCGTCAAGACCCCTGCCTCTGCAAAACAGGTCATGGCCGAGTCTCAGGCCAAGTGGGATGGTGAAGTCGCCGTGGATTCGCACCATGTTCTGCCCAAGGATTTTGTCGATACGGAGCGGTTTCCTAAGGATATCTAGGCTAGAGTAGACTAGATTTGACCCATGGAAGGGACTGGGAGTCCAACCTTGACGATACGTATGATGATAATGGATAATGAAATCTTCTTTTTTTTTTTTCCTGTTCAATTTCCGTGGCGACACACACTTCGGTGGTGGCGGCGTGGATGTGATCCCGATATCAACCTTGAACTCAAATTCTATTTTTCGATGGCATTTCACTTGACATCGCACAACGATAATTTACGATTTGTGATTCATGATTCGAGAAATGGCCGCATCGAAGGGGGGCCTGGCCAGCCCATCACTCCAATGGCGGCTCTCTTGACATTTGAACTTGTCAGGCGACTTTTCCCAATTTCAATTCCAGCAAGAGAACTGCTGTTCGAAGTCTGACACGATGTGATGTCAATTTTGAATTCTCTCCTTCGAGCCATGCGCGGGCATTTATCTGATATTCGGTTCCTAGTACTGACTGCTCTTCCAACTACTAGTAACCTCCCCACGTCGGTGTTACTGTAGAAACGCTTTGAGCATGGAGGACAGTCGTGCGTCAAGGCCGCGATCATATCTCAGCTTTGGACTTTCAAGCGCTTGTCAACCGAATTACATCTGATCATTTGGGCCACGGGGTCCTGGGTGCTTGAAAATGCAGTCATGTCATCCAATGCCTTCATTTTACAACTCCCGCTAATCTATAAAAGTCCGTCCTATCGGCCTTAAGGCTTGATGGCGAAAGGTCTGGCTCCGACTAGTGACCACCTTGTTCTCCATCTGGGAATTTGGGGCCCAAAGTAACTCAGAACAACCAAGAAATATACCGTCGGTAGAATCTTCCCAGCCTTGTCTGATGGGCCCGAGCCCGAGCCCGTTTCTCGGCCTCCATCGCGGCAAACTCCATCTCGTGAAGCTCGACCTCGGACAACCCAGATTGCAAATCCGCTTCGGCCGGTTTGACGCCCTTTGTTCCATACACGAGCTTGTATCCCAAAAAAATAGCGAGAAACACCGGGATGGCGATGTACCCCGTGATGAAGTTCTTGTAGTCGAAATCGCTGGTCGCGGTGTGGATGAAGACCGCAAAGTTCTTGGTAAACGTGATAAGAACACAGAAGGCCAGTGCGACCCACGAACCCCAAATACCCAATGGCGCACGATATCGAAGGTTCTGTTCCGGGATCTTCTGTGCTTTACGTGCGTGCACAAAGTTGATGTGGCTGAGGAAAATGCAGATCCAGACAATCAACCCGAACACGGTAATGCAGTTAATGAAGTAGCCGAAAACTTTTTTGGAATCATTCGACACGTTCATGAAGGCCAGAAGTGACAAAACGGCCGAGGAAGCTAAAGCAGCCACGGGGACGTCTCGGTTGTTGGTCTTTGCGACAAATGCTGGAGCCTTCCCGTCCCGACCCAAAGCGTATAGAGTACGACTGGAGATGTACAGATCCGAGATTCCGGCCGAGAAGACAAATACCAAGATACAGCCGTTCAAGATCCCCGGCAGCACCTCGATTCCGGCTAGGATAATCGCCACGACGAAGGGTGACGCCGCAGCCGAGGTGGCCTGTTTCGTCGCAAAGGCGAGCTTGGGCGAGTCGTAAGGTACAATCATGCCCAGGAAGAAGACGCTCAGGATATAAAAGAAGAAGATCCGATAAAAGATGAGGCGTGCCGCTCGAGGGATCGTCCGACGTGGATTTTGTGCCTCGCCGACGGTGACTCCGATAAATTCGGTCGACAAGTACGCAAATGTCGCAATCCCCATACTGTTCCACACGCCGAGAAAACGCCCAAGCGCTCCTGTAACGCGGAATTCGTTAAAGGCCCCGGGATCATGCCAATAGCGAAATCCTTTGGGATCGTGGTCAGGCCCGCCTCCGCAGGCAAGTACCAAGGACAGAATAATAACGCCGCACAGAATGAGAACTTTCAAGGACGAAAGCCAAAACTCGAATTCTCCAAAGAACCCGATGCCGAAGTAGTTGATGAGGATAATAATCACGAAGAAGATAGCAATAAACACTCCAGGATTGACTTTGTCCCGAGGTACCCAATATTGAAGAACTAATGCAATAGCGGTCAATTGGTTGGGTGTTGATATGGCGTACTTAATCCAATAGCTAAACAATCCAGTAAGCCTTGATATGTGGGAACACACAGTCGCAGTGTTGACTTACGACCACCCCAGAGAAAACCCCAAAGCGGGATCGACGAAGCGAGTGGCGTAGCCAGTAAACCCCTCTGCGATCGGCAGATATGTTCCCATCTCGCAGAGGCCGGTCAACATGAGCCAGACCACGAAGCCAACCACCGAATAGGCAATTAGAACGGCAGCTGGTCCTGAACCGGCCAGAGCTGAGCCAGTCCCGATGATCAAGCCAGATCCCAAAGCGCCACCCAATGCTGAAGAAACTGGTTAGAGACAGACCAGACTCACCGTCCCAGAGGGATAGTCTTACCGATCATAGTGGTGTGTCGAGATCTGAGTCCACGATGGAGGGCCGTGGTTTTGTCAACGCATATTTCGCCTTTGTCCACGACCCCGTGGCATTTGTCGGATGCGAGGGCTTCTTTGGAGGGCATAACTTCAAAGTCATCTTGCCGTCGCTGGTCCATGGTAGCTGTCGTCATCCTCGCCGTGTATTCTACGGTGTCGATGTTGAATTCTCGCCTGTGCCGACGGAGGCTCCATCCCTTTATATCAGCGATGCAAGTTCCAGGGTCCCGGTCGCATAATATCCAGATAACATAGGACAGAGGTATGTCCCAACATGCGTTTTCCAAACCCGGCCAGGACCGGTAACCGTCGGTTACCGATTTCTTATCAGCCTTGCAGACCTAGAACCAGTAATTCTCGATGGCTTTATCACAATCATTTGCCGTTACGATCCACATATTCCCCACCAGGTGGAGCGATATAGGATATAAACAAGCAGATTTGTGTTCTGTGTGTCGAGGTTTGGTGGGCCATCGGCTGGGAATTAGAATCCGAGTCATTGAACTTTTCCCTATGCCTTCTCATGGTAGTATATTTGCTGGACAAGACTACCAGCAGGTCGTTGCATAAGATACTGGTGCACATCTCATAGCGGTTTGTGCTGTCATGTGGCAATGGGATGCCAACTTGGTGAACCTGAATATGTTTCAGCGCAAGGGGTGCAATTGTACAATCCATCGTGGTGGTAGGCACACCCATCCATACGCGGCTGCTGATGGAAACTGACGTTCGCAAGTTACGAACCCACGGGGACTTGGTCAATGGTGAGCAAGCGAGGGAATACCCTCTACATATCTGGTTTGTCCATCTGGAAATGGGAGTCGCCGTTCCGGACTGATCGAATATAGGATTACGTGGGATCTGTCCCCAAACCTCGGAATTGATTCCAATCGAAGCCACAGACAAGCATGAAGATGCTCCAAGGGAGTCACCGGCGTACCCTCGTGTACTGAAAGGCGAGTCATTGAATGTCCCGGGTGCTTTCCTCGGCTGACAGATCACCAGCCTTTCAAAACATGCAGATGATAGTCGAAGCCGCCGGAGCATCAGTGGGCGACTGTCTTCGTCTTGTAGTGTCTGTCGCCAAGAGACCATGCTCCACCATGCATTTTTCAACTGACCATATCAACTATTAAGGTACACCACCGACATGGTCAAATATCGGCCTTTGGTGAATGAGGCGCAGAAAGAGATATGGGGCGATGTACCTTTTCCGCCTCGTTCAATCGTAGAAGTCTCGAGGCTAAATCAAGTAATTTACCATCCTCCCGACACAAGAATGTGCAGTTAATGAGACGACGCTAGGATGACATTGTCGAGGTAGAGAGTACGTTTGCCGTTCCCGCTTAGAGGGGGACCCGACTGGACGGTTCCAAGTCCATATTCGGAATATCGACTCGCCCGGATTTGAGTGTATGCTAGTAGTAAAGTCCCAAGTCCCGAAAAGTTATTGAATTCAGCAAGTCATAAAGGATGGCGGGGATCTGGAAGAGGAGGTGGTACCGCCGGACTCCACCGGTCTCCGACGTAGACCGGCGGAGGCAACCACCATGGTCATGATGGCCGTGTTGGATTTCTTAATCCGAAGTGAGGGACATTCAAACCTTCGGGCTTCGTAAATGGCCTCAAAGACAATCCCCCAATGTCTCTACACGGCCAGGTTTTCGCAAACGACCCTGAGAAGGGAGCTTCGGGGATCTCGGCACGGTCTCGACTGAGTCGTATAACAGGATATCTGAAGCAAGACATTCGTTTGCAGCATGCTGACCTTGTTCTCCTGGTGTGCGGCTTCATATCTGGCCTATGCGACAGCGGTACATTTAATGCCTGGAGCTGTTTTGTGAGCATGCAGACTGGTACGTTGTCGTGCCCCCAAAGGGACTCATCGAACCCCGAGCTAATAAACGGGTTTGGAGGGAACACAATTTTTCTCGGGCTCGGTGCATCGGGACTGCCACTCACCAAGTCTTATGGCTGGCTTCGATCACTAATTGCCATTATCTCGTTCCTAGTGGGCTGCTTTTCATTTTCCTTGATGCGACACGTCATACCTCGGAGTCGAGGCATGCTTTCCGTATCTTTCGTATCACAAGGGCTTTGTCTGACAATAGCCGCGGTTCTGGTGCAAGTAAAGGTGGTACCAGATACGGCAGATGGGTCGGATTCCATGAAGGTGTTAATTCCGCTCGTTTTTCTGGGATTCCAGGCTGGAGGTCAGGTCTGGACAAGCGAGGTTCTGGGCTTCAAGGAAATTCCGACCACCGTGCTGACCAGTGTCTTCTTTGGACTGGCATCAGATGTCAAGTTCATTTCAGGGCTGAGAGAGAACCCAGCACGGAATCGACGGTTGGGAGCGGTGTGTGCACTTCTGCTGGGAGCCATTTCAGGCGGATGGCTCTGCCAAAGTCGAGCAGGAATACCTGTGGTCTTTTTCGTAGCGGCCGGTTTGAAATACTTTATAGCTACGGCGTGGCTGGTCTGGTCGGCCCACTCTGCGTGAGAGAGAGAGAGAGACGTGATTTGGTCCGATATCCGAAACCTGGTCCCCGGTTGTTCTCAATCTTGGAGTGAGGTATCGGGATATTCGCCCCCAACATCCATCATCCAATTTCCAAAAAAGTCCTCTACAGTCGGAAATGATGAAAGATCCATGTCATGATCAAACTCATCCATGTTGAAGTCTCGGCCGAGCTCAATGGGATCGACAGAAAGATTTGCACTTGTTGCGTGTGTGCGCCGATCATTTGAGATTTCCATTGGAGTAGAAGCGGTGGACTGGCGGCATGGTTGATTCTGCTCCTGTCGCTTGGAAGCCAGGTCTCGTCCCAGACTCAGCCTCATTTTCTCCATGGCAACGTTCATGACCGCGGGAATTTCATCAGAGAATCGACAATAGTGGTCGAAGACGTCACTGAGAGTCTGGAAAACGTCCCTGCGCGGAATTTCGGTCTTGTCGGCGTATTCAGACAACACAAGAGTGCAATAGGCGGTGCAAATGTGGTGGAATTTGGGGAGTTCCTGGACAAGAGTGGTCGGTATTTCCAGAAAAACCCTCGCCAGAGAAAGAGCATGCTTATGCGCATGTGCTTGGAAACAATCGGAAAGAAGATGGAGATCGATCTGGTCGTGGTCTGGGGCACCACCGGCAAGGGGGGGCGTGTCGTATGACGAACTTGGATTCGCCGGGACTGTAGGCTGATTCGCTGTGTTCGATCGATATGTCTCGACCGAACGCATCGCTAGCACAAGGTACGCAAATTCACGACAGAACCTCAGGGAAATAGCTTTTGGGGATGCTGTGGTGTGGGGGTTATGAGCATGCCGCATGTCCCTTTCAATGAACCATGGACTTACAAAGGAGATGTTTCCATCGTTCTTCCCATGCAGTCAATACATGGCAATGACCATCACGGTCCAGTGACGGTGGCATTTGCTTATTGCACAATGATGAGAGCAGAAGAATTTCGGCCAATATTATTCCGTCGTCGGGTGTAGCTTCAGGGTGGTTGAGAATGGCGGGGCATTGGTCGATGAGTTCTGAAGGCACCGTAGCAGGCTTGCCTGTCCCTACGGCAAATCTTAAACGGTGTCAATTTACCGTCATTTCTGGAAGTCCGCGGCTGGAAGAAAAAACGTACCTTAGATTAACCAGGCAAATGTTGTTCCACAGGGATAGACATCTCCTGTCTTTGCTTTCATGCTTTCCCAAAGTCAGATTGGCCATGATCTGGGCAAAGTCGATGGTGGATATAGCTTGTTGGAAGCAGATGCCACTTAGAAGCCAACTTTCAATATATTCAAACACAGGCTAAGCCATTGTCAGTCAAGAAACCAGTAGTCGTCGAACCATGGCGGTGGTGAAACGAACTCGGGGTGCGGCTTCAAAGACACTCATGATCAGCAGCGCATATAACTCCTCCAGCGGGATTGGGCTTGCCAGAACCACCTGACCGAGCATCTCTCGGACTTCTTCGTACAACTGGCGATGGTCATTGGTATTGAGCAAGTCTGGGTCTTTGCAGAGGCGTAGTCCATGGAGGCAGCACACCGCATAGAGCAGGGGAGAGGCTTGTCTGATGGTCGGGGCAGAGGTGAGGTCTGCAACCGATTGGATCTGTATGACGTGCCCCAGGCGGTTGATAAACCTGGAAGGGTCAGTCATTGCCGGGCGTAAATGATGGGGATGAGTAACTCAGAAACCAATTTCTCGGCAACATCTTCACTGAGAATCTGCTGGCTGATAATGTCTCTCCCAGGATCCTTGTAAAGCCTTCGTGTGCTGGAACGGAATTTTCTGACAACCATGATTGGTGCTGATTGGTCGATATCGTTTTGTGTCCTCGGAAGAGGTGGAAAATCAAAGGTCTCAAGCTGTTTTCCGAACCTGCATGGCTCCCTCTCTGAAATGGGGTTCATGCTCAGACCAGCGCGACTACCGAGAGCGTCCGGCGAACGATTCATATTCTGTTGAAGGAACTCCCAGATTCTATCCACCGATTGCTTCATATCTACCAGAAATGACTCGACATGGGCGATTCTGCAGGCCTAGTTAGCAAATGTAATAGTCTCTGGGAACCCATCAATGAATACCTCTCTCCATCGGGAGAGCTTGAATTGTCCACCGCGACACTGTTCGTAGGCCCATTGGCCACGGCCCTCGAATGTAGAGAGCAATTAATTCTGTCGACCATCAGTATCACCGACACAACGGATCATCAGAGGAATCATGGCTCACCTAAGCTTGTGGCATCGCTGGCATGAGTTAATGCGAGAGTTGTACTCGCAGCGACTTTTGAGCCGCCGGCAGGTGTTGCAGGAAAGGATGCGACGCCGAGCTTTTGCGCAAGGCGTGCTCTGTACCTCATTCATCTTGTAACGAGGCTGTCGGTCCACCAATTATTCTCCGAAATAGCAACAATGGGGCAGTTCAATGTTGAAGGCAATATGATAAAATGGTAGTGGCTGGCTGTGGATTTACCTTCCCAGGTACCTCCTGTAGGTCCTCTTGGCAGTGCTCTTACGCAGCGGAATCCGGCCCGGACTGACGCCCTGTCTTTGACCATGCCATTAATTTCGGCTTCTTCTTACCAATCCATAACAGCCTTTTCAATGTTGTAGGTCTTCCGATTATTACAACATATCACACCACTCTTTGGAAGGGAGACTTTTTGAAGAGTTTCCTCCAATTTCCTGCAAACGGGTGATACCTGGGGAACCAAATCTGCAGCATCGTCAACCATCCACAGAGTTCATCTAACCAGTTACAAAATGACAATAGTTCCCTCTGGCACGACATCTGCCGCAGGGAAGGCAGAAGCCCAAAGCCCCGGCGAAACCTCCCTTCCCCATCTCCTTTCTACCCTGACACCGAGCCTCCATCCTTCGACGTTTGTCTTTCTCTCCGTGCCACAATCACAATTCATCTCACCCCTTCCCATCCCGTTGTCCGAGTTGACATTATTCTTCCACGAGGCCGAAGGTATCACGCTCATTTTACCGCTATCATCGCTGCAAAAATATGCCCCAGACCTGAAATACAGTTATCCATCGCGTATGATCACGTGCAATGTGCACTCATCTCTGGAGGCGGTCGGTTTCATGGCGGTTCTGAGCGGGAAGTTGGCGGAAAGTGGGATCAGCGCGAATGTAGTTAGTGCGTTTTATCATGATCATATCTTTGTGCCAGAAGGGAAGGAGGAGGAGGCGGTCAAAGTGCTTGAGGAGGTGAGGAAGGACACGGAAGCTGAACTCAAGAGAAAGGGGGAAGGAAAAAAGCGAGTTGATGAGATATGATCACTTCAGACAAGGGACGTTTTGGGCACGATGTTGGAAAATTTCATGGATCCCGATGTGCGGTCCATGATCGACTCGTGCAGCATCAGGATATCAGCCGGACAATGCAGCCAAAGTGGTATCATCTACCGACAGAACGACATTAATACTGTCAACGCTAGCATGGACGTGAGCATTGACAACAAAAAAGATCATCAGCTTGATAAAGCAATGGTGGTAGGATCGTACACTGACATAAGAACGACAGCAGATCACCATCAACATCAACATCGAGCTCAAGCTCGAATGCGAGCCCAAGTAGAAATCGATTCGTCAACCATTTTCGAAACAGCGATTTGCAAATGCGGAACCAACGTCCTCCCATCGTTGGCTTGGTAACGATAATTCTTCCTCACGAGGTGTCGAAGCTCAGAGCCCCAGTCCCCGTCGACATTCGCGTCAAGTAGATCAGCAGTGAGCTCTGCCTCACCACCCGTGCTGGCGACGTACCTGTCAACAGAAGTTAACGTTGCGAAGCACTTCTTGACCGTGTCGAAATGTTTGAATGCGTCTGCCGTCAGGGCTAGATTCACGGTGACGGCATCAGATGATATGGTTTCGAGAGGGAGGCGGGAGGATTTGGTGCGGTGAAGTTTGCTGTGGCCGAGACCATGGCCACTTCTCCGTTGTTGGCGCATGAAGTAAGCTCTTGGGTCATCCTGGGCGAGGTGAGGTGTAGGGTTCGCATCGAGATCGTCTGTGACAAGGAGGCGTTCTTGACTCGAGCTCGGACGAGAGTGAGAATGAGAGTGGGATTGGGACAAATCTCTCATAGCCGCCAGGTACCGATTTTGATGTGGATTCGATCTGGTCTGTGTCTGTCGAAGCTCAAATTCGGTTTCTGGATCTTTCCAGCTCCTGAATCTGGCTTCGGAATCTTCTCGACCTGGTTTGTCCGCCTGTCCATCACCTTCGGCGGATTCGTCATTGTCGGGCTGACTTGATCTCCTTCCAATGACTCCCCGAAGAGATTTGCGCGGTGAAAGCTTTGTTGCGAGCCTTCGTTGATAGGCCATTGCGATTTTCTTTCTGTGCTCGAAGTCCATTATGTCGTCTAGCTCGGTGCTGGTATTCGATGTTGCGGAAGAGCTGGGGAATGCCGGGCTGGCAATACCAGTATCCAGCCGAGGAATCCCTAGCGACAGAGTCCTCTGATTCCTGGTAGAGGGGGCATCATCTTCGTTGACTTGCTCAGAATCAAAGGCACCACCTCGCTCCAGGACCAGTTCGTCTGGAATGAGAAGCGATCCCGGCGAGGTTGAGTTTGAGGTCGTGGATGGATGGCTGTGGTGGTGAGAATCGCGTTTCAATGGGAACTTGAATGGTTTTTGGCCCGGTCCCCATTTCAAGCCCATAACGGAGCCTGGTGGTGACCACCTCGTGCCATTCGCAGGTTGTGGAGGTCTAGTTGAATGTTCATGTCTCGCTTCCGGAGAACCGCCGACATCATTGACCGAGATTCTTACTCCCTGAACAGGACGTGGACGAACAGAAGAGTTCGGAGTCAACCACGCTTGCAAGCTTGTCCTTTTTGATGGTGCGCTTTGCTCACCGTCATCAGAAGTTAGGGACTCTTGTTCCTCATCTTCAGCTTGCCTAGTAATATTTGCGCGTCTTTTCATTAGAGGACCGGGATTTTGATATGGAATTGGACTCTCTAGCGCCAAGCTTGAGGAAGGAAGGTGTGTTTCCGGACCCAGAGAAGTTCTGTGGGAATTTGAGCCTGCTAAACGACGCTCTACCGACAACCAGTTGGAGTCCGTCCTGGTCTCGTTCTGCTGTAATGTGTTCTGTCCACACACTCTCATCTCCTTTGGTGTGACGATTGTCGTCATAGCTGCAATGGTAAAGGGATTGGACATATTCTTTGCCGGGACGGAGATGTCTCCCGGTTCAGCGGAATCGCGAGCCTCTTCTCGGATAGAACTTTCTGGCTCTCCCAAATCCTCCAAGTCGGCGACGTACATGGTTCTGTGTAATTTTGAAGTAGCTTCAGATGTCTCCGAGCTTCTTGTTCTGTTCACATCATCGATTTGAGCATTGTGAATGTCACCATAGGCCCGCCGAAAGAGATTCTCTACTAATGACAACAGTACATGGGGTCGAAAGAAAAGGGCCTCATCCTTGGCCGGCTCAACATTGATATCATAACTTTGGGGTGGACATTGTATTTGCATGAACAGAAAGGGTCGCGAAAGTGAGGAGCTGACTGCAGATGAAAGAGTGTGCTCTAGGCAACGCTTGTATATCTTAACAATTTCTTTCATCGTGCCTCGATCTCCGCTGACCGGTCGACCATCGACCGATATGTGTTGAGCAGCATTGCGAACCTTTGCCAGGTCTGTCAACGTCAGCGTGCTAGGAGAGGTGTGTCACGGTGGGAAAAAACATACCTGCCCCTGGTGAGACCAAAAGTGCCTTGATTTTCCAGTCCTCCTCTCCCACGTCACAACCGGTCGAAGACGTGTCATATGCTGTACATTCTGCAGTGATTTCCTTTCCCACAATCTTTGAGGCAATATCTGTCAGTGAATCATTTGAGGCGGCAGCATATGTCCAGTTCATTTTATCATTCTTCCCCTTTAGAACGTTCAACGAGAAGCGGACTTCAGTCCTCGCGAAGGCAAACGAGAACAGAAGGGCTTTGATCGATTGCAAGGTTTTGGCAATATTTTTGAGAGCAATTTGCTTTCTTACGGGTATCTTGGCGAGGAAGTCTTGTACGCGAATGGTTGTACCCACTGGATGAGAAGCTGATGAAGAACTGAAATGGTCATGATACGATAAAGTCTGATCAGGATCTTCGACACACCTACCTGAGCATTCCGGAAGCAGTGTACTTGACAGATGTTCCTACAACTTCACCATCTACCCGAGTCGTGACGGTTACAGTTCGACTGAGTTCAGCTACACTGGCCAGAGCTTCACCTCGAAATCCAAGAGAGGAACCGCCGAGTCGGTTGAGGTCGTCAAGAGTTCTGATCTTCGAAGTGCAACCTCGTTTGCAGAGGAGCTGTCTGTCCTCGATACCGACACCGGTGCCATTGTCCTTTACCTGAATGACATCCAGAGTGTTGGCAGAAATTTCGACACCGATACTGGTGGCACGGGCATCGAGGGCGTTATCGACAAGCTCTTTGACAACTGATTTTGCATCGTTGAGTACAAGTGAGGAGCCGAGAGCGCGGGTGGTGGTCTCCGGTAGAGCCTGAATTGACATACCGTATCCATTGGGACACAAGATGAGCAGTCCAGGGAACGAGAAGAGGAAGAGATTGCAAGGGAAACCCACTTTACGCGTGAGGACGCGTTGCGCGTGTGGCGGCGTCTGTCTTGGCATCAGCCTCATCAGCCTCACAAATTGCCATGGAAAAAAACTATCCCTCCTTTCGATGTATTGGGCGCCAGTGCGGCAGGAAGACGTCAAACATGACAGCATTTGGCTTGTGAACATCTCCATCCTCTGGCGGCACTGATGGGCAACTAGTCTGCTCCCTAGAATGGCGGCCACGGTATGGGCTAAATTTGCGGCGCTCACAGTGGTGGTCTTGATCGCCTTTCTTTCATATTCATCTCAATATCTCTTCTACCGCATTGAACCTGGCCCTTTGACCCAGAAAGAGAAGATCGTCTTCAATGCACTGGTTGCATGTATATGGATTTGCTACGCACGTGCTTGTATCACTGATCCCGGACGAGTTCCGCTGGATTGGGCCGATGCCACCGAAACGAGACAGAGGTATTGTCGCAAATGCGAGGCCATCAAACCTCCGCGATCACATCATTGCAAAGTTTGCCAAAGGTAAGCCCCTTTTCCAGGTGCAGGTGCAAGCTTCCGCTGACTAAAAAGATGTATCCCGAAGATGGACCATCACTGTCCTTGGACCGTCAACTGTGTATCTCATTTCACTTTCCCTCACTTCGTGCGGTTCCTGTGGTACGCAGTTTCTGCAATGTGCTATCTGGAGTACTTTTTGTACGTACGAGCGGAAGTCGTTTGGCAGAACCGAATGCTCCCCAGTGTATGTTTACCCCGGGCGGCGTCAGCAGCGTATTGACTTCCATGTATTAGTACCTAGGCCCTTCCATAACACAACTCCTTCACTTATTCATTTTGATCCTTGTCAACTCACTAACTCTGTTTTTGGTCTCAATCACCTTCCTCCGTACTGTCTGGGGCCTCGGGGCCAATGTCACCACCATCGAGAGCTGGGAAATTGAACGTCACCATCAATTACTTCGACGGGCTCGAGTCCTTGGAGGATATTTAGATGGTCCGGATGGCGTCAGAATCAAGATGGTCCGACAAGAATTCCCATACGACATAGGGATCTGGAACAACATTGTCCAGGGTATGGGTTCCGCGAACCCCATCGCCTGGTTTTGGCCCTTCTCGGCGACTCCAAAGACCAGTGGGTCAACCTTTGAGACGAACGGATTTGAAGATCCAGGTACAACTTGGCCACCGCCAGATCCTGATCGAATGCCACGAATGGACCGCCCTCTGGATCCTCATGATGCTTTTGTCCACCATCACCCTGGCCCCTCTCCAAGCGATGAAATGATAGCATTCAAGCAGCGGCAACAGGTTGACGTTCAACAACGTCCTGACCACTACGGCGTCCAGCGAAGAAAACCATTTCACAAACGCTTTGAAGCCGATAATGCTGAGGATGATGAAGATGCACAGAGCGGCGAGGAAGGCTGGCAGGACTCGGGCGGAAATCGACTGAAAGACTACGGCATAGATGAAGATGCCGAGTTTTACGATGAAGACAACATCCCCATTGCTGAATTATTGAAACGACGGAGAGAAAGGCGTTAAACACGGCATACAGGGTGGTAACCCCACGCGGCACTCTTTTAACCCGACGGTCGCGACAAAAACGAAAGGGATTCCCTGGGATATTATCCGACTGCTTCAAACATTGTGCGTTTCACAAAACAGTCCATCTTCCGGTGGAAATCATAGGCTTCAAAAATCAAAAAATGACCCCGTCCAAGGCATCCCCGCTTCTGGATGGAATTGGGGGATTTCAATTGTCCGTGGGGGCATGATCTTCCACCCCACGTCTCAAGGGCAGCAATAGATGAGGTCCAACTGGGAATGACGACGGCTGAGAACCTTCCATTCAAAGATTCTCCTCACCAACCCTCAAGTTCCGAATTTGCCCCATGGCGAGCCCAAATAACAAGAGAGTTTTCGTCGGGGAAACCGAACGCTTCTGTAGTGTGTCTTGAAGCCCGGAGAACTCCAACACCTCTTCAAGAGTCAACTCTTCGTGTCCTGCCGCGCCAGCGAAATCATAAATGGTACTACGGATAGGCGGCATCGTGTGACTTATGCTCACAATTGAAGACCGCTAAGGTACGATACGAACCTCGACAACTCCAACAGAATGCGCGGTAAGGGTAAAGAAACTTATCGTTGTAGTCGGCGAGGCCGCAAGTCCTGCCTAGTCTTCTCCTCGCCGTGAAGACCTTATCTTGATGGCATGATCTTCTATCAATTCAGTCAGCGTCCATGAGTATAAACCAGCACCCCACGCCTCCACATTTTGCGGGGCCCAGGGAACAGGATTTCCTTCGGTGATATTGCGTTCAGGTTCGAAACAAAGTCGGCACATTGCCGGGCGAGGTCACACGCCTTATATATCGTTACAGTCCGAGCTGAAGTGATTCTTTATATCATTTGAGCCAGAAGTGAAAGGAGACCGGTGGAAACAAAAGGCTTTCTTTCAACACTACTCAGATCGATACCTGGCCAAGATGAACGGACATCACGCAACTCGGCCTTTGAAGCCGGGTATCAATGTACCCATGGTTGCATTCTTCGACCCGGAAACCGAAGACGTTGATGTCCAAGCGACGGCGAAGCACGCGGTTAGACTTGCAAAGGCCGGCCTCACGTCCATCACTTGTCAAGGATCCAACGGCGAAGCCGTGCATTTGACCAAAGATGAACGAATCCTTATCACGAGCACCACCCGCAAAGCACTTGACGAGGCTGGTTTTCCAGACATGCCCGTTGTTGTGGGATGTGGGGCACAATCAGTTCGAGAAACGGTTGAATTTTGCAGGGATGCATACCGAGCGGGCGGTGACTACGCCCTGGTTCTGCCTCCATCGTACTACAAGGCCGCCTATACCAACGCATGCTTTATCGAATACTTCCAAGACGTTGCCACTGCTTCACCGATCCCGATTATCATTTACAACTATCCTGGAGCTGTTGCAGGGGTCGACCTCGACTCCGAGACCATCATCAAACTCGCCAATCACCCCAACATTGTCGGATGCAAACTCACCTGCGGCAATACTGGCAAACTGAACCGCATTGCTCACGCCGTCAATGCAGCTACTGCTACAGACGCCGGATCAGGCTGGATGTGCATGGGTGGCTCCGCTGATTTCACCATTCAAACCATGGTCGCTGGAGGTTCCGGAATCATCACGGGATTAGGCAATATCGTGCCAAAGGCCTGTGTCAAGGTGTTTGATCTCTATGCACGGGGCAACGTCGAAGAGGCTCAAAAGATTCAAGCTGTCGTGGCTCGGGGTGATTGGGGAGTGATTTCTGGCGGAATAACAGGCACCAAGAGTGGTTTGCAGTCGTATTTTGGATATGGTGGTTACGCCCGACGACCATTGCCCAAACCGAGCAAGGAGGATGTGGCCAAGTATGAGGCAATGTTGAAAGAAGTAGTTGACCTTGAGAATTCACTGTGAGCCGATCGGGGACCTGGATGTGTTTGAGCGGATTTGGGTATGCACTAGACAACTCTAGCGGGATTTGGGAGGCTATTTGAAGAGACTTTGGGGATAAGACGACAATGAGAAAGAGTATGAACAACAACGGTAGCATGTTATATTTGACCAAGTGAAGGGTGACGAGAAAACACGAGGAGTTGCTGGCGCGCTTCTGGTGTAGCAGTGTAGCTGTTTAACCCCCCCCCTTCCCCCCCCCCCCCCCAAAAAAGACTGGTATCTTTTGACGTCGACTTACCTTCTCAATTCAGATCCTGGACACATTTGGAACCCCCGATCTTAGCCCCTGTAACGTTCATGTGTCGCCTCCGATTCTTGGAACCATACCGGTTCGTCTTGCATGGCGACAAGGACCTAATCGTCCATGATTGGGGGACTTCTGCCCCTTCGCGTGGCCCGTCAGATGCATCTCGGAAAACCGGTCACCTTTGAGGTCAAAGCCAACGCACGACCGACTTGCAATCATGCTTTTCTCCTCTTCTTCCTCACCGCTCGAACCACAGAAACCTCCTCTGTCCCCAGCAACTTTGACGTTGACCTGCAGCTACTTTGCTGCCCGACCTTCCAGGCCACTGGCGGACCCCTAGATGGGCTCAATCGATGATGCGCTGGAACACGATGTCATGTGAGATTTGCCCGGATAAAGAGGCTCCTTCAATCACAATACATAAGAACAAGAATCGGGACCCCGTATCGGCTGGAAACATAACGTTGGACTGGACAACACAGTAAGCGATCATCGCTGTCCTCGTTGTCGTCGTCGCCCCAAGAGCAATTGACAACGCAGCACCCGCGGTATTTGTATCTGGCCACCTCTTACTGGTGTATTCGCCTGTCCACTTTCTCAGCCTGCGTCTTATTCTCAGAAATGAATGGCCGTTGTTTGAGCTTCCGGGGACTACTGCAGTTCATCTCCGGGAGCCCGAATCGCCTTATGACGGTACTTCACTTTCCAAGGCGCAGCTCTGACTTGACCAACACCGCCCATTCGTACACGCTGGCCTTTGGGTTTTGGCTCTTTCTTTTCTTTTCTGATTTCCTTCTGATCCTTCGTCATGGCCGGATCCCAACACGAATGAAGCCAGAGCTCACCTCTTCTTTGATTTCATTGCTTTCTGTTTCTGTTGTTCTTCATACTTGAGCGGCGTCGACATTGATATTAGCTGCCATGGCTAACTCTCCAGGTATTGATCATGGCGACCATCAGCATGACTCGGTCACCTCAGTCACCGAATGTATCTTAGGGCTGAGAGACAAAATCGACGACAAAGAGCTTCCCGGCCTCACCAGTCTTATCACGGACTGGTTCAGTCCCGATGTGGACGTGAATGAAGAGCAATTCGTTCAACGATTTCTACATGTCTTCAAACAGTCAGACCAAGATTTCACCTATGAGAAAATCATCAGCGATTACGATGACGAGATTCAAAGAATTCTCAACGAATTTGTCGATGGCAGGATTGATGCGAAGGAAGCAGCTCAACAATACCACCCGTTCTGTACGGAGAAGATCCCCAAGCATATGAAAGCTCTTCACCACGGAGGTCTTTCCAGTATCATTCCCGGAGAACGTAACATTCTCGGAGAGCATACAGCACTGATCCGGGCACTTCCCACCAGTATTCCATCACGGATTCGATCATTGGTCGCAAAGGTGGCGCCATCTCTCAAGGATCCCAAACGTGCTCTCTATGTTCCGGTCGGCTGAATTTGATCCTGCGAGTGTGTATCGGCTGACCACGACTAGTCGTTCAAGAACCTTGAATTTCAGAACTGGGGTCGAACCGTGGAAAATACCCCAGCGTACACTTGTGTGCCGAATACCGCCCAGGATGTCGCCGACATCGTCAAGTTTGCAAAGAAGCAAAGGATGGGCGTTCGAGTATCTGGATTCCGTAAGCTGACCGCTACCGCTTTCGAGGGAATAAGGTCGCTCACCCCGGTGATAGGTCATTCATGGTCTCCGGTCTTCGGCCGATCAAGCAGAAACGGCGAAAATAACGGCGATATTTTAATCTCGACCCTAGGCTTGGTTGATGCGTCCATATTACCAAATTTCACCTCCCTTCCCACCGACATCTTCCAGCCTCGAGCAAAGGATCTCAATTCGATCGTTATCGTGGATCACAACTACGTCCAAGGTCCCAAACTCTCGGGGGGTAAGAAATATGTCCGGGTTGGGACTTCCACGACAAATGAGCAATTACGACGTTGGTGTATCGACACTGCCAAACTCACCCTGCCGATGAATATCATCGAAGTTGAAATCACCATGGGTGGTAGCAATGCAACAATTTGGTCAGTTCTCTCGCCGGGGGGGGAGGGTGGGTCCGATGGGATCTCATGCTAATCAGTTCACTTCAGTCACGGTGCGGGCATCAACAACCCTACCCTCTCTGATCTCGTACGATGCATGGAATATGTCGATGCCAATGGAGCTCTTCGCAAAATCGACATGTCGACGCCGGCCGTCCTTAGAGCCGCGGCAGGATGTTTTGGCCTTCTCGGAGTGGTGACTCATTTGGTTCTTGAATTTGATCCACTCTCCTGTGCCTTGATGAAGCCACGCAAAGTCCCAGTGATCGAAGGCATTCCGCCACCACCGGGCATGCCAGACTCCGAAATCCCTGCCCCATTACGCCCCAAGACACCATTGAGTTCAGAAAGGAAAGCTCAAATTCAGCACGATTTTGAGACGCGTGCTCTGAACGATGACTATGCTGAGTGGTTTTGGTTTCCCTACTCCGGTGAAGTCTGGGTGAACACGTGGAAGAAAACGGATGATGTATCCAACGCCGTCAGCTATCCGAGTGACGTCAAAACAATTCTCCAAGTCTTTGGCACGATCATGGTCAACATTGCACAAAACGCCACCACGTTATTGCGACTGACAGACTTTCTCCCGGAGACGCAGACGAAATTGATTACTTGGTTGACGATGAAGAATTTGGACGACGTGGGTGAAGATGGCCAGCCGATCAAGACTTGGGTCCCGGATGCCCTGCATTTCCAGAGAGGGGTCCAGAATATTCGGGTGATGGATTTGGAGGTGGAATTCCCTCTTCAACCGAAGCAACCAACGATGGAGAACGGTGTCGCGAACGGCGTTGCCAATGGAAATGTCAATGGCCACGTCAACGGTACGGTGCCATCGGAGCAACGAAAAGCGATTGATTTTACACTCGTTCAACGAGCTTGGTGGGACGCCATCACCACCTGCTACAGCGCGGCCAAGGAATCTCCTCAGCGCTTTCCTCTGGAAATGCGCATCATGTCTTCATCCGATGTGACCTTGGCTCCCCAACGTGGCCATAAGCTCGGCACTTGTTCAATCGAAATTCTCACCCTGTATGCGGTTCAGAATATCTGGCAGCCATACGCGCAGAGAGTCTTGGACAAATGGTCCAGCTACAAAGACGCAGAGGGAAGGATTGTACCTGTTCGCCCACATTGGGCCAAAGAATGGTACGGATACACCGTTCGAGGCAGGAGATGGGAAGAACTTCTCAAGAATGAGGAGAGCCAGAATGGTGGCTTCAAAAATGAGATTAAAGAGTGGAGGGCTTTAGTTGCCAAGTTGGCGGCAAGGGATGCTTGGAGCATTCGGGACGCCAGGATGAGATTTGGAAATGAAACCTTGGATACTTTGTTCTGGCAGGACGGTCCCAGCGTGAGCATCGATACCTTAGTTAGTACCAATGGGGCACCAAATGGTGTACCTCCTTCGAAAGAAAAGCCGAAGAAGAAGAGTCTGCCGAGAAGACTTTGGCAAAGCTGTTTTGGGAAGGCAGACAAGGAGGACCCGTGACGAAGAAGTTTGTGCAAATGTTTCGTTGTTATTTGGGATGGGAAATTCAGCCTTGCAACGTGAATGATTGATGGGTGGATGATCTTTTCACTGCTACGACAACGATGACGACGACGACATCAACAATGAAGGCGATGAGACCGATTACTACAACTACCTACGACAGCCTCGCGGCTTTGTTGCGTGTGGACATGATACCATGGAACGAACAACACGGCAAAAATGAGTCTAATATCTAATCACGATCGACGACATTTGACGATTTCAAATATCCTTGGCACTTGATCGAGGATATATGTAACTTGAGTGGCATTGCTTTGGGGATGCTTCTGTCTTCGGTATATTCCTTTGGAGGTAGCATTTCTCTGAGAATTCCAAACATCAGATGCATCTTCTGATACCCTAGATTCATCAAATCTCTGCTTCCATCAGCATATAGCTCAATATTCTATCTATGTCCCCTTCTCGTCCCCAATTCTCCTTCCCTTTCCCTTTCGGTAACCAAGCATCCCGATCTCGAGGCTGCAATTCCAATCTATTTTCTTCTTAATAACCCTTCCTCCTATCCACCAAATTAAACATCTTCTTCCCCTCCTCATGTCTTGTCCAATTCGTCATGAACAAATCATACGCTCTCTCCGAATACTCGCTCCCCAACGCACTCACATGCGGCGTAATAATCACGTTCTTCGCATCCCAAAGCGGATCGTCCTCCGGCAACGGTTCCGGATCCGTCACATCCAGCGCTGCACCAAGCAGCGTCTCATCGTTCAATGCTTTCACCAGCGCGGACTGGTCCAGGAGTCCACCTCGTGCTATGTTGACGAGGAAACAGCCCTTGCCTTTCCTCGGCTTGTTGGACGAGTGGGCTACTATTTCGAATTCTGCGGTGCCAAACATACCGCGCGTCGCGGGCGTCAAGGGGAGTGCGATGACCAGCATATCCAGTCCTGAGGCCAGGAAGGTGTGCAATGCTGTCTTGGAGGTGCCGCTGTACCAGGCAGAGGGAATCGTGCCGTCGGGGTCACCCGTGCCGGGGAGAAAGTAGCCGTGGTCGGCGCGGGCGGAGGGCGTGTCGCGTGGCGAGGCGGTGTAGGCGTGGATGGAGGACCCGAGGGCAGAGAAGACGCGAGCAACTAGTAATTTCCACCCATGTGCGTCAGCCCGTGACTTCCGGTTAAGCGTCACCGTATATCAGACGTGCAATCCCAGCAAATGGAAATGGGGGAACGAGGAGTTGGAGGATCACCCCGTCCGATCGAAGAAAGGGCTATGATGTGAGCCAGCCAATGTTGTTACCAAATCAACCTCAGTGGGATCGGGGAAGATAGGATAGGAAATCCAGAATCCATGTGAGGATTGACTTACCCTGTCGTCCGATACTTCCATACCCAGCGATCCCGACGGTTTTGCCTACCCAATCCGTTCCTGAGACCAGCTTTTTCCGATCCGTTTCCCAGTGACGCTGTTTCTGCCATTCGTATTCGGTCCAGTAGTGGCGCGATGCGATGAGAGCGGTCATGGTCACCCATTCGGTGATGGGAGGTCCGTGGATGCCGGAAGACGTGGTCACGGGGATGGTGCTGGAGGTCAGGACCGGGTGGTTGAGGATATGGTCGACGCCCGCGGAGAGGAGGTGGATGAGTTTAAGGCTGGAACATAGATCAATCAAACGATGAACGGGGAGGGTGAGGCTGGACTTGGAAACACTCACTTTGGTACCTTTTCTGGTGTCGAAGGGAGAGTAGCGAGAGTGATGAGGATGGTTGCTGAGTTCCAGAGCTCTGTTATATTCGACCCGAGGGGATGAGAAGTCAGTAAGCCGAGTATTTATTATCAATGTTGATGGTGGAGCTCATTTGTGTCTAGGTTCAACTCCTGTTGGTGTCTCCACGAGTCATGAAGCATTTCACCAGCCTGGAGAGCCAATAGATATGATCGGCTGTTATTAAGACCTGGAGAAATAAACGGGGAACTCACCGTCAGGAACATCTCGGCCGCTATCCGACAACTGCCTCTCTTTCCTCTGTACAGGAATATATGTGATATCAAAATATGGGAATCGTCGTTTGAGCTCGGCAGTGATGTGTTTGGGCTCCGGCTCCCACATGGTGATGAGAAGGTGTTCTTTGTCTGGTCCGCCGCCCATGATTGGTATTGATATTCAAAATAAGTCTTGTGTACTGTTTTGAAAAGAGATGATGAGGGTCATTGAACACTTTGTTGGGTGAAACGTCAACACGGGTGGCACGGCGCTGGTAGCTCACGAAGGGCGAATGTCGACGACGAAAGTAATGGAGTGGGTGAGTAATCCAATAACCGCAACTTGCTGCGAATTCGAATATCAATATCAATGGCTACTCGTAAGTCGATCAACTCGCAATATCACGCCATCACCTCCCCCCCGCCAACACCAACGCTCGATGAATTGATCCCAGTGCGAATCAACACTCGCTTTTAAGAATGCTTCATATCTCCTTTACTGGCTCCGTCGCCATCACCACCAAATCTTCCAACCGTCACCCATTGCAATTTGATTCTTTTGTCGTCCCTTCTTTCTTGCAATCCACTCCATCCCAATTTGTCCTCTCCCATCTTCCCCAATCCACCTTCTTTGATCCAACATCCGATCACGGCTCGAATCCAGCAGAGCTTCTCCTTGACTTCATTCGTGCGCACAATCTCCATGTCCGAGCGTCGCAACATATCGGTCATGATATCTTCCAATGGAGCACTGAGCACGCTTCTTCGTTCCATGGCTTCCCCACTCGCGATTCCATTCCGTGCCAGACTGAGAGCGTCCGTGGGCATAAGACAAACCGAATCGACCTGGTAATGGCGAGCGCCGTCTTCAGATTCCTCCCGGTGAAGCGCCAGCTTCGTATGATCGGGAAAATTGAATTGCAGACCCCCATCCGCAAATCTCCAGACCCCCACATTTCCGACTCGTTGATAGAAATGGACAAAAGATCGGCTTTTCTCGCGGTCTTTTCGATCCATCCAGTCGGAATTGGTCTGTTTGTTCATGTACTTGCCGAATTTGTCCAAGAGAGCAACCTCTTTCATTCGTTCGGCTTCACTGCCCTCCAAACCCGCCTGGATGGCATGGGCCGCTGCGACTTGACTGGGATAGTTGTCCAGGTCGAGCCAAAATTTCTGGGCGGGAATGTCCAGACGCTTCATGTCCGTCTCATAATCATTTTGCTCATAGAATTCCACCGCCGGAGCCTCTGGACCTTGGGGGACGAATTGATATTCCAGTCCTTTGGCCCGCCTTATGGTATGGGTGCTGCCATTTCGAACCACAACACAGCTGCTGGGCATTGAATTGTCTTCTGAAGATTTGAGAATCATACCGACCGTGGAATCCGTGAGAATATATGCTATCCCGTGACGAGTCGAATAGTCCACCCATTTATCCACTCTGGGATAAATCGATCTGGAGCGCGCGTCACGCGTACCGGAAGCTGATCTCGGGCGTTTGGCTCGCTCGTCAAATGCTCGAGCATCCAAAGCTTGGTGCATTGCGTGCAGCGACTGGAGGACATCTGCGCTCGATGAGTGGGGGACTGTCATGAAACGATCTGTCGGCCCAATAATCCTTGATTGATGTTTTGGCAACGAAGTCTGTGGATTGGGGTTAGCCTTTGATGCTCCTCGTCGCCTCTGTGTCGGTTGGACCGGGTTGACCGGTTCCTGGTGCTTTTCCGCGGCGTCCACTGCTGTTCGTCTGTCATTGCCAGTGGTTGGCTGTAATACTCGAGAGGGCAACTCTCCGGAAGGCCCTGAAGAGACGGAACACGATGAAGTTGGTCGAATGGTGGCGTTTTCCGCCACCATCACTGATCGGGTATTCTTTCTGACCGATTTCTCACCATCACTGGCTTTGATGGTCCTGCTTGGAACTCGGCGGGCCTGTGTCTGTTCCCCATTTGCTTCGCCTAGTTTCGCACGCCCATCCATTTCCTCTGGTGCCGTGGTGGACCTCGGGAGAGTCTTTGATATTGGAGCGACCGATCCCCGCAAAGTAGTGCTTCTCGTGGCGCGAATGGTGGCTGCTCTGACCGGTCGCTCCCTCAAAAGTGCTTGACACGGAGGTTCCGTGGCGTCCGGTTCTTTCGGCTGGGGGATCTCGTCGTGGACCTTTTCTGCTCGTCGCATCACGCCGGCCGGGAGTGCTTGTTGTCGTTGTTGGGCAGCAAAGCTTTGAAACGGCCGGGACATGGATATGGATGGTACTGAAGGTGCCTTTGGAGCTCCGACAGGTAATAATTCGAGCTCTGCCTTTGTGGGATTATTCGATGTCGCCGGTCCCTCCGCCATCTCTGTAGTTGGCTTGCGATGCCGGACTCGTGATGGCAAGAGAGGATGTTTCTGACGTGCCGCCCATTCCAGATGAGCATCCGAGAATTGTTTATACACTATTCCGGCTGGCAGGGGAATGGCTGGAGCACACCCTTCTCTATTCTCGGCTTCAATTTCCACCAACGCCGAAATATTCGCTCCCACACCCACTCCAGGACGAGGGCGCCCGTCAGAACCGGTGCCAACACCACATTCTCGACAGATTCGGCCATGGGTGACGCCGTAGCCGGATCTCACCTTGTCTCCACGGGGATCCGCCTGCTCAAGCCAGGTTGGACTTCCTCTTAGACATGACGCATCTAGCTCATCCGCAACCACACCCATGGTGAAGAATCCATGTTCCACCAGCTCGTCCATCTCCGGTCTTTCGGCGGAGTTCAGATTGAGACATGACGCCACCAAGTCCTTGGCCTGCTGAGGAATATAATTTTTGCTGTCCATCTTCCATTCGTATTCGAGCGTCCTCAGTTTGGTATAAATTTCTTGTTGGGTTTTCGATTGGAATGGAGGGGTTCCCATGAGCATGGCGTAGCATATCACTCCAATCGCCCACGTGTCGACTTTATTGTCATGACCACGGTTGCCAGATTTGCTCAGGATTTCCGGCGCAATGTAATTCGGAGTGCCACACAAGGTGGTTCTTCGATCTTGTTCATCGGCCATGACTGCCGCCAACCCGAAATCTCCAATTTTGACGTTCAGTTTGGCATCCAGAAAGATGTTTCCCATCTTCAGGTCCCGATGAATCACCGACCGTCGATGCATATATTTGACCCCTCCACAGATTTGAATCATAAAGCGTCGAACCTCCGGCAGACTGAGACAGGAGCGAGCCTTGACCATTTCTGTTAAACTTCCATTGGGACACATCTGGAGAACGACATAAGTATGTTCATCGATGGTGAACGCCCGTAAAAATTCGACAATGTGGGGATGATGCATTTTCGCGTGTATTTGAAGTTCCGTTCGAAATTTCTCCATCATCTTCTTCTGCTCTACCTTGGCCTTGACCACTTTTAGTGCAAATACTTCCGAAGTCCTCTTTATCTTTCCCTCAAAGCAAACGGCAAATCCTCCTTTACCTAACTTCTTGCCCATGACATACGTCTCCGGCGACGGACCGGGCTCGGTGATCGTAGAGGGAGGTCGCCATTTGTCATCGATGCGATCTGGATTGGTGGGTTTTCCTTCCGAGCTGGGCTTTGAGCCAGATTTGGACTTTTTGGTAGCTTTGGGCGGCTGCATGGGAAGATTCGCAGATCGAGGAGAGAGAACCTCCATATCACGGTACCGCCTTTTCCGCTTGGGATCTGCCTGATGGCTGCTGATGGAGGAATGAGGGATTGAAACCGTGTTCCGTGTACCGTCTGTGGCATGGACGACGATCAATCTGCTAAAAGAAGAGATTGGGTGCAACTGTAGCAGAGTGCAAACAAAGATCGATTGGCCGGAGTCCCCAGGTAACCATTCGATCTGTTTACCATTCTGAAAGAGGAAAGTGACGCTGCGTCTCGAAGTGTATGCTCCAACCTAATAGACCCGCACTAGCCACGGCGGTGGGCCACAGTACGATTTATTTCATGAGCTGGCCAGAGGCAATGGGCATATCGAGGAGACTCCAACGAGCACTTAATGATCTGGAAATGGTTGCTGGTTGAGGAAGTGATCCCCGGGCATATAATTTTCACAGCAGCCTGTGGCATAGAAGCGTACAAAACGAAGTGGCTTTTCTAAGTCTGTGGCCCTGAAAGGTTCGGCCTTTGAACCGCGACGGCCCCGAATCAACCCCTCCAGCAAAAAGTAACGGCTGGTGATCCAGCTGCTGCGGAACGTTACGCTCACTTCAGAGTGTAGGCATGGAAGAAGGAATTTGATCCCTGAATGGCGTGCCTAGCACTAACGAGGACTTCACGTCAAAATGTCTCTCGCTCTCAAGTTCACTTCGCTGGCCATCCGCACCCTCTCCAAACCTATAGCTGTGAGCTCCTTGATATCTTCATCGCATCCTATGCTGACGTATCAAGAATCTCATAAAACGACAAGCCCGTGAACATGAAGGCTTTCGCCGAACTTGCATTTCCTTCGCCCAGACCCTCCACCGAATTGACATGCGATGGCGGATAGGTCTTCTACAAGATGCCGCAGCTGTGGAAAGACAAGTTGCAAAAGAGGCTGCTGCTGAAGCCGCCAAAAAGCACAAGCATCCCAATATCCCCACGGTCAAAACAGAAGCCCAAATGAAAGCGGAAATGGAAGAAGCAGCGAAAGCCGCCAAAGAGGCGTCCGAACCTCCAAAGCCCCGTCCGAAGCCCAAGATCAGACCCCTTTCTGAAGCCAAAGCCATCGAGACTGGTGCCAATTTCATCAGCGAAACTTTCCTCTTCAGTGTCGCTGCGGGCTTGATATTGTTCGAACAATGGCGATCTCGTCGCAAAGAAACCAATCGCAGGGATGATGTGGCGGAGAGACTGAATGACTTGGAAGAGTCGGAGAAGGCTGCACGAAGGGCACTGGTGGAACTGGAGAGGGAAGTTTTACGCTTACGGGCAAAAGAAAAGAACGGGAAACAGAACCCTGCCGTGCGAATACTACCGAAGGAGATATATGAGGAAGACAAAGAGGAGGAAAAAGAGGAGAAACCGAGCGGTTGGTTCTCCCGTATTACCTCTTTGGTGTCACGAGATAAGGGCGATGAGGACGCTAAAGAGGCGCTGGAGAAGAATAAGCCAGGCCCGGCAGAAAAGATTCTGGCCGAGTCTGAAAAGGCTCGAGGTGAAAAAGCATAAACAGCAAGCCGTCGAAGTCGGCGATCAAATGGCTGCCGAACAGAATTCAAAAACGTGAAGGATACAAGGGAATAGAAGCGTGTCGGGCTGCTCCTCGATCCCACAGGATGCACGATTCCCATCAAGCCAGTCCATTTCTCCACTGTCCACTGTATGGAAGATCATGGCTCGGACGAGAGACTTTAGCAGTTTAGGCCCTGGGAATGGTCAAAGATGGTATATCCGCCTTCATAGGTATATGCGGTTGAATCTCTGCCATCTTGGCATCGAGAGGAGTTGACATCTATGGATGCTTATGCAGAACTCCCGACTCACCAACGTACATTTCCGAAAGATACCCAACTCCCAATGTCCATATGATTCATTCAAAATTCTCAGACTCGCCGCGTCTTCGCCCAGAATGGCGTCGTCCCGGTCTGTCCTTGGGTGCTTCCGCCGCCTTTATTTCCAAGGTCCTTACACCCTTGATCTCTATGTCCTAGAGCAGAGATGCTCAGCCGAAACAGAGGAAGAGGGATGTGCTTTTTGATTCACAGATTCCCATCCCGAGGCCTGTGGACTTCGGATCCGATGATCTACCAGGAAGAACAAGTTCGCTGGGAAACATAAACATCCTGCAATGGGTTCTAGGGCCAAGTGACCGCAAGGAACATGTTCGATGTCTGGAGGGATGAATAAAAGAGTCGAGGGAATTCCATGCGAGCGACTCGGTACCGATCTACGAGTGTGATGGCTGTGAGCTATTGATAGACATAACAAGGACAAAGAGGCTAATCAGTATGAATATGCCGGTGCCTAGCAAGTCAAGGAGATAGACAGATCATCTTTTAAAGCCAACACAGGTAGCCGTCATATTGCTGGTTCGAATTGCGCGTCGAATGATTACACAGCCACAGAGAATAATGTGGCAAGGTCGGCAGGCAGGGGCATTAGGCCATTGGGGCAATTGGTGATTGCAGCGTAGCAGGTCAAATTTTGGTTTGGCTTCTGTCGCAGCGTCCCTCTTAACCGCGCATTCTGCTGGTCGGTTATTAGCCACGACTTGATAATGTCATAGGCCCATTTCATGCTGTTACTCCGTACGTACCACAGCCACCGCCCGCAATCTGAGAGTGAACCAGGCCACCGATCTTTTTCCATTGCCAATTCCCCAATTCTTCCTTTTCACATCTTTCATACACAGTCGCATGTGGTTTCGGCGCGCTTGACGCACGGCTATCACCCATTCTTTCTCCAAAGCCATCCCTCACACGAACGCATGACCTGATCAAGGACCCTCGTCCAAGATGGTGAGTCCCGCGGCCATAATCACAATGTGAAACATACTCATACCTCATCTTCAGGGTCAAACAAAACGCCGCGACGGCAAGTCGTCTCGCGGCCCAAAAGCTTCACTGTTTGGGGGGGGGAAGCCCCGAGAAGGAGATTTGGGACCACCGCAAATAAAAAAGGCCACATTTGAGATCACCAAGAAGAAGGAAGTGGGCGTCTCAGACCTCACACTGCTGAGCAAAGTCTCGAACGAAGCAATCAACGAAAACCTCAAGAAGAGATTCGAACATGGCGAGATTTATACCTATATCGGCCATGTGCTGGTCTCGGTCAACCCCTTCCGGGATCTGGGCATCTACACGGATCCCGTGTTGGACACGTATCGAGGAAGAAACCGACTCGAGGTGCCTCCGCACGTGTTTGCTGTCGCGGAATCAGCCTACTACAACATGAAGGCCTACAAAGATAACCAATGCGTGATTATTTCGGGCGAGTCGGGCGCAGGCAAAACCGAAGCGGCCAAACGCCTGATGCAGTATATTGCCAGTGTCTCGGGCGGGACCGACTCCAGAATTCAGAGAACCAAAGATATGGTCCTAGCCACCAACCCTCTGCTGGAATCCTTCGGTAACGCCAAAACTCTGCGCAACAACAATTCCTCCCGTTTCGGAAAATACCTCGAACTCGAATTCAATCAAAATGGTGAGCCGGTGGGGGCCAAAATCACCAACTATCTGCTCGAAAAGACCCGAGTGGTGGGACAGATCACGAACGAACGAAACTTCCACATTTTCTATCAATTCGCCAAATCCGCACCCAAAGAATACCGAGACACGTTTGGAATCCAGCCACCCCAATCCTATGTCTATACCAGCAGATCGAAATGTTTCGACGTCCCCGGAATCGACGATGCCAGCGATTTCCAAGAAACTCTTCGGGCCATGCAGATCATCGGTCTGACCAAGGCGGAACAAGACAACATCTTCCGCATGCTGGCGGCCATTTTATGGATTGGGAACATCACGTTCCGAGAGAACGATCATGGCGGTGTCGATGTCGCCGATACTTCGGTGGTGGACTTTGTCGCCTATCTGCTGGAAGTCGATTCCTCTCATGTTCACAAGGCTCTGACCGTCAGAATTGTGGAAACGGCCCGAGGCGGCGGACGACGAGGCTCGATCTATGAATCCCCCTTAAATCCGGTCCAAGCCGGCGCCGTTCGGGATGCCCTGGCCATGGCCATCTATTTCAACCTTTTCGACTGGATCGTCACGCGGACGAATGTGTCCCTGAGGGCTCAAGGAACCGTGAAAAATACCGTGGGCATTCTGGACATCTATGGGTTTGAAATCTTCGAGAAGAATTCATTCGAACAGTTGTGCATCAACTACGTCAACGAAAAGCTTCAGCAGATCTTTATCCAGCTCACATTGAAGACGGAGCAGGAAGAATATGCTCGCGAACAAATTCAATGGACTCCGATCAAGTATTTCGACAACAAAGTCGTATGCTCCTTGATTGAAGACAAGCGGCCTCCGGGCGTTTTCGCCGCGCTAAACGACGCATGCGCCACGGCTCACGCCGACTCTGGAGCGGCCGATCAAACTTTTGTGGGCCGTCTGAATTTCCTTTCCAGCAACCCCAACTTCGAGAACCGACAGGGTCAATTCATCATCAAGCATTATGCCGGTGATGTGAACTACCAAGTGTCGGGGATGACGGACAAGAACAAGGACCAATTGCTGAAAGATCTATTGAATCTGGTGGGCGAGAGTTCGAACAGCTTCGTTCATGAATTGTTTCCTCATCAAGTCGATCAAGATGACAAGCGCCGTCCTCCGACGGCAGGGGACAAAATCAAGCAATCGGCCAACGAACTGGTGGATACGCTGATGCAAGCTCAACCGTCATACATTCGAACCATCAAGCCCAACGAGAACAAATCCCCCCGAGAATACAACGAGGCCAATGTCCTGCATCAAATCAAATATTTGGGTCTTCAAGAGAACGTCCGTATTCGACGAGCCGGTTTTGCTTACCGTCAGACCTTTGATAAGTTTGTGGAAAGATTTGCCCTGTTGTCTCCCCGGCTTTCTTACGCCGGAGAATACACGTATACGGGAGATGTCAAGACCGCGTCCCAAATCATCTTCAAAGATACCAGCATTCCACCCGAAGAATATCAAATGGGTGTCACCAAGGCGTTTATCAAGACTCCCGAAACCCTGTTTGGCCTCGAACACATGCGAGATCGGTATTGGCACAACATGGCGGTTCGCATTCAGAGAGCCTGGAGAAACTATCTGCGATACCGCGCGGAAGCGGCAACCCGAATTCAGAGGTTCTGGCGCAAATCCAAGGTCGGGGTCAAAGAGGTGGAATTCCGCGATCAAGGTCACCGATTACTGGCCGGTCGGAAAGAACGTCGCCGATACAGCTTGCTGGGATCAAGACGCTTTTTTGGAGATTATCTTGGTCTCAATATGCCCGGTGGCACCGGCCAGGTGCTCCGAGACTCGATTCATCTCAACCCTCAAGAACGTTGCGTCTTCTCCGCTCGTTGCGAGTTACTGGTCACCAAGTTCGGACGATCGTCCAAACCCATGCCCCGGATTTTGGTGCTGACGAACAAATCGATTTATGTCGTGGTTCAAACGGTGGTGAACCATCAACTTCAGATCTCCGCCGAAAGAACGATTCCGATTGGCGCGGTCAAATACATCTCGACATCGAATTTGCGTGATGACTGGTTTGCCATAGGAGTTGGATCGCCTCAGGAGCCCGATCCCCTTATCAGCTGTGTCTTCAAGACGGAATTCTTCCTTCAATTCAAGACCGTGGCGGTGGGGGGAATGGATCTCAGGATCTCCAGTGCCATTGAATACAATAAGAAACCTGGTAAACCTGCGGTGGTGAAAGTCCAAAAAGATCCGGCCGTCCCTCGAGATGACGTGTACAAGTCCGGGACGATCCATGTTCCACAAGGAGAACCACCAAATTCAGTGTCCAGGCCGACTCCTCGTGGAAAAGCAGTGGCCAGGCCGATCACGACGGGCAAGTTGCTTCGACCGGGTGGTCCCGGTAGTCAGCCATCAAAAGGCACGGCGAGACGACCGATTCCGGCGGCCCGACCAGCCACTCAAACTCCACGACCAGTTCCTGCTCCAGCTGCCACTCCGATGGCACATGCAATGAATGGACCTTCATCTCATATTCGTAACGAGTCAGCATCATCGATGAACCGGGTGGCCCCTCCTGCACCCGCTCCGGCGGCCGTGCCGTCGAAACCTCAAGCTAAAGTCAAGTACGATTTCAATTCGCCCAACTCGAACGAACTGTCCATTACAGCAGGAGAGATCATAGAGATTGTACAAAAAGAAAACAACGGTAAGCAATGTCAGGAATTTTGGCCTGACTGGAAACTAACTGGATTTCTAGGCTGGTGGCTTTGCAAAAATCGTCAAACCAATGCACAAGGCTGGGCACCATCAGCATATGTGGAAGAAATCGAACAGACCCGTGCAGCTCCACCACCGCCGCCACCGCCTCCGGCTGCACCTCCTCGCGCGGTCCCTACGCCGTCTGTCGTTGTCAACGGAAACGCGAAGCCCCGTACACCACCTGTGGCGGCGAGAGCGAAACCCACGCCTCCAGCGCCACCTGCCAAACGGCCGGTACCAGCCGCGAGGAAACCAGGTGTTTCCCCAGCTCGAGATAGTGGAATGAGTCTGGGATCGAACGGTGGGACAGATTCGGGCCGAGTCACTCCGAACAGTATTGGAGGTGGAAGTCTAGCTGGAGGATTGGCCGAAGCATTACGAGCGAGACAAAGTGCGATGAGTGGGAAAAACGACAAGGATGATGACGATGACTGGTAGATGAACGGCGATGTGATACATGGCTTGTCACGAATGAAGAAGGGCTATGGATCACTTCTCGTGGGTTGTGTGATCATGAGTCACGAGGATGGATGAAAATTGCTTGTTCGTCCCTGATTGCAGGATGACAGCCATCAAAGCGACCCCTTTTCTTGTCAAGTGTGGAAATGGGATTAGAGATGCGATATGGTCTGGAATGGGATGACGGGTTTCCATACTTCAGGGCGTACAATTGCTACTTCCCTATTGGACCGTTGTGCAGAGGTTGTCAATGCCGAACTGCACCTTCCGTCGGCCTATGCGCGGCGTAAGCGCCCGACTAGTGACCCGATAATTGTATGCCCCAGGATTCTCAATTCGTCGTAGCTATTCCTTATTACCCTCAAATCTGCAATTTAACGTTTCTGTGCCTCAATATCCAAGAACTTGCAATCGTTTGTGCCCTAGTGGGGGTTGAGGCGCAAACATGTGATTTGTGGGGTTAGAAATCATTTTCCTGGTACTTTCCTCCTTCCTACGGGGTATCAGGTGCCAAGTCTCCAACTGAGTAGCCTTGTTTTGATCCAACATGAAGGATTATTGACTTGGCAGGACCGCTTGTCGACACTGTGCGTTGAGCATCTCCGACAAATGGATGAATGATGACACTTTCACTTCAAATCGATCGTAAATCTGCAAGTCCTTCGACTGGTTCATCCTTCACTTGGAGGCACTATGTACCATGAAGTAAGCTTGGGGGCAAAGCAAAATCCGATGTATGGACTAGTGATATGTACGGTCACAGCTCGAGGCTGTGTGTAGAGAAAATTTAACGAAAATGCCGATTACGGTCGCTCAAGTTTTCAATAATTCCATCCACATACCAAATCCGATAGAAAACTCCATGGACCCTATTCCCATCTTTCCCTCACTCAACCTCCGAACGTACGCTTGTAAGCTCATGAGTGCTACTGGTTTCATTCTCAATATTGATGTACGTCTTCGCTGTAATATGTTTGGGGTTCTTGGAATTCTTAAACCTTGACGAGCTGGTGGTGCTAGACGATGATGGAGAAGAGTCACTTTTTCCGGAACCGGTGCGTATACATCGCAAACCGAGCAACCGCAAGCTCCACCATAGATCCTCATAACCACAAACCTCCATTGCACCAAAATTCCAGAATTCAATGAAATCAATGAGAAATATCATAGTTCGAAATCTTGCACTAAAATATTTGTAAATGGCTGAGATATTTCGTTGCGAATTTCACGAATTTTGGTGAGAAACTGAGTGCGTCGTTCGCCAGGATTACCTGCAAAACTCGACAAGAAAGCCGCGATGCTGATTGGCTGAAGTCAAATCCGGTCCTTTGAGATAATCATGTGATCATGCTTGACAATGTCACGTGAGGATGTTGGCGCCGCCATCGGATCCAATCCGTGGACCATGTGGCCGAGTGGGGCTGGGGACAATGTATGGCGCCGGCCTCGATATCTAGATGGTGCTTAGATCGGATCTCATGATATACCATCGCCATCGGATCCAGTCCGTGGACCATATGGCCTATAAGCACTAAGGGTTTCCATACAAACAGGGTCGACGACGAGGTGTCAAACTTCTTGTACAACTTGAGTTGAAGGAGTGCTCTGTTTTCTGAGGTCCTGCCGCCACATATTGTTTCACAGTTCAACAGTAGCCTGTCTGTCGCCTCTGTAGTCCTCCTGTCGCCTCGTGGCCTCGCTGCCGACCCCCTTCAGGGCCGTCCTAACGCCCTGTGAGCTTCCTGTGAGTCCTGAATGAATCCCTGCTCTTTTGCCTGGTTGTATCTCGCAGTGTGAGTGCGCATTCTCTTGCCTCTACCTCCTGAAGGGCAGAGGCCCATACCTTATAGGGTTGAGGTGGTCCGTGGCCCTTGATCCTCCCCTAGGTTTCCACGGCAATTCACTTCTTCCACGGATATCCCGCATCCTGCAGGATATGATCTACACTCTGTAATCACCATCACCCGCTGTGCACATTGTGTCACCATGGCCATCGAGGGTGGTCATGGTTGAGGTCGCATCAATCGTGGTTCAGATAACATTTCAGGTCTTGATTATGTGGTTGGTATCAGTTGCAGGAACCTCACATCCCGGGATGGACAAAATCCTGGAGTGGTACCAGACCATAGAAGCGGATTTCGGCAGAAACTCCTCTTCTGGCTCTCTCTTCAAAGCTTCCTAGACTTCATTCGGGCCCCAAGTATGTATTTGCTTTAGGCTCGAATACCCCTCCCATAGCCAGCATATAACTAGGCTATAGATGGGGGGCCACAACCAGCGAAAGTTTTCAGTCAGACAGGTTCAACTTGGAGAGAACGAATCTCCTTCGAACAGTATCAACAAGTGGACATCAACAGTCGCTGGCTGGAGCATTGCGTTTACCCATCTAGGGCACCTGGACTCAATGGACAACCCTCTTACCTCATCTATGATCTAACACTAGTGAGGCCCTCAATTCTATCGATTCCACCAAAACCGAGTGCACGTTACAGTCGGTGCAAGTCAAATGCGCCATGGAGAAATTGGGGACTTGGGGGGGCTGAAGTGCCGGCTGTGAGGATCGGGGATTGAGAAGGTGATCGAGGCGCACTCGAAGAGGCGAGGCAGATTTTGAAGGAGCCGGGGGGAGAATCGAGGATTAGGAGGGCCTAACGCGGCAAAGAAGGGGGGGTTCAGGCGGTGTTAAGAAAGAAAAACAGGTTGAAAGGAAGGAAGAGATGACGGGATGGGAGACGGGGTTCTTATAGACGTCAAAAGCGGCGGCGTACTAGCCTACGACCATACCCGAAAGGGCCGGGCCGCCCAAACCGGAGGCGCATTTCCCGGCAACAAACTTTAATTCTGGGGTTGCGACTATCAATACCGGGCACAAGATTCCGGTTATGGCGGCAAACCCTCTGATTCGTAGTTTGTCTGGCTGGAACTTGTATGTACAGTGCCGGACTTGGCTCATGCAGAGTCTAATTTCTGACGGGCGAGATCCTTTGATCGCCATAGAACTACTCTTCCAGGTATGTACCCGCACGGGCTCACAGGCCTGTCGTATGTCTCCGAAAGCAATTTATCTAAATTGGATTCCATCGTACAAGCAGGGTTCTCTTGGAATACCCCAGCATCGCCCCTCAAAATGAAGGCCATGTACGCTGGTGTTCTACACCATCTCTTTCCGACTCTTCATGTACTCAGTATTTGCATGATGACGCTTCCCAGAGCTGCCGGCGGCAACGGCATTCAATGCGTGAGCAAGCCATGAGGTCCATTGTTGAGGAACCGTATTGATCTTAACTAATGTAGGGTGACTCAAAATCGGCGACATGCGAAAAGCTTGAAGCTGTCCTCCCAGGGAAAGTTTCCTACCCAAACACGACGACATATGAGTCCTCAGTCGAGTCATACTTCTATCAGACCGCCCGGCAGAGACCCAACTGCATCGTCAGCCCAACTTCGGCCGAGGATGTAGCTGAAGCCATTCGAATCATCGCGGGATCTGTGCAAACAAAATTCGCGATAAGAAGCGGGGGCCATTCGCCACATCCTGAGATGTCAAACACCGACCCTGGGGTTACGATTGATCTGCGGGGGCTAAATTCAATTGTACTATCCGAGAAAGACGACGTGCTCCAACTAGGTGCGGGCTTGGAATGGGACAAAGTGTACGAATACCTCGATTCAATCAACCGAACGGCTATTGGAGCGCGTGAATCCTCGGTCGGAGTGGGAGGATTTGTTTCTGGTGGTTCGTTGGAATTGGCTGGTGAAATATCCGTACGCTAACTAGCCTACGTCTTAGGTGGCCTATCTTTCTTTTCACCTGAGCGCGGCTTTGCATGCGACAATGTAGTTAACTTCGAAGTCGTTCTAGCATCTGGGGAGATCGTTAATGCCAATGCCGAATCCCATGCGGAGCTTTTCCGCGCCCTTAAAGGTGGCCAATCTAACTTCGGTGTCATCACTCGATTCGATGTTCTCACCCTGGTGGAAAGCACTTTATGGGGTGGGGCTATCTATTACCCTCTGGATGCTACCGAAAATGCGCAGTTAGCAGCTTTCTTGGATCTCAAGAGCGGCAAATACGACCCTCTCGCCGCAATTGAGATGAGCTTCTTATACACGGTGAATAATTCCTTTGTTTCGAATAACATGGTCTACCTACGGCCAATTGTGAACGGATCCGGCCTAAAGCGTTTTGCGGATATCCAACCGCAACTCCAGAACACGATGAGGATTGATACGACTAAGAACTTTGGAGAGGAACTGCACAGCGGACAGCCCAAGAACCAATAGTATGTTCTTATCCATTTTCTTGATGATTGCTTTTCTACGACTGACACAGCAATGCAGCGCCATATTTGCGTGCACTACGTTCTTTATCACGCCTACTATTTTGAAGAAGATCAATACAGCCTGGAGAGCTGCATCCGAGGGCTTAGCGGACATCGACAATCTCATGTCGGTTTTGACATACCAACAATTTCCACCGCAACGCTCAGCAAACGCAATGGGCTTCGACCCCAATGCGAACTTGCACGAAAAGCTCGTCGTGCTCATCATCTCGACGTACTGGGCCCAGCCTGATGCTGATGCTTATACGAAAGTAAAAGCTATTATAAAAGACGTGATCGACCAGATTGAAGAGTTTACCAAGCAAGAAAATGCATATCATCCGTTCAAGTATGTCAACTATGCTGGGTTCTGGCAGGATCCTTATAAGAGTTATGGCCCTGAAGCGTATGAAAGACTGAATAAGGTCTCGAAGAAATACGACCCTACTGGAACATTCCAAAAACAGGCTGTTGGATTTAAGCTTTGAATATTCTAGTTAACAACGGTAATTAAGGGCATATAGTAATATTGTCAGGGTCACTCTGGCGCAGCCTATGGATAGGCCCTGGCCTCCCCTGACCAAGGTCCTGATCGCGCCTTGGCATCCATATAGAGTTTTTCCATAGTGTTGGACAGGGGTGTTGTGTATATACCCCACTATAGAAACATTGACAAGAGGTTTCTATAGACGACGACGTTACAGATGGTTGCTCTGTGCAACAATGTAGTATTCGTGTGCCTATAAAAGGAGCCTCAGGACCTCGACAAGTAGATAGAGAATAGAGCTCTCCATCCCCTACTGTCATGGGGCGCCAAGACCCCATGCCAAGAACATGTATATAGCATGCGTTGCGCAGGATATCCCTATTCGACTTCCAAGCGTGGAAGTCGATGTCGCCCCTGCACCTATATAGATAGATAGGTATCTTTTTGACGTCTTTACAGCCCGCTGGCGAGCTTGCCCCTGACACCTACAATAAGTTTGTGTCAAACGGAGCGAGATGCGGGATAGAAGGGGTGAAAACTCGTGTGCAGATTGCAACTATGGATGGGGGGGAAGCCCGCTATATAGGTCAGAATAGGGGCTCCTGGCACTAGGCACCAGCTGTCTGACAGTTTGACACATAGCTTTTGAGCCTCACAGCACAACCATTGTTCTCTTCCCTAGTTCCATCCCTGTGCTGTGATATTCCTCCTTAAGGATTTGTCTATCCATTCTCTGAATATACATATTCCCTCCAAATATTCTATGCTTCGAGCTCCCTACTGCCGCCGCTCCTCACAAATACACCGGACTCGGCTTCGACAACAGTCTCATCCAAACATGCTCCGACTTTTCATTCCACGGAATGACCAGTTCCGTCGGCGACGTGATCCTTCTGCACCCGCTAATGCTCCGTTCCGCCTCCAAAAACGGACGCCGTTTGCCTCGAATCATCACCAACCCCCCTGTCTCACTTGTTGAGCCATTCAATTTTGATCGCAGCGACTCCTCAGAGTATAGCCTGGTTGAGCTCAAGACGATTCGCGATCTAGGCGGACACGAGAAACTGAAGGGTTGGAAGGTCACGGGGGAACGATTGGCGGTGGTGCCGGAACGACCGATGTACCAGGCTAAATGGATGGAGGAGGAAATGAGAGGCTGAAGAAGAGTGGAATTGAGTACGCGGACCGAACACAGACGAATGAGTAGCTTCAGGAACAAGCGAAGAGGCTGGATGTCGGACTGGGGAGTGTTGCTGTTGCTTGAACACAGTCTTCATTGGCAATGTACCAATGGATATCGCAATGGAGGATTTACCAGGCTCTCAGTAGAGATTGTATGTAAGAGAGGAATCATTTACTCCTAGTCCTCCCATCACCATCAATACCTTGATAGGATAGCATGATCAGCAGAGAGAGTCCATTTACTCCTCATGCACAGCAGAAGACAAGTGATCAGGAAGCGAAGCACGAATATTGGATTTTTTGTCTGATTTCAGATTGATCAACTATCTATCGCAGAAAACCGACCCCGAATGATGATCTTATATGGTCCCTGTTAGCCAGTTTTGGGTAAACCGATTTGCGATGTTGGTGGATGTTCATCATGGTCCAAGGCCTGTTCCCCTTGTCCACCACGTAGAGAGTTCCTCGGTCTAATGGCAAAGAACCATTAGGCATCACCCAGGAAGAACCGATCAGACCGAGGACGATTTCAGGTCTCGCTGCGTCCCGAACGGTTCCATCAATCATTTCCTGACAATGTGGAAAGGTCCATTCACTGACACAGGGAACTAGCATGCTGAAGATCCAGCTGCAGTAAAAATTACGCCAGGTGGTTCCCGGATGGGTAACAGTGGAGCTTTTGGCTACTGTACCATGGGCCAGGCAGAAGTCACCTCGATCGCTCTGGGTACAGGATGGTGGTCCATCTTGTCGATTACCGCAGTTGAGCATGTATTTGTCTGATGGTTGACTTGGAACACCGTTGGTGGAGCAGTTGCAGTTGAATCCTCGAGTTCATTCTCGGTTTCGGAGAGTTCAACAGAAATTGAACGTTCCTCGTTGTCATGTTTGGTGATACAGCTGCACAAGCCGATCACATTCAAAAATTCTGGTCTTCCCTGGGCATCCTCTGGGTCTCGAATCGCATATATAGGCCCAAGTCCCCCTACAATCTCTGGTCACGTCTTCAAAAGGGATGTGGAGGAGTATAGTTCAGAGGGAGAGGCCTGCAATAAAAGTTAACCTTATCATGATCGCGTATGTCGTCTGCAGAGCACATCACTTTCGGTCTTATTGGATCGTCTGGAATTGGTTGCTTCGTCATTGAACGGGCCTGAGCATCAACAGCTCTTGGCGCACTCAGCGTACGATAGCTTTGCCGACTGATGTGCAGTCTAGCCCTTTCTTCGTACATTCGCTTGTCCAGTATTTGTCGCCACAGACCAAGCATAGTCGTGCCATGGAATCCAGTGTAGAATATATCCTGACTCTTGAATATCACTTTTCCATTGGTGTTGCAGGATACGAGATTGACGGCTTCTCACGTTCATTTGTCACGTGTTTGTCCACAAACCAAGGGCCCGTCATGCCGAACTTGGATCTCGTTCAAATCTCGCTGCAAAACAGCCGGTGTAAGGTCTGATGGATGATCCGAGGTCGAAAGTGCCGTTCGGGAGAAGGGGTGCTGAATTGACATGACCCACAATGTTGGATAGGCTGTTCAGAATGGTTCCATCGTAGTAACGAAATAGTTGGAGGCAATGATGTATGGAAGCAAACATCGTTGTTGAATAGTAGCGCTCATGTCAACACATCGATAGATATCATCACCTTTTGGGCCCTTGGTAGTTCAAGAACCCAAAATTCTGGCCCATATAGATGCCATTTTCCTCGCGCCTTTGAGCAAATAACTCTAGCCCGCGTACGATTCACCCAGACCTGGGCCGCTTTACAACCCAGTTACCCTCCCTCTCTTTCCAATTTGCTGGTTATTGAGGTGTCTGGCTGTACGATCCTGAACAGGATATGAACTGCTGTGTCGAATGTTCTGCCCATTTTCCAGCGGTAGTCATTAGCCATAAGGTGGATTTCACCCTCGACTCTCCTCTCGACTCTACAAGCATGCCACGGCAGCATTATTTTAGTTCGCTAGAGTTATTAAAGCCCGGTCGTAAGGGTTGGTTTCCGCCGTTGACAACGCCTATATTGGCACGAAATAGAGTGCTCATGTACCTCTAATACCCTGACTTCTCATATGGTCGTCATCCGTCATACCTCTCAGTTCCTCCAAGTAGCGCTTGAACGTTCCGCTCATGGTGGCGACCTCTTCCAGATGAAGTCTAGTAACCAGCACCTTTCCCTCCTTCGTGTACTTGTCGTTATGCTGCGCATCCCATTCGGCGAGCGCTATCATGGTATTGAAAGCATTTCGGATTTCTCTCCCATTCCAGTTCAATTGGCGAATATTTTCGTCATTGTAGGCATAGTTCATCAGTGTGAAATCAACCTTGATGTTTGGTCTTTCTTCCGCAAGCTTCCTGAAGCTGGTATCCCAGATTTCCCGGCGATTATCCGTGGTCAGGTTCGGTAGATGCAAGACAGCATGGATACGTGACAAGACGGCCTCATCGAAGCTGCCAATGCGATTCGTGGTCAAGAACATGAGGCCCGTGTGATACTCGATCGCTCTCAAGAAGACAGAAACAATGCTATTGCGCTCGATATCCCCGTGAGTGCGCGATTCCAGGAATACATCAGCTTCATCGAAAAGGAGAACACCATTCCAGAGCGTTCCGAGGTGGAGCCAGCGTTCAAGCCCCCGTTGAATATCGTAAGCATATGTTCCAAGATCTCCGCAGGTGATTGTAAGTAGAGGCCGATGACTGAGCTCCGCTATGCATTCGGCGGTGGTGGTTTTTCCTACGCCAGGCTTACCGTGAAGGAGGATGATCTGGCCTCCTCCTTTATTCGGTACAAAATCCGAGCTCCACGGGCCTTGTTGGTCTTCCTTTGCGTGTTCCGGGGCATCCGAGCTTTTGGACGTGATTGCGTAATTGTGAGACAATGCTTGAACTAGGCGACGAGCTTCGTTTGATATTTGTAGTTCGTCGAGAAGGCGCTCGTTGTAGACACATTCGGATATCGATTCTACCGCGAGGAGTTCTACACTCGGTTAGTCATACACGTCATCAAACCGTAGTTACCATTCTCAAAAACAGTCCGTAAGCATGTCCATGTCGGGTCAAGCGGTCTCCCTGGAGAGAAGAACTTGCTTCGGTAGTTTGGCACAGATCAAAGAAAATATGGAGCACTGACCCCAAAGACGTTCTTTCAAAATGTAGGCTTGAATGGTGGGCGGACATATGATGTACTGCTCATCGGGGAGTTCCTCTGTAGCGGACAACTTTAATCTCTTTGATGTTGCTGTAGACTGGAAGCTTTTAGTTGCCCTGCCGCGCCACCGATCCGGCTTTCGACCAGGGTATCTATAAATATCATCCGAATAACTGTCCTCGTAATCCCGATCTGCATCTATCGGTTCCGGGAATGGTCGGCCTCGCGAGTCGAGCGAGGAGTCTTCTTGCCCGGTCTTCGGTTCTACGTTGGTTGCTTTGTGCGCGTAGAAGTACGTCTCCGAATCGACGATGATTCTCGTATCTAAACGGCGGCGAACACCAGAAAAGGTCTCACCATGATAGTCAAACTGGCCTCGTGATGCTAAGCTTTGGTATCGGCGGCCACGCTGAATTAGCCGATCTCGAGTACTTCCGTCTGGGTCCTTCAGAAATTTGGATGGATAGATCTCGAGGTCGTGGATACACTTTTCGCCCTTGAAAGGATAGACCACAAAGAGTTTCGATCTCAGCGTGGCTTTGCGGCCGTCGTGGGTACGATAAGTCACACGGATGTTCACTCTTTTGATCGAGTGACCCGTGGACAACTTATCTATGGGTCTCAAACGCTTTGGATTCACGACCGGCTTGTCGTCATCGTCGTATTTGAACGGTCCTTCAAGAGAGAAGCTCTTGACTTGATATGCTTGCATCTCTATCGTCCCGGCGGACCGTCCCTCATACACTAGCTCTTGTGGGGGAAACAATAGCCATAACCATTCGAAGGTGCACACCGGGATCTCACGCTGCCACCGTGACTTCTCACGTTGCATATCTGAGAGACACTGGGCGTCGATGAAAGAGTACAAAATCTTCATATGAGAGATTGCATCTTCACGTGTCTGCACCTCATCTTCCGAGGACGGGGCGTCCGAATCCGACGCGTCTGAATCATGGTCGCCATTTTCCATTCGGTGATGATCTTGGCAGGCCAGATCGACGGGCTCCCCCGTCATTAGCTCATCACGAAAGTACAACAATGCACAAAACGGCTCGGGTACCACCAGTGATTGACTGTCCCGAGCAATTCCCGGGAAATGCCCGGCTATCGCCTCGATCGCTCGCATGATGTGAGGTGAGTATATACGGAGAAGTGTTCCCGCCTCTTGCACGATCTCGAACGGGCCGTCGAAATTTTTGGCATAAGGTTCTAAAATGTCATCGAAACGATCCCTGTAGGGACTTAGATCGGTGTCCGAGCTGCTCGAGCTACTTCTGGTAACGCCCACGACACGTGATCCAAAGCGCCTGCGTTTCGCACCGGAGACGTACTTGTGGACTTCAAACACAGGCAAATCACCAGTAGCATAGGCATCTTCCAGTTGCTTCGTCCGCTTCTCGTGTTTACGACTCTGCCTGGCACGAAGTGGTGATATGCTTTTGATCATTTTTGGTGTCCTGATCTTCGAGTGATGAGAAGCATCGTGAGGATACACCTCGGCTGAGTAAACGACATCTGGCGTCACTTTTTGTTTCTTCATTCTTTCACGGATCGCCGGTTTCTCGTGGCTGTCCGTGATTGGCAGATCAAGTGTGATAGGTATTGTAGCGGTGGTACCTGCTCCAAGCACCTGGCGCAGTGCATCCGCCATAGTGTTCATCTGTTCCCCTAGCTGCTGGACAGAGGCTCGAAGGTCCTCGAAGTCGGTTCGTGCAAAAACCACATCAGCCGTCGAGCCATTTTGCGCCGCCTTCGAGAGCCTATTTCTGCGTGTACGAAGTCTTTGTCCGGTACCACCATCTAACCCAAGTCCTATTCTCTTACCGTCCACCTCTTCCGTCACATGGTCCGGGTCCGATGGGTCCATGGCCCCTCTGAACAAGGAATATGTGACGCCATTGCGCGCCATGATCTTGCTGGTGTGCTTTCACGTCTTTCAATAGTTGTGTGTAGATATCTGCCGGGTGCAAATATGCGGTCGGGACGCAAAGGGAGCGCAGTTGGGTCACGGAAACAGGTCGAGTGCTGTGTTGAGGTGCTGAGGCACACACTAGTATCATCATGTGTAGCTCTTTGGGAGAGCTACCGTCGCATTCCGGTAGAGATATATTGACCGGTTGCCAGCGATATGGGGCTGCGACGTAGCCGCTGTACTGTAGCTGGGACGTCCCTGTCTGTGCCCAATGGAATTGTCAACAGCACGTGGGGGTGGCTGTATACTCTTATGCACAGCCACAGCCGAAGCATAAGAAAAAGTTATGATCCCCGCTCACATACCGCTGCCTCATATCTGGACATCGAGCAGCCTTGTCTTTCCTGAAGTTCAGATTGATGCTGTGAGAGAGAGATGTTCTCTTCAGCTGACCTGCTTGAGTAGAAGCGAAAAGCCATGCCTTCAGACTTAACCACTTATTGTGGCAGCCAGGGAACTGTGAATCCCGACTCTGGTCCAGCAGGGAGGGTATATTGGAAACAATACTTCGAACATGAAGACCTGTCGAGGTGAGCGTATTGTCGATGCTTGCTAGCTGCTTGCTGAGCTGGTGCTAGTACAGAGATTCGTATTTTACAGGAAGAAGGAGCATATTTGTCCAGCATCCTCCAGAAGGCTTCTCCTGATGACGCAAGGGATGCGTGGTCGTACGAAGACCTTCAAAAAGCCGTTCAGAGGTCCAGACAGGCATGGGAGTCCAAAGAACGCCTGGGCAAAGGGAAGCCGCAGAAACTTTTTCACAGTCTGATGCAGAAGTTTGACATGCACTCCACCCTGTTCCAAATATTTCCTTCTTCGAATACCTATACATCATTAGTGGCTGGGGCGGCCACGGTTCTTGTCAAGGTGAATCAATTTCGGAGCCTTGGTTCTATTGTTCCTTTCACAGATGTGAGCTCTCAAGTTAGAAGGTAAATACTGAAGTGGGTGCCACAGGCTTCCGTGAACCACTCAAAAACCATTGAGGAGCTTAGCAATGCTTTGGATTCCATCAGTGACGATATCGGCCTCTGTAACCTTGACTCCAAGCTGATCCGCAGTCAAGCTGTACAGAACGCAATTGCGAAACTGTATATTGCCGTGTTTCTTTTTTTTGGCGATGCCATCATCTGGTACAAGTCGTCGAGTACCGCAAAGGTTATGCACAGTCTTCACAAGGACTTCTCTGAAAGATTTCGAAAGGCCGTCAACACCATCAGAGATCAAGCTGCAGCGGTCCGACATGCAGCCGAGCTGGGATCACAGGCGGAAGTGAGAGTGGTCAGGCTTGATGTAGAACAGCTCAGAGGAGAGCTACACGATGCCCGCATCGGACTGTCGGGCGAGCTGCGTACGCTGGCTGAATACATGCACTGGCAACATGGCGAAAATCTGAAGCAGCACGAAATTACCCATGAAATGTTAAGGGCAGTAAGGGCAGACGCTGGAAGTTTGTCGGTGCAGAACAGCATAACTTCGCAGCTCGAGAGTGGCGGCAAGGATCTCCCTTTGGCTCTACCAGCAGCTCCTGATACTTCTCCTTCCATGTCTGTGGAAGCAATTTGTGAACTACTCCAACAACTCGTGTCATGGCATCTGGAGCATTCTGTTCGTGGATTCCGGACAAATTCAGTCCCTGCCCAAACACTTTTTGATCCTCAGCTTGCGCAAGCGATCAACAAATGGCTTTGTGCAGCATCGCAGCCACTGTTATACCTCGAGTTCCTTCCGAAAGACCAGGCTGCTAGGATCGACCACGCTGTCGGAAGACAAACGGCCAGAGTCCTGATGGAAGCCAAGATACCTGCCGTGATGTTTGCACAAGGGCCTCATCATAGAGAGCCAGACTCCGGAGACAAGGACAGCGATACAGATATTATTCTCGCGATGCTCAGCATAGCGAAGGATATCATGCGACAGCTTCCCAAAGATGATCAGCAATCCGCACCAGTCTGGTCGGCATTGAGAAAGCGAGAATCACCTGACGATGTGGACTTCGCAACAGCCGGTCACATTCTGGATGCTGCTCTCCAAGCGGCTCCTGCCAATCTACATATTGTCCTTCTTGGATATCCCACATTCTGGCATACCAATGAGTCCAGGATCAAGGCGTTCCTAGGCATTGCACGAAAAGTGATGCGGGGCGACAATTCGGGCATTCGAATGGTCATCATCACCCAACGCAAATTGCATAACGTGCTTAAACATCTCCGGCCGGAGGAGACCGAATCAGTGACAGCCTTTTCCGGCAATAGACCAGTTAAAGCTCCGATCATGGTTCGATGGGCGAGAGCCGAGAGACCTTGATACTGCCAGCACTTTCTCCTTCGCTTAAAGTGCTCTTGCTACCATGATAGCGGCTATCCTTTCCTCGAACGCTTCACCTAGTATGAAGCTTGAAGACTGACGCTGGCTCTTTCTTGAATGATCAGTCTACTTCCTGGTGAGCACTCAGATACGCAACCCGATTGTCTGGCCTGGCCCCCGGTGCAGTAAGAAAGTGGTGGTTCCGAAGGACTTCGCCCTCGGAGCTAAGTAGTTCGGACAAGCTAGAAACATGTCATCGATACTTTGAGGAGAATGCTGAAGTCAATGATAAACGAAATGATATTGGCTATTCGTCTCCGACGAGGACTGACCTCTTGGATGTTCAAAAGTTTCGTATACGAAAAGGAGAGTATAAGGGGAGGAGAAAGAGGCCACGAAGGTAGACGTTGAAAGTGGCTCTACTTTATATACCGTGGCTTCCCCTTGGTGGATCACTAAAAGGCTGAGGGCGACTCACAATTGGGGGGTCAATTATCAAACGATATAAGTGGCTACAGTAGCTTCACTCAACGAATTCGAGTCATGCCAGGACTTTTTGGCACGGGATACTGCATCTGTAGCCCAGGGAATCACATACCCTGAGGCTGAGGTCACGTGGGCGACTGCTTGACCATGCCTTATGCATGCGTCAGCCTATGCAAAGCTGCACTGATTCACCATTGACTGAAGCAGCAAATGGCGGGGTATTGTAGTTTCTTCAGAGCACTGTACCGCCTCACCGGGCTCATATGGTGGAAATTAATTTTAGTTAGTTGAGATAAGATTTCCCACCGCTTATTCCCCTTCGTTCTGCAGTTGCAAGTCAAATGCATCATTTGATCGAGTCTGAGAAACAATATCCAATGCCAGGTGGTCTTCAGAGCTAGACAAACGTGGGGCAATACAATACCAATCGAGCCTTTCTCCCATTGTGAGGCCCGGACGCCACAGTCATTAACACCTCAACTGTTGCAGCTCACGTCCGGCCGGTCCTTGATCTGGCAGCGTACTCTGCCTCAAAATTTGCAGTGTGGTTGTTTGAGAAAATCCAAAGTTACATGTCGTCAGCATTGAACCAGGAGTGATCTTGAGTGACGTGAACATCATACATGGTTCGGTGCCGCCGATGGATACAGGTGAAGTCCACTCGATAACCCAAACTGACAGGCACCAGATCCACATCTGACATTTGATGTTTTTCATAGCCGACCTTGCCAGGTCCAGAGGCGAGATTTTTGAACAAATACGTCTGGGCCGATTGGGAGGAGATTTGAAATTCGCCGCTCTTCACATATGCCTTCACCGGGTGGCTCGTCATGGTTGAGGCATACTATCAAACTGGCCAAGTCAGTGGGCAGGCAAGCGTGGTCCTGGGCCTTTCAGGATGGGATTGACTGAATTGACTAGTCTATTGATATCGACTTGATCGATCTCAAGCGATCAAGGGGTAAGGGTGCGAGTAGCAAGATAACAGCTTACTCTCCTAGTGGCTTGGCAGCCATGACACAACAGAAGGCTAGGATATGAATATGTACATGGTTCTAAGCTCTTGCATGGTGTCTCTAGTTTAGCATGGCACCGTGATATTCTCGACGCGCTGAACGCAATAACATCCCAAAAGTTCAACGTACAATCCAATTCATGGTCTTTGAAGTTCATCTGAGTGGCCCAACACTCAACGATTCGTAAGCTCTATCTCTATGGTCGTAATCTCGCAGTCGCTCAAGACCACCTAAAATATGTCTATACATTGATTTGAGGGCTAAGGAGCCAATGCGACCGCAAAAAAGGGATCATGTGAGGAAAATCAACAAAAGCACCAGCCCATTCTGGATCCGAAGAAGCTTCCCCCCTCCATCCTAGAACGTAAAGATTCCTAAATTCAGATGGGGGATATGCCAATAAAACTTCGAACGACCTCGTGTCTGCAAGAACACTTCACTACGGTTGACTCGACGAACCCTATCCGAATCTTCTCATTTCAACCTCCTCAGGCCGGCCGTGCACGGGGACCATGGCCGGGAATGGTTCACCTTCGGCAGTAGAAGCAATCGAATCCACGCGAACGGCAGTAGAGCCGATGTGGCCGCTTCTTTCATCCAGAGGGGGCATAGGGGGGGCCTGGCCCTCCTCAGCCAAAGAATCGCGAGGGAGATCAGTGCTTCGACCGGGGCGATTAAACCGGTTCAAGAAGCGATTGCGGTGTGTGTCTTGACTGCTGATAGAAGCTCGATGGCCACTGATGGAGCCCCGATGGTTACCGTTGAAGCTTTGGGAGGTGGACCTTCTCAAGATTCCACTCATTGCATGCTGATGATCTCGTGAAGTCGATCTTGCCACCCCTTCGCGGTCTTGACTCTGTGAACTTCTGCGTTCATCTTCGATTCTATTGGCTTCTCGAATCACTTCTCCATATTGGCGAGGGCTTCGATCTTCGTACACATCTGAGAGTGACTCCCCGGAGCTAACCCCCTTCATGCCCAAAGAAAAGTCCACGCGTTTTGCTAATGTTGACAGAGATTCCCCTCGGGGACGTCCGAGTTGACCGGTGCTAGGCCGACGGCGCAAAATTGACGGATGGCTCAACGGAGGTGCAGCAACAGGCGCTTGGTGCAGTGGATCACCGGTGAAGGAACCTGGTGGCAGGCCGTTGTTCGGATCATGGACGTCTCCACCAATCAGCGGAGGAGCACCCGGAGGCAGTTGCATGAAGTAGGGCGCATCCGGTCTCCAACCAGCTTGGTTGCGGCGAGGTCCTTCGATACCGATCTCTTGCAATGCCACCATCAGGGCACAGATGAATTTGTTTCGTCGTTGCAGACGAAGCAACTCGTTTTGCCAATTGGATTTGTAGAAGAAAACCACGTTCAAAGTGAGTGAGTACGCCTCACAAACCTCACGGAGTTCGGTGAGGATCTTCCCCTGGTATTCACGTTTCTCTGATATGACGAACTCGGTGAGTGAGTTGCGCAAGGCTTCAATCTGCTCGAGGGTGGTGCCGAATCGGATCACAATCGGGACGGCTTCAGCCAGACCTCCCGAACGTCGCATGTTCAAAATGAACAGCGTGTTGAGGTAAGAATTGGGCGCCTGGACAATGTGACCTTCCATCTTCTTGAACTCGGTATACAGAAGAGAGATCTTCTTGACAAAGTAATCGTCTCCCTTCAGGGATGAACCGGTGTTCCCATAGATCGAGACTCGATCTCCCACGTCGAAAGGATGCTTGACGAAGACGAAAATGCAGGACTGGAGGAATTCTTGCGCCGTGGCGGAGAACAGCCAGGACAGAGCAAGAATGGCCGAGCCCGCAGAGGTCAGAACACCGGCCGCCGAAGTGGAAATGAGGGAGATGAGGACTAAAATGGTGACGACAGCGACGATGAAGAATAAGACATCGTCCAACCGGCCGACAACAGAGTCCAGGTCCTTGAGGGAAGCCGTGATCGATTTCCGTTCTCTTCCAATTTCCACACAGACCGCTTCGAGTTCTTCCATCGAAATATCACCATTCATGTCCTTGTCAAACATGCTGAAAGCGGCTTCGGCTTCCTCTTCGTTGTCAAAGGCTTCTTTCAGGTCATCTGATGAGACGGTCTCATTACCTTCACGGACAAAAGTGCGGTACAGACGTCGAGCGAGCACCTGAGAACCACTCGTGGTGTTGAGCAATGTCAGGACGACCTGAGGGGGATGACTGCTCTTCGCCACCTTTTTGCCCGTGAAATCACCTGCCACCGTACCAGCCACATCGCCCACTTTGGCAAAAGCCTTCGTGATGGCAGATTGGGCTTGAGCAGCGTACATCCCCGGCGTGCGCGCACCGGACCCAGGCTCGGACGGTTTCTCAAATTCCGCGTCTTCCATGGCAATCTTCGCCTTGGAGAAGATGTACAATTTGGTGAGACTCCCAATCTGGAACTTGTTGATTTCGATCCGGTCGGCGTACGTTCGCAAATGGAAGGAAATGGCTATCAGTTGGATGATGATTTTCTCGATGAAGTTCAGGGTCGTGCCCACAAAGATGGAGATGATAATCTTGTTGAGAACGTCCTCCCATTCCTGTGTCTTCTTGCTGCCATTGACGTGGTGATTCTTCATGGTCGGCAAGAATGAAATCTCAATGCCGAGCCACCAGAAGAAGATCGTCGCCGGGATTTCGAGGGCCTTGCCCAAGTCTCTCCACTTTTTGGCATTGTTGGTGAAAAGACTGGCAATCAGTCCGAGAGGATAGGGAATCGACTTGGCCACAATGCGGCCGGCCCAGAGCGTCAACCAAATGATTTCAAGCCAGACGCCAAACCAGATGAGTTCAACACCACCCACACTAGCATTCTCCGCCGCGGGTAGGAATGCCCCGATCAAAATAGGGATGAGGAGGAGAGCGAAAACTGGGACGATGTAGGTGAAATAGCGGATCACGAAGCTAGATTGATGAACATACTTGAAGAACTTGGCGACTTTGGTGCTCGGGTTCTCCGGCGGCTTGTAGATGGCGGCGCGTTCGTGAATAGGATTGGTAGCATTGTCAAAGTCATCGATGGGTTCCGGAGCCCGAGATCGAGATCGATGAAGGTTGGTAGAGTTACGGCCCTCTGTTTGGCTGGATTCCATGGAAGTGAGCTGTTCAACTCTTTGCATCGCAAGCTCGTCGTCGAGACGGGACGCCTCTTCTCGGGTTTGGGAGGGAGATGGCTTCGGTCCTTCAAACCGAGCACCCTGGTCTCGAGTGGTCTCGATCTTCAAACGCTCGTGCAAGAGCTTGCTGTCCACGGAGCCTTCAGCTCTGTCATTGCCAACTGCAGTGCTATCATCGTCATCGGAGGTTCGTTTGGAACTGGGGTCGACCTCAACGCGAGGGACTTCTCCCCCCGGAGCGGCCATCGTGTACAGGGTCGGATAAGAAATTCAGTAATGTGACAGGTAAAATTTTCGTCAACGATCGCTCCTCTTCCCGGTAGAATATCGTACAATCAGAAGCCAACCAGTGGCTCTGATACAAGGTAGCGAACGTGAGGGTGTGCCGAGGAGAGTTCCCCCTGCCGTGTGCGACGGAAAGAAGCCGTGCTCAAGCAGGGCGAGGGTATTACAAAGAAAAATAAACAAAGGCGAGAACAAAAAATCGAGGTTGTGATAGAAGAACGATTGAAGGCGGGGAGCGTGTTTGTTGAGGGAAAAAAAAAAAAATGAGAGAATCAAAGAAGACAGGAGAAAACACGGAGTACGGACGCCGAAAGGCTGTGTGATCCCAGCTTCTCTCTCTCTTTTTTTTTCCAATGCATGTACAGTAGTAGCAGGGGAGTCGAGTGAGGGATACGGAGCTGGTAGCTCGAGGGGCGCATGTTTGGCGACGCCGAGGCGATTGGCGCCGACCAGGGTCGAAAAAGACCAGCAGACCAATGCAGCCAGTCGACAATACATGGCAGGGAATTCGTGCTTTGCTGGGCCTGGACGGTGCCAGCTAATGGGCGATTCCAATTGTTGCGAAGATGGAGCTGATGGAGCGAAGCTCTACCAGATGGCAACCGGGACATCTTCGATCTGCCCCTGAACTGGCCACTTCATCTCCCCCAGCCGGGGCTCACTCTCCAGTCACTGGACTGCACCGCGGCCATTATTGTGAGGTGGTCTGCATCGTTGTCCCCGCCCTTGTTTCACCCACAACGCATAATGTCCAATTCGAGAAACAAGGCCCTTCGTCTCGCAAGCTTCTGTGATCGTGATCGAGTGGGCCATCATACACGCATCAGCGGACGTTCGACTGTTTGATGACAACGCGTAATGTGTCCGATTCCGGGTCATGCAAAGCAGAACCATTGTATACAGAGCATAGAGGATGAGACGACTTGTTTTGTAACAATGCAACACTACATCTGCCGATAGCCATGACCAGGATATACAGGATCAGCTTCCTGCAGCATGTGTTGGTCATGATTCCCAAAATTATACAAGCAGAATAATAATAATATTAGATAATTTACGAAGTCGTCAGACGTTTGGCTGAAAACCCCCTGGTCTATCAAAAGCCATGTCCTCCTTTGAGGTCCCTTTATGGCAAAGGCCCGTTTTGCGGGTCTTATCCTTTTGGTGGCGCCCGCCGTTGTGGCACCGAACGATCATGGCAAAAACCTCGTTTCATGTCTATCATGTGCTTCCGTCTCGAAGATTGGTACAGAGGACCTTATCAATGATGGGCGTTCAAACAAGTACGTAGCATCACTCCAGATTTGAACCGGCTGCCTCAGCCTCAGAACAAAGAAATTGGAGATTCGTCTCGGGATCTCGGGGTTCAAGACAGCTAACAGGTTGCGATCGAGGAAGAGACGTCTACTCCATCAGGGGGAAAGGTCCCCTAGAAAAGTCAGCGACCGGTGCTTGATCCATTCCGGGGCAAGGAAAGCCTTGTAGATTTCGCTGTTGCTCTTGAACATTTAAGTTTCCAAAGATCTTCGCGCATTGTGCTACTCCAGTGTCATGGTACTGTGCTTCACAATCGGTCTGGCGTGTGGTGAATGTTAATCGGTTTTGCAACGTCGCACAGTGTCGGAAGGGGAAATGTGAGTCCTTGCGCAAAAGATATGTGTTGGTACTTTGGGCTGCAGGTACCAATGCCATCAGCGTTTGAGAGGCGCAGTTGAGAGGGCAGCGCCCCTGAGCCGGATATGTGAGTGAATGTCTGGCGGTGCAGGTCGGCTTGGCTTCTGTTTATGCCGTTTTCCTCCACGCGCCAATAGCAAATCGATAACTCCAACGCACAACTCTTTTTCGCCTTTGCGCAGGCTCCTTTCCCCTCTGTCACGTTCCCATCAACAATTCTGGTCTGGCTTCCATCCCGACCTGCATAGTGTGCCCTCATCTTAAGACCATCGAGTGCTCACTTTCGAATCGCAAAATCCCTCCAGAATGCACGGGGAGGTAAGTGTTGGTCCTTTGTTGGTGTGCCTCCGGTGCCCTACCCCTCCACAATTTCTCAGCAAATCAACAAATCAGAGCACGACGCTCGACAGCTACTTGTCGAGTCTATCCATCGGATGAGTGAAAGTTCCATCGTTTACTGACATCTTCTTCCCTTAGGTCTGCCACCTGCACATTGGGCAGGCTGGCACTCAGCTTGGTAATGCCGCTTGGGAATTGTGCGATCGAAACGCGCCCACCGCTACTTCAGATCTGTTTGGCTAACCTCTGCGCCCAGGTACCTACTCGAGCACGGCCTGAAGGCTGACGGTCGTCCTGACCCTGACGCCAACGTCGGCGATCCTGGCGCCTTCGAGACCTTCTTCACCGAAACCAGCAACAACAAGCACGTCCCCCGTTCCATTTTCGTCGATCTCGATCCCTCTCCGATCGATGAAATTCGGACAGGAAAATACAGATCCCTTTTCCACCCGGAGCTCTTGATTAGTGGAAAGGAAGACGCGGCAAACAACTACGCTCGAGGTCACTACACCATTGGTAAAGAGCTGGTCGATGATGTCTTGGACAAGATCCGTCGCGTTGCCGGTAAGGGAATCCGATATATGAGCTCGGGATATTTTCAGAAACACTGACTCTCGCAAAAAGACAACTGCACATCCTTACAAGGATTCTTGATCTTCCATTCCTTCGGAGGTGGTACTGGTTCTGGCTTTGGAGCTCTCCTTCTTGAGAGACTCTCTGTCGACTATGGCAAGAAGTGCAAGTTGGAGTTCGCCGTCTATCCCGCCCCCCAAGTGTCATCGTCGGTCGTGGAACCATACAATGCTGTCCTCTCGACTCACAGCACCATCGAACATGCCGATTGTACCTTCTTGGTTGACAACGAGGCCGTTTACGACATCTGTCGTCGCAATCTTGACATTCCTCGCCCGGACTACGAGCACTTGAATCGCCTCATTGCCCAAGTCGTCTCTTCCGTGACCTCGAGTCTACGATTTGATGGCGCATTGAACGTCGACTTGAACGAATTCCAAACCAACCTGGTGCCATATCCCCGCATCCACTACCCGCTCATCAGCTACGCACCGGTTATCTCGACCAAGCGATCTTCCCATGAGAGCTTCAAAGTGCACGACCTCACTCTGCAATGCTTCGAACCCAATAACCAGATGGTCGTCTGTGATCCTCGCAATGGCAAATACATGGCTGTCGCACTCCTATACCGTGGTGACGTGGTTCCTCGTGATGCCAATGCCGCCATTGCTTCTCTCAAAGCAAAGTCGAGTTTCCACTTGGTCGATTGGTGTCCTACTGGATTCAAAGTGGGAATCAACTATCAGCCTCGTAAGTGTACCGACATCGATCTGAAAAAAAAATATCCTCCTAACTTTCTATGTTAGCTATGCCTGTTCCGGGCGGCGAATTGGCCAAAGTCGATCGCTCCGTGAGCATGTTGTCCAACACCACGGCCATTGCCGAAGCATGGAGCCGACTCGACCACAAGTTTGATCTCATGTATTCGAAGCGTGCATTTGTCCACTGGTACGTCGGCGAAGGAATGGAGGAAGGCGAATTCTCCGAGGCGCGAGAAGACCTGGCGGCGTTGGAGAAAGACTATGAAGAGGTCGCGAGCGACAGCTTGGAAGTCGAAGACGAGGCCGGCGCCGAATACTAAGCAAACACGAACTGAATAAGTGGACAATGGACTGAGCGAGAAATAATGTGGGACGTAAATTGGAGCTGGATGGATCCGACAAATGGGAGACAAGGTCGCGAAAGCCCAGAAACCTGGGCACCGAGGTGTGGGGGGACATGGGAATACCGAGTTCATGCCTATCCACTCTCTGAAGGAGAGGTTGATGAGTATGTAAGATGAATGAGGTCAACGGGTGTTCGAGCACGAAAGCAGCGAGGGCAGAAATTGAATAGCACAACCGTCGATTAGCACCACATTGGATTTGAAACGTGGGCAGGTTCGTACTTTTCCGGCAGCGCATAGCCTAGACTGGCGCCTTTGTAGGGAGGTAGATGAATATTCCAAATTGCAATGTTCGTTTGATACCCGATTGCCGGTGTGGACCCAAATCACAGGTCACTTTTGTTCAGCCTTGTCTGGACAGCCTTGTCAAATTTCACGTGACCTCACTCCCGTTGCGTGCCGACCCCAGATCTTTGACCTCATTCTCGATTCTCAATGTGGCCTGAAACGATAAAAGACCGTGTCTGGGCGCGCAATGCACACCTGTTCTATGACAGTCCGCTCCACCCTCTTCATATTCCAACACAAATGTCTCTTCCACTCCCCTATGCTTTCACCGCGGACAGTCGACCAACTCTTTACCGCTCTCGATCTCACACAGACCCATCCCATCAGGATTCAGACGCTGAAACTTCACCAACTCAACCTCCAAGACTTTCTCATGTCCGCTCAAGATCATACCTCTCTCCAGCAGATCCCAAACCACGAAATGCCATCACCCTTCCCGCGGCCACTACATTAGAGAAAACAGCAGAGAAACTCCCCCGACTTCATCTTCCCGGCTCGTCCTATCGACACCATCCCCATCACCACCATATTCAATTTCCTCACTCCCAACTAAATAATGATATGGCTTCGTCTAAACGCCACCGCCCGACGCAGAGCGATGCCAACCCTGTCCTGCGGCGGTTCCAATCCAAGGAAGCGCTCTCGAGTCTCCCACATCTCGTCGCAGGTCTGAACGCCGAGCGAGAAAAACGCAACCAGGTGGCTGCGCAGCACGTCGTGGGCCCCTCTGGGGCCGTCACAACAGACAACAATGAAAGTGGACGAGATGATCTACGATATCCGGCGACTTCTGACCCGAACCGACCACCCCTTCAACCCAAATCCTCATTTGATCTTCTTCTAGAGAAAGGTGACCAAGCTCGCTTCGCGAAACGGCTACACGTGAAGAAAGAAGACATCATGAGGCGTGATGCCGAGATTGCCGCCGCAGAGGAAGAGATGCGCACACGCATTACATCCATTACGTCCACGGGCATCGAAATCACCCGCCGATTAGACTACGGATACTACAATCTGCTAGAAACAGTGGGGAATCTGGTGGCGATGATTACCAGCTTCCAGTCCCTCAGCAAACAGAGTGGCCAACTTATCGCTAACTTCGACAAGGAAACCGCACGACTCGATGCAGACACGCGCAGGCGCGTCGAGGGCTTCAAGACGGGCTTTGAAGCACGAGAACGAAAAGCCGCCGCATTGGCTGCGCGAGGGAAAACGGCCAGTGCCAGAGCCGAGAGTCTGAGTGCTCGCCTTGAAAAGGCCCGCGAAGACGTCGAGAAATGGGAGAAACGCGAGGACCAGGTTCGCAAGGTCTGGGACCGCGTTTTCGGAATTTGCTGGTGGACAACGATCATGATGTTTGTCCTGGTGATTCTCGTCGTGCTGGGCAAGGAGTGGTGGTTCCACGGCGACCCTGTCAAGGCTGGTCTCCGTGCACACAGTGAAGGGAGTTGGAACCGCTCACTCCGCCTGGGGGGTGACGGCGGCTCCATTGCCGCAGAAAACCAACGACTCCTTGAAGACAATAGCAGTCTCCGTCCAAATGTTCCCGAGGATGTGCGACGGATCCTCCTCGGCATCGCTGACAGGAATCGGAATCGCAAGGTCGCCTTTCCTGAGGTCCCGAGGGAGATTGTCGCCGGTTCTGCGGAGGCAGAGGGCTGTCTTGCTGATGTCAATCCTCCTCTCAAAGATATGGAGCACGATGATCCTAGAATGAAGAAATTGGATGAGCTGTGATCATGATTTATGAAATTCTTTTGCTTCGTGCATGGATCGATGGGTCATTTTGTGGGATGATATAAACTGGCGTGATATGGGTACGGTTGACATGAAAGGAATCACGTAGGGCATATTTGTTTGGATATCAGAGATACCCCTGATTGCATTTGTTTTCATATTTACAGCTTGACATTGCGTGGCGTAGTGTAGCAACATACTGTAAACACTACAGCAACATTCCTGGGGCATTTCTCTTAAAAAATTTGAAATACTAGTATCTTCATGTGTGCGAGGGAAATCCTCGAAGTTCATGTCATTCATGGTCATTGTTGGCCTTCCTTCTATTCGTCTATCCAGTGCCAAAAAGGCATGTCCGCCATTTCCCGCCCTAGGTATGATCATATATACACAATACCGCTCTCCTAGTCTTCTGAGGAGTATAGGTGAGAGTGGCCTCCCGGCCCCAGGGGAGTCAACCTTCCCAATGGAGCCGGACATATCCAGAAAACACACGAAGGGTTAGTGATCATCCCTTCCTGGAGTTCCAATCTTTTTTTGTATCATGTCGTGCTCCCCTGGTATTGTAGGACTTTCGAGGAAACCGTCCCGATCCGAAGGATATTGTTGTCTGGATATCTTTCCCTGGTTTATTTGCTTGGTAGTCCAACAGCATATCTGGAGAGCCCCATCCTCCATGGTGACCAGTTCAGGTCAAGTCGTGTCGTAGGTAGATCAGTTTCAGAGTCAGATGTAGATATCAAGCATCTGGCTAAGGATATTGCTCCGAGAATGCTGGTTGTGGGCTGTTTTGTAGCTGTAAATTTTTTTTTTTTTTTTTTTTTTTGGAAAAAAAAAGGTCCTTGTTACCCAGATTGTATGTCCGCTCTCTTCATCTTCTTGGGACAGCAGCGCCGTTAATTCCGTTGACTCCATTCGTGAATTTGGGTCCAATGACAGCCTTCTCTAACGCTTGCAGAATATCCTTCTTCAGGTCTTCAGCATCCTCAACCCCACAACTGAGTCGGACGAGATCGTCAAACACGCCAATCGCCTCACGCTGTTCTTTGGGAATTCCAGCATGTGTCATGGCACTGGGAACTTCACAAAGACTCTCGACACCTCCCAGGCTTTCAGCAAGCGTGAAAATTCTGGTTTGCTGGCAGAATCGCTCTGCCGCAGCGTGACCACCCTGGAGTCGGAAACTGAGCATACCGCCACCCATGCCATCACGGTGTTGCTTGATAGCTATCGCTCTCTGTTTGTGGGAATCGAGGCCTGGATAATTCACTGCGATGACATGAGGAGAAGCTTCCAGGGCCTGTGCGACGGCCAAGGCGTTCTTGCTCGCTTCGCGGGCTCGAAGGTGAAGAGTTTTGAGACCTCTGTGAGCCAGCCAGCAGTCAAAGGGGGATGGAACAGCGCCGATGGCATTTTGTAGGAATGTCAAGCGTTCTTTGAGCTCGTCTGAATTGAAAGCCGCCACACCCATGACCACATCAGAATGCCCGTTGATATATTTGGTGACAGAGTGTATCACAATATCGGCTCCATGATCCAGAGGATTCTGCAGATAGGGAGATAGGAAGGTATTGTCCACCACGACCAGTATACCGTGTCTATGGGCAATTGAAGCAACATGCCGAATGTCGACCAAGCTCAAGGTAGGGTTCGAAGGACTTTCGATCCAAATGAGTTTTGTTTGTGCCCGAATCAACTCTTCAACATCCAATTCGATCGAAGGGGAAAATGTGACTTCGACTCCATGCGCGAGGGCCACTTTGGTGAAATATCGATGAGTTCCCCCATAGACGTCTGATACTGAAATGACATGCGAGCCCGCAGCTAGAGATTGGAGAATCGTCGCAGTTGTAGCAGAGCCCGAAGCAAAAGCAAGAGCATATCTAGCATGTTCAAGAGCGGCCACTGCTGCTTCAAAATTGTCACGGTTCGGGTTGGCACTGCGGCTGTATTCGTAGAGACCCACTGGCTTTCCAACGGCTGTTTGCGCAAAAGTAGTAGAGAGGGAGAGAGGTTCAATGACAGCTCCGGTAGAGGGATCTAGAGGTGAACCAGCATGAACAGCAAGTGTACCGAAATTATGGACTGGTGAAGGAGGGCGAGCAGGAGTATCGATTCCGCCGTCTTCGTTGGTCAAGATGCGCTCATTAGGACGTAGAGGACGAGGTGAAATAGTCATTTTGGCAAGGAGCCTTCAAGCTATTCTGTCGATTCTGTTATCGAGAGGGAAAAATGGATCAGACAGAGATTGACCAGGGGGAGCTTCGGGGTAGAGCACTTCTTAATGATATCGGGGGGTAAAGCGAGGGGTCCAATCAGAGGATTCGGGGAGCAGCTCGAAAGATAGGATGGTATTTGAAGGGACGCAGAGCGGAAGAGGGAGGGATTATGAAGAGGCTGAGAGGATGACGGAAGGAGTGAAGTTCATCTTGCCTGAGGTCTGACGGAGAGGTATGTTGATGGGATAGAATGAAATGGCCATCAAATAATCAAGTAGCAGCAAAATGACGTGCTTAGCGCCTGAAACCGTTGACAGCAACTACCATTGCATAGGCTCCAGGCTTTCTTTGCGCCCGCGACCAGTTGTTTCAACGCCTCAGGGCTCGTTTCTCCGCATCTGATCGCCTTTCAAAGGGCGCAATTTAGTGCCTGATGACAAACCACGAACCCTTTTGGCTCGCCTCCCCCCAACCGTGAACCAGCATGCTTGATTGCACCGATTCACGTGCCAATTCCATCATCGACGACTCCATGACTATTCATACCTCTTTCGCTCCCTGCCTCGGGACGGACGAATGTTCAGGCACCCTCGGGCACACACGTGGCGGATGGAACCATCGCCGGGAGGAGCATTGTATGAATCTCCCTAAAGGCATCACTGACTCAAACACTGTGATGCCCAATGTGACAACAACAGCTGAGTCGCGCCATGCCTCCTTCTCAGGTCATATGAAAAAATTTCACCACCATTCAACACCTCCTAGGCCGGCCTCGGCCATTGAAGCCTATTGAAAGTTAGCACCGTTCCCCCGTCAGTCAGGACAGTCAGTACTTCTATAGAGTAAGGAACTTGGCATTCATTCTCTGTCTCAGTTTCGCTGTCCGTGATGGGACCTTTTGGGCCCTGGTCTTGCCATTTCTCGGCCTCGATACGCAGATTGACAATTGTTCCTTCATCAAACCAGAGTTCGGACTCTTCTGTTCTCCACACCCATGTCTTCTCTGCTTCGTCGCTATCAATATGTCAATTGTTGGGCCACATTTTCGTGTGATCGGTATCGGCCTTACTATTCGGACCCCTCGAAAAGCATGGTCTGAGGCACAAAAATATCTTCAAAAAATTGGGTCGTGACTTGCCTGATGTTAGATAGGTTCGCGGCAACTAGATGACGTTTCTCACTTCGAATGCCCTTGGGCGTACACTTCTGGACCGTGCCGGTGATGACCTCGCCTTTAAATGGTCGGAAGACGATCATTCGAAAACGGACTGCATTCCGGATGAGTATTCCATTCGTCAATTAGAGGCAAAGCTATACCGTTCACATTGGCATTGCCAGTGCCGTTTCCGATCAAGCCATCCGAAGCTTTCAAGAGGTCGTACATGCAAAGACAGAGCCCGACTTTTTGCACCACCTACCGCCATATCAGGAATGTTCTGAGGCTTCAGCTGAGAAACGTACTTTGTTCGAATATTTTTCATTGATTCGATCTTCGAGGTCCTCTCGAGTTATCTGGTTATTGCGAAATCCATGAGGTGGGATCTGGACAAGATCATCGAATGTAGTCTATAAAGTCAGTCACGCTAGTTGGGTGAGGGAGGGAAGAACCTGCAAGAATGAACATGATGTGAGCCGGTGCGTAAAGGGCTATGATTGTGTGTCTCCGTGAAAATTGTATCAAGCATGATCTCGTCTGTTCAAATGTGGTTTTTGCGCTTCATAGGAAGAAGATTCATTCAGATAGAACCTCCGTCAGATATGAATATCTTTTTGCCCATAGTCTCAGGGTTTTGAAGTGGGACTTGACTGATGCCCGTCTTAAGTGCTGATCCGGACCAATCAACGTGGTGCCTAGCAGATGAAACAAAAGCGGCGCTTTGAAGGGAACTGATGTCGACGCCGCAATACATCAGTACCTTCTCACGATGCATCTGCTTGACGATTTACTATCCTACGGCTGGTATAGTCATTTTCTCAGTCTGCGATGACATCAATTACCTCGAGTCCCTGGATATGTCGAATCAACCCTTCTCGTTCCCTCCTCCACCACCTCCTCCGAAGCGAAATCCGGAAAGCATATACCACAAACCAAATGGGTCTCAGGGTAGTACCGGAGGCTCATTCAGAGGTGGCTACTCGGTCAGAGGAAACACCAGAGACAGCCGCGGAGGCCGTGGCGGTAATCGCAACGCACCTCTCGACCACCCCAGCAGCTATTCGCAAAATTCAATGAAATGGTTCAACGATGGCCCGCGACAGGACTCTTTCATTCACCCTCCTCAGAAGAGAGATCATGCTGCTGCTTTCAATCCTGTAAATCAACCTCGTCCTCGTCCGACTGCTGCTCCTGCCGTCCCCAGCTTCAATGCTTCGATCGAACACCTCCTCTCTCGGAAGCCTGTGGTAAATCAGGCTAATCAGAGTGCTAGCCCTCCGCAACCTAAAAAGCAGAACCTGCTTGGTCTGACCCCTTCAAAATTGGAAGACGATTCTAATCCAGAGGATGACGAGGATGAGGAGAACCGCCTGGCGAGCCATACGAATTGGAACTCTCAAACTCTAGAATTCGAGTATAAAGGACGCACGTCCACATTACGGACTCCCGAAGATATAGCTGCTTGGATAGCGGAGAGAAGAAGACGATACCCAACGCAGGCAAAAATTGAAGCTGCGAAAAAAGAGGCAGAAAAGAAAAAAAGGAAATGGGAAGAAGAGAAGAGGTTGAGAATGGATGCCAAACGTGAGGCTCAGCGGCAGAGGGATAAGGTACGGGCGGGAAAACAAACAGTGAGGGGGCAGACACTTGAGGTACAGCCACGGAAGTACCAGCAGGAGGCGGACAGCAAACCTGTGATCGATGCCGCCGTCCGAACCAAATCGAAGGTGGAAAAGCTGAGGAAGAGAGCCCTCCAAGCAGAGCAGGAATTAGCGAAGGCTGAGGAAGCTCTACGATTTGCACAACCAATGCAGCAGGTCGCGGATACGCAGTCTTCAGCCCGCACTTCAAACCAGATGTTGGATCTGGAATCTGAAGCACTCGACTCGTCTTCCGACTCAGACCTGACCGATTCCGATGCCACCTCCTCCTCGGGCTCATCCACCACAGACTCGGATTCAGATAACGAGTCTCGTGAGGATGGCACCCCCGACTCCGACACGGCTCCAGAAATCTTAAGCACGAATCAAACCAGACTCGGAGATGGACTTCGTCCCACACCGCCCTTAGCAAAACCAGCGAAAATTCCACGTCCTTGCAAGATTTTCCTCAAGTCTGGCCGCTGTAAATACGGCTCAAATTGTCGATACTCGCACGACATATCGGAGAAAAATCCTTCGAGTGCTCAGAAGGATGGCGGGGGGAGCAAGAAAGACATCTCGAATCCAGCATCAGTCAGTACCAAGAGGAAAGGTCTGTTCCAAGTCATGGTCGAAAAGGAGCGAGAGGACGAGAGGAAACGATTACTAGGAGCTATTATCATGCTTGGGGAAAAGGGATTACTTGATGAAACCACGAGAAGTCCGGATACCTCTGCAAAGGCAAGCGACAGCTCGCCGTAATCAACATGTCCTCTTTCTTCCAGAGACCCCAAACCTGGCCAAGCAGGGCTACAATATGCTTCTTAATATATGTACGTGGGAAGGTAGCCTAGGTAGGAGGACAACTTAGTCTGGGCATTGAGGGCATTGAGGGAAACCGCCTCCAAAGGCGGCGGCAGATTTCTCTGGAACCTGCGTTAAACTGTCGAAAGCAAATGGGCCGAGAGGCAGCTCACCGGAACGGAGCTATGCTCCAGGAGAACTTGTTGTTCAGTGCTTGAGAACGATCGACCACGGCGTCTACATATCTTCAGCTCAACGGCCCACGGCCCACGGCCCGATGGAGAGGACAGTGTCATGGCGACATTGCTCTTCCTAGATGACCTTGATGGCCACTCCGGTCCACCATCACTTGGTTGACAAAGGTGTCCAACACCGTGACAAAGAGGGTAAGTTGAGTTCATCGTCGCTCTTTGACTCAAGGCAGTTTGTGAACGCAGTTTCAGCAAACTGAACTGCGCGTTGACCAGGCTGCCGGCCTCAGCCTTGTGCTGCCCCAGTCACTGCCAGCACCTTGGTATCGATTTGCTCGATGTCAATGCAGTTGGATTATTTCACTCCCGTCCGCCCTCAGAATACTCATTCTTGCCGTCGACGGCAAGATCGAAGGAATTGACATGATTCAACGAGGGTTTCAAACATATCAACCAGCCATCAGTTCTCGCAAATGCTATACTTCCAGCACCGAATTTCTTATCAATCAGGATCCTGCGTACGGTAATCACACTCGACCAATTGGATCTTGGAACATGAGGAGAGCGAGGTCAACAAAAAAGCTCTTGCAGGCGTTTACACACGCCCAGACTTGAGTCGCTCGAACTCAAACAATTCTTCAACAGCTTACCTGTGCTCTACAAGATCAAATTTGGTCCGAGCCAGCGACAAGAGTACTAGAAATGGTATATTGAACTCGGGTTGGTCTCCAATTGTGAACGCAGGACTTTGGTATCATTCGAAATGAGGGCATACTAGGCTGTCAAAGAGGATCTCAACTGCTTCATGTTGAAGCGCGCCACGGAGAAGAATGACATGGAAGATTCTGCATTGACCAGTGAGGAAAGATCAAGCTCTCAGCTCTATAATTAGAGAAGGAAAGGGTTGGAAGTGGATCAACGTTGGACTCCTCAACACGGACACGGCATGAATTTGGAATACGTTTCCGTAGAGAGTGTTTGGAGGAACTCCGCCGTCGCCTGCGCCAGCAACTGCTGACTTGAACACTAGCTTCGCAATTTGTTAGGTACCTACCACCTGGGCACTCAGTTTATCAATTCCCACCAACGCGTTCGCTTCGACTCGTCCGTCACAATCACTAATACCTGCGTGGCCACTCTTGACTATTATGGACGACACCATCCTCACAAATCAGGCATAACCGGGGGTCCTGCTGCAGCCCGATATCCTTCTGCACACCAAACGAGCCAAACGAGCCAACGATGTTTCCATTCACCTGATAAGCCGTCTCACTCTTCAATCAGCACCAGTTATGTTTCACACCGGTTGTATTGCAGAGGTCGAGACCGAACTAGTCCCTGCTGTTCCCTCCGTTTTGCCGTCCTCAGAGCTACACTAGATACTGGAAATCCCGAAGGGGCAAAAGAGAGAAGGTTGATGAAAAGAGTCTAACGGGCCTCGGGCAGATGCAGTGGGTGGAATTGCAGCTGATCGATGATGCCCCTCGTGTACCTGAACCTTTGGGGCCTGACATGGAGTCAGCATTGACCAAAGGAGGAATCGAGGGGGCCTGAATGAGGCGGTATCAAACACGAGGCAACAATTAATCCTTCAGACAAGATTTTAACATCTGGTTGCCGATGGGCCGGTTTCTTCAGCGCTCTTCGGCCGTCTCGGTTTCACGTACTGTCTCGCTCTCGATCCTTCCAAGCTCCTGCTGCAATTCACCCGATTTCCATAGATACCACTATCACTTTCTTCACCGCCAAATGCCCAACCGTGGGTCAAGTTCGCGTGCCTGCAAACACCACCCCTCTTTCACCCTCCAGGACCCTTCCACGGTTCAAGAGCTAAGAAGACCGATTACGGCGCTTTGCTTGATCGAGCGGGTCGTCACTTGGCGTCACGAATTTTCATTCGGTGTTGTGATGGAATCGGTGAAGATGAACACTCCTTGATTGGATCTCCAGAACACAATGTGTCTTTGCCTTTTTAACCGTAGAGCACAGAGGTGGGGCTTTGTACTCGCAAAAACAAAAAATGGTGCAAGAGAGACATGGGTGCCCATTTGGGAATTTGGAAGGGAACTCAGGAGGAGGGGTAGAGGGGTAAGATCATCCAGCGGCATATCGTTATATAAACAACACGTTGCATAGCGGCACGACTATCTTCTCTTCCTCTTTTCTTTCCCTCAAGCTTCTCAAAGCCCGAATCATCTTCATCCAATATCTCAAGTCCATTCCATCTTCAGTTAACCACTTTTCACACACATCTCCATCACCATGGCTGACGCTGAGACCAAGGCCGCACTCCGTGCCAAATTCGACAAACTCACCCCCGAAGACTTTGCCTCTGTTGCTGGCAACAAGGATGGCCTCGCCGAGAAGGTTGCTGCCGCATATAGCATCTCCAAGGAGGAGGCCTTGAAGCAGATCGATGAGGTTTTCGCCAAATAAACGCTCCAGACCCTTCTATCCTGTCGACAAACTTCAACAATCCCAATCGACTTTCCACTCTTCCAATGGACAAACAATGCAAAGCCCTTTTCCAGCCACAACCAAATTTCGATACCTACCAAGCTGCGGAGAAGAGGGGAGAAGGAAGAAACCAAAAAAAAAAAAAAAAGAGATTGGGGTGTCAACAGCTATCCAATACCTTGTGTTTGTGTGAGAGGGTGCAGGACGACAGTCAATGGACTTGTTCATAGCGAAGGAGTCAATCTCAATTCTACCGACATCCAAATAGAAAAGCGGAATGGACCAATTCCAGAAGGAACACCGCAGCTCAGCTCCGCTCCGTCCTCTTGCTTCTTGCATTCCGTCATCGTTCTTTTTGGTCGGGCTTCCACTTCGTCCACACAGTGTTGCTGTCTCTGGTTCCTTGCCATCCGGCCCATTGACCCTTTTTAAGCTCACCCTGATCCCTTTCCTCACCTTCCTCGTGTCCCTACCCGTTCCCATTCCGCAACTATGACCTTCATCTGTTTGCTCGACACTTCTCCCCTATCGCTTTCCCCCTCATACTCGAATCTGATCTCTCATTATTGGGGTTGAATTACGTGCGTGGCACGCTTGAAGACAACGGCAGATGACCCACGTGTTCGTCCGAATGAGAAGCTCCTCGTTCGTTCCTTATCATCCTCGATCTATGTCTTCCAAGCTAGCATCAACAGGCTGGAGGGTAGAAAACAAAAGGGGGCCCCAAGTCGTCCCTCCGTATCACGGATCACACCATTTTCGCATCATATCACCTAACATCACCTCGGCTCATTGCCCAGCACCCACCGCCAGAGAGACTGTGCATGTGTGTCCGTCCTACCAATCTGGAACGCAAAGACCATTGCGTACGCCGAAGCCTGATCTGGAAGAAACGAGGAAAAGGCAACCTAGGTACTCGCCCAGATCTAAGATCTCGAATAGTATTAACATACCCTCGTACACTTTAGTTGATTGAACTATACTTACATCTCTGCCCTCCCCAGAATTGATGAGGGTGAGGGGGACGACGTTGGAAAATCTTGAATCGAGGAACGCACCTCGATCATGTCTATACCAGCTCATTTCCCATCCTTTCACCTCTCTTGATACCTTTTCGCCTTGTTGCCATTGCCGTCCCAAATCCGGCAATAAAGATACTGAATCCCAATTGATCCGCTTGATTTACTCAGATACTTCAAACTTCTTCATCCTCATCCAGCCCATCCCCGAGTAACTCGTCGTCCTCGACAACCTGGGAATAATCTTGTCCGCGCCTTGCAAATGCATCTCTCGAACGATAAGGGGCTCCATACCCACTGGCACCGGTTCCTCTTCCAACTCCAAATCTTCCGCCACCTCCAGAGCCCAGGGGAACATATCCTTTGGCACTCCTCCAGAGACTCATGACAAGGAGGGGAGTAGCCTTCGCGACCGCCACGACGCCACTAACCACCGCCACCGGCACTGTAATCCAGGCTGGATCTCTTGACTGCGACGTATCTCCCATGCTCTCGCCGAGCCTGATCTGGCCAAACGAACCGAACCCAGTCTGCCATTTCGTGTATACCCAATATCCAATCCCCGCCGCGGCAGCAAGAGGGATGACAATGGCAAAGAACAATGCCGCACCACTGATGCCGTGTTTCTTTCCGTATTCTTCCTCATGGCCTGGGCACGGTCTGCTTTCCAGTTTATCCAGCTCTCGGCCTCCTTGGCACGTCGTCAGCGGTATTCGCCTATAGCCTGTTGGGTACCAGAATTCGACTTGGTCGGGGTTATCACGACAGTTCTGTTTATGATCCTGCGGTTGGAGGCCGGGCACGAGCTGACATGTTCCGTCCGGCTGAACTTGATAATTATAGTCGCATTCGAAATCTTGTCGGGTACAGCTGCAGTTCTGCGCGATGTTGTGAAGATGGTCAATTTTCTTGCCGTTGAAGCATTGCGCGTCGGCTCGCTTGCGATGGTATTGGGCCACATGTCCAAATAGGCAGTTCGAGTCTTGCATGGGATGTTTCGGTTCCCATAGCATGTAATCGTCGTTAACCGGGTTTTGCTCGTCCAGGTCACATTTTCGCTGTCGTTCCTCGAGTCCACCGAAATCAAGATGGACTGTAAAAATGCCCTGTCTGGCATTGTTTCCTACTTCCCGACCCCAAAGTAAGAAATTTCGAGAGTTGTCTGACGGAACGGTGGTAATGGCGTCAATTTGCATTTCGACGTTGGGGGAAAATTCGAATTCTCTCCATGATTCACCTTCGTCGAGGGTGTAGAAAAGGCTCCTGGTTGGTTGTGATTCCTTGATAATGACGATGATGCTGCCTTGATCACCATATTCCCACATGTAACTACCCTTCTTGACTGACGTCCACGTTATGCCAGCATCGCGAGTGATAAATGTGTCTGTGCTCTCGTCGTCTTTGGGAAGAAGATATTCACCCACATTACCAACGGCCATCATGAGACCAACCGCACTAGGGCTGGAGAATGTGGCGGATTTGTCGGCTCGTTCAGTGTAACTATGAATGTGCAGAGAGCATTTCGGGCCGGCTTTATTAGCTTCTTTGACGCATTTGTAGTCATTCCCAGAGGCATCCTTTTTCGGGGGCGGAATCAATGCCCACTCTGCCCCGTCATTGTGTGTGATCATTGACTTGAGTTTTTTCTTCTCGCCATGATTCGTCTCCTCCGGATTTGACACAATGTTGACCATGGCAACTCCTTCCAGTCCTTGCATCTTTTCGAAGTCGACATAGCCTTCGTTATCACGATTGACCGCACTGAGAGTGAGAACGTACGATGTCCCATTGCTATTCGATTTGATGATTGCTCCATACTCACGATCGGGCATGGCATTGACCGTGACGTGAAGAAAGACGGCATGGGTTGAACTATCCAGCACCGTATAGGCTTGTTGGTGATCAACGTGGAAATTCCTGGGAAATTCGGCAGGGGCAAAAGTCCGTCCATCAACACTGGCATCCACCTTCAAGCTCTGCCGATCTTCTGTCTTGGCCGCAACAATGATGAATTCCGACATCGTGGCAAAGTCCAGAATGTCCGGGAAATGAACTGTTGAGTCCCCGAAAAAGTTGTCACTGGACAAGAGCCTGAGGTTTTTGTCGGGATTCTCATCCTCGTACTGCTCGCAATAGATGAGTTGATCCGACCTGGCTTCCCCTTCTCTGGAAATGAATTCGCACTTCCTGGCGTACCGAACCAACGTCTGCCAATGATCACCACGATCTTTGGAGAAGAAAACATTGGTATGGTCATCTTTTCCGACGGCGCCGGCCCAGAGCAACCAATCCTTGTATTGTGGATGGAATTTTAACGTCGGTAATCTCAGATTGCTCGGACGCTCCGGTGCTGAAAACTGGTCGAATCGGTCTCCCCGATCAATGGTGTAATGTACCGTCTTCGAGCTAGTCAGGAAAAAAACCACGTCGGAGTTGTGAGGATTGGGAGCGATGGCAGTGATGGGCTCGCCCTTCAGAATTGGTTCCCAAGACTTGCCGTGATCTCGAGTGATAAAGATGTCTCGTTCGCTCGTGCGCATCACAATGGTCTCGTCGCTTCTATCAGACTTGTCGCCTCTTTCGAGATAATACCACTCAGAGAAGCGATCGGCATTGAAATTGGTCTTCTCAACCACAATGTCACCGGAAACTGGTTTCTTCACGGTATCCGAACATGGCCTGTCAATTTCTTTATCGAGTTCCTCTCCACCTTTGCGATTACACTCATTTCCCGGGATTAATCGCCATCCAGATGGACCTCGATATGTATCCTTCTCATTCTTACATTCTCCTTCCGAAACAGAAACCGGCCCGGCGGGAAGGCATTTCGACCGATCGTTTGGATCCCGGATAAAGTTATAGTCACACTCGAAATCCGCTTTTGTGCAAACACACGGTTCAAACTCAGGGACGGGGTCCTTGAACTCATCGTCAATGAAGCATTCGGCGTCAGCTTTGCGTCGACGGAAGAATTGCTTGTGCCCCATGAGACAGCTGGGCTTGCCGTCCGCATCGACTCGAGCCGGCCAACGCTCAAAGTCATCCTTTCCACAAACGCGCCCATGAAGGCCTTCAAAGTCGATTTTGAACATGAACCATTCTGTTTTGGCACCGGATCCGCGCGAGCCCATCATGAGAAATTTGAGGGTAGTGGAATCGGGAACGGTGGTGAGAAATGCGGCACGGACTTTTTCGCCTAGGTCGGCCTTAGTCCACGTCTTTCCATGGTCGATGGAATATCTGATGTGACTCGTCGCCTCCTCATTATCGACTGCAACGATGACGGCTCCCTGATTACCGAACTCGTAGAGATGGGCTCCGTCGAGACCTTCGTACCATGTCACCCCCGCATCGTCCGAGACAAAAAGATCACCATCATTATAATCTTTCAAATATTTCCCAGGATTCCCAACGCCCATGACAATGCCAGGGGCGGGGCTAGAAAATATCCTGCCCGCCTGCTTGGCATCGGTCACCGAATGTAGGTGCAATTGTTTGTCTCCGGCCTTGAGATTTTGAAATGTCCTGCCGTCATCGAAACTGATTTGTGAGATGATCTTCTTGTCTGCCACGGTCGAGCGCTCGACTTCTTCCCAATTCTCCACGGTGTTGACGAGAACAATCCCTTGAATCGTTTGAACCTTCTCAAAATCCACATGCCCGTAGATATTTCGATTGGTATGATCAATGTTACGGGTAAAGTATGTTCCGTTAGAATTAGACGTGAAGAGGTAGCCCATTGGATTGGACGGTCTTGATCCGAGGACATCGACTTGCATGCTGTAGTTGGTGCTTTCGAGGATCGTGTAGGCATCTTCATTGATCCGATGCTGCCCAAACTCTGCCCGGTGCCACTGTGAGGCGTCTTTGGTCACATATAGAGCCAGCTCATCTGTGCCTTCAGACTTGGCAGCAGCAACCACAAACCCCTTCACCGCAGCCATGCTGATGACACCAGTAACGGCTCGACCATCATCTAATGCAGGTTCGGCTTTCTCTCGGTCAAAGAAATCGTCCGACACGAGCAATCTATTGTCTTTGGGCCAAGGAGAATATAGACCTTCTACAATGCAGAAGATTCGATCGTTGATTTCGGGGGCAATTTCTTCGGCAAAGTCGGGGGTACTGACCGCCCATTGACACCCTCTGGTCTGGCTGCCCATCTTTTTTATTGTCTCAAAGTCATCATCCGTATACATGGCTACATCTGTGCAAGCCAGACCCACACATTGCTCGCCGTTCCAGATGACTCTTTTCGGATCTCGCCCATGGAAGCTCAATGGACTGCTGCGGAACAGAGCCAGTCCTGCGCCGGAAGACGAGAACCTTCTCCATGTCTCGCCCCTGTCCGTTGTTATCCAATGATCGAATTTGATTCCGAGGATGTATGCGCGTTTAGGATCCCACGGGTGAGGGTACAATTCCCAGGCGTTACCAGACTGCCCTTGACCATTGACCTCTGTCCATGTCTGTCCTGCGTCGGCGCTACGCCAGACAGTATTTGTCTCTTTATCTTGGCCCATGACGACATTGGAGTCGTCGAAGTAAAATACATTTTCGATAGCATTGTCGAATTTGGTGGAAGAGATGGAAGGGCCATCCTTTTTGGCGTACGCAGGCTCCGGCGAGGAGGCCAGCAGCAAGACGAGGGCAAGTGACGAGGCGATTGCGCGACGACAAAAGGACCTGATTATCATGGTCGATTACCGCATCGAGCGGACTGAAGGAGCCAATGCACAGGAATCGGATTATAAAGGATTGGATAGTGTACGAAAGTGAAATGGACAAGGTGTTGTGTCGTGAACCTGGGAACAAAGTTGGTCTGCCGAGAGGGCTGAGCATCATCATCCGGGGGGGGGCCCGATTTGGCAAAGCGTCACTTGAATACGGAGTAGCGTGTGTCAAAAGACACCAGTGGGCATTAATTCCTCACACATCTTGAGTGTCACAATGCATCATAAATGATAAGAGTGGTAGGTGTTATCACCGATCATGTTCCATTATCTATCCCCTTCCACCAATTTTGGCTCAAATCCACAAAGTATTGGATGTGTAATACAGCGTAGAGGAAAACGAATAGAGTGCCGCTCACGGCATTTCAATGATGCCCCTTTTTCGATTCCCTGGCGCCCAAATCAGGTTCCCCAGTCCCATATCCCCATCCCGAACTCCTACGCTGAATGACGCTGTAGTAAAAGGCTCATGCCACTCCTCCATGCATGTGAAATAAAAACAACTAAGATGTTCTAGTTATTTGAGCTTCAGTTTCCGTAAGAATCTCTTCATCTTCGATTCCTCCGTCGGTAGAGTGCCCCAGATTGATACCGGGTGGCATTCCGCCACTAGTTCGGGTCGCTCTAATGGTTGGTTGTTGACCTTGGTGTGGTTGGTCGGTGGTAATTCCTCAGGTGAGCGAAGATCAGGTCGAGTCAACGTCATGTGCAATGTCATCTCACGATCTGTAGCGAGGCCACGGGCATATGTTTCTGGCTGCCTTCTCACTGAAACTGGTCTTAGACCCGCATTGCCATCCACACTGATCTTGTGGGATGGTCGGTGTATTTGAAAAACTGGATCCTCTGGAGTTCTTGGATCGTACAGGGTGTCTGGCTCATCGGGCTCATCTCCTTCGTCACCGGAGAGCGACGGTGTGTCGTCGTGAAAGAATGTCCGGTTCACGTCGGGCCTTGGTTGTGGGCTCGTCATGGGCCTAGTGTGATTCAATTGTCTTCTTTCTTCGACCGAGGGAAACCCGAACTCGATCGCCTCATCGAACTTCTGCGGAGAAGCCAGATAGAGTTTCAATTTCATTCGAGCGGCAGGATCTTGGTAGTGGGTGGCTCGCGGGTCAATGGATGATAACGAAGCTCGAGATCGGATATGTTTGAGAGAGAATGAAGGTGACCGTGAGTGATGGAGTTTAGGTGGTGGTAAGGCTGGTGTGCCTGGTGGATCGAGCTGAGGACGAGAGGACAAGGTTGAACTTCGGCGAGGCCGAATCGAGATACTCGAGAGAGATGGATTGCGTCGAGCATGTCGTTTCGCTGGCACTGGTTCTGATATGGATGCAGTGCGGCGGGCTGTTTCTGCAATGGCCTCATGATAATCGTCCAACTTCAGGTCGAGATCACCTTCATCCTCCAGCCATCGAAATCCCTCTATAGAATAGTCACCCATGTCGACGGCAGGGTCGGCTTGGTCTTGGTCTTTGAGATCTTCCCAATCCACAAAGGTGTTGTCGTCTGAGACGTGAGATTCGAAGGCGGTGAATTGACTAGGACGCCGGTTGCGACGGCGGAGTGTCTCATCGGCTGCGTCAAGGATGACAATGTTTCGTCCTCCAGTATAAATGGAACACTCTTCCCTGGAGAACAATTTCCTCTGAATCGTAGGGGGTAGCGAGGCGAACCAAGCAACCGTCGACGGAGTGACCTGAGTATTTGCTGCACACGATCTTCTACTGCGGAATCTCGTGCGGCTCAACAGCAAACCAGGAAAGAGGAGGCCGTTGGTCAGAAGGGCAAAACTGCCTGAGGATTGTGTGGTGGTCCAAATCCGGCCGGGAGAGAGAATAGACAAACGAGAAGGAGGTGAGAGGTTGCTGCCATCTTGTGCTAATCTGAGACGTTCTAAGCTGCTAAAATACTGGTGCAACACATTTGTTAGCCTGTGGACCTGCAGAATAAGCGATCGACGGAGATGTCAACGGTCGTTCAAAAACCCAGAAAAAAAATGCGCACATATTTGGGATAGCTTGATAAGGTATTGGACGGGGAGTGGGTAACAGAGGCAAGTGCCTTGGATTGGGAAAGAGGGGGGAGTCGAGGGCCGTGCCGTATCCAGGGGGAGCACACAGCAGCCCGCAGTGCCGAATGCCCTGTGCGCGGCCCAGAGAGGCAGTGAGATGCAGTCTAAACCACAAGAATCCAAGCCCTGGCAGCCTCAAACCAGGGGTCGAAGCGACCGTCAACTGGCGGCGTGGGATCCCTAACAGACAGTTCTGTCCATCATGTGGAGCGAACCCCCTAGGGGATGCCGGCATGCTGGAGGTCAGGCGTTGCCGGCCCAAGACTCGGAGTGACGTGCGTTCTTTCTTTCTCCTCCCCTCTTATAGATCGTGGCTTGATTCCACTACTCCATAGCACGCCGTTTTCCCAAGCCGCCGACTTCTTTTTTTTCCGGGGGAATGTGCAAACGAGTAGTTACCAAGCACTCACTTTTCGACGAAGAGCCGGCGGCAGAGACTCGAATGCAACCTCATTGGTATGAGAGTGACGACGTGAATTGCGCATCTTCGAAAAGTCAAGGTGGTGGTGCCGATTTCATAGAGGACACAGGCAATAGCTTATTCGTCCGCTTTGGCCGTCGTGCCTCGCATCTCAATGCCTGTACCTTACCTCAATTCGTTCCTGTTTTGCGGGAAGCCGTCTAGACTGATGTGCCGACAAGCATATCCAGGAGAATCGAGAGCTCAGAGTTTGACCGGTTGGTCCAAAAATTCCGATGATCTGCTCTCTTTGCACCGTAATGGCTGTAATCCTACCGGTACCTGCAGGGCTACCACTGTACGCAGTAGTCAGCAGCTGATAGGCGAAACACGGACTTAGACACGAACGGCAGGAGAGAAACGGGTGGAATATTAAAAACAGGTCCAACAATAGAACGGGACTAGAGTATATAACGACACCTGAAAAAAGGGAAGAAGTCAAAGGCAAACGAGTGAAAGTAGAAGGGACTCAGCACTGTCAATCTTGAATTCACCGCTATCTTATATGTAGGAATTTTGTCTGAAGCCTGTCACCCGAGAAATGAGCATTTTCGAACCCCCTTTCCCTTCCCACGGCATGCATGGGCTTCGTTGAGATTAAAAGCTGCAGCAAGGCACTCTTGACACATGACTTGCGGGCATGGGCATGATGCCTGCAAGCTGCAAATTTGTTGGTTCTTCACCCTCTGGAATCCTCGTGGCGCGTCCACTGCTTGCCTAGCAGTCTATGCGTCTTGACACGCACATGTCAAGCCATCGGCTGATTTTGAAACGCCCAAAACACAAAATTCTTGCCCGCCAACTCCAGCCCTCTCCCACCAACTTGACTCGGCGGCGGTACGACTTCTCGCCAAAGTTCATGCTACTACACCAAGACCAGGGACGGGGTCACCATCCGACTTGGTCTGGAATCACGATCTTTCATCGATCCCCTTGTACCACCAAATTTTTCTAGACGAGTCGCTGATACTCCTTTTGCAAAAGAACTACGACCATCGGTTCACAAGAAGTATGTTGGCAAAGGTAGAACGCGCACGGCCCGAATGATTTCCAGGGAGATGTCATGCTCTACCTGTCACTTTTAGAGTTCGACGTGTCAGAATTGTCGACAGCCGACCTAGCAGGATCCCCTCGCTGATCCTATCTTGAAGCTCTCCCTGCCAAACAGTCATTGATTTCCTCAAATTCTACGTTTGAAGAGGGGGAATATCTGCATCTGGGCTTTGACTCTCGGCTCAGAACGCACGATCAAGATCACCATTCGCGTGGCAAGACAGGGATGTTCCATGTTGTCTAGCCGTTCAATGCAAAGGTAAAAACGAATTGTGGCTGCAGAAGTCTCAGAAACTGTGTGAAGGAAGGCGGAGGGGAAACCACGGAATCCGGACATGTACAGTCAGGCCGTTGGGAATAGACTTCTCAACTACCAAAGTCGTAGAGATACCCGCCTATTGGGTGTGTAACCATCCGGAAGAAAAGACCGAACGAGGACCCCCATGAATCCTTTTTCGTGTTGTGACGCCAAAATTCCCACATCGGACTGACACAGGATTCACCTCGACCAAGAATTAGTATGAAGTCGTGCTGCCCTTATGATTAGCGCTCAATTGATGATCTTGTGACAACGACAACACTTCAGGAACTCTGAAGACATATCAGCGGCTGAATTGCGCACTCCTCAAAACACCCACCACCCTACCCAGCACGAAATCAGCTGAAACTCTGCCATGACTGGCGAGCCTGGGATGATGAGAGCCCTTTCGAGGTGCATGGGCATCAATGCAGCATTCTATAATGTTGCCCGCCGTTGCCATCGTTTCAGCTCGGGACGAGCTGATCAAAATCAAGAAATAAGCAGTACGGCATAGGCATTCGACTGCATCTCGGTTAGGTGAGTGTTTGCAAGGCATCTACAACCTCAGACGGTCCTGCAACGACGAGTTGAACTATACCGCGTGTCGTCAGTTCGAGGCCAGGCATTGTTTTGAAGATCCAAACAGTCAAATTCCAAGCCGTCTTATTCATGGGGGCTGTGAACTTGGAGCGGCTTGGGACATTTATTGACCATTAACACAGCTTCAGCCAGCCCTCCTATCCAAAAGTGAGGAAACTTAGGGAAAGGTGGAAATTGAGGCGCAAAATGAGGTGTATAGTGAGAGAAGATAAGAGTTTGGCGCCACCAGTTACTGAACCTGGAGGATACACGAGGTGAGGTGGCATCGGATGATTTCAAGCCTGTCGCAGCTGGGAAAAATCCAGGAGCACAGAAAGGCGGTCTTGTGTACTGTAATACCGAAGACGAGTAGCAATTAACGGCCATAAGAGCCCCTTTCTATTCCTGATCCTGGCTGCAGTCTTGGCGGTGTGGCATTTGCGGCTGACGATTCAGAAGGAGATCCATCATTCGGTCGTTCCAACCCCCTCCCGCGGTGCCTGGAAAAACGACCCTACCAAGGTCTCGGATACGAAGAGAAAGGATGGACGCTGAGCAAGATGAGTGGCCATGATGCAGATTTGCAGATTTGCAAAATGAGAAGGCCAAAAAAAAAGGAGCTGACGCCATGCCCAGTGAGCTCCCCGAAAGGAGGCTGAGAGCCACGATGCTTGACTGTATATCGTTAGATCACTCGTACTTGTTCAAGCTCGAGCAAATCACTTCAGGGCGTGAGCTGCGCTAGGGGCTTTTGGTGGGTGTTGGTTGTCGCGCAACAACCACCATCGATCTTCGCGAGTGACAACGCGCGCTTTTTTGCTTCTTGACCAACCGGCCCCCCCGCGTCGCTCGTTGTCGTAGAACTCGTTGCTGGTGTCTGAATGAAACTAAAACAAAATCTTCAGCTTCCGCTCGTTCTCCTTGTTTATTTTCACCCACCACCATCGAGAATCCTTCTGCATATAACTCCTCCTACTTCCCTCTTGTGTACGCCGATCTCCACCACCATTACCTACCTGTCCTGCCTCATTTCCACTCCCATCTACATAGTCTGAAACAATGCGTTTCCTCTACGCTGCTGTCGCTGCCCTTTGCGCCGTTGTGGTGTCGGCTCAAGAGAACAATGCCATCAGCATTCCTGCGGGTCAAAGCACCTTGGATGTGACAGCCGGTAGCCCTCTGACCATTGAATGGACCAACCCTTCAAGTGGCACCGTCACCATTAAGTTGCAGCAAGAACCCATCACCCCTGAAAGTGGCATCACGTTGGCCAGTAAGGAACACCCAAACTTTGCCTGCGCTCTCTGCAGACTCGGATCCTGACAAAGGTGACTGTAGGTGGAATCCTTGCCTCGACCGGAACTGCGACCGTTCAGATCCCTCCTGCCGACGAAGTCAACTCTTTCCAATACACAATTGAGATCATTGACGACACCGACCCAAGCAACATCAACTTCTCTCCCAACTTCGGTATCCAAGGCGCCACCGGAACTCAAACTGGATCTTCCTCAACCGCATCTTCTACCGGCACCGCTAGCACGGGATCCATCACCAGTACTGCCACCAACTCGACCATCACCGGGTCAACCGAGTCGACGACTGCCACCACCACGACGGATTCTTCAAGCACCAGCGGCACCAGCAGCGAGAGCTCAGCGACCACCGCCAGCTCTGAGACGACTTCGGAGTCGAGCTCGTCAACTACCTCCGCCGCTGCCGCAACTGAGACCACTTCTGCTCCAGATTCCAACGAAAACATGGCCAGTAGTTTGAAAGTCCAGGGAAGCTTCCTTGCCATGGCTGTCGGTCTCATTGCAGTTTTGTAAAGGACCACGCCAGACGAGAGAGACGATGCCCCATGAAAATACAAATTGAACCATGCAAAATCAAGCAATGCAGTGTGCGATCAACGACCATGATCCCAAGCTCCCCCATACGTCTTATATTCACCCGTCTTGCTTCTCAGCAGCAGCTTGTGTATATAATGGATCTTTTCTCTTTCTTGCCCTTGTTTTTACCTTTTTTGCGGTGGGGGAGGGTTGGTTTCTCGGAGTGTTACACCTTAGGTTCCATCAGAGTCGATTGGAATTTAGATGGGGGCATCCGTGCTAGGCCTCAGGGTGGGAAGGAAGGTTGGACATTTGACATGACTGCGTGGCAGACATGAGCACATATAGTATTGCAATTGGAGCGGGCGCTTGTAACCTGGAATTAGGGCTTGGGACATCGTTTTCAATCCGAGGTGAGACATTGCTTTAGTGGATAGGCATCAAAATAAAAATATGGTAGTTGCAATCCTCTTGTCTTCTTCCCTTGCATAAGTAATGTGTCTGCTCTTCAACACAAGGTTCCGGCTCAAGACTGCAACCTTTTCGGGTGCGCATGAGCGGATTGCTCATGCAAGGGATTTTGAGTCATATTAGAACTTCTTCTTGACTGCAAACTCTCTGAAGCCAGCATACGATGCAGCTAACTTTGACTGACTCTGTTTTCACACAGAAAGGGAATAATAAAGATGAGCTTGAAGGATTGCAAACGAAGAGCGTTTTTGGGCAGGTGCAACAGCACGTGAATCGCAACGGAATGTACCCTGACTTTGTCACTCAAGCATCCACAGTCCACGCAATCAATATGATACATCACTTTAGTCAAGAGCAGAATGGGTTACTTTGACTTAGACGAAAGGATTCAATTTTCTCCATCAAGGCGGCAAGGCTAATGGTGGTCTCACCTTTTTTTTTTTTTTTTTTTTCCCAGTGTGAAGGTACCTCCAACCGCAATATCAGGCATTGCAGACAACAAAGCCGTACCCTCTTGTGAAGCCTTTACCACCGAACATGATTATGATTCCTATCTTTCCAGCGAGTTCAAGGTTTTTGAACATCCTCGTCATTCCATCTACTCATCAACCTCTGGAAGTATCACCTTATACTTGTCGATACGCATGAGGGATCGGCATCGCCTCACCTCCGTCAATCCTCCTTTTCCCCTGTCTCTCCCTCTCTCTCGAGTTCAAACGCCACGAGGACAAGCAATGCAGCTGAAGCGAAGAATACCGAATAATTTCCGACTTCGGAACCCGAAACCATCCCCATCCACCGACTTTCTTCCCATACCATGCACATTCCATTCTATCCCACTACATCCCAATATAGTAACACCTGAACCCAGCCATCTCGTGTCATGATGGAAACAAAACTGGACGACAAATGCCAAAACACACATCGCGAAATCTCGGGGCCAAAGGGGACGCTTATCATCCAGCATCCAGGTGATAGGACGAAGGACTGGTGTGGTAAACTACCTCGCAAACAGCCATTGGATGAAGTCACGTTCAAATAGATCTCGATCAGACAACGCAACAGCCGATGTGTCGTAATCAATCACTCGCATACGTTCTGATCGATCACGTTATGGAAATCTTTACGTACTCAAATCCATAAACTCTTGCTAGAGAATTTCACCGGAGCAAGACCCAACTGGTTTGGGCCAAGGTCATGCGTCCTCTTCGATTTCAGACCTCTCTTTCCTACGGAAATGTAAATCCATGGTCGTGGCAATGGCTGAACCGAGGTCCAAGTCTTCCCATTTGGCAAACGTGGCCAGAACATTCCAACCCCTTGGGAGATCGCTCCTTGTCTGCGGCGCACGAAAATGTTGCAAAAGTCAAAAACGCCTTTCTGCCAGTTCGCAGTCTCTATCCCGGCATCGCCTTTGCCCTATCCTTCGCTTCCCTCCCACTGCCTTTAACAGACTAACCCGAAGAATTCTGACCCAAATTGTGGGAGTTCGAGATCCCGTCTATATGTGCCCAAATGGTAATTCACTCCAATCCCAATCCCTAGGTCCCATTTTCATATATACAATGTGTATCCTCCCCCATAATTCCATAGTTGCCTGGCCATTGAAGAGCGAAATCGTCCAGAATCAATCCACCTGCTTCTGATTTCCAAGGGGATCCGTGTCCTGTGAATCTCTCGGTAATGTGGCCTGTGTAAATTCGTCGGCATTTTGTTGTAATCACATTCGCAAAAGGGTCCAATTCCCAAACGCCGCGCTGTGCTGTTCTGAAAAACATCAAAAATTCCATGCAACTTGACACAAATTTCCACCCAATTGGTCATTTTCGGCTCCAACCCACATTCCATATCACGTGGGCAATATCTCGGAACGTGTTGACTGTGTACATCGCTTGTCCAAAAAGAGTACTATTCATGGCAGCTTCTTCTTCGTTCTCATCATACGGCATAAACATACCAGATTCGGTTCTTCTCAGGTGGGGATGAGAGGAGGAGGAGGAGTCGTCGTCTTCTTCCTCCTCCTCCTCCTCGTAAGGGGAACGGTCCCCACCTAATGTCGATTGGGGATGCCACGGCTCGTCAACGACTTCCGGGTCGTCATCAATAAGGAAATTCTGACTCGGTCTTGGAGGTCTCAAAGTCTCCTGAGATGGTGAAGGAGAAAGCTTTCGTCCATTGGGCCACAAGCCAATCTGTCCGTTGGAGATCTCGGGGGGTTCAGGGGTATCCGTCCTATACTTGAGTGTGGTGGATGGCAACGGCACGATGGTCTTTGACTCATTGCTGAAGCTGCCACGAGGTGTGCTACAACGACCAGATCGTAAGGATGGGGCCATCATCAAGCCCCCGTCATCATCTTCGTCATCCTCGAAGATGGCCGTTTCCTCCTCCTCGTCTGGCTTGTCATCCTCTTCGGAATCGATGGCTTGCACCTGTCTGACTTCTTCATCGAAGAGGACGTGCTTGCATTCAGAGGGAGTGGGAATATCCACAAACGTAAATGACGAGTGGGGTGCTCTATACCCAAATAGATCATGCTCAGCCGGAGTGTTGGCCACCGACGTGGTGGAATATCGAGGTAACACAAGTTCAGAGTTGCCTCTCCGGAGGATTGGACGGCCGTGGCCGGGGCTCGATTGCTGCACTCTTATTATATCACCCGCCCTTTGCAATAGAGAATGTTGGGACCTGGATCTCTCTAGAATAGCAGCAGACGCCGACTTCTTTTTCAGAATTGGCTTCTTGGAAATGAAAGATGACGAGTGAGACAATCGGCCGTTCACTGGAGACGTATTCCCTGTCGACTGGGCTGTACTTCTGCTTGTCTGCAGGGGGCCATATAACCAAGTCACATCACAGTCCTTGAGCCAATTGAGAGTTTCGGGTGACACAGTTTTCAGGCGGTTTTTGGCCTTCATCCAAGACCTCCATGACGCATTTTCAAGCCGAGTACCGTTGGTTAGACCTCCCCGTCTGTGGACGACATAGCTCCACGACAACCAGATATCTTCTTCGATCCACTCATGTGAGAGATAGTCCACATGTCTGGTGGGTTCCGGTTCTATGGCATGATCATCCTGCGTAGTCTTCCTGGACAGTAACAAATCCTCAACGGCGGGACTGGGAATTTGAGTCGTATTATCCTCTGGTTCAATGGAGGGTGGGGTTGGTCGAATTGGCTTGGGAGGGAGCGCAGGAGGTTCAAAGGCAGGAAACGCCATATCGTCATCCTCGTCAATATTGTCTCTCTGATCCAAGGATAGACTACTGTCGGGAGTGGAAGCGTAGGAATCCCGCCTGGAGGAGTAGGTCAATTGTGGTGAGGACGGTGCGGTAGAGGGCGCGGAATCTGGAAAGGTCCTGGCATAGTGGCGATGGGGTAAGGAAGACTGTTGGTTATGATTTTGGCCGAAGGATAAGGAATTTTTTAAAGAGGCAAGGTCAGGATATGAGGATGAATGCAAAGGACTCGAAGAAAAATGAGAGGCTCCAGATAGGGGAGCCTGTAGGACGGTCGTCATGAGAACCAACTCATGAGCTACGATCACCCTCTCTCTCTGTCTTGTTGAGCAGATTCCTCCCCGAGGGACCTTGGTCTGCAGCGGAAAGGATTGCCGAAGGTCTCGACTGAGGATGAAGCTGGTGAAAATGTATCGCCTTGAGTCTTCGTCCACAATCTATCGTTCTGCTTCAATTGTAGAGTGTTCAAGGTACCTGGTGTTGAGCTCGAGTATATGGAATGGCGCAGGTTAAAAGTCCTCTGGTGAGGATCAGGCAATGGCCGGTGATGTGATGACCGACTGCGATGGTGGCCGATTGAGGTTTGCAGTGGTCTCCAATATGGATAAGGGAAAAGAAGATCGGGAACCGTGGGTCGCAGGTTTACGTTTAGTTTTGGCTGAAAGAGGCGAGTGTGCAGGATTTGTGGTTTGTGGGAGGAGGAGTGGAGTACGTCGCGGTTTTTTTGGCTCGAGTGGGTGAGGGCCTAGTGGGCGCTCGGGTGGGGGATTGGAGAGGGTGCTGGAGAAGGCGCCGAGGACGAGAACGCGGGAGGACAAAGTTTAATTCTGGCCAAAAACTTGAATGCTCCTCAATGGAGCCCGTCAAATGGAGCGTGCGCTCGTGCAGCCGTTCCCGAACGGCCGTGCAGGAAAGTCCAGTCTGTGCGTACAAGAGCTTGGGCGCATTTTACCGCCCAACAGGATGAGCCCCGTATCCGAGCAACACAAAGTTGATTTAGCTGCATTTCTTGTCGCAGGTGCTATGGATAGTACTGGGAGGCAAGCTCGCAGTAAGCGAATACCATCAATGTTTCAAGGCCTCGTGGTCGAGTAAATCTAACTTGGCGGGCGTGGGGATGTCCGGGAGAAGGAAAAAAAAAAAACACCAGTTGGGTGGATGAAGAGCGGATGGCGATCACGATTACTAGTAGCATGTCAAGTATCAAGAAGGGAGCTTACTGCGAATTGCTTAGAGGGGGGGGGAAAGAGCTGCGCGAGAGGACCCAAAAACTGGAGACTGGGGTCCCAGGCCCTGGGGATGGCATTCAATGATTGATACAAACGGCCAGCCAAAAAAAAATATATCAGCGAAGATTTCCAGAGTGAAAAGCCCGTCTTGTCAGATTTTGATTTTTGGCTGGAGACGTTGGAAAGGTAGCACAGTGATGGCTGGACGGGCTTGGTCAGACATGAAATTATGGAAATCCCCTCTTGGTGCCTAGAATCATGCCCACTTGGCCTGAATCACAGCCTATCGAATCGCTTGTGGGCGTTGTTTCTCTAGATAGAGTGCTGTCGATTGAGATTGCGGGGAAGAGACGTCCGGCGTCTGTGGGTGGCCCAAATAGTCCAGAAGGATTGACTAGCCTTTGGGCAAGTTTGCCTACAACAATTCGCTGCATTTAAGAAATTATTGTCGATTGACTCATTCAATATATTATTCTCTGTCTCAGACTGACCGATCATAAGGATGCATATCTAACCTAAAAGGGGAGGTAACGTGTAAATTTCACCAATCTTACTCTGTGCCTACGTTGTCTCATCTACACTCAGACACAGACTTCAAACCTTTTTTCCACCTTTCAACCTTTCACAAATTCGCCGCAGCCGTCTTTGTTGCCCGCCTATCCCACACCTCGCAGCTGCAACACCCATGCAAGTCAACCTGCTGCTCGTAATCTGCTCTCCTTCTTACTCGTCCTCCTGCGCCCAGACCCCTCCCTTTCTACCACACTTCTTCGTATCAACATCCCACATCCGCCCACTTGTTATTACCACTAGGGTCCTCCTTATCGGATGCTCTGCTGGCAATAGACTCGGTTTCAAGCCAACTTATGTACCAGAAACATCTGCATACTGGCTTCCCCTCTTAGCACCTCCGAAAGCCCCGAAAAGAAGCGGGCCGTAAGTTGATTGACTTCAGCATTGGCTATCGACAACTTGCAGAATTCCTCCGGCTAACAGCTTCCTGTCAGTTGTCTACATACAGAGGACGGGCCCTCAGCCTTGGTCTGTGCCTGCAATAATTCACGCCTCATAATTTCTCTCGAAGCATAATCACCCCATATTGCCCTGCTCTCCCGATTGAAGACAACCGAACTGAAAATGTATCCCTGATCCACCCGCCTTGCATCACACTCTGCATCGCAACCATGAGCCACAGATTTGTCCTCCGCCACCCGAAAACTTCCTCATGGTCTGGATCAGACCAAAACCATTCAACTAAAGCGTTTTTCTCCGTAGTTTCCTCACTTTGCGTCTCACTCCGATCCCGTGCTCACTCAGGCCACAGAACACCTATTCCCTGCATATAAATTCTGCGCGCGGGCAGCAATATCAAGCCGTCCACACACTTGAAGCAGTCCATAAACTCGGGCCCCATCCCTGCTGTGAATAAAAAGCGCTCGTGGCTAGCGAACCTCGGTCAAATATCCACTTCTCAAGCTTGCAGGGATATTGCATTTACTCGCATGGCTCAACAATTGCCTCTTTTGTGGCCATTCTCTACTTTGCCATTCCGCTCATGCTCGCATCATAGGCCGGGGGCAGGGGTAAGCCTGGTCGCTTTTTGGATCTTCCTTCATCCACCCACTTACCCGTCGACGTTGGGCGTCACGACATGTCGGCAATGTGCTTGAACCAAAGCTCTTAGTGGCGTTGACAATGCTGCTATCTGACATCCACCCACTTGGCGGCCGAATTTAATAACCTTGTTACATCTTACCAAACGAAAATCTATCCTTCAGCATACTTTTGGGCTTAACCAGATTTTTCTCCCCCCCCCAAAATCCAGCTTGCATCCGCCACAGTCTGGGGTTAATGCGAAGCTTCTCAGAATTGCGCTTGTCCAACCATCCTTCAAACCAACGTATCCCTGACAAAGGTCGAACGCACGCTGTTGCTGTCACGTTCTAACAAGCCCCGCTGATAAGGCTTTCCCGAATATCGCAAAGAAGAGATCGACGAGAAGGTGTCATGGGAAAATCACGAGTCTGTGCCAAACGCGCACTTTCGTACGGTTGTTATATCAACACCCATCATCTGGAGCCAACTGGGGCGGTTGACTGTCCCCCTGAGCACCGCTGCGACCTACTTGACTCTATTTTCGACTTTGATGCCCATCCGGGATACCATTTCAGACCTTGTTTCGGGGCGAACCCTCTTGATAAGTTGCCGCTCGCTACGCCTTATCATCCCAGTGTCACCAGAAAAACCCGTTCGCGGCAAAACGTGACTTACATTCTTGGGTTTCAGTGATCCATTCCATCTGCTCTTGAACAGACCAGAGTTAATCTCCGCAGCAATGTGAGACTCCATTGGCTGATTAAGATGTTTCTTTGTCTTGGGAATTGGAAAGCTGAGTCACATCAAATCTCCCCGCTGATCTGACCTGTCACTTTTCCTACTTAATTGCAAACATGTGTAAAAGTGCAACAAGCTCACGGTCCATTGAATCAGGTACCGCCATTCTCCGACAGTATGAGAGCTAATTGAACAGTGTCTCTTTCAGCAGCGTCAACCCCTGCGAGAGCGATATCTCTAGCAGCTCGAGCATCTGGACAGCATTGCGCCTCTGGTACACAAACAGATGTCTCCGCAAATTTGAGCAGTTCACTGACCCCATGTACTGTATAATTTCGAAATGCCAGTGTCGTGGCTTGAATATGTCCCGGTCGGAAATCCCAGCCTTAAACAGATGAACAAAACGCGAGGGTCGCGTAACTCCAGCAATTTGCGAGGCTAATCTTCCTTGCTTCCCGACATCAAATACCCCGCCAACGACCCGTATGTTGATCAAGGTTCTGGGTCAGTGGCGATATCATTGGGATTTGCCATCACCTAGGTGCTGATGGTTCGATGCCGTGCGTCTCGTTGCATCAACACTATGCGCCGTATGTTGGCTGGACTTCTCGTGCTTTGGTAGTCGACATAACCGTCTGGAGACAATGGAGGCCCACGGATTGTAGCGTCCAGACACCATTCAGCATCGACCAGCATCTGATATGCAGGGCAGCCTTGTCAATAAATTCACCAAGACGCGCCCAGTTCGGGAAATAGAAACAATGAGTCGACGTCTTCCTTTCTTCGCGAGCCGAGAATGGTAAACACCAATCTCCAGGGATCATGAACGGGGTTTAGGTATCTGTTGATCGCAAAAGAGTAGTTGCTGCATAACCACAGTCACTAGTTGACTGGTGTCCCAGAATTGGCCAACTTCGATCAGTTGCGTTGTCATCCCCGCTCTTTGTGCGACTCGATGATAGATGAAACTATAGATCCCTGACTTGCCTTTTGTAGAGTCCAGTGCTATTGACAGATGGAACTCCTGACAAGTTGGTAGGAGGGGATTTGTGTCTCAAATCTTCACATGCTTCTGTGAGAGGTCTCTCCGACGAAGTTCGTCCTGAGAGAATCCTGGACTTACCCCTCTGAACTGAAGCCACCCGTTTCCACATTGTCTTTCTGATATGCTGGTGCAGTCAGAAGGGACTGCCCATAGCTGCAAGTGATATATGCATGTTCGTTGTCTCACCATGGCTATCACGGTGGATCTCGACGGAAAATTGGAGCTTTTGCTCTGATGCCGAGTCGGTGAGCTCCATCGGACTGCTCCGTGGGTCATCTCCATATCGTTGTCATACCCTTGTGTCAGAGTTCAACAACGGGTGGCGGTTCGAGGTTGAGAGAGTGGAGAACTCAACAAAGTCCTAGAAAGGCATACCGGTCTTTATCGATGGCTGACCTCCACCAGGATAGCCTTGTATAAGGGACACCAAACAGAGCAGGCAGGTTCGAGAGGGGGTTTCATTGGCTTACTTGAAAGAGATATTGTTCGATGAAACAGGAGGACGAACAGGGACAAAGTGGCATGCGTAAGACCGAGAAATCTCGATGTATCCCCGTTATTTGCACGTGCCATGAGCATGGAGACTAGCCCCGCGGCTAACCGATGGCTTCCCCCCCCCCCCTTGGCAAAAATCCTCCAGCGCCTCCGACCAATCTTTTGCGCGGAGCGTTTTCACGGCGGCGAAGATGAGTGTGGACAGTCTGCAGAAGCCACATGCAACAAACACTGTATGCGCAATTTAGCATATCCCACCGGTGTGACTTGATAACCTCGTCGATATCAGGCTAAATCAAAATGTCGGCGGAGGTCCCAACAGAGCCCGCGGGGCCTCTAGCCAGGCAAGTTGTGTATTGCGGAGGTAGGAAATCCCATCGACCCACAGGATATTAAGTGAATGCTAACCCCCGGGGTTCTTCAGTTTGCACTCTTCCACCAGAGGTACGAAATCTGTTTAGTGTTTGGCCATAACGGCGCTTTGGGTTAGTTGACCTGATCGAGGATCAGTACTGCGAATTTGGTGGGACGGTCAAGAAATGCGAAGAATGGCTTCAGAAGAACCACCCTGATATGCACCAGAGGTTGTACTCGGAAGGTGTGTTGCACCAATATCAAATAATCTTCTCGATTCTAACACCTTTTTCGTTCACACAGAAGCCCTGAGTGCCAACTTGTCTGCACTTTCGGTCGATGCTCAGAAACGAGCAGAGAAGGATGCGGCCAAGAAGACGGCCAAAGCTGCGGCGGCGGAACAGCGCGAGGCTGAGAGGAAGGCCGAGGCCATGGTTGTCATCAAAAGAGTCGAACGAAACAAGCGAAAATACGTCACGGTGGTGTCGGGACTCGAGGAGCATGGACTTGATCTAAAGAAAGTGGCCAAAGAACTGGGCAAGAAATTTGCAACGGGGAGCAGTGTCACTAAGACAGCCGCAGGAGGCGAAGAGATTACAGTTCAAGGAGACGTGAGCGATGATCTGTATGACTGGTTGGGAGAGAAGTATCCCGAGATCCCGGAAGATAATCTGGACATGAAGGATGATGTGAAGAAAAAAGGCTGAAAATGAAATTCCTTGACGGCGGCCGACTTTGTTGAAATGAACACAAGGCTCATGAATGACCAGGATACTCTTGGTCGTCTCTGCCAAATTGTACGCCAGATTCCATCCAGACTCCTACATCCCCCTCCTTTTTCTCTTGGGCCTCCTCACCATGTTTCACTGCCGTCCGTCTAGCCGAGTGCTTCGAGTGTCAACATGCCTAGCGACCAGGGCCGACATTCCTCAGACCATTCTTCCGGCTGGGTGTCGTACAGCAGCAGCTCTTCTTGCAGTGTCGGTGATGGAGTTAGTTCCAACATCAGCCTGCTGTCGACATTGAAGCGGAATTCCTGGTTGACGTCATCCCCACTCTTCCGCCGAGGGACGACTTTTTGGCGTGTACAGCGTAAAGACAATCAAATTGGTCATGATTTGAACAGCGTCAATCGTGCTCCTCGGCTTGCAACAGCTAGAGCTATCCCCGGTACTAGAGCTGGGGCCGGAGCCAGTTTGTCTGGGGAGCCTGAGTCGGAAGAGCCTGAATCTGAACCTCAACCTGAATTGGAGTCCGGGGCTGTCCGGCACTTGTCACAAACTTTTGCTTTTGCCCAGCGCAGCCAATTGAGCACTACCACTACTGCAACCACCCAAACCCACACTCTCGCTCCTCATTCTGATCGACACCCTCGACACGAAAATCCACGCGATTCACCCTCCCTCCCAAATAGAACACCAGATATCGATCATGGCGACTCTCACAAGACATCGCGGATTTATGTTGTGCCTCCTCTTCCTCCTCCTCCTACGTTGACCTATTACCCGCCGCTCCCTCATGCTCATGCCTGGTCCCAAATCGCGAGAATGGATCCTAACAACCCGACTCAAAGTCCCAATCTGGCTGATCTCCTCACCAGCCTATCGAGCCATGAAGATGCCAGTCGCAAGATGGCAGCCTTCAAACTGCAGTCACTCATCAACGACCCATCATTCGCCGAACATTTTGTTCTTGCGGGCGGTCTCCCCCGGCTGCGATCCCTGATTCTCGAAAGCAATGGAAACACCCTGGCATACAGTCTTGCGAGCTTCGCGAGATTATTGGAAGTCGATCAAGGTTGGGAGGCGGTCAATGACCAGGTGGTTGAAAAGGCATGTGTTCGACATCCTGTTTGAAAGAGGTGAACAAAACGTTGACCAAACTCTCCGTAATCTAGGTCGTGGAACTTGTCGTCTGTCAACCTTTGGTCAACATTCTCCGAGGCGCTATGGCAATGCTGGTTTCCATTGTCTCACGACCATACCACGCCGATCGAACATCCCAACTCAATACCACCGATAATGCTGGCGGATTTCAGGCCCTCAAACCTGCCATCGCCGTCTACCCACAGTTTCTCGAAATGCTGGTGACGAGATTGTCTTCGGCAGACCATGCCTTGTGCGCAAATGCATTACAGTTGATCAATTCTCTCATGCGCGACGCGATCACAAACGACAATGAAACGGAATGGCCCAAATTCATCAAACGGATACAAGACCTCGGCGTGATCAAGGCGGTTTACGTGCTGATGCAAAGTTCTGCGTTGCAAGATCTAGCACATCCTCTGTTGGAGTTTCAGGCATTGACCAAAGTTCTACTCAGACGGTGGAGAGATGTGCCAGTTGACCTGGTGAAACCTGAACATCGACGCACCATCAAAGCCGTTCATCTCTCGAGCAATCCCGAGAAGCAACCTGAGGACGAGGTTCGGAACGGGGAGTCCAAGCCCAAACATAACCCTTACAAATGGAGACGACTCGGATTCACCACCGAAAATCCGGAACCAGATTTCACGAACATGGGGTTTCTGGGTATGATGGATCTTTCAGATTATGTGCGCAAGCATCAAGATGAATTTCAGAACATCCTCCTCGAACAGTCAGTCGCGCCGGAAGAAAAGCGATGCCCACTGGCTCAAGCCAGCCTCACGGTAACGGCAATTTTATTTGAGCATTTTGAGGTGGACAAGATGGATTTGGAAGACTCCAAAGGTTATCTAGCTCTTGAAAGTCGGACCAATTTTGACAAGGTTTTCAGGCCCCTGTTGTTGCACTGGAGCCGACTTCACGTGGCGGGATTACACGCATTTTTCAGACTCTGGAAAGCAACCGGCGCCGAAACCAGTGACTTCTCCAAGATCGTCGAGCTGGTCCGGATCTTGATTGAGAGCGTGGTTGGCGGCGCAGATCGCACCAAAGGAATTGAGGAGATTGAGAAGGAAATGGCCGCGTTTGAATACGGCAAACTTCGTGAACTCCAAATGGAACTTCTGGAATTGACGTACGAAGACGTCTGGGGTCAGCACCTGCGCGGCGTAAAAGAGGAATTGCAGGGCGAAGCGTTGCAATTTGTCAAAGAGCAGAGAATCCGATGTTTGCTCGCGGGAGCGTGGTTTCCCAACGGCCTGACGTATTCCGACCAAGAAGCCGGTGGTCCGGTCACAGAGAACTCCCTCTTGCACAATTCTGCGACCAGCTATCGGTTCATCAGGTTGTCGGAAAATCGGAAATACTTGCATTGGGGGGATTTCGACGAAAAGGAGGAGCAGACACCACCCATTTCGAATCTGAAAAACAAGATTGACTTGTCGATTGTCTCTTCCGTGGTTTCCAATGTGACGGCAAATGACCGGTCATCGATCGGATCGGATTCGACGTTGAAGGAATTACCACACGACAAGTTCACCACGACCAAGATCACCATTCACGGATATCTGCCCAAATCGCGCAGTAGCCGAGAAGGACATTCTCGAACGTCTTCCAAAACCTCATCGGCCCGAAGCGCGTCCAAAGAGTCGGTCTTGCTGACCTTCCAACCCCACAGTCACAGGACTGCTTCAGAATGGCTCGATGGTCTTTTGATGCTTCTGGATCAACAGCCGATTACGGCTGACACCAACCGATTGATCAACACGATTAGTGATTATGGACTGAAGGTGCGGCTATTGAATGTGAGATTCAATGACGAAGAAGGAATTGTGGAAGGGATGGACGGGATGGATGGACCTGAGATTCCCAGCCGAGAAGGATTAGATGACGACTACTACTATGAGATCTGAGCTGACAAGGAGTGGAAGTCAACGGTGAGGAGGATTAGGATATTTTTGGTTCAGACTGGTTCGTTGGATCACATCCATTTGGAGTTTGCAGAAAGTTGGAATGGTGTATATAGGGAAAAAGGTCACCATCGAGATGCGGGAGGAGTCCAAGAAAGCCAAAAAGGGAGATGAAATGGAGATGGGAGTTTTGGATCTGATTCTTGTCGAGATACCCGGTTGCACGGAACCAATTCGATTTGACTTTGATATCAAAGAGGTTGTATTGCCCAACTTAGGGATCGCGCCATCAAGCTCTTTTATCAGAGGGATGGTCTGAGTCGTATGCGCCTCGGTGCCACCGAGCCTATCCTGACTGCCTAGTAGAACCCAGGGCAGCCTCCTGAAAGACTGGTAATGAGAAATTCAACCGAGTCATGCGACCATTTACCTTCGAGAAGAAATGGAAGGGTTACAGCATAATCATACCTAACGAGAGATCTCCGGTTGGTGGAGGAAACGAGGACACGTTGTTTAGACGGCGGCGTCGATTGGCAGCGGAGGTACCGGGGTCCGCCATAGACTCTTGCGAGGATGGAGTGTTCGGTCAAGACCAGGCACAGCAGATTTCATTTGATAAGGTGCTTGTGTTCGCCTCTATTCTAACTGGATCAAAGCAGCCTCGGGACCCCCCGCGTTCCTAAACACCGAATCAATCTGCGCCTCGGGGTAGGTTCACTGGCAGTCTTGCCCTCACCTCGTTCCCAGTGACAGCCTCGAACCAGGGACCGCGGTCCAGCCGATTGCACATTGGACATATCAATGGCCACCTTTGCTAAGGTTACAATGGATCCCGCCCGCGTGTCCCCGTCGCGTGTCTAGGCAGGCATGCCCACCCGATAAGGCCTGTTCCACGATCCATACAGAGCCACTGATGTCAAGCTAGCAATCTTCCTCTGGCGGCTTTTAGTTGCTCTGCCAGGTTGCAAGCACCACGCTGTGCAAGGCCCTTATGACAATAAGAGAAGGTATTTCCCTTCATAATCGTGATATGAAGCGAGACCCACGCTTGGAGATTTCTTGGAGTGCCTCTCGCAGCTCTTGATAAAGCTGTGAGATCCTTGTCGTTTCCCCATCTGCTTTCTCTCATTGTTCTTTTGTTCCTTGCCTTGTGGTATGCTGAAGGAGACTGAAGAGGCGACCTAAGACCATTGGCGTTCTGCCGTTTCCTCGAGTTAGTGAAGGTTTCCAATTACCGACACACCTCTGTCCATTGGCCCTGAGAGAACAAGACGACAAACAGACAGAAACAGATACCAGAAAGAGGTGGCCCATCATGTCTACTGAACCGTCCAAGACAATCATCACCGACGATGAAATCAAAGAGGACCACCATCATGGATTCGCCCAGAGAGTGCGTAACAGCATCTCGGTGCAGTCCATCGACGAGAACACCAAGGAAGGCCAGATTTTCTCCATGAACGATGTAGATCCTGCGCTCGATGCGAAGATGCGACTCGTCAACCAAGTGTGTGCCCCAGTGTGACTCCTGAGCAATTGACCACCCCCCAAAAATTAAAAAGGCGCCCATGGCCCGAGCTGACCAAAATGCACACATTCTAGACCATTGACGAAATTGGTTGGACCAATATGCATCTCAAGCTCTTCTTTCTCAACGGCTTTGGTTACGCTGCTGATTCGTTGATTTTGTTGTTGCAATCCGTCACGGCTGGTCAAGCCGCCTTGGAATTTCAACCTTCTTTTACCAGAGGTCTCACCGTGGCCGCCTACACGGGCATGTTGGTTGGAGCCTTGTTTTGGGGATTGGGTAAGTCTTGTCATTTACGAAAAGGGAAGTATGGTATTTGTTGACAATCTTCCAAAAAGGTGCTGATGTCATTGGTCGTCGATTCGCGTTCAACGTCTCCCTGTTCACCTGTTCCATCTTCGCCATCTGTGCCGGAGCCTCACCCAATTGGTATGTCTTGGGAACTTTCACCGCTTTGGCCGCCTTTGGCTCCGGAGGAAACTTGATCCTGGATACCACCGTGTTTCTCGAATTTCTTCCCGGTGACAAACAATGGCTGCTCACTTTGATGGCGTGCTGGTGGGGTCTTGCACCCGTCGTGGCAGCTGCTTTTGCATGGCCGTTTTTGTCCATCGATAGATATATTTGCAGCGATGCGGCGACGTGCACTTATGACAACAACATGGTAAGTGATAACATCTTCCTCCGGCCAGGGAACCACGATTGCTGAAGAGGTATAATCTAGGGCTGGCGCTATGTTTGGTATGCCAATGGAGCCCTGGTCTTCGTTCTCAGCGTTCTCCGAGTAACAGTCATCCGACTGCGAGAGACACCAAAATACCTCCTCGCCAAAGGACAGGACCAGGACGTGGTGGAAACCTTCCAACACATTGCCCAAAAATATAACAGGCCGTGCTCGCTCACCATCGAACAACTTGAGGCATGTGGGCCAATGAAATCGACCTACGGCAAGGCTCGATATGGCCTTTCCGAATTCCTCGCCCATCTACGAGGATTATTTGCTACCAGGAAACTCGGTTTCTCTACTGCGCTGATCTGGCTGTCCTGGACTTTAATTGGCAAGTGACGGCGCATTTGAATGAGGCCGGATACATTACTAACCGGAACGATAGGTTTGGCTTACCCTCTCTTCTACGTCTTCCTCCCGGAATTCTTAGAAAGCCGTGGTGCCGATACGGGTGAAGACAGTCCTTACTACACGTGGAGAAACTACATGATCACCAACGTGGTGGGAATTTTCGGTCCAGTCCTAGCCGGTTTCATGTGCAACTGGAAATACCTGGGGCGGAGGTATACCATGGTGATAGGTGCATTGCTCTCCATGGCCTTTTTCTTCGCCTACACAGCAGTGAGAACAGCGGCCCAGAATCTGGGGTTTACTTGCGCCATCTACTTTACTGTCAACGTCTACTACGGTACTCTTTATGCCTACACGCCGGAGGTAAGCCTTGCTCTTTAGACTGTGGGACAGAGACTCATCACGTCACAGAGTCTGCCATCGGCTCACCGTGCTACTGGAAACGGTATTGCTGTCGGTTGCAACCGAGTGATGGGTTTGGTGAGTGCCTTCGTGGCCACGTATGCGAACACCAAAACCAGTGCTCCCATCTATATTTGCGCGGCGCTCTATATTGCCATGGTAATCGTATCTCTTTTCCAGTAAGGAATTCGACGGAGTGCTAACCTGTTCGCTCTAGGCTGGGGTGGCCATCATTATGCCTTTCGAGCCGTACGGCAAGAGATCAATGTAGACCGAAGAGTCAAAGCAAACCGCTCAAACGGCATGAGTGTAGGTGAAAGAAAAGGAGAATAATGATACCCCTCGCTCATATATTTTATAACTAAATGCAAAGGATCTTGTGTGGCGACCGCAATGGACTTTCAAATCGTGTCTTGCCCAAAGGGAATCATCTCGCCAGGGTATATATACAGGACCTTCCCGAAGCAGTTTAACATCAACGCCACCGTCTCTCGGCATCATCTTGAGTCCAATCCGTTTGGACGTTGCTTGAGCCATCAAACCGATGATCTTCTTCCTCTTTGTGTCCCATGCAAGCCGATCCCAACTGATCCGGCGCACAACTCCATTTCTTTGCCCTTTTGCTATCGTCTCTATCGCCCATTCTGTCCCCTGATTGATGGATTCCTTCTTTTCAGTTCCCGACAACAAGCAATTCTTGCCAGGATGCTTATCCTCCCCTGGCCTTTTTTTGGGAGAGGCCTCTGCTCTCACGTTCTTGATGCAACTCCCTTCCCATCATCATCTAGCTTGGGATCTTTCAGCATTCCTGCAGGATACGTTATGGTACATCGGGTAGGTAGCGAGGGTGGACCTCTCACTCTCAAGATAACGTCAAGCGATGTTTCATTCCTGTAATGCCATTAATGCATCGCCTGTCTTGCCTATCTGTGTCTGGGTTTCTTTCCATCCAGCGACTTCTCGGTTTATGTCCCGGGTTGTGGTTTATATGCAAGTAACCTGATCACCACCCCATACCGCGTTCTGTGAAACCGAAACATTCTCCTTATTCCAAAATTACCCTTCCTCCTCCTCGAGGGCTCATCGAATATATCATTTCAGCATCGAAGGCACGCCATCGCAACAATGGCAGACATCGAAGCCGATGAGAAATCCGTCCCCATTCAAACCCCCCCTGGAGGCCGTTCAGTCTCACCAGTCGACCTGGACGAAAAACGTCGTGCTGCCGTCACTTCGAACAAAACATCTGCCACAATCCTGGCCCACAGCAAAGATGCCGACGAGGCCATGAAGGCGTTTGAAACCGGCGAAATCGTCGAAGTTGATGAAGCCACCAGCAAACGACTCCTGCGCATCATTGACTGGCATTTAATGCCACTCATGTGCGTCGTTTACGGTCTGAATTACCTCGACAAAACCACCCTGTCTTATGCCAGTATCATGGGTATCAAAAAGGACATCAACCTCCAAGGCGACGATTATCAATGGCTCGGCAGCATGTTTTACTTTGGTTATCTGGCCTGGGAGTATCCCACGAACCGACTCTTACAAAGATTACCTCTTGCCAAATACTCTGCCTTCTGCGTCGTGGCCTGGGGCACCGTTCTGGCTTTGTTCGCTACTGTATCCGACTTTGGAGGCGCCGTGGCAATCAGATGTAAGTCTGCCCCAATTTCATTCTGGACATTCCATTCCATTCCATTCCATTTCTGTCAAATACACGATCACAGACGAAGCCATATCAACTTTGTTGTCATATTTAGTCTTCCTCGGCGTCTTCGAATCAGCAGTGACTCCCGGGTTCGCCCTCTTTACATCCCAATGGTACACGAAGCGCGAACAAGGCACGCGCACCGGCTTCTGGTTCTCGTTCAACGGCTTCGGGCAGATCTTTGGCGGCCTCGTCGCGTACGGCATCGCTGTCGGCGCCCGGAAGCACGGCGCGGCCATTGCCCCATGGAAGATTGTGTTTTTGGTTAATGGCTGTCTCACGGCCGCACTGGGCATCGTGTTTTTCTTCGTCATGCCCGATAATCAGCTGAATGCGCACTGGTTGAAGCCGAGAGACCGCGTGCTGGCCGTCGAGCGTGTCCGCGTCAATCAGCAGGGCATCGGCAATAAGCATTTCAAAATGTACCAGTTGAAGGAAGCCCTGTTGGACCCTTTGACGTGGGCGTTCACTTTTTATGCCCTGACGGCGGACATCCCGAATGGGGGAATCAGCAATTTCTTCTCCCAGTTGGTATGTTCACTACTCCACACACATCTTCTGGCCTATTCTCCTCTCCTCTCCTTCCCATTCCTCAGTTCATGCACTTTCTACATTTCCCCATTCGCACACACACACTCTCTCTCTTTCATGATGTATCAAACCCATTGCCTTTCTAACCTTTGGGCCTTCTTAGATCGTCTCCTTTGGCTATACTCCCGAAGAATCCTTATTGTACGGCACACCTGGCGGGGCCGTCGAAGTGGTCGCCCTCATGTTCTGCGGCTGGCTAGGCGACCGTCTCGGCCAGCGCATTTTGGTATCAATGTCCGGCCTCACTCTCGCGCTTCTCGGCATGATCCTGATCGTCGCCCTGCCCCTCGACAATAACTCCGGTCGTCTTGCGGGCTACTATCTCACGCAAGCTTCGCCGACCCCGTTCGTCGCATTGCTCTCGCTCATCTCCTCAAATGTCGCGGGATATACAAAAAAGACCACCGTCGCGGCCCTGTACCTCGTTGCTTACTGTGTCGGTAACATCATCGGACCTCAAACGTTCCGTCCAAAAGATGCTCCGAGATACAAGCCGGCAGAGATCACGATTATCGTTTGCTGGGGGGCGTGCTTGATTGATCTGGTGTTTATTTACTGGTACTGTAAGCGGATGAATCAGCTGAAAGCCAAAGCTCGGGCGGAGCCGGGATACATCAAGTTGGAGAATCAGGAGTAAGTCCACCCAACCCTTGCCTAAACTCATGGTCCCTGTCGAATTCGGTCTGCTCGATGTGTCTGTCTCTAAGAGTCCAACTATGTCCTAACGACCTCCTTTTTTGTGTGTGTTAGATGGCTCGATCTCACCGATAAGGAGAACCCGGAATTCACTTACAGTCTCTAAGTGAAAAGGACGAATGGTGCGGCCGGAGTTGGAGTTGGGTCGCGTGTGAAATAAAGATTGCGGTGAGATGGTGTACAGGGTATTGACCTCTAGACGAAAGAAAGGGGATTCGCAAGGAGATAGGAGGAAAGAGACTTTAATGGCGAATGGCATGACTGAACTACATATACCAGCGCTTCCGTCTTGAGCACAAGCCAAGGGAATACTCCAGAGACAAGAGAAGCAACCGAGAGCGCTGAAGCTCTTGGATCCGGCGCCCTTTTGCTACTGAGCCCGCGGACCTCTTTTTATATCATCCTTTTTTCTTGATGATTTCCCCTCCCTGAACGACAAAGAAGTTCTCTTTGACCGGAGCCGCAACTCAATACCTTCACAATCTTCATCTCTTCTTATGCGCCCTTCGCTTTACCTCCAATCCGTTCCTGCACACTTTCCCACTCTTCCTCCGACATATACTTCTTCAACAACGGCTTGAGACCCATCCACCTTGCCACCATCGCACATAGCCCCTGAAAATGCCAAGGCAACCACCATCGCAAGGGTCCGAGAAACCAGGCTTGAGGGAACATGACCATGGCCGTGGCTGAAACGTGTCTTTTGATTTCCGTTCCGTTAATCTTAAGGACCGGTGCCAAAAATTGCGGGAAAATACGAAAGAGGGGAGACGTACTGCATCAACATGACTTGGAAAAGACTCAACTTTTCCTTCCCCTCGGACACATCGCTCACGTACATCAACATGTTCTGGAAAAATAGACGGTCCATTTTCTCATCCCCGACGTCTTCCGGATGAGCCCAGACCATCATGACCGTATCCTCGGCCGCATCGGGGCTGGGCCAGAAAGTATGTGGTGTCCAAGGTTTCAGTTCGTGGGGATTCGATTCACCTGTGTTGGCGGGTGTGTGGATTGTGTCGACTAGCGAGTATGTCGTTGTCGTGCCTAGTTCGCCGCTCAGAACCACGAAGGTTTCGGATTGTAGAAAGTGTAGGTGTAAAGGGGGGGACTGGGCATGTTGTTTCCCTTTCTTACACCACGGATGGTCGTGCTTGTATGTCGCTCGCATCAAGACGCTGGAATGAAGATAGTTCAATTAGCCAATATTATGGTAAGGCTCTCCTAGGACCCCATATTTCATCGGAAACAGTGGGAATGAAGCAAGCAGTCAACGATCAAAGAGCAACAGATCCATTTGTCTCCTGTCGGCCACTTCCCTTAATTTCGCATCAAAGCAACTTGCCTCATTCCGTCCACAGCCCCAGAGAGGGATTCCAATCGGTTCTCGCACGAGATCTCGAAATAATACCGAAGGGTCGTTTCTTCACTTCATTTGCAACTGGAAATAGCAAACGAGGTGGGAGGTACTCACGAAGCATTTCTCTCTGCCCGAGGCTGAAGAAACTCAAGAATAAATGAACCGTCAAATAATGAGAAGGGGCCTGCGATCACGGGTTCGTCGTCCTTGGAAGGAGGCATCTTCCTTTCAACTCAAGTCCCAATTTTTCTTGTTGAGAGAGCGCGGAAGTCTGACGACTGTTTCTCGGTCCGGCTTGCCGTCCGTCGCTGGTGTCAGCGTATTTAAGTGTTGTGTGTCTCTTGTCAAAGCCTGGTATTGATCGGTGAGTCGGTCTATCGTTCGCTCTCTAGCTTCAGTGGTCTCCACAGCTAATCCTGATGCTTGGTTATGGAGTCTGCCAGCAACATTAAAAAGGAGGCAGGATTGGATAAGCATGGGAGAGAGATGTAACGACGAGCGTGGTCCTACCCCTGGTCCCCCGAATTCTCGGACTCGAATCAATGAGCATAGGAGATGTCCGATAATGCGGGGATAGGATTTGCTGTTTGGATACGAAAGCACCGGTAATCTATGTAAGATCTTCTTTGGCTTGTTGGGCTAATGATCTTTGGCAATGTTCCCCGCCTCATTCCCTTGCATTCAAGCCTTTTGGGGAGGCCCTGAGAAGCTAGTGGGGAGAGAGACCAACGCTATGGAAAGAGATGATTTGGAACTGGCTGGGGAACGATGAATGAGAGACCACAATACGAACACAGCAGTGTGGTTATCACCATAAACCACGCCCCGTTTCCGTCCTCTAACCGAGAAAGAATCTGATGCAGGCATCGGACTAGATTGTACTGTAAACAGGGCAAGACGGGATAGGACAGGGAAAGGCACTCTCGTAGCATTTACTCCTTCGGTTCTAGGTAGACTCCTAGTTGTCATACGCGCGAAGGTCCCGGGGTGTGTTGAAGTTAGGTCGTGGTCACCGCTATGATTGGATTGGATTGGACCTCCATTCCTCGAACACGAAAGGACGTAATCGGGTATTATGGTTGTGCTTCCTGAGGATCACATTAGGTAAGAAAGCTACATTGCTGGTCGCCCTCATTGGGGGCGTCTCGTCTCGTCATGGATTAGGGCTGACGTGGTAGTAGTGTACAAGTAGTTCGGGATCGGTCGTGATTCGGGTCGTAGTCCCGTGTCAGGGTGGGGACGTCCTATAGGACGAGAGTAGAGATCCGACAATGATATTACTATCCAGTGCACCATAAAGTACAAGACGAGAGATAAAGAACATGAAAACAGTGCGAGGCCATCCTAGATACTTATAGCCTTGTGGTGTAGTTATACCGCAAGGCTCCTACGTAGGCACACAAGGCTATCGACAGCCACAGTGGGTCCATGGCAGGCACCGGGCAGGCACCGATGAGCCTGCCAGGTTGTGCCATAACATCCCGGGACGGGGCGAGTGAGAAAGAGAACGGCCCAGCATCTCACGGATATGTTGACAGTCCACATTGGGACTAGCCTAGTCACGTGAACCGCAGCTTTCGTGGCCTTTTTGTAGCTTGCGCCTCGCTCAGATAATCAATCTTCTCTCGGCCCAACAGGATACACCGTTCCGAACAGTCCGGGGTCTTAAGCTTTCCCAATACTAATGCAAGGTATGTAGTCGACAGCAGCCTGGGTTCCAGATGGAATTCGTAAGGGATTTACATAAGACTAGATGTAAACTAATGGCTTTTCAGATAGAGTTGAGAACCCGAACAGATTGGAACCCATGCACAACTAGACAAGAGATCAAAAAGGGAAGTATCAACCAAACGACATGAACCCAATGAACAACCAGGGGTGCCTCCCCAGCTCAGCAAATAGATAAATGTGCCTAGGGAAAATCTCCCATCAGGCTTCTCATCTCATCTATGATTCCCTCTGCCTGGGATGCGGAAAGCATGTCTTCTGGCGCAAAGACGCCGATTCCAAGGTGTCCAGCTTCGGAGATTTTGGCTTCTATGTCGATGGCGGGCTGTCAAAAAGTACAACGTCAGTATGGGGGAAAATATGAGAGGGTGATATTGATATGGATGGGTAATACTTACCAAACACCATATGGTTGTATTTTCGTGTTCTTCGCCCTCGTTGTCGAAGAATGGCGATGGCGAGTCAAGATTTTCTTCTAGCCTCCGGGACTTTTCTTCGTAGGAAACAGTTGCACGTATCACCCTCACTACCCGGCCATCAATGTCTTGTCCAGAAGTGGTTTCTGCGACTGAATCGTGATCGTCGTGAGGAAGGGAGAGGAAATTGACAAAGGTGTCGACTTTGATGTGTGTCCATGCGTGAATCTGCCTCATACTGACCGTGCAGTTCTCCATCTTGGTGATCTCAACCAAGTCACTTTGGATCTGCAGGGCGGTCTCAACAAGGGTCTTTTCACCCAGTTGAACTCTCAACGGGACGATGTTGAATGTTGGTGTAATCAGTCCTGTGACTCCATCGACGTCGAGGGATCGATTCGCGAGGTAGATGCCGATAATCACTTCATCTCGAGCCCCATCGTTCCTGGTTCGTCGACCGGACTCTCGAAGAAGTCTAGAATAGACATTTGCATATGCTGCGAAGAACAGTGCTTGGATGCTGATACCATAATATTTTAGACTTTGACCCAGATCATGGATTTCCAGGACCGTGGGATGGAACATCTCAATCCGCGTTGCTCTGAAAGAGCCTTTATCAATGGTATGGTAAGTTCCATAACCTGAACCTAGATAGTTGATCCAGAATGCTTCCGCTTCCTGGACATTTGCCAATGTCTTGGATACGAAATCACTAGTGTTGGTGTGCAGCGGGGTGTGCAAGTTGACGTTCTTGCATAGTCTTTGGAGCTCTGAAAGAATAAGTGGAAAGCTTACAGCATCGTACAGAGCATGGTGGATACGGATGGCGACCAACGTCCCATGCGTGGATTTTTCAAGGTGAAGCGACCAGGGCAGCTGGTACCTTTTGGCGGCAGAACTCTTCAAGACTACCTGCCAGGTGCCTGGTTTTCCACCCTCGTTGTGATTGATGAATGTTGTCCTCAAGATCGGTATCTCTGAGACGAGCTGGTCCATTGCTCTCCGAACGGCTTCAACCGCAGCACCGGATACTTGTAGCCAAAATGTTGGATAGAACAAGCGGCCACCGCTTGCCAACCACATGTCGAGCATGTATATCTGACCAGCAGAGGAGGGAATAATGGCTTCAACATCATCTTTGGGTATCGACAGACTGTTTGGGAAATCTGGAGACATTGAAAACATATCTGGTGGCCCATTCACAACTGCGGGAGCATCGATCTTCAACTGCTCTGCCGCCGCTGCCATTTTCTCGATTGTCTGGGCTTTGATGATTTCACTCACGGGTAATTTGAGGCCTTCTTTCTTCAGCAGATTGGCGACTTTGATCGCACTGACACTGTCCAGACCGAGGTGGAAGAATCCAGTAGTCTTCTTGATACGTTGTCTATCCGATTTGGAGACTCTTGCCAATACTTCTCTTATGATGACCTCTGTCGAACTCCAGGTTTCATGACTTTGAGCCTCTCTTTCGTCCGCGGAATTCTGCGACACCTCCTCGACCAGAGTCTTCTCGTTGGCCGTCAAAGTTATCACTGGCAACCCACAAACTGAAACTCCATCACCAACTTCTTTCACGAGAGGTCGATCAGGTTCGTTCATGAAGGCCAACAATATTTCGTCGAGCTGCCGCAATAGGGTTTGGCCGAACTGCTTTGGACAAACACCTTCCTGACAGGCTATCGTCCACCTCAACTCGTTTTCTTGGCCTGCAAATTCGATGTTGATAGGATATGGAGGTTTGATGGTAGTTTCATCTCCCGCTACCTCCTCGTACAGTCTTGATGAGGCATTCTCATCACTGGGTAGCTTTTGAAACGTGAACAATGTGTCGAACAATGTTGAGCTAACTCCCTGTTCTCTGGCCAAGCGGATTGCTTCACGGAGTGGGAAGTTTTGATATTCCGAAACCCGTACCACGGCATTGTGGACTTTCTTCAGGACTTGGGACGTGGTGTTGTCTTCATCGATCATCGGTCTGAAGACGACAGTGTTGAAGGTTGGGAAAATGAGGTTCTCTGAACCTTCCGTGGTGCGGCCGGACAGAACCACACCAAAACATACATCGATCTGATGAGAGTAGTGTGCCAAAGCAATAGTCCAGCACGCCAGTCCTAAAGATTGAAGAGCGATCCCTTGTTGCTTGCAAAATGTCAACACTTTGTCGAGTTTGGCGCTGGATGATGGCTTCTGGAGTAAGAAGGCTGGCAGAGGATGATTTTGGCTGCCTCTTTTCTGTCTGAATGGGCTAGGCTGGACATCTGACAGTTGACTCCGCCAGAAGTCTTGCGACTGGGGATTTTGAGAACGGTTGATCACCTCCTCGAGATGCTTTTCGCATTGGCCGACCGCAGCACCTTGTTCTTTGATCATCGGAGAATCGTATATCTCTGCCACTTGCCGATGTAGTAGATGTAACGACCACGCATCATACAGAGCATGTGGCATCCCAAGAACCAGAAATGATGGGCCATTTCGACTAATGACGAATCTTATTTTGATGTACTGGGACTTGAGATCTATCCCGATATCATCTTCTTCCAAGTTCTTCACCACATCCGTCACGTTTATGTCGTGCACAACCGTCACTGAGTTTCGACATTTTACAATGTACTGGACGAAAGCCTCATGGCTGTCGACAACATCAACTGTTTCAAACCTTGTCCTTATGGTAGGTTGCGTTTGAGAAACGGTATTCCATGCTTCGATCAGTTTCTTTATATCGGTTCCGGGATTCACTTTGAAGACCATGATATTTGAGTACTTGTGAGATTCAGCCAGCAAGCCTTCCTGCATTGGCGTAACCGGCCAGATCCGTTCGACATTCTCGAGATCGATCCCGTGATTTTGTAGAATGTGTCTATAGCTCTCTTGCAGCTGAGCGATAGAGGGTTGATCTTCCCCTCCAGTCGATTTTGAACGAAGCTCGATATCTGAGGAGATCTCCCGAGCAATACCGGCGACCGTGGGAGACTTTAGGATGGCACTCATGGCAACTTTCAATCCGATATTTCTAAGTCGAGTAGCAAGCTTCATCGCTTCGATACTGTCAAGGCCCAATTCAAAAATGGTAGGCCGGTTGAGACGAATTGTGTCTTCCTCCACCGAAGCTAACTCTGCAAGTTGAGTTCGAACAGTGATTTCGGTTTCCGTCCAATTGGACCTTTGATCCAATGAATCTGATGGGCTGCTTGACTTGGAGTCCTCAATTTTGTGGACTCCGTTGACTATTCGATTGGCGCCCGCTCCATAGAAGGCGTCAGGAAGCACTGACTCCATTTGTGCATTTTGAACGGTGTCAAGGTACATTTCGAGCAGCCGGCTAGTATCTTCCCTGCTCAGATATTCCGACCTGGTAACCACAGCGACTTGGAAAGAAGCCTCTTCCTCCTTCACTTCTATGTTGAGAGGATAATCAGGTACGCTCTCTGCAGAAACTTCTTGCCATAAATCGCTCTGTCCAACGTCTTGCCGGCTTTTGTGGAAGACAAAAAGGATGTCAAACAATCCTCTGTGGGGATCCAGCCCAAGATGTTTTGCAATTCTCCGCAACGGCGTGTGTTGATAGGGGAGAACGTCCACATTAAAACGATGGCAAGCTTGAATGAGGTCCACAACGGTCGATCCGTTGTCAAGTTGATTGATAGCGCAAGGAATTGTATTAAACATGGGACCTATCACTTCTTCGAAGTTCGTATTCTCCAATGCTCGACCAGATACCACAACACCAATCGAAGGGTTAACTTTGAACATCTGGTACAAAGAATACAACAGTGCAGCCTCAAAAAAGGCCGAAGCAGTAACGTTCAGCTTATTGCATAAGCCCTTTACTTCAACATGGGCTATTTCGTCCCGTACAAAATGGAAACGGGCCTCTGCGTCAGTCCTTGAATTGGCCAATGATAGCTTAAAGGGCCTCAATGTCGACAGTGCTGATTTCCAGAATTCCTCCTCGTCGGGCATAGCACGTAAGGGCCCGTAAGGCAGAGCCTCGTAGAATTGCATGTCGAGTTTCGGTGTCTCTTGAGGGTGATCATAGAGTCTCTTGACCAGATTTACTAACAGTGGCAGGCTCACTCCGTCGTAAAGCCCATGAAAGATGTGGATCACCAGCCACTTTTCCTTCCCTGAGGTCGTGATTTGAACTTTCCATGGTGTTGACCTGCCGAATGCTTTGACAGATCTTGCCCAATCCTTGGAAGTGGACCCTGGGACAATGTCGTCCTTCGTTTTTCCATTTTCGATATCCTTCAGGATGGGACTGTTCACCCCTTTTCGGAGAACGACTTGAGCAAATCCATCCTCGGTGGGGACAAAATGAGTTCTCAATATGGATATTGCTTGTTGTGCAGAGTTCCACGCGTCTCTTAATCGGCCAATTTCAACGGTAACGTTGAGTTTGAACATAAAGCATGAGAAGTACACAGTATCTTCGGGCTCCGCACGCATGACTTTGGAAACCATCCCTTCCTGTAACGGTGTACACGGAGCAATGTATTCGATTTCTTCTCCTGTGACTTCGAGTGCTCGGCTTATCACGTTGTGATGAGCCTCCGCAAATGACTGGATATGGCTTCGAGCGACCGCCACCGATTGATTGTGATCAAAAGTAGCTGGCCGATTGACAACTCTCGCCAAGTCTGTGACCACAGGGTGTCTGAGAATTGTAGCCACATCTATATTTTGGAAGCCTTGCTTCCTGAAAGACCGGGAAAGCCCAATGGCTGACACGGAGTCCAAGCCAAGTTCGAAAAGCCTTGACGTTGGCGTGACGCTTGCCGTGGGAATTTGCAGGAACGTTGCCAGAACCTTTATCACATTCCTGACCGCTTCAGAGTTACCGGTTTCCAGTCCTCTCCCCCCGTTGGTTTCTTGGTGTCCAGAGTCCAGTGAGGCACGTTCGTAGAGAGCCTTTAACGATTGGTGATCCACCTTGTTATTGACAGACAAGGGTAAAGAGGATACCCCTAAGCAATATGTGGGCACCATATACGCTGGCAATTGATCCGCACACTTTCGTTGAATCTTCGCTGCCAAGTCCTTTGTCTGCTTGTTCGACATGATCGATGGGTTTTCAGACTGCTTCCGGCTCTGTGTAGTCGAAAAGAAAGTCACCAATTGCTCTTTTTGTTGTGTCGGGTGCTTTAGAACCATGGTGGTCGCATCTTGGAGGCTCGTTGACGCACTCATCGCTACGTGATTGATCTCGCCAATTTCCAATCGCTGTCCACGCAGCTTGACTTGGTCGTCTATCCTACCCAAGAACTCAAAGCTATCGTCGTGTAAGAGCCGAACAAGATCCCCCGTGCAGTAGACTCTAGCTTTGTGGTCCCGTAGAGTGACAAATTTATTTGCAGTGAGGTCGAGCCGGTTGAGATAGCCTTTCCCAACTAACGGTCCCGAGAGGCAAAGCTCGCCGATCGCACCACGGAGAACTGGATTCTGTGAGGTTGGATCTAATACGAAAGAACCGACATTGTCCCATTGTTGGCCAATATTTGTAGGTTTTGCCCCTTTGGGGACTTGTCTGTGCACTGTACAGCCGATGGTCACCTCACTTGGGCCGTAGAAATTGTACAGACATCCGGTATCGCCCCAGGTCTCCAAAATGTCCTGTCGAACTAGCTCACCTCCCACAATAAACACCCCCTGACACAGGCTCGGCACATCTTCCGGCGAAAGCATTCGGGCGAGACTTGGGGTGAGATCAAGGTGTGTGATTTTCAGGGCGTTGATTGTTCCGGGCAGATCTTCGAAAAGCAGGTCTCGAGGGGCCGAGGTAACACGGATTCCTACACTCCAGCTCCAATATTGCTCCAGGACACTTACATCGAAATGAAACGATGCAAATTGTAGCCACCGAGATGATTCATTCCACCTGCCTTCAAAGATCCGCTGAAAAGACAGCATTGCTTGGACTGCGCTGTCATGGCTAATGAGACATCCTTTTGGCGTCCCCGTCGTTCCCGAGGTATACAGACAGTAGCAAATGTCTTGAGGATCCAGGTCCCTCGAGAGCACTGGGGTTTGATCCGAAAGATTCTGCCAGTGACCGTCATCAACCGCTATCACACGTAGATCGTTGGAAAGAGGAAAATCTGGCTTCTTGTCCCGGGTAGTCAGCACCACCTTCGAGCCCGAGTCACGGAGGATGAATTCTTTTCTCGCTTTTGGAGCTCCAGGATCAATGGCAAGATAGCCACAACCCGCCTTCTGCACTCCCAATATGGCAAATGAAGCTTCTGGACACTTTTCAAAGCAGACCACTATCAGTTCTCCGACCTGGGCCTTGTTATCTTGGAGTAAATGAGCAATCTTGTTTCCACTGGCATTCAACTGAGAGTATGTCCAAGACTGCTTCGCCACAGTAGAGCCATTTATGCTCGAGACAAACTCCAAGGCGATTTTATCTGGGCTCTTCTTCGCCGTTGACTCGACCAATCCATGGAGGTGGCGTATCTCAGTGCCAATTCGCTCGTCCTTGGCCGGAACAACGGACAGCAGTGAATTGGGTACGGCCAGCCTTCGACCACGCGTTGGATTCAAGATGCACTCGATTACCGCACCAAATTCCTGTAGGATGTAAGCAGCTTGCTCGGGGGGGACAATACTCTCGCGAAAGGTCAATTGGAAGTCCAAACTATCATCCTCGCGAGGAATTATTTCTATCGACACGGCATATTCAGCAGTTGCGTCATCTTTGACCTGTGTCCATGGTCTCTGGGGTCCGCGGCCAGAACTAGATTTTTGCAGGACCATGACCGTGTCGAAGAGCTCATCTTCAATTCCAGCCCAACGCTTGATCGAGCTCAGAGGGGTATATTGATGTTTCATCACTCCAGCACAGCGTTTGACCGTTCTTTTCAAAAGATCTGGGAGATCTTGTGACACTTCAATTGCAAATGGCACAGTGTTGATGCAAGGAAAGGCGACCTCGTTGTCGCCCTCTTCATTGAAATCTCGGCCAGACAGAATGATTCCGAACGTGACATGAGTCTGAGCCGTGTATGCGGAGAGGATGACGGACCACGCGCTGACGCACACAGCTTGAGTGGTTGCCCCGATAAGTGCGCAAGCTTTTTCGAGAGCCGTCTGAGACAAACGGCATTGTTCGGAAGTGACGCGGAATGATTCACTTTTGTTGCTATAGATCTTCATGTCGGGAAAACGGGTTGAGCAGAGGTCAGCCGAAAGCTCCAACCAAAATGGCTTTGAGCCTTCGTCTCTGCTCATGGCTAAGATCTGTGAAATAACCGGAGAGGGCGCAATTGGCTTGGGAGGTTGTATATCCCTGTACATACAAGCAACGTCTCTCAAAATGATGTCCAGGGATTGTGCATCATACAGGGCATGCAAAATCGAAAGTTCGAGGGACATAGATGCACCCGTCGTGGAGACTTGTAATTCCCACGGTAGCTCTGCGAGAACACCTCCATCGTTCCACTTTGTCGAAGCGCCGTCTTGAGTGGGTGAACTTGTGCTGTCTAACCAAGGGAGCTGTCTAGCATCTGGGCGATAGGTGACCATCGCAAACGGAATTTGAGGATGGTCGGTCTCCGCGAACCCCGTCCGGAGCATCTCATGGGTCTTCTTTGCGACTATCCACGATTCTTTCAACCTTGAAAGGTCGATGTCATTGTCTAGGCGTAAGTAAATTTTGTTGAGGTACAGGCGACGGTTTGAGCGAAGATATTGTGACAGAATTCCTGATTGAGTATGTGTGCATGGACGTATCGATTCAACTTCTGCTTCGTCGATGTCATTATTCAAGCAAAGGAGCTTGCGATGTTTCTCATCAAATGCGCTCGTATCGAAGGGCGTGAGCTTTTGGTGTTCCTCTTTCGTTGAATCACAAAGCGCAGCAATTTGTCCAACACTGGCAGCTTCCAAGATGTCCGCACTCGAGACGCTGATCCCCTGTTTCCGGAGTCTTGCGGCAATTTGAACAGCGTTGATGCTGTCAAACCCCAGTTGAAATATCGTGGTGTCTTTGGTCAATCTCGTTGAGAGGTCGGGTTTGAATTGACTTAGCACCTCCTTGACAAGCAATTCATCATCTGATAGCTCTTCTGCTGTATCATGAGCCCCATTTGTGAGATTCTGGGTTGATGCGACGTGCAGGTGAGATATCCCCTCGGGACTTTTTAGTGTTGGCAATTTCTGATCGACAACAGAAGAATCTAGCGCTCGCGCTTGGGGGAATTTGGACGTATGTGAAAGGAGTAAGTCAAAGCATTCTAGGAGCTGGGTCAGAACGGCCGTTTTGGCGGCTTCGGAATGTAACTTGAGGGAAATGCCATCATTCCTCGTGTTCATTACGATTTCAAGGATGAAAGGGAATGACATGTCTCCAGAGTCTTCAAGGAGAGTCCAAATTCGATGATCCAACTGTAATTCATCTTGCTGGAGCAGAAGCAACGTATCAAACAAAGCTTTGCCTTGTAAAACACTTTGCCGTTGAATTCGGCGAAGCGAACTGGGCTGATAGGGAAGAACCTCTATATTCATCTGCTGAATATTATGGCACAAATCGCTGTTGGAATCTCCCCGCTGCAGATGAGTCCTCGTTGGCACAGTATTGAAGCATGGTGCGACTAGTCGATCAATACCTTCGATGGGTAGATTACGACCACTTAGTACGTTCCCAAAGCAGACATCTTCTCTTTGGAAGACTGAGAAAAGAAGCCTACTCCAAGTCGCCTGAAATAATGCCAAAGCGGTCGAGGAAATCCTTCGTACACATTTCTGAAACTCGGACACGCCGAGAGTGGCCTCACGCACCACAGTGGAAGTTTTCCCGCCTCCGAGTTTGTCTTCAGCCTGTATGAGCTCGTCGAGCCGGCAAGCAGACACTTCATACAGCGTCTTGCGCCAAAAGTGGTCAGTATCAGGAGATTTGGAGTCTTCCATGAATGACAGATAAGTATCAAACGCAATGGGAGGTTGCAGTGGACGGTCATGGTAAGATGATTCAATTTCGGACAGGAGAATCGACAAGGCCTCCGCATCGTAGAGACAATGATGGATCTCAAGGGTCAATTGGTAATTGTTGCCATCTTTGTCCAATCTCACGCTCCAAGGGGGGAGCATCAAGAAGTCGAGGTCCGATTTTGCATGACCGCGAGCGTCTTCATCCATCCAGGGAAGTTCGAAGCTCTCCAAAACCACCTGGACAAAGGGTGTTTCGGCTGAATCCATCGAAGCAAAACCTGTTCGGAGAAGTTGATGTCTGGAAATTGCACGACTCCACGCTTCTCGTAATCTGACCATGTCCCCGTATATTTTGAAACGAAGAGAATTCTGGTATGCCCGCGAGGAAGAATTCATCGAGCTGGTTGCCATGGATTCCTGAAGCGGCGTACAGGGCAGGAACTTCTCAACCTTCAATCCTGCTCGAGCGTAGATGTCGATGATTTCGTCTTTCCGCTTGTCATCGAAGAGGTTCCTCAGGGGCTTCTGTTGGTGTGTCCTTGAGACCTCTTCTTCGTCTGACTTGAGAACGGCCATCAGTTGTCCAATGGATGGATTTTGCAACAGCGTGGAGATCTCCACACCCGAAACATCATTCTCTTTCAGAGATCGAGCCACGCGTATCGCATTGATCGAATCGAGACCAAGAGCATAGAATGAGCTATTGCGTTTGATAATCTCCAACCGGACACCAAGGATGTCCGAAATGATCTGGGCCATTCGACGCTCAGACTCAGAAAGATCATGCGCACCTCCTGAGGGATCAGAATCTCTTGATACTGCTTGAAGATGTTCAGAGTCGAGTCCTTGATAAAAGCTAATCATAGCTTGGCGATCGATCTTGCCTTGTCGGGTCAACGGAATCTGATCGAGGCGTAATAGCGTATCGGGTATCATGTAGCTGGGCAGCACTTTTCTTAGTTGTGCATAAAGCGTGCTGGTCGATTTCGAAAGCGATGACGTGCTGTCTGGCTGGCGAGGGGTCCAGAAAGAGACAAGCCTAGAAATCTCATCTGCCACCTGGATAATCATGGTCACTGCATCTTCAACTTCGTCACACCTCACCAACGAAGAATCAATGTCTCCTAGCTCAATACGCTGGCCTCGTAGCTTGACCTGGTCATCCTCTCGGCCCATTATCACCAGCGAATCATCAGCTAGGAGTCTTCCAATGTCCCCGGAACGGTAAAGTCGTCCGTATTGTGGATGGTCCAAGAAACTCTTCGCGGTGAGTGCGGGATCAATATAGCCACGGCCAACCTGTTCTCCGCCAATCCAGATCTCGCCGACTCCACCTTTCGGTACCAGTCGAAAAGTGAGAGAAACTTCTCCAGAATTGTGAAGAGCATGTGTAGATACTGTCTTTTGTGTCTGGCAAACGAAAATAGATGTATTGGACAACGCAGGCCCGACATTATTGGCAGCATCGAGCCTCGAGACCTTGGGTCGAATATTGCATATATTCGTCGTCTCGCTGGGGCCATATCCCTGATACAAACCGCGGCCGGCCCAATCCGTGAAAACCTTCGAATTCATGGGCTCTCCTGCCGTAACGAGAAATTTCACTCGCGGAACATTTTGAGGACGGACCAATGCAGCGACTGAGGGCGTCATGCTGAGATGGGTGACGTTGAGTTTATCTATGAATTGTTCGAGATCTCGGAATAGGACGTCGTTGGAAGCTGTGCATAAAGTCATTCCCATATGCCAGGTCCAGAAGATCTCAAAGACCGAAACATCAAATGCTGGAGAACAGGCTTGCAAGATTCGGTCCTCGGCAGGCACACATGGGTAGAGCCGTGACAGATGTCCGAGGTTACTCAACAGATTCTTTCGCGTAATGAGGACACCCTTGGGGACACCGGTGCTGCCGGAAGTGAAAACAGCGTATGCTAGCTGATCTTCTCTCAGGTCAGGGAAACTTTGTTCGCCCGGTATGTGCCGGTCTAGTACATCGGTTATGGGCACAGCGTTTTGTGCCAGAGACGTGACGGTAGAATCGAGGCTTTGGTCTGTCAACGCAACTTTGCCTTTGGATTCGTTCCAGATCTGGCGGATCCTGTCTGCTGGTGTGCGAGGATCGATGCACATGTAACCTGCACCGGCCATGATACTTCCAAGAATGCCGATATAAAGCGGAATAGATCGGGCAGCAATGAGACAAACCAGGTCATTCTCCCGGATCGCATAGGACGTCTGCAACGTCGAGGCTACGAGGGAAGCTTTGGAAAACAAATCACGATAAGTCAGCGTCTCCTTCTCGAGTCGGCCCGTGTCTGGGTCAAAGTCAAGAACGAATTCAACGGCCACTCTCTCGGGCTGGTTTTGTGCCAGATCTGAAATCGACGTCGTGAGACTGAAGTCTCGCTTGAAGGTTGCGTATTGAGTGTTAGCCGTCGACATGATATTTTCGTTGGACATTTCCCACAAGCAATCCAGTCTCGACTGGGGGTTTTTCACCATTTGAATGGTAATGTCATCCAGCTGAGCAGCTAAGAGCTTTGCGTGTGGTTCGGGCATCAAGTTTTGGTTGACGGTCAGTTTCAGGTGAACCTGATCTCCACGGGGCTCAAATTCTAAGACGACGGCATAGTCCAAAGCATCAAAAGTTTTAGTGGTAGTCACCTTGGAACGGTCCCTCCCACGGTCTTCATTGCCTTCTTGCCACACGCACAAAGTGTCAAACAACCGGTGTCCAGGCGTGACGCCTGCTGCACGATTGATGTCTCGAAGAGTTACATTCCCATATTTCAGGGAACGAGAACGTTGTCTTTGAATATGGTTGATAAGGTCGTGCGCCGTCATCAGCGAGTGGATGTCGACACGCAAAGGCATGGTCGACAGGCAAGGCCCAATAATTGTTTCGACCCCTAGGAGGGGAATATGGCGATTCGCAGAAACGACTCCAATCGCAACATCCTGGTTGTTGAGACATAAGGCCAATATAAGAGCCCACGCAGATTCCAGAATAGTCTCTCGACTGCAGCGCAATGACAATGCAATTTCGGAAAGCTGGCGGTAAGAAATTGACAAGGGAACAGATATTGCGCTCCTGGGTCGGTCATGCAGCCTGGAAGAGCACAGGTTTGGGAATGTACAAGGCACAAAGTCCTGAAACAGGTCATGCCAATACTCGTTGTTTTGGACGCTCTCGGTTAGCATCTGGGATCGTTGATAGGATTGGAACTCTGAAAACTGAGTCCTTTGCGGCGTCTTCCGTCCGGATAAGAGATCATTCAGATCATCCAGGACAAGGTCCCAGGACCATCCGTCGTACAGCGCATGGTGGATGCGAACAACGGCTTCGCCTTCATCGCAGGAGGAAGGTCTTGTTATCTGTAGCGGGTGAAGCAAATTCAAGTCAGTATCTCTGATGTCCTGCCAAACCACTTGAGCAAAAGGCATTTCTCGTTGCCGCGTCGAAATGAATCCAGATCGCAAGATCCGATTTTGTCTCCCCAGCGTATGGAAAGCTCGTCGCAAGTCCTCGAACTTCACCTCGGAAGCAAGGCTGAGCCGGATCTCGTTGAAATTTTGATCGTCACTTTTGGCGGTTTCGGCCAACATTGCGACCTGCATACTGCTGCACGGGAGAAGGCTTTCCCAGGACGACGCAGTGGCAGTAAGAGTCGGGTCCTTGCACAGATTTTCCTTGACTGCTTGCCATTCATCTGACGTTTCATACTCTAACTCTGATCTTGGATAATTCTCTGAGGATGTTGAGCTTTTGACCAATGCGGCAAGCTCGGCCACGTTATCTCTCTCTGTGAACAGAGCCGCATTAATGAACGGGTACTTCTGGCGAAGTTTAGAGGCGATCTTGATTGTTCGAAGGGAATCAAGGCCTAGCGACCAAAGGGAGGTTGATCTGTCGATCTTTCGGCCGAGCTCTTCTTCAAGGACTCGGGCCAAGTCTCTCTCGGTGCGGTCTTTCGGCTCTTCATCGTCGTGCGCAGATGGCCGGGACTCTCGAAAGTCTCGTTCGAGAGCCTTGCGATCAACTTTACCAGAAGGCAGTCGTGGAACTTCGTCACCTTGAAGGAAAACTATTTCTCCCGGTCGCATGTACGGCGGTAACCAAGATTTGCACATTGTAGAGACGTCCGCGGGCCGAACCTCCTGGCTTGCAGCACAGAAAAGGACAAGGACATCGTCAATGACGATGGCGATCGCCAGTTGAAGGCCGTGAACCTTGGAGGCCACTTCTTCGATTTCACCTAGCTCGACTCTTTGACCTCGGAGTTTGACTTGGCCAGAAGCCATTCGGCCAAGTATTTCGAGCTCGCCATCTGGTCGACATATTGCCCGATCTCCGGTTTTGTAGACAGCGCCATAACCGGGAAGTTCGACGAATGCTGCTTTGTTCTGATCGGGTCGATTGAGGTATCCATCGGCAAGCTGGCCTGTGACGGCCAATTCACCCGATTCGCCCATGGATGCTATTTCAGGACGTTCGGATTCTTTTAACACCACAGCAGTCACTGTTGCGAGAGGGCGTCCAATCCTGCGGACAGAGGCAGTGGAGGCTAATTTGGTGGCAAGGGTGCAGTGAATAGCGGCTTCGGTAGGGCCGTACATTGCGTACAGCATGCTGGGTCTTTCGGAGTCGCCTCCAAACTCGGAGACCACCTGTGACGTGAGCATTTCTCCAATTGTTAATAGTGTCTGAAGGCCAGGGGCCGCTCTTCTGGTCCTCAATAATGTGCCCGCCACAGTGGGTGTAAGTTCGGCAGCATCAGCATTGAGAAGTTGAATGGTAGCCGGAAGATCTGAGAGCATGCGCTCGCGCTCGCAGCCCACCAGTGTTGCCCCTCGGTAAAATGGAAAAAATATCTCAAATATTGATACATCGAACGTGGGTGAAGCAAATTGTAGAAATCGTTTGAAAGAGGGGATATGTTCGTCGTGCGCAAGTAGTGACTGCGATACGGAACGATGCGATACCATGACACCTTTAGGAAGTCCTGTGGAGCCGGACGTATACATCACGTATGCCGGTCCGGAGGGATCGACCTGCGGGAGTGGAAGACGATGTGCATCGCTTTGACCATTAGAACGCAGTCGGCACTCTAGACTTTTGAGTGACACCGCCACAGATCTGGCGTCTGGAAGAAGATCCCGCAAGGAGGGCAAAGTGGTGGCAGTGGTCAGGACAAAGGATGCCTCCACGTCCTTGACAATGAATTTCAGTCTTTCCGGAGGGACATCCTGACTGACTGGGCAAAAGCCTGCACCGGCCTTTAACACAGCCACCCACGTGATATATAGCTCTGGACATTGCGGCAGGATGACCGGAATGACACGCGGGCGATTTTCCAGTCTCGATATTTGGTCTCCAATATCCCGAGAAAGAATGTCGGTCAAGCGGTGGAACTCGTCGTAAGTGAGCTTCACCCGGCTGCCATCAGAGTTCAAGAAGTCCAGAATAAGTTCCTCACTCGGGGTGGATGCAATTAATTCGTGCAGCAATGTTGGCCCTGGCAGTGTTTGACGGTTCTTATTGACAATTGCAAGATCACGTAAAACGTGACCGTCATGGACTGAACGGTCCATGGTCTTGATGAGCAGAGATGGGTTTCAGCTGATCGAAGGAATGCTTGGAGGTGTGGGATGTTATCTTCAACGAATGGTCGTCGGTGAGAAGGAGATTTGACAAGGCTGTCCAAAAGCGGGAACGACAATAGGAGGAGGAAGCTCTGGGCTTGATGTCCGACGTCATAGATAGCAAAAGTCTCTGGCTGGCTGCTCGTTTAGATAAATTTTCACCCACAGTGTGCGGACTATCATGCTCTTTTCTTCTTGACGTATTCTACCAGTGGCTGACGAGCAAAGAGTGGGAGTGTCTTTCCACATCGAGACCGAACTTACGACCGAGTTTTCGATCGCGAGTTAAATCCACTGGTGCCGCGGTGACTTGCATGTCACACCTCGCTTCATCGCATTTCGGTGTCAACACGTTCGAGGCTAACACCGATTGAGGCAAGGTTCTGTTACTGCCAGTCTCGATCGACACGGTACGGGTCACAGCAAGACAGAACCCCGAGGACTTGGGCGTGAAGAAATTTCTGTTTCCAACGAGCCTTGTTTCTGAGCCAGTGGGGGAAGAGAGTGTTAGCGGTGCCGCTCACTGGCTGCTCCTCCGTGGCGTGACTGGAGATTATCTGATAATCGCTGATTTCCTCTCGCTTGGCCTGACCAGTCTCCGTCATCGGCCGGCAGAAATTGGTGGGAGCATCTATTTTCTTTCTTTTTTTTCTTTTTTTCCTTCTGCTTCTTCCCTCATACGGCGTGGTGTCTAGTACCCGCTGGTCACTTCCATGCTCTCGAGACCCCCTTAAGGCGAGAATGCTGGGGTGATGTCCGCAGAGACTGCTCCGATGCTGGCCCTGTTTGATTCGGCAGTGTGATCTTTACCAAGGTTTCACGCCGGCGGTCGTTTCCGCTCCTGAGGCCTCTGAAGAGATTGGCTCATCATCGGGTGCACACGTGGTCCTTCTTGTCTTAAAGCTCGCTGCGGTTCGCTTGCTCTCCAGCTGACGTCCTCCTAGAAACCTTGAAACAGAATAGAGACGACGATTCTGAGGGCATCGTCGCGATGGCTCCCAGTGCTATATCTGGGAATCCTGGCCCCGGACACAGTCCTGAGCCCGCCCGTCCTGTTAATGGCACCGATGGTTGGAGCTCCATGCCATCGGGGAATGGGATCACCCCACTGCTCCGCTCTCCAGTGAATTTGGGTTCCGCGGCACTCGATGAAGTCCACGACCTGGTCGGTGTTGGCTTCGGACCAGCCTCTCTGGCCATCGCCGTTGCCCTCAACGACTCGCTACAGGCCCAAGCGGACCTCGGACACGAAGTCGACCGTCCCAAAGTTCGTTTCCTTGAGCGACAAAGCACGTTCAAATGGCATGCAGGCATGTTGCTGCCCGGGGCAAAGATGCAGATCTCCTTCATCAAGGATCTCGCGACTCTCCGAGATCCGTGCAGCCATTTCACCTTTTTGAATTATCTGAAAGAACACGACCGCCTTGTCCAGTTTTCGAATCTTTGTACATTCTTGCCGTCCCGACTGGAGTTCGACGACTATCTCCAATGGGCAGCGGCCCACTTTGACAACGTGGTGGAATATGGTCAGGAGGTCGAGTCGGTACGCCCGCGAAAATTGGGCGGAACAGAGAAATATGATTGTTTCGAGGTTGTCTCGCGCCATCTGTCAACCGGCAGAGCAACCACGTTCCTGAGTCGGAATGTTGTGATTGCGGCAGGTGGGCGGCCCGCGAGGCCCTCTATATTCCCGGTTTATCATGACCGGATTCTGCACTCATCGGAATACAACACGAGGATCGAGAGTGTTCTGCCCGACAAGGATAGGGCGTACAATATAGCCGTCATTGGCGGGGGACAGAGTGGCGCAGAGGTGTTCAATGACCTTCATTCTCGATATCCAAACTCCACGACGACGATGATTTTTCGGGATACGGCTCTTCGACCAAGCGATGATTCGCCGTTCGTCAACGAAATTTTCAATCCCGAAGCGGTGGATACCTTCTTCGCGCAACCGGAGGATTCCCGGTCTCGCAATTTGACGAGGAACAAGGCCACCAATTACAGCGTCGTGAGGCTCGAGTTGATTGAAAAGATATATGAGGATCTGTATCTTCAAGGAATCAAACAACCAGATAGGAGCCGATGGCAACATCGGATCCTTCCGTCAAGAGAAGTCACGGAAGTTGTCGACAATGGTCCAAATAAAGGGCTGGGCTTGACTTTGACAAAGTTGGACCCCTTGAGCGACAAGGCCAAGGACATATTGCCTGTTGATGCTATTGTGCTAGCTACGGGATATCAACGCGATGCTCACGTCGACATGCTCAGAGATTGTCAGAACATCAACGCCAACCGAGATGGGCGTTGGGAGCCCGGACGAGATTATGGATTGAAGTTGGATCCGGCCGCCGTCGAGGACGGCGTGGGAGTTTGGCTGCAGGGGTGCAATGAAGGAACCCATGGATTGTCGGACTCCCTGCTTTCGATCCTGTCCACTCGAAGCGGAGAGCTGGTGGACTCCGTCTTTGGCAGAGACTTCCGACTCAATGGTCACTGAGACTGGATTGTGGCTGTTTAGCTGTATCCGTGATGGTTGCTACACTGCTCCTTGTTGACCAGCTGATTATTCCAATAGCGCATGCCCCAGCAAGATTCTCTTTACCGTAGAGACGGTCGCTGACGAGTAGCTTATGGGTGCTTCTTGTATCTGCACTTGGTCGTGAGATATGCCTCCAATGCTGCAAGCTCCCCTGACAAAGATTCAATTAGGACCTAATTGGTTCTTCGACGCCCCGTGATCGACCTCCGCTCCTCAAGGCTCTGTTCTCCAGAGCGGGAGTCCCGGACAAGCCGGTGCCCATGTCGACACAACATGGAGAAGCCCAATGGAAGGTCGAGAAGGCCGGACAACACGAGAGCTTCGCGGGGTGTCGGTCAGTGGTCGCCACCTCCGCAAAAAAGAGCCACAAAGGCGGAGATGCCTGCTAGTTGGCGTTGATTGTGTCCATCTTCGCTGGCCCGTATGTAACTCCAACTGCCGTTCGGAGCAGGGGACAGAACCGTGACCGGTTGTGCTATAAATATGAGGTGCTTCCCACCAACGTCGTCTCGAACGGAAATTCGTAAAATCGGCGCCAGTGAGTCAGAGAACAAGTCGGCCGTAGGATCGGGAAGGATGAGCTCTTTTGTGGCTGAAGGGAGGCTGGCCTTCAATTTTCGTTAATCGAGAAACTTTTGTGCCTCGGCTGTGTGTGTGTGTGCGCGAGTCCTCAATCGGCGAACTTCCACCAACGAAGTCCCACCCAGCAACGGCAATCTGCGCTTCTGAATCTTTCCACCGACTCTCATTTTCGAGTGTCCATGAATATGCAGTGGTTTGTCGTGGCCAACTGAACAGAACATGGACAGCTTCGAACACGAGCTCGAACATCCCAAGAAGCGTCGCAGGCGTGAGATCTTGCCGCGGCCTCACTTGGCTCGTCTGGTATTCGATGACACCGTCAAAGGCGACGCAGCCCTTATCTCGGAGAGTCTCTGGACTAAACTTGCACGTAGAGAAGATGGTAGGGGAACAGGTCATTGTCTCATCGTTCTAGACACATGCTGACAGAATTCGCAGAGGCACACTCGTCGACCACCAGTTTCCTGGCCCTCACGCCGTGGTCACCGTTATATACCGAGGTGCAGGATTCGGCATGGACGATCCTTTCGGCACAGCGACGTGGACCTGAGTCTCCGACCGAATCTCCTGAACAATCCGATGTGATCAAGCTCTCACCTTCTTCCTCCGCTTGTCAATCCATTCTAAAGACCTATGCCGCCGTCGACCGAGACCGTCATCCAGGTCATGTCCCCAAGTCGATTGAGATACGCGCCATCTCCACCAAGGCTCTAATCCTGGAGACCATCTACGTATCTGTTGAGAAAGGCCTTCTTGAAAAGGTTGATGACATCCAGAACAGGTTCGGTGGTGGTTTTCAATATGGGAAAAACTCGAAGGCAGACAGAAAGCCATTGGCACCAAATGGCATTCTGCAGAACATCCCTCCACTCATGTCTCGCCTGAGCTCTCTTGTTCGCGAAGCACTTGCCCACTTGCCCGTTATCCACTCGGGGGATGTATTTCCCTTACCGCTCCCTGCCCATCCCATTACACACGTTCGGCCACCTCCGGCTATTGTGGTTGATTGCGAGCCAGTCTCTCAGGGCCAGATATCTGCCCAAACCAAGATCGTTCTCATTCAGACCGGCTCATCGCAGGAGAAGGCTCTCAACCAGCTGACTCCGGTGCAACCCATCATCGAAGAGTCACTCGAGGATACTGCGGAAGACACCTCTACTGACCAATTTTTCTCTGCCGCCGAGGACGGGCAAACGGAGACCGGATCTGATGGAGACGACATGTCTGAGGAATCTAGCAGTGATGACTCGACCCATGAAGAAAGCGACGAAGATTCTGACTCTATGGATGATATGATCTCATTGAGTGCTCCCGGGCTGCCGCCACAACAAGCCGGGACGCTGTCGGCCATGACCTCGGCCACACCTCGGCCGGGAGGAAAGAAAGCAACGGGAATGCAAACTCCAGGATCAATCTACTCAAGTTTCACTTCAACAACCGCCAGGGCTGGCAGTCAACCTGGAAAGGTCTTCAGGACCGAGGCTCTGCTTCGCCAAGTCCCTATCGAACTGATGCATCCCAAACCCAGTCTTGAAGATGACGAAGAGTCTTTCGTCTTTATCGACACCAGCACTCTTGCCAAGATTGGATGTTTCTCTGGCGACTGGGTCCGAATCGAGATCGCAAGGAATGTGAGCTCACAGGGATTTCCTCCTTCGACCATGAGAGGTCTCCGCGGATTTGGTGAAGACGAGGAATCTGACTGGCGGACGGTCCGAGTTTTTGGCCTGTCAGGATTTTCAAATCAACACCGACGATACGCGGTCGACAAGACCGGCGACCGAAGATCGAGTTTGACGCAGAGAGATCTGCTCTTGCCATTCGCGCCAGCTATTTACCTCTCCCCCGTATTGCTGTCGAATTTGGCAAATGCGCCATATGTCAAAGTCGGAGCATTACCAGCGATGCCACGTCATGATGCAAAGTCGATCCCAATCCCACGGTCCAGTACGTTCAAATCGCCCCCGTTCGCCAAAGAGGTGGTGTTCTCTAAGATCTCCGACCCTACAACAACCAATCCATCTCTGCAGTCCGCTTTGTTCTCATGCCTCCAATATCACCTCCAGATCAAAAAGCGGACCTTGAAGAAAGGCGACCTCGTTGCGGTGCCGGTGGATCAGGAACTCGGAAAGGCGATGTCGTCCCAAGGAGGAACCGACGACAATCCAGGAGACGATGAAACCATTAAAAAGCTCAATATCCCTGGGACTTCGAGCTCTTCCCGGTATGCAATCGCATGGTTCTCGGTCCAGCAGATTGAAATTGAGCAACCCGAAAATGAGATCGATCAAGATTTGAACCGCTGGGGAGGTGTGGTCACTCTCGACACCTCCCTGGCGAGGGTCTCGCAGAGCGGTAGCAGCATTCATTCCGTATCCCATACGACTGACATTTGGAGCCGGTACTGGTTTGGCATACGCCCACTCTCCCATCCCCCAATGCACCGGGCCGAGCATATTGCTACAGCAGCAGATATCCCTCCTTTAGAAAAACTACCACTGGAAAAACGTCTCTCCGGCTTGATCTCCGCCGCCGTTAGCAATCGGGCAATCAATCTTGGACTTCCTCCCCTCATTGTCCTTATTTACTCCAATCAGCGACAAATCGGCAAGTCGTACATTGCCAATTCTGCTTGCGCGGCGGCTGGTGTTCATACCTTCGCCATATCTACTCACGATCTCCTATCCGAAAATGCCTCAACAACGGGTGGTGGCGATGTAAAGACCGAGGCCTTGTTGAAAACGCGCGCTGAGCGGGCGCTTTCAGGAGGTGCTCAACAGACCGCGCTGCTCATTCAACATATTGATGCGTTGACAGCGGACAGGATGGTTCCTGTGTTGCAGGAGATAATCTCCTGGTCTCGTGTGCTAATTGCAACCACCTCGAAGATTGATGATATCCCCGCCGGGATCCGAAGTCTCTTCTCTCACGAATTCGAAGTGACGGCACCGGACGAGAAGGCTCGTGAACTCATCTTGCGGAATGCCTGTTTTGCGACGTCAACACCACTCTCGTCGGGCATCAATCTCAAGTCGATCGCGCTTCAGACGGCCGCATTGGTAGCGGGCGACCTTCTTGATGTTGTCAATCGGGCTGCTCTTGCGCGATACGCACGGCTTCTGTCCCTGGCAGAATCTCAATCCTGCAGCATGTCTGATATCTACATCTCTGGAGGGCAAGCGGCCACGCACCTTCTTCCCAGTGACTTTGGCCGGGCCATTTCTGCCGCCCGATCCACATTCTCCGACGCGATTGGGGCACCGAAGATTCCCACGGTCACATGGCAAGACGTCGGTGGACTTTCGTCGCAAAAAGATGTGATCATGGAAACGATTTCCTTACCTCTAACTCACCCTGAGCTTTTTGCCAACGGCATTCGAAAACGTTCTGGCATTCTATTCTATGGACCTCCTGGAACCGGGAAAACACTTCTTGCCAAAGCCATCGCGACAGAATTCAGCCTCAATTTCTTCAGTGTCAAAGGTCCGGAATTGTTGAACATGTATATTGGAGAGTCTGAAGCGAATGTCCGCCGAGTCTTTCAACGCGCTCGAGATGCCCGTCCGTGCGTCGTTTTCTTCGATGAACTCGATTCGGTAGCCCCGAAGCGGGGAAATCAAGGCGACAGCGGAGGGGTCATGGACCGAATTGTCTCGCAGCTCCTTGCGGAATTAGACGGCATGTCGAGTGGAAGTGGAAACGGCGATGAATCGGATGGCTCGTCCTCGGCGAATGCTGGCGGGGTCTTTGTCATTGGTGCAACAAACAGGCCGGATCTCCTGGACCCAGCTCTTCTCCGGCCAGGAAGATTTGATAAGATGCTCTACCTGGGAGTTGCAGATACTCACGACCAGCAAGTGACAATTCTCAAGGCGCTGACCCGGAACTTCACCCTCGCCCCGGACGTGGATCTTGGGCGGGTAGCCAGTCGGTTGCCGTTCACCTACACGGGCGCAGATTTATACGCCCTCTGCAGCGACGCCATGCTGAAAGCGATCACACGGAAAACTCGATCCGTCGACGAAAAGGTACAACAAATGGGCAAAGCACGAGGCGAAGACATCAGCACGGGCTACTTTTTCGATCACCTGGCCACGGAGGAAGACGTGCAGGTCGTTGTAAGCGATGCGGACTTCGATGCCGCACAGAATGAGTTAGTGGGCAGTGTCAGCAAGAAGGAACTGGAGCATTTTGAGAGAATACGGAAACTGTTTGAGGAGCAAGATATCACTGCTGACTCCAAGGACAAGGACACTAACGGCGTTGGTGCAGGGAGGAAGGAGGCTGAAGAAGCGAAATTGCCTCTTCGACCGGCTCCACCAACGACTGTACCAGTTCCTGCCACAGAGAACCCAAAACAGGTGTCACCTCCGTCTCAGCCTCCTTCGCATTCTCTGCAGATCAAGGGCAAGGGTAAACAAAAAGCAAGCACGGCTAACACCAATGCCAACCACCTTGCGTTTCCAGTCACGCATGCCTCCAAGCAGACCCCACGAATCGGGAATCCGGATTCAGGCGTCTCGTCGGACGCAGACGATGATTATGGCGTCAGGACGGCGCATTTGAACGGCACTACGGTCAATGGCACCAACACAGACCAAGGAAAGGGGAAAGGAAAGGCCAAAGAGAGATCCCCACCACTAGTTGATGGATTTGTGGATGATGTCGAAGGTGACGACGAAGGATTATATGATGATTGAACGAATACTTGGAATATGTATAAGGCGGAAAAGGCATCAACGCTCGACATAGGAAAGTCTCTGATTCAGTCCAAGGAAGCACACAATGTATGCAGAACCGAACATACGGCTCACCTTGGAACAGCTATTCATGTCTCGCGTCGAGAAGATTTGCCATGAGCAGGGAAGAATGCGACTTGACTTGTCCTTTACGAAGCCGTACACGGAAGGGGGAAAAAAACAAAAAAGTAATCATACATTTATTCAACTCCTCTTTCTGTTCAATCTCCTGCCTACTCCGTGCCTTTTAAGCATACGCTTGGGTAATAATAGTACGCCAGCCTTCCCTGCCTCAACAGTTCAAATTCAGCCGATTATCCGTCTGCTGGTGACCTATCCCGCCACATAGGTTCGTTGCATCTATCCAGGCCCCGGTCCGTCGTTTGGTGTCTGGCGTGGAGTCCGGTGTTGCTTTCTTCCCAAATCAGCCGTTCTCCTTGCACCGTGCTGTGATGTGATGTGTCGTGAGACTTGGTAGCCTTGCTTCCTTCAGATCAAGCAGAAAAACTTCCTCATCCATCACTAACATGTAATTTGTAATTGTTGCCACGGCTCTAGCCTCTCTTTGAAGGACAGAACAATGGAACACCTGCCTATGACTTTGGCAAGGGTTGATATCCAAATCCAAACTTGCCCCGAAACAGCCTTGGGGAGAAGTTTCGGAGGTACAATCACCTCCATTCTTCTTTCTTTTTGCTCTTTCTTTTCTTCCTTGCTCTCCCGCTTCTCGTCTGACAAGTGCAACAAAGTTAAACCTATCATAACGAAGAGTTCAAATCAAACTCAAAATCAAAATCTTGCGAAGAACAAAAGCAACGAGAAAGTACCAAAAAGGGAAAAGGATCAGGCTCTTCTTCCTCTGCAGAGCCCCAAACCTCGAACATGGACGACACGGCAACGAAGACGAAATGCTCATTCCACAAGCAAATAGAACCCGCGCTGGGGAATGTTCCGATATCAAAGGTTTCATTCCCCCCCCTTTTCTTCTTGGTGTCTGTCACCCTTGTAGGGCCGTTAAGTTGAGACCCACGGACCCCTACCAAATCGCCATGCACATGTCCACAGTCGATCAAAACTTCTTCAGGTACTATACTTGGACGATCGACGCATGTCTCCTATGCACGGACCCCGGCATAAATTTTGGTTTTATCGTCTTCGTTTATTTTAGTTTCAGATCCATCCTAGACGCGCATTCTGAAGGTACTGGCCTCCAGGAAGAAGGCCGGGTTGAAAATTAGAAAAAAAACCAATCTTGCTCACAGGGCGTAGTAGAGTTGCAACGGCGGGGAGGCAGTCGGGGCAGTCATCAATGCTGTAAATTTAATTAAAACCGGGGCGCTCTTCTTATGCAGGAGGTCAGGAGACAGGGTAGAACAAGCCGGGGGGGAGGAAATCAGCGCTCGTTATGTAACTCAGAAATTAGTTAGCCTCGTCATTTTCTTTGCCGCGAAACGAAGCGGTCGCGCGGTTGTCGTCAGATCTTGACTTTCCGAAGGTCGGGATGTAAAGGGACATGTGATGATTCTGATTCACTCGATGCGCCTCGTGCTTTAGCTTGAAGGAGGATGAAAATAGAAGAGAAAAAGGAAAGACGAAAGCTGCATGGTTCCAGAAAAAAGAAAGCTTCTGATATCCCTGCATGTAGAGCGTGTTTCCCAATCGGTCAAAATAGTAGCATCGTCCGTTGAAAAAGACGAGCTATTGTTTTGATTTCTCAAATATGAGATGGTATGGTATAGAACCTCCGTTCTCGAGTCCAACACTCCTTCGCAAGCTCCCAACTCGTCGAGATGAGAACCAATGCCATCATCTAGTACGTAAAGAGTAAGAATTCAACAAGAAGTCGTCGTGGTCTGAAAGTCGATATGGGGCCCTCACCCTGCCTCTGGTTGAAAATAGTTGAAAGGAAAAAGAACACCGTTCATCGTCATCATGACCCTTCTCTTTTTGTCCTCCTCCCTTTCTTTTTTTTTTTTTTTTTTCTCCACCCTTTGCATAAAAGATATGATATTACCGATTATGTTTTTTTAATATCCCCAAGCCATACCGTCAAAATGGTGTCCATCCAAACCCCCAAGTTTCTTTTCCAGGAATCGAGTGATTTTGTCTGGACCAGCAGACGAAAACTACGTCGTTTCCTCAGATTATAGAAATACATGCGAATAATAGAAGCTTGTTGTGCTCATGCGGTTGCTTTTCTAACCATTATGCGACGCTTGCTTCATAGATAGGGTTGTCGAATCTGAATGGGAAAGGATAAGTTGAGCGCAGTATAGGACGTAGACAGAAAATCAGCCACCCCTTGGTTTGTTCGTCGTAACCATGGGTATCATTCACACATATAGTTTTCTTTTCCTTTTCTATAGTCGTAGCTCGTCGAGCGCGTTGTGCGGTTAATCGTTGCGTTGTTTGTTCAAAAATGTTGTTGCGCAGAGTATTGACACGAAAGGAAGCGGTCCAACGGAAACTGTTAAGTCGAAGGGGGACCGGATTGTTGATCGTCTTGCCTTTGTTCGGGTTCGTGTTCAAGAGTAGGACTTTGGGCTTGCTGGACGTCTCGCGCGCCAGAAGCTACTGCCTGAGCGCGTTCGTCCTTCCTCAGAAGTAACCTGTCAGAAGGACTTTGAGCAGCTTCGGTACTCCTTTCATTACCAGAATCATCTAAGGGCGATCTAGGCAGTGCTTGCTGGGAAGATTCGTCTTCCTCACGTTGCCGCTTCGACCGTCTCTTCCCGCTCGAAGTCTCCTCCTTCGGCTCGACGTGCTGCGACAGTGGAGTTGTTTGCGATCCGGGTAACGTCCCTGGGAGAGCCTCGGATAGGGAACTCGGGGTGCCAGAGGGTCTCGGCTTTTTGGCCGGACGTTTTTTGGGCTCGTAAGTCTGACCAGCCGCGGCGAGTCTTCGATCACGTTCTTCGGCCTCTTCTTTCGTCGGGCGACCACGTTTCCGGCGTCTTTCCATTCCCAACTCGGGCGCGAATGGACGTAAAATAGTAAAAGCCTCTCCATTGGTAGCAGGAGGCATCGGCGAGTCCGTTGAACGGGGAGGCCGAGGCTGAATTGAGCGGTGGGTTGGCGGATGCAGCTCATGTTCAGAGACGGTCCTTACGGGAGGCACAGACGGTCCGAGCTGTTGAGGAGCATAGGCTTGGGGACCGATCGAGGAGAAAGGGCGAGGTGGCCGGGGAGCGCGAACCAGAGTGTCATACATTTGCTGACAGGCAGCAAGAGAGCGGCCTACAGAGGTCAGCCCAATCTACGGTTAAGCGACCGGGAGAAACAAGAAAGAAAAATCCGCAGCGGCGATGGGGAACTGGCTTGCGCCGATGCGCGCGAATGGTGTTTCCTCGTCCACACGTACCTTCTGGCAAAGCAATATCACTCCACCTCGGTTGTATATTGCTGTCGACCATGCCCTGAACAAGGTAGGAAGGGACATCTTGCACGGCGCCTTGAATGATATTGGTCAAGAGGGCGATTTTCTCCGAAGTTGTCCATGGCGCATCGAACAGATTTGACATCGGGAAGAGAGGCAAGGTAGCGCAAGCTGGCTCTCGAAAGGGACGGACGGCATGTGAGGGTCATCAAGCGCAACAGTCGGCGTCATATGGCTCCGCGAGGTTGGTCATCCAGAACCAGAGGGAGGACAGTGGAAGGATTCGACTTTCTGACCCAGCGCGACAGGACGACAAAGACAGTGGTAGGTGAGAACGAGTCGGAAGGGTGTCTGGGGGATCTTTTAGAGGTGTAGATTGGTCGCCATTCAACAAAGCAAGAGTCAGAACAAAAATTCCTGGCCCTCTTGCTCGAGGCGCAGAAGGACTCATTAGCCATTTACAAAGAACAACTGGGCACAGACACTGGCAGATGATCAGGAGGCGCGGGTTGGCTAATGTAGGCCACAGCTGCAAGACATGCAACGGCGCGCTGTGAGTGGCCGGTTGTGGCCATCTGAGAGCGAGGGTAGGAGGGTTTGGATCGAGGGAAGCTTTCCGTGGGAGGTGCTCAGGTGGCAGGTTTGGTCTGGTCTGAAGGAGAGTCGTTTTCGAGCCAGAGCTCTTTGCAGCTGCAACGTTCGAGAGCTATGCAAAGCTAGAGCGGGTTGGTGGAGTGGTGGACGTGGTTAGAATGGAGTGGGCGGAGGAGGTGAATGGTGGGAATCCTGTCTCCTGCATGCTTCCCAGTGTCGATGGGGTTTAGCTGGCCACGTCTTGGGTGCTGCTGGTTCATGCTGGCAAGATTGCAGCGCCGTATCGAGAAGAGTCCCGGCCACTGCGGGCAACGGCACGGCTCCTCCGCGCCCCTGCAGGCTGCAGCATGCGCCAGAGATTAATGTCCAGATGCTGAGATTCCCTTAAGCAAAAAGAAACCAACACCGCTTGCTTTTTGCAAATTCCTAAAGGTGGTCCGGATTTTGATAGAGGAGAGTGGATGCGCACTCTCGAATCATCGTCGCTCCCGTGGTAGGCGTCGAGTGTCGAATGGGATGCCTGGAGGGATTCACCCGGCACCGAATCAGCGCCCGGAAGTCGCCTAAGCTTCGATGGGGCCGGGTGTGATCCTTTCGCAATCCTCGCCATCCGTCGCCCCTCCATGCAAGCCATCCTCATCTCAATCACAACTGCCCTCGACGGCTGGCGGCCAACAGTTCCTCTGTGATAAATGGGACCCTTTGGCTGCCGCAGCCTTGTCTATAATGACTGGTTGAACACAAATTCACGGCGGGCGATCCATTTTACTCTTGATTGCTCTTCGAACGAGCAAGCCAGTCACCGCATGCAGACAGAGGTACAATAACTCACCGTTCCCGAGTGTGTGGTGGCTGACCAACCTCCCGAATGGCTGCGCCGCCATGGTAGGATCTCTCCTCTCCGCTCCTCCTCTTCCTCGTCCGCTCGCGTCCTCCTTCACCCTGCTCGCGGTCATCACCCCCTTTATATAGACAAGTATCCTCGCCTTGACCGCTCTTTGCCGCGTGCTCGGCTATGCCAAATCGCGCCAGCGCATTGATGACGATGTCGGGTAGTCTTGCAGAGCCACGTTGCGCCCTACAGGAGCTTCCCATTTCTCGATCGCGGGAGCTAAACAACACACGCCTCACTTTAGCGAACATTTGCACGCATTCGTCATTGCGCTAATCGTCCCCAAATCCTCAGTGATGCATTGAAAATCGGTCAGGTGTCCTCCAATCCACGGCTGGTAGCCGGACTCCAGCCGGAAGGGGGACCGTGTTACAGGGTGACCGGAGGACTTCTGTGGGAAATTAGGTTTATTCTCTACCACTGTCAGCTCAACACGTGGCGGAGTTCCTATGGACTCGCCCGACGTATTCTGCTATGACTTCAACACAATCATAGAGGTCTCGGTGGTGAGTTCTTTTTGTATTCGGACAGCCGACAGAACACCCGTTTGATCTCCCAAGGCGCGCCGAATGTGCGCGACACTTTGCGATCAAACCCTCTATGAAACACTTTGATGAGAAACCTTGAACCGAGATTGAATGCACCCGGTCGTGCGCCAAAGGAGATTGGTCAGACGATTTCTATCTTCTATTGTGATGGCATATTGTGACGCGAGATCTCGGCCTGTTGAAAATTCCCAAAGTGACTTGTGGGATATTGGTCTCTGAGTCAAGACCGTACTCTTTTCCTTTTCTTGACCATCGATACCTTTGAATTAGCATGAAAAATATCGGCACATTTGGGAGCAAACCGGAGTCCCTGTTTCTCTCACAATAGAGTTTGCTCCAGTGTGTGTTTCGGCGCCTTGTGTCCATTGCATTGAGGACCTTCTACGACATATCGGCCCTTACAAAGATACGTACATGAACCCATCGCGACTATCGAAAGGGACGGGAGTTCCAAGATGCCCGTCCTCAACGCAACATAGTCAGTCTTGGGCAAAACATGTGCAACTCAGCTCAGGCAGGCCGATTGAGTCAGATTGGTCTCTGGAAGAGTCTTGGACTATCCCGGAATGAGAGGTCCTCAGGAAAATGGTCTCCATGGACCATGGATCCTCTCCGCCATATTGCGCCCGTTGAATCTTTACGCCGGTCACGTGAACTCCGCCCGGCAAACCTTCCTTGGCGTTGAACGCGCAGAACTCGAGAGCACGGCCTTTACGCAGTCTTCTCTGCATTTATGTAGACAGCTCTCGAGAAAATTCGCCAATATGTCGCAACCTGCACCTATTGCCCCTTCTGTGGTTATAAATACTGCAAACAGGAGACAGCAAGTACCATTGAGAGACTACTTGAACACAAGAGTGGCGCCGTTCTTGAAGAAGGCCGTTACAGAGAGCTTGGGTGTTGAGTACGTGAGCCGAAACAAAATCTGACACTGTTCAGTCAAGACCAAAGTTTGCGTTTTGGAAGTCACCATCCATGCTAACGTATGGAATTTCCTTTCGATCCAATAGAGCAGAGTTTCCACTCCAGTGGCTGGGAGAATGTCTGATTCACCAATCAATTCTCTACGAAGGGAACCCGGACCGAACAAACATTCGCGAAAGATTCCTCTATACATTCGAGGATCCCAAACCTCAAGAGGAACCGACACCAGCACCAGCACAACCAGAGCCTGTCGAAGCGACACAGCAAACAGATGCTCAGGAGCGTCCAGAGGTTGTGATGAATGATTCAACCGAGGGGGCAGTGGAGGCTCCTCCAGCACCTCAAGAACTAGCGCCACAGCCCGCTCCCGTGACGGAAGCAACTGCAGTCAACGGCGTGAAAGATGATGGCGATGCGACAGAAGCGCAGCATGTTCCAAGAGATGGTGATACCGAAATGGGAGGGACGACCTGATGACGGACCACCTTGATTTCAGATCACCTTTGTAGCGCTGGCGTTGGTTTTCGAGATAAAAATCTGCATAGCATGGCACGGCACATAAAAGTGATACCCCTGGGTGGCTAGATGGGAGAAGGGGAAAGGGACTTCCAATTGACAATGTGTTATATGTACAGAAGTGAAACCTCAATCCAGGAGAAAATGGTCGGAAAGACTACCGAGAATGGACGCAGAGAATCTTCCAATCGATCCCTATCGCTATTCTCCTTTGAATCGTATGCGAACCCCTACGTTCTGCCGGGCGGCGATTAGTCAAGTCCGCAAATGAAAGATATGTAGATTGATTCGGGGCTCCGCAACAAATCAGAAGTCCATTAAGATCATCGAAGGGAGATGCTTGATCACATGCCCCTTCTGACATAAGAGGTACCAGAAATATATAAGTTTTGCGTTGTTTGTCATCATGAAATGGGGAGAGGACTTGGTGAAAAAGACGTACGAACCATAAGAAACACGAGATCCTGGTTGGATCAGAGAAATTCAAAAATGCCATCAAACACCCATCATGCTATCACCGAACGTGCATCATTATCGCATTGCTTTCGAACGAAATCAAGGCAAGATGGTGATTGCGGACACAACTTGAAGCTGCAAAAACTTCCTTTGGACCCGCCAAGATTTTGCAGTCTTGGCACGGCGCACAGGTTGTCATCGCATCTTCACCTCCATAGGATGATAGATTGTTTCCAATCCGACAACCGCAGCCATGGGTCGCCTTCACAGCAAAGGAAAGGGTATCAGCGCCTCGGCCATTCCATACTCACGATCTGTGCCCACTTGGTTCAAGAGCACCCCCGAGACTGTCGTTGATAACATCTGCAAGCTCGCCAGAAAGGGTGCCACACCCTCTCAAATCGGTGTCGTTCTTCGAGACAGCCATGGTGTTGCTCAAGTCAAAGTCGTCACTGGTAAAATAAATAGCAGAATTTCAATCCAACGAATCACTAATTACGTTTGCATAGGTAACAAGATTCTGAGAATCCTCAAGTCAAACGGTATGCGCCGACCTCCATTGGCTTCACCTGGAAAAGAGAGATGAGCAATCGCTCCACCTCCAAATACTCTATACTTTTGCCATATGAAGATGGCACAGCACAGCCTCTGAATTGGTCCATGAGACTGACAGAGTGATATTAGGTCTCGCGCCCGAAATCCCCGAAGACCTCTATATGTTGATCAAAAAGGTACGCGTTGCAAGGCCTTAAGATATTGACCAGATTGGTTGACATTGTTCGGTCAGGCTGTTGCCGTCCGCAAGCACCTCGAGCGAAACCGAAAAGACAAAGATTCCAAGTTCAGACTTATTCTCATCGAGTCCAGAATCCACCGTCTCAGCCGATACTACAAAACTGTTGGTGTTCTTCAACCTAACTGGAAATATGAGAGCGCAACCGCAAGTACAATGGTCGCATAAAGGAATCCATATTGGAAAGCATGTGGTGAAGTGAAAAGCCGTGTTCGACCGATGCCTCCGGCTGGCATATCAATGGATGTGGACTGTGGAGGACTCCATATGATGGCTCCGGAGAAGAGAATACTGCGCAGAAATCCTGGGTGGATATGCGTTGACATCACATGTGGTGATACATAGAGAATTCAGCAAAATTTTCCCGGGTGCAGTCAACTCGGGACGACAAGCATGAAATCTCTTTGCCTTGGTGTGTTTTGCTATGCTCTAACACCTTTTCCTATCATGGGATATTCCTATGGCTAATTCCTCTTCTGCGGAAATCATGCTGACCCTCGTCACTACCTCTCTACCTTTGCGCCGCGTCAAAGGATTCTGAATCGCCCAACCACGGCAATCGCTTTCTCTTACCGTTGATCATCCATCATAATTATGGCATGGAGGATAATTTTACAAGTAGGATAGGATCAAGTCCGTTCGGTCTCATTATCTCAGAGATCTGATCAGTCTTCAACTCGCTGCGAACAAACGTCCCAAAGTAGTAAACTGCCCTGATCGATATGTTGGAAATCAAGGGGCCGCCAATGGCCATAGTTTAGAACGATCGTGGTACCACGAGAAAGGGTCTGGCAAGCTTTGACAGTCGATAGAAAAATTAGACTTGTAGGGAGAGCCCGGAAGTGAGACAGGCTGAACCGACTTCATTCGAATTGAACGGTACCCAAGGGTACAAATTATCTCACGGCCATATTCTGCTTGATATGGGCTGGAGCCATACCACAGAGGCGTTGAATGCACCGGGCCCATACACCGTTGCCGCAGACGTACATTGTAATGCCAACCATGCTAAAAATACGCCAAACCCCGTGGGTATCTTTGGTGCACCAAGTGAACGCCTTCCATGTAAATGCCGCTGAAAACTGAGTGTTATCCGTTCCCCTGACATTTCATCCGCCTTGGCCAATACCACCTGACTGCTGTAATGCGGTAACTTGTTTGCGGAGGTCCAACCAGAAATCCTTGCCACTAGCCATTGCCCCAGCTTAAATCTTCTTGTCAGTCTTGATTCAAGTCCAAATAAGCGAAACAAACTCACGTTTCATGCCCCAAGGGCTCTCTGATTTGGCGCCTTGGGATTTTGCGTCAGGTTTGTATAATGGTGCTTTTGCCTCGTAGCCTTGCTTTAGCATTGCTTCGACGGCGTCTGAGTTGAACCCCGGCATGGGGCCATGGTCATCTGCTAGTGGAAGAGAGGTTTGAGTGGCAGGACCATTCTGGATATTGTCCGTCGACTTGCTTATGTTTGAGCTCGCCTTTCCACCTCTTCTACCCTGGGGCGCGTTGAATGCGGCATCTCGGGATCCTGCAGACTGGCGCTGCTGGTTGGCACCTCTGGGATCGTTTCCTCGGCGTCCGTTACGAGTCCTGTGGCCAGGCATTTGGTAAGCAGGTAAGACAAATGGAGAGGGTCAGGCAGTGATGACGACAGTTGGAGAACACGGGAAATAAACTCACTCTTCGACAGTGGCGTTCATTGAGGGTAGCAGCAGAAATGTGAATGGTGGCTGCAGGATGCGATGGGTGATCTCGAAAAGCAGTTCCCACGAACGCCAGGTGGATGCCAAGCCTGAGACCCACAAAACCCTGCAACTCGCCGTCCGAGGAGTCGCGCTTAACCCGATCTTGAAGAGAACGACGACCGCAGTCAACTTGAACCATGGGAAGTGACATTCCACGAAAGGACCATCAGAACACCTTTCACTTCTCTATTTTAGTGTTCCGGGGACTGTGCATGTGTGTTGCTCCTACTATCATTAGGCTGAATGGAATCCCCGTGGCGGAAACCCGGTCTTGAACCAAACTGTACCTCCTAATCGAGGCTTCAACCCACCAGCGCGTTTCCTGCTGGCCACGGTGCTGGCAGGATGGGCCCGTTGAGGAATGTGCAGGCAAGAACACGCCCGCGGAGAGAAACTACGAAACCTTCCGGCGTTTTTGACGACTCGGACCACGACGACCTAGCAGATTTCCACGACGGCGAGCCTCCTTCGAAGCGCATCCGAACCTCGCGCAAAGCTCAACCACCAAACAAGTGGGTTGCCGGAGGTGGTGGAGGAAGCGGCAGACATGTTGATAACGAGAATACTCCATCCAACATGAGGACACCACGCGCAAACGACGAATATACAGTCCCCCGCACTCGCCCCCGGCCCAGCCGAGACCGGAGAAGGACCATGACCAGTGCCTCTCGATATTCGGCCAGAAGTAGGAATCGAGGTGCGACTCGTCCTCGGTACAGCACCGCGGCTGCGGCTTCAGCAGCCGTGACACATGGAGATGGCTATAAACCACGAGAAGAGCGGGGCTGGGAAGAGTTCCATCCAGATTTGGATCTGGAAGCAGACTTCGCCATCATACCTTCTGATGAAGTGGATGGCATCGCGAAGAGGCAATCAACCAACGGAGTTGCTCAAAATGGCCTTCTGTCCGAAGGAGGTGACCCAGTAACCGTAGGTGCGTTGACTCCAGTTCGGAGGAGACCTGGGAGACCCCATCGCACCAGCAATTCGATGGTGAACGCCCTTCTCACGCCTGAAGCTCCCAAATTTGTCCCCGTTCCTGGGCCTAATCCTCGGGAACGATTGACATTACCCAAACCCTCATATCGAGAACTGGACCCTTTTCTTTCCTATGAGCAAAAAGACATCGCACAGGTTGATTTTGTTGACAAGTCGATGGCAAATGTTGGGTATCAGGAGAGTGAAATATTCTTGCGGCCAGAGCGAACACTCATTAGACAGATGGAAGGCTCTGCGGAGGAAGATCTCGACCTCAGCCCGGACCTCATCGCGAATGGCGAGAACTCGGCAATTGGGAGCAGCGGAGTGGGACGTGTGGAATATGACATGGATGAACAAGACGTGAAGTGGCTTGAGTCCTTCAACAAAGGACGCATCAAAGACGGGGTGCAAACCATCAAACCTGCGATTTTTGAAATAACAATGACCAAGATTGAAAAAGAGTGGCACTCCTTGGAGAAGAGAATTCCGAAGCCGAACCCGAAAGCGCCTCAGACACAGCGCCCGCGGTCTAGCTCTGCCGCAGCCGTTAATGGCGAGCCTGCCGGAGAAGAGCCTGACAGCAAATGCGCCATATGCGACGATGGTGACTGTGAGAACGCCAACGCCATCGTTTTCTGTGATGGATGTGATTTGGCAGTTCACCAAGAGTGTTATGGAGTGCCGTACATCCCTGAAGGGCAATGGCTATGCAGGAAATGCCAGCTTGTTGGCAATTCCCGCCCAAGTTGTATATTCTGCCCTAACGAGGGGGGTGCCTTCAAACAAACCAACAATTCGAAATGGGCGCATCTGTTTTGTGCCACGTGGATTCCAGAAGTCACCATCGGCAATCCTTCCCTCATGGAACCCATCACCGACGTTGAAAAAGTCCCTGCCAGTCGCTGGAAGCTGGTGTGTTACATTTGCAAGCAAGAGATGGGTGCAAGCATTCAGTGTAGTGACGGTCGCTGTTACGAGCCATTCCATCTGACATGCGCTCGCCAAGCAGGTCTCTATCTCCGAATGAAGACTGGAGGTGGGCAAAATACCTTGATGGAACCGTCGCAGCTCAGAGCCTACTGCCACAAACACTCCCCGCCAGACTGGAAACATGAGCATCACACGGACAAAGCGTTTGAAGAAGCCACAAAATATTTTAGGGAGCATTTTCGAGGCCAAATATGGGCTGACAGCCGCGCATCTGCTCTGGCAATCAATGACACAAAGGACACTCCTACTACGGACAAAGGTCACCTGAAGGTGACTCTCACAAACAGGAAAGGCCAAAAGCAGAAGACAATTTGGCGGTTACCTTCGGGTGCTCCTGTCATTCCTGAGGTCATCCTCAAGTCCATTGAAGACTCGCTGGTCAGATTTTCGGTCCCAAAAAAAAAGGAATACGTCTCCGAAATCTGCAAATACTGGACCCTCAAACGAGAAGCGAGGAGGGGTGCCGCCTTATTGAAACGCTTGCAACTACAAATGGATACCTTTAGCTCCTTTGAGGTCACCCGCAGGGATTATAAAGCTCAGGGCGCGGCCGGCCGAGCTAGGCTGGACCGTCGAATCGAATTTGCCGAAAGGTTGGCCAGAGATATGGAACGAATCGTACAAATATGTGACTTGATCAAGCAACGAGAAGCAGCAAAACTGCAAGAAGCTGTCCTGTTGAAGGATGTTGTGGACACTGTTTATTTCCCTATTCCAACTCTCCTCCAGCCAATTATCGACAAAGCCCTCAAGTGAGTTCCCCTCTCCCAAAGAAAGGACATATTCTAACGAAACTATAGGCTTGACCGCGGTCTCTTCCGGAACGAACTGCTCGAACTTCGTGCGCGAGTTTTAAGAAAGGAGCATACATCGATCGTAAGCTTCTCAAACGATATTGTTCGGGTGATAAATTCAAAATTTAGCAATCCTGCGGCAAATATTTCGGAATTGATTGCACTGGTCAGTGGCAGAGCCGAAGATATGACACCGGAAGAACGCGACCGACGAACACTCGCTCGACGCATTGTGAAGGCTATTGAACCACTCATTGAAGAGGCCACTCGGAAAGAAGCCGAGTTAAACGGGAGACCCTACGCACAGCAAATTCGAGAAATGGACGAAGCACTTCTCTCGAGACGCGGTTCGTTGGCAGAGTCCACTGGAAGCCCATTGCTCGACTCCATTGAAGCAAAACACGACTTGGGCATTGCGAGTCCCGAAGATGTCGACGTTGAGATGATGGAGCCTGCCAACGCAGCCGACGAGAAAGCTATCGGTGGCGAAACGTTTAAGAGTAGTAGGGCCTTCGTCGAGAAGGCGGATATCTTGAAGCAGGAAGGTCTGCGTGCTGAGGCTGGTGTGGCCTCGGCCGATACGCCACCTGCGTCCACCAATGGATTTAAACCCGAGCCACCTACCAATGGCGACATGGCATTGGTACAAGGACAGCAAGTCGAGCCACCCACTCCTCCGATGAGTCTGGAAGGTCACTCTCAGAATCCTCCGCCTCAAGGCGGCATCCCCTGGTACGTTGCTCAATTTGATCCTGAAGGAACGACCATCTTCGAAGAGCGATGGACTGGACCCGAGGTCTTACGAGAAATGAGTGAGGAGTTGAGTGAGATGGATGAAGATGAGCTTCAAGGTCTAGGACCCGACAACATGACTGAAGAGATTAACGGCGCACCGCTGGGAAAAGAGGCGGACTCCACCACTGAAGATTCTACGGTGAAGAAGAAGAGAGGAGGTAAACGCAGCAGAAACTCTGAGTGGGGTGCAAGAACTTTCCGGTTCCGAGGATGAGAAGACTCGATTGTTATTGTATGATTTTTGTTTTCTGGTTCAGCCAGTCTCTTCTTCCCATGACATGAGCTAGCGTCAAGGCCAAATAGCTGTGCGAAGGGGGGTAGGAGTAGTACGTTGTTGCAACCGGTACAACTGTTCATGGCGCTTATTGCTATTAGTACAAAGCAGCGATCTGTTGCAACTTTTTTGTTTCGCTCTCGAATTGCGGCAAGATATAATTCGCCTCATCACCAGGCTTATAGGGGAGCATCGGCTAGCGCAGCCACCGGATCAATGATTCGCCGCTTCCGATTCGCTTCGCTTCACTTCTCTGGCGCGTGTCCTGTAATTTTTCGCCTGCTCATCGTCTCACAGCCTCACAAACAATCCCAACAGCAGCATTTATCTCTTGCTTGCATGCTGAGGATCGATCATCCTTGACGTCCACATAGCACTCGGATCACTACTCTTACTTGTTCTTTTTCAGACCCTCTGCGCCCGTCCAAAATCTCGTTTGCGCGACACAGACCATTCTCAACCACCCCTAGATCCCACGCGCCATCATTTCCTTCCAAAATGGCCGACTTTGAGGACTCCGCCGCTCGATACGAAGGTATAGCATAATATGATGATATGATCCTGAAAGTATAAAAATCTAACGGGTGTCTTCTAGATGACCGCGGATATGAACGTCGCGATCGATCAGCCTCACCTCGTGGTGATCGAGATGATCGCAACCGCAGCCGATCTCCAAATGGCCGTGAACGACCGTGAGCATCATCCTAACTCCATTCTCTAGCAAGACTGACCATCTCATAGTCCCCCTCCGCCCTCGGATACTCGAATGAAGGATGCTGAAGATGACGCGGCCAACACTGGCTCGAACCTCTTCGTCACTGGAATTCACCCCCGACTTACCGAAGCCGATGTCTCCCGCCTTTTTGAGAAGTACGGTGATGTGGAAAGCTGCTCGATCATGCTCGACCCTCACACCAAGGAATCTCGTGGATTTGGATTCGTCAAGATGGTGTCGATCGAGCAAGCTGAGGCTGCCAAGGAAGGGTTGCAAGGCGAGGTCATTGAAGGCCGCACCCTGAGCATCGAGAAAGCCCGCCGTGCACGTCCTCGTACCCCCACACCAGGAAAATACTTCGGGCCTCCCAAGCGTGGTAGGTCGTGATTCTGGGCCACCTTGGGATCTTACTCACACTCAATAGGTGACTTCCGTGGCCCACCCAGGGGTGGCTACCGTGACCGCTATGACGACCGTCGTGGAGGCTACCCACCTCGCCGTGACGATTACCGTGGTAACTCCCGGTACGATGACTATGATCGACGCGGCTACGGAGGCGGCAGACGTGACAGAGACGACGGTTATGGCGGATACGGCGGCCGAGGCATAGATCGATATGAAAGCCGACGAGACGACGGTTACTATGGTGGTCGTGGAGATCGACGTGGCTACTACGACCGCAATGAAGAACGTGGCTATCCTCCTGCTGCACGCGACGAACCTCCTCGTGAGTACGCTGGCGGTCGAGACTACACTCGTGAGGACCGTTATGCCGCCAGGTAAGCGGACGTCAGAGAATCGTTCTCCAACCCGTTGTTCTTGACCAGACTGTGGGATTCAGGGGCTCCTGAGACCTTGATTTCGATTCCCTCCATGTATTTGCGTTATGCTCTCTCCCAAGCCGCGGCTACAAAAGTATCACTTGTTTATTTCGAGACAGAAAGGTTGTGGTCCACTTCTCGGCGCAGCGGGACCACGGTTCATGGGTTGAGCGATGGCTCCACAGCCAGAATTGCTCCTAATTGACGGCATGATTGTCGACATGTATCACAACGATATCGGCTGGGACTTTCTTTCTCGTACTCGACTAAATCATCATGAACTTTTTGCGGCAGTCAGCATACTTTCATTCAGCGCCTTGCTTCAGCCTCGATGCCTCGATAGTTCGCCCTCTCAGACAAGAATCGGGGCGTCGAGATCGACTGACATGTTTGCCTTACGCACATTGCAATCAAGAATAACAAGAACAAAATGACTCGCCGTACACGCCATGCTTTATACGCCAGTAGTTCCACCTACCGCTCACTGCACCACTCTTGTCAATTTATTCTCCCCGGTCTCGGCGTCAGTGCCATGGTCAGTTCGCCTTCCCCTCCCCTTCTTTAAGTGCACCACGGCACAGGCCTCCACCTGCCAAATCGACGGGCATTTCGACATGTAAATCACCACTGTCCAGCTGTCGCAAGGTAAGGAACAGCAATGTCATTAATGTTGGCAGCATGATACTCTGATGTTTTACGCGACTCTGCTTTCAGCCCGACCAGGAGATTTTGGACCCTCTTTGAGATCTCAATGAGTGAATGCGCATTTTATGCCTCCTGGAAAGAGGAGGGCCAGTCTCAAGCCACTCTGTGCTGCCACCAAAGAGCTGATCTTTGCGCATGACAAGTCTCTATAAGAATCGATGGAGCATCAATCAAGTGCAATCCGAGCTTTGACATCCAACGACTACTTATAGCTCTCAGTCCAAATGACTGATGTATGAAGCTGTCACAGCATGTTGGACTGAGCTTGTCCGACCACAATAATGAAAATCAGCTTCGAATGGCTTTATCCATTCCATACGGTGAGTCCGACGAGACCCTTCGAATGCACATAGAATTTTCGGGGAAGCAACGGTTGGAATGCGGTCCAAGCGGACGGAAATTTTCCGTGGATTATCCTAGCAAGCTCTGCCTTCTTCACAAACCAATCACATAATTTTTTAATACGGTGCGGCCTCATGAGAATAAGAGCTGAAAGACATGATGCATGCATAATTCTTTATCAATCAGATGATAACCCGTCAACGAACCTGACCTCTCTGTAAATCCAGGACGGGGCCCGGATCACCAAGACATTGTTTGGCAAACGGACTGCATTCTTCTCTCCATGAAATATCCAACTCTCGGAATAGAAAAGCTCAAAGGAAACCCTTGACCTTAATGCTTCCGCTAGTCCTATCACAAGAGAGCTCAATCCGACCATTTGTCTAATTTTTTTTTTTTTTTTTTTTTTCCCTTGTAATTCTTCCTTTTTAGGGTGCCAAATACGGTGTCCCCGCATCGATTCTCTCGCATCACCCGGCGTCACAGGACGAGAACACAAAAGAGGAAAAGAGCAAGAATCAGATATCGATAGTCTATCGTCGATTATCTTCGGCAAAGGTGGGAAGCTGGAAGAACAAGCCTCATCGACCTATGAGGGGCTGGACGCACCATGACAAGTACACACCGGCCCGTGTGGACTGTGGTGATATTGACTCTAGGCGTCGGAAACCCATATATCACTCAACCATGCATCGAAATGGTGGTGTGCGCAAGGCGAGCTGCATCTTCCATTGGAGGGACATTGGATGATGTTGAAGTATCACACATTGAGCGTTAGACCGCGTGTGGTGATTGGTCGAGGTCACCGCAACGCACAGGCCAGCTGGAGGATGCTGGGCGAATGGGGAGACGACGATGCCCAGCGAGACCCTGGCATGGACGGCACATTCTGTTTCAACGATTATAAGATACGCGCCCTCCTCCCGACCGCTTTGACGACCTCTCTCTCTTCTCTCCCACACCAAACATTGATTGTCTGGCTTTTCCTATCCGTCTTCTAACCTTTTTTTCATACCCTTGCCCCGCATCTCCCAAATTGGCTGGTCCAATTTCTATATTTGCTTCGATCGCGATCTCGGTGCTATTCTTACCATCACCCCTGCTCTGCTTCTTAGTATCCATCTTTTCGTATATCAACGTCAAGGCCTTCTCAGCCTCTTTCCTGAGTCCTTTGCCTTCTAAACAAGCCCTCAGGAGACCAACCAGTCTACTGGACCATCAGTCAATCAGTCATCCAGCCGACAAAGACACGTCCACCGACGTCAACATGCTTGCCTCACGAGTTGCCAAGCCCAAGTTGTCTTTGAGCATCTCCACTGCCAACGCTTCTCAAGCTACCAGACCAGCCATGTCTCTCAAATCACCCGTGGCACCCCTGAGATCACCTATCTCTCCTTCACCCATCAGCCCAACGGCCCGGAACACTCGACTCAACCAACGGGGCTATTCGACCATGCAACAGCCAACATATGCATATATCAACTCCAGTGCGTCAAGAAGTATTTTGAAAAAGACCTCTCAACCCTCGGCCACACGACGACAGCTGTCTTTCTCCGACACCCCTGTCGTATATTGTGTGACTCCAATTGAGGATGAGGACTACTACGGTACGCACGTCAAGATGTCGAAGGAGGAGCGACGATGGCTCCGGAGATGATGGCGCCAGGGAATTCTTTGCGGCAAGGCGCTGGGTGGAAAACTTTGTTTCAACATCTCATGACATGAATGACTCAACCAAGCGGAACAAGCCTCCGGCTAATGACCTTTTTAACGATATACCATTTAGATGCAAGGCATCATCACCTCCACGGGATGTGTGTGAAACTGGCAACACTTCAGAGTTAGAGCAGGAAAACGTTGTCGTTTACCTGGTATTCCCTCAGCACAGGCAATAATATACCTTCTTCATCCCCCATATTCTGTGTCTTGTGAGCGTATCCCAAAGGCAAGGTTACCATTTCCAAAGGTGCCAGCCCAAGAGAAGAACGTTGACAGCCTGATTTGATGGTTACCTAGATCCCTCTGTGCCCTCAATGGCTTTAGATGGGTGCGGGTTTTGTAGAAAGGAGGGGGGGGGGGACAAGGGCGGCGGGGTTTCTTGGCAAGTACACTTCCAGTGGAACAAAGTCCCTTCATCTCGACTTTGACGACCAACCAGTTTCCATACCTCTCGACGCTAAATTGTTTATTGATGAGTGGGCCAGCTATCGAGTGGTTGTCATGCGAACAATCGTGCTAAATGCAGCAGGGGCTATATTTAGCCTCCGAAAGGGAGATTTAAGCGCCTGGTAGACATGTCATTGAACCTCAGCAGAGCACCTGTCAACCGGTTCAGATACCGTGTGGCTAATTCAAAGGATCCAGTGAATGATGCGACCGCAAACATCGCTTGACGATGCAGTCCATCGCTGACACTGAAGCAGAATTCCCTCGGGGGAAAAAAAAAGTGTCAAAACGGTATTGTATCAGAACCTTTAATGCCCAAGGCCAGCGGCTATATACCAAAACGTCGTGAAGATCCATCCAGCCAATGCCCATGATGAAGTCTCAGGCGATATTAGACTTCTGGGGCATCCAAAGTTACACTAGCGGGCAGTTTGCTATGAACATTCCAAAAATGCCCGAAACCACTAAAACAAATCGTCCCTCCCACGTTGATCCATACCTTTCAGCGGCTACTAGAGATTCGGTTGATCGACAACCGCTTGCAAGACTGATGCTACTGGTTCGCTTGAATCATCAGGTAGGGTTTGGTGCCAAATATATGTCCGACCACGACAGTCGTTTGGCGCATTTGGTTGCATGCCCCCATCGCGAGGCTCCAGTTTCACTTCCTCTGAAATGACCAGTTCTCCAATGATGAAGTTTCCTGCCTCTCCACTGATGAATACCTCTTGCATTTCCCCGAGGCGCCGTTGCAGGTTGCGCGCTTGGACAAAGAGCCGTTTGGCAGTTTGATGGTAGTTATGAGACCGGATCTGAAGGGGTCGAGTCTCGCGTCTCTTTCAAATCTGAAATTGACGCCCGCATGTTTGACGTTTTCTGGGAGGGTGGGCGGCGCTGGATACAGTTCATTCATAAGAATCCGGTCAGGCACGAGTCATCCAGGCATTCAAGTTCTCATTCTGTCCAGTCCTCCCGCGCTACAAGGACTAACCTCGATCGTTTTGTCCTCTTTCTGTACGCTCGTTCCTCATCCACCCTCATAATCATAATCCTGATCGTTTTCCTTTTTCTTCACACAGCCTTTTCATCGACCGATGCGTCATCATCTTCATTTCTGAAGACGATAGTTCTTCAACAAGGAATGCCAAAGCAGCGCACGGCTCCCCGTCCAACACAGAGACCAGCGCCTTACAATCTACGAGGCTCCACCAACATGACGACCACCATGGCTCCCGCTCTGGCAGCATGGCCTCACAATCAACCGGCGCACAACGTGGGTTGGCCAGAGCCTCACCTCCAATACCCCCCACAAGCCATGATGCAGACCTATCTGCAGCCGATTCACACGTCATCCATAGCCCCACACTCGGCGAGGAGGGAACCACTCCCCAGACCGGGACAAAGTAGCCCGTGGACGGCGGAGGAAGACAACATTCTCCTCGATGCCAAGAGCCAAGGTTTGGCGTGGGAAGAGATCAAAATCAAACACTTTCCAAACAAATCAGGAAACGCATGCCGAAAGAGACATGAGAGATTGCTGGCGAAAGCGAGGAAGACCGATTGGGACGAAGCCCGAGTACAGAAATTGGTGAATTGTTACAGTCGATGTCGGGAACAAATTTGGCGCCAACTCAGCGATCAAGTGGGGGAGAGGTGGGATGAAGTTGAAAAAGTGGTATGTTTCCCATCAACGCCGCGTGCCTTCTGGGTCCAACGCTAATGTGCTTGACCTTGTGTTTAGATGTTTCAACAGGGTCTTCGAGGGTTGAGGAATCCTCGACCCTATCATGGACGCACCCGGTCGCGAGCAAGTTCGAGTCAGGGAGGTCCAGGAGAATATGACGATGCCTCATCAGATGAGTATGAAAACGTTAATGATAGTGGGATCAGTCTGGGTCATGCTGGTCACAGTCGACGTGCCAGTGAGCTCGGGACATTGCAACAACAAAGTCTTCCCAGCGTGGGCCATATTCTCTCCGAAGCTGGAGGTGGTGGATATAGCTACACTTCATGAGGAGAAAAACACAAAAGCACGGGAGAGTTGATGATCAATCAACTTGGACTTGACGACGATATGAAGACCGGTCTGTTTTTGGTTCTTTGCACGGGTATCTCATGCACAGCATTGCATTTTGGGGACACGTGGTACAGGAGGGCGGGATAAAGCGTACTAGAAAGGAAACTCCGGAAGGTTGATGGTTTGAATTGACTTTTTGCTTTCTTTGGCTTTTCAGGGGTTTTTTGCTCATGCGCAACTGTCCCAGGTGCCTCTCCCTTGAGCTCCCCATCCAGTTGATCTGATGTCGATGTCGACAGCATACAGCCTACCGTAGGTTCTCGGTTCGCGGAATCTGTCACCGAGCTCTAAACCTTATCTAGTTAAGCTTATCGTCTTGTGCCTGCATCGGCACTGCCTGTTGGCGTTAGAGTGCGGTTAAATCCTTAGCGACCCTGGCTCTGAATTTAATTCGGGCGAACCAAAAGGTGTCTCCGAGACGGCGGTCCTCCCGGGTCGCCAGGGTTTGAAGTTGGTCTTAAAAAAAAAAAAGTGCACTATGTGCATATTGCTCTCTCATGGCGCGATCCAGTGCGCAATCTCCAAAATCCACTCGAAATTTCTCAAACTCAACCCATTACTCCGTACTCCGTACCGTTCCTCCAGATTGCTTTTGGACGACCTCTCCTATCGAATTCCTTCTACATCGCGACACTGTAACCAACCCCCCCCCCCCCCTGTGCGGAGTATACCGATCCCAATCTCACCTTGTTCTCGCTTGTTCCCTTTTTTTTTAATTTTATTTTTTTTTTTTTTTCCCACACCGCGCGACACCTTAACTCCTTACCGATCTCGGAACAGATCCTCCCTCTCCAATCCTCGTTATCGTTCAGTATCGTGGTCCTTTCCATCATGGCTCCCGTCAGTGAAACTCTCAAAGAGTCCTTGTTGGGTTCCAAGCCGCCCGAGTCCTTATCAACGGAGGCCCGAGTCACATTTATGAAAAATGCCAGACGAGGAGAAGATGGTGAGCTTTATATGAATGAGGAGGACTTTATCAATGCTATTGCTCCACCGGAGGAGGATTATGTGAGTGGTTGCAAAAAGTCAATCGACGAAGAACCTGAGGACTGACTCCGCCGGTTGCCGTGCAGCACAAAATCAAGCGTGAACAATATGGTATCTTGTTTGGCGTCGCAGATCGACACAAGCGCGGTAAAATTACCATGTCAGAATGGGCGGCTTTTGACAACTTGCTTGCCAAATCTGATGCCGAGTACGAAATTGCCTTTAGACTCTTTGACGTCGACGGAACCGGTTCGATCAAGTCAGACGCATTCCAAAAGATCTACGAGCAGAACCGAGGTCATGACAGCATCCCGTTCGACTTCAATTCGGAATGGGCGTCATTGTACATTGGCGGCAAGAACAAGAGACATGAGATGACATATCCACAATTTGCTCAAATGATGCGCGGTCTGCAGGGCGAACGAATACGACAAGCCTTTCATCTCTATGACACCGACAAGGACGGATACATTGATCCGGAAGATTTTGAACGCATTATCCGAGCCACGGCCGGACACAAGCTTTCAGACCATCTGTTGGAGAACCTACCGACCTTGTGCAACATCTCAACGGGGACCAAGATATCCTACGCCAACGTCAGAGCATTCCAGAACGTCATTCGCGAAATGGATCTTCTAGATCTCATCATCCGAAATGCGACCGCGAAGTCTCCAGACGGCCGAATCGACCGGACCGATTTCCTGAACGAAGCGGCGAGACTCACAAGATTTTCTCTCTACACCCCCATGGAGGCTGACATTCTTTTTCACTTTGCCGGTCTCGACACGCCTTCTGGCCGGTTATGTCTTGAAGACTTTGCCAAAGTATTGGATGCGAGCTGGCAAACTGCTGGTGCTAAGATAGGGGCAATCACTGAAGCAGCCGACCGCGCCGTGTCCACGTCACAACAACTCCTTCACGGTTTGCTTGAATCCGCTCACCACTTCGGTCTCGGCAGTATTGCCGGCGCCTTTGGTGCTTTCATGGTTTACCCAATCGATCTGGTCAAGACACGCATGCAAAATCAACGCAGCACCATCCCTGGAGAGAGACTGTATGAAAACTCGATCGATTGTGCGCGCAAGGTGTTTCGAAATGAGGGTCTGAGGGGTTTGTACTCTGGTGTTCTTCCTCAACTTGTCGGTGTGGCACCAGAGAAGGCCATCAAACTTACCGTCAACGATCTTGTTAGAGGCAAGTTCACCGACAAACAGACTGGTCGTATTCCAGTGAGTGCGGAGATTTTGGCCGGTGGTTCTGCCGGTGCGTGTCAAGTTGTAAGTTCAGCCTTGCCCGACGCTCCCCTTTTGGTGTGTTGGTGTGTCTCTAACACTTAGCCCCTTCTAGGTATTCACCAACCCTCTTGAAATCGTGAAAATCCGACTCCAAGTCCAAGGTGAACTTGCTAAAAAGTCCGACGCCATTCCCAAGCGCTCTGCAATGTGGATCGTTCGCAACCTGGGTATTTTGGGCCTATACAAAGGCGCGTCAGCATGTTTATTGCGCGATGTCCCCTTTTCCGCGATTTATTTTCCAACATACAACCATTTGAAAAAAGATCTGTTTGGCGAATCACCCACACAGAAACTGGGCATTCTTCAACTCCTTGTTGCTGGTGCCGTCGCGGGCATGCCTGCCGCATATCTCACCACCCCATGTGACGTGATCAAGACACGTCTCCAAGTCGAAGCCCGCAAAGGCGAAGCCACATACAATGGCCTGGCGGACTGTGCGCGCAAGATTCTCAAGCAAGAAGGTTTCAAAGCGTTCTTCAAGGGTGGTCCTGCACGTATTTTGCGTTCATCTCCACAATTCGGTTTCACGCTCGCTGCGTACGAGCTTCTCAGCACGTTACTTCCATTCCCGGGCTCTGAGGAGGCAGAGGCGAAAAAGAGCACAGCAGGCAAGATGGAGCCGGGGGTCGGTCTTAGAGAGGCCAAGGCCCCACTGCCGTACTTGCGAAGTCGGAATGCGTTGAAGATTTTGCTGGATTTGGATAATAATTTCGGTAAGGTTCGTGTTCCTGAAGGTGCAAAGTGGTTTGGAGCAAGATCCTAGCCACAAGTGTTGGAACACCGTTTTTTTTTGGGGTTGGGAAGAGGAGGCGGGCGATTAGGCACAATGAGCGTGGATGGATGGATGATTTTGCATAGCATGGCTTGGTTTAGGTTGTGACATAGACAAATTTTTGCCCTCGATGGGCTAGAAGTGAGCTAGAAAGGAGAGCTGCGTGAGATAGAGAGGAAATTCTAATTCAGGAATTGGATCTAATGGCGTGCTTCCTATCGTCAAAATAGGGGGTTATATACCAGGCTATCATATCAAGCACGGGGTGTTATTGACTGAGAGTTCTTGTATTTACGCCCTCCTCACCTCCCCAGCAACAGCATGGCATAATTCAACTTTGACACCGGCGCCCAGGAGGACGGAAATCCATAGGCGTTGTGTGTCGCTAAGCCGGTCGTTGGCCGATTTCACTTCAACGAAAAGGACTTCGCCTTTCATTTTCCCGGTCGCATTTGCGGCTGCATTTTCATTGCCATGTTCTGGGCCGTTTTCAAGTTCATGTCCATTTTCGTGTTCACGTTCATCCGAATGATGCTCATGAGAGGCCGCACTATCACCGTGGACTTGATCTCCTGCAGATGAAGAGGATGAGGTGGGAGGAAATTTCTTCCAAAGCACCAAATCAGGCACGCCACCAGCTCTGTTCTGATATTCCTGGGCCATCACCAACATGATCGTCCCGAGCGCATGCCCATCAAAACACTCGAGCAACTCAAATAAATCATCTCTTTCAAACTCATCCCATCTGACGCCCACAATACAGGTTCGACGCTCAAAGTTCTCGTCCCACACCTTCCGCGCGATATCAACAGCTTCACCGTTCGAAAGCTGGTTGACGCGAGACAAAATCTCGGGCATGCGCGAGGAGAAGAAGCCATCTGTGTGCAGGTCCAAAGGGCATGTCTGGTAAGGGGTCTGGAAGACATTGGGGATGTAGGGGTTGAAGAAGAGGATATCGTAGAATATGAGACCGAAAAGGGTGCGTAGAATGCCGCCCTCGCTGTGGTAGCCTCTATAGCCCAGCACGTGCCGGTAGTGGGAGAGACACATGGCTTCCACGCTTACGGGGAGTTGGGTGTCGAGGGTATCGAGCCAGATTGTTTTGGTGCCGGGGCCGCCGCCAGAGAAACTAGGTAAGGTTGGTAGTGGTTTGTTGGTCGTAGTTACCGGACGGGTGATTGTCGTAGTTGTCGGGGTGTCTTTGGTATTTGTCGTCGGTGTGTTGACGGTGTTCTTTCGACTCAGATTTCTGGACGGTACGTCTTCTTTGTCCGTCTCGATCTTGATCCCCACTACATCCCTCTCGACGGCCTTGCCCAGCCTCACATGGCCAAAGTCATGTTGTTCTCTCAATGGTAAATGAAGTTGTTTCTCCAGCTTCTTGATCCGCTTCTGTAAATCGTAGTGATAAATAACATGACACTCTTTATCTTGAAGGCCCTGTTCACAAGTCCGGAGGGCGATTCTTTTCCAGTGCTTCTTGTTCGCTTCGACTGTTCGGTTCTCCATCGGCGTCAGCGCGTGCATGTAGTGTTCCTCCAAGAGTGCTTTCCGCTGGTACCACGCTCCTCGTTTCGAGGCGTGGAAGAGCTGTTGGTCCAAAAGCTCCGTCAAGAGCTGATGTTCTCGAAGATGTTCTTTGAATCTCGCCAAAGGATGTAGTGCCTTGTGCACAATGCGCGTGTAGACCCAAGCAGGACTGAATCGACGAAGATACACTCCCTCTCCACTATGGTGGACGCGTTCTTCTTTTCGTTGTTCCTCTGCCAACAGGACCTTCCAGCGAGGATAGACAGCCTCGAAAATCCCCCTGATCTCTTCGAGTGATTTACGCCCAGGGGTGCCATTGAATTCAAGAATACTCTCAACCCGAAACTGGGTGCGAAGGCTGGCTTCGAATTCGAGCAACAAAGCTCTGGACTCGAATATTGTCGTCGATCGACTGACGATATACTCTGGGAAATTCCGTCTGGAGATCTGGGCCAGAATCAACGTCGTTAAACTCTTCTCCGTCCATTCGGTACTTCGGTAGAACACGAGATGGGCCCGTTCGAAGAGTTTGAGAGGTGTCAAGGAAAGTCGAATACACCGTCCAGTCTGATCGAGGATTTTTTTGGTGAAATGGGCGTCTCGGTTGTTGGTGGTATGATTTGGTGTTCTGGAACCACTACTCTCGTCTTCATCATCATCACCATCATCGCAGACGGACCGACTGTCCCCAGACATGACACTTCCTGCGGACTCCTCGGCTTCTGCCCGTCGTAGTTCTTTGAAACCCAGTCCGCTCTGTCTGCCACTGGTTCGTCGAAGGTTTTGTAACAATTCGCGCTTGTTCTTTCCTTTCACTTTGGCTTCCTTGGCTAAACTTTTCAGCTCATCCAAAAGTAAAAGACTGGATGCTTCATCCAACGTCCTGATCTGATCTGAGGAACATTCGGCAAAGGTGAATATTTCGCCTAAGACGGCTCCTTCCGGCGGTTTTAATTCTCCCGGATGCATCGCTGGTCCCGCCTCGACAGCCGGTAATGCTCTCTCCTTTTGTAATTCCTTCACCGCGGCATGAATGTCAGCAACATCACTGCAATATTGCAAATCCTTTACGCGGAACCATTTGCTCGTTTTGCGCAAGAACAGCCTCACATAGAGATACTGCGCGTCATAGTCGAGTCCTCTCCATGTGCGGAAGAGGCCCAGCTCAGCTTCACTGAATAGATGACGTTCGTCTTCGAGAACAGTGTCCAATGCGAGGTTGAATGCATCCACATAGATGGAACTGCGTCTACCGATCAAAGATGGCGATTTCGGTCGAGATGACGTTGTGCTACAATCAGTCCGGTCTTGCTCTTGATGTACATATTCGCTCGCCTTGTAAGCCTCATAGGCTTCAATAGCTTCTTCATCTGTTTGAACCGGCGGCAAGGTGGCCTCTAGCTGCGTGGCTCTCGGAGGAGCAGCAAGGTCGAGCCCTCCATCCTCCAGCCCTTGTTCTTCGTCTTCTGATTCGGGCATCTCAATTTGGATTGCTCTTTGGGACTTGATATTCCTCGGAGACTGGCGTTTTGGACTGCTACCACCATTTGAAGTGGCAGTCTTGACTCGTTTCGCAGGCGAGGAAGGGAAATCGTTTGACATCGTGGATATTGGTCGAGGGAAGTTGAGGTATTTTAATTCTTATCAAGCGGTCGTGCATCGACGGGTCCAAGAGCCATGAGGATTGAAACTGGCTCATACGGGGCAAAGACATGGAGGGAAGAAAAATGCATTGAACGGCCCAAGTGTGGGGAAGTCCCCCAAAGACGTGTCGCGAAGTGACGCGCAGTCACGAGGACGGGGTGCCTGAAGATGAATTGATTGCATGAAGGACTCGCATCGAACAAGCGCACATACAGATTCCGACGACTACTCCAATAACGTGGACTATTCTACACGAAGGCCATCCAGATCCAGACCCCACCACGGGAATATACGCTTGCAGATGATCAGCCGCTCTCTTGAAACCATCCCACATGTCAAATAAAAATCCGTCTCACACTTCAGCCACTTTATCTCCATCCTTGACCGGTGCAGGAGATGTCTGACTTCCTGAATCAGAGCCTCCTTCTTTGGCATTAATCACATTTTCTTCTCTTCCAAGCATCATGTGTTGAATATTCACCTTTGGTCCTTTGAACCATTTATGAGCATCGACCACCCACCAGACCAAAACCAACAACATGGGACCACCCCACACCAGGCAAGTCCAGTTCATTAGGGAAGCATCCAAATCAGAACCTGTCACACTCGGCAGGCAGAGAATGGGAATCATCAACAAGGTGAAGCAAGTGGATGCCACACCAATGGGATAAGAGAATTTGCCGAGGTGCCATGGTCCACGACGGAAACGGCTGCCGACAAAGAATGTTCGAATGGTGATGGGAATGGTGAAAGCCACAAAAGCCGCGATGGCACCCACACTGAAAATAGCGCCGATAGACGCTTCACCTCCAAAAAGAAGGAGAGTCAAGAGGATACCGACAACGCAGTTGAACCAGACGGCATTGACCGGCGTCTTGGTCCATGGGTGAACCTTCTTCCAAATGCTGGAGAAGGGGAAGCAGTCATCGCGGGCGTACGCATACGTGACTCGTGACGCAGCAACCATACAACCCTGACCCATGGAGAAACCGCATACAATGGTCATCGACAGAATCGCCAGAGCGGTGTTTTTGGGGAGCACTTCCATGAGGTACGAAGCCCACGGCTGACCAATGGGGGAGTTGAGGACCTCGTCGATATCAATAACCGTGTAAGCCACAACCAATTGCAAAAACCAACCCATGAGGCCACCGACACCGGAGGTCAGGACGATGGCTCGGGGACTGGCGATGTTGGCGTTGCTGCATTCCTCGGCCAAGTGGAATGGTGCGTCGTAGCCCGACATGGTCCAGATGACAGCAATGAAAGACATGAGCAAAGCCACTCCATTGGGGAAGTCTGTTCCCTCGTAGAAATTGCCCCAAACCGTGCTACTTTTGGTGAAACGTGGTAGACCTTGATCGGGACGATTGGTGGCGGCCGGAATGGTGATGATGGCGATGACCAAGGCAATAATGTTGAAGGTGCTGCCATAAGAGTTGAATGTGGCAATCCAACGCGTAGGCATGGAAGAAATAATACCATGCATGATCATGATCAAGGTCGTCAAGAGGAAAACCTGGTAATTTTGTGGAACGAAATCAGGATTATTGATGGAACCGGCGGCCAGAATCATGGAAGCCAACGCATAATCGACGGATGGAGCACCAGTGACCTGGACCAGCCAATTTGACCAACCGGTAATCCAGGCAGCGAGAGGACCGTAGCCTGGAGGCGCAAGGACAGCGGCAGCGTAGTACAGGCCGCCCGAGGTGGGCATAGAAGAGCACAATTCGGCTGGGCGATGTTAGACACATTCGAGCGCGTTGGATATTTGGAAAAAGCGTCAATTGGCTTACCCATGCCCATAGCGACACATTGAATGAAAGCCATGGCAATCAACCAACCCCAGACCATACCGGGAGTACCGGCATAACCCATACCATAGTAGAGAGTGGAGGCGAAGGATGGCAACAAGCCGAGGACGGCGAAGGAGACACAGAAAGAGGTCCACAACGAAAATTCACGCTTGAATTCAGGTCTGCAGGCTGTATTAACATTTTTGTACCTTGGGCGCAACAGGGCAGAACAATCGATGCATACTTGTAGCCAAGTGCTGCCAGAACCTCTTCATCAGCGCTTAATTCTCGATCCCAGATTGGGACCTCGCCGGGGGCCAGGACTGATGTAACAGGTTCCTCGGCGACGGACTTTTGGCGCATGCCAGAGACGGTACTAGGATTTCGGTCTGCGCTCATGATTGCAACTGGTTTTGGATCTGCTTTTACAAGGGCGCGACCGTGATCGTATGCATGGGTTAGATCGCCCAATACGTATCCTATGAAGCCCACGGCGTTCGATGAGGGACTGATCGGCGGTCTGGTCCAGACGAGACCCTCAATGGCAGCGCAAAAGATGTGGTATTTATGGATAGCCAGGCATACGAGGGGAAAAGCGATAAAGACGTGGAAGGCTGGCTAGGTCGTGCTGAAAATATATATCAAGAGGAGGGGACAATCAATGTTGATAGGACATCGAAATCCCTCAGTAAGGTTAGCAGGATGCGCAGGACCTGGAGGCGACGGGGGCTCCTCTTCGAAGTCAGCGACCATTGCACCTAGAGCTCGATCGGGCAAGTTGAAGCTGGTTATCGCGATGGTGGATGGAGACATGACGAACAACTGGCGAGATTCCTCGTTGAAAGCGTGCGTGGTGAGTGGCTGGGCCGTTAGCGAAGCAAAGATAAGAGAGAAAAAAAATGCTTGCGGAGGATTCGCCCAGGGAAGCCCCAAACCTAAGAGTGCGCATTAGAAGCCAGCATCAATCCACCAGTCTGATCATTTATCGCCGTTTCACCCCGCCGGCCCTTGTGGGAGTCGATAACATGCTTTTTTCTCCCTGCTTCTATCAATCAAAGGCCTCCTAGGCTCGCACGGCACTTGCCTTATTCCTAGTCTTGCCACGAGGGAAGCAGGCAAATAGACACAGCTCGGTGATGCGGAGTACATAGACGATAACTTACTGAACTTCACTAAGTATGACATTGCTGAATCTTGACTCGTCTCGGATCTCCTCCCTCTCTTGGGGGGCCTCTCATTCTCCATGATATCGTCCATGTCCGTCGATTTATCTTTGCAACAAGCTACCAGCATTGGTCTTTGCACTACTATTTCGCCCTGATGTCACGCGAAGTCGTTGCTGCTAAGATTGGTGGAGTTTGTTGTCAGTTCTCCGCTTCGCCCTGCCTGATCAAGCAATTGACCATCAGCATGATAACTCGTACCCCCTTGCATCGCGTCCACTTCATGTCGGTCGGCTTCATTAATACATACTTGGTGGACTGAACCGTGTCATCATCTTCATTATACGGGCAGGGCATTGATCCACTATTGTGTACATGTATGTTGCAACGGAAATCAACGCCCAATGAGATCGTGATGCGCTGTCAGTGCTACGATGCTTCGACTGTTTCTCTATGAATGACTCCGGACACCTGCCTGCATGTTTCTGTTTCGCAAAAGTACTCCAGTCCCATCCGCCAGCTCATACCGTCCGCACTTACGTAAACGGAAGAGCATTGAAAGAGTCGATCCTGAGAATGCCAGGCTATCGTCATCATTCGTACAATATGGCCCCCCCCAACTTTGTAGGAGTCCATGGATCAAGAAGACAGGGTATTTTCTCCGGCCGTCGCTGTATCGCGTCTGGACGTATCGAAGATTGTCACATGGCCCTCCTTTGAAAATGTCAAGCGAAGTGGATCGACGCTTTGATTCAGAGGACGGTGTATACCCCTCAGGATTATAGACATGCCACAGAATGAGAATGAATCCATCTCCGGTTTGTCTCTTGAATTCTTCCACGTCAAACCCTACCCGGCGGGCATACTACCGCAGCCATCACATACAAGCCTAAGAGGCCCGCCCTCCAGAGATTGGTATGTTCCTTTGATAGAAGGTGATGTGTGCGTTTGGTCATTCTAATCATTCGGATTGCGTCTCTGTCTTCTCACCCATTCTTTCTCTTGCCCCCGCCCTCCTTCTCTCTTCCTCGTTAAAAGGCATCCGAAAGCAGGGTCCCCAAAGGTCAGCCATAACCAGACATGCTTCCAGAGCCGAGGGATACATGTAAAAACAGATCCCAATACAATGACCGCGAGAAGCGCTGTAGAGAAGGGAAAGGATGCTGTGCGGAACGTCGCACATTGCAAATCGCAAAGGGGAGAGTGAGGTAGAGGATGCCTCCCTCAGACGACTGGTTTCGCTCTCATGTTTTTCTCGCAGTAATTCCTGATGATTGACTTCACCAACTTGTGGCATCGTATCCGTCAAATCTGCGGAATCCACGCGGTCGAGTAGGCCCTCGGTCGAAATGGTCGACCCTCAACCCTGTCCTTCGACAGATTGATCCTGTGTGCCTCTTGCCTGAACGGCAATACTGTGACTTTCATCGTTGGTGGCCTGACTAGGAGACTCGAGAAGCAATTTCTCATCTTGTTGCACATAATCGACAGCTGTGTTTGCGACATTTATGGTTGAGACGGCGACAGGGCGTTTTACGGGTTTGTTGATAGCTGATGTCCCCGACATTTAGCGGAATCTAGATCTGTGAGTCGAGTTCGGTAATAGAAGCAATAGGATTCGAGGATTAGCCGGGAAGGAATGAGGCCAAGGCAAGTTTCTGTATCTCGAAATTTTGTAAGCAGTAGTGGTAGAATGCGATTTTGGACGGCACGTGTCCGCAAGCAGCTCCCAAACATTCAAGGCACTCTTGCGCCGCAATTGAGACTGGCTGAATCTTTGTTTGGGCGATGCCATGGGAAAAGCAAATCAGACAAGTGAGAGGATAGGTAAAATTGACAAAGGGGTAACGCTTCCAATTAGATTGTACCACACTTCGGCTGCCAAACGATTTCCGCTAGGCTATGAGCCACATCATCATGAATAGGCAGATGAAAGTCTCGCTGTTCTCGCGCAGCAGGCTTGCAGTTTGGTCCAAGTACTTCACCGCAATCTTGGCATGTGTTTTCTTCGTAAATGCCATGGTGTAGAATAGGCATAAAGTGGTGATTGAAGATTTAATCCTGCTTATTGTGATTCTCTCATAAATATTCTCCTGTCGACGTTCATTTTCCTCCGAAATTCTTTTGCGACAGGACTCAGTTGCCCACCATGCTTTTCTTCAGGTACTAGCCCGGCCGGGGAGCGATCCAGATATACTAGTATACTAACTCATCTCTAATTGACAGTTTCTTTAAGACCCTCACCCAACAGACTGTGACCGTCGAATTGAAAAATGACATTTCCATCCGCGGCACTCTGAAATCTGTCGATCAGTACCTGAACATCAAACTCGACGACATCGTCGTTCTGGACGAGTTGAAATACCCCCATCTGAGTTCGGTGAAGAATATCTTTATTCGCGGTTCGGTAGTCCGGTACGTGCATCTGCCTCCGGACAAAGTCGATCGAGGTTTGCTGGAGGATGCGTGTCGGAGGGAGGCGATGGCACAGAGGAGCAAGGGTACGTGAGATTTTGAATAACCCTCGGGAGCGGATTGGGACGCTGTTTTAAAAGCAAAGCGCTGGATCTCACGACGCATCTTCCGAGATCTCTCTAACCGGCAGACCCGAGAGTCTCGCCGAGACGATGATGACTCGAGAGACTTGAAATTCGCGACTCGAGTCGGGCAAAAAGTTATTTGATCTGTTGGACACGATCTGGCAAGCCCACATCAAGCGAAAGTGGGTTCAAACTGACTACCATTTTGGCTCAATAGTCGAAAGGGAAGGATATCATCCAGCAAAGGTTTGCAGTGGAAGGGAAATGTCTTCGAATGGCCTGCTTTGGATCTATTGGGCTTCGACACCGGTCTCATACCGGCGATACCAGTGTTCGAACGAGGGACGATGTTATCAAACCTCGTCCGCCAGCAACTCAAGCACAGGCAGCGTGACCTTGAGGTCACAGATATCAAATAGCAACAAATGTACCCTGTACATGCCTTGGGAGGTTTCTCTTTTCCACCCGCATCTTAAACGCCATATCTCAACTGTCCATCGCCACTCCCCCATCCCTCAGCCCCGGCCTCAACTTTGAACAGTCCGTTCTTTCGTTTCTCTGCATCCCACTTCTCGATCCACGCCTTCATCTTTTCCCTGGTCCTCGCGCTTCCCACATTGACAGTCGGGACAATGCGATTGATCCGCAACGCACAACAAAACATCGTCAACTCTCTGAAAGAGCTGTGCTCTGAGTATGGTACCCCAAAACAGCTGGATTCTCGAGTACTTCCTCGCTGGGGTACGAGATCGCGCATTGTGAAGCGACTCTTCCATCCGTCTGAATAAAGCACCGTGCTCACAGCGGGGCTTTCCGTGAAGCGAGAGGTTGGTGACCGATAATTCCAGCCTGTGGGTCGGAAACCAACGACACGGGCGAAATGGCCTTTATAAGTCACAAGGTAGTCGCGCAATGTCTCTGCTCGGATCTCCATCAGTGTCTGCATGTGTACCTGTGCCTCGAGGGGGTTGTTGGTCAGTCGTGCGTTGAGTTCGGCGTCCTCAAGACAAAGGCAGACGCGCATTTTGGACGGCGGTGCGTAAATCTTCGAGTTCAGGGCTTTAGCAATGCCCAGACAGATCCTTTCTTTGCCAATGGAGTAGGTGCCAATGACCACGAGGAGACGTCCCCGCGTTTTCGGTTGGCGGGCATCAGGATCTTCTTCCTTAATGACATTCTTCTCACTCCGTGCCAGGAACTCCTTCATGGCACTGCTGGCCCGCTCGGCCTTCGTTCTTTCCCAGCCATCTTCCGGGTCAACAATCTCCTTGGATAGACTGATACACATCTGGGCACAAGCATCAATAACGTCTTGTTGGCTAGGAAAGGCGTATTTAGGAGTGAGATAAGTCGTGTCGAGATAGCAAGTGTTGATTACTTGCTGTCTGGTTTGACCAGTGACGCCGTCAACCACATCAGGCCGTAGGAGTGGATGACCGACATGAGCTGGACAAGCACGAAAATCGCCGCAATGGAGGATGCGAGTTGACTTTGGAGATCCGTCCCTGTTCTTGCCGGTGGTCTTCTCGAACAAGAATAAAGACGAACCAGGACAGTGGTTGGCCGGAATCATGGTGACGAATACGCCTTTGGTGTCGGGGACTTCGGCCTTCTTCTCAAACTCGAGTGGCACTACCCATATTGGATCAACTTTCAGCTGCTGTAGTATAAGATTGCAGGTGACTTTGCTGGCATATATCGGACCGTGGCACCAGGAAGACGTCAGTCCAATGTAGTGATCACTGTGGAAATGACTGAGGAAGTAGGCATTTTGCCCTTCAACCTTCCCGTACCGGAATGCGTCGACACAGATATGGAAGCCTGGTATGATCTTGTAAAAGGGGCAGGTTCGTTGATGCGCTGGTTTCCCACGAGACTGAGCCTCATTGGCCGCGGCTTCGGCCCAAGCAGCATCTTCTGCATGGCCGGACATCAACCGAACGAATGCTGAAGCTCCTTTGGTGTCTTTTGTGAGAGAAAACGGATTGGCCTGAGCAGGTCGTGCGATTGCCGCCCGTTGAAAGCGTTTCGGGGCAGGAACATCAGAACCGCCCCAAGTACGATTACCAGGAGTCTGCCGGCCCGGTTCGTCCATTTGAATGGCTCCACTGAACTCAGACTCCTTTGGTAGTGGTTCAGCATCGCCATCAAGGCAAGCATTGACATGAGATGATGCCTGGATTTCAGAAAGCCCTCTCAAATTCCCATTGCATATTGGACAGACAGCAACGCCATCTCCTTCCTCTGTTTCAGTAAGGGCGTCATATTCGACCATGCTTCGCGGTGTTCTGATACTCTCACCACCACTCTCAGATTTCGAATCTTCATCAAGTTCCATCTCCATTTCTCTTTGTTCCTCCATCCATCGTCGCTCCATATATTCTTCCCCATCCTCAAAGCATTCCTCGTTCTCGAAATCATCGTCACCAAAGTCTTCATCAATCAACATACTTGTCGCTTCACGAGTCAATTCTGGTACAGTTTCCGCGTCGTGGTCCGTACGTCGACGCCGGTCGCGATCTGTCGTTTCTTCATTGTTGAGGTCCGAAGACTTGAGGAGTTCTCCTGTATCGATGTGAATGGCGTCCAAAAAGCCTGGATCGATATTTCCTACTTCATCCGGAACGGACGTCGAGTCGGCGCCATTGACGACGGTAACAACCTCGTCGCCATCTTCCTCGTCGCTTGAATCTACCAGGAAGCCTCCCCGGTACTTCAATGGCTTTCCCTGGTCCTGATTCTGGACTGGGATCGCCGCCCGGGATTCATCCTCCCGGTGGCGGCCGTCGTACCCAGGAGACGGTGTGCGGACAACGAAATCGGCGAAATCTTGGTCTGTTCGCCTCCTCTTGACTGGGGTTTTATCCTCGTTGTATCTCGTTATCATTGCATCCCTGGCGGCACCTGGTGTTCTTCTAGGCAATTCAGGCGAATTGGAACCTTGCCGACCGTCACTGAAGAACAATGGCATGCTGGCCCTGGTGTCACGGGTATATTCATTTGTTTTGTCCGACTTCTCGAAGAAGTTGAGGATGCTCTGATTTTGACTCTTTTTCGTACCTGGGGTCTTCGAAAGAGGTTGACGATCGGCTAGATGAGTTTTGTCCATTCCTTTCCGTCTCTTATTCCCATCAGGGACCGAGGCCAACAGCGCCTCTTTGAACTCTTTGGACATGGGGAGATATTCTCGGTAGTCTTGAGGATTGCCGGCCATGTTCGTATCAAATTTCACAAAGCTGGATTGCACAGGTTCGAGGAGGAGCAGTGAAGATGGGGATTGCCGGAGTGGCCGTAAACACATACAAACAAGGTAGAAGAGGTTGCGCCTAATGGCGCGCTCTTTAGCGAAGCACTGTGGGTGTTCAGTGCTTCGCCGGGCTATGCCACACAGAAGGTCTTTCTCGGCCTGTTGCTGGTTGATCTGACATATTCTGTATCGATACATGTCCTCCCGTGGGCGCCGGTTGTGGATCGACCAGTTCTGCCTGTTTGATCTGGGAAAGTGAGGACTACGGTGGGGTTGATCGCACTGAGAGCATTCACGGAAGTGGAAGGACGTCTACATCCTGTGTTGTCCCCAAATTCGTCTGTGAAGTTGAAAACAGAAAAGCTTTAGGGATCACAAACGGTAGGTGCACGTCAGTTACCGAAATTCATCACTGCATAATGGTGGTGAAGCGTTTGTTAAGACACAAGAGCCAAAGCACCACGTTGTATGGAAAACGGCCTTCCGTTCTAATAGTGGATTTTGTCTTCAGGACGACGATTATGTATATACGTCTAGCCAGCCAGGCATTTTGTCCGACCCTTCCCCGCCATCAAGAAGTTCATTTCAATCAGCAGAGCACTTGTCTTGATGGGCTACCTCGATATCAGGCACGTCCCGCCTCTGACGCGAGATCACGTGTCGGACGATATGACTTCCTCTACTTTATTCAGGAGGATACAATAATTCATCATTCTACCTATTCGTATTCCCCGATCGCCAAATGCTACTCCAGAATCCAAACTCCGAGCTCAACCTGTGGTAGTTTTATACGGTGACCAAGTCTCTTCGCCTGGGTGCGGCTCAATACACGCAGCGCCATCTCATCCTTCCCCGCCGACCTCACCATTACAACCAGCTGAATCTGCCTCCCAAGATTGCCACCGTTACACACGGCCAGCAGGTAGACAGTTCGGGCGCATGTCGGCGGAGGTAGAGAGGCTCAAAGATGAGGTCAGTTAGCGCGTCTTTTCCCCCGACAGCCACAATATTGGCCGATACACTTATCAATTCAATAGGGCACGAGACAGCAGGTTGTGATAGCCGGAGGAGTTGCGGGCCTCGTGTCCAGATTCTGCATCGCCCCCCTCGACGTCGTCAAGATCAGACTACAGCTTCAGCCGCACTCTCTTTCGGATCCATTGTCCTGCGATGGCATCAAAGGTCCAATTTACAAAGGAGTTTTTTCCACTCTTAGGGCCATCGTAAGGCAAGAGGGCATTCGCGCCTTATGGAAAGGCAATATTCCCGCGGAGCTGATGTATGTTTGCTATGGCGGTGTTCAATTTGCCGCGTATCGTTCTCTCACCCAGGCCCAAAGCCTCCTTCCGACCCGTCCTCCACCATCAGCTGAATCTTTCATCAGTGGTGCCGGTGCCGGTGCCGCCGCGACTTCAGTGACGTACCCATTGGATCTTCTTCGAACCAGGTTCGCCGCACAGGGGCCAATACCGGTCTACAAAGGCCTCTTCCAGTCCGTGCAAGACATCACTCGACATGAAGGGCCAAGCGGCTTTTTCAGGGGCCTCAGCGCCGCACTCGGACAGATTGTGCCTTACATGGGTCTCTTTTTCATGAGCTACGAGTTTCTGCACCAATACATTGGTGGCAAAACACTTCCCTTTGGATCAGGTGATGCAACTGCAGGAGTCTTTGCGAGCGTCTTTGCAAAGACAGCTGTTTTTCCGCTCGATTTAGTCAGAAAGAGACTGCAAGTGCAAGGGCCCACGAGGACGAGGTACATCCACACTAATATCCCTGAATACCGAGGCGTCATTCGCGGCCTTGCGGCGATCTGGAGAAAAGAAGGCACCCGAGGCTGGTACCGTGGCCTGACTGTCAGTTTAGTCAAGGTGAGTTTCGACTCAAACAAGGTTGGACCCCTCTACAAGGTTCTGACCAGACCGACAGGCCGCACCAGCATCAGCAGTCACAATGTGGACGTACGAGCGGGTCCTGCACTCACTCATAAACTCCGACCGAAATGATGAGATGTGGGAAATGTACACTGGCTATGATGATGACTTTGACGACTGAGACGTGAACAGATCGTAGCTGTTATTCTCGCTTGATGGATATGATTCAAGAAGGCTGCCTATCCACAACGTCACCAAAAACTTGAAAATGACAGCCAACTCCTACCCCCAAATAGGTAACAGATCCCAAAAAATGTGCGGAATACGAAGTCTCACAGGCTTTCTCCATTGCTCCGACCCCCGGTAATCGGATACGAAGCACGTTCTACCGTCTTGAATCACTGTAAGTCTTTCCCAATCAGTCTCTTGACCTGGTCGATGTTAACGAGCAAGGTAGGCCTCGACGACTCGCAAATCTTCCGTCGCAAACGGTAGCAAGGCCCAGTAGACTGCATACTATGTCCCAGAGAAACCCTACTGGGGAAGAGTTGGGACAGAAAGCATGATGAAAGTGACGCTATTTTTGCACCTTTTACATTACCGTGCCGTACCCAATATGCATGCGTTCGCGGCCATCCAAGGGCCAATGGAAGGATAATCATGGCGCCGCATTTGAGTTTGAAAGACCCATGCGAAAAGGGAAATTGTACGCCCTGCGCTTTTAATGTGCCACACCTCTGCATCGAGTCAAATGCCCATATTCCCTTTCCTATTTGGTATGAGAGTCTAATACAACGGGAACAATTCCCTTCATAATCTACGTCAATCTATGATATCTCTCATCGTCCAAACCTCATCTCTGCACCAGCGTATTTCCACAAGCCCCGTAGAAAACCCTGATACTCCACCCCGGTATTCCCGCTCCCAGAGACATCCCCCCCTGAATCACCGACGCAGAAGATCTCGCTCAATCGGATTTGCCAAGGTGGATAGCCGTCGAGCTTCACGTAGGGGCCAAAGACGATAACCAAATCGGGCTCCCCGACATCGACTTCCTTGGCCGGTGATCTTATGCCGTGGCCATTGGTCTGCCGTGAGTCTGTGATTGCAGTGGTTGCGCTGATCTCGGCGTTTATGAGGTTGGATGTTATGTCCTTTGGCCTGATTTTTTGTGCTTGCGACATCTCCGCTAGCGTCCTCGTTAGGTCGACCAGGGTATCTCGACCGTCTGTCGCTGAGAGAAGGAGGAGGTCCAAGTGCTGTCGCTTCGTGGCCGCGGTCGAGCCATTCGATCCATTTGCCGTCTGGGCCGAGATTTGGGGTGACGGAGATGGTGAAGAACTCATCGAAGGGTGATTGGGAGCAAATATTCTCAGACTTGGTGCGGCAGGAGCGGGACCAAAGTAGGATGCAAGCTTCTGATTTACCAACTCCTGCAAAGATGCCATGTATGTTTTCAAGATTCCTGACTTTTCATAGACACTTAACAGAGGGATACCCGCGGCTGCGGACCAAGCACAAAGCTCGGCCACTTCATCCGTCAGTGCTTCTAGTCCACCATCCTCCTCTGACTTGAACTTGAGGATCACGCTCAAATGTTCTGGGATTCTTTCAAGGTTCTTCACATCTCTTTGTATGTACTCGGGGGTGCGATGATGATAGTGTCGAATGGCCAACAGACGATCTAACGTAGCATGGTAGATCTGACGTAGGCGGATGTAGACGCCGAAAACGAACCGGATGAGCAAGGAAACGAGGAGGTGAAGCTTGGACTTGAGGAAGGGGCGGACTCTTCGTTTACGCCTTCGCGATTTCTGGCGCGTTGCTGTCGTGGACGATCTGGAGTTCATTTGGGAGGCGTCAGGGTACGGGTCTGGGAGGTATGGTTGAAGGAGTTTCTCGCGCTCTGTGGGGGAGAGATGTCGACCGCCGGATGCCACATCTTTGCGGTATAAATCGGTGTCTGCTTTGCTGAATGGCGGCATAGTGAATGTTTGGATTTGGAGGTGAAACTCGCAGTGACTTTTTAACTTCAAACAGGTATGAATTCAGACAATAGCATGACACCATGTGACACCGATAAGGAATTGCGGCAGCGAAGATATGTGCATCGTCAAGCAGATTTTTTGTTTCTGACAACTTTGAACAGGCTGTTCATGCCAGGTCGCCAGCCCCGGACTCTTTGGAGAACCTTGAAGCCAAAAAGCATGAACAGATGGCGTAAGGTCTTTCCGCCAATCAGCATTCAGTCTCAAAACTCCACGCGATGACACCTGCCAAGAATCTGTTGGGGATCATGGAGCCTTGCCCTCTCGCTCTTTCTTTTGTGGCAGCTGGAGGAAAATTCGTGGAACAGAAATCTGACTTTGCGTATTGCCTGGTCTGTGTAAATGATTACTCAAATCTTTCGAGTTGCAAGAGTTTCTCCCTCGGCTCTTTTGGAGGAGATCAGTGTCCAGTTCCAACCTGGAGACCAAGATCTTGACGGTAAGTTTGAGGCTCCTGGTGGAGTTTGATCAATGGAAGATTTTGCAGGAGTTGCACGAGCTTTCTCCTAGAACAAGGCCATGAAAGTCTGAACGTTTTCAATGTTTCGACGGAGAAGACTCCACGAAAACCGGCTCATTTTGTACCAAGTTCTTCTCTTGTCCGAGTCTAGTATTCCAACATATGATCTTGGACGATGTACACCCCTCAGGACTCGATACGCTCCGCTTGAACATGTGGTACGTACGGATTCTCCATGCCTACGCGGTCGGGCAAATTTCTACGAAACAAGCGTGAACATGTCCATTCCCCAGTCCCATTGCCTTAAAAGAGTGGTTCGACCGGCTACTAGCACGACCTTATGAGGTCTTGGACCAATTTATCACCGCCTTATCAAGAATCAGTCTCTCTGCTGAGCATGATGATCTTCAATATCTGATAGGATGTTAGATTTCTTGGCAACATCACAGCCGAATCAACGACCCCTTTAATGCCTTCTCAGTTGCTCTCATCAATGAAGCCTCCTATGTCGTCCCCGATGAGAACTATTCAGTGGCCGCCACAATTGACCGCTCGCCTATCGCAACAGCAACCCCCATGGATCCGCTGCTTCCTCTCTCTCTGCAAATCGATGGGGCATGGCTCCGCCATATTGCAGTTCCAAACTTGATGAAGAGCAATCTGTCTTGGATGCTAGCAACACTTATATCAATGAGTGGGATATAGCTTCCCATAATTGTCATTGACTTGGATCTGTACAGTTATTTCGGTGGGTAACTTCGTTGAAAAGCTTTCGCCAGCGCGAAAATTCCCGCCATATAGGGTTCCTGGGCATGGAACGCGGATGCCTCCCTCAATGGTACCGCTACAAAGGACATCACCATCTTCTTCAATTTCGTTGGGAGCGCCCAGGGAAAGATGAAAGGCGGAATGGTCTGGCTTACCGACCCTGCGTAAAATCTTGCTGTTCTTCAAAGCAGCGCTGTACAGAGTAGCGGCGGCAACAACAACAACAATGGCTTGTCAAGGTCGGCGTCGGCATCAGTGTTTCTTTGGGAGTTATCATCTTGATCTTCACCGTTGCTTTTGGTCTGGGTGGCATGCAAAGAGAAGAAACTGACGGCTGCTTGCCCGAATATGGCCAAATGCAGTTAGCGAGACTGGTAGCCTCAACAAGGAAAACGGTTGTCGCGAAAAACCGAGCCAAGCCCGAGTGTTGAGACTCAACCGGATAAGCGACCACTATCGGCACGAAATTGGATGAAGAGAAATGATTCAATTGAGCGATGAATGTGATTTTGATGGGAGGGCAGATCAGAGAAGGAATCGGAAGATCGATAAGCGCTTATCCTCGCCTCGTGCTGCGCTACACCTATGCCTTTCTGTTGTAGATATCGACCCCTCTAACAATCTTATGCCACGTAGATGTTTCCTAACGATGAGGGCAATAGTGTAGCAGGGAACTATGCAAGGAGGTCAGCACAGAGGGAGTCGATGTACCAATTGGTAGGAGTATGATTGAAGACGAGGCTGACTACATCGGATTACCTGGTAATGCGCTCGTATATATGTATATATTCATGGGTGCTCTATTAGCTCTGTTGGCTCCCACCGATCCGGCCAAGTCGACTGAGCCAGTCTCCATTCCCTGACTCATGGACTCCGTTGGCTCCAACTGAGTTGATCACGTGATCCAGCCTTGTCGGTGAAACTCCACTCGGCAGACTTTCCTTGATTTTCCGGAGCCATCGAGAGTACTGTTAAGGAAACCGCTTCCGTGGCACCAGACGTGAAGGCGTCGTTTTGACATCTGTAGCACAGACGATTGCGGACGATTTCAATCAATAAACCCTTAACTGGAACAATTTCCCCTGGACGGGCTTCGCATGCGAAAGTCTTCGACAAGCAGTTCTACCCCACAAAGCGGTCCGGACCACTGACTTTACAGGGGCAGAGGGTAAGCGTCCACCAAAGCCCCAGAGAGGGTTTCCTGGTTGCCAAGGGCCGTAAACTGACAGCGACAAACAATTCTGGTTCATCTTCTTTCATACCGATCGTATGCACCTCAAATATTTGTTACCCATGGTGCACGACGCGAGTAACCGAGGCCATCAAAAGATCTGTCATTGTCATACTAGGCTCTTCTGCGCGGCCGAGAACAATATGAATCAAGCCGTCGAAAAGGTGGTTCCCCCTGGATTTGAATATAATATTAACGAGGATTTTGATTGCCGCATCTGTGTGCGAATATCTCCCATGCTGAATCAAAGCCACAAGAGACCGTTCAGCGATAAGAGAGGTCACCGATGCACAGAGTCTGGGCTATCAGTAAGCGCTTCCTCGAAAGTCAAGTTTGAGAGGACAGGACTCCAGGACCTTGACGTAGCAGGCTCTATGCAAGACTCGAAGCAGGAAGACAGCGTACATCTCCAGATGGGGTTTGATGTTAATGCCGACATCGAGAACCTGATGTTGTATCTCTGGCACAAGCAGTGAGTCAACTGGAAACCCTGTAGGGCTTTGTTCCTTTCGAAAGCCGTTGCGGAAGCAGGATCACAAGATACAAGACCGGATACATGCTCTGGGGAAGGTGGTTGCAGCAGAATAATCCTCTGATCACACGTCCTCTGGAAAGATCAATGCCTTATTTGAATCCGCAGAAAAGTGGTCATGACGCAAAGGTCCCCAACGTGGCCAGAGTGGGATATGAACCAACTCACTTCATGTGCTCACCGAAGCAGCCGTCAACTTGTTGACAACTGTGAAGGCGGTTCGGAGTCTACGCTAAGCAAAACGATACCATTTCGATTCCCAATTCGACAGAATTTAAGTCTTCTCGAGTCCTGGGACCCGAGTTGACGAGGGTTCTGATCTCTGATCAGAAAAGTCCTCGAAGGTTTCACTCCCCACAGCCGCCATGTCGAAGGGGTTTGTGGAAAAAGTTTTTTGCTTTTTTTGCTCACGCCATATGTTTGTGCACGCGAATCAAGCAGCGAATATTCCAATGCCTCGAGCTCTAGTAACGTGGTTCTCTTTTCTCGAGTTCCCTCCTCATTCCACTTACATTTCATCTTGGCTTTTACCCAACACCGCGTCTTTCATGATGAGAAGCTTGATATATTTGCGCATTATGTGTGCTCCAGGGACGCATTTTACGTGTAACCACCTCGTGCAGTTTATTTCTGCTTTGTCTTTGCAGACATTCGCCGCGTTCACTGGGGTCGGGTTGTTACCTTTCTTCGGCCTCATCATGTGGCAAGCACCGAGACTACTGCCATTGCCCAGCAAACGTGCACACATCCTCCCCTTCCTACGACGCCTGCTTTGGATTTCAGGACGAAGACAAATCTAGTCCCAGGTTAGTTCTTGTTGATCACCTTCACTTCATGACTGCTCTTTCACCGATAGCGCTTCTGTCTGGGATACATCCAAATCCTCCTCGTTCAGTTTGGATTGAACGTGGTCCAGATAAGCGTCCTTACTACGTCAGGATGAAGTTCAATTGGCCTTTCGCTGGAAAACTACTAGCTGAAACATTGCTTCCTCGAAGCACGCGCTCACTCTTTGCCAGGGACTCACGGCAAACCAGCACGCTCAATGTGTTTCCATGGACGGTCAACTCACTTTACCTGCACCCAACTTCTCCGATCTTCGTCCTGCTGCACAACCAAGGAACCCTCCCCAATAGATCCCACATCATCACAGGCTCAATCACAACATGTCAACATGTACCTTCCGCAGCAAAAATCCAGAGAATTCAAGTCAGAAGGACAAAAACAACAACCCAGCACAGATTGCAAAACCCCCACCACAATTCTTCCCAGGTCCAGCTCCCGAGATCTATTCTGTACTCCCATATCCAATCCCAAGTCACCCTCCCCCCATCTTTCCACAGCTACTACCCTTTCCAGCCAATGTACCAGGAGGAGCAGTTCCCATACAGAATCAGCAGCATGGACTTCCCGCGCCCTTTCCACCTCATATGGCTGCCCCCGTCGGCTATGAGGCATAAATGTGACATTTGTGGACCGTTCAGATCTACTCGCCATCATTACAAGCGCCCTATTCCACTAGGACAATTCCCGGCCAAAACAATATGCCAAACATGTAGGGAAGAAGCTAGAGAGCGCTACCGATCAACCAAAACAAGACATCACTATGTGCATGATCACAAAGGGAGCTTATCAGCATACAAAAGAAGGAGACAAAAGTCACGAAAAGGTGCCCAATCCATGGGTCGTGCGAGGATGATTGAAGGTGGCTACGCACGATGCAAGGAGACGTCGTAATCAAACTCAGATTCATCAAGTTCGGAAGCAGGTCGATACAAAGACGGAGGCAGAAAATATGGGCGCCTACCATCATTAAGAAGCACGTCCTTGGTCAGACATACTCGCCGATGGTGATTCTCACCTTCTGAACAACGGGTTATCTACGGTGGTGAGCCTACAGACCGAAGTCGGTACTACGATGTCGACTTTGACGCGGAGAGAATGAGTATGAAGCTTCTGCTGGATGGGCATCCAACCGATAACTACAGTATGTTGCAGCTGGAGAGAGGATTGGCTGACAATTGCCAGTGCGCATGCAAGATTGGGACCTTCCCACACCTGGACCGAGGATCCTCCGACGACAGTATTCCGACCGCTTTGTTAGAACTGCCTCAGATTGCGGAACAACATGCGGGAGAACGACACGAATACTTTCAAGGCCCTCGTCATGCCCACAGAGGTCACCGCAGACCATACTCTCCTCAACGAGGAAGACCGTTATCCCTATCTCCACTTCGAGCAATCTTCATGCCCGTCTGTCATCAATCTTCATACCGCTCCGAGGAGGATGACAAGTTTCACGCTCACACTAGGGACGGTACTAGAGAGGGAAGACGAAAACGATCGCGACCTGGACACCGGAGGGGACACGCCAGGACAGAGAGACGAGCCATGGTCATGGAGGTATGCTTGCCACCCTGGATAATTCTACTGGCCTGGCTTGGGATAAATTTAGACTGATCAAAGGATTTTAGACGAGAGCCCAGAAGAGTATGGTCGTCGGCAGCTGCATGCACGTAGTCCCCCACCGATTTGTCCATCATCCTTGGGGCATACGGCGGAACCTGATCGAGACGAAGGGGAAACGCCACCAACCTGGATTTGGAATGCAACGGCGTTACCAAGAGCGGCCCCGATCGTTGGAAGACGAGCTTGTCGAGTCCAGAATCATGTTGCCGGGGGATGAAGTGACAATCAGCGAGTGCGCGAGGTTTGATGGTGGTTAGTCGAGGGGGTCCAAGAGGAAGTGATGCAGGGAACAGGGAACAAATGACAACAGCCGGAATCTGGACGGATGTGTGCGTGACGAAATTTTTCAGATTGAAACAATGATTTGCTCGGAATTGGGGACCAAATGGCCGGAGCAAAAAGGATTCCCTTAACTGAATTTGCGAGGGGGAGGTGTGGATGGTGGAACATGGATCCCAAACGGGCAGTCCGAGGAAAGTGATAGGCGAATTCATGAGGCTCAACCGGGGGCCGTTGAAAAGAGCGAGATAGGCATGCTGAATTGGATTGGAGGCAAGTTGCAAAAGCATCATCCACTTTTGGGACGTTGAATCTTCACGTAAAAAGTAGGGCAGGGAATCCCGGTTCGAGAGGGCTCGGATGGGCAACAGAGAGATGGGTGAAGTTTTGGTTGGAGGGTAAGGGCCCAAGAGAGGGGAAAGAGGCTGATCGCGCGGCTCGGGGGGGAAGGAAAATGGCTCGAGTTTTGCAGGGAAAACCACGTGGCCAGCAAGAGATCTCGATATCTAAGGGGAGCGGAGGACAAGAGACGAATTGGCTTAGTCGCAGGAGACCTAAGAGATTTCTTTACCTCGAGAACGACAGGGGCGTCTAGCACCAAGGAACTCGCTCCAGAAAATTCAGTCGCCGTCCTTCCAAGTCGCACAGTCCAGCTCGTGATCAAGAGGAATAAGCGAGCAGAAGGGAGCAGCCGGAATTCTTGTTTCTCCCAATAAATTCCCGCCAAGATGTGTCATTATCATTTGTTTGTCTGAGAGGAGGACACGAGAGTGCGATTCGCTAAGCTGGGGACTGGGATAGGCGACTGGTAGGGAACAGGGGGTGAACACCGAAACACATTATAAGAATGTAGGAGAGAGGGTGTCAGTGGAGGAATGATTTTGACTGGGTGATGCCGGATGCTGGATGCCGGAATTGAAGAGATATGCTCTCGGCGGAGAGGGACGGCACGAGGGCGATTGCAGCGTAGCAAATGTGATACAGGGACGCTGGGCCTTCGACCTTGCAGTTACGGTGCCTGAATTTCTTACATCACCGGCATTTTGTGGGCATGGTCGTGATACAAGCAAAGTTACCGTAGTACCGTGAGTTACGAACTTGTCTGTGTTTGCCTTCGGAGGCTGTTCGATCAGATTCACGCGGGCTGTGGGCCTTCAATTGGATCATGCACATCACCTCACTTGTCTGATGTCCATTTCATCACCAACATTGGGGACTCTGAACTCCTCTCGGCCACGAAGATAGATCATGAGTGAAAATCCGGTGGCGTCCGACAGAGGGTCTAGATTAAGCCACAAAGAGGGGGTTTTCGTTTATGCTATATATCGCTACCTGACGCATTGCCCATTGAGGCAGATGCGGTGTAGATGCCTCAATCGATGACTCAGAGCCCCTTGGTACTCATAACGGACAATCCCCTTCTTCCATCCTTCAGAAGTACCAGGACCAGGGAAAGCAAGATAGACCCATGCTCGAATTCTTGTTCTCCCTAGGTACCGCCGGGAATGGGGGAATCCGAAAGTAAACTTTGATGTTTAGTTTAGTCTCATTACCAAAATGGTCAAGTTGATTGATGGGTTGTTTGTTGAATGTGCTTGTTTTGCGCTGGTGGCGGCCAACCAGCCCCAACAGTTGAGCTCCCGCATCAGATCTCCATTTTTCTCTCCCACCTCCAGCTAGCTGCCACAATGGTTGCGTTTCTGCTACATCAGATGCCTTCGTCTTGTCTCGGCCTGGCCGCCAATGTAGAGCGCCTTCGATGAGTTGTTCGATCTTTCACTTAAATTGCGCCGAACCGAACTGAACTGACCCGAGCTGAACTGAGGACTGGGTTCTGTGATCCATGAAACTGCGCTTACACATCTCTGGCAACCAAATGCTAACCACCAGTCATCATCCATCATCTCCCCGAAAACTTCAACTCACTCACGGCCTGACTGACTATGACGATCAAACCCCACCCCCCCCTCCAAAACCAAATGTTTGTGCGATTTAGTTCGAGAAAGACACCTCTCAAATCCTTGTCACACTTCGTCTAATGCCCTTCCTTCCGCGGCTCTCTTCTGTCCCAGCTCCACCAGCTTCTTCTGTCTCCCGTTCACATGTGGTCTCTCAAAACATTGTCCCCTCGGGCTATTCCGACGCAGTCCCCAATGCACTGCACCTCCAAGATGATGACAGACGCCAAGCCACAAACCACCAAAGTCGATTTCCCTGACGCCATTCAAATACATTTCATGACCCAAAAAAGGTCTGTTCTCGTATTCCTCGACGCTTGAGAGTATTCTTAGTATCTCCCGCAAAGACCCCTGCAGCAATGGTGTTGGGGGTTAATTCGCGTTTTAGTCTCGAGCCTCGAACCTTAAAACCCGTTACAAGCTTCCCTTCTGCTATCCGGTCCGCTAGTTCCTTCACGATCGAGCCGACCCTTTCTCTCGGGGTACCCGTCTCATGCCCTAATCCAATGGCCTCCCAAACCGCGAATGGACTTTTGCTCTGACCCAGGCCTCATTTCGCCACCCCCGGACGATTCCGTCACACATAGCTTTCCCTCAATCTTCGCTTAACCTCACCCTCTTATGCTTCGTCCTACCAAATCGAGCTACCATCCCCTGACAGGCTTTGTTCGGGACCTCAAAACCTGTTACCTGAACCGGACACGCCACAACCACCTCCAACATCACTGACGATGAAAAATAACCGAGCTCCGCGCAGGAAGATGGGCAACTCTTTGCACCAAAACGAATCAGCCCAACCCTGCGCCAAGAGTGTGTGTTTGATGTTGTGATGCCGGGGCCATGCAGGGGGTTGGGGGAGGGGACAACGACCACACAAAGAAGAAAGCCCCGATGATCGCAAGCGCCTTGTTCGAGAGAAGAGTGGTGGCAGTGGACAAACATCTTAGGGGGCCTTTTGAGAGACCTGGGCTGCCTACGAGGCGTCACCAGGCGACGGCTTTTGCCTGACCAACAAATACACAGCCATACACCGGTTTGGTATCGACCAACCAAACACCACAGGGTACCGAGAATCCTGGTCCCAAAGGCCCCCAAAGTTTACCACTCACACATCGACAACAGGCGTGTGACACGCACCTGACCTTGGACCAGCCAAATCGCTGCTCCAGGGCGTCACACTACCCGTACCTAGTCGTTCGTCTAATGCAAAGGTTTCCCGTTTGGGCGGAGAATGCGGCTCTGCACCTCTGAATTTGCTGTATCGCCTCCATCAATTGGCAAGGGTATACTTCCACCCCCCGTATTCCACCATTTCCATGGGCTGTACTCATGTCAATCCACTACCCAATTCTGCGAGGTTCACGCTCGCACGCTTTTCTCGGCCCCCTTTTTTTACACTCGAGGAGTTCTGTTGAGCGACTTTATCCCCTTCCGTCGTTATACAAGCTCATATAGTCCCGTATGCATCCCTTTACAGAACCTATCAACCCTCCTTCACCCAACCTTTCCAATTATCAGTACGACGTGAACCACTGTTGAAACCTCCCCCGCAGAAACATTTCCGTGCCCGATATATCTCGATTGCACAGGTCAGGATCCATCCGGGCTTCTGGATGTCAACACCATGCATCCTCATTCACGTTACCAGGATCTGCTGGGAAGTGAGAGGCCCGAGTATTTCCAAGAGAGCCATGAGTGCGAGAGTCCTGCTCCGTACTGGCGTGGCCATGAAATGTTTCCTTGCATTGATCCCCAACTTCACTCTCTTCGAATGGGCGACACACACAACAATGCCCATTATCCCGGATCGATTGACGCTCACCGTTTCTTGACCGCCTATGATCCCATTGCCCATGGCTTTAGCCCCCCTTACCAACGCCATGAATCCGAAAGTGTGCTCTTCCAACTTGGTGTTCTCAACCCCTGGAACGACAATTTTGACGAGTGTCGACACCTCCGTTATCTGTCGCCGACCGATCCTTGGGGAAACACCCTATCCAGCACCGAGTCTTCTGTCAGCGATTATACTCTCAGCCCAGATGTTGTGCGACGCTCCCACGATTTTCCTTTCCCCCAACGGAATCGGGAGTTCGATGGCCCTTCAGTCGGGGCGTCGTCAGCCATCAGCCACTCCTGGCCGCCACAACCTTCTTTTGTGCCCACGCTCCCCTCCCCACCGATCCCGTCCAGTCATCCTCCATTGAGCATGAGAGACCTCCAAGTCACGAGAGACCCAGAACCTGTCGAAGAACCCATGGACGACAAAGACGCCCTTCATCACAAACTCCATCTCCCCGAAGAGCTCGAGTTGTCAGAACAGGCCATGAGTCCTGCTGATTCTGGCCTGGGACAGTCGATTCACGACGACGACGCCGTCAAAGACGAGGAGAATGATTGTGGAGCTCGCGAGAGCGACAACGATTCCGAATTCCTCCCGGCTCAACGTACCCCACGTCGCAGTACCACCGTTCGGCGCCATTCATTGCGTTCACCGCGCCGCCAAGCTCCCCGAGCAGTCATCGACCCAAGTTCGAGGGTCCAGAAGCCCTCTCACAACCGCGGAGCCTTAGTCCACATGTCACGATCCAAAGGCAAGAGACAGACCGTGAAGAAACTAGCTCCAGGAGCCAAGTCCTTCCCCTGCACCTTTCACCACTATGGCTGCAGGGCCTCCTTCGCTAGCAAGAACGAGTGGAAACGTCACGTAGCATCTCAACACCTTCAGCTGGGATTCTATCGCTGTGATTTGGGATCTTGTGCACCAGAGGTCGCCCGAAACCAGCACAAGGGATACAACGACTTCAACCGCAAGGATCTCTTCACGCAGCACTGTCGCAGGATGCACGCGCCATGGGTCGGGACGAAGAAAAGCGCGGAGAGTGTGACGAAGAAAGAGAGAGACAGCTTCGAAAAGCAACTCGAGGACATTCGAGCCCGTTGCTGGATTGACCGCCGCAAAGCTCCCGCCAAGAGCAAATGTGGGTTTTGCGGCCAAACATTCGAAGACCCCAAAGGATGGGAAGAGCGAATGGAACACGTCGGCCGACATCTCGAAAGAGATGGTTCCAAGATTGAACAGGAAGAGGTCGATGACGGTCTCAAGCAATGGGCCATAGCCGAGGGTGTTGTGCGACCGGGGAGGAGGAAGGGCGAGTGGTGGCTTGTCGGGTTTGAGCCGGAACCGAATCGGACACCGCGAGGGCAAAGAAGGAGCAGAAGACTCATCGTCGAGCATGAAGAGTCAGCCGAGGAGGAGAATGAAGAAGACACGGATAATGACGATGAAGAAACAGAGGCAGAAGACGAAGACAGCATCGAGGTGCACCGAGGAGACGTTCCGATGGAGACTGATGATAATGATGACTCTGACTCCGACGATGCCGATGTCGATGCCGACTCCGAAACCGACGCCGAGGCAGAAGAAGACTGAAAAGGGATTCCTCCCACCATTTTCATTTATTTCCTTATATGAACTGGATAGTATTTGATGAAGCTTATGACGGACATAACAGAATGGCCGTGAGGGGCTTGGGAATTAATTACTCGTCACAGGAAAATGGACATTTTATCAAAGCGGGCCAGCTTGAGGGTGGCATTGGAAAGGGAAAGTTGGACAAAATGCTGAACAGGTATGGAGTGAAGGACTTACTGATACCATATATATTTTGGTTGACACGATAAAAATGTGTACCTTACCTCAAAATATGGTACCAAGGCTCACCCGAGAAATGTCAAGTTTTGATTGGCGATCAAACTCAATTCGTGAGCTCCCTCGACAGCAAACCCACTCCTTTTTCTCATTCAAGCTTCTCCGCGACATACGATCCCAATGCTTATCATCTCTCAGGCTGGATCTCAAGATACAGTACCAACATTTGCCCATCTCTTTCTTGGTCTCTGGATCCCTGTTTCAGCTCATGACGCTCTTTATTGTGTCGCCTGTCTTCATGCACTTCTTTCTCTCCCGCTTCTGCTCATCTCCCCATCCATCTTACCACATTCTTTCCTGCAGGTTAGCTGGATCTGTAATTTTTACTTCTTGCGTTCGATCGAACAACCATACGCCACATCCAAACATCCAAACAAATTTCAACACTAGAAAATGATATCTCAAGTCAATTTCCTCATCCTCACGACAACAGCCCTTGCCATCCCCCCACAGCGGTAGCGGCAACCACCACAGACACTAGACGAAGCCTTGACAGAATGGAAGGCATGGGCACATCCTACATACATTTAGCTCAAACAACGTGACTTAAGAGTCTTGCAGAACGCCGCCATAAACGGGCTTCGAGTGCACGTCCGGAGAGATGTACACTTTGCCTGCCAAATGCGCAAAGACTGACTAGGTGCCCAAGGAGTACTGTTCGGGCTAGTTGAGGACTTGCTTGCTGGGAAGCCGATTTCACCCAATACCCGTGAGAAATGAAGTTCATTATTAACTAAGCTAGAAGCCATCATCACCCAGTACATGAAAAAATTTGGCCCTGGGCGCGCGCCTGCTTGCTAAGGCACAAGAAAGGCACACACTCAAACAAACATAGGCAATGAATCCCATGAATTAATTTTGCTCATCATCCCTATTCCGTCCATCCAACCAATCCAAACCCCGTCTGAGACTGAATGTTCTTCGAGTCCTGGGTTCCTTGTACGCTTCAATGCCCGAATATCCTCTCGCCGGAGCGCTACCATAATGCTGAACGCCGTCGTCGGACGTAAAATTGTTGCCGGTGATACCGTTTCCCCTGAGTTGCGGCGAGGGTTGAGCACTGTCGTCGTAGGGTCTCACGCCGAAGAATCGTTCTTGTTTACTCAAGCGGCGTGATGGGATGCTGGATGTTGCGGCAGTCGACGAAGGAATGGTGTTGTCATAGTCTTGCCCGCTGGCATTGACATTGGTGCTATCGCGTGAATCTGTGGTGTAACTGCCGCTAATGTTTCTGGCGGTCGACGCACCTCGATTCATTCGGGCAGACGGACCGTCAGAAGACGATATAGTTAGGGAACGACGAACGCTGGGATGCGGCGCGGGTTCAAGACTGTGGCTTGGTGGGGGGGGATGTTCAGTGTCGTAGAGCATATCGTGATTCGGTGGACTCGTCATATTATGTGACATCTGATACTCAGCCTGCTTGGGTTGAACGGCGGATGAGGAACGCACGGCGCTGCCGGGTTGCTGCCATCGTTGAGGTTGTGACGCAGGAGCTCCGGTATTGGGTTGGACGTCATGATCTTCCTCCGAGTCACTGAAGTACTCTTCCTTCTTCTGTTTACGACTGCCGAAAAGACTGAATCTTCGTCGGGGCGGTGGTGCTTTAGGAATATCGTCTCCTTCGCTATAACTCTCTTCATCGCTAGGTGCCGCGTTCCAGGTATCTCCTTGCTGTCCACCGGTCTTCTGAATCCGTTTCCCACCCAAACCGATTCGGTTCAAGAGGGTTGGCTTTCTCTGCGCACCTGTGGCCTCGTCAAGTTTTTCACGGTCAGAGCTCCCGTCGTACCAGAGGGCGGGAATGAGTAAACGATAAGGCATCGTGATTCCAGACGGATCTTTCGGATTGACCTCCACATTCACAACCACATCCAGTCCTCCCTCTAGATTGACGTCATCGTTAACGTCAAATTCATTACCGTCGGCGTCAATGGCAAGGATATTGCCCTTCTTCGCAGCTTTTTCGGACCAGTTGGTGGGACGACGTTGGAACAAACCCGGTCGGATCGGAGTGCCTGATGAATTGTAATCCAAAGAGGCGGCTCGGCGATGGAGAGGCGCTTGGAAATCAGTTGAGGATGGTCGAGAGCCGGAAGCATTTCTGTCTTGAGACAATGTGGCTCCATTGGGTTGAATCGCGCCGTCATGAGATGCGGAACGACCTTGATCATACATCATGTCACGATATGAGGTGGGCGGTGCATTTCGTGAACTCAATCTGCGGACCAACGTTCGAGGATGGAAATTTTCCTTGGAGAAGGAGAATCGACGAGGACGGGTTTCTGGAATATCGTCCTCTTCTCCAATGTCTGATTCTGCCGGTGGAGATGGCGGAGGAGTCAAACCAGGCATGTACTCTCGAATCGAACACCAATTGCGTCTCGGTAGCAGGTGTTTATTGTTTCGATTCCTGTTGTCGACATCATGTGTGAACATAGGAATCATGTTTTCATCAGTGTACTCGTCCAAATGATGCGTCTTGTTGCGCTTGTTGAGGATGTCGGCCAACATGTCTGAAGGCGGAGCGTTGACAATCGCCGAAGATATCACATTCGGCATGTATCGATGGTCTCGGTCTTTCGGAATCTTGAGCTTGGGATTCGAGTAGAATTGGCCGACTGCAGCAAGATGAACATCACCACTCAAGATGGTAATTCTGCAGGATTTCTCGGCGGCGAGATCTTGCAGGTCTTTAATGAATTCGTTTCGTTCTTGCTTGTGGCTGGTTGCCGTCCAATGATCGTCCAGATCGTCTAGGATTTCAACTCCACCGTCGAACTTGTTCAGGAACCCTTTTTTCAAGATCCCAGCTTTTCCCAAGGCTTTGACTGGATCCATAAGTCGATTGGTGAGGACGTTCTCCAACCAGACCAGACGGGGATAGGCAACGGGAACTCCGAGCAAGACGATCAGGTGTTTGGTTTCTCCTTCGATTAATTCTTTTCGGCATCGCTCGAGAACGATGTCCAGGGTATCAACACTGAGAACTTCACCACGCATTCGTTCTGTGCGGCAGTCCAAACCGAGAAATGCGACGTGCTTACCCATGTGCATGAACACACTCCTGCTGAGTTGTTTGATGTAAGGGCCGGGCTCTCGGCCTAGCAACCAGCTGGGCTCATGAGCCGTCGTCTCTTCCGCGACACTCTGATGTTGAAAAAGCATGTAGTACTTGAATGCGACATTCCCCAGTCCCGTGAAAACCGGAGTCTCCATGAAGTGGTGAGGGTAAGAACCGAATCCATCGATAATATCATGGTCGTCCCAAATATTCACCATCGGTATTTGACTCGCCGCCATGGCGAAGAGGCCTTGTGAGAACCACAGAGCATATCTGTTCAGATAGAAAGTTTCGAGCTCTTCTTTCATTTCATTCGAGAATGGGGCGTGGTGCTTGCGGGCGGGATTTCTCATTTTCGTCCACTCGCCAAAATGTTGAGTCTCGAGCACCACACGATCATTATATATCTGATCGCCGCCACCAATCATGACGTGGAACGGACGGGTTTGGTGAGTGTTGAGAACATCTCGCCACATAGGATCGGGTCCACTGAAATGGTCAGGATTGACAGAGAGGCTGAACCCGTTGCACGTATGAAACATGATATTCATACTTTGACCCCGAGCTTGAACCCAGAATCCAACGGCTGGGCCACGATTGATCCGGTATCCAATGTGCTGTTGTTCATGACCCAGCTCTATCTCCAGATTGAATCGCCAAAATGTCACATCTCGGTCGGGATCGGCGTACAACCTGGCGCCCGTCACTTCTTGATATCTTCCCAATCGTTCTCCATCCATGTCGAGAGTTCTTTTGTTCGGAGTGGTGTGTGGATCTTTGAAATCCAGAGGACTGGGCGTGCTTTCGAAGAGGCCGTCATCATTTTCCATCTGTGAGAGATCTTTGCCTTCTTCGAGGTGATCAACAGGACGAACGTACAATGCGCGCCCTGTCCTTGAGAGTTTGATCAAGCCCGCAATGGGGTCGACATATTCGGGATTGAGTTCATCTCCAGTCACCTGATGAGGCGGAGGGGGGAGCAATTTCTGCGGTTGTGAAAAGAGGCGCAACGTGGGTGCAGAATCGTAGGATGAGTGTGAATCTTGTGTTACGATCAACACACTGCCTCGCCAGAACTCGCGTTCGTCACCCTTCTCGGTCTTTTCTCGCTTCATGCCTGTGTATTGGAGTAATGGACCACATCGGAGATAGAGCTTTGGTTTAAATTCAGCCGTCTTATCGTCAATGGGCCCATCAAACGCAGCTTGATCCGACATCCTCGTTGACCTGCTTCGTCTGCGTCCTGATGACGATGGTGCCTGCTCCCACCATGCCTTGTTCCTGTCCACTGGCGTGGCTGTTTCCGTGGATAAGTCGGCAGCAGTGAGTTTGGCGATACCAGCTTCTTTCCATTCATCCACAGGACGGCGATTGATAGGCTCTTTGAAGGAGACGCTTGACTTTCGTTGTCTTTGACGCGTCACATCGGCCACCTTTTCGGCGGGTGACCGTGGACTGCTGGGATGCGGCGATGATTGAAGGCCTAGACCGATTGGAGGTGTGTGTGGTCGTTGTTGAGATCGAGATATGTCAACATTTGGATCGTGAAGGCCTCGATCATATGTCTCCGGCCTCGTAGTTGCAGCCGTGGTAACTGTGCTGGGGACTGGTATTCGGCTTGGTGTCTTGCCCGTCAAAGCCGTGCGTCGTTCAGCAGTAACAGGTGGGGCCTTCTGAAGTTTTCGAGAACCACTTCGTGTAACGCTCGCGGGACCGTCCACGCCGGTAAGCTTCTCCAACGCCGCTTTATGAGATGCATTTCTCTGACGCTCGGAGATGTCACCCCGAACAGGGCCATGTGCTGCTTGAGTTCGAGGAGCACGGGAAGAAACTTGGTTGGGAGGCCCATCCGCTGGCCGGCCTTCCGCACTTGTGGGTGTTGTGTCACGCTGTTTCCGGGATAGGGCTCCTGGAGCTCGATCCTGTCTAGGGATTTCTTCTTTTCGATATTTGCCACTTGATTGACGAGACTGGCTGGCAGAATCGGGATGCATTGGACTTGACGCGCTGTAGTCGAAACCTGGATGTCCTTCTCCAGACAAACTTCTCACGTCAGGCCGATGATTGTCAACGGTAGTGCTGTGCTGCAGACGCTGTCGTTGGGTATTGCTGAGGTTGCGAACCAGACCCGCATCCTCCAAGGTAGGGGTTTCTGGCTCAGGAACGCGATCTCGTCTGGATGTAGATCGTCTGGTGGAAAAAGAAGCCTTCGGGAGTGGGTTTGTTTCTCTAGACGACTCGACAGCCTCATGCGCCGCTTTGGCCCCCCGTTCTCGTAAAAGCATCTCAGCCTCTTGAACCCGAGCACGCTTCTCTTCTTTGCTAATATCGCTGAGTGTGACTTCCAACTTTTGAAGCGGTGAACGATCAGGTGCCCAATCCCGTCTCTGAGCCTCCTCTCGAAAGGCGCTCGACCTGCTCACAGCAGACATTGGTTCTTCAGTGCGCCGAGGCGTATCTGAAATGCGTCGAGGCTTTTGAGTGAACTTGTTTGGATCGGAACTCATTTCGCGGGCAGACGGAATATCTCTTCTTGGTGCTCCCGTCGCCGCAGGGCCATTGATAGCCGTCGTGTTCAGTGTCAAGCCATCCGTCGGCGCGGGCTTTCGAGAAATCGCCGCAGGGACGTCCCTACGGACCGGGTCGGATGTGATGCGAGCTTGAGGCCTGACGTTTTCTTCCAGGAATTCGTCATCCATGTCTGCAAATGCTTCTCGGTGGAATGGGCGTCCCTTGGCTCTTTGAGAGAATGACCTATGAATATTCCCTTCACCTTGACCCAAAGCTCGGTAGGAAATCGGCGGTCCACGAGGAACTTCAGGCGCGGCAGGAGGGTTCTGGACCGATGAACTGAGGCTCTCAGAGAACGAGCGCGTCTCTTGTCCCACGCTGCTCCGACGATTGGTCCCATTGCTTCTGGACCGGGACTTGGTTTGGTCAAGGATATGATCGAGAGCCGGATCGTTGTAGAGCTCGACCTGGTTCATCGAGGAGGCCATCGCATTGGAGATCAGGCCGGGAAGAACGCCACAACGGCAGGGTCGATTCTCTAGGGCTTTTCACAGACAAGGGAGGAATCCATGAACAAGAAGAATCAGATCAATGAATGCGTGGGAGCACCGAGGAAAAGAAAAGGCTGCAAAGCGCGGGCTGGAGAAAGATGTCATGCAGCTAGCCGAGAACTAGCATTGACATGAAGCTATATAATGATAGCATTATGTACAAGAAGAGTTGAGGATAGATATCTTGACCAACAAAAAGGCGAAGCAGATGAAGACGCAGACGTAGTGAATAGGCCCATCTTTGGGTGTGGCTGGTAACAAGCTGGCGATGACCACGTCGATGAACGAACATTGCGACACAAATGCACCAAACAAGGGGCCTATTGGCCGTCGCAGTACGTAGGTTCTTGGACACAACGACAACGACGATTCGCTGGTTACTTACCGGGGGGGCCGGGCCGAAGATAGAGAGTCTCGCAACCTAGACAAATGGCGCTGGCTCCCGCTAAACCTGCTTACCTGAACACTTGTTCATCATTCTAACTGGCCCTCCGGACTCCAGTAGAAATAGAACTTGGTCCGCAGGCAAAAAACTCATGGCCTTTCAGGACAGAAAGGAATCTCTTCCTTTGCCTGTGAACTTTGACGGTCTTCCCTAGTATTCCTTTCGCTTCTTGGTACGACTCTTTCTCTCATCGATGGAGCAGTGTCGCTGCTAGCCTGCCCAGCAAATTCAACGTTTCACGCTTCTTCTATCTGCGGTGTCACATTGCCTTTCGCTGTGCGAATTGAATTGCGTCCTACACAACGCCAGCAGGATATATACTACGGTTGTAACCTGTCTTGACCATATTCCTCCTGACCACGACGACGTCCGACTCTTCACGGCCGAGTCCATCAATAGACAACTGCGACGATATACCAGAAAGTCAATTTTTACGAGATCGTCCTATTGGCTGGCAAGGCATGCCTGTAACTTCTTCGGTGACCTTCCTCTGACATCTTTACCATGCGGTTGCCCTCATGGCTTTCCTTGTTGCTTTTGGCCGGGTCAGTCAGCGCTGCTTCGCGCGACTACGAAAAGAATGACTACTTCGCTATTCATCTCGATGCAAAATATGTCCCTCAGGAGGTGGCTCGTCGGTTAGGTGCTCAATATGAAGGACAAGTTGGGGAATTACCACATCACTATACCTTCTCTTGCCCGAAAAACTCTTGTCAGGACCTTGAGGACTCTCTGCAAGAACTAAAAAGGCGAAAGAAGCGAAAACGATGTGGTTTGGACCCGAGAGACGCGCAATTCTCCAAAAGAGAGATCAATGTCGATCTGGAGGGCGTTTTGTGGTCTGACAAGCAACGGCTACGGCATCGCCATGTCAAGAGGATTCCTCCACCACCTTTTTCGGTTTCTCGTGCAGGGCAGGGTGCAGACGACGCGAAGTCTGATCAAGAGACGGACCAAGCTCAGCAAGAAGCCCTACAACGTCTCAACTCCATCGCCGAAGCTCTGGAGATCAAGGACCCCATTTTTAAAGAGCAATGGCATTTGTTTAATCCCTTGCAGTTGGGACAGGACTTGAATGTGACTGGCGTATGGCTGGACGGCGTCACTGGCAACGGGACCATCTCCGCTGTCATTGACGATGGTCTTGACATGCACAGCAATGATCTCAAAGCCAACTATTATGCAGAGGGCTCTTACGACTTCAACGATAATTCTCCCGAACCCAAGCCTCGGCTGTTTGACGACAAACATGGTACTCGATGTGCCGGTGAGATTGCCGCAGTTAGAAACAATGTTTGTGGGGTCGGGATGGCTTACGACAGCAAGATCGCGGGCATCAGAATTTTGTCCAAGCCGATCAGCGATGAGGACGAGGCGACGGCAATCAACTACCACTACCAAGAGAACCAAATCTACTCTTGTTCCTGGGGTCCACCGGATGATGGTGCCACTATGGAAGCTCCTGGCATTCTAATTCAACGAGCCATGGTCAATGGTGTGCAGAGCGGCCGGGATGGATTGGGATCTGTCTTTGTCTTTGCTGCGGGCAATGGGGCTGCCAGTGAGGACAATTGTAACTTTGACGGATATACCAACAGTATCTACAGTATCACGGTCGGCGGAATTGACAGAGCTGGCAATCATCCATACTACTCGGAAGCTTGCTCCGCACAACTTGTGGTGACTTATAGCTCCGGTCATCAGGATGCTATCCACACAACCGACGTCGGCGCCAACAAGTGCTACAATGGCCACGGAGGCACCTCTGCTGCCGGACCACTCGTGGTTGGCGCTGTTGCCCTCGTGCTGAGCGTCAGACCCGACCTTACTTGGCGAGACTTGCAGTACCTGTGTGTTGAAACAGCCATTCCCATACACCTGGATGATGGCAGTTGGCAGAACACGACCATTGGTAAAAAGTTCAGTCATACGTATGGGTATGGAAAGATTGACGCCTATCGATTTGTGGAGGCTGCGAAAACGTTCGAATCCAGGAAGCCCCAAGCCTGGTTCCATTCACCCTGGCTCAGCGTTCAGCACAAAATTCCAGAAGGCGATCAGGGACTGGCTGCCACCTTTGAGGTTACCGAAGGGATGCTTAAGAACGCCAACTTGGAAAGACTCGAACATGTCACTGTCACCATGAATGTGGAACATACTAGAAGGGGAGATCTGAGTGCCGACCTGATCAGTCCAGACGGGTTAGTTAGTCACCTCGCCACCAGTCGTCGTCCAGATGGTGCTACTCAAGGTTACGATGACTGGACATTCATGTCCGTAGTTCATTGGTGAGTCCATGCTTCCAAAAAAAAAAAAAAACTGTTATTCGAACCCTGGGCGAACTAACACAGGTCGTAGGGGCGAGTCTGGAATAGGTAACTGGACGGTCATTGTGAAAGACACCAAGGAAAACGAATTCAATGGCACCTTCATTGACTGGCGCCTCAATCTTTGGGGTGAATCAATTAATCCCCAAATTCAGGGCCTCCACCCTCTTCCCGATGAGCACGATGATGACCATGAAACTGCTACTGCCGCAGTCAGCACGACCAGTATCGAAGCAGAAAGCGAACCCACTTCACTTCCGGCAACACCTACAGATCATATTGATCGACCTACGAAGCCGAAGCCAAGCGACGCAACAGGCTCGATTGCTATTGTTACGACCACTACCACAGTATCGGTGCCGGCCGCAACAACCACAATGGTGGCTGAGCCGACGCATACCTATTCAGAGAGCTTTCTTCCCTCATTCTTCCCTACCTTTGGCGTTTCGAAGCGAACGCAAATCTGGATCTATGGTTCAATAGGACTAATCATCGTCTTTTGCGCTGGTCTCGGAATATACTTTTTAGCCCAGCGACGGAAGAGACTGAGGAACAATCCACGTGATGCGTATGAGTTTGAAATGGTTGGCAACGCAGATGATGACGAGCAGCAAGGCTTGAACTCTCGAGGAGCACGCGGTAAGGGTAGAGCTCGGCGTGGAGGGGAGCTTTATGATGCATTCGCGGGCGAGAGTGACGATGATCTCTACAGCGACGAAGAAATATATCAGGATACCCCTAGCAATGACACTGGAACAGGATCCAGGTCTGGGAGTTCCGAAGGGCGGGAAACATAAAGCTGCACAAGGCGTTTGAGACCGGGCTTTCTGGCATCAAAAACAGGGGCAATGGCGGTGATTATGCCCCTGGTGTATAGTATTTTTATGACGGAGGAAATACCAGCACCATGGAAATGGGAAGGTTTTTAAAAAGGATTGACCTGGTGTGCTTCGCAATGACAATTGACCACAATTTTCCAAGTCTCGCGTTCGCGTGCTGAGAGACTCTCTCTTCAAGGCGGACAGCCTCATGCACTGACTGATGACGAATGATGCTTCAATATCGTGAAAAGTTGGCCCGGTCACTACAAGCCCGCAGGGGCGGGCACAAAATTTACGACTTGACGTGACATTACAAAAACGCAGGGTGCACCTGGAGCCGCAAGCACTGCTTGCTTTCAACAACGGCGGGCTCAACTGCTATCAGGACCAATCCTTCCATTAGCCACAGATGAACATTTACATGACAACTGCAATTGCAGCATCATGAGCCCTACAATCCATCACATATCATGGTGGCCGGCTCCAGGTCGTCATTGAGGCGTCCTACGTTACGAGGTCACAAGTCATCCAGGTCGAGCAGTCCGCTAATCGACCACACGCCACCTCTGCTTCCGCAATCCGGCGACGGTGGAACTGCGCTGCGATCCAAACGCGTCCGCACTTCTACCATCTCTGGACAAGAACAAGATCTGAAAAGACGTCGTCTGTCGACCAACAAGAACGAAATACCCCAATTACGCATCCCGTTACGAAGTCGAAGGGGCGTACACAGAGGCGTCTCCCCGTCCCCGGGGCCTGCCCCCGAAGCTTCGCTGCCCACGCTACACACAACCAAATCATCTCCCGTCAAACCAACCGACTCACCCAGCGGCAAACCACAATATGACCAGATTCGAATCATTGAAGAAAGAGCCAGGGCTTCAATTCGAGGAGGGCCGTTGTCTGCGCCTCAGGATGAAAGACGAAAGCTTCGATCTGAGGATGGAGGGTCCCGGGCGAAGACGGAGCTTGCACAGTATTTCCCAGAATTCGAAGAGATGCTCAGCTTGAAGCCCCCAGATCCAGGTCCAGTCTTCTTCCCACCTGCTTGTGTGGCACGACTAACACCCACCAGAAGCATTAACTGTCCGGACCAGAGTCATCCTCGTGGATGATACTCCTGACTTCAAGCCGCATCCCCCCAAGCCTGACCCATTTGGCGCCCAGAGGCCATTGCACAAGACAGATATCATCCATCTGAGCCGGCGTGGCGTCTCTTCCGAGGCCGTTTCCAGTGATCCTTTAGGTGAAGACGCGTATCTCAAGATACACGGGAAAGCCGAGAGACATGAGAAACAAATGAAAAATGGTGACAGGGAGAAAGCACAACATGAAAAATATCAACTGGAAAAGCTTCTAGAAGACCTCCGCGGACCAGACTGGTTGAGGACCTTGGGAATCACTGGCATCACGGAGACGGAGAAGAAGCGATATGAGCCCAAGCGATTGCTGTTCATCCGAGAGACTCAAGCATTGATCGACAAATTCAAAAGATGGAAAGAGGAAGAAAAGCGACGAAAGCTAGAAAGAGAACAGGCACTTTTGGAAGAGGCTATGGAAGAGGATGACGAAGCCGACGAAGAAGAGGGCAGCGCCTCGTCAGTCGAGGAAGGAGAGAGTGTTGACAGTGAGTCGACGCAAGCAGCAAATTCAAGTGAAATCGACGCGCTTGCATCCAAACAGCTCATCGAAGAAGCAAAGAATGCCCACAAACGGAAAAAGCCCGTGGAAGTGTCAATGATACCGCCTCCCCCCAAGCCATTTGTCTCTTTTTTTGATAAACGACACCTGCGAGATGCCGCGGTGGCTGGGCGTCAACGTGGACGTACTATCTTAGCATTCGGAAAACCTGTTCCTGAGTTTGCAGAGACGGATTTCGAGCTGCCGGACGATATTCTTACAGAAGAAGCAATCAGAGCAAGCCAACGGTCACGCAGACGACTGCGTCGGGGACTCGATGAATGAACAGTCAGAAGGTTTATTCCTTCCATCTTAAGTTGTGTACAGTATGAAAACAACAAGATTACGGGTTGGGAACAATGGCTAGGTCAGAAGCATGTCTATGCTTCGCGGAGTCCTTTTGGATTGGGTGTCGAACATTTCCTTAGCTGGCGGGTTTCTTGGGCCAAAGACGGGTCAATTTACAAAAAATCTCGAGTGATCCATCCGGAGGATTGATATTATGTTTTCGAATGGTTGGGAAAGGAAAAGGAAAACAAAGGTAATTGTCGTGCAGCCTCCACTTTCCAAAGGAGGGAAGTTAAGCATCCATACTATAAACATTCAATTAAAACCCTACATCTACCGAAATTGTTTACGTGGTGTCGCCCCCTTCCCATTGCGATGAACCCTTCCTCTCCCAAGTGATTCCACTTCGGTATGACTGTTTCAGCGGTGGCCCTTTCTGCTGGACGGAGCGATGCTAGTGTACAGGGGTGTAGATCAATACGACTGAAGGATTCTTCGCCTCGGAAGGCCATGCAAGTTGGTTTTGAGTGCCAAAGGTCCGAAGCACGTGGAAGGCTGTGATGCCGAAGAAGGGTGGGTTAGCCAAGGATCGGCGACGGAGAATAGAAAATGGGGGATGGTGGGAAACTTGAATCTTGTTCTAGTTCCAAATTTGGGGGTCCAAGCCTCTGCCTCAGCCGCAGCACCATCGCCGCCAAATCGCAGGTTGCCCTTACCAAGTGCTGACTACGGGAAACGAGAGGAGTGTCTTTCTCTTCCTTCGAGTCAATTTCATACCATGGCAGAGTTTGTGATTCCTTCACTTAGCGATATTGAGAAGGTGGAGAGCGCCTTTGCCATTGTTCCCTCTTCAACCTCGACCATTGTACCTTTCGGTAACCAAATTCACTGAGCTCGAAGTCCAACCATTCATTACGCACGCCTACTGTTCGTTTCATTCCTAGTACAGTCACTCTTTCAGAAAATGTTTCTACGCCTTCAGCCCTCTGACATTTAAGAGCTTCATAAATTCACTCTTGCTTTCCTACCTCCTGCGTAAGAGGTAACCGTCCACAAATCCTCACTATTGATCGGCGATGGCGAGGGGTTTGCGGCGTGCATGCGCCGTCGCAGGCTTCTGCTTGATCCAGAGCATTGCAGGAATGGTCGTCACTGCTCCTCCAAGGGCACTCGAGCCTCGATCAACGGGCACCCCAACATCCAGCAATATCGCTTGTGGATGGGCTTCTAGCGCATCGAGTGCCTATCTGGCTGCAAAACCCGAGGGTGAGTCCAGACTCCTCTGCGTTGAACTTGGAGTTAACAGTCTCAGCGACTGGGGTCATAATAGATGCCGAACTGGCATATGAATGCCTGAAATCGGTCCCAAATTACCAAGAACCTGCAATGGACCTCCTGAACTCATTACGAACCTTCCTCGAATTCCAGAGCACCAAAGAGTATTTGCGAGACCCTCCATCAGGATTTCTTTTCCCGGCTTTGGACCTGGACCTTGAGTGGGACAACATACAGAAGAAGGTGGAGGGAGGCGAGTACGAAAGCGAATATGATATGCAAATCGATATTGTTTCATTATTAAATTCAGCACGCGATGGCCATTTGCACTGGGAGGGTGACGTCGTGGGCGCTTTCACATTCATTCGAAATATTGGAAATGGGTTGGCAGCTGTGTCCTCCGACGGAGAACAGACACCACAGGTGTACCTTGTTGGTACGTGTTCCGTGGCGTATGCTTTTTGTGACAGTCCAGACTGACCGGTGAGACAGATGATCTGATCACAATAGACTCCGAGTCACAGAAAGTTCTCCCGGTTACAAGTTACACACCATCACCGGTGGAAAGCATCGACGGCGTAGACGTCGTGTCTTTTCTGTTGACCCAGTCTCTGGATGCGCGTTCTCAGGATCCTGATGCACTATGGAACCAACTTTTCTTCTCGCTGGGTCGACCGTCCTATCAGACTTTCCAGATCCCCACGTATTATCCAGGGACTTCAACAAATATCACTCTCGCAAATGGAACCACGCGTGAATATCCGAACGTCGCAACGGTGAATGTTCCTTTGGATGGGTTGGCAACTGGGGATGATGCCTACTCTGCGTTTTGCCCCGGAGCCTTTGAGTCTGTGACTGCGATCCCTTCCAGCAGCGCAGCAGCTACCTCCACGTCAGCATCGCCAAGTGCGCCTACCATCCCCGGTTACCCATACCCGGTAATCAAGCACAGCGCAGGCTCCGTGGCAGGCTACTATCTGAATGACACTGGCTTTACTGACGTCGCTGTTCTGCAAGTGAGAGAGTTCCAATCGGCCACGGATATTTCCTTGGACTACGAGAGAGAGTTTCAGACCGTCGTACAAAAGTTTCTCGACGCTGCCGTGAGAACGGGGAAGAGAAAGTTGATCATAGATCTCCAGGGTAATTCAGGTAGGTCCTCGGGTGAAGCATTTGTTTTGGCCTTGATTTTGACGTCGCTTTTAGGGGGGCTAGTTGATCTCGGCACCGATTTGTTCGCCCAACTTTTCCCATCAATACCGCCGAATTCAAAATCAAACATGCGAGACAACCTTGGATTCTATATTCTGGGAAGCATTGCGTCGAATAATATTACAGACGCGGAGAAAACTTCCGATGAAGATCTTGCCGAAAATCTTTACGTCCCGCTTGCCTACCAGACGGTGGTAGATCCCGACATGCGACACTATCCTGATTTTCAATCCTTCTACGGCCCCTACGAAGTTTACGGAGGCAAATTCTCGGCGTTTTTCCAAAACAACTACACCGATCCTAATTCTTCTGACTTTGCAGGGCAAGGAATCATCATTACGGGAACAAACAACCGCACTGGGTTCCGCCAGCCTTTCGCTCCCCAGGATATTGTGGTGCTACTCGACGGGCTTTGTGCCAGCACCTGTACCGTCTTCTCAGAATATCTCAAGAGTTACGCCAATGTCCAGTTCATCACCGTCGGCGGTCGACCACAAACGGGACCCATGCAGGCAGTGGGTGGTGTCAAGGGCGTCCAGGTCTTCCCATTCGATACGACCATCACACCCTGGTGGGTCGACCTGTACCAGAGTCCCCAAAATACCCTCATGGACCTCGCCAATGGGTCGATCTGGGAGAACTTTACATATCTGCCTGTACTGCGCGAGTTTAGGTATGCTGGAGGTGGAGTCAACGGACGCAACCATTTCCGGATTGGCGATAAGACCGAGACGCCTCTCCAGTTTGTGTATGAAGCAGCCGACTGTCGGATGTGGTGGACTCGAGAAATGCTTTATGATCCCACATTTCTCTGGGCGCGTGTGGCAAACATGGCCTTCCAAGAGAGAAGAGGAACACAGTTCAACTCGAAGTATTGCGTCAAAGATAGCACAGGACATCCTACCAGTATATCTGGTGGCTGGAAAAAGGGTACCCTGGGACCTCAGACACCACCGAAGAACGCGAACGCTACCGTTCAGGGATGGAAACTTGAGGGGACTCCACTGGGACCCACCTCTTCAGACCAATTGAACACGACTTCGACGGAGACAGGGACCGTCATCGAGAACAACGCGCTGGCTGACACAGTGGCCGATAGCCCTGAGTTGACCTCGTTCAAGGAGGCATGCACGAGCTATACTGGCGATGCCTGGCTGGTGAAGCTGATGTGTGGAGCATTGGGCACCTAATTTGAGGATTTGGGGAACAAAAGGAATTTTGGATCTTTGATTTAGCCAGCGAGCATTGTTTGGAGTTTGAGGGAAATGTATTATTACCAGGCCGTGTGTGACTTGCCAGTGTCTCATCCCGACGTTGACGGACCTGAGGTAGTCGATTATACAAAGTACTTGTTGTGCTGTTGGGCAACCGAGAGATGCCCCCCAATGATTCGTATGGAGAGCGCTGAGAAGTCACGACCGAGCCCTGCGACGCCAATTGCTCCCCAATCAAGGACGTGGTAGGCAAAACATGATCAGGATGTGCCAGTAGGACGGACTGGGTCATCTTAGTCCCTCCAGCGCCTGAATTAGAGCCCCGTTGACCGTCGACGTCGCCACCGCCTCACTCGTTGACAAGCTGCCAAGCATTCCCGCGAGCCCACTACTTGTGTCGACAACTTCCACCTCCGAGAAACGCTGACACTCCCACCCGTCCACCGCACTCCATTTACTAGTTGCATCCCTGATTAGATCCCCCAAGGACCTTCGGTATCTTTCCAGATATCACTGCTTTAGCCATCATTAATCCACGCAAACCAGTCGGGCGGCCCTCTACAGTTTTGTGATTTGCCCCTTTTGATTGAATTGATTGACTCCTTTTCAACGCACTGCAAAGTCCACCGGGCTGTCCGCACCCGGTCAAACAATAGCTTTGACAATGCGGGCCATGGATAGCCACAGTTCTGCGCTACCCCATACGCAACACAGTACCACAGCCGACTCGGACGAAGAGGCGGACGTCTATGAATGGAAGTCGCGCGTGTCTGGTTTGCAGGACGATCCACGAACTCAGAAAACTCTCGCCTGGAAACCCTCCACTCTACCGCCCGAGGACAAGGACGAGCCGCATTCGAATACTCCGGACACCGGTGTCACTAACTCATCAGATGAGCTCCAGGAAGACGACCATGTTCCTCACCCATTCTACCACTATGCCACTGAGAAGCGTGATACTTATGCTGATGCCAAACTCATCTATCAACGCCACCGCATGGACACAAAATCCGAGAAGGAAATGGGTAGTCCAATGCTGCTCGGAAAGTCCTACACACTGCCCCCTTCGCTCGATGGCGACATGGCGTTGAATCGGACGCCCAGTCTTGCATCGAGACAATCTCGCCTCAGCCACCGCGGGAATGCTCCAAGTGGTTTCCAACTGGGGGCTTCCAAGGAAAGTTTCCCTGCGTTACAGACACACATGAATTTTCAGGACGCACGCCCCGATCCCACCCTGGTCGCCGACGCTGCCGCGCGGAGTCACAAGCGCCACCCGGGTCTGCCTCACGAATTTAAGGATCCCTTGCTTGCACATGAAGGCGTCCATGGTGCTGGTGCCGGTATGGGTCTGGGAAGTGGTCCAGGAGGACTAGCGCCGAATGAAGAAAGTATCGTCAGTGAAGTACAGGCGATCTGTGACAAGATAAAGACTTTACTGGATTTGAGGCAGAAGTACATCAAGGTCTCCCTCCAATGCCCGGGTGCGAACCCCAAAGACGAGGAAACTTGGGAGATTTACCCTCCTCCACCAAATCCGGTCTGGAACGAGCAAAAGGCCCGGGAGCCTCCGGCGAACTATATTCCTCCTAACAGCACTTCAAGCAGTCTCTACATGGCCGATATGAGGGCACACGGCAATGCCAGCGCCGGTGATCCGAACAAATGGTCAACGGGAGCCAGTCAGGCCGGATCTGAAAAAGGCCCGTCATCACCAACAAGCACCAAAAAGGCTCGAAAGGCCGGCCATGCGATTGGCGAAGACTTCGACCTGAGCGAGTGCATTATTCCAGGAGAAGAAGCCAAAAGCCTGCGGTTTGAGATGGATGCCGGAAGTGTCTTTCAGGTGTACCAGGACGATGATCAGCCCCTGGTTGCGGTGCCAACGTTGAGGGACTACTATATGGCGTTAGATACCATTCTGGACATTGCTTCGGATGGTCCAGCCAAAAGCTTTGCCTATCGCCGCCTGCAATACTTGGAAGGCCGATACCATTTGTACACTTTGTTGAATGAATACGAGGAAGTGGCAGACACCAAAAAGGTACCTCACCGTGACTTTTACAATGTGCGGAAAGTGGATACCCACGTGCATCACTCTTCATGTATGAATCAGAAGCATCTGCTGCGGTTCATCAAGAGCAAAATGAAGAAATGTCCAGACGAAGTGGTGATCGATCGAGATGGAAAGCGGTTGACCTTGAAGGAAGTATTTGAAAGTATCAACCTGACAGCATACGACTTGAGCATCGACACGCTAGATATGCATGCTCATACCGACTCATTCCACCGTTTTGACAAGTTCAACTTGAAATACAACCCTATCGGGCAATCCAGACTGAGGGACATCTTTCTCAAGACGGATAATTTCATCAAAGGCCGGTATCTGGCTGAGATCACTCGCGAAGTCATCACAGACTTGGAATCCAGCAAATATCAGATGGTCGAGTGGCGAATCAGCATTTATGGTCGCAACATTAATGAGTGGGACAAACTGGCGGCGTGGGTGGTGGACAATCGGCTCTTCTCCCATAACGTGCGCTGGCTCATCCAGATTCCGCGACTGTTCGCCTTGTACAAATCTATGAAAACGATGGAGAATTTCGAAGAGCTTTTGAGAAACATCTTCCAACCTTTGTTTGAGGTGACCCAAGATCCTTCGACCCACCCTAAACTCCATGTCTTCCTCCAAAGAGTGATTGGCTTCGATAGCGTTGACGACGAGAGCAAAGTGGAAAGACGACTGTATCGGAAGTACCCGGTGCCGAAGGAATGGAATACCAAACAGAATCCCCCGTATGGATACTGGATCTATTACCTGTTTGCCAACATGACTTCCCTCAATGCCTGGCGGAAAAGGAGAGGTTTCAATACATTCCTGCTTCGGCCGCATTGTGGTGAGGCTGGCGATACGGACCATCTGGCAGCAGCGTTGTTGTGTTGTCACAGCATCAGTCATGGTATCACCCTTCGCAAGGTTCCTTTGCTTCAGTACCTGTTTTACCTGGATCAGGTCGGAATTGCCATGTCACCCCTGAGCAACAATGCGCTGTTTTTGACATATGACCGCAATCCATTCATCAGCTACTTCAAGAAGGGATTGAACGTGTCTTTGTCGACCGATGATCCACTGCAATTCGCATTTACCAAGGAGCCATTGATCGAAGAGTATTCGGTGGCCGCCCAAATCTACAAGCTGAGCGCAGTGGACATGTGCGAGTTGGCAAAGCATTCCGTGGATCAGTGCGGGTTTGAATTGTCCTTGAAACAACGATGGCTGGGGAAATACTGCTATATACCGGGAGTGCTGGGCAACGATGTGGCCAAATGCAATGTTCCTGATGTCAGGGAGGCATTCAGGCATGAAACGCTGAAGGCGGAGCATGCATTCATTGCCAGATACACCAAGGACTACAGCCATTTTGACCGTTGCACCCCGGATCTCCCGGACCCGACAGATCCGGCTACACCGATCGAGGAAGTATACAAAGGGCTAGAGTCTCCCCGTCAGTACTACGCGTCCGTGTCGGATTCCATCCCACCCGCTCAAACGGCAAGATGGCCGCGGTCGAGGTCCAGCGCCAACATAGACGTGAATGGGGGTAATACTTCACCCGCGAGACCACGGACGACATCAAGCACCCTATATCCCTCACAGTCACACCCAGACGCACATATCTCTGGTCAAGAACCTCGCGCTTTCCCCGGACTAGTGCATCAACGAGAGAGGAGACGAAGCTTGAGAATCAGCTCGAGCAACTCGGACATGACCAGGCCGGATATGGCGTCGAGTTTGCAACTAGAACCAGGATTGGCCAAGATGAAGGTCAAGGAGGATTCGGAGCTGGCGCAGATAGAGCAATCAGACTAAAGGGATTATCATGGTGCCGGACCGCCTATGGCGAAGATGCCGACTGTTATGGGGGTAGGCATTTCGGGAGGAGGGACGGCGAGCAACGCATGACAGGATGGGTGAAACCTTGACGTCGGAAGAAATCGGAGGGTAGTTGAATGCAGGAGAAGAGCTGAGTTTCAAAAGAGTATGGAGGTGAGAGAAGAACAAATCTGGGGAATCCTGGAAAGCCAGTTGTTGTCGACTTCGAGCTACCTCGGGTTAATTAGCCCGAGCAAGCTGAGTCAGAAGGGGGGATTTTGGTTTTAAGAATGTTGAACTGCATGTTTGAGGCCAATCATGGACTGAAAATTGATTTGTGGATGTTTGCCTCATCGGTGATTCAATTTCTTCTGAAATCGGTGAGGGTGATTAACAGCTCCCGGTGTATGCCTAGGTAGGTAAAGATATGGCAGATTTAGGCGTTGAACAGCGAGGCTACGCCCCTACAAAGATTAGCTGATCTGGTTCGCGGGTGTGTCCCCAATGGTGGCGGCGGACTGATGGCTTTAGCCGTCCGTTAGCCTTACTCGCTGACTAGTGTCTGTGAGGGTCTCGAGTTTCTTTCACTTGTTCCTTTGCTCATTCTCGTCGTCGTTCTGTTGTGTCTTGTCGTCTACATCGGTGTCCGTCGATCTCACAAGAGGATTAAAGAAAATCTCCCCTGTCCCTCCGCATCGCTTGCTAGTCCTTCCCATCGCCGTCAAAATCAAAAAGTCCCGTGCGTCCTTCACGGCTCAAAGACAATTGACTATTGATCGCCCAATACCTACAGACCCTGCTACTCTGCAAACTCGAGCAAACTTGAATGTTCCATCTTCGTCCTCGTCCTCCAGTCATCCCCTCCCTCTCACGCCCGACTCTACCGCCCCTCCGCATACACCCGATCGATCCTCTCTCCCTCCCCGCATTCTGCGTCCTGGCGTTGTCCGCCTTACCTTGAATCCATGCTCGCGTGCTCCTAGCCAGGCAAAGCTCCTTCTCTCCTAGAAGGAACATGGCTTGAATCCGCCATATTGCCGACCTGCCTCTTTTTGAATCATGTCTCCTTCCCCGCTTTCGCATAGACGACTCAAGCCAGAACCTCTCGAGGCCACTGGAAGAAGCTCGAGGCGTGCTCTCAGCCCATCAGACCACCCTTCAGCCAGTTCTAAATCTGACAAGGCACGTCCCTTAAATACCGATTCCATGCCTCCTCAAACCAAACCTCGCAGGTTTCTACCTCAGCCGGTGGAGGAGAGTGTTAGGAGTTCTAGGAAGAAGAACGGGGAACATATAGAGGGCTCACCGGCCAGAGGAGGTTTTCTGGAGACTGCCGGTATAAACGCTCACTACTCTTACTCTGACGACCCGGTCTTCCCCGGCGTGCCGAATAGTAGACCTTCGACAACACCGAGACACTTTACACCAGAGCCGGTCGAGACTAGCACACGGACGTCGAGGAGGAAGTTCGCTCCCGAACCAATTGAGACAAGTACGAGGAAGAACAAGGACCAAAACACCGCTCAGGAGAACGAAGCTTCATCCAAACCTCGCCGGAAGTTTGCCCCGGAGCCAGTCGAAACCACGACAAGGAGTAGCAAAGACAAGGAGCCCCCAGACGCCGAAGAGATCCCGACGACACGCCCGCGTCGAAAATTCGCTCCAGAACCCATCGAGACCACGACGACGACAAGGAGGAGGCGCAAACCTGATCCTGAGGACGCGGATGAGGAACCTCCACTGCCTGCTGACTCCACTGCTTCCAGCAGAACCTCTTCTGGACCCCGTAAATTCTCACCCGAGTTGCTGGAGACTGCTAAGGGCTCCTACCGACGTGTCCATCTGCCTCCTCCCGAAGTCAAAAGCCCTTCACCCAGTCTGGCACAGCCCTCGCCGTCGGCGCCGGCGGGAGAAGAAGAGGTAGCGGACGAAGTCGGCGGACTGGAAGAGTCGAAGTTTTCGGCAGCAGCTCTTGCTCGAAAACATCCAGATGCCACCCGACAGCATTCTTTCATTGTTCCCGATTTGCCTATGATTGAGTCCACTACTGAAGATGAATCTTCCGATGCACCTTCTCTAAGTGACTCTCCACCGTCGGTGGAAGCCAACAACAAAAAGGACAACAATCGACCTGGTGCAAAGGACAGCTATACCGAATATGTCCTCCGGTTGGCCGCCGAGACGGTGACCGAGAAGGAATTACAAGAGCAGGCGATGGCCGCATATATCAACGAGCGACCACATGAACCCGTGGATCATTTTGCCATCTCCCACGATGAAGATGAAGATGGTCCTCTACCGGCGCCCATGTTCCAGGGAGAAAAAGGGGTCGACATCCGCACGTTTCGGCGGTCATCCGCTGCCGAGCTAGATCTAGAACTACAGAATATGCGAAGACACCATGAGCAGCTGGAACAGGCCAAACGAGAATTGAAGGCTGATACCGCTGGTCCGAGTCGGTTCAGTGCTGTTGCCCTGGCGACACGCCACGCCCTAGAAGCCAAAGGAGTGAAGAAAACAAAGAAACCTAGAGGACCCGACGAAGATTCGGAACTTGCTCGAATGAGAGCAGCAGCCTCACCTCCCATGTTAGGCGACAATCTCATTTTCCCATTCACCATCTCACCGAAGATGACACGATGTGATCCAGATCAACCTCCACGGCCACGAAACGTGGACGGCGACGACGAATCCAAGAATTCCGGTGGCCCTGTCTTGTGGAAATCCGAAGCAAAACCCAAGAATGACGCGGGAGGAGGTTTATGGATGGGGATGTGTCAGGCAGGAATGTGGCAACCGCGGGGTCCGGAGAATGGGCTGCGGAGTGGAATTCAAACACCTGCCCCTCAAACTCCAGCGAGTGAGAAAACCAATCCTTTTGAGTCGACGACCCCGGGACGGGATGGGCAAACTCCCGGACGACGAAGACCATACTCTGGCATAAGTTTGGTTCCGTTAACCCCCCCGCGGAGTCAAGACGGTGAAGATGTTTTCACGAGCATGATCGATAAGAAGCTGCACCTGGAGAAAAAAATTGAAGATGAATTTCCCGCTCGTGTGATTACACAGATTTACAACTATTTGAGTCTTGGATACCCCAGCCTTGCACATATGTTTGATGAGGAGTTGAGCAAGATTAGTAGAATTCCATTAGAAGAGCTGAGAAAAGACGATTATAATGTGGATGCGAAGGGCTATGTTGGGGCTCCCGAAGGTGACGGGTGTGACGAAAGTGAGGTCATTGGCAAGTGCAAGAGATGGGAAGCTTTGAGATTATACGTCCGAGAGTGGGCACGACAAAGTCCTAATTTCGCGGACGACCAGAGACGAGTGAAACTGGGTGCTAACGAGGATTGGGGAGCAAGAGCAAGGAAGGGCAGTTGGGGACATTGATTCTCAAGGGAACATTCTTTTTTCTACTGGACTCGGGGTTATATGTCCGGGTCAACAAAAACTGGCGTTTGGGGGGAGCCTTGTGGCAGGTGTATGTTCCTTTTCTACCCGGCTCTATGTCGATTAAGGGTTACGGCCTTGAGGAATACCAGATTTCAGGCCTGGCCACGCTTTGGGATACCCCCGTACATGGGGAGGGCATGGAAGACGACATTTTTATATCGTACATACATTCGAATAATGAAGTGATGACTCTAGCATTTGGGAATCTGGGACTTGGAATGAGAAACACTTCAGAGCCAAAAAAAGGTGGTCGCCAAAAGATATTCTCGCCCGCCTTCGTCAGCAGGGCTATGATCACGTGGAGATCCGGTCACGTTAAGCTCGATGGGGGAACAAGGCTGAACATCCAATACCTGGGAAGGAATTTTTGTTTTCACCTTGTAGAGATCTCCACCCTCAGCTGTCTTGAAGTGCACTGCCACCACTAGGTAAATGACCCAAGACTGAGCCAAGCACAGAGGGCACCACAACATTGAACTCTAAAAACCCACCCGCAGAGAAACCAATATTTAAAAGCTGAGCTTGGACGGCGAGCGATCAAATTTTATTCAGAGGCGGTTGAGCTTCCTCGCAAGTGAACTCGCGAAGAATCAACGGGAGGGAAGCGAGATCTTATGAACGTCGTTGAATTTAGAGCTGTGCCTGGATTGAGAGGCAGACACCTTCAAGAACCAGCTCATCACAGGTGAGCTCCGATATCAAGCTCGACAGAACTGTGTTTCGAATCTCCGAGCGGGAAGACGTCGCATTTTCCATTCCATCTATCCTCATCGAGACGAGGAGCAAACAATGAGCTCCTCAGATTCTCCATCTGGCGGTCCCTCGGACCCTGTGCATCACGTCCTTCTCAACACCGACAACGATCGCCAACATCCCAAACCCAGCCACAACAGCCATGGCGGTGGCCTCCTCTCCATCCACCACGAAGGCGAATCCGGCCGCTCCGGCATCCACCTGACGTCGTTCCTCCGTATTCTCTTCCGCTCCAGCTCCCAAGTCAGCATGGCGGTCAACATCCTTTGGCCATTCGTCCCCGTTGCGATCATCTTGCACTACATCCCCGGCGCCCACTCAGACACGCTCAACAAATGGGTCTTCGCCACCGCGTACATCGGCATGATCCCCGCGGCCAACCTGCTTGGTTTTGCAGGCCAAGAACTCGCAAGGAAAATGCCCAAAGTCGCGGGAATCCTCATTGAGACCGCTCTGGGCAGCATCGTCGAAATCGTCCTATTCGTCATCCTCATTGCCAAACACAAGAATCCCGAACCTGGCGACGACGACAATTCTGCGGAAGAGGGAAATCTGATCCCCGTCATCCAAGCCGCGATTCTTGGCTCCATCCTCACGAATCTCCTGCTGTGTCTAGGCCTCTGTTTCTTCTTCGGCGGAGTCCGGCAAAAGACACAGACTTTCCACGCTGTCGTCAGCGAAGTCGGCAGTGGCTTGCTCCTTGTGGCAGGATTTGGATTACTAATTCCTTCGGCCTTCTACTCGGCGCTGAAAGGCGAGACCAGACCCAGCGGGTTCTCTAAAGAGAAATTGCAAAGTGATGTGTTGAAGATCAGCCAGGCGACGAGCATTATTCTCATGATTGCTTTCGTGATGTGAGTTGAACTGGTCTGAATCAAGATTTAACATGGTATTGAAATGGCCAGATACATCTTCTTCAACGCACGATCTCATGATTCCATATTCGACGAGATCCTCGAGGCCGACGAACTCCGCGACACCGACCACGCCTACGACGTTTCCAAGGAGAAATTAACCTTTACCGAATGCGCCATCGCCATCATCGCCAGCTTAACACTCATCACACTCCTTGCCGTCTTTCTCGTTGAACAGATCGAAACTATTGTCCACTCAGGCGTACCGGACCAGTTTCTGGGTCTGATCCTGTTGCCGCTGGTCGAAAAGGCGGCCGAACACTTGACGGCCGTCGATGAGGCGTGGGATGGGCAGATGAATTTCGCCCTCTACCATTGTCTGGGACCTAGTATCCAGACCGCGCTGTTCAATGCACCGCTCGTCGTGGTCGTGGGCTGGGCTCTAGGAAAGCCAATGGATCTCAACTTTGAGATCTTCATGGTCGCGCTACTCGTTCTGGCGATCCTTGTCGTCGGCAATTTCCTCCGAGATAAGGAAAGCAATTATCTCGAAGGAGCACTTTTAGTGGTGAGTTCTTTCAACCTCAACTCCCATCTTTCTCAGCGTGGGGAAAAACGACTAAATGGGTTTTTCAAATTCTAGATTGTCTACATCATCATTGCAATTGCAGCATTTTACTATCCTGACCCAGATGTGGCGACGACAAATGATGTCGATGGTGTACCGGTCACCGCAAACATGGAAACTGTTCTAGCAACGGCGAAGGCTTCGGTTGACGCGGCCTTGCATTTCAATGCGCAGGACAGACTCTCTGGTTGAATGGACATTGAAGGCACCCGAATCTTGCCCATTCTCAGATCTAGGTTTGTTGCGATGGAACGGGCTAAATACTTTAGAACAAAACAAGAATGTCCTTTGATGGCAGAATTGGCAGTGGCGAGGAGGTCTTCTAGGCCGAAGTGTCTATCAAACACTGGAATACGTTGTCTTACGGGCTTTGCAAGTCTCGGTCGTCATTCCCTAGAAATATCTATGAGGACAAAAAGCTAGAGAATGAATGTCTTTGGACCTTGTTGCATAATATTCAATATTACGCCATCCAACAGGATGAACCAAAGGGCCGACTGTATCTGCTAAATAGCTTTCTGGCCAACGGGTCAATGGCTTGCCGAAGAGGGTTTGCATAATGGTTCAAGCTCTGGTAAGAAGGTATGTTTACCGGGCACAAAGAGCTCATACGAATGGAGGAAAGCGTGTTGACCGGTTAGTGTCTGCGGTTTGCTCGCTTCGATGTCTCTGAGGCATCGTTGGAGGGAATGGAGAATTATGAGTGGTGTATTGGGAAGTCGGGGCTACTGGACTAGCACGGAAAAGGCTAGAAGTCTCCGTATGCCGTATTTTAGCGTCAGCTTGGCGTAGTCTAATGCCGCTGCGGCCTCCTTGAGCCTTGTCGTCTGGCTTCCCTGGCTCCTCTCGTCGCATCCCAAAAAAAAGAAAGAAAAAAGAAAACTCTCAACAAGTGTTTCCGATTCTCCACTTGAGCCTCATTCTTTCCCGCCTTCGAATTTTTTTCCCTTCTCTTTCAGGCCGATTTTCAGCCCAATGACTGCATTAGGCTAATGTCTCTATCGCATCGCCAGGCCACCCAGATCGCTTCTTCTATGGCGGCTTGCATTTCATCGACTTTGCTATTCCTCTCATAACTACGCAGCCGAGTTAAGAGCTGGAATCGACCTGTCATGAAGACTGAGGGGAAGCCATTGGCCTTGCCCCCGAGCTATTGATCCACATCAACCTGCTTCCATGGGAATGGTCTCTCAACATTGTGCAGGATTTGCCGTCTTGTCCGTAACTTTGACGTCCTAGGCGGGCATGTTGTTGCCGCTTGCGAGACTCTGCTAACTCATGTTCCTGAGCTTTACAGGTAGGTAGGCTGATTCTGGTATGATCGGCCTTATCGAACTCGCTACCGTAAACCGTTCTTTTCGAACTGAATTCAAGAACAGCTTGTGTCCCTCTTCCTCTGTCCCTTAAGGACCAAGAATCCTACGTACACACCGGGTACCCCCTGGCGACTGACTACTTGACGACAGCATCTTCCAATTCAATGGCCAATCTAGCCACAGCTGTCCACCCCCACCGCCGCCACCTACTACAACATGGGCGGATTGGACTTCGAAAACACCTCTACCGTCTCCTCTAGCATCATCCTGGGTAGATTGGACTTCGGCAGTGCCTCCGCCACCACCTCCGTCTTCAAGATGGGTACACTGGACTTTAGAAGTGCCTCCTCCACCTCCTCCCACATCATCTGCGACTTGGGTAAACTGGAGTCAGCCGGCCGCATCGTTAAGCTGGGGAAGCCCCATCTTGTGAAGATTTTCCAACGTCCTACGGTCAGAGCTGGTCTGACTGGGATCGTCCCAGTGGGAAACCATCTTATCCACAAATAACTCCCAGAGCCGAGCTTGAGATTTTCTCATGTCCCTGACAGATGCTACAATCCTTGCGATAATGCGGTTAAGCTGGCTATGAATTTCTAGTACTACTACAACCCCAGCGACGACCACGACGGCAACAACATCAACGCCAAACCCCACTACCTCGTCCACCACAACCACAATCACAACCTCTTCATCTGTCCCTCCTCCCCCCTCGTCGTCTCCTATTGCAACACCTACTTCAACATCTAGAACAACGTCTACCACACCAACGCCTGTCGCTACTGGCACGACGACTGTCCCATCAGGGTCCGCGACCGTCTCAACTTCCCCCATTTCGACATTCACTGGCGGAGCTCCTATTGGTGGTGACGTCATGAACGTTCCTGTTCTCCTCTTGTTGATCGCGTCATCCTTGTTGTTTAATTCTGGCCTGGCATGAAGCTGTCGCTGATGAAGCTACGACCCGAATCGGACGATCGGGCTTGGATGAGATACGACAATCTTTCTTTTGAGGAAGGAGAAGAGGTGAAAATAGTTGCTACAATCTCCCAAAATTCCATTGTCAAAATCTCAAAATAGTGGGGAAACGATATATGAGGGAATGCGACAATAAAATAGATGCTGTAATGGTATTTCTCCTTAAACTCAGCTCCCTGCATTCTTCCACGTCTCCTAGTACCTCAGTTCCGAAGATTACTTAGTGGTGGTACCACATACCACCCGGAGTGTGACAGCTGCCAGGATGGTAAATGTAGAAATGGGCACTCGAAGAGGGGGGAGTGTGTTGGGGGACTAATCACGCCATTGGGGAGACGAGATGTCGCCATTATGACAAAGCAACAACATCTGAACCAGATAACAGGACGACTTCTAACAAGGCAGCATTCTCTGAACCGTGACTCGATGCTTGTCAGCCTTGCCAAGCTGCGGCCCAGCCATGGGAGGTTGACAACAATTGGACCCTACTTCTCAGCGCGACAAGGACACACAAGGCCCTGAGCATTTCCCTACCGAATGTCGGTTGACCATCTACTATGAGTGTGATGCCTGAAATATGGAGCCCTGGACTCCACACGGTCACTTGATCCTCCAGCCTGTTTCCCGCCACCAAACTCGTCGAGGGCACTTAATTGATATTTGAAGAGTGGGAAAGCGGCCACAATCCGAGACACATTCATGAGGCCTCCCATCCTAAACTTTGGGGGATCTCTGGTCGCAGGCCGACCAAATCACCTTCTACTCATCTTCTCAGAGAAGGTTGAGCACTTTGAGACTGATGCCTATGGCCTCGGCGCTGAGATATTATCTAGGGCTTCAGGCATGACCTTCAAGGAAGTAATTTCTATTTCTGGACCTCTCGAGGTGAATAATCAATCGATACTCCCTCCGGATTTTGGCAGAGAGGGTTCGGGAGATTTTCGTCCGGTCTACAAACGACACAATGTATATGCCGGATCTAACCGCCGATAATAAAAAGGTGAGAAGAGAGCAGGTGTGGCCCGCCCCCAAGGCAACGAACTGACACACCGATGTGCCACAGCCCGGGGAAAAACAGTCATCAGTTGGGGCCGCACAGCCACACAATGCGGCTGGACTGACACGGGAGCTTTTACTTCTGATACCGCAAGTGTGGCAGCTTCTTGTCCCTTTCCGATGAACTCCTCCCTTTTCTGGTCAAGCATCGCCGCGGCCCCCTTCGATAATGATACCGAGCATCAATGCGCAAATTGACATCTGCGCGGGAGGTAACTGGGACGTTTGTCTTTGTCGTGTGATGCCTCCGGATCGCTGACATCATTCACTGCCACTGGTCTCCGAACCCTACAGTGACCGCCACTCGACCCAAGTGCTCTCCGGGGCAAACGAAACGACACCATGGAGGGCAGACCGAACAGAGAAAGGTAGTTCCCAACGGGATTGCGGTAGGATATTGTCTCTCCTGTCGTGGGGAAATGCAGCTCTATTCTGATATCTGTTCATACTGGCGGACCAAGCTAGCCTTACCACTCTCTCGGCCAAAAACCCATGCCCAAATCACCATGGCTGCCTTATTTCATCATGCGGACCAGAACGCGGTTGCCCTGGGTGCGGTCACGCCGCGAACCATTAACATTCTACCATGTTCTCCCAGCCGTGCATTGGGCCCAAAAGGATCTCATCCTTGCGTTTGTTGCCAAAGTCCCCAATCAGCGTTTCTATCACCCTTGGAGCTGACCCGCTCCCGAACCATCGCATTGCATCTTTGAACATCTCCGGCCTTGACACTCTTTCCAACGAATCACCAGGTTAGAGCCCCAGCCTTGAACACCCGAACGGGACTTTCTTGTGGCAAGCGTTTCGTTCCTTTTACCGGACCAAACATGATTTGGATCATTTACCACCTTTCCTTCTGACCATTTCTCTGAGGGTGGATATACCTGACCGTCCCTTCACCATGACCAGAGTCCATTGTCAGAAAAGCGTTCTAGGCATCCGTCAAATAAGAATCTCTGCACCACATTGTCGTTGAACCAATACCATTCTTCTTGATCATCAGAGCCTCCCCTTGGTTCCTCGTCTCCTCTCAGCCAAAGTCTTTACTTTTGAAAGCAACAACGTCCTTATCTTTTGACCTCAGAGCAAACACAAGCCACCGGACGCCTCTGAAAGCAATTCTTCTTCCCTTGAATGTCTGATCGCCGCCGCCAAAGTCATTCCAGTCATTCTCCGGAAGCCATTGTGCTTGAGAGAAACCCTCAGGTGCGTACGTACCGCATCCTCCGACCGAAATCACCCGAAAGAGAGCGACTGACCATCGGATCAAAGCTCTACAATCTTTTTAGAACCCGGAAGAAAAGGGTTCATATCATTGAAGAAGCGCCTGTTCGAAGTCGACGTCCGGAGCGCATTGTTCGAACCCCGTCTCCCACTCCGTCACCTTCTCCATCGCCTCCCCGAGGCCCATATCACATCATGTCGTCCAAATTCGAGGACGACATATATGCGCCTCTCCCACCGAAATTACCACCGAAGTCGAAACAGGCCAAGGATGACCCAATTGAATACGTGGTGGAAGAACGGTCTCCTCGGTTTCGTAAGGTCAAGATTGTTCCGGGCGACCGTGATGACGAGGACGCCTATCCTCGGGTAGAGAGTCGGTCGCCCTCCCGAAAGCGTGACAGCGGCAAGTACCGCTACACCGATGGTCACGTCGCCGAGGAGATCGGCCGGGGTCGGAAAGAATACGAACGTCGTCGACCAGATCCTGAAGTCCAGAAATTGGTCGATGATCTGGCCAGAGAGAGACGAGAACGTCGTGAAGCTGAGAGGGCCGCCGCTGCGGCTGAAGACCAGGCCAACAGACTCAAGGCGGATCTGGCCCATGAGAAACGTCAACGGTCCCTTGAACGACGTGAACGCGCCATTGCCGAACGAGAGAAACGGCTCGGCCAAGAACAGGACCGCCTCGAGCTCCGACGACCGCGTGACCGTCAGGATGTTGTTGTTGTCCAAAACCCCGCGGTGGTGCCAATTCATGATCCTGGCCGATCAGCTCTGGATCGGGCCAGAGCCGACTATGAGCGCACTCATCAGGACGAGCGTTTGGTTCGTGAGGAACGCCGACCCGGAACAGGCGAGAGACGTTCTCGCGTCATCATCGTCGGGAATGAGAGAGATCGTGATCGAGGACATGGACGTCGGTAGTTCTTGTTGAAACCTGAAAGCCATACATGCGGTGGGCATCTTATTGTGCCATGGGGAATGACGGAGCGCATGGAATGGGGTCAGGACTTGATAAACAGGGGAAATGCTACAATGGACGGAAAACAAAGAGGCGTTTTAAGGGAGATTTGATTCGGGATGTATATCATTCGTGGCGGAAGGAACAGTCAACCAAAAACAACAATTTGTGTTCTGCAGGATTCCAAATCTTTGTCGTTCGTTCCAGCCTCGGACACACTGGGGGCCCTGGTCCTTACTGGCCTCAGGGGAAAGATCGAAACTATGGAGGAACCGGCGATTCGCTTCGACCGACACAAAAGCCGTAGGGATTGTGCATGTGGATAGATACGTTGATCTGTCATATGGGAAATCGCCAATCCATTAATCCCCATCGCCATTCCTCAATCTCCCATTCGCTGTGCCGCGGAGCGTAATACTGTAGCTAGCAGGATGTCGTGCAGCGGAGACCCGTCTCAATCGCCGACGATCAGTCAGAAAGGGGGGTGTGTGGATCCGGTTTACAGGCTGGCCAGTAGCCCGGTGGCGGTCGTCAGCAGCGCCCTGACTGTGCCCTGATCGGAGAACCAGGCACAGTAGATAATCAATGAATCCACCGGCGTGCCTAAAAAGGTGCAACTTTGTTGCGGATCCAAAAGATCCATGAGGCGAAAGGCCTAAATCCCAAAGAGGTTCCCTCAAGAGGCGCGTGACCTGTTGACCTTTTCTGGCGTGGATATGGCATACGAATGGTAATTTGCCAGTGCTTAACTCATCAGCCGAGTAAACGCATGACCGGCCCAGTGTGTTGGTGGCGGTGGCCACTTGCACCCCGGACCCCGAGCAACAAGAGATACTTAGCAGTAATTGGCAGTAATTTGCGACATATTTTCACTCCTCTGTCTGTTCTCTGTCTGCTACCCTCTCTGCGACAGCTAAAAAGTGACCCTGAACCTGGCTGCGCCCGTGAATGGCGTCGCTTCTCTACATAAGTCCAAAGTTAAAGCTCGACATCTTGCCCTCTCTAGGATCTATCTTCGACAAATGTCCGTCAAGCTCTCCGTGTAAATCGCTCGACACCTTTCCGAGGGGCTGCAGACTATCTCGCTGTCAATTGGAGCTTGGAACTCCTCGGGGAGCACAGTCCTTGCCTTGACACGAGCTTGACAATGAGGCAGTCTACCCACCAGCTACACACGAGACCAAGATACACCCTCACTCCTCCGCTCATGATCGATCAAGGCTGATTCGAACCATACACTCCAAGAAACACATCATGGGAGGTTCTGAAGGACAAGGAGACCAGAAAGAGCCTGAAACTTGCACAACGTCGTCCCCAAAGCTCCCCGCGACTCCCGAGCCCGAGAACGACAAGGGCATCATCCCCGCCATCAAGAGTCCTACTCTCGAAGGCCTAGATGGCATCACGCCTGAGAATGTCGACATTTTCAAGTTGGAGGCAGTGGCTGCTTTGAAGCTGTTATGCCGTAGCATTGACGCCCTCGTCCGATTGACCGGTGACGTTTCTCCAACCCCCCCAGCACGGAGTCGGGGCGCTTCTCCTGCTCGAAGCTTCTCGAGGCTCCGCGAATCCATGACACCAGACACGGCTACTCCCCCCAAAGACAACACTGGGCTGCGACCGCCAGGCTCGGCTGTACATGAGCACATTGATGGAGTGCCTTTTGTGAAAACACCCATTGGGTCCCCCGAGGCACAAGCCCATGAGCCTACTTCGGCTGCTCAGATAATTGGAGCGGGCGCTCAGCCGACGTATATCCAGTACGGAGCTCTGGCTCGGAAATTCTACTCGAAACGCCCTCCTCCGATATCGACCGAAGACTACCTCATGCGCATGCACAAGTATTGCCCGATGTCGACGGCGGTGTATTTGGCGGCTTCATGGTATATCACTCGGCTGGCCGTCCAAGAGAAGATTATACCGGTCACACCTCGAAACGTCCATCGGCTGCTTTTGGCTTGTCTGCGAGTGGCCATGAAGGCGCTGGAAGATCTGTCATGGCCCCATGCTCGCTTCAGCAAAGTGGGTGGAGTGTCAGAGGGTGAACTCGGCCGACTCGAGATCACCTTTTGCTACCTGATGGATTTCAGTCTGAAAGTCGATGCGGCGATGCTACAGCACGAGGCTGAGAACCTGAGTCGCCAGAACCGGTATGAGACCGTCGTTCTCGACAGTCCTTTGCCTGCGCTAGAATTGCGACTGCCGGAAGAAGGTGAGAGAAAGTCTCGCAGTGCTGAAAAGAGAAAAGCCAGCAGTACATTGCCCAGCAGACCTGTTGTCCAAGTGGGAGCAGGCATCGAGGTCATGGGCCAGTCCTGAAGGATTCGGTGTGGCTTTCGAGGTCGAATAACCTCTGAAATCCTGTATGACTCACGATATTGGCACTCAGTTGCCCGGCAAGCGTCCTCGTTTCCCGAAAAGGGAGCTGGTCTGCAGCCACTTACATCCTCTCGAAATATGTACGTTGTCGGTTGGGTGATTGATTTTGTTTCATTCGACTTTCGTCCCCGTCGCACGGGGCAATCTCACTCTTCCCGTGCGCCAATGTGGAAGTCCGTGAACGTTTTCATCAACGTTCACCTCCTCGTCGCTTGTTCAGTAACAACTCGATTGTTTATTTGGTAGCACTGCCCACAAACGTATCCTTAGCCAAACCAACATCTAGAAAAATTCATCTGCACCAAAAACCTCGTACGGCGAGATAAACCGATCTTACAGGCGATAACTATGTCAGTAGTATTCTATACACCCAACGATGTCGATGGTCCATCCTCGAACGCAGCCGGAAGCCTCGCAGCCGTCCTCGATGCGCGGATTCCACCCGAAACCTACATTGCTGGGTCTTCCATTAGAGGTGAAGCTAGCTAAGGTCAATGGAGGCCTTCTGAAGACATGACACCTAGGACGGATCCTACATACACAATATCTCGTTTGAACCTCCGGTGGCCCAACCAAATTCATGCATACGACGATTCTCGGATTAAGGACATTCCCTCCATCGAACAAATCCGCGCCATCTTTCTCAGCGTAAAGAGACAAGTCAAACGTTGGGGGATCGTCGACTCTCAGAAAATGCCAGAGCCGAGAGGACTGTCGTTGGCAAGACGAATTCTACACGAGGGTATGGGCAGAGATTGGATCAATAAGCCTGAAGCCACAGAAATCGGCGTGGCTGCGCCGTTTCAGTGGCCGCACAATCGAAGCAGGAGAGGGAGAAGCGTTGTGGTATTGTAAACGTTCTCTTGCGGGCGGGTTTCCAGTCCTTTCTTGAGATTTCGATGAAGCGAGTAATCAGCTGGCTCAGCTTGATAGAATAGCAACTGAAGTGCTGAAGTGATGATGGAGGAATGTTTGACAGGTCTCCTGCTTGTCTTTCCATTCGTACAGCCTGCCAGTCGACCATTCCAACGCCGTCCGTCAATAAGCTCCAATTATGTTTGCTGTTGGTGGTCAGACTTCCCTCAGCACGTGTGGTGGTATGGGAAGCAGAGAAAAGCAAAAGCCGAGCATTGTTGCCGTGTTGCTTGACGCTGACAAGATTGTTCCCGCCCTTCCGCTTGCCCACTTTTGTCTCTTTTCTTCCGTCCTCCAGACCTGACGGGTTGATTGTTCTAGAAGCCAGACAAACTTCCATTGGAAGATCCGGTCATTGGCCTTTATGATTGTTGATGATGAAATTGAATTCCAGCGAAGCTCCAAGTCTATTCCATGCTACCTACCTCATACGCTGCAAGACATATGGTATTCTCATCGGCAACATCTGACCAGGAGGCGTCGTGGAACAAGGTCACCGGGAAAAGAGTCTGGATCAAGTTGAGTAACCGGCCACCGACTCATCTCAATGTGCGTCCAATCATCCTCGCCCAGTTCCCTCCAATGCATGTCGACCTCTTTCGATCGCCGTGGATGACCTCCAATGACCTTGCTGTCGGCAAATCTCATACCATCGACTTGGGTCTAGCATAATCCCCGATACTACCTCACCCCATCACCTCCGTGCCATGTCCAACCGCCATGTGGAGGAGAAATGCGTGTAGCACGTTCGAAAGAGAGCAAGACCATGAACACTAGACGACCTTCGGGTGGATCTGCTCACTTTCCCCTTTTCCATCAGTTGCCCGTGTGACACTGACATAGGAAAGAGAACGTCTCCTTCTCATACCTGATTGCGCCTCCTTTCTCTTTCCTCACAGACTTGGTAACCCCCTGGCATGTCCCACCCGGATTCCCCAAACACAAAGACTCGGCATCACCCCCCGGACGGAGTGGTGGAAGTGTATGGGTTAGCCGGAAAACACCTCGTCAACAGGATACCTTGTCAATCTGGGGACCCCGCAGAGTTCGAACTTTCACAGGTATATAAGATGGTAGCTGATCAGACGATCCGCGGGGGCTGTCGGATATCTTCTACATCAGGCTCATCTCGGATCTCTTTTCTCGAGTGGTTGGTCGCCACTACCACTACCATTGCCACACGACGTTTCCCATCACCTTCAGCACTCTCAATATATCTCTCAACATCACGTCTGACGGAGCAAACACACCCTATATGCCCAGTGTCGAACATTCTCAGTCGCATTCATGTCTGAAAAAGCCATCGAAGAAAATACCATTGCCCCTCAAGCCTCTCATGGCACCTCGGAGCCCCCCTTCCAGAGTCCCGTAAAGGGCCGTCTCGATCACGCAGAGGCCGTGGATGAAGTCATTCACGATGCTCAAAAGGCTACTGACAAAGAGCACAAGATGACCTTGTGGCAAGGCATCCAATTGTATCCGAAAGCCGTCGGGTGGAGTATCTTGATTTCCACCTGTATCTGCATGGAGGGTTATGATGTTTGTCTCTTGAGTAACTTCTGTGAGTCCTCTCTCTCTCTGATCTCTTCCATTTTTACGGTGTGGCTCACTTATTTCCTTAGATGCGTTCCCCCAATTCCGCAAGAAGTACGGCGAACAACTCCCAGACGGTAGCTGGCAAATCTCTGCTCCCTGGCAAGCGGGTCTCAGCAACGGTGCCAACGTCGGTGAGATTATCGGTCTTTTCATCAATGGCTACGTCTCGGAACGATTTGGCTATCGCTATACGGTCATGACATGCTTGACGCTCATCATCATCTTCACCGCCGTCTTCTTTACGGCCCAAAACGTGGTCTCGCTCCAAATTGCCGAAATCCTTTGCGGGATTCCCTGGGGTGTTTTCCAGACCTTGACAATCACTTATGCCAGCGAGGTGTGTCCGGTCGCTCTCCGAGGATACCTGACCACCTACGTCAACTTCTGCTGGGGCTTGGGTCAAGTCATCGGCATTGGTGTTATCAAATCCATGCTTCCCAGGAACGATCAATGGTCGTATCGCATACCATATGCTTTACAGTGGATGTGGCCCGTTCCCCTCCTCCTTGGCGTGTTGCTGGCGCCTGAATCGCCATGGTGGCTTGTCCGAAAAGGGCGTCTGGAAGACGCCAAAAAGGCCCTATTACGCCTGACGTCTCTGAACCGCGAGACGGGATTTGACGCCGCCGAAACAATCGCCATGATGGTTCATACTACGGCATTGGAAGAGAAAATCACGGCAGGTGCTTCGTACTTGGATTGCTTCAAAGGCACGGATCTGAGACGAACCGAGATTGTGTGCATGGTTTGGGCGATTCAAAACCTTTCGGGTAATTCTTTCTCGGGCTATTCCACATACTTCCTGGAACAAGCTGGTCTCGACACGAGCAAGGCATATGATTTCGCCCTGGGTCAATACGGAATCAACATGGCGGGCGTCTTTGGTGCGTGGTTCCTTATGACCTGCGGTTTAGGACGACGAGCCCTATACCTCTACGGTCTCTGTGGACTATGTATGATGCTGTTTATCATGGGATTCCTCGGTCTGGTCCCCGACTCGCACAGAAAAGAAGCCTCACTGGCAACTGGATCCATCATGCTAGTTTGGGCGCTTTGCTATCAACTCACGGTCGGAACGGTCTGTTATTCCCTTGTGGCCGAACTATCTACCCGCCGTCTCCAGATTAAGACCGTCGTCTTGGGTCGAAATCTGTACAACGTGGTGGGTATCATCTGCTCGGTCTTGACTCCTTATATGCTCAACCCGGGCGAATGGAACTGGAGCAATTATACCGGCTTCTTCTGGGGAGGAATTTGTTTCTGCTGTATTATTTACACTTACTTCCGTGTTCCCGAACCCGCCGGTCGCAGTTTCGCCGAATTGGATCTTCTTTTTGAGCGGCAGGTAAGTGCCAGGAAGTTCGCCACTACTCACGTGGATGTCTTTGATGAGGTTACGGTTCATGAGACAGTGGAGGGGACTGGAACTTTGAAACTTTACGAGGAGAAGCGTGGAAGTGTGATGCTTAGCGAGGAGACTGGTCTGCCCCCTCGGATGATTCATTGAAGATATGTATTTGTTCCGACAATTTGGGTGACTTGGTGGTGGACGGGTAAGATATAAAGACAATCTGATCTGGAGGCGGTGAGCTCGACGACACATGAGTGGATGAAATACAGCGTCTTGAAGACGACCAGGGTCAGGACTGCACCGATGGCCGATGATAGCGGACAAAGTTCAACTTCAAGCTATGACACCAAACTAGCTTGGTGAAGTAGTTCGAGGGCAAGACCTGTTCGTGCTTTCCAGTAAGAAGAATGGCCTTGGAAGCGTCGCTCAGATCATAGACACCCGTCCAGGTTCGTCGCCGATACTTGATTGATATCAAACCCAATCAGTGATTAATGCTCCATCTCACGGATTAAAAAAGATCCGCCCCGAAGCCTGACCAGGCTAATCCCTTTTAAAGAGAATTAAATTCCACCCTGCACCACCCTTACCCATCCAAGCCTTCCTTCGCATTCCTCGTTCAGTCTCTCTCTGCTCCTATTCGAAGGAATGTCAGCCTCCTTTTCCCTTGTCCACTAAATGCTCGCAATCCACCATCCGTGGCTTGGGATGGCAAGATGGATCCAGCCCAGACCATGCCAGGATCAGGGTCGTCAGGCACCCTGGATCTCGAACCTCTCGCATCTCGTGTTACAGTCATTCCCGAAACTGCCCTCCCCTTTGCGGACACATTGCCACTTCTTTCATCTATGCCAAGACGGAACGAGTCGTACTTTGCCTATCTAGGTATGGTAAAACTCCGTCCAACCCACCAATCAACGTGCAGTATCTTTCATCACAGTATTGCTAATACGGTAATGTATTGCGCGGTGACAGAAGGCTATTGCTTAGTGTCCGCATGGGAGGCAATAACGGCAAGAAAATCGGTTCCCGATCAGCGCAGTCAGAACTGCACTTCCAGGCTACACTTCAGCCTGATCGCACATTCTTCACCATGCACCATTCACATTCTTCTGCACAGTTCTGGTTATGGTTCAGACAAGAGAGCCTGCAAAAGCCTTCAACCGGCTATATTAGAGGCGGACACACAAGAACTGTCGGCCCGCCAGTCACGTGATACGTGATATTGTGGCACGTGATCCACTCAGGGCTTGCGGCACTTGGTTGGTTCCTCAAGAACTGGCTTTTTCCATACACTCGCACGCGAACCTCGACCTCGAACCCATCCTACTCCTCCGATAGCTTTCCCTCCATGGCCTCCCTGAACGCCGTCCCGACACAAGGCGTCAGCAGGCTATCGGTGGTTCCCCAGGAATGCATAATATAATGCCCCTATCTACCCAGCACATACTCTTACCAGGTCACGAACAGTGTCAACACAGTGCGCCTTTTAGAAATTCATAGTCACGGTAAATTGAGCCTGACCAAGGACTTGATCGCGGATATCCCGAAATACGCCATCCTTTCGCATACTTGGGGGTGTCGTACTTAGGCGGGGATTGTAAATGGAACGAGATAAGCTGGATACGTAAACGACATCCCGGCATGTTAGGTGAGAATGCATCGCAAGAGCTGAAAATGTGACATATCTATAAGGCTGGCTGGCTGGCTGGGTCCCTTCCGTGGTTCTTCTTTCTCTGGCTTCGCGCCTGTTGATTCTCGTTCGTGTACTCCCTCTGTGAAATTGGTATGTACGGAGTGGAAAGCAGAAAATCTTGACGTTGACCAAAAGAACTCCATCTCTTTGAATAACTGACGGCCCAAGTTTTATCAGACACCTCCTATATTCTAACAGTCCTGCTCGCAAATTCCCAATGCCTCGTCCATCCGCAAATTTCAAACGTCTCATCGTCCTCTGCGATGGTACTGATGCCCTTTTTCGCTTTTCCTCCATCCTCCATATTGACACATGGCGATATTGGTCCAATGCAAATGATTGACTCATACAGGGACATGGCAGAATATCCTCTCTGCCGAAAAGCACACGCATCCCACTAACGTGGCTCGATTCTCGAGAGCTATCAGTCCAGTTGCCATTATCAAGGATGCGGACGGAAAAGAAAAGGAAAGTGAACAGATCGTCTTCTATCAGCCTGGTGTTGGGACAGGGATTGGGGACAAACTTCGCGGTGGTACGGTTGCCTTTATCTTCTACCCCTAGAGTCATACCTATACGCGTCCTCCAGTGGGGAGCGGGACTCCACAGGTATTGGAAAGTGTCACAGGAAACTGACCATGCCTATATTTTCCGACACCGCAGGAGCATACGGAGCAGGTTTATCCGCCAATATACGAGCGGCGTACGGCTTTCTGGCACACAACTACGATCCCAATCCAGGTGACGAGATCTTCTTCTTTGGCTTCTCTCGCGGCGCCTACACGGCCCGTTCGACCGCGGGGTTAGTGAACAAACTTGGTTTGCTCACCAAACGAGGCATGGATTATTTCCCAGATGTCTATGATGAATTCCACGACGATCCCACTAGTAAACCAGACTTTGAGTTTTCAGCGGAGCTCCTCAAGAAGATTGGCAATGATGTTGTTGAACAAGCTAAGGATGCGGTCAAGATCGTGGGCGTGTGGGACACCGTTGAATTCCATGGTGAAGGGCTGGGGGAAGAAAAGATCGAATTCCACAATGCCAAACTGTCACCTCGTGTTGCTTATGCCTATCATGCTCTTTCGCTGGACGAGCGCCGCGTTCCTTTCAATCCAACACTTTAGCAGTGGCCCTCAGGATACGAAGTCAACAAGGACGGTACAGGCTTGCAATGCATGAAGCAACTTTGGTTCTCTGGAGCACACAGTGACGTTGGTGGTGGCAAGTATGATCCAGGTTGTTCCGGCATTGCGTTGGGATGGATGCTTGCGCATTGCAACAAGGACAAGAAGTTGGCGCTTATCGACGAAGATCCCTATGAGCCGACCAATCCGAACGAGTACTATCTCCTTCCAGACCGGTTGAAGCCGAATCCAAATGTCCATTGGACTTGCCTGGCCAATAAGCCAGATCCAGATCCTCTTGATACATGGTGGGACAAGGCCTGGGATAAGCTCCAGAGCATCCCTAGCGTAGATCGCAAGGCTTTTTCCCCTGGAGAATACGATGGAAAGAATCCATCGTTCCATCAACGATCGGAATCTCAAGGCCTGGCCGTGTGGGATGCTCACCGGAAATCATCATGGAGGAAGTTGGGAGTTGAAGCCCTCCTCCGCCGGGAAGGATGGGAAGGCTCTGATGCAGGCGGAAACGGATCCGGTCGCGGACCAGATTGAAGACAAGTACCGTGGCAGAATCCGAGCTGCACCGAGCTCAAAGGGAGTCAAATTGTGAAGGCTAACGGAGGAACCGGGGGGGGGGGAAGAAACCGAAGCCCGGTCGATGAAACACAAATGATCCTTTTGACGATTTGATGGAGTTGTTTCGGAGATGCCTATCAATTTGGAATTAGAAATGATGCTGCGGAAGGCATATGTGCATCAGAACAATGAAGTCTGGCGGTGATCGGTAATGAAAAATGCTTTCGTTGTCGACCCACTCTTGCATTGATGCAGTGGACGTCGTAATCTGAGCCACAGGCCTTTGCCTTCTTTGTTTTGTCTGTCTGCCTGCCTGCTGTCAACCATATCGTTTCCAGTACTCCAGCCATGGTTCTGCTAAAGAGCTTGCCCGACTCCCCAAGGGGCGGTATTTGTTGGCTCTGACTCTCAGCGCCGGGCCACGGATTACCGAGATCAACGATTCTTGCAATGCAGAACAAAGTGAAAAGGAAGTATCGATTTCTCGGCTTTTCATTTGTCATTTGAATCATCTCTCGACCCATTCACAGGCACCATTAGCATACCGATGAAAACCACTTTTACATTACCGAGTACCAACTCGTACCAGATCGTCCCCTTTGAGGCATGTCTGAGACACGAAACGCCATGCTGATGCCATTCTGTTTCGTCCCATGCCAGGCAGGTATTGATGGACACAATGAGCCCGAGAAGACCTGACACGTCAAGACGCTTTTCCTGTTCTTTTTCTTTTCTAAACCCATCCTATCCTATCCCATCTCAGCCAGTGTCATAAATGCCAAAGCGGTATTTTTGGGACCGACTCTTAAAAGAAAGACTCCAAGGCCAATGCAATGTGGTAGAAGAGAAGGGAAAAATGAAATATCTAAATTCATTTGATCTGTAGGTGTTCGGAGTTGAACTTTTGGGGTTGGCGATATGCGTTCTTGTATTCGGGATTTGTTGCAAATGAACTAGTGGTTCCCGAAGAATTCACGAAACATGGCCGTTGTATGGAGGGTATCATTAATTTTGCCGGGGAAAAAAAAAAAGGAAAAAAAAGAGCCATTGCGTAAGGAGTCATGACGCCACCGTTTCAGCACATCATCCAGCACATCATGCTCAGAGTGATGGATACTCATAGGCGGGTTTCTCTGGTTCGAAGTGACCGAAGAAATTGTCGTCGACTTCGATTTCGTAGTCGGTCATGCCAGGTGGTGTGACACGACCGAGTTGATTGTCACTTCCGGAGTTGTCATCATCATCATTTTCGTGTTCAGGAAGGCTGACGGAGGCAGAGGCCTGTCCATGAAGCGTGGGGTATTGACCGGAAAGATAACGATAGGAACTGCCGTAGTGAAAGATCTGACTGCCGCACATTGTCATTGATCCGGAGAGATAGGTGTCTTCGCCGTCGTCCATGACAGTCTCCAAACCGGTGTCTGCTATGGGCTGACTGCGGCGCGCCTCCATTTTGGATTGATCGTGAGCAACTCCAGTTAAAGACGTCATGGCGGAGGATTTCTTGACCCCCTTGTCCGAACGAGCTTTACGCTTCTTCAACGTTTGACCTTCGGGGGCAGGGTTGTGGGCGTCATCGTCCGCCCGTCGATCAGCCTTGCGTTTCTTCTCACGGATCATCCGCTTGGACTCTAATCCCAAATGAGCAGTGCGAACATGCTCCTCTAGACTTGCTTTGCTGGTGAAGCTGCGATTGCAACCATAGACAACAATGTCTTTCTGATCATTCAGCTCCTCGGGAAGAGCCATTTCAGTTTGGCCACAGACAAAGTCACGCTTGTTTTCATGCACCGTCTTCACATGGACGTTCAGATTTCCTTTCTTGGTGAATTTCTTGCCACATCCCTCATGGGTGCATGGGAAGACCGATGCCGGCTCCGATGCTTTGTTGGGCGGGAGAATTCCGTGCTGAATTTCGAGATGTCGGGTCAACTCCTTGTTGGTGGTGAATGACGTGGGGCAGTACGGACAAGTGGGTGGGTGGACGATGGTGATGTGAGCTTGAAGTTCTCCGTAAGTGGCAAACGAGGCCACAATGGGATTTTCTGGATGGGTATCCGGTGAATCGGCCTGAGTTGTGGCATTTTGCGCCATGCATTCCGCGCAAGAGAATCTGGTGGGATCATGCTTGGTTCTCTGATGAGTACGCAAGTTCTCAGCAGTATCGTATGCTTTGGTGCAGGGAAGGCCCGTAACAGAGTCCAATTCCGGACACGGGAACGGCTTGATGTTCTGGTGAGCCGACAAGATGTGCCGATCGAGAGTGTCTTGCTTGCGGAAAGTCTGAGTACAGCCATCGTAGCCGCGGCATCGGAACTTCTCTTTCGCCTCATGTGCCTGAATATGTCGTCGCAGCCGTGTGCCCGTCGCGAAGCTTGCATCGCAACCGGACCACGTGCATTTGTAGTCTCGAATCTCGGTGTGCGCACTCTTGACGTGGTGTTTGAGGTGGCTGTCGCGGAGGAAGGCTTTGGCACAACCGGGACTGGGACACTTGAACGGACGGGTGTTGGTGTGAGATCGAATGTGCTCGGTCAGTCTGGCTTGACGATTAAACGCCTTGTCACAGTTGTTCCAGGGACATTTCAAAGTTTTCTGTCGGCAGCGCGGGATGGTGGTGGTAGTCGAAGGAGGAGTAGAGGCAGGAGTGTCGTCGATCTGTTTTTCGGGCTCGATCTCAGAGTCGACCATTTCATAGTCGTCCGCAGGGTCGAAATCATCGTCCGAATCGATCTGCATCTTTTGCAGTCGCCGCGCAGTTGCGACGGGATGATCTGGTTGCCCACTTCGGATTTTGCGTAGAAATTTGTCCAAAGTATTTTCAGACCAATCGCGAAAGGTGGGGAGAGAAGAGAGTCTTTGGGAAGCTGTTGGTTGGTTGATGGTTGCCCACGATTGAAAAAATTTAAGGCGCCCCTGTGGTAGACTCGAGTGGTGGCGGCTCGGTTCCAGCCTCAGTTCCACCGTGACGATGCCAAGATCTTAGTCACGTGTCAGCCCTTGATCCTCCATCGGTTTTTTTTTTTTTTTCCTGTGTACTCAACAAACATCTCAGATCACCATCACTGTCTGTCTTCCCGAGTCTGCTACGTTCGTATCACTTAAGCGAAGCTTGCGACTTGTCGGGTCCAAATGTCCGACTACGGTGATGATGGCGGGTAGGTGTTTGATCCGACGTTTTTGAACACGTTTCATCTCGTCGTTTTCTATGCCTACCACTAACGCGTTTGTTTCCGTGTAGCTATGGCCAAGACGAGCCTGATGATACCTTCTACGAGCCTGACGAGAATGTAGAGGAATTTGCGCCCGATGCGGAGATTGATGAGCAGGCCATCGAAGCACGAGCAGTTGTGGATGAGGGCGAGGAGAGAACTGTCGTGTCTGGGGACCCAAATCAAAATGTCCAGAAGCCATCGAGCGATGCCGACAAAAAGATCCCCGATGACAAGAGAACTACTACTCCTTACATGACGAAATATGAGCGGGCACGAGTTTTGGGCACGAGGGCTTTGCAGATCAGGTAATATGTCAGAACCACAATACGTCGAGAGGATCACGGACTGATTCAGTGCAGCATGAATGCTCCTATTTTGGTCGACCTGGAGGGTGAAACTGATCCCCTTCAAATTGCCATCAAAGAATTGAACCAGAAAAAAATTCCACTGGTAATCCGTCGATATCTACCGGATGGATGGTGAGCAACCTCATCCTGCTCGCCGAGGTTTACACTGACAATGATAAAGGTACGAGGATTGGACTTGCGAAGAACTTCTATGATTGCCGAGCTTTATTGACACAAGTCACATCGCAATTCCCACCCAATACCCCTCTTCCGACGTGGCACTCGATGTGTTGCACCACGGGGTCGGTTTCTATGAGGATCTAAACCTGAACTTTTACCGCCTCGGGCCAAATCAGACATTTGAGGCGTAGCGACATCGCTGTACAACATGTGGAGACGTGATATGGTTATCATAGTTGAGTGAAAGAGAACGGTTTGGGAAGTGGGCTCAACACGTATCCCCCTATTTTGGCCATCCTCGAACCCCCCGCGCAAGAGTCAAAATCGGTGGGATCGAAAATGGGAGGCCGAAGAGCCTACATGATGCGATCGGTGACAAGTCTGCCACCCTTCGCGGAGTTCAGATTCCGAAAAGATACCCATGTAGCAAAGTGAATGATGGGAGGAGTCATGTTATGCACGAGTATCGGGATCTGGAACGACAAGCTTGTCTGAGTGGCTCGTCGACTATTATGATAAGATAACTAAGAAATCGAGATATTGTACAAATCTGGACAGGATCAAGTCATTTCTGGCCCTAACCTAGTATTCAGGAAATGCCAGACGTCCATTCCTTGGCCAAGACCAAAGTTCTTTGCCCTTCCAGCAAACCATCCACTTGGATTTCTTCCATGCCCCCTAGAGACGCAAATGGCCATGGAAGAGCGAATGAAGACGGCTAGGCCTCCATGATCGTAAATGGTATGATGTCTAAGGTGGTCCAGGCAAGTCAGGGCCCCACGGAGCCTCGTAGGCCTTGCACAGGCTTCCCCTCCTCCGCTGTCCAGCATCCGCATCCCGTCATCCATATTCTGGGTGTGTATTTAGAGTACGTGCTACGTGTTGGCTGGGTGCCCTCGCCCTCTTTTCTCCCTGGGACTCTCCCTTCTGAGTAGATCGCGACATACACGTGACGACCTCCCACCGGGACAAAGATGTCTTCTTCCTCCAAACTCTCGCCCGGCTCACATGCCACAGCCGTCAACAGCCTAACAATCCACTACACGGTCCTTGCCTCGTCACCCGGTCTCCCGCCTCTCATCATCCACCCAGCCCCCTGGGGCTGCGGCGCAGCCCTGTACATCCAAGCCTTCTCCCGGCTCTCCGCACAATATGCCTTAATCATCCCCTCGCCCCGGGGCAACGATTCGTCTCAACGACCCTCAAGCCCAGACGAAATGTCGTCACGACACCTCGTCTCAGATCTTGAGCAGTTCCGACAATTCCTGGGCCTCGACAAGGTCAGCATCGTTGGCCACTCGTCCGGCGGCACCATCGCGCTGGGCTATGCGATCGCCTACCCCGACCATGTGGACAAGTTGATCCTGCTCAACACGGACCTGTTGGGGTACGAGCGTAAAGACAACTCGTTTTTCCAGGACGTAGGACAAATCCAAGCCAGGATGTCTGTGACCAACGACGAGGAGTTCAAGGAATTGGTTTCGCAAATTTTGCCGCTGTATTTTGCGCATCCGGAACGAGGGGGCCCAGAGGCATTCAAGAAAGTATGGACGAATGTGCCATCGCTCTGGGCGTACGGGGCGTATTATGGCGCGGATAAGTCCGAGGATGGTGCTTGGGACCAGGTCCAGGAGTTGGGCAAAGTCAAGGCGAAGACGCTGGTGGTTGTGGGACGGCAGGATAGGACTTGTGAAATCGAGATCAGTGAGTGTGTCAGTCGGGGTGTGACTGGGAGTAGGCTGGTGGTATTGGAGGACTGTGGGCATATACCGTGGATGGAGCAGGAGAAGCCGTTTTGGGATTTGCTGGAGGAGTTTTTGAAGGAGTAGGAGATGTACTGTGAATATCAATTGAAGGGAAGTTCATAGTGATAGACTGGAATGGATTGATTTCTGCCAACGAATGTGGATTTCGTCGTATTGTCTTGGCGGGCTCTCCAACCCAGGGGTCCTGCGCCCGTTTCGCCCCACAGTGAGTGTTATTGCCACATAGAAGTCGTCTCTGATGTGTCGTCCGTAACGAAAATCACTTCCTAGGTCAAGGAATTATTCTACATACCAGTCATCGGCTTGCTTTGCAAAGTCAATTTCCGCGTATGTGTTGGGTGGAAACCTTATGGCCGCACAGTCAACTTCGATGCCAATTCTCTTGGACGTATCCTGAGGGGGACTATCCAATCCACCGCCACCCATTCCATCTTCTTCTGCTCAGGCAAATCGCACTCGTGGAGTTCGCCTGATAACATATGCGCCCAAATTTTCATCCCAGACAGGATTTTCGAGTGGTGGTATAGGAGAGGGCCGTGGATGACGACTTGGCAGTTTGACTTTCACGAATCTCTCGTACCCTCGTGCCTTTTCTAGGCGGACTTTTTCTAACCGAACCTTTTCGACGGGCACCTTTTTTATGCGCACCGCCCCCCTCTCTTGGAAAACCTTCATTTTCGCCGGGTTTGGTTCCCGAATCTCAATGAGGGGAGAGGTTGGTTCCGGTCGTGGGCAGCGTTCTTCAATCACAGGAGAAATTGGTGTGTGGCACGGTGTCGTGGGTGTCTCGGGGGATCCGTGTGATGCATCCGGCCCTTCTCTTATCTCCAAACGAACATCATCTCTGCATGGTCCTTCGTGGTGGATGAAATGGTGATGGTCATGATGATGTTCGTGGAAGCGAATGGGCCGTTTCGTCGGGTCATTCCGGCAACGACATGGCGCACGCTCAGGCTCCTCTTCGTACACTTCGACGGTGTCTGAGCTTCTGGTGCGGTAAGAGCCATGTCTTTTGCGGACATAGCAAAGTCTCCCTCGCGGTAGTCGCTCAACATAAGTGTAACCGGTTTCGTAAGGTGGGAAGTGAGAACAATACTCAAGACGCGTGAAAAACATGGTGAAAACGATGGTAGGAAGGGGAATGAGATGACATGAGAGAGAGAGGAGGAGGAGATAACACATACGCAGAGAGCTGAAAGGGCGTTTGAGGTAGGGAAGTGGTACGTTTGTCAAAGAAGAGAGTTGGACAACGGGGGCGTGGAAGCCGAGTGACCACCAACAGGATGTACATGACCTTGCAAGATGATACGCAAATTGTGCTCCTCTTCTTTGGAGAATTGGTCTGGTAGCAACAATGATTCGGCCCCATAGTTCATTCATGATGTTGAGTATACAAAGAGCGTACGGAAATGGGCTGACATGACCTAGAATGGATGAATGACTGATGGCCAATTGAGTCATTCCGCAAGTGCATATTCCATTGTTAACGGGATTGTGATGGATGATTGCCATCGTAGATTGTATTATGTAGGTCTCAAGACACCAAGTCAAAGTGTCTCACCGGACATAAAGGTCAGGTGGACGGTGTAACTGGAGAAGGCAAACCAGCCAGGCAGACCCAGAGATCGAGACGCATTCTTGTTCTTCGGAGGAGATTAGCACAGCCTTGTGTATGCCTCGCATGGCCTTCTGGGTGATGTTCATCTGCTGCGAGGCGGTGACGAGGTTAGAGAGGAGGATACTCAACCTTCGTGAAGCAAAACGTCAACATCGACAATAAAATTATGCCTGCCAAGCCGATATTTGAGCCTAGCCTTAATCAGGACTAAATCGTGTTGGCTTATATGACCACACCGTCCGCGTGGGAGATTCTTTCTATCTCAATGTCTCACCTCCATCATCACTTCCGATCATCAAAGCATACCAAGAATTGTCAGTGTCTGCTTACAGATGAATTGAGGCACTTAGACGTACTGGGAAATAACTAGCCGCTTATCCTACCTCTTGAAGCCGCAGCGGATATTCAAGTTCTTGATGAAATGGTGAGTGAATCAATTGTCAGTACTTCTTCACCCGTGTCTCGGGTATCTTGCAGCTCAGCGTCCTGCCTATGTCGGGGTGACAATGGATTCGGACACTTATACTAGCTCGCCATCCCAAGTCGAGGTTCTTTCGGCCATACCTGCATACTATCTCCAGCCATCGACTTCTTGCGTGTGATTGAACGTTAAAGAACATACGATATGAGTTCTCTTTTCGATTTCCTTTGCTCAATGCCGCCAGACTCGGCGTCTAAGTAGACTGACTTCCAAACATTGGGTTTCATGTGTCACTAAGACGGCATGTGCCAACATCGTGGGAGCCAGTCCTTGTGGTTATGCTGCTTCTGGGGCTTTAATTCCTATCACAGGTTCACCCACCTGAGCCAACTCAAGATCTGATCCCACTACTGACGGCCTTGGGTTCAACGGAGGAAGAGGCCTCAGCTCAGGCAGAACGTGCGTGGCATGTGTCTGCACATGATATTATTTGCCTTGCGAGGCGGTCGCTCCATTTGCATTCCTTCGATAGGCCTCTTGCTCGTGCACTCGCTCCTGGATGGCTTTGCAAAGCACGAGGCTGGACGCAACGGTCCCAAGCCCACTGCAACCCGTCGTTCTCATGGCCGGACCACTTTCAAGTCGCGTGCGATAGTGGACGAGTCTTCCGGTTCGATTACCCTCAACCGGGCAGCGACAACTCTTTTCATGGACCCGAAGGTCAAAAGACAGACCACGGTCGGATGGCCTTGGCAACTGACCATCAAATCAGGGACGTCAAAACCGGCGAGGCTGAGACACGAACACACGAGTGGCCGTCAAAGGAGGATCAACATTGAAAATCTTGTTTCATGCATCAACCGGATTGGATCGCCCAAATTGTTGGTGCAAGGCTGCTCGTGTTCAGGGCCAGCTGTGGCTCAATGCAGTTGGCCTGACTCATTTCGGGCATTTTCGGCTCTTTATTATTTGACCATATTTTACTCCGTGGCTCAAACCCCCTTTTCAAACTAGGTGACTTACTTCCTATAGGCCCCTACGACATGCCTTGGTTCGTTACAATTTCTGTCTCTATTCGATGGGTTTGTCAGTCCTTTTGTGACTTGACCAAATCGGCTTCAAGCAAACCTTAAACGGGAACATTGACCCGGTGGTATGCTCCCCAAAACCCGGCCCTCAGTCTTACGCTCGTTCTCTACATACAAACTTCTGTGTGTCATCCTTACTAGACTACGCTCTCCTCATTCATTTTTGTCCACTTCTTCTAGTCAACCCCTTTCCAGTCGTCAGCCTACAAAGAAGCTCGCACGACGCAACGGACTACCATTCAGGAACTCGTCCTTTACAAGGCGATTCTATACTTGTCCCTTGTGGTTTCCCTGCTCGCCGCGGGAACACAAGCATTCTTTCCATTCGACCGGAGGGAGAAATACTTTGGTGCAGATATCGTTTCCCACGAGGCCCCAACTCGTTTTAGGCGAAATGCGTCTTGCTCGTGGAAGCTGTACGCCTCGCGCGAGAGCATTGATGGCGATGGAGCACCCTTCTTGCGTATCTCGAACACCGTTTTTACTCCTTTCCTGAACGATACAAACAATTACTACCACCAACGATATAGATATTTTTGCCAGCTTTCCTGACAATGATACAAGCCTCACAAGCACTTCGATATCATCAATCACCGCGATTATCTCGACAAGAAGTTCCTCGTGAAGTTCCTCGTTGTCCACAGCCGCTAACGTTCTCGACTTCAAGGAGGACCAGCACCAGCTCAAGACCATTTTCATGAATTATCCCAACCACCATGCCACTCGCCCTCATCTTCGCCTTCACCGTCATCGTCACCCTTATCGGCGACGCCCATCACCACTCACCCTTTCTCGGCTCCAATTAAGCCAGCACACACCTATCTGCCCTCAACTTACATACCACCTGCACACGGCGTCATCTATATAGACACCCAAATACATCTCACCAAGCTGTCACACCCTGTCGTTGACCACGCGTCTCTCGACAACACACTAATCATCGTTCCGCACCTCGTACGACGCCGAGAGCATGCCAGTACATCACGACTTTTGCGACCTCAACGATGACCGTGACGAGCGTCGATGTCATGTCCCGCACAACGCGCCTAGGCGTTAATTATCTAGGGAAAACTGGTGGAGTGGAGCCCTATGGGCCCCGATCTGTGCCCAATGCTTGGATCAGGTCGTGAAGATGGGAGCGTCAGTTCGAGAACTAGTCCCTCTTCTGGATCTGGATCTGGGTCCGACTCTGGTTCAGGGCGCGAGATAGGAGTTGTAAGCGAGGCTGCAACTGCCACTGCTACCGCTTCTGCGCACGGGGCCTACGGAAATGAAAAGTACAAGCAGAAAGCTCCTCGAACGAAGAGAACGGCGCATATCGAACTGGGACAGTATATGCTCCCGAGCTCGATGTTAGTTCTAGTGGAGATACTAATCCTGGGTTTAGAAACTCCACCAGCAGAATATACCGGTGGCGCAATCTCGTTGGTTTCGAACTTCCGATCCATAACCGGGGCCTGCAGCCGTGATATTGTCGATTGTAATGGGTGGACTTGCTCTCTGGCTGTGAATTGTTTAATATGTCAGGATTGCGCATACCAATTTTGGAAATTGGACCTTGATATGAAATTCTTTTGTACTGTCTTGTGAAGCAGAAGACATTGATTGGCGCATTCGATCGTTCATTACTATCATGATATTTTCAATTTCAATTTCGGCATCGTCGAGAAAGTGTTCCAAGTCTTTTTTTAAATCGATCATCATCTCTAGAGTCGACATCGGACCTCGTTTGTAGCCTCAGCCCTTCTTTCGTTACAATTTCGACTTCTATCGTAATTCTCATAAGCCAAACTTTCAAGAAAACATTTTCATTTCATGGACCAACCTTGGCCGCTTCATCGTTTCCTTTATTTGAATGAGATAGAATCCACATTGCCACATCTTTCGCATACTGCTCGCCCATCCCATCCGGTTCGGCATGCAACTTATGATATGCGTCAGGATACGATTGAAACGTCTTATCACCCCCCCGTGCCTGCAAAACGTCATACAACCGCTTTGCAGCCACAGGTGAAGTAACTTTGTCCCCACTGCCATGCGAGAACCAGATGGGACAAGATACAGAGGTGCTGAAGCCGTGGACTTTATGTCCGTGGGACAAGGACGACAAGTCTGCCGCGCGCTGAAGGAGACCATTCAAACCCTCAAGCGTTCCTGTGTCATGGCACAATGGATCGTCGACCCAATCTTGTCGCACTTTCGCATCGCGCGACATATATGTCGGACTGAGTTTTTGTTTTAGTTGCGCGTGCGGGAGGAGCAAGGCTGCCAGTTTTCCCGCGGATACCTTGAGGAAGGATGGTTGTTCAGACGGGTCGAGCTCGATGTAGGGCGACTCTAGCAGGAGACCAGAAATGCTACATCGAGATTGAGTTAGGGCCGCGGAGGTCGAGAGCATGTAGCAGAGGGCTTCGCCGCCGCCCATGCTGTGGCCCATGAGAAATAAAGGGAGGCCTTGGGTTTCGGGCAGGGAAGACACGTGCAGAATGAAGTCGTGGATATCAGATAGGACGACCGGAGTCGGTCCTGTGAGGCCGGAATCCGAGGGTTTGGAAACACTGCGCCCCCAACCTCGTTGGTCGAAGGCGTAAACGGCGATGTTGAATGGGAACGAGCTCAGGGTGGGGAAGAAGTTGTAGTATGCTGTAAAAAAGAAAAGACAAATGAGTCGTTGATTTGATTTGATTTGATCTGAAGACCGAGATTTGTTTTGACCAGGATTGGAATGGGGACGGTCATACGTACCGTTGATGTGGTCCGAAAACCCGTGGATGAAGATTAATCCGGCTGGAATAGCAGAGGCGGATTCAGGCTGTGAGTATCAAGGGCCCATTAGCTGCCTTTCCCAGGCTTCCAAGGAGAGAGCATGGATCTGAACATAAATAAACCCTGACCTTCCATGATTTCGTATAGAGCTTTGTGCCATCCCTGGTCATGAACTCCCCCTCCGTTGTAACGACCATTCTCAGCCGACGAGCAGGTACAAGCGACAGGTCCAAAGGCTTGTATATGACAAAGATTCGAGATATCCTGCGGTAACTGATCGATCCAGATGATTCGAACCCCAAAGACGTAGAGGAACAAACGAGCGAACGTACATATAAAAGTATCCCATGAACGCCGGAAGCTGAATAGAGTTCAAATAGTTGATCAATGTCATCACATATCAAGTTCAAATGACACGTCATTTGACTTCCCGGCCACCCAAAATATTTTCTCTGACACAGCCTACACCGGGTTCCACGGCATTTCGATCACCTCAGCTCCTACTAAGCCATCACATCGTACCTGCAATCAGTTGAGTGACTCGTGTAAGACAGGTGGATGTCATCGCATCGCCGGATAGATACGGGAAAGCTAATCTAGCGGTGTATTTGAGAGTGCGAGGTGCGGAAGGAGCTCTGCTCTGAAGGGCCTGTCCTGAGTGTGTACACGGCGACCCCTAGACGGGTCTGTCTGGACAATGGGCTAAATGTCCCTCCCCGGCCGCAATCGTAGGAGCTTGGATGGGGAACGTGCAGAGGTACAGCCACCACACAACATCCAGGCTCTTTCTGTGCCTGTAGGGAGAGTAGGTGATTGGTTTCTCCTTCTCCTGCCTCGCGGCACGAAGTTTGCTCGAACCGTCCGAAACGGGGAAGAGGGAATCCCAGGACGGGAAATGTGAAAATACGAGCTCGGCATCTCTGTCACATCATTGTTGGCGCCGTGTGCGATGAAGAGGTGAGATGCTAAGACAGAGTATACGATGTGGTTGATGATGAGATTCACACCGCCTTAGCCCGGGGAAGAGGACTCTGAGATCGAAACAAAGATCAGACTGTCGTGGTGGTGAACAAAGGCATCCTGCCTGGATGCCGACGAGGCGGACGTCCTAACCTAGATCCTGGATCCTGTCCATATAAATTACGGATGTCTATCTATTCATATTCGTGCTATCTCGACAACGTCTTTCGTCCCATTCGAACATCTCAACCTTCATGTCTCTCACTCAACCCTCCATATAAACACCTTCTTATCAAACCCACCACTGACCAGAATCTCCTCTCCACCCGCCTCCCGGCCAGCATACAACGTCCTCACTTTACTCCCGACTTCATGCGCCTTGAGCATAGCCACGACCTTGCCACTCTGCGTATCCACGCCTCGGATCACTCCGTCGTCGGCGTTGACGAAGACCCCATTCCCTCCCGGGCGCCAGACCACGTGTGGAGTTGAGTAAGGCGTTTGAGGGGCCATGGTCGAGACATGCAACTTGATAGCTTTGTCTTCGCGATCTTGAAGTGCCAGAGCAGCACGGGCTTGTGAGGCCTGAGTCTGTGGTTGTGCATCGTTGGCAATGGCGGGGGCATGGGGATTGTATGACTCGGTGGGGAAAAGAAGGCGGACGATGAGCAGTTTCATGTGGGGCAGGTGAGAAGTTGCGACGGCGAGGAGTGTCGAGTCTGTAGGGCACACAGCTAGAAAAGACGGGGTAAATGCGACCCAGGCATTAGAATGAGGCGCTAGATTCTGGCGACCGGTTTCTTGGACCGAGTATGCGATCTCCCTGCTTCGGGCGGAGGAAGATTCCTCGGCTATAGAGGTGATGCCATAGTAGTACAAAAACGTCGAGTCTCGTCTGGAGACGATAAGATACAGCTCTTTGGTATCAGGATGGCGGACAAGAACCATGGACTCCGGATTTGTCGGTAGAGTAATCGTATGGATTGGATCACGGAGGAGTCCTTGAATGTACGGTTCGTCATTGACCGGGCCAGTCGGTTCAAAGTTCTCAGCCAATTCCTGTTCGGGAACATAGATATGGACTTTCTGGTCCCAACCGGCGGTGGCTATGACCCATTTGCCCTGTCGAGTATACCCTGAGACCACCTGGACCGCATACTTGAGGTGGTGGCGGCATTTGTCCAATAGTCGGCCCTGGGAATCATGAAGCGTGAGTTGTCCTGACATGGAAGCCGAGAAGATGTAGCCATTGTCCAGAGAACTGATCGACAAAACGGGACTTCCATGGACGTTGTTGATTGATCCCAGACGTGCAAAGGGCGCCGACGACGAAATGCGAACCCACGATCTATCAGCACCGGTGACGAAGATGGCTTGATTTCCATCCTCCGCCGTGCCGTGCCCGCTCACACAGAGGACGTTGGACGTCACCGTTAAATCGGGCTCGACCGCTTTGGAAGGCGCGGGCAATGGCCAACCTGTGATTTGATCATCTCCTTTCTTCTCGAATGCAAGGCTTGAGTCGTATTGTTTCTTCTCTTCGAGGATCTTCTCTATCGTCCAGTCTCCTGGATTAGTGATACCTGCATCTTCGGGGAGACCAGCCTCCGCCAGGAAAGCCTCAAGAGCCTGTAGCTTGAATGAGGATCAGCCTCCGGGGAACGTTGCATGACGAACCTCGTTATAGTGGTTTGCTTTCAGAAACCGGGCTACAATGACTGCAGGTGAATCTGTGGCCGGCATCTCTGAATTGAAAGAAAGCTTTGAGGATTATGAAATCAGAAAAGATGGAAGCTATGACATAAAAACGAATGGTCACGTGATCGCCCTCAGCCTTATAATCTCTACAGTAGCTTATAGAACCAATATCGCAAAGGTGTGAGTGACAAGTGATGCGAGAAGGCTTGCCTGAGATGTGTGTCTCAAGGTTTCAAGAAGGGATTTGATGTCCCTAATAGCTGGCCCGCAGCACCTTTTTGATTTCGTGTCATTGTTGGACTTCGTGCGGTGTCCGAGACCCATAGCGACTCTTGTATTCTCGTGGACTTTCATAATCTTTGCTCTTTCCTGCCCACATACCTCTTTTCTTGGTCTTTGCCCACCACTCTGCCCTTCTATACTTCTCTTCCAGTCCTTGGCCAAACTCCGCCCCTGATTTCGCTTCGTAAACCGTGGCTAACCCCGCTCTTAGCATCTGGAGACTAACATCGCGTCGCCAAAGTCCCTTCCAGACATATACAGTCCCCACCACTCTGCTGTATTGATCCATCTTGTAAACGTAGGCTCGAACACGTCTGCCCATCACATACCCTGTCAGCCAATCGAGCGCATCTTGCGCATATGGTTGAGAAGGTCGTCCGAAATGGGCTAGCTCCGGCGCGTCAATTCCTGCCAGACGGACATGGACCTAAGTGCGCGTCAATATAGCAGTGTCATGCTCATCCGTCGTACTCAGTTACCGTTTGATCCCTCAGCTCTTTCTTGTTCACAGGCACTCGCCTTCCAGGAAACCAGCCCCAACCAGCAAGTCGACCGCCCGGCGTATGGTACAATCGAAAATTATCTCCATCTCCCACGCTCGTAACTATTCCCACGATGCTTCTCCGCCGAAAGAAGCCAGGGTGGATGTTGATGGCTTGCGGAATTCGTCGAAGGTAGTTCTTGTAGAACTTGTAGAAACCGAGAGAAGCCGTCGTCAACACGACTGTCGCTATGATCGTCTGAGGTTCCGTGAATGCTCCGAGCTGCGACGGCAATGCATTGGTTGTTTGGCGCCGAAGCGACTCGCTGGTCTCGTGAACTGTATTGGTTGCTGAGTCCAACCCTTTGGTAGTTTTCGACTTCGGGCAATCTTGGGAATCTGACTCATCCTTTGTCGAGGAGGGCCATAGCCTGGGCCATGGCATGGCGAGCTTGCTTGGCCTTGTTTGCTGAAAGAAAAGTACATGCGAATGGAGAGGGGGCATTGGGCACCGCGGACGAATTCTGGGGGAGCATTGAATCTTGAGGCGCAATGTCAACTATCCACACGCGCAGGAACCCGCAGACACCGGCCGTTCAGCGAAATCAGCAACCTGGAAAGCTCCGCTCCCCTGTTACCAGGAGGACATCTATCTATTTTTATATAGAGCTGTCTGAACGAGCTAAAGTACACACCAATCCCAGTCTCAAATAATCGTGAAACAGCAGAAGGAAGCAATGAATGATCTCGATGTAGCCACGTGACTCTACGCTCGAATCATCCCCATGGCTTTCTTTCAGTTTAGGACCAGGTTGTTTTCACCAAACAACTAGCCGTTTCCAAATGCGTAGAGACGACTTTTCTTGAGTTTGATAAAGGACATCTTTGCTCTACGTGATTACGAATGTCGAGACTGAACGCCATTTCGAAGAACTTTCCTACGACGGTTTTGGCGCTGCACCCTTTTCCCTCCCACAACGGCTTACTACCTTCTATAGTTCCTTGAAGGCCTTCCCTACAGATCTCCGCCGGATGAGCCTTCAGCTTACTCTCAGCTGTTCGGACACTCCGCTGAACATCTTTAAAAATTCATGACCCTCGTCGCCCAGCAAAAGACTGATGTGCAGTTTTTTTGCGACGAGGAAAGGTTTGCAAAGCCGAGTCCATTCAAACTGAGAAGGTGATGAAACAATTCAGGCGTCTCTTCATAGTTGGGATTCGAGTGAAATTACTCATGCATACTTGGAAAGTAAAACGACGCAAGACATGGAATTTGGAGATGGTCATAACCTTTCCCTGAGAAAGATGCAGGGAACCCGTTTGTAGGCATGACGGATCTCAATGATTGCAGAGGAGGCCACAGAGGTACTCCCATGATTTGGATATTCGTCCGGACCGGCCTGAGGTTCCTCATCAGAGGCCGGGCTGCCCTCTGGGAGTTGGCCTTCCTCATCCTCCCTCCTCAAACATGCTCTCAATGATCTTCATCTGCAGCAGGTGTAGTCTCTTTTGCAGTGATGGCCTCGACGAGGTCTTTCTCTCAAGTCATGATGAAGGACTCTACGAGCCCACCCCACTCTCCCGTGGAAACTAGACCAGAAGACAATCAATGCCGTGGTCAAGGGTCGAGGACACCAAAGAATCTACGTGTCGCCTATTCATATTCGAAGGTTTGTTGGCGTGATGATAGGGGTGAATCGGTATACCATATACGAGCAAGATTACTTACTGGAGCGCGGCACAGAGAAACACCATGGAGAATACCGAACTGATAGGGTTGAATTGAACTGTTATGAGCTATGAGATCATCAGAGTCAAGATGGGCTGGTCTGCTCTTCTCTGACTTGACCTAAATACTGGAGGAGAAACATAAAACGGAATTGTACCAAAACAAAATGGGGACTGGAACTGGAAAAATAGCTTGTGCATTGAAAATCCATGGGTGATTGGACTTGAGAGATCTGTTAGATGCTTTCGGACTTGGGAGACAGACACAGGATGTGAACTGTGAAGTACTAGTATGAGCGAGAGTTTCGCAGAATCAAGGGCGTCAGAACCAAAACAAAGAAAGTAGAACTCCTTTTCTGCCTGCCATTCATGATTGATTTTCATCTGGTTCGATTTGACTTGATTGACCTAAACACCACCTTGTCTAGGCCTATCTCCCGCTAATGTGATGCGCAACATCCTCCTCCGAAACCCATGGTAATCATTGATTGGATTATGCTGTACGCACCGATTATCCCAGAATGCCACACTTCCCACGTCCCAGCGAAACCGGCACGTGAATTCGGGCTGAATCTGGTGAGCAAACAAAAACCTCAACAACGGCTCGGATTCCCCTTCAGTCCACCCGTCAAAGTGCGAGGTGTGCGCGACGTTGACGTAGAGTGATTTGCGACCTGTTTCGGGGTGCGTGCGGACGACGGGATGCGTGGCTTCGAGGGCAGACGACTGGGTCCCGCTGTCGCGAACACGGTCTTCACGCGTCTTGCTGGCGTCGGCTTTGGTGGACGTGCTTACGGCCCGGAGGCTGGAGAGCGCGTTTTTCAAGCCCTCGGACAGTGACTCGTATGCCGCGTATTGGTTCGCGAACAAGGTGTCGCCGCCAAATGGGGGCACTTCCTTTGCGAGCAGGACCGAGGCCATAGGTGGCTCGGCAAAGTAGGATGTGTCGCTGTGCCAGATGCCGCCGAAGTTGATGCGTTCATGTTCTTGCTTGAGAACCTGGATGATTTCGGGGAAGCCGTCGATGCCCCGGACAAAGGGGTATTCGACGGGTTTGCCGAAGTAAGAGGTGAAGGTGAGGAAGGATGCTGGGTCGAGGTGGTGCTGGTTGCGGAAGAAAATTGCCTGGTGCTGGAGGAATGCGTCTCGGATTTCCTGGACAAGGCTGGGGTTTTGGGGGAGAGTGCTGAGGTCGATGTCGTGGATTTCGGCGCCTAGGGAGCCGGCGATGGGGTGGATGGAGAGGTTTCTCCTGCTGGGAGAGTGGATGAGGGAAGGTGAGTGTGTAGATAATCGTACAGAAGAGCCATATAGGCGCCTTAGGGGAAGGATCCGGGGGGCGTTCATGGAGGTCAGAAGGGAAAGGGGAAATGGGGCAGGCTAGATGGACTTCGGGATGAAAAGGGTGTGGTGACATATACTCATGATTTCATCTTCCCATGATATCTAGGACGTTCCATTATTCTTCAACAATGTATTCCTCCTCACTTATTCTTCCGCTCATCGGCCCGGGATGTCGGATCAAAGTGGTGATGTTGAGAGGGTGTCGGAGAAAAGATGAGCGGAGGAGGGGGGGGTGGCTCTTCAAAGCAGCGGCACGTATCTGCCGAATCCGGAAGCGTTGACAGAAAATGATATCGACCCGAGCCTCGAAGGCTCATTTTTTTGTTATTGGAAGGGCAACCATGTGAAGACCCAAACAAACCCACCATTTGCCTCATCACATAGTAACAATCACTATTATTTTCCATCTCTCGTTGTGTTCTCATCCCCTATTTCCAAAAGCCTAGTTAACCCTCCTCTCCGCGTCATCACGTCACCTCGCGCGCGGTGGATCATCCTCCGACACTTCACTTCACCTGCGACTTCACCAGCCCTTTTTGTCTCTCCCGCATCAGCTGCGTCCGGGCGTTCAACCATGTATTCTCCAGTCTAATACCATTCACGCCACTGTCTTCCCACTAAGAGAGAGACCTTCTGCTCCTCTCCGTCCCAAAAACTCGCCTTTGTTCCTGACCTCTACAATGGCTCTCGCCATGCCGTCCACCATGTCCACGGCGCCGCCGGACGCCGATCTCATGGACATTGACATTGATATGGACATGGACGATCATGGTCCAGCCATCGACGAAGAACTCCAACTTGAAGTATGATATAATCTGATACCCCTGGTTATCATGTAACATGCATCCTCACACTCAATGCAGGAAGGCGAAGAACCCTCATTTGTGCCGTCCGGCGCACCAGCCCCAGATTCCTCCAATCTCATTCCCGCCATCTACACCGAAGACCCCGCCCTCGAACCGCAATGGAACAAAGTCCATATTCGTGGCGTGGACGAAATGCACACCAACGACATCCTTGCTTTTGTCCATGACCACTTTAGTGAAGCGGGTGGTGATGATGTCCATATTCAGTGGATCGATGACACATCTGCAAATATCGTCTTCAAGGACAAAGAAACGGCCAAACGGGCACAACTGGCGTTCCTCGCAAGTCCTCTCTCGGTCGAAGAGCTGACAAACGAACCATTCGAGCTACGAACCGCGAAACCGTTGGCCAGTCGGCCAGGAAGTATGCTCGTGGTCCGCGTATCGCAAGCGGGCGATAGGAAGAAGAAGGGAGCCCGGGACGCCAGTCGATACTACCTGCTCCACCCTGACCAAGATCCTACAGAACGGATGCGGCGAGAATTTGCAAACAGCCGAAACTCGAGAAATGAGAATGGTGATTACAGACGCAGACGGTTTGACGACCGGGAGCTGTCCAGAAGAAGGAGAGACAACGATCACAATGCCGATGGAACAGATTTTTCTGCAAACATGTATGACGACGCGCCCGCGACAGAACCGGAGACCACCGGAAGAGGTCGCGACCTATTTTCACGAGTTTCAAAGACACGACGAAGAAGTGCCAGCCCCAGTGGACGAACACGCCACAGTGATGAAGTTGAAATATCTGACTCAGACGAAGACGGTCGTCATCGCCGGAGAGGAAATGGTTACCGCGACCGCAGCGACCGAGGTCCTCGATCGAACGCCGGTAAAGAACTTTTCGGTCCAGCCTCGGATCGAAAACCCGGCGGTCTACACTCGGACAGACTCGAGCTCTTCCCTTCAAAGATGGCAGATGCAGACACGTCCATGACTGCTGATCCTCCAGGGTGGAGTGCGGGTTCAAAGACGCCCTCCGATCCAGTAAATGCACGCGCCAATGCTGCCGCAGCGAAACGATTGAAAGCCGATCTTTTAAGCGCCGCACAGACGAGTCCTCGCCCCAATCACCGACGCAGTCACGCCATGGACGCGAAGAATGAGGAAGATCTCGCCGAGCGGTTCGCCCGAAAGTCAATTTCGATCGATAGCACCAAGTCGTTCAAAAATGGGATGTTGAATAGCGGTGGTATTGAACTATTTCCTTCGGGTCCCAATGGCGGCGGCGGTGGCGGTGGTTTGAGCATCAAAGGCTCTGCGTTGGATACTAGGAATAATGATGGTTTCAGTATCAAAGGATCCGGCGGACTCAGCATCAAGGGCCGAGCGGAGGCGAAGGAATTGTTTCCCAATCAGTATGTGCATGGAGGAAGGAATGAAGGCAAAGAACTCTTCGATGCCCCTGTGAGGGAGAAGAGAGTGAGACGTCGAGCGGGGGACTTATTCGATTGAAGTTCCCGAGGCCCAATAGATCGAAACACAGATATGATACAAAGTTTGCAGTTGGCTACATATCCAGAGCTGGTCATTCTTGAGAATTGAGATATAATGGGATTAACGGAATGGAGAGAAATAATGAGATGAAATGAAATGAAAATGATCCATCCAGGTTTCAATGAGTACAATGCGTTTTTGTACCTACGAAATGATCGCCCCAACGATGCTCGTCTAGAGTAGATTACGACGGTATCTGCCCTGTGCAATAAGACACGCCTGTCGATACCTGCCAAGGCCAATGGCTCTGAAGGGACTCTGACGAGGAATTCTGTTCGGCCTCACAGAGCGGTCCTCCAGCGGCATTGACATCGTTGTAGAGGAGCTGGGGTGGGAATGAAGATATCGACATCTTCGTAAGATCTGTTTGATTGACTTTGGAGGGTGGTCCCCATCATTTGCTAGATACTGTTTCCCAAGCTTAATCGTATCGCGGAGCGATGGTAAATCTTCTTTCACTGAGGCAAGACAGGCATGCCCGCATCCTCGCTTGTTCAATCAATCAGAGACCATCCTGCAGTGTCCTCTGAGAGCAAGAAAGATGGCTTTTGCTGATTCGTTCAACTAGGAGACACCTTGCAGCTCGATGCAGTATGGGTATAGTTGCACTCGTTAGCGACATCTTCGGTTGTCATCGCCTCGAGTGGAGTTCAGCCACTGAGAATCGGCCCAGACCGAGAAGTCGTTTCAGGATCGTTGAATATCACCATATCTTCTCTCTCCTATCTTCAAGTTTCGCCATTACGTCGCGCCCAATGAAGCCAATGCGCCTCGCAACTCTCTGATAGCAGTGGGTACATCCTCAAAATTTAGAGCCGAGATTGCCCATCGTGCATGCTTCTGAGCCGTCATCATTGCTTCTTCATCAACCACCACGTTGACTGGTTGTGTGGATGGGGCTGCTGGCACAGGATATGCAGGATAGACCGGCGATGAGGTTATGACTTGTTGCGGTGGAGGAACAGGAGGGACAGCTCCATGAGCCTGTCGCAGTTGTGGAGGATTTTGAGGAATCTGAGGTATTGGAGCTTGTGGTTGGAAATTCGGAGGGATTTGGGGCGGTTGACCGGGAGCAGCTTGAGGAAGAAATTGTCCATGTCGATGTGGTGGTGGAGGTGGAGATTGGCGACTCAGTTGGTTTAGAGTCGCAAGCGAGCTTCGCCCCGAAGCGAGTGAAGGTTCTGAAGGGGCTGAAGGCAAGCCTGGAGCACCTCCCGCGAGATCTGTTGTCGGAGAAGCTACAGTAGGCCCCCCCGCCATTGTCGGAGCTGAAGGAAGTTCTGGTGTTGGTGGAGAAGGTGCCCTGGGAAAGTAATCCCCTCCTATTGACGGCTTTCGATTCGTGGGGGGATCCAGTGGTGAGATATCTGCTGGCTCCGGCTGGTTGGTATAAAATGCGGCTGCATCTTGTGCTGCTAAGGGTGAGACATCGTTCGCCGGCGTACGTGATAGCGATGGTGCTCTAGAAGGATGAAGGGACTCGTCAATTGAGGACTGCTTAGCAAGACTACGCTGGACACGATCTGCTTCGTCAGGTACGTCCACGACAGAAGGCTGATGACCTTTTTTCGCTGTTGGTGGCGGCATGGATGTGTCTCTAGATGGGTGTAACGACTCGTCCAATATAGATTTCTGCGCAAGGCCTCTCTGTACTTTGTCGGCTTCGTCTGGGACTTCAACCACGGAAGGCTGTCTCGGTTTTCCGGCGTTGCTTCCTAAAGCCTGTACATCCGCGTCACCGAGATCAAAAGCAGGCAAAGTTTCCTCGGTGGGAGTTTGCGGCTTCGGATTTGACAAATTTGGATCTTCGCCAGCTTTCAATGCTTTGGCTATTCTCACAGCATGAAATTTCGCAAACTTGATCTTGGCCGCGATTTCGGGATCAACGGGGCCCCAGATCTGAAGAAGCTCGAGGAAGGTAGCTGAGGCTCGGAATGTGTCCGCCGTCTGCCTCGAAGCTTTATTCGCTCTGACTGCATTATCTGCTCTTTCAAATGTTTCCAGACCAAATTGTTCAACATATGCTTTTCCGGCAATGTCATCGGTGACCGCGGGTTCTTCGGCATGTTCAGCTTTGAACTGAAGAGAATGATTAGCCTAGAAAAGAGACCTGACGCTGTTATGGACATACCTGTTCCAACTTATCCATCAGTGCAGTGGTATAGGCAAGGCTCTCTTGGTCTGCATTGTGCAAGCCCTTTGACAAGATTTGATTGACCATCCAGTATGTGCCTAAGGAATTGGTTAAAAGCAATATTCTTTTCCCAAAGCTTAAGGCAGCATACACCAATAGGCTATGATGGGCTTGGGTTTCTCCAGTTGCGCTGCTCGATGAGCGAAATGTGTGATGTCGGCTGCTTTGAGTGCAGCCGGAACTTGAGCTACCATAGTGAGCGATGAAACTTGCGTCCCAATGCAGAAGCAAATGCTAGATCGAGAAATTATGCTTTTCAGCGGGTTTGCAGGAAGTTGTCGAGAATGCGGAGCTCAGATGACGTCTGGGGAGTTGTGGATGGAATAGCCCAGGCTGCCAAGAATGCTAAAAAGAAGACCCCCTCGACCGCAGCCTCGTCAACTGCAGCGTCAGCCTTGTTCCCCGCATCATCCACTACGGTCAAGCACAAGGTTCATAAGCTTTGTTACACGATCTAATGCCAATACGGGGGTGGTTGAAAGACCCGGAATCAGAATGTTTCAGAAGATTGGTGGCGATCTCTTTTTGCTTTCCGCGATGCTTGGCCGAGATCCAGGGCTCTTTTCAAACCTTGAACGTCCAAGGGGTGGAAATCTTCAAAAGAGACTTCACTCCAACTTATTCACAGTCGTATATTGACGGGTCCAATCCATTTGATATATCAAGACTCACGGTGCTCATCCTTGGTTCCCTTTTATTGCCAAATGGATTTCATTGAGTGATCTGATGTTGAACGGTTGAACAAGTAGCCAGTGGCCCTTTTTGGGATATAGGGGTAGGGGTAGGAATAGGAGAAGAAAGGGGTCAACCAAGCAAGTATAAATACCAGCAACCTGGCAGGACCGGTTGCTAGATAGACGGAGCATTCAATACAAATTCTCTCGAGATACTCAGTTTAACATCTGAGGACCGCTGTAGACAGTTCCTCGTTATGTTTTTACATAGAGCATCCATGGCACCACCTTCCTTTACTGTCACCCTTCTAAACATTTGAGGGCTGAACATTGTCTTACCGAGCGCACATTAGGTCCCAGTCTGGGCGATTTTATAGAATCCGTCGTCGATGCTAGAGGCCTCGTCGTTGTGGAGTTATCGAGGTGGTAAGAGCAGTGTTGCCTGGAGAATGGCAAGCCATTTGCGGAGTCATGCGGCCTGTCTCGCAGTACAGCCTTGACGCCCAACAAAATTCACAACCTCAGACGACAACCATATTAAAAGAGCAGAAAAACAGAGGCCTTCTACAAAAGCAATCCGTCCACATGACAGTGGACGAATTCAAGTCAACATGGCTCTCCCCAACCAGCTTTACGTTGACCACGCGTACGAAGAGTACCTCTGTCGCCCCTGTGATCGACGATTCTCAACCTTGAATGGTGCGCTCAACCACTGTCAAAATGCCGCGGTACATCGTGGAGAATGGTGCACACGCTGCGAACGGCTCTTCGTCTCGCCTGCTGCGCGCAACGCTCACGTTGCCAATTCTTCCCGGCATCACATTTGTGACCGCTGCGACTTAGACTTTCCAACTTTCAGGCAACATCGAGGTCACGATATCAGTGTCCACCACCTGTGTACCGAATGCGGTCAAGAATTTTCCAACGACAACAATCTTCAACAGGTATGACAACACATGGTCCTTTTTAGCACACCAGGTTTGGCCCAAAGCTGACACATGTTTCTCTTTTTTCAGCACAAGAGAGCCCACTTACCGCAGAACCTCACATGTTTCGGTTGTCATCGTAGGTTTCGTGAATTCTCCGCTATGATAATTCACCTCGAATCAGGAGCCTGCGAAAGCGGAGTCGACGGAGATGATATTGTCAACTGGGTATTCGATGATTTCGCTTGCTCGAAATACACGAATGGCTGGACGGACAATTATCGATTCCGCTGCCCCGACTGTGGTACAAAATTCCGTTTTGTTAGCGCCTTGCTGCAACACGTGTCCAGTCAAGCTTGCGATCAAGGCTTCACAGAAACCAATTTTGAGATCAAGGCCTCCATCGAGCGGCGGATTAGCGACTCGGAATGTAAAATTCTACTGGGTGGATGGAGTTAAGGAAAGTCCATGTCAAGGATTGGTGATGTATCATTATCAGCGGAGCTTCTAGTTAGCGGCAAATCAGGAGATGATCATTCACGTAAGGAGAGCTGTCCTGGCATCCTCCCCATGCAGATTGGGAGACTCGAGCATCCTGCTTGTATCAGTCTCTTACCAGTCCGATACTGATGCCTTCATCAAAGCGCTACTTTGGGCACACCTGAGAATAGAAGGTCACTTGCCTGTCTTTATTGTTGGCATCAGGCGATCACCCGGTATGCTGAATGCCTCGCCGTTGTATTGTCGGGTGCGGAAGCTGTCTGCAAAACGCAGTTTGTACTTTTTGATATAGAAAGAACACTTTCGGAAACGGGACAAACAATGGCTCTCGTTTTCCTTTCGCGGAGGGCTCCTTGAATTGTGCTCTACTTCTTTTTTTCATGTATATCCCTCAGCCTTCTAGGCTTAGCTGAGGCGAGATCGCCGACTCCCCAAACTTCCCCCAACGCATCAGCGAAATGACATCCGCCGGTACGATTCGAGCACCAGCTTTTCTCACTCGCTCATTAGTTTTCACTCCTCCTCACGTATACCACCGTGCGGTCAAATCCTCTCCGTCAAGGTCCAGCTCTTACTGACCGTGTCTTCCTAGAGCTCCCTCGAAGTATTCGGCGAAGTCTCGATCTCGACAAACCCCATGCCAGAACACTACATTGCTCACCCCGCTCAGCTGCCGCAGCAGCCTCGTCTACTTCCGCAATCCCTCATATTTCGCTACACATTGCCGCCTCTTCCAGCGGCAAGGGACGGAAATATCACCCGGAACTGAGTACATTCGATTACTATCCAAGCAACACTGATGGATTGGGCCTCCAACATGGTTCGACAATTGAGGAGAAAAGGTCTCACCGTCCTGACAGTGGACAAGATGCATATTTTGTGGCCCGAGTCGGGCAAGATTCGGACATAACAGCTTTCGCTATAGCGGACGGTGTGGGCGGTTGGACCGAGCATGGCGTCGATCCTGCTGACTTCTCCCACGGCCTTTGCAGCTACATGGCCGAAACAGCGCTTTCATGGTCCCGAGATGAACGGCTCGGCCCTAAACAACTTCTTGAGATGGGATATGAGAAAATAATCAGCGACCCTGCAATCCGAGCAGGGGGCACAACGGCCTGTGTTGCAGTGACGCAAGCAGATGGGCGAATGCGCGTTGCCAATCTGGGAGATTCCGGCTTCCTCCAGCTCCGACTGGGAACGGTGCACCACTACTCGAACCCACAGACCCATGCATTCAACACTCCATATCAAATGAGTCTAACTCCGCCTGAGATCCTCGCTCAGGCAATGGTCTTTGGAGGGATGCCCCTAAATGACAAACCCGACCGAGCCGACTTAGCTGATCACATGCTGCGGCACGGCGACGTGTTGGTTCTGGCAACAGACGGTGTCTGGGACAACCTCAATTCCCAGGACGTCCTGTCCATCGTCTCAAAGCGCATGCGCATGACGGGCGCGTGGTTAAGGTCTCCCGACCAAGGATATACCATCTCTCCCGTCCTCTCCGAACTGGTGGACAAATCAATTGGCCTACAGAAACATAAGATGCCCGGGACGTTGCAAAGTGTCCTGGCAGCGGCGATTGTTGGGGAGGCCAAAACCGCCAGTCTCAGTGCGAAGCGAGACAGCCCATTCGCTAAAGAGATGCAGAAGCAGTTCCCTTTCGACCCGTGGCACGGTGGAAAGGTAGACGATATTGCAGTCTTAGTGGTGATTCCAGTTAATAAAGGGAGTACGGAAAAAGAGGGCGATGGTGACAGGATCAAGGCCAAGTTATGATCACGTTGGTTCAAGGCATCGGTTTTGGGCACAGCAATGATACATTACTGAGGTCAGACTGGGTTCGCAAACCCCAGTCTGCTTCTCCGAACCTTCTCCCAGTCAGCATACTTTGACAACACCGATATTGAAAATATGGCAATGTATGGTGCAAAACAACATGAGGGTGGTCAGATGACTCAGTTCGTGACAGCACGGCACAGCACAGCGTTGGCGTTTGGGATCTGCATATACTATCTAGGAAGCGTGATCCTTTCTGGTGGGTGTTTTTCCCTACAGTGCGACGGAGGCAGGATTCTTGATCACGAATTTTTGCAGAGCTCATGTACATCACATTAGAATTTACGCGCGATACATGTATAGTTTAGCAAGAGCAGCAAAGCTACTCGGAGGAAAATACAATGAATAAAAATCCATGAGAAGATGTGCTTTCATCACAATTTTGAAAAGAGCCCATGAAATGGTTACCAACGCCGCTCCGGACTGTGCTAAATGAAGCCTCGATTCCGGTCCTCCGCCCGCGTACCTACGTACCTACCGGAGAGTAAACAAGAGGAAAGGTCTCGACCAGCACGACGCTATAGCTGTCTCCCTGGGAGATTCCAGTTTCCACAACATTCCGACATAGTCCATTGCATTTCTCGTAGGAATTTTGTGTCCTCGACAAACTCTAATCATCACATTACATCACATCAAACTTTCGACCGATGTCCAATTTGACCCACTCTAGGGAGCCCTTCGCCGAATTCCAACATTGTATCCCAGCGGCTTTCTGAGGAAGCCCTCCCTCGTCTCCATGGGACCGTTATGCTCGTCTCTGAACTCGAAGTTGCGGAACACGGTACCAACAATGCATTTGAGTTCCATCTCAGCGACGTTTCGGCCGACACAGGCTCGGGGACCGATCGAGAAAGGAATGAAAGCCTCCTTCTGTCGGCCAGTCAGGCGATCTTCAGCCCAGCGCTCAGGCACGAATTCGTCCGCATCAGGTCCCCAGATTTCCTTGGAGTGGTGGATCGTGTAAGATGGAACGCTGAGAGCGGTGCCCGGCGGGAAGCTGTAGCCTAGGATCTCAACCGGTCCGGGGTTCGGGTTATCGGGTGTGGCGGAGGGGACAAGTCGAGGGAGTCCCAGGGAGCTGGTGCTATGGATGCGCATTGTTTCATTGATCACCCACTGCACGTAGGGAAGGTCTTTGACTTGTTCGTAGGCCGGTACACCAGGTCCGATTGACGCGTCGAGCTCTTTCTGTAGCGTCTCCAGAACCCGGGGAGTTCGAATGACCCAGTACAAGATGGCGCAGGAGGTGTTGGAGGTCGTGTCGCTGCCAGCGATAAGCTGGGTCAAAGCTTCTGCAGTGAGTTCCTCGCGACCCAGTTTCTCGCCGTTGGCGTCTTTGCCTTCCATGAGTCGAGCGAGAAGATCAACACGGTCGGTGTTGGGGTTTTCCAAGCGCTGCTTCACACGAGCAATTGCAATGCCAGCAAGATTTTCAACGGCTTCGACACCCTGGCTGAAGAATGAGTCAGGGAGATATCTAGCGTAAGGCTTAAGCTGAGGTAAGCACCCGAGGGTCCCCGAGACTTCGCCACGGCGGTTGAGGACCTCGATGGCGGGTGCAGTGGTTGGTGGGGCGTCTGGAGATTTACGAATCTCAGCAATATCCTTTTCACGCTCGAGCATACCGAAGGGCTGGCCAAAGGCAAGATCCCCAATGATGTCGAAGGCGAGGTAGTTGAACCAGTGTAGTGCATCAATGGAGGCATAGCCAGTAGACGGATTCTTCTTGACTTTGGAAATATTGTCCCACTTGTGCATGAAGAGCTCGAGGTTCGCGTGAATGTATTGTTCGAACTCCCCAATGGATTTGGCCGAGAAAGTGTGCGAGACAACCTTGCGTTTGCGGGTGTGCTCGGCTCGGTCACGAGTATTGAATAGACCTCGTCGAATGGAGACGAAGGCATCGTAGTACTCGCTGGATGTATGTTAGAACAAGGGACCTTGACACTGATGGATGGTCTTCAAGATGGAGATACGTACGATTTCAGAAAACCATTGCCATGCCCGTAGATGGTGTTGATGGCATGGTCATCCGCGATTGAGACATGATTGGGCTGAATGCGTACCACTTTGCCATACTCCTTGTGCAGATCGTCCACGGCTTGATATCGGCGTCCTCGACGACATTGGTACAGCAACCAAAAATTCGACAGAGCGGCCGGTAGTGGACCAGGGACTTTGAGAAGGCTCCAGTTCCGGAGATATGGGAGAAGAAAGTATAGGACGGGGAGAAGGAGGAGAGCGTAGGGTGAAATGGCTGAGGTGACAAGCATGGTGACAAGAAACTTTGGACAAGCACTGACTTCTAAGAGAATTGAGAAGTCGACCAAGTCAATACAGACCGCAATGGACTGGCATTGGATTCGATCGAGGATAGCAAATAGCCTTTTTATACAAACGGTCAGCCCCCGCAGCCGAAGCTGGACGAAGCTGAGCTGGGCGGTAAACCGAACGAGTGAATAGCAATCGGTGCCCACAGACGACGAGCCAGACGGTGCCGGTGCACAAGGGCGGCGGTGGTCAACGGTCACGCTGAAGAGAAACGGAAGTTGAGGTCGGGAAGTGAGGAGAATTTGCTTGTTGGTGATTGGAGGTCCGCAGCAGAATGTGCGCCTCCTCCAGATTGTGCTGCTTTAGAGTTTGCTAACGAAGCCCCGCCTCTCCATGCCTCGGTGCCCGCCGATTTATTCGCCTCCCGGTTTCCCGCCGCTTTACACATACCAATCATAGCCGAGCTGCGCAGGTTCCACGACGACTGGAACCTTCAAGCCCTGGCATCATGACATGCAACTAATATGCGATTTGGGAGTGTGCAACAAGACTCTGACTCGCCTATTTTCGTTCCCTCATCCGATCCGTGGCCCACATTATCACTCGGCTGTTCAGGCCAGCTTATGTCATTATGGGGCTGTCTCGCTGGCCATTAGCCTTCTCAATGATTTCCCTCTTTCGGATAATGACTGTCCGGCCAAAGTGGCGATTATGGACTTGAGGCGTCCCATCCGAAGGGAGCACTTCACCCGGATCTGGCTTCATTCCCAACATAAACATACCGCGTCTCACATCCTTTGAAAGCGCCCCCCCCCCCCCCCGAGTTTTGTGCGGTCGTCCGTCCGAGGTATCTTTCTTTCACCGCATCCACCCCCTCCAAAAGGAAGCCCCTGAAAGGGATGGTGCTTTGTTGAACATTATTGAAATTATGCTGCGGCTTCCATTGACCTCTGGTTGCTCTCACTCTATGCGCAGAACACATATCACTTGCTGAACCGGAAGTATGGAGATGTAGATGATCTCCCTTTAGTGCGGCGCCTGTTCAGCCGCCAGCTCCTAGAGATAACAGCAGTCAACCTCCATCTTTGTGCATCCGTCTCACTTGCTTACCGGAAAACTCTCACTAAGACCAGCCGCGCACCGCTCCACATCTTCCACCAAGCCTTGGACTCCTTGATCCCATTGTTGAAGATCTCGAATTGGACCTCTCAGTTCGACACCTGGAACCGTTTCGAACAGGATCACCCCTGCAATCTGATCAATCTCTCCTCGGAGCCGACCTTGTTCAACCATTCGTGCGGCATAATCTTCAGCCTTCTCCGCCGCGGTTTCGTCTTTGCCATCCTTGAGACCGAGAATCCGTGCAAGAGCAGCCGTTGTAATGTTTTCATACAGTCGACTTGTGGCAAGCAAGTTGTGCTCGATGACAGCCTTGCTCAAGACGGTACTGCCGTCCGACGTTTTGGCGAGCTGATGAGGTGCCAGGGTAGATGCGAATGCGTCGACTTCCGCGGCAGACAGTAATCGGTCCAAGAACATATTCTCCAAAATCCCATACTCTTCCGTCTCCGGCGACCTCTCATCCTTGTACAGCTTTGCCAGTGTGCGACTTCTTTGCGGACCTGCTGGAGCGAGAATGGCTGTTTTGATAGCTGCAGAGAGGGCCCGTTTCCGTTCCTCGTCATCGGTCATTGAGTTGAAAGACACATGGAAATATTCCGCAGACGCATTCAGGAAATCTCGACGAGAGTCCAAGATGCGTGCTTGGGATAATTGGTAGTGTAGTCTCAGATCTGGAGCGTCTTTCAAGACCTGTGCGGCTGCGGCCGAGTTTTTGATCTTGTTCAATGCTGTCTCCGCGGCCACGGTATCATCCTCCTCCAGATAATATCGGACAATCCGGATCCATGTTTCGACCTTAGATCGATCTGAGACTTGACGTTGAGTGGTGTCTAGATTTATGCCTTGTAAGGCCTTGGCAGCCGCAGAGTATTCCTCCTCCGCCTCGTATCCATCCGCTAGTATCTCTCTGACTGCAGCATCCTGCTCTTCATATGAAGCTAGGTGAGACCGCAATGCTTCGGCGATATGAGACCCAACCTTGACCTTGACCTCGGATGGGACAGAAGTGAGGGACTTGATGAGGCTGGCCAGGAGGGGCCGGACAGTAATGATTCCGAGCGAGGAAGAGAGCGCCGAATCGACAAATGTGATCAGATTTGCCGCATGCTGTTCAGGGGAAGCAGGTGAAGAACCAGTCAGTTCAGAGAGGAGGGTATTGTAAGTTTCAGTCTTGACCGCAGCAGAACTATCGGCAACAGATTCAAGCATAGCTATGAGTTCTGGGGAGGCCATCTTTGGGGTCGTTGATTGTTGATTGGCAAAGGGAGAACCTATAGCAGTGGTTCACCATTTCAATGGCGAGGACGTGTTTGACATGGAATGAGCAAAGAGAGTGTCGACCACATGCATTCGCAGGCCACGTGATTGTAATCGCGCCCTAAAGTTTCTTCGTCCACCGTAGCTGCTTAACCGGATTAACCAGTATATTGGATAACCCCCGTTGCGGCGGATACGAAGCACTCATATTTCCTATCGCTTCGTGTTAGAGATCATCGATACACTTTTCTGTTCTGCACCTTCACCAGCGTTGTGCAGATCTGGCCATGCATGATCATTTACTACCAAATAGAGGTCATATCCGTTGTGCTGTTCGCCGGAACTCATACCACTTCCAGCAGTCCTTTCCTTGTTTCGAATACCTTCCTGACCATCCCAATTCGTTCTTGGTATAAGGCTCCCGACTACTTACATATGATCAGCTTCCAGGGACAAAATATCCGTCCGAGAGGTGAGACTTCGAGCCTTCAGCTAGATCATACCTGGTCTAGAGCTACAGAGCCTCGCTGCTGTGACATACATTCTGACCAACAATTCCCCAAATTGGTACTTGGCTGAGGCCTCGAGAAAGAGTCAAGCGAAGACCCCCGAGTGCTACTCCGACAGCCTTATCTCCTTCGGGAGATACCCAATTGAAATGACAGAGTGATTCGGCAAACCGAGGGTCCTTTCTTTGCATACTCCAGGCCCGCATCAAGGAATCGTCCCGAGGAGATAACACTCTCCGACATCGACATATTTCATGCCGTGGTACTTCTTCCGGGGACGTGAGTAGTATGAGAAGACAGCTGTACCGCCCAGGGAGCCCGGGACTGAGTCTCCGTTTGTATATCCCACTCTAGCAATGAAGTTTTGGCAAAACATCTCGTTGATGACGATAAAGTAGCAGCTTCCAGCTTTCCCCTTCACACCCATCTCACTGCCTGATATCCTTTCTGTTTTTCTTGTTCAATCTCATCAACACAAAATCCTAACGTCAAGTCAATCAAAATGGTTCTCTCCCCGGAAGAATACAATGGCAAATTATACATCAACAATGAGTTCGTTCCCTCCCACGGCTCCGAACGCATGACTCTCACAAAACCCCTGGGATGAATCAACCGTTGCAACCGACATCCACGTGGCCAACGGCGCCGACATTGACGCTGCAGTCTCCGCCTCCCTCAACGTTCTAAAGAAGGGACCATGGAAGAAATTTACCGGCGCACAACGTGCAACGCGTATGCTCAAATTCGCGGATCTGGTGGAACAGAACGCTGATAAACTCGCTCGTCTAGAGTCGCTACCCACGGGACGACCCATCTCCGTGATTAAGCATTTCGACATCCCCTACATGGCCTCGTACACCGCTTTTATGCGGGCTAGGCTGATAAAATTGCTAGGAAAAGCTTCACGGAAGAAAACGGAACATACAAGATCGTCCGCTACGAACCCGTGGGTGTCTGCGCAGGTATCGCCTCCTGGAATGCCGCTTTCGTCTACGTTGGGTGGAAAATCGCCCCCGCCCTCGCAGCAGGTTGCTCATTCATCTTCAAAACATCGGAAAAATCACCACTGGGCGTGCTCGGCCTAGCACCTCTATATGCCGAAGCCGGCTTCCCCCTTGGTGTCGTGCAATTCGTGAGAGGTGCTCGAGATACCGGCGCCGCATTAGCCTCACACATGAACATCGCGAAGATCAGCTTTACTGGTTCCATCACGGCCCGACGTGCCGTACAAGCAGCAGCTGCCAAATCCGACTTGAAGCGGGTGACCCTCGAACTGGGCGGAAAATTGCCGGCTATCGTCTTCAATGACGCTCCCCTTGAAGCTGCAGTCGGTGGTGTCGGGCAAGGCTTTCTACTCAACTCGGGCCAGGTCTGTGTCGCCGCATCTCGCGTTCTAGTCCAAGAAGACATCGCGCCCAGGTTCCAAGAAGCCGTGAATGCAGCCTTTGAATCTGTCTCTGCCGGAACGGGCGCGAATCCCTTGGAGCCAACAACCACGCATGGACCCGTCGTGGACAAGGCGCAGTATGACCGTGTCATGGGATATACACTGACATTGGCAAGGACACGGCGACATTGCTCACGGTGAGCCGACGCTTTTCATGAATCCCAAACTTGGCAATCGTATCTGGAATGAAGAGATCTTTGGCCCTGTGATGACCATCAAGACCTTCAAGACGGAGGAAGAAGAGATCGAACTCGCCAACGAAACTACATACGGCTTGGCTTGTAAGTTCATTTTCTTTCCCTCCTAGGTTCATTTTTCTGCTTTCGCCTCTTGCAATTCCCGGCCGTTCTAACAGTCACGGCTCCAGCGACGATCTACACTTCTTCATCGACACGTGGTCTCCGCGTAGCTTCGTCTATTGAGTCTGGCGGCGTGGCGATCAACTCACCTTTCTTCCCTGAACCTCAAACACCCTTTGGCGGAATGAAGGAGTCTGGCAATGGACGCGAGTTGGGCGAGGAAGGTCTCACGGCATATCTTGAACCTAAAAGTATTCATATTAAGTAAGTGAGGCCTGGATCCCTAATCCCAGCGTCGAGTGTGGATACGGGACAAGCATCAACGCTAATGTGGTTGTGCGATATAGTATGAATGTTTAGTGGGTGATGCATGAGCCATACAATGGAACATGGGCCTTTGAGTCGTTGTTTTGTATGAATGACTACAGGTCTATTTAAGCGGGCAATCCGCGGATAGCAGGGATCCATTTACACAAACATCCTAGGATCCAGTGCCCAAAAACGCTCGTTCCAGTTGAATGCTGTGGAAAAGGCCATAGGGGATATCGGCTTAAATGGAAAAGAAAGGACCATCTACTTTGTCTTTTTGGGGGGGGGGGGGGGGGGGGGAAATACGTCAAATCCAATGAGTTGGCTTGTTCTAAACCGAGGTCACTTCCAGGCAACTACACATTATACCCGACCCAATAAACCTGATCCTTTGTTTTGCTTGATTTTGCCTTTTCTCATGAGACTGTTACTCGGTCAACCTTTTCCCATGCCTGAATGAGAGACATATGGTTCAGGGACTCCCCCAACAGAATCCTCATGCCATGCATGATCCCTACGCCCAATCGAAATCATGACCTTCGTTTGTGGCAGACTCACGTATCTCTTCCTACACAACGAGTATGACATGGCGAGGACCAGGGTAAGCATGATGCCTCCGCATACATCGCCGACCACACCACCGATGATTGTCTCAGTATCGAATACCGGCAACAGAAAGCTTAGCAGGAAACACCGGGGCAGTTGGATTTGCAGGCTCGGATGAGATTGTGGTACTAGAAATGGTAGTGGTTATGAGGCTACTTGTCGAAGAAAATGAAGATGAAGTTATTTTGCGCGTTGTATATGATGAGTGTGATCGTGTTGTTGAAGTCGTTTGCTTCATTGTCGAGCTGGTGATGCTGCTGATGGCAACTGCATCGGCTGGGCAGCATACAACGTCACCCCTTCTCTTGGTCGCAAGAGTACCCTGTCCACCGCTCGGAGCTTGAGCGATCGATGTAAATGTACTTGGAACATGATGGTGCTGAGCTGGGGCTGCAAAGTTCACTCCATTAGCGCATCGTTCGGCGTAAAGATGATATAAAAGTCCAACCAATGAAGACATCTGCCAGCACATGAATTTGTGTGACTGTCTCCGTAGCACGTTGTGCGGAATTTCCAATTATTGCCATTGTCACAGCGACCTTGCAGCTCGTTGGCGAAGGCACAGACGGATTTCGAGCCTGAACAGACTTGCCGGGTCTCCGTCGGAGTAATAGCCTTGCAATTGGGCGCAGATCTAGGAGTCTACTCGGCGGAAAAGCTCTGCTCGTAGTACGATGGTGTTTGCTGGTGGTGTTCTTGTGATGGTTGTGAAGCTTTGGACCAAAGTCTGTAGTGCGATGGATCAGGACATGGCCGATGTGAAAATAAAGAGTACTAGGATGAGAATGGGTCGGGGTGGAATTGAGCCGGCTGAAACGCAAATTAGTTTCCCTGCACCTTTGCTTACCGTCTCATCAGGGTTCCTGGGAATCTTTGATGAAAAGAAGTCATCTCTAAAGCTGCGGATGCCGAGTTCGGGTAGAAGTTTGATGCTCTTTAACACGGTCGTCATCAGGGCGTGTAGCCGTGACACCAGTGGTGCAAGGAGATAAAGTGTGCTAAAAAGCCAGAATATCATGTTTCGAATGGCTGCATTACCGATACAGAGATTCCGAGGAGCCATCGACTTCTCTGGGTCGTAGAAAGCCAAAAAGCAATCGGATTGCGCCTGAAATGTACAAAGCCTTTGCTCACTTAGTGGGGCGCGGCCTGTGAAAAGGGAAGCTATTCTCGATTAGGAAAAGGAGGTTCGCCTTGGTCAGCCTTGCAAGTTCCATTCCCCCGAACGAGATTCTGAAGGCTTGCTGATGTCTGTCAGTCGCCATTATCTTGTATACGAAAGGTTGCACTAGGCTCGGTAGTATTCACGGAAGCTCTTAAGTCGGTTGCGGATAAAGTACATTTCAATTTCATTGAAACCAAAGGCGGTTAATCAAAGCCTTCTTGGTTTCCAATGGTCATACTCCCATTAAGACTGCTTCCAGAGCCTGACAAGTAATTCCCAAAGAAATTGGACATCTCTTTTGCATTCTCAGCCCCGAGGCCTAGATCCCGTTCATCTAGCATCCCATCCCAATCTTGCTGAGAGAGTGGAAGATCGGGGAGGATCGTGTTAGTCAGTTGTGTATCGAGCTCTCGCAATGATTGTTGCGAACGTGGTAAAACGAGTTGATTCGAAGCAGACGAAGTGGTAACTTGAGGAGCCTGCTGTACTGATGAATTATCCCGGCCGAGGTAGATGTTGGCGATCTGGTAGAATATCCTACAAGCGCGATATAGCTTGCTCACGCCTGAACTCATCTCAGCCGCCCCTTACAGGGTATTGACGACGTGCTCCAGGAGTCTGATGTCGTCTTTGTTTCTGTCTGCGATAATATTTCCGAATACCACGATATACGGGATAAAGGGACACCACAGAAGCGTCCAGTGGATGAACAGTCGCCACTCATCATTCGCACGGTGTTGTAAGATACTCCAAGCCTAGTTGTGTGTGATTAGTGCTTCGCGGGGATTTTGGAGAGCCTCGTCGCAGGATTTGAGAGGATGATGTGGTTGGTTTGATGGTAGAGGAGCAGGTGGAATCACCCTATAGACGAGAGTGAGCGTCGAGGAAAGCACAATTTGGACAGAGATCATGGCATCACTGAATGACTCGGCAAACGGGGTATTGGAAAAATCGAAGACGAACTGCTCTTTCATTTGGATCAGTCGAGAAGCCAGGCCCCGAGCAAGCTCAGCTCTCACTTTAGTGGGTTGCTTTTGTGCACGGGCACAATACAATTGTTCGTAGATGTGGCCTTGCAGCTCTGCATAGTCGAGCCAGCCTAGGTACATGGCACCCCAGACATCGCGGATCTCTTCTGGCATCTTCGGTCGATCAACGGAAATGTCACAATCTTGAAGGGTGGGGGAACGGCCTAGATTGAGTCCCATGCCTCGATCCAAGGCATAGACAGTCCAGAAGACCAGTCTCTTCTTTGATGCTGTTGGGTTGACTGTGTAAGGCGGAAGACGGTGATACCCGGCATCTTGAACCATTCTGCGGCAGTGGTGATGGCATAAGTTCGTGATATAGGCGATGTCAAGGGTGGGAATATCGTAGAAAAATTTGTGAGGATGTGCTGTTTGCGGTCAGTCAAGCTATCCTTAACGGTGTCAGTCGAGGAAGAGTACTTTTACCATGTCTCAACAGACGTAAAACTGCTTGCATTGGAGGAAGTGCCAAGCCAGAGAGCTCGGGGTAATAGATGGCCTCTTGTAGGGGTTGGTAGAAACGAGTGGACTCGTTTGCTACAGGAGAATTTTCGTTCAAGAAAGTTCTCAAGGTAGCAACAGCAGCGGAAACATCTCTAACAGAACCAGAGTAAGGCGAGTTGTTGAGGCTACTCTCGAAGGCTCGAGTTACATGTTTAGAATGGGCGACAAATGAAGACTCGCCCTCAAATTCCAATTCCCTCTCACCGAGCTGGCTGCCGCGAGGAGTGGACAACGTTTCTGTGTGTGACGAAGGTATTGACTCTGAGCCGCTATGTTTCTGGGTTTTGACAAGGTCCTGTAGAATTCGTTCGAGGCTAGCTAAGCGGCCATTGATATCCTCGATCTCGCGTTCACTACGGGATTGGGTTAGACCTCGGCAATAGAGCATTTGGGAGATCCGCAGCCGACTCACTATCGCCCTGAGACGAGAATTCTCTGCCTCTTCTCGGCATTCCTCTTTGTGGTACGACACGCAATGCGAGATGTCTTACAGCTAGCACATGGATTCTTTCTGTCACATCGAATCTGTCGAGCGATCAATTGTTACTGGTCCTATCAGGCAAGGCCTTCACACGTAGGACATACCTTTCGGGCTCGACAGCTATCGCACTAATTAGATATTAGCATTGGGCACCTAAGGAGCGGAATGAAAGGAGGATGCCTGGAAGCCGTACCGCGGGAACTCGTAGAGTAGAGTTCTCAGGGTCAGACTGATTTGGTTCCGCCATTGTGCGGCTTGATGGGTCTCATGTACGAATTGATTCGTCTAACGGTCTCGAGACGCTTGTATTACCTTGGAGGATCCTTGGGAGAGAAGTGGACAGAATGTCGATGAAAGGGATCGTTGAAATGCCCGGAGGCCGCGGGCCCGAGACGAGGCGCGCCAAGGCGATCCTGTAACTTCCGCTGCCAAAAGCATCTCAATGCACACCAATAACCAACACAATCTCACTGTTTCTACTGTAGTAGTATATCTCCTCTCCTTGGCCATTCGTTTCGTCTCGTCCAGGATGCAATCCCAACCTGTTTTCCTCAGAGTCCTCGGCCCCCCCCTTTCTCCCCCAACTTCACCAAACACCGAATACATTGCTGCCTGCTGTTATGTCGATCTATGAGAGACATCTTCGTGGCTCGGCACTAGGTAAATCCTGTCCGAGGCGGCCTGGTGCTGATACAGTGTATAAGCCGTTGCCTTCTCTTCCGTGGCTTCGAAATACCTCTGCCATACGGAAGATTGACGATATTCCTTAACTGCCACCCCATTTATCCGTCTCCGTGGATGGCAGACAACGTAGAGAAGACGACTCCAAGCCGGGATGGCTCCCGGCCGAGTTCTGAGAGTTCCGAGAAGCCTAAAAAGGAGAAGGAGGGGAGTGTCAAAGACTATATCCGCATCTTTTCCTATGCCGACAAGTACGACTGGATTCTCAACATTATCGCTATTACCCCGGCCATCGCTTCGGGAGCCACTCTTCCCCTGATGAGCATTATTTTTGGAACGTTCACCCACAAGTTCAACTCCTTCGGCTCTGGCAGTTCTTCCCCTGATCAATTTCGAGATGACGTTGATACATTCGTTCTATGGTTCATCTATCTTTTTGTCGGCAAGTTTGTCCTTACATATATCGCCACGGTAACCATTACCATCTCAGCAATTCGAACAACTCGCCACTTTCGACAAGCATTCCTCGAATGTACTTTACGGCAAGAATCTGGCATTTCGACAACTTAAGTAATGGTGCGACGGCCACGCAAGTCACGACCAACGGGAACAAGATACAAAGTGGAATCGGCGAAAAGCTCGTTTTCACGGTTCAGGGGCTTGCCATGTTCTTCGCTTCTTTTGTCGTCGCATTGACCACCCAATGGAAGCTGGCCTTGATCACGATGTGTGTGATTCCTGCCATTTTCCTCACCGTCGGTATCTGTGTAGGCATCGATTCAATTTTTGAAGCTCGGGTCACTCGCATCTACTCCCGAGCCGCGGTGCTTGCAGAAGAAGCGTTGTCATCCATTCGGACAGTACACGCCTTCTATGCACAAAAGAAAATGGTTGAGAAATACGACACATTTCTTCAGCAAGCACATAAAGAAGGCAACAAGAAGTCCCCAGTCTATGGCATTGTTTTCTCGACAGAATACTTTTGCACGTATTCCGCTATTGCACTTTCATTTTGGCAAGGCTTCAGAATGTACCAGAGCGGTGAAATTCCTAATGTGGGAGACGTCTTCACCGTGGTGCTTTCGATGACCATTGCTGCTGCCTCAATTTCCATGCTTGCACCACAAATCCAGACCATCAGCTTTGCCGCATCAGCTGCGTCCGAATTGTTCAGTATTGTTGACAAGGAATCCCAGTTGGACCCCTTGGACCCATCGGGAGAACAGCCGGCTACCTGTGAAGGACGAATTGAGGTCAGAGATCTCGACTTCGCATATCCATCCCGCCCTACCGCGCAAGTGTTGCGTGATTTTTCTTTGGATATTCCCGCGGGCAAGACCACTGCTTTGGTGGGCGCTTCTGGTTCCGGGAAGAGCACCCTCGTCGGTCTGCTTGAACGGTGGTATCTTCCGAGTGCTGGAAAGATAACCCTCGATGGCTCAGACTTGGCCGATTGTAACACAAAGTGGCTCCGAAGTCAGATCCGTCTCGTGCAACAAGAGCCTCTCCTGTTCCGAGGAACGGTCTTCCAGAACGTTAGCAAAGGGTTTTCAGATCAGCAACGAACCCTGCCGCACGAACAACAAATGGAGCTTGTCCGTGATGCCTGTAAGGCAAGCAATGCCGATGAGTTCATCAGTGAACTTCCCCGTGGATACGACACAGAAGTAGGTGAGCGAGCTGGAACTTTGAGTGGAGGACAGCGACAGCGCATTGCCATTGCTCGCAGCATTATCTCCAATCCCAAAATCCTGCTTCTGGATGAAGCGACCAGTGCATTGGATCCCAAGGCCGAGAAAGTGGTTCAAGATGCTTTGAATCGTGTGTCCGAGAATCGGACCACGTTGGTGATTGCACACAAGTTGGCGACCGTTAGGAAAGCCGACAACGTAGCTGTCATGTCTCAAGGTAAGATTGTTGAGCAAGGAACACACCAGAGCTGATTGAACGTGACGGTCATTATGCCGCACTCGTTCGGGCTCAAGACTTGGGGATGCTGACCGAGAGGACGACACATTCAACGTTGTTGACGAAAAGAGCCCTGTTGATACCCTGGGAGAACACCTCGCACTTCAAAGAACCGTCACCACTGTTGCTTCCCAAGATGACGAGCCTGAGAAACAGAAACAAGTTGTCGGCACTCTGGGATACTCACTTTTGCGATGTATTATGATCATGTTCTACGAACAAAAATCGTTATACTGGTGCTTTCTCATTTCGACCATCGCCTGTTTGGCGGCGGGCGCAACCTTTCCCGGGCAAGCCCTTCTCTTCTCCAGACTCTCGACGGTCTTTCAGTCGAGCGGCCAGGAGGCTCGAGACCGTGCAGACTTTTACTCTTTAATGTTTCTGGCGGTAGCACTCGGGAATCTGGTGTCTTACTTTGCCATTGGATGGATTTGCAACATTGTGGGCCAAACAGTTACGCATCGCTATCGTTCCGAAATGTTCCAACAGGTGCTATCCCAAGATATAGAGTTCTTCGACATCCCCGAAAATACGTCCGGAGCGCTAACTTCGAAGCTTGCTACCCTCCCGGATCAACTCCAGGAGCTTATTTCGGCCAATATTCTTCTTATCTTTGTTGCGTTGGTGAACGTGGTCTCCAGCAGTGCACTGGCACTTGCTTATGGTTGGAAATTGGGTCTCGCTGTTGTCTTCGGGGCACTGCCACCGTTACTCCTCGCTGGTTATTTTCGAATTCGCCTGGAAACCAGACTCGAGGAGAAAAATTCAGAGAGCGCGGCAGAAAGTGCTGGGCTGGCCAATGAGGCAGTCACTTCGATTCGAACGATTGCTTCTCTTACTCTCGAGTCTCACGTTCTCCAGGAGTATTCGGACATGCTGAGCAACATTGTTCTGAGATCAATGCGAGCCTTGGTCTGGACAATGTTTTGGTTTTCTCTGTCACAGTCAATTGAGTTCCTGGCAATGGCGCTGGGGTTTTGGTATGGAAGTCGATTAGTGGCCTCGGAAGAATACACGACGACTCAGTTCTACATCATCTTCATTGGGGTCCTTTTCGCTGGTCAGGCAGGGGGACAGCTATTTGGGTATTCAACAAGCATCACGAAAGCCCAGGGAGCCGCCAATTACATTCTGTGGCTGCGAACACTGAAGCCGAATATCAGGGAGACCGAAGCCAACCAAACCAATGGACCCGAAGGCGACGGTCCGGTTGCTATTGAAGATGTTGACTTCCGCTATCGTCAGCGAGAAACTTCCAGAGTGCTTCGAGGGATATCGATGACTATCAATGCGGGCCAGTTTGTTGCCTTCGTCGGCGCTTCGGGCTGTGGGAAGTCGACTCTGATTGCCTTGTTGGAAAGATTCTACGATCCTACCACAGGCCGGATCTGCTTGACGACCAAGGACGTTTCAAATATGTCTCCTCGTTTGTATCGAGGACACATGTCTCTCGTGCAGCAGGAACCATCACTCTATCAAAGATCGGTACGAGAGAACGTCTCCCTCGGCCTCGAGCGCGAGCCACCAGAGGAAGAGATACGAGAAGCATGTCGCAAAGCGAATGCACTGGATTTTGTCGTTTCTCTGCCCCAGGGATTTGATACCCCATGCGGATCTCGAGGGATGCAATTCTCGGGCGGTCGGAGACAACGAATCGCCATTGCCCGAGCCTTGATCCGAAATCCTCGATTGCTGCTACTCGACGAGGCTACGTCGGCTCTGGACACACGATCTGAACGGTTGGTGCAGGCGGCGTTGGACGAAGCGACCATGAGTCGGACCACGGTTGCAGTTGCGCATCGACTGTCAACGATTCGTCACGCCGATGTCATCTACGTACTCGCCAATGGCAAAATTGCCGAAATGGGGACGCATGCTGAGCTGCGGAAATTGAAAGGCAGATACTATGTTTGGCGCAGTCTTTGGATAAAGCGTAAAGACGACCTTCTCCAGTCAGAATCGGCTATACCCGTGTATCTGATATGAACAAACTCCATGTTGTTAGAAATGTATACATATATCGACAATTACACATATCACTGACCCTTGGAGCTGGTCCTAACAGGAGAGGCCAGTTATTCATGTCGATATTCGGGTACCATCTCCTTGTTGAAAGGGCACAGTCATACCGTAAACGGATGCCAGCCGGGCGGCATTGACGTAGGGACGGACTTAAGAATCCCTCCCTCCGTCTCCGAGCTGCTCACGCGGGGAAAAGGTTTTGGATAAATATCAGTCGTCGTCATCGTGGAGGACAACGAGCTCCTTTCTTGAAGAGAAGTGCTTGATTGATGGCTTATCATGTCGCTTGGAACGGTAAGACTTTGCTATTCGCACTTATTCTTTTGTTTTTGGTTTTGGGGGGGTTAGTAGGGATGGTGTCGTGGGACGTTAACTAACTTCGATCTACGATAGATCATCCTAAAATTCTACAACTGGTGGAACAACGCCACCAAAATACAGTCGGCCATTCGTGCGCAAAAACTTTCGGCCCTTTCTGAAGCCACAAGCCCGAAGTTTTTACGAATCGGAGTCCTGTCCGCTGCCAAAATCAACTTCACTGCAATCTTTGATGCTGTCGCAACACATCCTTCCGTCGTGATTGTGGCCGTGGCATCTCGAGACAAAGCCAAAGCCGATGCACAGATCGCCGAGAACAAACTCGCCATCGTTGGCGAATGTAAATCGTACGGCTCGTACGATGCACTGCTGGACGACCCAAACATTGATGCTGTATACATCCCGCTACCGAATGGGTTGCATCATAAATGGACCCTGGCTGCCCTGGAGAAGGGGAAGCACGTGCTGATCGAGAAGCCATTGGTATCGAATGCCCGAGAGGCACGTGAGGTAAGAGAAGCAGCGCGGCGAAGTGGAAAAGTTGCACTCGAGGCGTTCCATTGGCGGTTTCATCCAAGCGCACACGTCGTCAAGACCATGCTTTTGAGCGGCGAGTATGGACCTATTCGGACCATGGACGCACGGTTCGCGATGCCCGCGGGAGTTTTCCCCAAGGATGATATTCGCTTCAACTATGAGCTCGGCGGCGGGAGTTGCATGGATTTGACGTATGTCTTCGCGGCGCTCGAATATTTTGCAGCACGCGATGCGACAAAACCAGGTGTTGAATTCGAGGTCCTAGAAGCCAAAGGCCGAGTGAATAAGCGAGATTCCCGTATCGACGATGCAATGTCCGCGACTATCGTGATCAGAGACTCGGGCTCGTATGGTGAGAGCAGTGGTAGTCGAGGAACGAAAGGAGAAGTCAAAGCGACGGTCTACGCCGATCTAGCGGCGCCGCCCCTGTTTGGCTTCATACCCAATCTCGGCGCCATGACGCCCATGTTGACAATCGAGTGTGAGGGTGCGGAGATCGTGTTCTCGAACTTCATGGGTCCGTGGGTGGGACACAGTATTACTGTGACACCGGTGACTCGAGACAAGGATACGGGCCAAATTCTCGGCCGCGGCAAAAAGACCGTGCAGAAAGTGTATAAAGGCGGACCGATCTGGGAGGTGGAGGCGAAGAACGACAGCACGAAAGGGGATAAAGATACGAGTTCTTCGGTGGGCGAAGATTGGTGGACGACGTATCGATATCAGCTGGAGGTGTTTGTGAGGAAGATCCGAGAACATGAAGAACAACAACAGCAGGAATCGAATGGGTATGAGTATAAGGGACCTTGGATGAGTCTGGATGAGAGCGTAAAGGTCATGGAGATCATTGATTCCGTCTATGAGAGGGCGGGATTACCAATTCGTGGAGAGTGAAAAGGTTACACCAGCTACGGAAGGAAACCGATGAGAAAGCCCAGAAATACGGACATGAACCAGGCTGTGGCGAAAAGGGAGGGTGGAAATGGATGTGGAAGGGAATCGGAATATTATACTGGTATGATTTCGCTCGAACGCAGCAATAAAATTCTATCCTACCCAGCAGAAGGGGGATGATAGAAGAAACACCAGCGAACAAATCAACCGATCGGCCGTCAGCAATACAGCGGTCCTCAAAATGAATCAGGCTCCTCCTGGAAAGATGTGTAGGCGCCAACCAGCTCATTGAGGTATGCTTCTCCTCTTCCCAACGCCACGGCATTCTTTGATGCTGGAAGGATCAAAAGGCGTAAACAAGATCATCGATAAAAATCCAACTCATGACCTCATCTCATAACGGTATCCAACTGCCTGTCCACGGCCCTTTCTTTGTCGAAGCTCTCCACAACCGCCTTCATCAAATTCATATGAAGCGCCAACAATCAACGACCAACACCCACCCAAACCGTCATAAACGATTTTGTATTTTCCGTTTCTTTCTTCTTTTTACCAAGCCGTCCCCTCCTCCTGCGCCTGTCTCAACTTCTCATAAAACGCCAAGGGCCACCCCACCATTTCCTCATCCTTAGGCAAACAGCTGACACCCTCATCAGCCGTGATCTCACCACGCGCGCGCATCGCTTCTTCCCTCCGCCGACAATACCCGACGACATTTCCAATGACTCGTCCCAACATATCGGGACTGATAGCCACAGGATTCAAAAACGGGTCTGCGTCACTGAGGAGTTCTTCGATCGTGGGTCTAAGAGATTGCTCTCGCGTTAAACATCGTTTGAGGGTTTTGATCAGGCCAAAAGGAACCACTGAACCACCAATGCCAGTGGTGGGGAATTGGATCTCGATTTTCGGGTTCGGAATGCTCATTATGCGCTCGAACTGTTTGGTGATGTGTGCGAATGGGGGCTGACCATATGTCATTTGATACAGGATGCAACCCAGACTCCACACGTCGCTGGGTTTGCCCAGTTTGAGCAGTTTCGTGCCCGGTGCTGAGCCCGCGGCGGGGGTATGGCAGATCAGAGATTCGGGACTCATATAGTTTGGTGTACCGATTTGATTCTCTCGATGGACGTTGACCGTGTCGTCTTGGATGGCATTGGCGATTCCAAAGTCAATCAATTTGAGTTGTCCCTTGACCAGGAGGAAATTGGCAGGCTTGAGGTCGGAATGTACAATGTCATGTTCATGCACGGCCTGGACGCATTCGAGCATTTCCTTCCAATAGTGCCTGGTGAAAGTGATGTCCAACTTTGCATTGTCCGCTTTCAACTGCTCATTGAGCATTTTGTTGAAATCCGATTCTCCCAGTTCCATCATGACATTCAAAACCCCTTTCTCTTCATTGATTTCATAGTCATAAAGCCGAATCACGCGGTCCACGTTTTCAAGTTTCTTCAATAGATCGATTTCGCCCTTGTACCCTGCGATTGCTGCCACGTCGGCGTCTTCAAGATTGACTCTTTTCAGGGCAAATATTTTGTAATTTTCGGCCATGATTCTGAACACTCGGGACGATCCCCCTCGTCCAATGCAATCTAGTCGTCTATACGTTTTCCCGTTCAAGACATAATGAACCGATTTCTTATTCCGAGAGCCTGCGTTGGAAGTGGCGGTATCCAGAATAGACATTTTCGGCGGTGGAACAGGAGCTGGTCTGTGGGGAGTGTTACCGGATTTGGGAGCCAGTCGCTGGCGAGATGGAGAGACGTGCATTGATGCCGGTTCTATCGGCCTTTGGCCTAATTGTGGCTCGTCTTCGTGAATTTCCAAAATTGTCGCTGTAGGTTTTGTTCTTCGAAAAGTCGGTGGTGGTTCATTCTCTTGGTCTTGCGTTGGTGGAAGCGATGGTAGAGGAGGGATTTTGAAGATCGGCTTCCTTTGAGAGCTCGAAGACTTGGAGGAAGGTTGAGATTCGCGCGTAGCTGGAGTGGGTAGAGCTTGCTGAACTGATTCCGGCCTCGGTCGAGGTGGTGAATTTGGGGGGGGTTGTATTTCAATCGGTTGGGGAGATGACTTTCTAGGAGATGGGCGTGCTGGCTTGATCTGCGTCGGGCTATCTTGGAGAGCCAGTAGATCCTCTGGCACATCCTCGAGATCCGGTTCTTTTGCTCTTCGACCGATTTCCATCTCTGGAGTTCTCGATTGGCCCGGTTCTTGGAGTTCCACATCGACATCCGCATCATCTTCTTCGCCATGACGACGTACCATTCCTCTTCTCACTGGTTTGTTCAGTAAGGCTCCCCCCAGACGTCGAACACGCATGGTACTCTGAGCGGCATTCTCCTCTGCTCCTCGTGAACGCTTGGTCGTTGATGGTACCGCAGCACCTTCCTCCTCAGGGCTGGTTTGTGGTTCATGATCCTGTGGGCTGACAGAACGACTCGAAGACCGAGGAGCGTCCGTAGCCGACTCACGTTGGACAGGTTTAGGTGCTTTACCGGAGGGAGGGGATCGCGACAGACGTCGGGCATCGCTTATGCGGATACGTCTTATTCTTGGAGCTGGTGTTTGTGAATCGTGAAGGTCCTGATGAGGCTGTATTGATGATTTCTCGTGGATTCTATACATGAACGATCCATCTCTTCCCAGGACTGCGGGTGGGCCACCGGGACGGCTACCGGGTGTGACTCGAACAACACGCGGAGCAGGACTGCCATCCTCTTGTCCGGATGAGTTGGAAGCATGGAGGATCTCAAGAGGGGTGCCTCCACTCCTTCTCTTTGAGCTAGTTGTGCTTCGGACAGGCCGCTGTGGTTCGCAATTCTCCTTGCCTGTTCCTGAATTCGAATTATCCTCCCCTAATATGGCTTGCGCCTCGGCACTCAGTTTGATCGGAGCCAGATCCTCGTCGTCGGAGCTGTCTCCTGTCATATTGCGACCGGATTGTGACATGTTCTGGATCGATGCCGCATGAGACACTGGTTGAACACGGTTCGTAGCAGGTCGCGTGTTGATACGAGAACGTGGCCGACGAGAATTGCTGGAGCCGGAAGCAAATGCTGCAGGAATTGGAGAGGCGTATTCAGCCATGGTAGAGACTATTGTTGCGTAGTGATATTTATGAACAGGTTCATTGCTCGCAGTCGAGCGCGGTTGAGCAAAATAGACGGAATTGTTATAATTCTTTGCTGCATACGGCATTGGGCGCGGGCCAATTCCTTCATCGGACTGCCGGGCAAAGGAATCGCCGGTCAGCCATCGGAGTTTTACGATTGGCCGCTGCGGACGAACTTCGGTCCCATTTACAAACAGGAGGTTGTCAGGGCAACCAAAAGCTAGAAGCTAAACGAACGAGAAGCACCGAGGGACCACGTGTCGAGCATCATGGTATTTGTGGTTGACATAGAGAGGTGCACAGTATTTCTCCTTTATTATTATTATTAGTTATACGGCTGGGCGAAGAGTACCCCTCGTAATGCAGAAGTATAAAACGCCATTGATGCTGGCCAAATCCAACCTATCCTAGCGCCTTCGCCAAAATGCCATCACACCAATTGTTTTTCGTTCAGATCCAAGTGTAAAAATGTCAGCTAACTAGGACCCAATGCGATGCAGCGAACCATTAAAGCATAAATGAGAAGCCGGCAAAGATACCTGCAGCAACAACTCCTAGTCCATAAATCTGGCCAATGTTGACAATGATTCTTGTGGCCGCCGAGCTTCCTGAGCCGTCGGAAGAAGCAGAAGCGGTGGCAGCAGCACCATCACCGAAGCCAGTATATATCACGCCATCTGATGCCGTGGAAGCCGCAGCCCCTGCGGTAGTGCTGGTAGCGGGCATGGTGGTGATTGTGCTTGTGTTCACTCTTGTAGGATCCGAAGCACCACATGGGTGATCTTGGACACATGCGGCGGCGCAATCGTTGTTGTTACCGCAAGCTGCCTGACAATTGGAATTGTACTGGGTGCAGATGTAGTATGGTAGAGTCTGAGAGTATTCCGAGGCATTGGGAGCGAGGCCGTTGGAGCAAACACAGCTGTAGGTGAGGGTCACAGGGTCACAGGTATTGGAGTATGTAGCAGCAGAATTCCCCTCCTCTTGCAAGCAAATCAGCGGACATTGTGAAATTTGAGAGTCACACCAGGCCTCTGCAATCATGTGTTAGTGGTGAGATTGACCTTGGTGGTGGATGGGGTGTACTGACGCCTCGTTGACAAGGGCACTGAATTGGGATCAACTGTCTGCGCAATGGCCAGTCGGGCAAAGAAAGCCACAGCCGCAGTGTAAAGGAGGTATTGCATGATTGATTAACTGATTATCGGGCAGAAGAGAGATTGTAACGAGGGGAGCTCCCTTTTCTGTGTATTAACACTAATCGTCTGTGTGTATATATGCTCAATGAAGTAGCAGGAGAAAAGAAACGAATGGTTGAAAACCTGATTAGTTCTTTTGAGATAACAAGAGGAAGAAGGTCGATGGCATGAGGGTAGTGGTTGAGAGCAAAAAAACAGTCAAGGGCGCAGGATAAGTAAACTTGCAATTCAGTGGAAGGAAAGGGTGGAGGAGGCAGGGTTAAGGAGAAAGTCCGCAGCCTAGTGACTTTTCGTTGGGCGTTCAGCGAGCTTCTTCCCCGCCACTCGGCGGGAAGGTGCTGTACATAGCAGTTTCGTCCCGGACTCCTTCACCTCGTGATGGCATGATTTTGGCACACAGCGACGAGCATGATTTGTGCGGGAAGGTTGGCTTGTCTCAGGCGCTGCGTCTTTGTCCGGGGCTTTTTTTTGGGGGGGGGGGTATATTCTATGGTGTGAGGGCGAACAACGGGCCAAGCCCCGATTCGACTAGTTCTGGGCTCCACGGTTCAAAGTGAGGTCAACCCCTGCTTGCATTACTAACTGACTTTTACCCTAGCAGATGCCGATCTAGCAGATCCAATTAGGTTGGATCTCCTGTATGGGCTTAGAAGAGACGTCCTCAACCGTTTGTGTCGAGAAAGCTGTAGTATGGCGTGGCAAGCATTCCTGATATCCTATTATCATGTCACTGAGTTCTTCTACAGACTCTCAGGCTCTTTTTATTCATTTTACACTGGCGGCTACCAGAGACATCTTCTGACAATACTGTTCTTCTGATGGAAGGTCAAATATGCACTATTTCTCCCGCTTGTCCAAATGGGGTCCTCGCCTCCTGCACTTCCTGACTGGCGGCGGATTTTCTTTGCTTGGTGAAACTTCGTTTTCACCACCCTCCTTCAATTCATCCGCTCGGAGACGGGAACAAAACACCTCTCTCCTCGTGTTGCAACTGCCTGTCTCATCCCAACAAAATAGTTCACTCCCAGCCATCTTCCAGGTTGACCCAGAAATCTCTCATGCATGGACATCCCCCACTCCGCATTCAATGCCGACTCCCCAGAATCCCACGCCCAGTGACTCGGTAAAACCTCAGCCAATGCACACTCCTCCACCTTATTGGCAAGATAGCCGGGATCCTTCATGTGCCAGCGAACCCTCTTCGGATCGCCCACCTCCCATTATTCTGGAGGATCACACTTTGTCTCGCGCAGCCAGCAACGCTGCTCTTTGGGCCAAGTCAATCACCATCGACGACTATGTCATTGTCCACGGCACTGCACCTGGCATTGGAGCCTATGTTGTATGGAATTGCAAAGTTCAAACCCTGGATGGAGGTCCAATGACCATTCGAAAACGCTATTCCGAGTTCGATGAACTGCGCAACAAATTGATCAAAGCGTTTCCCCAATCCACCAAATCCTCCTTGCCACCACTCCCACCCAAGAGCGCCATATACAAGTTTCGTCCAAAATTCCTCGAGCGGCGGCGCGAAGGTCTGGCTTATTTTCTTAATTGCGTCATGCTCAATCCGGAATATGCTGGCTCTGCCATCGTCAAGGATTTTGTTTTCCCACCCAAGTCTTGACACTTTATGGATAAAAAGTTAATTGAATTGTAGCGAGGAATGAGTGTGTTCGTGCCATTTAATTCAGGCTTTCTTTCAACATCGGCCATACCACACCTATGACTCTTCAAGCTTCATGACCCCAATTTTTCGGGGATCGGTGTGAATTGCTGTTGGTGTCCCGCTTTACCTTCTGTTCCCGTGCCAGATGGCGTTTTATTGCAGATCTTCCTCACCATATTTGGACGGATCTCTCTTCAGATTTCTTTCGCAAGGTCTCAACAATCTTCCTCTCGTTGCGGAGAAGATCGACATGGACGACAGGGGTGTGCAAAATGTCAAGGATACTCCCATACTGCTCAGAGAGCAATCAAAGAAAAAAACACATGCGATTCTCGGACGGTTCGGTTTACCTTTCATGGCCGATGCTCTCTTCAGAGCCGTCATCTTTGGACCAACCCGACTCTTGAAAAACGCTCCCCGTGAGCCATTCCTCCAAGCTCATCTGCACTCATATTGGCAGTATCGTTGAAATCTCTGTTCGGTGGCAGACAGGAGCGACAGGCATATAGGAGGACTGCCAAATGATCACATGATGACATCTTCGTCGTCTTGGGCCATTTTGGAAGTATTTTACCAGTGGTAAGGGAAGGGTTGCAATTTTCAAAGGAGTATTCCGTGTCGATGGGCACACTAGATGATGCCTTAATACTCTTTATCTATGCTGGTCGAACTCATCATTCTAATATTGTCCTCAAAGTTGATGGGTTACGTCATGACTCTGAAAAAGTGCACGGTGGTACTAGTTAAGTTGGGGCATGAAAAAAATTTCGACGGGTCAGAGACTGCGGCTACGGAGTTCGGAATGGAATTGTTGTTTCGGTGATACTCCGCAAAGCGGCGAAATCAAGGAGTTGGTGTGACATCGATTTGGTTCCTTCGTAGTTTATTTGGTCTGGCTGGCGGCCCAGCCTTGTACAACCCTACTGCCACTCTTGAAATTGTCCCTGACATTCCTAGTGCCCGCGTCGAGGCAAGGAGGTGATTGCAGGATGGCTGCTTGAGATATTGGGAAGGGATACATAAGTACTCCGTATTCTGTTCTCCATGGTCGTATAAAGGTGCCGTATTTCGATCGACATTGGTTTCTCGCATCTCGAGCCCTGAACCAATCTGGGTAGCCACAGAGGCAGAAGTCAATCTCAGCAACCGCGTGCAGCCCCACCCAGGCTGTGGCTCTTCGGAAACTCAAACGTGACAAGCGTTGTGGCTTGTATTCGGTCGGTTCATTGTGACCGATTGTGCTGAACGAAGGACAACGGATTTCGAACAAGGGCGCGTTCCAGGAGATCATCATCAGATATGGCTCCAGTGCTCCTCGACTGCAGGTACAGGGCAGAGGGGAAAAATCTCGCGCAGTGGATAACCAGAACAAAGACTGGATGACTGGATAGAACTCACAACGGAGAGAAGCACCAGCCCTTGGCACCCTTTGCCAGAATCAGTCATTTGAGCGTCAGACTGGGAACCCTCCCCATTCGTGACGGGCATGTCCTGTTGATCAGTGGCTTGCTGATTTGTCTCATTGGTGTTTGGGAAATCCGAACTTGCCCACTCCCCAGGTAAAATCACGGTCCCTGGAAAGGTTTACATACCGTACAGAGAAAGGCATCGTAATCTACCTAACCTCGCCTGGATATTAGCCTCTATCTTAACCCGCTTTAACTCCCAGCCAATCCACTAACTCTATGAACCCGGCCTTTCCGAGTTAGTCGCTCCGGCAGCTAAAAGTTGGCTTTCAACTCAGGACACGACACGTCGCGCTCCTGGGCATCTGCCCTCTTCTCTCTGGCTCTTCTGCCTCACCTCAGGCACAATTTCAGGTTCAGGTTCGCGCCCATCACATTTCCTGTTTCTCTTTGGGTTTGAGAGAAAACAAGAGGGCATCATTCCACACAGCCTGACCTTGCTCCTCATTCATCCTTTCAGCGCCCAACTTTTTTCGGTCTGCTGTGCTGTCCAACACAACGCAGCACACCACATCCTCTCCTTTATTATTCGCTTCCCTTCTTCACATTCGCTTTCTTCCCGGTTGATTGCCGACGTTTTCTCAAATTGATTTTGCCAAGAAGCTTCGTTTCCCACTCTCCCATTCGTCCCCGACTGATCAACCCCTGAAACTGCATCCTGCATACGCAACTTTTGCCAGACTGCCAGCAGCATCCATCCTGGCCCCCGTATTCTGCACTGCCATCTCCGGGCCTCTCACTTTACCTTACTTCACCTCGCCAGTGTAACTCTTCGGAGGGGGGTGCTTTTTATTCCATCTTGCCGATCACACAACACATGTCGAACCGATGAAAAGGAGCCTCGAATCCAATCTTGTCTAAACTTCGACACTTCCATCGACCATGCCGTTCTTCTCAAAGGTTTTCAAGAGCAAGGATGTTGCTGTCAAGAAGACCGCTGCGCCTGTGGCAAACGGAGATACTCACAAGAAACCTCAATGGTCGGACGCCTGGCTGCGGACGAGAGTTGACTCCGAAGAGGTCGCCGAATTATTGCATCTGTGTACTTCAGAATTGAAATCAAGAGGTCCGTTCATTTTCGGAAGACACATAACCGGACCGCAAAGGTACTGACCCGGTCATAGCACTCGATGTTCCCTTTCTTCTGCTACCTTTCCGACCTTCTTCGGATCCCTCTGCCGCCAGGACTTTTGTGCGCAACTTCTTCTTACCATCTCAAGACCGAGAACCACTACGGGGTTCCCTTTTGGAGACAGAACTGAGAATGACGGAAGTCATGGTAGGGAAAAATCGATCGTTTCGAGTCTCTGACAATGCACTGACAAGTGGTATAGGTGCTAATCAGTGTAATGAAATGGTGTTGGGCTCGTTTGCCTGGCGGTGTTGTGACGTGGGAAGTCTACGAGGGATTCAGGGTCGGTGAAAAAGGTAATGACTTGGTCTAGCCGCTCGTGTGTGTCGGACATTAGCTAACAGGTGCAGATTCTGGGTATGCGCGCGATGCTTTTAGCACATTTGTCCCTCTCGGAGCGAACTCCTCTGCGAGAGTCCAGATTATTCAAGACTTTTTCGACCTGCTTGCTGCCGTCGCCGCGCACGGCAAAGTCAATGGGCTTGGAGGCCACAAAGTCTCCCGATATGCGGGCTGGTGGGCCTTTGAACATTATGACACCGGAAAAGGATTCGAATCTGGATATCAATCCTGGTCAACGTACAGAAACAATCCCATATTTGTTGAATGAGTGATGGGCTGACTCTAGTAGTGCTGCTGATGCAACCTCCCATCTGTTCTTTGCGTATCTACGATCTATGTCTCCTGGGACTGGCAAAACAAGCGGAATCCTGAACCTTCCCAGATCGCTTCAACAACTCCTAGATTCCACGAGTTACCCTCCAAAGCATCCCTTGTTGTCAAACGATACGACAAAAGTGGTCATGATTGTTGACGTAGTTTCTCCCACGCCCTATGCTCTATTGCGACGTGCAAAGCATTTCGAGTATCGGGATGACGATCGAGGCCTTCAACAATTTGCGAGTTACGATGATCCTGTCACTGCTCTCACCGACGAGTGTCGCCGTGTCCTGAAGGCCATCTCCTCGGCAAATCAATCGCACGTCTCGAATGCTAAAACCTCGACGAGCTTGACTGATCCCTCATGGTCAAGATTTGAGGATATTGGGTTTGGCAGTGCATTTGACGACGACGACGACGACGACGATGGACTTCTTGGTCGCAAACAGTTCAGCACGAGACCGATGGCTGCCTCGGCTCGTGGAGGTGGTTATCAGGATCTCGCCCGACCCACCACCCCATCGTGGGCTGATTTCCTCTCTTCTGGATTTGCCGACGAACACGGCAACAAAGCTCCTGCACCCATTCTTCTGCCACCCGATAAAATATTACCTCCAATCACTACCACCATGCCTCGGGGGCAAAGTTCTCAGTCCCATCGGCGAAATCTAGATGTGCAACCCAACCTAGATCCAGGCGAGCTGGCGAGCATCACTAGAGTGAATGTGGATGACTCTTTTTGGTGGGTGTGGATCAGCAGTCTGGCTCCGGAGGAGTCGACGTCCAGAAAAGCGGTGTTTGGTCGATGCGCGTTGATCGAGACCGTGTTACCCGATGGCCAATGGATGGTGATGGAAGAACAGGTGAAGGGTGCCGCACCGGAACCCGCCGCTGGCGCCTACATTGCGGAAAAGAAAAAATTCCTTGGATTTACGACCAAGCGTGGTCGTTTGACCCGAAGACGATCAGGCACCAAGAAGAGCCCCCTTTCCCCTGAACCACAAGTTGATGCCAACCACCGAGCCACGTTAGCTCCCGATCAACACGCAAAGATCCAACAGGCCGCGGCCGAACTCTCCAGAAGAAAGGAAGCCGAAGAGAATGCGATGGCCAATCGTCGCGGACGTATGCCCGAAAACGTGGCCCCTTCCAAGACCAACAGCATCTTCACACTTGGCCCTCTTATCAAAGACGAAGCTTCTCCAGCACTACAATGGGCCACTCAGTACGACAAGAAGGCCATCCGGGCTAAGTACCTGGGTGACTCCCTCGCGGGCAAGGGTTCGCGTGAGCTGTTAAACGTACCCTCCAGTGGCCTGGGCATCAGCAGATCTACCTCCACGCTTTCGGTCGTCAGCAAGAACAAGAATCTACCAGCACCACCTTCGGATACCACATCACGCCCTGTCCCCATGGAGAGAAGCCAATCGGCCGAACCCACAGCAGCTCCAGCACCAGTCGTGGTTGAGCCAGCTCCCATGCCAGCCGAGCCAGAAGCGCCAGCGGAAGCTCAAGCCCCACCGGAAGCGGCGGCCGAAGGAACCCGCCCCCCGGTAACGCCAGAGGCAGCTGAGAATCGAGCCGCGAAGCATCAACCGGCTAAATTACGCAAATCTACCGACGGGGCACGTCGGTCTCCTGAGCAGAAGAAGTCCAGGGGTAAGACCCCGACTGGACCTCCTCCGGTCCAACAAAAGAGCGGTATTCGTCGGCTATTCGGAACTAAGCAATCTAAGCCACGAGAATCGAAAGGTGCAGAACCTCCGGACACACCAGCCGCCGAAGATCCTGCAGTGGCCGCGGCAAGGCGGGCGTTGGAAGGGAAGCCTGCGATGCCAGGAGATGGTCCCACTTCACCACCATTGAGCCCTGGCCACTTCAACCGTCTAGCGACTGTAAAGGCTTCTTCTAAAGCGGCAGCAGTAGTTCAAGAACCTGTCGAGGCGCCCGAGACACCGCGAATGGTGGCCCCGGTGGAAAGAGGGGTGACTCCCGAACCCCTGATGGAACCTGAACCCATTCATCATGAAGATACTGCACCACCAACGACACGTAGAGACGAAGAGTACGATCAACTCTCACGTGTGGATACCGATGAACGTGAACATGCCGATCGGGAGTTCTCCACCTTTGATCAGGGACCACTTCTTGATCAACCGGCGTTTGTCCCCGCACAGACGCCTCCCCGGAGTGAATTTTTGTCACCAGTCAAAGAAGTTCCCGGCGCGCCGGTCAGTGTGCATTCGGTGGACGAGGAAGAAAGTAACGCCTTGACACAGCAAGGAAGTCCAACTGATCGATGGGCCCAAATTCGGAAGAACGCAGCAGAGAGGGCAGCTCGACAATCGGAGGAGCAAACAAGCAGGAGTCGGACCGAGACTCGAACAGATGATGGTGATACCAGTGGAGAAGAGAGTGAGTTCAGACAAGATGTCCATTCTACACATGGGGTAGCTGACGCATGGCCAGCAATTGAATCACGAGTGGCACGAATCAAGGCGCGTGTGGCCGAACTGACTGGCAACATTGACGCCACAAGACGATAGATTCGTCCCCATTCCGAGTACAACCCTTGGCGGGCGATACATCATCTTGGGCCCATCATGCGCGCACATAGAAGGAGCAGCACGTCGATGAACATCTTTTTGGTTTCTATTTCATTTCTGTGGCCGGGCTTGTGCAGGGAGGATGGCAAGGCGTTTCGTCTACGGGCTTGGAGTTTGAACTCATGTATCCGAGATACCACCACCGTTGCGCTTTACCCCATGAGTTTCTTTTTATTCCCCGTCTTTCTGAGTGAGCGTTCTCGCAACATGATTCTGTCAGGCTGCGGGACAGCACTCTAGGACATCTTTTACGTTCTTCCCCCTCCTCATTCTCCCGTTGACTTGGTTGCGGACATGGAGCAGAGTTTTAATATGTGTGTGGTGTATGTTGAGATACATAGACTGAGAAGAAGTGGGGCAGCTCTTCACTGAGCATAGGAGTGGGCCGAAGAGAGGCGAGAGCCAAGACCGGGGATCGAGGTCGCGGTCGAAAGCGTGGTGGATTGTTGTTCGGAGGGGAGTAATGAGTTGGTGGAAGTGCAGCGAAGTACATAGATGGCACGGCACAGCACTCTAAGTGCTGTGTCGCAAGGAGAAATTCCAGCATTCGAACGCCCGGTTTCAATGTGAGCTCGAGCAAACTGATCTTTGATGAACGCGCCTCGACCGGACCTAATGCGAGGCAACCAAATAGAGACATCACCAAAGGGACTTCCCAAGGATTTTGCATTGTCGTCAACCGATTAGTGGCCTACCGCAATCCAAGTTGTGCACGATCACTGCCCAAACTTCTATATGACATCTTAGCAGGCCACTTGACCTTGTGAGCGGGTTGCTATCCCGTCCTCATCACTGTAGGGAAGACGACAAGGGCAGACGCGAAGCAGCACGGTCAATGTCACCGTATGTATTCCCCAGTCCTATCCCATCAACTAGACTTGATCTTGGTAGCATCACAGCTTATGGAAGTGGGTATCCTCCATTCAAGTTTTCCATTGGAACCACTGCAGTAAACGCCCGTTAATATTTCGCAGGCTGGGAATTCCTCCAGATTGTCCTAGAACCTAGTCACAAGTCTGAGGAATATTTGGTACATCGGAGGCTTGTAACTACATGAGAGTTCGCTGGACTACATGCCGGACCGCAATATGCAGACGGAAACCTTTTTGGTGAGAGCTACTAGGGTCGCTAAGCCAAACGTCGTAATAAGTGTGCACTTCATATTGAGAGGTCGATTCAATCAAGAGTTATACCGAGGACGATTGTTGGCAACAATGGATAGCGTTAACACGTGATCTTTATATATACAGGAGCTCTACAGTTGGCTTCTACCCTTTTTGGCTAATATCCCAGACCCATTCATCCCTCCCCTCAACATCGTTCCATTGGCGGCGGCGGCGGCCTGCTCACGGACCCGGGTGTTGGTCTTTGCCCCCATTGGTTGAGTTCTCAATACGCCACTGTCGGTTAAAGGCAATGCAGCCCTTTGACTACGTAAGAAGAGCTGCTCGTTTTCATGAGTTTGAGGCACAGCCTCTGAGAAGGTAGGCCTCAACGGCACGTAGACAAGCCGATGAGGGGGGGGGGGCGAAAGCGCATGATGAGTTGGGGGTGAAAATGCTTTTATGGGTAAGAAATATTCGTAAGATAGGATCATGCTTGAAGTCCCTCCGGAAGGATTCAATCAGGCTTACTTACATATGGTTCCTTTTCTATTCAGATGCCATAGTCTGTCGTCTTTTGGCTCTGCTGATGGCCGACAAGTGGAAGCGACCCTGGGGGGACGAAGGATCTGTCTTACTCGGAGAGTCTCGTATACTGCAGAACACACAGCAGACAACGCAGCAAGATATCATGCAATTGAATGCGTGATGCTAAAAATAGAGAAGAGCTTTTTGACAACAAGCTAAGCGAGCCAATCATTCAACCAGGTTCCGAGAGCCGCAAGGCACCTCTGCCTCTCACAAAGTCTCTCACTGCCCGGCCAAAATCCTGAAACACTGGCGCCGTTCGAAACTGGGATGCAAGCCGAGCTATGGTTATTCTGAGTTGCCAGGACGCTCACTCAGTGATTTCGAACCATTCTTTCTTCCCAGCTCCCATAGGCAAAAACTCATTCAGGACGGTGCAAGGAAAATATCCAATTGCATCATAACGGCATGGGAAATGCAATATGTACTTTCTTCTACTCCACTGAATTTACCATCTATGCACATAGATTGGCAAGATTTCAAGGCTCCCAGTTTGCTTAGGCGTCGTCGCGACACAGGCGTCCACTCCCACACACCCCCCAAAACGCAATTCTCCGGGCTGGTATCCCGCCTAATGTTAACCCTAACGATAACCACTATATCCAGCTTCCAGGCGCCTTTCCTCACTTTGCGCTTCTCTTAGCGCGCCAACCGCTTCGTGCTTCGGTCCTGGTGCGGCTGGCCACTCTGCAAGCCTGCCCAGCGAACTTGCCCACTCGCCCACTCTTTTTTTCTCTCTTCTACTCGCAACCTCACTCTCTTCCGCCATCTCTTCCATTTTTCTATCTTTAGTACATCCACGTTCACGTCCAACCCACAAGCGACTGTACACTACAGAAAAACACGCCCATCCAGGCCTCCTCCAAACCAATCCTAGATAGCAAGCCTCAAAAGCAGCCACAGCCTACCACCACTATCCCATTGCTTGTTTGAACCGCCTTGACCCTTTTGTTCTCCAACTATATTCACCTTGCTGTTCCCCCCTCTTCCTGCGACAAAGGTCCAGGCCCGTCACCATCATCCGCCTTGGGTTGACACTGCGCGGCCACTACGAAGTCTCCCTTCAACTTTCTTTGACCGCCTGCCGCATCCGGGCCTCCTTCTCGGTCACCCTCTCAGTCTCTCCACACCTGTGACCTCGCTGCAGCCTATTGCTGAAACATCTTTCTCCGCGAGCTATCATCCGCCTCGGAAGCGCAGTTGGTATACGTCACGTGTGAAGGACTCGATCAACCATGGGCCGGAGGAAAATCGAAATCAGAGCCATAAAGGATGATCGCAATCGCTCAGTGTAAGTGGCGCGGCCCCGCGTATCCCACAAGCCGATTGTTGGCGGCGGCTGATTTTTTCGTGTTCAGAACATTTCTCAAGCGCAAAGGCGGCCTCTTCAAGAAGGCTTATGAACTCTCGGTCCTCTGCTCCGTCGATGTTGCTGTCATTATTTTCGGTCACAATAAAAAATTGTACGAGTTTTCATCGGGAGACATCAACGAAACATTACGGAGGTACCAATATGTGGGTCCTTTTTCGTTGGTTGCAATCACTGAGATGGATTTTGCTGACGATTGAGGTTAGTACGGACAACCTCATGAACATAAAGGACCGGCCGACTTCAAGAACAAGGGCGGCGGCGACGATGATGATGATGAAGACGAAGACGAAGAGCCGCCAGCTCACGCCAGAGAGGAATCTCTGCCACCTCAACATGCTCTTCCACACATGCAACACCATCATAATTCCTTTGCCCATATCCAACAACCGATGGCCTCGGTCTCCCCACCCATGCCAAATGGCATGTTCCAGCCTCGACATTCCACTCCTCAACCACCTCATATGATATCAAGACCTCCTTCCCAAAACATGATCCGACGCACGAGTTCCAACCTGGTCCCAATGCAACATCCTCATCCAACTCCTCCTCCACCTCAGAATGGCTTTGCTTATGTACCGAATCCACCCATCTACAATCCCCAGGCGCCTCCCGCTGTCCCTCCTCAGCCTTCGCCTCAACCTCAATATCAACAATTTCCTCAACCACAACAGCAACAGCCCCCCCAGCCGCCACCACCGCCTCCTCCACAGTCACATCAACAAATGCAACAAGCGCATCAACAGTACCTACAGGAACAGAGACGACATTCGCAACCTCCACCGGCGTCACAGCCTAGTCTACAACCTCCCCCTCAACCCCAACCCCGCGCCTCACCTCAACCGGAACAACAAAATCTTCGCCCACCTGAGCAGGCTACCCCCTCTCAGCCTAAACATTTATCCTCCAAATCGAGAAGTATATTTACTCCGATAGACGAGGGAGGCTCTGTTCTAGCACAACACTTCTTTGGTGCCCCGGATCCTCCCAAACCGAAGAAAGAGGAGGATTCATCAGATACCAGACCTCCAGCGCCGCCGCGAAGTATCACGGCACCGATCATTACTCGTCCTACTTCGCAACCCGCGAGAACACAGACAACCGTCCCCGAGTTTGCTCCACCGCAAAGAACGAACACGTCTGGATCAAGATCAGGTGCTCGTCCAAAATTGAACCTGCAGATTCCCTCGGAAGCAGAAGACAACGATTCGCCCAACGGCGGATCTCCATTGCAATCAGCCGGGCCATCAGCCAATCCAACCCGGAGTGGCGATCATATTGTTCTACCACCACCTTCACCTAGTGCTTCGGCAGTCATGTCAGCAGGAGCGACCGGACCACCCAATCCTTTTGCTCGGCCGCCTCCTCCAACCTCGAATCAGAACCGTGATGCCTACAATGACAATCGAAATAATATCGAGACTCCGATCTCCGCGTTGCCAAGTCGGTATATGAATAACGATCTTTTGCCGAGTCCGAGTAACTTCTTTAGCGAATGGTACGATTCGGGAAGAAATGGAGGTTTAAATTCTGCGATGTTACCGAGCCCGTTGGTATTTCCAACTCCTGCAGATGCAAGAGGACTAGGTTTTGGAAGTAGAGACGCAGCCAACGAAGCTAATGGAGAGAAAAGGAAAGGAAGTATTGATCTTCCGGAGAAGGAAGGGGATGTGAAAAAGGTCAAGACGTGAACCCCCCCTCCCCAACAAAAAAAAAGGAAACGAAGCGGTGGAAATATGGAAGCTTGGATCCACATTGGCCCCGACAATGGCTATTTGTTAAACAACTTTCAACATCACGACCCGTTACGAACCTTGAATGTGGCTGGATTTTATTTGTTGATTGGGGGTTCGAGATCCTGAATGCATAGCGTATTGGGGGACGGTGTCTGGTGTTTCGGAGCAGGAATTTTAATGACGGATACTCCGTACTAACGGACATGAACGCCCGAATGCGCAAACGGATTTTCCAACGACGGTGATTGCAAGTTGGGTGTCACTGGGGGGAGTTGGAAGGAGACCTTTTGCGGGAGCAGAACAGAACAGATTTGTGGATATCAAAATATACTAATGTGGACTTCAATGAGATGCCATCAACTCACAAACGCCTATGGAGGTCTTTTGATTGTCGCTTCTTTGGTACCTACCAGGGCCTCCGATAGATGGTTAACTTACCAGTAAAGGTGTGCCCGTGTACTAACATGCGCCTTGGAAGGTCCCCGAGCGTTTGAACTACAGCAGAGCATAAGCCTACTCAGGAGAAGCTTCGGCCTGATCAAAGCCCAATCTCGTCTTGAATGAGAACGAGACTGTGTCGATGTCCTTATTTCGCTTGAGTGCTGCAGAGGCCTCCATTTGTGATTTCTCCGGAAAAGAGAAAAGATTCGACCAATCTGTGCGTCCACATCTGCGTATGGAATTAACGATCAGTCAGGCAATTGCTCGTGTCACATATCCTCTGACTTATCTCCACTGGAGTGATTTGAGGATACAAACTTTTTTTTGAGTCACAGCTTCTTTTTTGGAGTCTGGTAATGCTTTTTATCCCTCGAAAAACCTAATAAATTCATTGACAATCTCAGGAGGCCTAGATGATACCCTGCCAGAACGGCAAAATCTTCGCGAGTGAGGAATTTAGGATAGCAAATCCGTCCATGAGCCTAGAGAGAGCCAGAAGAGCACCACAGGGAGCAAGTCCCACTCCTAAATAGGGAAATTTTTGTTCCGCGTTTTGTTTTTCCGCGCGTAGAGTTGCGCCTCCAATCCCAAAAGACACGTTCGAAATCCTCTAGTCTCTGAACGAAATAAGCAGTGCAGAATGAAATGTTTTGCAGCGTATATCCTCTTCCCTAGACACCATTTCATCCGATGACCCTGGTCATGCATACATCTTGGACCGTACCGGGCGCTTAGACAATGTGCGAACCATGACTACCCCCGAAACAGTGTGAGAGGGGACAATATAAACGCCCTTCCAATTTATAGGGTCTTCTTGGTACATCCTAGTTAGAAGTAGCCATGATACAAAGCTAGATCAGCCCTATCCTCACTTGACTAAATTCAACCGCCCTGGAGCCGGTATCATTGAGTGCAGCTTTTACCTTTCCATACCGGGGCGGACAGAGCACCTGGATCATAATGCAAGGGGGATTCTCAGTGCCCGGGACTCCGACCATCCGTTTTTGGTGGCCGGGATCCCGATTCACCAATCACAACATTTCACGTCACGCCATGACATGAGAGCACGTGAAGTCCCTTTTCCATTCCGATATTGCGGACCCTCAGAAACATTGTAAAGTCCTGGCTGATCCTAGAGGAATTCGTCGATGCACCTTCTGCCAGGCTCCTGGGCCGCCACGACATAGTGGGGAGCACTCCATCTGTATGTAGAGGTACGAATGACAAGCCAAATCCTCGACAATGTGGCAAACGCCTGGAGCCTCCTGGAGAAAACTTAGCAATATCTTAGGAGACGACCCCAGCAAATTTATCAGCACGAACTGGCAGGTATCATCCTGCAGCATATCTCGTTTATTTGGGGTATCTGAAATCCTGGGTCTGACTGAGGGAAAGAGAGCCGTAGAGGGCGCAACAGAGGAGAACCATTATACGCAAGCGGCTAGAAGTCTAGACTGACCGAGATTGTCGATGCACTCCTATGGATACAGACAGCGGGGACGCAAAAGGACCTATTTGCGAGAATCAAACAAGCAGGGCGTTGCATTTCCGGGCAAGGTGTGCCACGAGCGCAGATTGAGAGTGGAAATCTGGAACGCAGCAGTGCTGCAAACGAGATGGGTCAAAATGTGTTCAATATATAAATGTTTCGCCCCCGAGGAGAGCGCTAGAGTGAATAGAAGCGCAGTAATTCCGGGGTCTGGGGTTCCCCCTATATGGTTCTGCAACACTGCGGGGACTCTTCCGCTACCCACTACAACTTTAGCAGCCGCAAGGAGCTGTCAATCCTTTTCTTCCTTCCCCCCGCCTTGATATGAATACAGGATTCACTCTCTCATCACGAGATTCTGGCGACCTGTCCGTAATGGATGCCGGTCGCTATCAAAAAGAGCCCAATGCATCACGGGACCTTTTCTCCTGCCTCACCTGCTCACAGGGATTTCGCACAGTGTAAGGAAGTCTCACCCATCACCCCCTTCAATCTAATACCGATCCCCTGGTAGGTCGGCGCTCGAAAGACATGCTTCCAAACACCCACTTTGCAATGGCAGACGGGCACGCGCTCGCCATGCACGCTCTGGACCCCGAGCGTCGCAAGCGTGTCACGCCTGCGCATCAGCCAAGGCCAAGTGCGACAATAGACCGCAGTGTGAACGTTGTATTCGAAAGGCAATACCCTGCATTCGCAATCATCCAATCTCAGGAGATGACCACGACTCAGAACTTGGACTGCAAGACAGCAGAACAGACCCCTCCTGGCATCAGCCTGCTCCGCTTTCAGGGACCCGGAATCAGCCCGAATCAGCGTCTTCAGCACTGAAAGATTTGCCCGCCTTGAATCCAGAAGGACTTGACGCGTCTCTTCCCATCCTTCCTGGTTAGCTCAGTCTTTTGCTTTTTCGACCGGATTTTTTACTAAGACTTCTGTAGCCATGCTTGAGAACCAGAATTCATATGCGGTTTATAACGCCTCATGCGTCAATCTGTTCAATGGAGTCACTGAACCCAGCAAATCGCGCACCGACTGGGATTTCTCGTCGACATACGACTTGTTCAACCTAGGCAACGATATTTTCACGACGACTGACACCGAGAATACATTTCTGACATCTTTGCCTACGCTGCCCTCAGGTGAGGCGGAAAGCATCCCATCCCCCGCGAACAGCCTAGTGTCCAGGATGAATCGGTCGACATCGGATGCGGTCTACGAAGCTTTCCAGCAGTCAGCAGGTCGCTGGAGTCCCGAGAAACGTCACTACCGGGCGGCAGAAGAATCACACCTATCCCTCGGTCGAGGGGCCCCAACAACTATCGACTGCTTAGGGAAATGGGATCCCCAGATATTCTCTCAGAATCTGTTGCCCAGCACCCGCGACCAGATTCTCGCTGCTATAGTTAGATCGTGCGATCAGGACAATATGGCCGCGGCCGCGTCGGCTTTCCCATCGGCCGAGGTCTTGGACAGACTCTTGAAGGCATTTCATACACAACATGCCTCTTTGGCCGACTCGTGGATCCATATTCCCACCTTTCAAGTGACGGAAGCCCGACTGGAACTGCTCATTGCTTGTATCTCCGCCGCAGCTGCTGTGTCCCCTAGCCGGCCAGTGCAGAAGTTTGGACTGGCCATGCAAGAATTCTTGGTGTTCCAGCTCTGGTCAATGGTGGGCAACGAGAGGCTTGTGGATTAGCACCGCTGACGACTATAGTCCGAGAAATCAAACGCCCTTATACGCGACCTCCAATTCCTTCAAGCTTTCGCTCTCCATCTCCACGTCGGGTTATGGAGCGGCATCAGGAGAAAGATGGAAATGGCTGGGAGCTTCGTGGGCATTATCACCAACGTATGTTTGGGGTTCCCAATCTTGACCGTATCAATCTGACGATAGCCCATGTAAGTCTTTGCGTGGAAGCGGTCGCTATCGCCACGCTGCTTACACGCAGGTAGCTCCACGTCCTGAAGATGATGGTGATATCTTAGAAGCCAAATGGAAGCAATGGATCCATGAGGAAAGCTTCAAAAGGTGAGGACGTGAAAACCACCACCCAACGTTAACTCCTTCCTGAGATCGTAACTGACGACCAATATGGCCAATTATTCCAGGCTGGTTTACCACATGTATATGCACTGTTCTCAAGAGGCACTCATGACATCGGGAACATCATGTATGTCTTACGCGGAGCTTACCATCCCATGGCCCCAATCCCAACGATTGTGGTTTGCTCGATCGGCGCAAGAGTGGAAGGCTCTGCACTTGGAACTACGACATACCAGCCCGGAAAAGTCACCGTGCCTGATCGACTTACTTGCCGATCCTACCAAGACGAAAATGATAGCAGACTTCCATGACCAAAGCCTCATTCGGTTGTGTCTTATTTATGCCGTTTCGTCAATGGTTCGAAGATATAGGCAGGACAAAAGTGTCTTCACATCCAACGGTCTCAGCACCACGCGAGTCGACATTCTTTCGGATGAAGTACAACATCAGGTTATCTTGCATATCCTCAACGATATACGAGCGAGCAACGATGATTACTTGTCATTGCCAGTCGAAGAATTGATAATACACCTTCTGTCAATGCATGTTTTCGCGCCGTTTGACCAGATGGAGCTGGTGGCTGGAAAGGAAGGTCGGGCAGAAGTCCAGAGAGTGTATCCGTGCCTTCAACGGTGGATCCGTACTCGACATGCAAGGCAAGCCGTCTGGCATGCGAGCCAGGTGTTACGATCACTGCGAGAGCTTCCACACGGTCAACTATCCAACTTCTATGCCATCGCAGCCTACCATGCAGGCCTTTGCCTCTGGCTTTACGGAGTCCTGCTGCAAGAGATGGACACGAAGCATTCGGACGCCTTCCTGTGTTCTCCGAACGACGTCATTCTCGACGGGGATGAGAGCATTCAATCCCAGAGATGGATCAATCACAACCGAGGAAGACCCGTGATTTCGACAGGAAGGCCAGACGACCGTGATGGTGCTTATGACCGGTTTACAGTGCCCATTCACTCTCCTCAGGCACTTGTTCAAATATTGCTGAGGAGCGCCATGTCGCGGTTCATGGGAATGAATTCCCCTTTGGTTGACAACATCTGTCACTTGATGCAGGCGCTAGGTAATATCTATGAGACCCCAGACGATGGGTAAAAGCCCGTCCACGAAAATGGTGAGCAAATCATGTGTCCGGTGCTTCTGTTATTCGAACGTCTAGAAAAACTGACAATTCGAAGCTCGACGCAGACCTCCACAAACTCTTCGCGGCGACTTGTTTTATGCCGACCCCGTTCTCGATGCTGTGACATTTATCTCGTTACATCGTGCTTCCAGCGAAACACGCACAATCATTCTCGACGATGTGCACCAAGTTCTTCTCACTCTCATTTCGCGGCCGTCCGCCCAGTGCGCGATCCTCCTAACGAACGGCGACCTCCAAGACGTGCGTCTCATACGACCGCCGAAAAAGTAGAAGGGAATAAAGCACAGCAGGTCGGCCCGGACAATTCCAACCACGGTCCCAAAGGCATCAATGTAACCAACCCGTTCGACCCATGGATTGGTGTAGAAACCCAGGAGGAATTCGAAGCCAATTCCCGAATCATTCATTAGAAATGTCGCACGGTGGGATTGGAGAAGACAGGGAGCAGGATTGATTCACCTTTGAAGGCGGCTTATGTGACCACTACGAGAGCCAGAGCACCCTTTCAATTCAAAAGCACTCAACAAAAACCAATGTATGTACACCTGCTGATTGTTTGACAGCCGCCTACCCAGCTTTTGTCGACCTAAACCAATTTTCTACGATAGAGGCATACAAAGCCAGATTTAAATTCTCTATTTTTCGTTCCTTTCAACCATCCAAAGGCTATGACGGCGTGCCACCGGCGTCCTTCCAAGTCTGTGGTCTCGAAGTCTTCGAGATGAGGAACTGATTTATGAGAAGGTGCTGCGTGAAGAAGATCATGTACCAGCTCGCCGCGCCACTTTTGGAAGTTCTTCCCGGAGGAGACTCGAAGATACATATCGAGCTACGCGTACGTATGTGCATAAAGCTTTGGTACACCCAAGGAACCCTGAATGGTGAAAATGCAATTTGTGTGTTCCCATATCATGCAAAATCTTGAGTCTGCGCCATAATCCAAGTGTGGGCTTTGAAGAGGCTTACTAGTATTGATCATCTCTCAGTCCCAACGGAAGCTCGATCGACGTTTAGATCCTGAATTCTGGCGCTGTCCTGCTCTGGCTCTCTTCCAACGCCTGTTCAAACGACTTGGACTTGCCAAACCATTCGAATTTTTCCTGATTGCATACTATCTTCTTCATCTTTCCATCTTCTAGGTCATACAATGCCCAGACTGTCATTCTTCCAAGGTCCCCTGGTTCCCATGCTCTTTTCGCAATGCCATTCGAAATGGGGTTGGCTGCTTGGAACAGAGTCTCCATAACGAAGAACAGGCGACGACCATTTGCCATGATTTCGATAGGTATTAGGTGCTCGTTGTAATAACTGAAAATCCGGGCATAGTGGTTGAAGATACCGTCTGACCCCTTGAGCACGGGTTCCTTTTCCTCCGCTGGAAGCAATAGTTCGACCTCGGGATGATAGAAAGAATGCTGCGTTTTGAAATCTCTGCTATTGAAAGCCTTGATATATTTCAGAAACTCCTCCGCGGTTAAGGAAGACATGTTGGGCGTCTTCTTGGTGCTGATTTTCTGGGGATTGAACTGGTAAATGCGTCCTAACGCAATCCTCATATAGCCGGTCCAGGATTGTCAAGGAGGTACACTAACTTCCATCCTGAGCTCGTCCCGCTCTTAATGCAGCAGAGGGCGGAATTCCGCACCGTTCGGAAAACCCGAATACCGAAGGCTCGAGGTTGAATCTCCAACCATCAGAGTTTGTTCCGGTCCCCATGGGTATACTCGGTCCGTCAGGGATGAAGACAGCAATGAGGGTGGCACACTTTGACAATATATATTTGGACCCACCTACAAACGGATACATGAGTCTTTCTCCGATCAGCGTACAAGGAGTCGGCAGGGATGCATGTATTCTGCCCACTGGATCAAATTGGGTGCTTCGCCCAACTGTTCAACGAAGAAGCCGGACAAGTAAAATCCATGGGGCAATCTTCCAACACCCGGAGAATGGTTGTTTTTCATCGCAAGAAAGACCTCGGCAACACTGAGGAATTCCAAGTCACGACATGGTTAGAGAAGAGGTTCAACGCTCTGTCAAAAGGATCCGAAATACTCCCAAGACTGTTCCGATATCGCCAGTACTCGGATTGCATGTCACAGACCATAGACTACTTCTTTCAAGGTACCCAGTTTAGCGGAGGATTCTGGCAGCAGTTTGCCCCAGTAGATGAGTGTTGGACAATAGCATTGAACAAATGCTAGCCAATCATTTATGACAGACTAGGATATTTTGCAACACTCGCTCAATAGACTCTATCACCATTAACAGGCAGCAATGGTGACGTACGCTCGTTCGATAGATATATAGATGGGCTCTATCCTACATTCATGAGGAGAGCCAGAGCACTCTTTCAATCCACGAAGTTCAACAGTGAGTTTCGTGCTGAAGAGTCAGAAGACGCCGCTTCCATTTGGACGGAAGCAAAGATTAGACATATGGTGGGGGGAGACCGTGCAAGGTGATTGGCATGGATTGAAATATACAAGATAGGACCTCCATGGAGGGCTAAGGCTGAGAATTGACCACAGACATGGTTCTCCATAATTTTCAGAGGCTATACCCTGTCAGCTTTACTGGATTATCTGATCCATCGTGAGTGGCCACTGTCGGGAATTGCCAAGCATTTGATGATAAGCACATTTGTCCCCGGTGTGTTGTGAAGTTGTCGAGAAAACTGCTACTTCAAGGCTTATCATGCCCTCAGCCAGGAAATGGATTGAGATTTCATCGTTGTCTGAAGCGCGTTTAGTCAATGAAAAGGCCGCCGTCGACAACAATGTGAGTTTCGTTAACCCATCTCGATTTCTCCTCGCACAAGAAGCCGACGGCATAAGCTATTTCACTTGTTTCAGCCATCCGCGGACCACAAGGTGTTGAATCGATAGGCTGCTGCAGGAACTTCATCATACTAGCCCGGATAGCAACAATGGCTTGCGTCTGGATAGGATCAGGGCTCACGGCGTTGACGATCCGGCCGCCTCCACCTTCATCTTTCCTTGGAAGTAAGGCAGCACTGTCTGTGCTGAGAGAAATACACCTCTCCCATTTAGGTCTACAAGCTAACCCCAATGTTGCAAGGTGTGCTCCAGTGGGAGACTGACAGCGACTCTAGCATTGTTCATCAATATATCCACTTGGTTGAAGGCCGTCATGATCTCTGAGACTAGGTCGACTGCGCCGTTGGTTGTGGACGGGTAGCTAGTACGGTGACGCCAGGCGTCGCGAGAGAGAAGAGCAACGACGGTGTCTGCGATAGGACTAAGGTCTTGAGGGGACAGTTGACCACGACATGAGCGACTTGGGAGGAATACTCTCGGGCCACAGCAGGCCCCTAGTCCCGAACAACTTTCTGAGACTATGACAATTTTGCCGCAAAGTGTCCCATGAGGGTCACCCTTCGAAAGGAGACCATCCACATGACCAATGGAATATCCACCGTGAGGTTGGCCTTTCGGCTCCGTTCATGTCGTAACGCTCCACGGCCATATCGAAGGCAAAACCGGGCGGTTCTGTGAAATGTCTTGGAGGCCTGGAAGAAATGGCAAATCCCCGCTAGGTGCCATTGAATTCCGTAAAGAGAACGAGGTATACTCTTGATTGTTAGCAGTGTAGGAGAAAAGATATATGGTTTAGTCAATAAGTAAAAGCAAAAAAATGGTAGGCCGAGTCCGAATGCATTCTTGCCGGCAGGAGCTTTCAAGGCAGTAGCAAGTAAGGCTGACCTGATGTTGGGAAATAGCACATACCAACCATTGGCTTAGACTTCCACTCTGGCATTGACACTGGCATGCCTCTTAGTTTGCCAACTTCTCGCCCCACCCTTTGGGCAAACAGAGGACGAGTAATCGGAATTCCACCTGGGCCGGGATGCCGAAAAAGCGTGCCGATCTGGTTACCTGCTTACTTACCCAGCTGTGGGGCCGGCACCTCGATGCCCCTAACAGGGTCTTCCGGAAAATACTGTGTATACTAGTCTGCATTTTGAGAGCATCGTGCCGACTAGTCTACATTATGTCCCTTCCGACGAGCGACTCTGGACAGCACGACAACCATGCATCGTATTGGATATGCTTGCAACACGACAAGGAGTCGGCCGAGACCGATGATTGTAGGTTTTAGAACTAACTACTAATATGTGAGATCTAGAATACGACCAGAACACAGATCAAACCAATCAATTACTTTCAAGGGTGCAGCTGCCCAGCCCCATCAGCCCGCTCGCACAGGGTTTCTTCGACGAGTCCGTACCAAACTTTGGAGGGGTGTACACTAGAAAGGGTTCGAATCCTAGGATGCAGCACTTCGTGGAAGAATCGGATTTAGTCCTCCATCTAGGCGCTCTCGACGCCGATGCCACCAGCTATCTTGGATCGACAACCATGAAAGAAGCAACCACGATCAGACTTCTGCCGGAGGAGGTCGTGATAGGCGGTATGGTGTATTCTCCAGGATGACTCCAAGCACTTCTATCGAGTGTACTTGACCGACTGTACTTTTCAGGGGTGGCGGTGCAGCCATTTCAACGGCCGGTTGAGAACGGCCATGTGTCCGAAATGCAGAGTTGCCAATATCTCAAGATTGGCTGTGGAATCACTTTTGTGGCAATTTGACGCCCAGAGATATCGTATTGACGGATACTGGTACAGCAAGCTTTGGGATATTCGACACAAGGCTTCTACAAGACAATTTGCTCATCGGCAGCGCGCAAAGGGCTGCGTTGGTGGCCGGAGATGACAACGGTAGCTTTCAACCGACCTGTCAAGAAATCAGCACCATGATCAAGCAGTGCCTACAAGCCATCATGTGGGCAGACCTAAGTAACTTCTCCACAAATCTCAGGTACGGGAGCTGACTGATTACCACTGTTCCGATAAAGAGTTCCAGTTCTCCAGGTTTTTCGGATGAAAACGCAGAGAGGGGGGGGGGTTACAGCGTCTGCTGCAATGTAAGGACTTTTCGTCGTTTTCAGGTGTACAGAAAAGTCTAACAAGATCCCAAATAGTCTGCAGGAGACCCATTGTTGGCGCTGGGCTGCCATATGCTATGGGGCGATTGTATGTTAAGGCTCCAACACCATTGACAGGCTGCAACACAGGTAGCAGCGCTGACGGACACTATTTATATAGGTATATAGCATTCATTTGGAGACCCAGAGCGCACTATTTCAATTCAAGTTGCACAAGAAGTTTGACATCTGCCGTCCGCTGAGATCCGGACAACTTGTCGAATTGTACACACAGGAGCTTGACTTACCAGATCCATTGCGAACGCTTTCAGGACTGATTACTCGCGCTTGATACTCGGCACTGGATTAATAACTCAATGACAACAACGCGCGATAGACGAATCAAAATTTGATACATATGTGACTGAGCATGTTTACCTATTTGGCGGGTGATGCATTAGTACTCCTTACCAAGGAGCGAAGAGAATGGCAGGCATGTCTGCTTAATTTGCGAAAACTTCCATGCCAGAAATGTTCTGTGTCGTGTCACCAACCGAAGCCTCTCACATCATTCGCCAGTCACACCGTATTGTTTTCTGATGTACTCACAAGATTGCAGTTACCGTTGTATAAAGAACCGGAACAACCACCTCGAAGATGCTAGCGCTTACAGTATATTCGGCTCAATGGCCGCTACTTTTAGCCCTTGTACCTCCACGCAGCTTTTTCAAGTCCCCCCCCCCCCCCCCAAAAAAAGAAAAAATAACGACTTCCACCGTGGCACCAACATGACTGGCAAATTAGAGCAGCTATATCGAAGATTTTGTGCTCCCACGCATGCAGGCTTATTTCCTACTCCAGGCATCCCTGAACGGAGCCTTCGAAGCCTTTTCAACGTCCTCGCCATCGACCCAGCTACCATGCAACCCATCAAGTAATTTCAATGGAAGTTTGATTTCTGCAATGGGACCAGACTTGATGTCAAGTGCCTCAAAAAGCAACAAGTTCGTGAGGTTCTCCCGGAAGAGATCGGCAACTACCAGGATGTAGCCGTCGTCTGGAGGAGCACCCTCATACCTCGGCACAAAGACCGGTTCCTGGAAGGTGATATCATCACCGTGGTAGTATTTTTGAGTCTCTCCAGTGTCGAAGTTGTGTAATAAGAGCGTGTTAAAGCCTTGCTCAGCGGCCTCAATGCTTGCAAATTTCGATGGGTCAACGCGTAGGGTCCAGACACGTGAGTACGGCTTCCCGAGAAGCCGGTCATCAATGCGACCGAATTCGTAGACTCCGTCGAGGACAACTCTTTCGGGATGGATCATCTCCTCGGTGCTCACGTGGGGATCGAAACGATACCGAAGAATTGGAGCCCGAGTCTTTGTGCGGTCTGTCGAATACTTCTGACCCTTGGTATTTGGGAAGAAAGGGAAATGGAGATCCGTCCACACGTTGGCATCGAGTACAATGTTGCCCTTTTCATCCTCAAAGCCATTAATGGTATGTGAGTAACAACCACGGGGCGTCTTGAACCATTTTGCGTCCTCAGGCTTTGCACCGCGTCGCGGAATAACACCCAGTAACTGGTAATCCAGGTTCTCATCCCAGTAGAAGTGCTCACCCCCACTTTTCATTAGTTCGAGGCTTGCTTTCAAGCCATTGATGGGGAAAATGACCCAGTTTCTCGTCATCCAGAAATCATGGATCATACAAGCCCAAGGGGCCTGAAACCAGACCTCTTCGGTGATCGATCCATTCTCGTCGACGGTAAACGAACAGATATCAGGGGTCGCGTCGCCCTCGGCCTCGTAGCTGTAGACAACTAGCTCACCGGTCTCCGAGTCTGCCTTAGGGTGAGCCGTGTGTGTTGGGGCTTTGAATGTGCCATTATAGTCGACAAATCCGATGGTCTCTAGAGTAGAGGCATCGATCTCATAAGGAGGACCGTCCTCTTTGAGCGTCATTATCTTGCCGGCATGATAGATGACGTGGGTATTTGAAGTGGTCCTGCTGATCACATTCCGAACGCGAGGGTCGTCGGTGAATTTGTTTCTATATCTGCCAAACAGGGCGCGTCTGGCAGTTCGCTCAGCAATATACTTCTCTGTGCGTACATAGCGACATTTGAAATCGATCGTGCCATCCTTGAATATAGAAACAGCGGAGGTTGCCATCTCCGTTGATTGGGGCATCGTCCTCGAATAGTGGTGGAAACTGAGTGTCGGGTTGAATTCGATAAAAAGCCCCGTGTAAGTCTCTGGGCAAGTTGCCACAGATCTCGAGTGAGACCACCTCGGCCTCGAAACGTGTATGAGCATGATTCCATGAGCTCATAACATAACTTTTGGGGAATATTGTGCTGGGCACGACGTGGGCCATGATTTTGATATCTTTCTTGTCTCCTGTGGAAGAATGTATCAGTGAAGAGGTAAAATGTAGCAGAGTTGGAAAGGCTTGCTTGCCGTCAGTAAGTTTTCGCCAGCCTGAGATTGGAGCTGGCCAGGCTGACTTAAAGATACAAAGTCACGGCGTCTATATTTGTTTCAAACCAGGCCTTGCAGCAGCGGGAGTCGCGATGGGGACTGATTTCTGGTTATGGGCCCGGGTGGGCTATGATCCCAGCTGTGGTGGGTGGCACCAACATATTAACCCCACCGAAAAGTTGTGATATGTGGCGACGCCAAGGCTTGTAAAGACCTTCGGAAGCGTTGTACGCTTCGTACACGCTTCGAAAGTATATAGTCTGACGGTCCCCTGGACCCTTCGAAATAGGACAAGTCCTCCGTAAAATCACAAAGTCATGACTTAATCACACCACGGGAATGGGGGGGTTTTGAGTCCAGGCCCTAAAGCAATCGGTAACGGGTCGCAATGGAAACAGAATCAAAGTATTTTCAAGGATTCGCGCCTCTAAATATCAATCTATCTTGTGCTCCTTTTTGGGAAGGAACCAGCCTTGACTAAGGATATGTCCATGTGGAATTGAAAGACAATTATGACTGTGCGCATGGAAGGGCAAGTAAAGGAACTGTGCGGAGCCAATGGCATGAATGAACATTATGGTTTTTGCCTTCCACCACATGCACATATGTCTAGGGTGCAACTGGGTTAAGGAGACAGCCTTTGCTTATGATTCACCGGCTAGTAACGTATCCGTTCATGAGAATAGCCTGTTCAGTTCCATACTGCTAAAGCAGCGCTCCTGAGTGCTCTATGTGGGCTTTGTCCACCAAAGGAACACTCTTCACCATTAAACATGAGAAATTGAATGCCTTCTCGAGAAAACATGTAGGGATTTTATGTCTACCCTTGCAGCTTTCTTTCCCAGTTCAAGTATTTGCGGATCAAAGTTGTCAACTTAGTTGACATTCGTGCCTCTCTCTACGAACTCCCCGTTGATTATTCTGTTCTTTTGATTCTCTGGTAACACACTGGCGAAACCGTGATATCCTGTGAACAACTCCTTTGGATCATACTTTTCTCGAATCTTGAGCCATTTTCGAAGTGCCGAGTTAGTCATCGGAGTAAGTAGCTTTGATGGCTTTTGGTCTTTAGAGGATATTCGCGGACCATAAATTGTCAGCGGTAACTAACGCGAAGTTTCCTAGGGAGCCGGTCAAGCCGGTCATCCCGTACTCGCCTCGTTGATCAGAGCTAGTGCAGGATCCGGCTTGACAATCTCCGTACTCAGCAGGACAGATTCTAAGGCGACATTTCCACAGAATGTGAATGTGCTTGGAACAGACTACACGGACGTTTCACTCGAAAGGGTACTTAAAGGACAAGATGTGATTATCTCTTTGCTCAGAGATGCCGGCATGCCTATGCAGAGAGCAATTATTGATGCCGTGATCAAAGTCGGTGTGAAGGGGATCTTTCCGTCCGAGTTCGGCTGCAGGATACATGATGAGAAAGTCGTGGATTTGATGCCATACTTCAAGCCGAAGCATCAATTGATTGAACATCTCATGATGAAAGAAGATAGCATAAGCTGGACAGCTTTGTGCTGCAATCCATTCTTCGATGAGGTGGGCCATTGAAACACTGCTCCTAGAACAATGAAAGAGCGCACTGACCTTGCTGCAGGCCGTCAAAAATACTTTTCATGGATACGAGCCCCCCAATAAGTTTTATCTTCTTGACGGTGGTGACGCACCCTACGGAACTACAAACTTACACACAATCGGCTCTGCCCTGTTCAAGATCATCTCCGACCCATCCCACTTTGCAGAATCTGCTAACCGGTATATCACGATCTACTCGCACATCACCATATGACAGCCCAGAATAAATTTTCCACTGATATACAGAAATAGTATAACATACCCTCAACTAGCATTCGATATGCACCGTGGGATCGCATCCGAGCGAGAGTATCAGCCGGACTATCTAAGCTGGGAAACCACAGTGGATAATCTCGACACGTACGTTGATCGGCTCTCAGAGATCGTCTCTGGCACTGTGAAGAGGTTGATCCCTCACCACCCCCCCGGGAGCAGGCGATGCTCCCCTTATACGAAACAACTACCTACACCGATAGGAGAACCGCTCGTTCATATTGAAGGGCAGGTACGAGGTACACGGTATTGGAAATTCCAGCACAGAGAATGAAGAAAGAAAGTCATTTGTGGAGAATTTCATGACCAGTTCAAATATGGCACTACTTTGAAGATCTGAGTAAGATGGCCCAGATACTGTGATGGCGATTCTCACTTCCGCCCGTCGTTTGCCCTTTTGCCCATGTCGATCTGATTATGCTCGCCGCTTCTCCGCGGCCGGATGATTACCAACTTAATACAGTCCTCTGGCCGGGAATCTTATCAATCAATTCTTGCCAAGTTCGCAAAACGACGACTGCTTCCCTTCTACCCGCGAAAGAAATGGTCACATTGAATATGCGAAACAGGATGTGAACCTCCTCATCATTCTCCTCCTCTCGACTCACCAGCTCCTTCAAGGTCGGACCGGCTCTCTCGCTGGCTCGTTGCTGGCGATGCTCTCGCACCGCGGCCTGCTCCCTGGCCATAATCGCATCCACAAGACTCGCAGACATCGTACTATCCCACAGACCCTCTCGTGGGAGACGCCGGAGTAGCTTCGCGGCACGTCGTCGAACCGCTTGCGGGAAGCCGCTATGTGCAACGAGGAAAAGGGGCTGTAAGGTTGACGGGCTCGGAGTGAAGGACGCCTTCCCATCTCCTTCTGCGTTTGAAGTTTCATTGAGATCGAGAATCTGCTCGGCAAGATCGAGAATGGCAGAGTACTGTGCCGGCAAGGTTTGGTATCGCACGGATAGGTCGGGTTCATCCGGGTCTTGGAGGAGGAGGACGCGGTTGGTGGCGTGGAACAAGCAGAGAGAGAGGAATGCCTTGCTCGGTCGCGCTTTGGTTCGAGGAGCGGTACCAGATTTCTCGGTCGGAGACGATCCCAGCTCCCTCCTGAAAGTCTGGATTGCGCTATCGAGCTCCTTAAAGCATCGTGTGTGGGGTTCTTGTCGCGCCGCTAGAGCAGTCAGTGTGTGTGGGCTGCGTTTACCGGCGAAAAGCTCTCCAAACTCGTTTGCATGCTGCTGCGAAAAGAAGATCATTCCGTTCATGAGAGATTCGGCAGCACGATTAGCATGTAAAAGGTTTTCGGGAGTCAAATACTGGCAGAATCTCGGCGTGAGACCGGGCGCCGTGTAGACGCGCCATACGTTATAGCTGTCGTTCTGTGCGATGAGTGTAGGGTTGTCCGCTATGCCGCCATGATCCATTGCATTTAGCTGCATTTGGAAGTTGATCAGAATAGACCGTATGGGAGTGATGGAAATTGGAACGGATGATAGTGTTTGGGCCTCTCCCTGGACACGACTGCGCTGAGACTGTCCCTGAGGTGCGGACTGCGGCGACCATCTTCGATTCTTCATCTCCTCATCCTGGATTTCACGGAGAAGATTGCATCCCGCCTTGAGATGAATGCGGCCTTGCTCATACAAACCCTGAATGCTGCAGATACAGGTATAAATAGTACTGACAGTGAGAGCTCTCCACTTATCGGCATGACGAGGCGAGGTCGATTCAGTCAGACACCGAATGGAGGAATTGAACTGCTGCAATGCAAAGACATTCCGGGTCGACTCGTGAACTTTGTCCCGGAGGCCAAGAGAGCTACGGGACTCGTAGACAGATCCAAGACTGACGGTGGCGTGCCAGATGGCTGGATCCACATGGCAGACCCTGGGAATATCACCCAGCCAGAACTCAACATCAAAGACACCGGCGATTGCGGGGGCTGTGACCTCCAAGAAGTAGCGATAGCTGCGAACTTCGTCGAGATTTCTTCGAGGGAGTACGAGCTTCGGATTGGCCGTTGCGTGAGGGAATGATGAGCCTCTTGTCGGAGTACTGGATGAAGAGGGCGATGAAGGTGCCAGTGACGATGGCGTTGCATAACCGTCACATTTGTGTCTAGATGAGAGGCAACGGTGGCAGGCTGGTTTCTGCTCGTCGCAGCGCAATTTGCGGATCCTACGTTCATGTTGATTTAGCTATCGACGATGCACTCCATCTCAGAACGTAAAACCGTGGGATGGCGTACTTGCAAGTAATACATCCTGTTCTGACCTTTCGGTGGTAAACCCGTCTCCGTCTCGGCCGGGTGTCGCCAGCCTCGGTGACGGTGGTGCTGCTTTGCTCATCGGCCATCAACGAGGCAACTTGAGGCATCTCCAAGATACTACAGGCAAAAGACACACGTAGTTCATGGATGTCACTTAGATCTAACGGGAGGCAAGAATCCTCGAATGGGAAGAGAATCACTGGCAGATTTTGGGATCGTGATCTCCCCCTCAAGATTGCTATTTTGGTATCGGTGGCCAAGGCCGCTTTAGGGCAGCCTTGTACGGGCTAGCCAATCGCAGGCAGCTGCCCACCATGCATTATGCTCATTGGCTCAAATCTACGTGATTGATTTCCAACCTCCAACTTCCGTTGAGCTCGGGTCTTCATCCCTTTCACCCTCGTTACCCTGCTCCCAAATGTGATATTATTTCATTACGATGGCATCATCTTCTCTCCCCCCTACACAAATCAGCAAAGCAGACCGGTACCCAGATCTCAGCCTGCCGTCCCGTCCGAATTGACCAGTGACAAGTCTCTTCTGGCTCTCGACAATCTTCATTGGCCAGAACGTAGGCGACGATGGTCACTTGTGGGTAATGCCGTGTTGACGGGTTGAGGTTTTCAACGTGAACAAAGAAGACCCCGTATGGCTATAAAAGTCGACCGAATCCCTCCTCCGTGATGGATGGACAATTCCAACATATTTGTAGCGTATGAAGACATCAATTCACTCGTCCAATCTCAAAACGCGGTACAAGAACAATGCGTTCGCTCATTGGACCCATCACTGCCTTCCATCTGGCGGCACTGCCCTGCCTAACGGCTGCCCAGTCAAGCCCGAACTGCCCAATCCTTGGGCCCGTCTTTCCACCTCCCAGCACCCTCCTGAATGATTCCGCTGCTATTTCAGAAACCCTCGCCCAGTTCAGCTCCACAATGCGAGAGTTAGACCGTAACAGGACCTTGGCAGAGTTCAATACGACTTTCTACTTCCAAGTCTTTTCGGCGTCTGACAAACTCTTTAACTACAGCTACGCCCCGCCGCCAATGGCCGACTTCTTGACTTCAGGGACCCTCGACGACAACACCGTCTTCCGGATTGGCAGCGTGTCGAAGCTCATCACGGTCTATACCCTTCTCGCTGAAGCTGGTATGGAGCACATGCATGACCCGGTAACCAAGTGGGTGCCGGAACTTGCGGCTATGGCCGGATCATATGGAGAGAGCACGTCTCAAAAGGTCCGGTGGAATGAGGTCACCATTGGACAACTAGCTGGACAACTAGCTGGTGTCAAGCGAGACCGTAAGTACTTCTTCTGTTTCTTTGTAGAGAGATAGAGAGAGCTTTATTAACTAGTGTCTTTGCTCAGTCGGGCTCGGTGATCTTTCTACTGCATTCGACGCCCTCGGGGAAGATGTGGAACAATACGGCCTGCCCGTGCTACAGGACGATGAGAAACCAAATTGTGGAGTGTCCAATTTGGGCCTCCCACCCTGCTCTCGTAGAGGTAAAGCTGTACTCAAATATTCTGTGTTTTGCGTGTCTTGGACGATCCCTGTTTCATTAGTAGTGATGCTGACACAGGGAACTGGCAGAGTTCTTCAAAGGTATCAGCTCGTTCCGTCCAGTTGCTCCCACCTCTCATACTCCGATCTACTCCAACATCGCGTACCAGATCCTCGCCTACGCCGTCGAGGGGATGACGAACCGGACGTTCAAAGACTCACTTCAGTCCTCGATACTAGACCCTCTGGGGTTGAAGCGGACGTCTCTGGAAGCACCTCCAAAGAAAGACAACGTCGTTATTCCAGAGGGTGAAGACCTGTCGTGGTGGAGCGTTACAACAGGAGGTGCCAGTCCGTAAGTATCCAGCCGATATTTTGACCCAGTTCTACTCACACGATGGCACGCTTGTTGATTCTTCTCCTTTCCCCCAGTTACGGAGGTATGTTTTCCACAGCCTCCGACCTTACAATCCTAGGCCAATCCATCCTCAACTCCACACTCCTCTCCGGCGCCACAACCCGGGCCTGGCTCAAGCCGGTAACCCACACCTCCGACCTCCAAATGTCGGTCGGCGTCCCCTGGGAGATCCGGCGCATGCTCCTCCCTCTCTCACCAGACTCCAATAACACCCGCGTCGTCGACCTTTATACCAAAAACGGCATTCTAGGAATGTACAGCTCCATCTTGGCCCTGTCACCAGACCACGGCCTCGGATTCGTCGTCATGCTTGCCGGGGCATCGGCCGGGCGCCTGAACCTCTACGTGACCCTTCCGGAGCTAATTGCTCAAACAATGGTCCCTGCCTTTGAAGAGGCAGCGCGAGAGCAAGCTGCCAAGAAATTTGCCGGACTGTATGAGAGCTCTGGAGTCACGTTGACGTTGGGCGTCGATGAGGGATTGCCGGGTTTGGTGGTTCGCAACTGGACGAAGAGAGATGTGGATGTACTGCAGGCGTATGGACAGTTCATGTGGCCAGAGCAGAATGTGACGCCCGGATTGAGATTATATCCGACGGGTATCGAAAAAGGAGGCAAAGTGTCCTTCAGAGGAGTGTATGAGCTCGAGGGTAGTTCCACAACTAACCGTGGTCCATTCGTCGGAGGATGTATGTCCTGGGGCGGAATTGACACACCCACGTACGGGAGCATTGGGTTTGACGATTTCGAGTTCGTTTTAGACGACAGCGGAAAGACCGTTGGCATCACGCTGAGGGTGTTTAGGGAAACTCTGAGAAAAGTTCAGTAGTACTCAAGAGAGAAGAGGCCCTGTCACCGGTCTCTCTGAGAGAATGATCTAAGATAACTGCTCTTGACAAAGAAACATACGGGCCAATGACAAAATCATATCGGCTTGTTTACAGCTGCCGAGGTGCAGGCTTGCATTCGATGTAAGAGAAACAAAGCCCTGAGTACAAGGGAAACGAAATATGTTTGTCATTTTACCGGTTGGGGATGTCCGACGCCGGCATAAAGTGCCAAAACGGAGCAGGGATTTGCTAGACGACTTTTCATTTCCGAGTACGGAAAAGAAGAGCCTTAGTTGGGGCCAAAAAGGTCTATATCAATTGTAGGCTTAACTATTCCTCAATCTCTGTTCAGTTCCACATACCCGCAACTGTCCCTGCTGTGAGCTGCCCAAACGCTCGACCATTTTCTCCAGGGATCCTGTACGAATCCTTGTATCACGATAGCGAGGCATGCATTCAAACTGATACTTTTGGTTTAGCTTCTCCACAAGTCTACCCGCGATCTGACTTTGGGGGCTATCTTGACTCTTTGTTATTGGACCCTCAATAGATGAAAGACCAATTAAATATTCTTCCAAGAGATCCTCCACGCGCGTATGCACCAAGAAGCTCCGGCGGACAGGCGCATATGTCTGACTCAACCTCACATCTATCACTCTCGCCATCTAATTCCCGGTAAAACTCAGAGCGCTCCTTCTTGAATGCATCCTGTTCCTCATGGTAGGCCACAACCTTGTCCAGACTGATGCAGCCTTTTTGCCCGAACCATTTCCGGATCACGAGACCCCATCACCATGAGGCACTGGCCATCTTGAGCACTTTGCTATGAACCAGCCGATCTGTTATGATTACTGTCTATTTTCGGAGGCTTTCACGGAAACCTGTCCGGCTGCCTAGCGAGGGAAGAAGAAGTTGATTAACGCCATCTCACACGATACTTCCATCATATTTGGCCCGCTGGGATCTTTACCAGTTAGATCTCGCCCGCACTCACCACTCAGAGAGCACGCGTGCATCCCCATATCGTCCTTCCGCTTATCCATGACTCAACAGCCCCAGTCATGGCTATTGCAGAGTCAATGTCGTGCAAGAAGAAGCAATCGAAGTCGGGAAGGGACAAAGTCACATGCGAAGGCACCTAGTATGGCGCGTTGGAGGAGAGTTATCATTGACAAGGAGGTACTCATACAAACACTGGACATTGCCTAATTATCAAGCGAGAGGCCGGACGCAGCCCATAAGAGACGGTCAAGAGTGTCCTCCGATATTTTCTCTAGCAATCTAATCCAAAAAGTGGCGCTACCCGTCGTCTTCCTTAATTTACACTAGGTACACGGGGCTCTTCGTTCACTGTTCGTCGCTCACCACTCACGCATGCATCCATTCAACCGGTTCTGGCGGCTCTGACCTAGAGTTCGATACCGGTACTCATTGAGCCAAGATCAGTTGCCGTCAAATCGAATGCTGCAACTCCAGGGCTTTTTCCACTGTCGTTCTTACTTGGCATAGCAATTGCCTCCTCCTCCGCAGTTGCTCAGGGCTATAATGAAAAATATATATCAGCCAGGTCTCTCGAAGTTGAGAGAAGTCATAGTTGCTTTCTTACTGGTGAGGGTATCTCCCTCGGCCACGTCGTCCCTTTTCCTGGCCTTGTTCAGGTCTAACCGTTGGAAAGATCGGTTAGCACTGGGTCACCGGAAGTCTGAGACTCGAGAGAAAAGGGGTTGGGAATTATTTTGGACGCGGATTACCTTCTAGGGTTGGGTTGGCGACGGGCACAGCCACCGCGAGGAGAGGCAGCAAGGCCACGATGACGACAATGAATTTCATAGCTAGAACTTGAAAAGGCAGAATCCACGAAAAACCCGGGGGGGGGAAAGAAGGACGTCAGTAATTGTGGTAGAATTTTCGAGTTTTGGGCGGGTTAATATCAGGATTCCGTCTTGAATTGCAGGTTAATTGACATGAAGTCTGCACCCGTCATAGCTACTTGTTAGGACTTATATATCACAATAGCTGCCAACATTCATCACTCGAAGACCGGCCCGATATCGTGGAAGCATACTAACGCGACGCTGAAAAGTGGCTAGGGTTGCGAACAAAAGTTTGATATACATTCTAGTGAGGGTAGCATGGTGTCAAATGTAGCAGACAGCATTGCACATTTCCATGGGTAGGTAGATAACTCCAACGTCATTCATACCTTCGAACAGTCTGCGGGAAGGAAGTGTTGCGAAGCGGGGCGTGGACATTTTGAGGTATATGTACACAATACACCACTTGCTTCTAGATCTGCACATATGTTGACGTTCACGACTCCCAGTGGATCTGAGACTACGGCTGCAATACAACGTTTCAATTAAACGCTAGAAGAATCCAGAAACGTGGCTGTGCATTTTATGTGGATTGTTAATCGAAGTATCAGTGTAAGGCTTTCTGCTAGCATGGAAGCTAAACTAACGCCGTCACAACCAGAGTATCTCTAGTGCCACGTAGTACCATCTATCCCGGGCAGAAACGACATTCATCCATTCGCCAGTGTGGACATTACTACTATCTCTCCGATGGTCGTCGTCATAGAGGATCGCTCAAAGTTGAAGATGAGAAAGCCTGTGGAATACCAACGTGAACTTCTTCAGAACCTCAACGAACAAGAAGACAAAAATTCAAAGTGTTGGACCAACTAAAAATGCAACCACCTGTGAAGGAGATGTCTTCTGAATCTCTGCTTCGAGGTACTAGGACAGATAGCCCAGAACTTGAACTCCGCGACAGACTCGAAACAGTTACGAATGATTCTACTTGCCCCAATCAAAAGAAATCCAACATGGTCTCAACCATAAAGAGGAGATACGGCCCTACTACCATTATCCCTTCATCCTTGCCTTGGGCCGTTATCATTATATTGGTGGTCACCATGTTGTACAACTTCAGCCTGAAACCCACCGTGGATTCCTCATTGGCGATCTGGTGTAAGTTTGTCTGACCAAATGGGCATGATGTCTTCGCCCGAGGATGAGTCCCCCTGAACCAAATATTGACCTGTCATTGTATAGCTCCCGCCAACGGCGTTGTCGAATACGAATTGCGTCTCTTCGATGGCTCGACACCCTCAAGTCGAAGTAAATATCAAGGCGAGCCGAACGAGGAGCGAAATCGATTGTGGCTTGAACTATATGAATGTAGGTACTACGGGACCGACTGGTCCTTCACACGAGACCACGACTGCCTTGGCCATACTCGACGCTAATAAGATCACGGCTTTATCCAGACGTCGGCATCTCGCAAATTTCCAAGGCGGACGCAGACAAGCTTGTTGATAAAACATCGCCGATCCCTGGAAATGAAGAGAACTACTTCATCCAGCTCGACGTATTTCACCAGCTGCATTGTCTGGTATGTATGTGCACTTCATACACATTCCTTTGTCGCGACGGATTTCACGTTCTGCCCGCCTGTGTCTTCTTTGTCCAATTGATCAATTGATATCTGTGACAGAACACGATCCGCATGGCCTTCTGGCCCCAGCACTTCAATCTTACATTCTACCTGGGCGAAAACGAAGGGGAAAGGTTGGAACATATCGGTACCTAGGTTCGTCAGGCACGGATACATATGTAACCCAAGTGAAGGTGCTGGTACTGGTACTAATGAGCACTATAATACATAGACCATTGCATCGACCAGATCCGACAGTATATCATGTGCCATGCCGACGTGAGCCCACTGACCTGGAAATGGTCATGGGAATACCAACTGTATCTCACGAACATGTCGATAATGCACACGTGTCGCCGCTGGGACAAGGTGATGAGCTGGGCCCATGAACATAGGATGCAGACACGATTGGACCGGACAAAATATGTGCCCGGGAGTCCGACTTTCTGAGTGATGGTGGTTTTGGGTGGTTGTGGGCACATTGAAGCAAGCGGTACTCTGTTCAATTTCGAAATGGTCGATGAATGTGAGGAGTTCGGCAAACACACAATATGCTGAAATACAAAGAGCGGACCGTTATTGATCGAGATCTCTCATAACACCAACCGCCTCCCTGATGACCCTGCCAAGCTCGTGACCTTTTTCCCAGATTTCATTATGTTTCCCCTTCAGCTGGACAACTTTCCAAACAATTTTGCCTGAACTTTCACCCTGCAATGTCGGCTCAGGTCCAAAAATTCTCTCCATGGCCTCCACCTGCTTCCAATCGACCAATCCATCCTCGCGCGAGTGTGCTAGTATCATGGCCCTGTTTTTCTTCCCTTTTCCATCTCCACTAGCCCAAATGTCAAGGTAATCTTGAGCAGAAAATTTTGCCGGACTTGCCGCATTGTCGTCACTGGCGTCGGGAATGGCGTTCCTGGTTAACTCAACATATGAGGGGAAAGAGTCGTGGAGGAGAGGAAAGTCGTATATTCCAGAAACGCCTAGCACGGCCATTGGGGGGTCAATCTTGGGGAGATCAGATTTCGCTAGATTTCGAGGGTCCCTGAAAGATTTCTCAGCCACAAGAGTGCTCAGCACAGCCATAGTTGCCCCAACACTGTGTCCGACCAGCAAGTATCTCTCTCCAAAGCCGTATTTGGCCTGTAAATGGGCGATCGCGGTGAGAATGTCATGGAGGTGATCCGGCCATTGGGCATTTCGAAGTTCGTACGTAGACGTCGTATCAAGATCTTGTGGTGACTGGGGATGTGGTGAGAGTCGGTAGTTCAGGGAGGCGTAGCCTGCGATATGCGACGCTATGTCTTTATCGCTTGAAGTCGTTTCTGTGTGAGATTTGAAGTGGCGACGGAGAGTGTGATTATGGGCATGGGATATCAAATTCGACAAGGCAGGGTAGAAAGAGGACGACGTCACCGTTGGATCACGGAAGTACCCGCCATGGATGTATATGACCCAATATCTGTTTCCCTTCAAGTCCGAAAGGTGAAAAGAGTCGAGTTCAGGCACATACAGCTCGTAAGACTGTAGTATGTTGTCTTGGGCGTATTGATGGCGAGTTATATCACGCTGGAGCTTTTCTGGAATGGCCGGTGGTGAAGGTTCTCGTTGGCCATTGGACTTGGGAATTCCAACACCTCCGGATGTGTGTGCTGGAAAGCTATGCGCTGCGGTGCTAGGATGCTTGGAACGGGATTGGTGATGGGCGTTGTGCTGATCTTTGTAATGCGACCGACTATGGTGTGTCATACGTTGCTGAGGTTCTTTCGTTTGAGGTGAGAGGTAGGCCGAACCAGAGTATTTTTGCTCGGAGGCTTGGACGGCTGATAGAAGTTAGATCAAAGGAGACGTGAGGATGGAGAAAGATCCCCGAGTATTGAGCGTATGCAATATGAAACCAGGATGAAGTTGCATACCTTGATCCTGGAAATATCTGATGACCCTCTTCATCTTTGCCCTGCTTTGCTGTTCAGGGCCTTGTCACGCAAAGATTCAGGGGCTGTAGCTTAATGTCGTGTCGGAAGGGAATCTCGATCTCATGTCGCAGTTGGCACTGATAGATTCTTGAAAGTATCTAACTCTGACGAGAGTTCTGCATTTGCTTTAGATACTCCCTCTTCTCACCTCCAAGATTAGGCCGACGGCTGACATGAGCACAGCCACGGACCGATTCCGCTACCACCACTCTCTCTCGCTCGATATGAGCCTTCAGACAAGTGCTCTTTTCTATTCGATAGTCCTTTTTGGGGGCGGACCCTTTGAGGGCTGGTTTCCAATGCTTGAAAGTCTTTGGGAGGCGTTGGTTCTCGAACCCCGAGCGTGGCGTCCAAAGTCCCCGATGAAATATTAGGAATCAGGCCAAATCCAACCAAGGGGTGGATGGTTACATGGGTTTTCTCTTGGATGAATTGCTAGTAGAAAGCATCAAGATGGATCGACGGACAAGATACTGGAAAAGCTGTCAGGAGGTTGTGGACGTAGCAAGAGAACTTACCCCACATTTATAACTCATCAAGACTGCTAGGGTTTCCTTTTTCGGACGCGAACTGATTACTCACTAGACCTCTCAATTCGCCGTGTTGACCATTCTTTTGACCTGCTGAGAATTCCGTGCTCGAAGGATTGCCCCTCTTCCGGAAAGCCGGTCGCGAGGTTCGGACTGAAGCGAAATTCTCATATCAAAGCCAGTGCAGATCAGGAGCTGACCGGAGACCCCAATCAGTGGGGACAATTTGTGTCCGCGGAACAATCTGACACGAGTGGGAAAGCTTAAGGTCTGGACAGAGTCAGCTGGGGGATCAGTGACCTGTGCGAGGTAGCATTGAATAATATGTATTCTTTGCAGTCTTTCCCATCTGCTTTTTATAAACTCCCCCAAAATGAGTCACGTCAATACGAGATGTGCCGCCGAGAAAACCCCGTAAATGGCTCATCCGTCGGTCCTTCAAGTCTTGGGCGAGTTGTTGGGAGACAATCCCTGCCCAGCATGGAATGGGACCCCCAGTTTTGACGGATGCAAATTCCCATTGACGACCAACAAGACTTCCATCTGTTCTTTCGTCTATTACCGGCGTTTTCAAATATATGACTTGATAGGATCGTCAAAAATTCCGGGCTCGCCGTATGGTCGCAAGTCTCGTCGCGTCTGGAAACTCGTTGGATATCTTTCGTCGCTCATTGATGCCTATATTTGTGGGCGAATTCCCCTTAGGTCTGTCCTCGAAAAGGGTGCACCGAAATCCAAGCCATGTAGGAGCAGAAGATTTTCATGTGCATCACGTGCAGCGCCATTACTACTCGCGATAACGTTATTAGCTGATTCAACTCGACTAGGCTGCTAAACACAAGGTTGGACAACCGTTGGATCACGGCTTGAGAGTTGAAAGTTGTTCTCGATTAGAAGAACTCGCAATATTTTGCGATGACGGACCCATTCTTGAATTGATTCCGACCATCTCCAAGTGTTGTCGTCGCGTGATCGATTCCGCGGATTGAAGACTTCTGGATGCTGCGATGAATGTCCCCCAAAAAATCTAGCGCCGATCAATCCAAATGTGGATTCTTGACTATTGCTGTAAGTGCATTTATATCGGAAGCGTCGTCAGAGAAGCGCGGCCTGATCTCATTGCTGGGCGGGAAAACGTCTGTAGAAGACAACACTGTCGCGTGGTAGTTGTTCCCGCCTTGTTTCTGGCTCTTGTTTGGTCGAAGATTGGTCAGATGGGAGGATTCTGTCCCACCCAAGTGACCACGGGCTCGTTCGAAATTAAGGCGAGATTGGCGGGATTGGTTGCTTTCATCAGTACCGTTGATGGCAATCGTATCGTCATCTTCATCCAACCTGGGCTTTGCTGCAGAAGACTTCCGGCCATCTAAAGAGTAGTGCCTTATCCAATATGAGTAAAGACATCAGACTCGTCAACTCCGTTGAGCAGCGCATTCGTTGTCACGGCATGTAGAAAACGATTGCCGGCCAAACTCAATGAAATGAACGTGCTGGGGGAGCCTGTCAGCTCCTCATCTTGCACGATCGCTGGCAATGTCATTTTCCGGAGTGAACGGCTGAGAGTGTACTTTCTATTATGGTCTACCGTTCGAATGCTCTTTCTTGGGGGAAGAGATGGACCACGAGACATGTGAGTTCTCAGAAGATCTTGGCTTTGCAGCTTTTTGGCTGGATCGCAGATGCAACCGTTCATATCTCGACGGACTTGGGATCAAGTCTCCGGCGAAGATCGTTGTTTATACCTATAGGATACTTTGTGGAAATATGTAGTACCTCGAAGGGATTGTGTTGTCTTCGGTCGGATGACTAGTTGCGCTGAGAGGTCGGGCTTCCTGTTTAAGCTCTTTTCATCGAGGGTAGATATTAAAGTTCTCTCCATTCGAAAATCTGCAACGCTTCTGACGGAATTTTACCGGAACGTGTAGAATTATCCCGCGTTTTCGACTGGACAAGTAAACCGGGTTCGGTGTTATGTCTGAGCGTCAATCTCACTGCCTCAACATTGGGTGCTCGGAATTGCTCGATCAGAAGAGCACCTGACTTTTTCGTGCTACTTCCTCTAGACTGTTGCTTGTCGATGGATGCTGGTCCGACGTCTTTGTACTCGGATTTGTCCGGTTTGGGTCCTGTGCGATGCTGGGATTCGAGCTCATTGAACCTGCATGTGTTTTGTTCACCCTTCGAGTTCGAACCGGTAGGAGAACGTGAATTTGCGGACGGAAAAAGCCAATCAACACCGACTGTCCTTCTTTATATTATGCTCTTGCCTGTTTGCGGTATCACTCCTATTTTCGTCTCTGGCTCTAGCGTAGCGGGGATGGGGAGGTTCCGGGCTTCGTAAACGGTTAGGTCCCAATACCGTGGAATCTGCATTCGAAAGTGGTTAGCGTTCGTACAAGAATGTTTTCGCGGACTTTGTCCTTGGATCGCTCCGGTCCTGGTGTCCATCCGTGTCCCGTTCCCAGCGTATGTCGTAGGGGGACACAATTATGGCCTCACCTAGAGTCACTTGATCTGATTGAGGTCCAGATAGCACTTTCAGATTAGGAGCGCTTCCTCCAAGATTGCTCAACCACGTTTAGACCAACTCTGCATTTCTTGGGGCAGGGCTTTCGGTGGCGTTAGATAAACTAATGGCAGAAACGCAAGGGCCATCTTCCAAGGAGAATCGAGTGAAATGAAATGAAACACTTGGCTAGATGGGCAAGTCAAAAGGCGGGATCTTACTCCTCGTCGCTAAAGAAAGATCGCGCCACAAAACTCACACATTTTGGAAAGGAAGGCACGAAAAGATAGATTTTGGTCAGGAGGCCGGGGAAACAGTCAAGGGAGATTTGGGTGTGGAAGTCATATTTGGCGGGAGTCCAAACCAGTCTCGGTCTCACAATCTTGAGATGACCCTTGTTTCTGGGACATATTACCATAGGGCTGAGGGCGAAAGGACAACAAAAAGAAAAAAATGGGTGGATCAAGTCGATCTCAGGGTTTGCTGCAAGTCATTTCTGCAGGATCCCCGTCAAGCTTACGCCGGATAACCTTTGATCTTGCAGTAGTATCTCATGCACACTGGTATCGAGCAAGGCAAGCCACGATGGACATTTTCGAGCGCAAGCTTGGAGGCGGAAGGACGCTGGGGTGATCTGAAGGAGGGTATCGTGGCAGGATGTGGTTGAAGAACGGTGCACCGTAAGCAGGGAAGAAGAAGAAAAGGAAAAAAAAGAGAAAAAGGGAGAGAGGAGCTGGGCTCTCGCGTCAAGATGATTTTACAGGACGGTCATCTTCCGGGGCATCAAAGAATACAGGGAATTGAAGAGGAAGCGAAGTCGGTGAAGGATTTGAGTTCCCTCTTGTGGATGTGATGGTGTTTGGCTCCGATGAGTCCAAAGCGGTCCCGACGTGGACAGGAATTAAGCAGATCGAGTACCGAGGACTCCGTTCAGAACTACTGCTTGTAGTAAGGATTGGTAGTTGGCAAAAAGGTGAGAAAGCAATGCAGAATTGGAATTGATAAATGAATGGTAAATGGTGGGGGAGCATCAGTAAGGATAGGCGGTCGACTTCGGCAAAGTTGAAGCCAAGCTGCGCTTTGCCCTCTTCCTCCTTAGTGTCGGTATTTTCTCTCTACTACGTCTCCTAGTTTCATGCAGAGGCCTTCAAATTGAACCATCACTTGTTGATGATTGAGCCACCGCACAACACCATTAGCATCACTCTTCCTCCTCATCTTCGGCCGGCTCACCCTCACCCTTTTGAGGACCAGTCTCTTCTAACAAAGCTCCCAACTCCCCCTGTTCTTTGCGCGCCCCCTGGCCTCTCCTCTCCGGAGTGCTCGAAATCTTAGCCTCGGGAGTTGTGCTGCCCTTCTCCTCATGCAATCGAATCACTCCCGTCTGCCATCCTCCATCGCCCACAATCCACCCTTTCAAATCCACCTTTCCTGACCATACACCTTGCCTTTCTCCGCCGAATCCCTAAACCCAACCATCCATAATGCAGCAGCAAATGGGTCATTTTCCTGTTGGAATCAAGGTCGTGTAAAACCCCCCAAGGTCATTAGACGTGGTTCGTGCTCTGAATAATAACCATTCGGAAGCGGGTACGGTTCACGTTGAGGATGCCAGTAAGAGTCTCTGATAAGACCATGAGGCAAATTCTCCAGTAACATGTCCCATTTCAAGCCGGTTCACCGTCCTGCTGGTGCAATTTTTGCTCCTGATCGAGTCCAATGAACCCAATCACACCCGGTTGGGTCTTTCTTTGGTTCGATTCAATCAGCGGTCAAGCCCCAGTTGCACCTGAATATTCTCTCCCAAATCCAATTATTTTCCACCCAATGACACCATTTATTCAGGCCGTTGCCTGCAATCAAAACATCGCTTAACGAGTCAGGACCGAAAAGAATGACTCTCGCAAAGTTCCCGTATCGGCGATAACCACGTGAATCGGTTCTTCGCAAGTCCCTGATTCTTGACAATTCTCGTTGTGACCGCGTGTTGAGACTTGGATAGAAAGTTTTCTCAGCGCCAAATCTGACAAGATGCTTCTTCCAGTAAGGCTGAAATGCCATTGTTTCCAGAGATAGAGAGAGCTAGATGGTATTTTCAAGGAACAAGGGTCTAGCAAACCTCCTTTACCGACAGATTGATGCCGCACTGGGAGATCTCCTCTGTGCAGGCCCACTTCCTTCCCGTGCTGCCAATACCTCTGAGTCCACCGTATCAATGGTGTGTCGACACCCCCCATTTTGAAGCGATCTCAAGGGCCCCCCTGACATCACCGGATCACGAGGGAGCCTAGGTGAGAGCAAAGCAGCTCCACACGCCCTGTTCATTTTGGTTCGACGCTGTAGTAGACGATTTTTGCACAGAGGTATTGTTGTGCTGGTCATATTCGTCATCCAACATACTGATATTGCTGCTTTAGCTGGAGCAAGTTTGGCTGTTCTCACGTTCTGGTTGCCTCCTTGTGGTGCGTGTCGCGGAAAATTCAAAACCTTTCTTTAGTTTCCCACGTGGAAAGGAAGGGGACGCTGCGGGACTTTTTCACTTATAGCACCCTGCCCGCCTTGTTGGATTCACTTGTCCTCCCTTGCCATTATATCGCCAGGCGCCCAAGCCTCGAGAATTCGAGAACTGATGCCAGATTTGTTGATTGGGGCTGAGATGCAGACGATCTAATTGATAGATTGCAGGAACCACTGCATATTTTCAACCAATGAAATCCTCATAACAGCCCAAACTTGACCATTATTCCTCTTTGACGTTTTTGACCAGGTGCGGTGAGCTCTGGAAATCACAGACCGCTTTCAAGGTTTACTTAGAGGGGAAAACATTTCCTCTGCGAAAGGATATATCTGACTGGCGTCCGCCAGCTGCATCATGGCAAAGCTCTTCATCGGGTAGGCGACCAAAATCTTACGAAATTCCTCGGGCATAATTGACTGGGTTCGCCACAGGGGCCTCGCCTGGCACACAACCGACGAAACTTTGTACGAGGGCTTTCAAAGATTTGGCAAGGTGGAGGAGGCTGTAATGGGTCTCGATGAATATCTTATGACTCGGTAGCTGATGAAATGTTTAGGTCGTTGTCAAAGATCGAGACACGAATCGAAGTCGAGGATTTGGTTTTGTGCGCTTTGCGACCAAAGGGGAGGCTGATGAGGCACTGCAAAGAATGAACAACACAGAGTGAGATGACGGGGAGGAATGTCCACCAGATATCTCGGAGCTGACGATTTGAATAGGTTTGACGGTCGCTTGATTCGAGTAGACCATGCACAGGATAATAGACCAGGCGGCACCGGTCGAGGTGGTGGCTTTGCTGGAAGAGGAGGATACACAATGCCAATGACCGGGGCAGGAAGCTATCCGCAGCCTGGAGCCCAAGGACGACCTGCGAACACCATGGGGTTTGGCCGCGGTGGCGGAACCTATCCTCCTCAATACGGACCATACAATCCGCAGTACCAACAACAGCCAGGAGGCCCCTATAGTGGCAGCCAACCCCAAGGAGGCAGCGACCCATATGGTCCACAGGGACCGTACCGCCAATAGATCAAGAGCCGTTGATGCCATTGAAATCCGGTCGCATGAAGATACCCACCGAGTTCATCCGTCCGTCCGCTTGGGAAAACTGTTGCGAGAAGGTCGTAATTTTTCAACTGTACGTCGGGAGCGTCGCAAGGCGGAGCCAGGAAAAATCGCCAGACAAATTCCATATAATACGCAATCATATATCTTTCTCGATCTCCTCCTGCTCTTCGGTACTGTTGACCTTCCTCAAAGCATTGTCAGGCGCCGCTATGGATCGCGAAACCCGGGTCGGCGGAGTCAATGCCCGTACTCGACGGGCTAGATCAGTGATATGCTCATCTCGACTGTCTGGACTCAACTCGTTTAGAGCCTGTTCAAGATGGAGAAGATAATCTCGGTTCTCTCCGCTTGGACCAATACTTGCATTGATTGTTTCCGCGATCATTTGGGGTGGTAGAGCTCCCAGAAACTGTGGGTTGTCCGGCATCCCAATATAAACCAGACAATCAAGGTCGGGGAGTGAAGAGTCGGCAGGGTGGAATGGTGTGTGTTGGATGCTGTATCCATTGCTGCAAAGTGGTTAAACGGGCTGAGGACGAAAGATCACGGAAACGGCGTACATTTCGCGGATGTCTAGGTATTCTTTGACTTCCCTCACTTTCGATGGTATGATATGATAGGCGACCCCCCAGACATAATCTCCCTCGGTCTCACGTTGCTATGAGGCATTAGCTATGCGGAGGGCCAGCGGTAAGAACAACTCAAGGTCAGTGTCGTACAGGGTCATCAAGCGTTTCCCAAAAGGACCTTTGAATCAACGTGACCACTCTACCAGGGGCCTCAGGGGTGCCACGATGATCCTCGCTAAGGAAAGGATTTTCAATACAGGACCTGAGCCTTGTCGACTAGTACTCACCTAGCCTGGAGAGTCGAGGTTGTTAGTGAATGAGTGGTGTGTTTAGGGCTCCGTCATTGGCTTCCTACCTGCCAGAAACGTCGAACATACCCTTTGATATAGCCAGGGATCCTTTCGTCTGTCCATGGGTGAGCTCAGATGTACAGGAAAACGAAGTGATTCCCTTCTTGACTATACCAAAATGTGGCGGAGGTTTCCAAATCAAACTCCTGGAAGGTCGAGATATTGAATGAGTGGCTTTTGTTCACAATGAGCGGTGGAGTATTTTGCTGTGCGAACATACCCATAACCAAACAGCCAGATATCTTCAGCCTGGACAGGGCTCATATTGGACCAAGTTCACCGCCAGATCATACAGGGAAGATGGATAGGGGTAGGTTCCGGAAGGGGGATAAATCACTGATATATTGCTGGTGGCAGGTGAAAACTAGGAGGCTGGGCCTAATGAGGTTATGGTACCTGGTACCAGCTCAATAGGAGTATATGTAAGCGGAGCAGAAGAAAGTCGTGGGTATAACGACTAAGAAGGGGAGGCTTGAAGCCCAGCCTCCTGAACGTGTTATGCATGCCCCGGTGCTCCGGATGGCCTCGTACGCGGACTCCGGTCTTTAACGAGGATTGCTGACTGGCAGAGCTAAAGAAGCTGCAGGGCCACACGTCCCACGGACTGCGAATCCGAGTCCGCCATTAGTTAAGCAGTTCAGGAGAACTGGAAGTAGGGTAGTTCAGAGAGGGGGGCCGGATCTGAGTTCTTAACTAGACGCACGGGGCCTATCTCAAAGACCCAGGGCAGGTGTCTTTTGCCACCACGGGTAGAACGCATCTACTTCCATCGCCAGAAAAGCCCCGAAGTGACTGATCAGTGGGCAATTTTCGCGTAAAGCAATTAATTGCGGTAATGGCGACGGCGACGGCGATGGCCTTTTGATATGCTGGAAAGCCCTCGTGTTCAGGACAAATCATGTTGACACCAAAGCGACGAGGAGTTGGAGTAGGTTTCAGGGGCACGGGAAGGTGCGGGAACCAAGCTGAGAGAGACTTCGAGAGATGAATAGGCGATCTGGACGATCTCGTGGTGGAGCAGAGTACGCCTTGAAGCTGGGTTTGGATTCCAACGCCTTTAAAAATAAGTAATGATTTGACCTAGATCATGAGGCATTCAGTCGAGTATTACCTTTAGCTCTATGGCACTTTTGCGCAGCCTGCGCCTCCAGCCAGTCGGCAACCAGCCTCGAGGCAAGCCAACTAAGCTATTTTGAGGGGGCTTCCTGAAACTGCGCCTGCGCCCGCAAGTTGTCACCGTACCCTCTTCCGGCCCGCGCCACCTCCAAGAAAATCATCGGGGCCAACCTTTCTAACCACCCTCGCGTTCGTCTGTGCAATTCAGCCTCTTCGCGCGACAAACCATGGCCTACGATACTTCTACCTACGACATTCTTTCTTCTTGAATTTGAGCACTTCTTTCCAACCACGTCCGCCACCTCATGGCCTACAATAAAGCATTTAATCCTGATGCCTTGCCTGCGTAAACATCCTTCCCCCCCTTCTTCAAAACCATGCCATCAAGACCACTCCCCCCGCTGATGTATCTCCGATAACAGTCACGCTGAACCGGAGCAGGCTGCGCAGGCCCTCAGCCAGCTCCAAGGGAATCGCAAACCGTCTCCCAACGCCAGATACACAAACCAGCCGCCGCCGCCGTCGCCATTAAATCCGGGTGCTCATCGTCCTTCCTCACCCGGTCGCCGCCGTCCATCACCGGCGGGCACGTCCTCTCAAACCTCCTACCGACCCTCTCCAACTCAAACCTATCCTCAGCACCATGCTTCGAACACTTCGTCGTATGGCGACAATCAATACAATCGCCTACAATCGCCTCCACCGCCAGCCAACTACGGGTTTGGGCCTCGGCCTCAAGTTGACCCGGCGGCGGGGCGCCGACCTTCGAATGAAGCTTATTCATATCCTGCACGCACGCCTGCGCCTCCTGATCCCGATTCGGCTGACCTCCTTCCTCTGTTCCGAGCAGCAAATGTATCTGGCACTGGATCTCTTACGACGGCGGAGTTGGGTTCTGCGCTGGTGAATGGAGATTTCACACCGTTTGACAATAGGACGATCACCTCGCTGATGCGCATGTTCACGACATCGCCGCCAAATCAGCCTCAAGGGCCAACTATCACCTTCGCGGAGTTTGAGAACCTCTGGCGGTTTCTCGCTGCATGGCGCACGCTATTTGAGCGGTTTGATGAGGATAGTAGTGGGCGAATTTCATTGGCGGAATTTTCCAAAGCCATGACAGCGTTTGGGTACCGACTATCACAACCGTTTGTTGGTGTGCTGTACAACACGTTCAACGACCGAAATCCAATGCAGAACCGGGGAATGAGTTTCGATCTGTTTGTCCAAGCGTGCATTAGTCTGAAAAGAATGACGGACGTGTTCAAGAAGTATGATGACGACCGAGATGGCTATATTACTCTGAGTTTTGAAGAGTTCTTGACGGAAATTCTCCGACTACGAGACTAGAGTATCTTTGCACCCCCGGTATATTATTGATTGAAAAAATAAAAAAAAAAAAAATCTGCCCCACAAACGCCAGCCTGGTCTACAAAGCGGACTGAGAGGGACAAGATGAAACTTTGGTAGCATTGTTTTGGATACGCCGGAATTTTATCTTGGAATAACGACGTATATGCCTGCAGTCTCCGATGACAAGGGTTGCATGATGGTTCGTTGAGGAGCAGCAATTTGCGGATTTGCAGGTACTTTGGGAGCGATGGGCCAGTGTCTGTAATTTAACTGCCGACGGCGGCCCAGCTGTGAGCGGTTGAGAGTGTGCAGTAGTTAGACTGCATACTGGCTGCGACGGGGGAGGATCAGCGCCAGCAGGACCATTCAAACCACAGAGACTTGGCCGATATCTGGTAAAGATAAAAGGGTAAGTTATGATTACGACGGACTGGTGGTTGTGCCTGATTGAATCTGAGATCTTGCGGTCAGAGGCAGAACCCACCCTGACTGAGCCTATTATTATTTATCAGAGCAAGTCAACAACCCTCCCCACCACGTGGATAAACGGGCTTTGCTGCAAAAGAAGTCGTCGAATATTCCACGCCGAAGGTGGAATAACTGCCATTTGTAGAAGGTAACTGATAAGTATCTAGTCGGGAGCTTCTCCGGAATTTTTGTGGATTGCTCAGGTGACCACCTACTCGTATGTAGGCATATCATATCACATCACTCACCAAATTCATTCGTTTTATTTCTTTTAGGCAAATTTTAAGAACATGGGCTCAGCCCAGACACGGGAAGTTGAGAACTGACAGGCATTTCTGTTGGTGAACCCTAGACATGAACCCTCCACAAAATGACAACCCTTGACCACTGGCGGCCGCTGTCAATGCATGAGTTGGGCTGGTCTAAACTCTGTGAGTCCCTCGGGTGGGACATTTGGTGGAACGTGGCACTTGCAACATGATACTGGAGGGAACTCGAAGGGGCCTCATCAGCCCTTTAGGACCCAAGATCGATCGGTTCTCGGGCGAATTGACACTCTTAAGCTAGCCCCAGCCATCGTCCAACTCTGGTTGACGGCAACTCCTCATTGCTTGCTGCTCGCCACTACGAACGCGGCCTTGGATTCCTCCTCACCCAAGCGACGTACCCCCCCGCTTGGATAACCTCCCAGGGCCACGCACGGCCGACTGGACCTTGCTTGCCATGCTGGCGCTAGAACGTTGGTCCCGCAGACGGGAAGCTCAGGCACATGCGGCACATTTAGAACTTAGGCTGCGAAGTTAGTTCTGTTGAGCCGGGACCCGCTACTCTACCACAATGCGCTGCCCTCCTGAGGAATGCATTTACCAATAAGCGGAGACTTGAGAAAAGACATCCATCCGTATCAAGAGAGGGAACATAATATGAAGAGTGAAACAATCGTTGCTTGGAGTGACTGTGAATTGTGACCCCTCCAGTGACGGCGTGGAACACCAATGGTGGAGGTGCTGGGTGACCGACGGATGGTTCTAACTTGACAACGTGCTTTAGGCTTTAGGCCTTAGCACAGTTAGGAGTAGACTCTCTCCTGCCGAGTTGTAAGACGGTGATGTGGTGTGCGTTTCCATTTGTTCGCTCGTCTTGCAAGACCAGGGACCTTTCATTGCTCCCCGGCCTTGCTCGTTTTTGGCTGCCGCTTTGCTTTGGTGCTTTGCGCTGCCACCCCGCCACGGCTAACCCTCGATTGTAGGTAACAGAAGAAGCAGAACACCAAGCAGGAGAATCTACCACCACTACGCACTCCTACTACCACTACCACTACCACCTTGAGCCTGTGGATTTCAAAACAGCTGATGATCACAACTACCGTAACGCTGCTGCCACTGCCACATACCAACTCCTTCTCTCCACTTCCTACGCCTTCTCCTCCTCATACCTTCTGTCCTGCTTGTTCTTGTTCGTTCGTCTAGATGCGCGCTTCTGGCTTTTGACTGTTCCTGCCCATGTACTCGGGTCATCGCAGATGAGGCGCGTCAACCATGACTTCCTTCTTTGGAAAACTCAAGAGCCAGGTAAGTATCAAGGCGGCCGCCCAACGTTCTGCCCATCTATCTCTGTAGACTGGTGCTTCGAAGCTGGCGCAACATGTCCCCGTCTATTGCTAACGATATCTACACTAGAATGCTACGAGCCCGGCAGTTGGCAGTACCGCCGCCAAAAAAGACCACCATGCGCCCTTACCAACCCCCCTGGAGCGCATGCTCGTGAATGCCGGTCCAATTCGCAATGATGGAAGCGACAAATTTTTTGGCATGGAAAACGTATGTCTTGTGATTTTCTTCTGCCATGATGATTTGCGTCTACTAACAGCTGCAATCAACAGTTCGGAAACACCTGGTCAGTACTGAGATCCGGATTTCTTTTTTTTTGGCTCGTGGACTTGTCTGACTTCTGCAGTTATTGCAATTCCATCCTACAATGCCTTTATTATTCTGTTCCTTTCCGAGAAAACGTCCTCTCGTATCCCCGACGATCGACATTGGAATCCGTCACCCGTGCTCAAGCGAATGCTCCTCCTCGTCGACCGCCAAATCAACAAAATGGCGTGGCAAAGAAACCTCCGGGCCCTTCGTCCTCTCGAAATGCTGGAACTCCCCCCCAACAACAGAAACCAGAAGATAAGGACTCCCCGGAATACAAGAAAAAGCAAGCAATATTGGCTGGACCCATATTGAACATGAGCTACGAGAATTCCGAGGACTATGAAATGCCAGAGACTCTTTTCACTTCATTAAAGGATCTATTCGAGGCAGTTGTCCTCAACCAGTCGAGAATAGGTGTTGTCAGCCCAAGCAGGTTTCTCGAAACTCTACGCAAGGAAAATGAAATGTTCAGGTCGGCGATGCACCAGGATGCTCATGAATTCCTTAACCTCCTTCTCAATACTGTGGTTGAGAATATCGAAGAACATGATCGAAAGTTAATAGCCCAGAAAAGGGCTCAGGAGCCTCCTCCCCCGACAATCGAAGAACCTACCGATATGACACGGACAGAATCAGCCACGGTCTCATTTCCTTCTATACTCCCCGTTCCCACAGCGAACTCTCCGACACGATGGCTTCACGAACTGTTTGAAGGCACCCTTACTTCCGAAACACGATGTTTAACCTGCGAAAATACGTCACAGCGGGATGAACCATTTTTGGATTTGTCGGTTGATCTGGAGCAGCACTCTTCCGTGACGGCTTGCTTACGCCGATTTTCGGAAGAGGAAATGCTTTGCGAGCGAAATAAATTCCATTGCGACAATTGTGGTGGCCTCCAGGAAGCCGAGAAACGTATGAAAATCAAGAGACTTCCACGGATATTGGCTCTCCATTTGAAGAGGTTCAAGTATACTGAAGATTTACAGAGGTTGCAGAAACTCTTCCACAAAGTTGTCTACCCCTATCACTTGAGGCTATTCAACACGACCGATGATGCAGAGGATCCGGATCGGCTTTATGAACTCTACGCGGTGGTGGTTCATATTGGTGGAGGACCATACCATGGCCATTACGTCGCTGTTATTAAAACCCAGGATCGAGGCTGGCTTCTTTTCGACGACGAAATGGTCGAACCTGTCGATAAGAATTTCGTTCGCAATTTCTTCGGGGATCGACCAGGACTTGCGTGCGCTTATGTCCTTTTCTACCAAGAGACTACCCTCGAGGCAGTACAGAAGGAACAGCGAATGGAACGCCAAAGGCGGACGCCTCATGATATGACCACTGGCCTGGCTGCTCTAACGAGACAGTCAGCAGAGTTGCATCGGGTGCAGACCGTCTCGCCAACGGGCTCCCCCGTATTGCCCTCAGATGGCCCACAATACGCTGTCCTTGATCATGCGATGACGGCGCCTCCACAGTTCAAGGCCAATGGTCATGTCGAAACGCCACAATCCCCTCCTCTCGCTGCTGTCAGACCCTCGAGCCCCGTCGTTCGAAGCAAGAAGGAAAAGGCCAAAGAAGAGAAAGCGCGCAAAGCCGCCGAGAAGCAGGCCGAGAAGGACAGACTGGAAGCCGAAAGACAACGTCGGAAAGAATTGGCCGCTAAACTAGCGGAAGCGCATAAAAGACAAGAAGCGGAGCTCAAGGCTGCATTGGAAGCGAGTAAGGTCTCAAAGGCCGAGGAGGATAGACGTCACGCATTGGAAAGAGCGGAGACCGCGCAACCTAACGGTACCGGTCATTCTGGTTTGGATCGATTCAGGCGGTCCAAGAGTCTCCGATTTGGATCATTAGCCAAGAAGGACAAGCCGCACCCGAACCCGTCAGAAGAGCATATTGTAACAACATCGGCGGAAACAGAATCGTCTGAAAAGGAGAAAGACAAGGAGAAAGAAAAGAAAAATCGGTTCAGCATTCGGAAGAAATCCTTTGGCAAGTTGTCATGACGAGATTAATAATACCGTTGTGGAAGTTTTCCCATTTCGACTACATTGCACATACTACGACTTCTTCCGGGGATGATTGACTGTCATGAAAAGAGAACGAAGCGCATCTTTCTTCGACTCTGGTACATACAAAGCTTTGGGGATACCTGTCACGCATAAAATCCATTTTGCATAATGATACGGTCGAAATGAAATGATTGACAAGCTCATGTTCTGGTCGATCGAATTATCCTATTCAGATGAACAGCCTCTGGTATATCCTTGGTTGTCATGACATTTCCGTCCCATATTTCCCTGGCCTTTCGAATTGACATACGGACGGGGCGCTTGGGAGACGGCAGTAGAGTTAGCTTTTAGATGCATAATTTTGCAGGGACAATAAAACTTGCATGAAGAACTGTGCTTCTTCGCTGGGATCTAAACACTCTGGATAATTCAATTCGCCACGTATCCAGCTTCTGCAGTCCTTGATATACATACTGCCATCATGTCATGGGCAAGTTGACATCTGCAAATTGATTCATGCTTCGTCTTGCCTGTCTTTGCTCTTTCGCTAAGGCTTCGGCTTTGATCACGTGTCCGCTGAACTAATTCTGTCCAGGTCCTTTCTCCTGCCTCACCCTCAAATTGCTCGCACAGATCCGAGACGACTCAACAGTTCTCACGTGGTGGACTTCCACGTGAGGTCGTATCTTCAATCTCTGATTGAATCGTCCGCTTCTACTCTATCCTCTCCTTTTATTTCCCCTTTCAGGGATGGGGAGTTGAGGTTGCTGAGGGATGTACGGAACCTGAGTGCGGTCGGCAGACAACTCATGTTACAGAAACGAATTGGCCAGGGTTCGATGAAAAGAGATGTCCAGGATTCCTATCACATCGTTTCCGTCCTTAGAGTCCTTTTCATACATCGGGACTGAATTGTTTCTTGGATGCTCTGGAGCGGGGTGTCCATCAAGATCGTTTGGGCTCAGAACTTTTAAGGCCATGCTTAGAATAGGGATGTCCGGGATCCATCCTTGAAGATTTTTCATATCTTTGTTTCTGGTCGATAAACAATTTTGCTCCGAACAGTCATGCGGCGTCTTGGTCGAGTCTCCATGGGGCTGCTTATGTTCGTCCGAATGATGGAATTCGAGTGAAAAAAAAAAAAAAAAATTGGGGGCTTTCATCGACATCTTGGTGTCTGGGTCGATATCATCCTAACATGAGCTCATATATGATGATCATTGAATTCACCAAAATCAAAGGGACTGTTTCATGGCACTCAAAGTTAGTCAGCTGGCCCTCTAAATCCAACGGTCCCGTTCTCTTTATGTGAAGTCCACAGTTAGCAGTACGAACCGCGACATAATGTTCTGATACTCGATATCAGGTTTATTCCTTTGCTGCGAAAGCTCTCTGGATCTTGAGCGGGAGCCCCAAAAGCTGCGCCGCCGGCAGAGGGGTCGTTAAGTTGGGATTTGCCCCAGCCGACTGCAAGAGTGAATGAGTAAGTTCCTGGAGGCCTGTATTCGAGCGACGAAGTAGGGAGGATGGGTGCATTGGAACTTGTAGGAGATGGCTTAAACCTTACTTCGAGCAAGGAAACGATCTTCGGAGAGAATTGCGATGGCATTAAGGAGGAGACAGCTTGCTAGAAGTAGAGAGAACGTGTCAGTGAACGTGGACCTTCTGGAACAAAAGTGTGGGCAGGGAGGGTTTGTTGTTCGCTGGGGCTACTCACCATAAATGAACGGCCCGAAGCCGAACAGGCTCAACATTTTGAGAAGCAGGAGTTGGTGAAGAGGGGTCGTCTTTAGAGGACCTTGGAAAGACTTCTCGAGCTAGAAGGTAGATTCCTGTAGTATCTTCGGTTGAATGGATGTGCTTGCGTGAAAAGGTCTTCGTATATCGAAGTCCAAGGACGATGAAGCCAGATCAGCATCGGGGATTCAATACGGCGAAGCGTAGAAGGCCTCTAGCGTAATTCTTGTATCAAATCGATGGCAGCTTTGCAGATGGAACCTTGACATCGCAACCTTGGCAAATCCTGTCTGCTTACAAGAAAACCCAAGCGACCTTAGTCTCACCTCCCAATTGGGCTATATCAAAACTCTTACCTATCCCTCGCACGAACAATGATTAAGGCATCCAAACGTTTCTCGACGACTGGGCCAAGCTGTTTGGTTGATTCCTCCTCGCCGCAGTGGAGACGCTTTTCCAAGAATCTTCATCATACATAATGCAGGCAGGAATCTAGCAAAAGAATATGCAAGCTGCGGAAATGTTTGTCCTGATTCGTGCCGAGGATGTGTCGGTTTGAGAAGCTTCTCCCCGCACGTTGCAATGATATTGATCAGCAAATTCCGGCGGGAGTTTGTATATCTAGGTTATGCTGACCCAGGGGCTCCCGGGGTGACCTATATAAGACCAATGGAGACCCCGCGGGTTTTTTGAATTCCTTCCCATATCCATCAAACTTTGGATTTATTTTTGAGACATCTGAGAGTTAACATCGAAATCCATTCAATCCCGAATCCAAATGGACGGAGGGCTCGAAAGTGTCACCAGCCTCCCTTCTTGTAAGAGATACATTGCAACACACGATGCTAATGGGAAGAGTGTCTATGCCGACTCGCCACCACAACAGTACATGCCAATAGGAGATGACGGTGGACTTGCCCGTTCATACTCGGTCCCAGCTGTACCGGCCAAGCTGGAAAATGACGTGGACGTGAAGGCGTATTTGAGCAAAGATGGAATCACCAGCTGGACGCAACCATCTATCGTAACACCGGGCGGAGCGAATCTGCTCGTCGTGGATTTGAAGCCCGGCGCCATGAGCATGATGCATCAAACAGTCTCGATCGACTTCTCCATTTGTACCATTGGCGAGATTGACCACGAGCTTGACGGTGGTCAGAAAGTGCGATTGAGGCCAGGGGTAAGATATTGTCTTTTGCAAAAATGCCCGGCTTGCTGAAACGCAAACCAGGACCACATCGTCCAACGAGGAACAATGCATCGATGGATCAATGCCTCCAAAACTGAGCCAGCGCGCTTCGTCGCCGTTGCTCTTTCTTGCGAGCCATTTGATATTGCCGGCAAACAATTGGAAGAGATCCATATCCCAAATTAGCCAACAAAGCTGTGAACGCGGCAGGATTTCGGAATTGATGAGGTTAAACCCAGAACGGGCCGGGATCTGAATCGCCTTTCGCTGTCCCATGAATTTCTACGGGTCCCCTTCTTTTGGTGCACGCACGCACATACACAGATTTTGAGCCTAGAAGAATGAAAGTCGAAAACCCAAAATTTTTTCAGACAAACACTCTCGCACCTGGTAGTTCTGGAAGTTGTAGGGAAGTAAAACTACATTGGGTTGGCGGTTCCGTTTCACGGAGGGCTCATCATCGAATGTGGTGGCTGAGTCATCTGGCTGGTCCAGGGTCAAGTTATACGCCCTCAATTTGGCGGATATCGACTGGAAGACTGAACTGAACTTGGTAGATTCTAGCTGTATACCAAGGAGATCGTTTTACGTCTTCTTATTGGGCCATTTTTGCAACTGATCCATGTCTGCTAAGACTATTCGCGCTCATCTCACTGCGTCACTTGTCCCCATCCACGAGACAGTGGTCGGTTACGTTGATGGCGAGGCTGACTCCACAAGGCTGTGGCCAATCACGTGGTCGTCCCCCTCGTTGGGCTCCCCTTTTCTCTGCGTCTCCCAACACACACACACTCACACACACACACATATATATCAACGCCTTGAGCATTGCTGTCCTTATGGAAGATGGTCAGATTTGAGATTTGGCAAGTCTCCTACCTCTTTTTCCCTGCCTTGATTCTCCTGCATCTCTACATCTCACCGTACACTAAAGTGGAGGAATCTTTCAATATCCAAGCCGTCCATGACATCTTAAAGTATGGGGTGCCAACACACAATGTTTACCTTAGACTCAAGGCTCAATATGATCATATGACATTTCCTGGTGCAGTGCCGAGGACTTTCATCGGCGCACTTGTCCTCGCAACCCTTGCGAAACCGTTCATTTTGTATGGTTCTCTCGATGGAGAACGACAACAGTTATTAGGTAGGGGACTAGATTTTCCCTCCTGAGATTGAAGAGCGCGTATACTAACCTTTGACAACCCTAGTGCGAGCGATCCTGGGTCTTTTCAATGCCGTCGCCCTCATCCGCTACGCGTCGGGTGTCAGACGAGCATATGGAAAAGTCGCGGCGGCATGGTATACTTTTTTGCAAGCCAGTCAATTCCATATCATGTACTATTCATCGCGAACTCTTCCTAACATGTTCGCTTTTGGAATCAGTATGCCTGACCTGTTCTATCAGTTCCGGCGGATGCAATATCTAACCGAAGCCAAATAGGCACACTGGCTCTCCGCTTCTTGCTGCCGGATGATCAAACGATTCTTGCAGTACGGATCAAACGGGGAAAATTGGCATTCTATCTCCTGACGCTGGCAACCGTCATTTTCCGCTCTGAGCTTGCATTACTCCTCGCATCTCACTGCCTCTACATGATTTGCAAATCGAGCAGCCTATCTTCAGCCTTCCGCCTCGTCCGAATAGTTTTTCTCCCTGCTATACTGGCCGCGACCATCGCCGGTTTACTCCTCACTGTCAGCATCGACACTTTCTTTTGGCAATCGCGCACTTGGCTGTGGCCTGAACTCGCTGCGTTCCTGTCTAACGTGTTCCCATCTAACGACAGGCTCGGAGCGTCAGCCTGGGGCACCTCACCCTGGCATTGGTATTTCACATCGGCTCTTCCTCGACTTGTCGTCAACCCGTTCCTCCTCCTACTGATACCATGGGCCATTTTAACGTTGCCAGTACTGGATCCCGCAATTATCGACCTCGTCGTCCCATCTCTGACTTATGCGGGTCTCTACTCGATCCTACCACATAAAGAAACCCGCTTCCTCTTCCCTATCGTCCCGCCTCTGACGGCAGCCCTGTCCCTGTGTGTACAGTACATGTCAATCCGCCGTGGACGGTCTCTGTTCTACTTTCTGGCAACACACACACTGATAATCAGCATGATCCTGACAACTTTATTCTCGCACGCACTGCTCCTCCCACTGTCTGCACAGACCTATCCTGGCGGCCAAGCCTTGAGCTCCCTGCACACCTTGTCGCTCGACTACGGCCCTCAACCCCAAATCCGCGTCCACTTGACAAATCTCGCCCTGCAAACTGGCGTGACGCATTTTCTTGAAACGCCGTCCTCCAAACTGCACGCACGCCCGGTCTTCGCGCTACCCGGCTCCCCAGACGGACGTAAACCGACCATCACCTCGACCCGCCGCACGCAGTGGGTGTACGATAAATCGGACAACAGCACCGAGTTCCTCATGCCCCAATTTTGGAACCGGTTCGACTATGTTGTCGTCGAGGATCCCAGCCACGTCATCGGCGCCTGGGACGTCGTGGATAAAGTCCCTGGGACAGGCAGACCTAGAATTTTACATCCTGATATTGGTCGCGGGATGCTGGTCTTGGGACCCAAGAGTCAGCGCAGGGAGGCAGATGGCCTATCGAGGATGATGGACACCATATACGGGGAGGGCGGGAAGTGGGTGTACGGTGTCCTCCATGATATCCTGAGAGAGGGATATGGTGTCGAGCACGTGCTGGGGAACAGCTGGAGCTGGACGAAAGGATGGTGGCTACATTGGGGACTAGAAACGAAATTGTACATTCTGAAGAGGGCGGAGGGGGGAATTGAGACTTGATTGGTTGATCTCAATCCAATGTCTGGATTGCCGGTCCTCCTTGGAAGCCCGCAATACTTCCAGGGCTCTCGGCGGTGTCCTCCTATTGTCTCCTCGACACCTCGACATCAGCGGCCTTCATCCAATCTTCCAATCCTGCTCTCCAAACCCGAAACCATGTCTCCTACGACCTTGACATTCCCTTTCATGGTTTCCTCCAACTCAGCCATTCCCTTCTCCACATGCTCCACCGCAACCCTCCACTGCTTGAGCTCCTCGCGGGTCTCGGCCTGCCTCTTCTCGACCGCGTCGAGATTACTTTTCGCGTCAGCTGCGCCTGCGTGGATCACGCTGAGCGCTCTCAGCCGCTCGAGCACCACGGGCAAGAGGGGCTGCAGATCCTGAATGGATGGTAGTAACTGGTACAAAGCTGTGATCTTGGCCGACTGTTCGTCCAGGAAGAGCTGCGATTGCAGTTGCAGAGACTCCTCGCCGGGGCCAGCCAGATCGGCGCCGGCCACTTGGTTCGCGCTTGAGGCGTTGGACAGTCCACGCCGCGGGCGTGTGTTGGTGTGCACGGTGGCTGAGACGAGCTGGCGCATTCGCAGTTCGTGCAGGTCCGAGAGGGATTGCTGGGCTTGTTTGCGTGACGTGGTGAGCCGGTCGGATTCGGCGATCAGGGTTTTGAGCTTGGAGGACACAGTGTCGAGCAAGGGCGTGGTGTTAGATAGGGACGATGAGGCCATGGAGGTCTTTGGCATCAGCGTGTTGGATAGTGTGGTGATTTGGCTGGAGAGGTTCTCGAGAGTGGGAAGGATGCAAGTCGTCTGGGAGGTCTCGCTCGTCGAAGTAATGCCCAATGCGGCCTCGAGCGCAGTGAGTCTATCTGAAAAAGCGGCTACGGCAGACAATGCCGAGGGGGCCGCCACTGGTTCGTCCTTCTGCTGCTGCTGGGAATCCGTCGGCTTTGCGACAGCTTGTCGTAGTCGCCGTCGTGAGCTCGAGTCCAGCCTCGACAAGAATTCGTCTTCCACTGTACCACCGGACTTCGATCCGACTTTCATGCTTAGCCCATCTAGCGCCCTCCCTAGCTCCTCGATGCCATCGACGTCCGCGTCTTCATCCTCATCACCTTGTTGTTGCCCATGTTGCTGTTGTTCGACAGAATCTTGGAACTCTCCGTCACCGTCCTTATCTTTCTCTTGCTCTCGTTTCTCTAGCTCGAGCCTAACCTCCTCTGCTTCCCGCTTTAACCTAGCAAGTTTTCTCCCTAGCGTCTCTTCCTCACTATCACTGAGATCGCCCAGTTCTTCTACTCCGTTTTCTTGCCGCCGCCGTCTCCTCCGCCGCGAACTGCGTGTCCGATACGACCGTCTCGTCCCGCCAATGGTATCGGAAAAGTTCACATCTTTGGCGTCCACGACGGAGGGTTCGAATCTTCGCCTCGCCCCATCTCGGTCAAGGGGCTGTCGATCGAGACCAGGTTGACCGTCTTCATCGGATGGAGAGGGAGATATCGTGCGGACTGTCCCTGTCTGTCGGACTCAGCACAAGAGCGTTCACTCGAATTGTGATGCCAGCAAATTTACCTGTGCGGTGGAGACATCGTCGGCAAGGTCAGGGGTCTCATATACTTCGGGAGCAGCGTCCTGTGAAATGGAGGGTCAATGTCTGGGTTGGATTGGGTTATCAATGCGTTGGAAGCTCACGAGATCCGGAAGACCTGCGTATTTCTTGCTGACGGCCATTGAAATTGACAGGGTTGATCTCTTTACAATGAAATACAATGTGGGTGTTAGGATAAGTACAGAATAATAGAATGATCGTAACCATGCAAAACAATCTTGGCGCGACTCGCCTCTAAGCGCGCCCGTACATATAAACCACCTGCTCACAACTCGCCCTCACTCACACCTCCATAATAACCTCACTCTCCATACCATATTCCTTAAGCACTACACTGAAGCAGATCGGAAGACACAATGACGGGTCAAAAATACGAATTCCACTTCAGCAACTGCCATCTTCCAGGCCGGCGGAGTTCTGGGCTCTGACAAAATCTCCAGCGAGCTAGTCAAAGAGGTTCCGCTGGAGGAGCTGATGAAGAAAATGTAGATCCATTTCGAGTTGGAATCACTGGAGGAAGAGTGTGAGACCTCGAAGAGCAGACCATGGAAGGAGATGTGATTGAACGATCTTTTCTAAGCGCGGTTTGCTTCTTGATTCGATTTTCCCTCATTCTTCTGTTCCTGAAGCCCTTTCATCCTTTCCACCTGGTCAGGAACAAACTCCCTTTCTTATCATGATCCTCAAACTCCCATCACACAAGTGGTACGCCGGAGAAGAACTGCAATTTGACCTCTATACTGTCTCGCTGAAGGCGTTTAGCACAGAGGATCTCGTCATTACAGAATCTGTCTTGACCCGCGATCTGAAAGTGTGTTGGTGGCGAGCTAACGGAGCTCTCCTTCGAGAAAAGGCATAGCGAAAATGTTGAGAGTGAGGTCGTCGACATCAAACCAGTCTCAGTTTATTCAGTTTGGAAGGTTGACTCAAGTGCAAAAAGATGAGCTTATCCGGCTTGAATACCACCTCGATTGTCCCTTTGGCAAATACAGCAGCATCCTTGTCATCTTCCACATTGGTGAGCTCATCTTTCCAGTCCTGTGGAGCATCATCGAGCTTATCCCTCGATTCTAGTCCATGAACCATGCAACAGTCAAGAATTTGACTCGTGATTGGCGGATTCAACTCTTCTTTTCTCGAGATGGGAGATGACAGCTCCAACTTCAGTGTTTCATTGTTGAGCACTCGCATGGGTGGCATGGCGAAGGTGTCGGAATTTGCGAACACAAGGAAGACCCCAAGCTTGCTTTTGATCTCAGCTCCTTTTGGCAAGGAGAACAAGGTTGACTAGGGTCATCGACAGTGGAAAGTCGTAGGCTGAAACTCGAGGCCATGGTTGATAGGACTAATCGATCATAGCTGAGCGTACAGCATCTGAGCCGACTGGGATTGATTGCCGTCTGATTTCCGTACAAGTGTGTGTGGATTGGCCGGCAAAGAATGCAACCAGCATCTCAGGAAGTGCCAACCCGGCTAGTAAAGGATTCGTTCAGCTGGCCCGAGCCAAGGCTCAGCATCGCGCTCTTCCCAGTTACGGGGGACGAGGGAGTGACGAGCCTTGTGGAACTTGACATGACCTGCGAGGGACAGGTCACAGGCTGCGGTCCCTGAAGAAATGTTGTCCTCGTGGTGGATTAGATCTTCGAACCTACAAACAGTAATTGAGTACTCAAATGTTAACCTCCTAGCTATGGGGGTTTTTCCCCCCCCTTTTTGCTCATCACGCTGCAGCCCTGCCTTTATCCTTATGCAGGTGCTTGTCAGCATCCATGTCCACCAAAAAGCGTTCCCAGGTCGAGATCACACTCTGGTAGAACTCCATGTGCTGTGTCGCCAATGATCCAAGACTGTCTCTGAATTCAAGACCTTTTATTCTTTCAAAATCAGCCACCTCACGTACCACCTGCTCGTCGAACATTTCGCTCGTTCCTTTGGCACTGTCAACTTCTCGGTTCAGTTCGGCGATCTTGAGTTCCAGCTTCCTGGCTCGCTCTCGTCTTGCCGTCTCATGGTCAACGCCCCTCATATCTTCAACCTTGTTTCGGATAAATTTGGCTGGATTGAGATTGGATCCGTGGGAGTACGGACTGTTGGATGCGAGCATGTCGCGTTCGGATGTTGCCTTTTGTAAGTAATCGGTGAGACCTTCAAAGTCGAGTTGCTTCTGCTCCCGAGTCTTCAGTAACGATTTCACCGAGTTGATGTATGCCTCCATATCCCGGAGACTACCCAAGTAATTTTGATCTGTATGATCTTTCAGCCCTTTCCAACCTCTCGATGTCTCTTCCACGCAGCCGGCGAAGGTCTGCAAAGGAGCTTCAATGGCCGGCTCCATAGGTGTGAGTTTGCGCATATTGGTGGCCAACTCAGCATAGTCCGTTTCGAGGTCACCTTCTCTTCGCACCACCCGAGCAAGAATCTTTTCAACATGAGATAGATCTTCATCCAGTTTGTTTGCTCTTTCTGTTACTTCAATGAACCTCTTGTCTGGCTTGTGGACCTTGGAAAAGGCATTCAGCATGGTATCTGCGACGTTATCGAAGAAGCCCGATGGGGTGGCTGCACTGCTGCTGCCATCGCCCATCGTATTACTCCGGGAGGGTCTCAAGCGCATTTGTGCGTTCCAATCGCTAGTTTCGAGGAAGAGGATGAGGATTGGAGCTCTCCGCAAGACCGGATGTAAAGTGCAACGTTTTATGAAGCGATGTAATGACCATGCCCGTCGTTGAGTAAATTCTGTGCTGAAGCGATCCCCTCTCACGTAAGCCATATTGTTCTTCTCTGGCAATGGAGGTATTGCGCATGCTTGGTAATCTCGATGTAAACTCCGCCAAAGGAACACGAAGTCGGTGAACCGTCGTCGAACTGAAAAGTCGGGCTTCTGGAAAGTCTTGAAGTCTGTCTGTGATCAAGTTCAGTCCGATGTCGTGAAAATGGGCGTCTGGAGGCTCACATGCGTAGTAACCAAGTAAGATACGTATGCATCTTTGGTGCCATCATTCTCTTTCAGTGGAGTATCGACTGTAACTTCCAATATGCCATCTCGACCCAGTCCCGCCAGATCGACCTCGTCCGCCTGTTCACCCGCCTGAGGCTCGCTGGACATGCTGTCGCTTCTCTGACCATCAGCGGATCTGGTTGGGAGGCTGGCATGGAACGCAGATGATTCGGGTTGTTGCGCATCTTCTCGTTGCCAGGACACACTGTCGAAGTCGCCGTGGTCATCCATGGCTGCCTTTGGTGAATGCCCGCAGGCAATGATGTTTCTGGTGACGTCTCGCCAGTAGTATGCCTGCTTGAGGCAGAATTGAGTGTGAAGAAAGGTTCAGCTAGGCGAGAAGTAAAACGAACGTGCGAAACGTAAGGACCATAAAGGATATTGTGGTGTCTGTATAAAGAGGACGAGGTCTGGGGTCAGAAGGTGGTTGGTGGAGATGTAGATGATGCTTGCATCTTGCGACAACCCTGTTTGGGAAGTCGACGTCGCCGCCCTGTATCCCCATTCAATTAAATTAGTGCGACTCTTAAAGCAGCGTGTCTTCATAGCGCGACAAATATCAATCCAGCCTTGTTCCTCCCTTTTTCTTTACCTACTCCTATTGATGCTTGAATACATAATATGAAATCTTCTGGCTTGCCGCGACATGGATGCTCACTTGCCGGAGTCTCAAGCCCAGCCGCCAACGAAACTCATGCCAAACGCACCAGCAAACAAGAGCAGACAAGCATTCACCCTTTTCTTGCCTCTCAAAATCCTCCAGCTCTCATCACTCAGGAAGTCCTCGGACAGCAGTTCCACGAGAGAAGCATAAATAAGAAGGCCCGACGAGATGGCGTTCATAATACCGACCATGAGAAGACCCGTCTCAGATTCTGGATTATAGAGCGTGTGCAGAATCATGCCCAAAGCCTGACCGAAAGGAGTTCTGTCGAATTCGACGTTAGCTGCAATTGAGAGGGAATCGATGATTTAAGGAAACAGGGGCAGTTCATACGTGCAACCATAAGCAAGTGCCATTATCCAGGGTTGAAAGACTTTCCTGCGCCACTCAATGGCAGCGATGCGAGATCCAAGAGCAAGGCCCTCGAAAGTTTCTGGTACGGTGAGCTGCTTTTCTTGGTTGTCACTTTTCCTTTCAGTTAGAGTCACTTACGGTGAAATATAATGGCAATGAGGAGAACGACAAATTCGCTCCCAGCAGACACGCCTAGGGCCATGCCAATGAAGATGCTGTGGAACAAAATTCCGACCTCCAAGAGGATACATTGCATGACTGCCTTTTGGTGCTTCTGTTCGGGTGTCAATTCAATACTGAGGCCTCTAGTGCCTGGAAGTTTGAGAGCTGTGCGTGCTTTTTCAGGCTGCTTGCCGGTGGTGGCTCCTGCTGTTCGTTGACCGAGGCGTTCTCGTTCAATAGACAGCACCTGTGCCTCGTCCATTCTGGCCACTTCTCGACCCACGCTGGAAGATCTCCCTTTCAATAAGCCGAGACTGCGCATGGGAACGTCACTGCCTTGTGCGACTTCTCCACGAGGCGTTCTATCTCCCAACGTACCCTGTGAACAACCAGTGGGACTGTTGCTCGGTGCCTGTTGTTCTCTTTCCCGTGATTGCTGCAGAGAAGAGGAGACGATAGACCGAACTGGTGTAAACACCATCTCAATAATGGTAACGAAAAATATAGCTGCTAAAGCAATGGTACCAGGCATTGCTGGATAGTCTGAGGTCCAGAATTCTCCTAGACAGTCGTCACCCAGCATAATAAATGCGGTTGGCAGCAAATGGACGAATGCAGTGGCGATCAACACTCCAGTGCCGAAATGCCTAGCCGCGAACAGAAACAAGGAGGGAATGCGGAGGAATGGTAGTTTGAGAACAATCAAAGGAAAGGCACATGCTGAAAATGATACGAACAGAATGATGAAGACGGAGCCGATATGGAGGGGCATGTTGTAGTCCTTTGCGTGGCCAGGGTTGTTCGTAGCACATGCGGCTCTCTTCGACAACGGTGCTCGCTTTGAATAGCTGTGCTCGTCTAGCCAGACTGTGTCAGCTATTGATCAGTATCAAGTAGGTTTGCGATGCGACCCACAATCAGGTTCTGGCCATGCAGCCGAAGGAGCAGATCCCAAGCAGTGGTCAGCAAGGATCTTGATGCCGCATAGCAACACGGCGAGAAAGCATCCCGTTCCAAGAATGTGTAGTGTAAAATATGCAGCGTGGTAAACGCGTCCTAGAAAATAGTCGTTGAGCTGGGGGGGAGAGGTATATAGCCCTTTGAGAGATCGATGAATCGTCTCTCGCGGGAGCTCCTCACCCCCCAGGCTAGCGACGGGTCTCTTCTTGGTGGTATCAGCGCACGGCTCCAGCAGTTCATGCATTGGATATGTTGAAACGCCGTCGTTTGCTTGATCCCCATACTTGTGCTCACGGGAGTTTGCTCTCCCACTAAGGTCTTGACGGGTTGTCAGATCCGAGGCGAGAAAAGGGGGGCTCTGATTCCATGTGGGATGAAGCAGACTGTCGTCGACATGTGATGGGCAATTCATGATGATGATTGTTTTCAAGTGTAGCGTCAATGTTAACAAATGGGAAGGGAAGGCAGAAGAGGGAAACAATGGGGCGGTAAGGAAAAGAGACCGTGACCGTGACTTGTGTGTCGAATATATATAGTGGCTTATTTGTCACCGTTGCCCGATGTGTGGAGGAAAATAAGCATCCAAGAAACTCGGCGTCATCTCAGGCTGCGTCCCAGTCTAACGCGTTAGAATTCAATCGCATGAACATCAAGGACTGACGACAGGGAGATCAACAGTGATGGAATATCCTCTGGCTCATTGCCTGGAATAACTAGATGATTTTGAGATTTCCTCGTTCTTCATCAGATCAAAATATGCGTGAAAAGCTAGTGGCGATATAATCACCAGCATAACTCGGTGGCACGCACAATCCTCCTCCGCGCTCATCTCAGCCTCGTGGCGGTGCGTACGAACGCGAACTCTGCAGCTTACTCTTAATCATTTTCGATGTATATATCCACAGACCTATTCGCAATCAACCTCAAAATGTCGGCTAGGCTTGAGCAACCCTGTAATGCGTTCTTGAGATTGGGAATGTGCATTTCACACATCGCGTCGCTTTTTTCCAGGGCCAGATCGATATTAAATTGCCTCGAAACAGCGCACAACGGTACACGTTAAAAAGCTCCGATTCAGACGCTAGACGCATCTGAGTTCCGGAGCTGGGGGGGCTTGATCCTTTGTTGATTACCTTCTAGGGAGGAGAGAGCGAGAAAGGTGGGATGGTAAAGACAAGGATCGAAGGGGGAAGGGAAGAAGTGCTGGGAAAAGTGTAGGGAACGATGTATGAAAGTACACTGCTCGTCTCCGCTCCCCGACTTGGTTCGTATATGAAAGGCAAATGGGATACCGGCGAAACCGGCCCCCTGGCTGGATTTTGATCGAGAAGACAACGATTTTGGTGTCCTGCTGACTCCTGGTAGTAGGAAACATCGGTGGAGAATTCCTTGGGTCATGATGGGCTTATCTCTCCCGTCCCGCTGTGGCGTTGGGCGCCGGGGGCTTGCGCAACGGAGGACCAACAAGGCTGAGGTGCCGCCCGGGAAAAGAATAATAAAATGGAACGGTCTTCAACAGTTTTGTGCTCACCCCTGAATTTTATTATGTTTCACATCCTCGTCATTCGTTTTTAAAACTCAAACTCCGCCCGAAATTGATCTAGGTTCATGCCAGCACCAACCCGCTCGGTCAAATCTCTTCTGCCCATACCGGTAAAGGCCCTCCGGAGCGTGTCGTAAAGATTCGAGCTTTCATTTTGATGTATCATCCTTTCCAATTCCGCATCGGCGATCCCTCCGTTGCCGTCACCCACAATTTCTCGCGCTTTATCCATGCCCTGCTCGCTCACCACGCGGTGTAGATTCAATGCACCCAATAGATGTCCTGCTGCTTCCGGGTAGCAGCCGATGTTTATACATGAAACTCCCAGATTGTATCGTGCTCGGACAAAATTGGGGTTCACTTCCAGCGCCTTGCAGTATGCTGTGATAGCATCTTCCGATCGACCTGAATTTGCCAATGTTGCGCCTAACCTGTTCCATAACAAATGCACTTGACCTTCTCTGTTGGCCATGCCGGTCTCTGTCGATGCGAGAGCAGCTTTGAAACAGTCGACCGCCTTCTCAAAGTCCTCGTTTCCATAGAATAGAACTCCAAGGCCGACCTGAACATCAGGATCCATATGTTCGCCTGACGGGGACAGTTGAGCGGCTTTGATGAACAAATCCGCCACCCGCTCGTGTAGAATTGCCCGGTCGGTGAAACCCACTTCGGCGGCATCGGATAAATTCTCAGGAGGGTGAATCTGAGGATATTTGACGCTTAGCCATCGTTCCAACGTCCTGTAGGCGGTGCTGTCGTATCCTTCGTTGGTGTAGGAAACAGCCAGACCCATCAGCGCATCGAGGTTGTTCGGATCTAATTGTAATGCTTTCTCGAGGGCACGGATTGCAGGCGACTCCTTCTCATTCTGTGCTTGAGCGGCGCCCAGGAGAACCCATGCTTCCACATGGTTAGGATCTTGCTGCACGGCGGCCTCAAAAGCCAGAGCTGCAAGTGATAAATTGCCGTGTGATTCCAGAATCTCCTTCCCTTGTTCGAATGCCGACTTGGATAATTGGTTATTTTCGAGATACGGGTTCTGCGATTCGAACATATAATCTCCGAGCATGGGTTCTCGTTCAAAGGGGTTATGGGTGTTCAATCCCATAGTCGAGTCGAAATTGTCCCAGGCCGCAAGATCTTCGTTGGAAAAGGCATTCTCAAAATCAGTAGCGTCTTCGGTCATTTGTCTGGAAGCATGTTCAGCTTGGATCCCATGCCATACATTTTCGAAATCCTCGAAAGTCTCTGTGGGAGTTTCCACTGACCTGTCTATTTCCTCCAGTTCTTTTTCCACTGCTTGGTTGGCTTGCTCGGACAGGTTATCCTGTTGTGATTCCAGCTCTTTAAATTGTGCTTCCCAGTTTGCATCATCCAGTTCGACCATTCTTCCCTTCCCTTTGTCGGTCGATTGTTCAGGCTGTTGATGCATTTGCAGAGAACCGAAATTCATTCCCAAATTCATTCCCGGCATGTATCCCATGCCCATTGGTCTCTGGTAGCTGTTCACCACCGACGGAGTTTGTGTGACGGGGCTCGAGGTGCGCTGAGAGCTGGACGCTTGGAAACGAGCAAAGTCTTGTGGTGAGAAACCATTTGGTCGTTGTGCCGCCATTTTGGAGTTGGCGAACGCAGCCTCCATCCGGGCTTGTTCACCAGGGTCAAACTCTGCCGCCCATCCGGGTGACGGTGACCGTCGAGCCAGACCCTGAAGATTGGGGAGTTCCTGTCGAAGTTGCTCCATAGCGAAAGCCTGCGGCATTTGACCGGACTGATGCATGAAGTCGTTCATCATCTGTTGCATGTTAGCAAAAGCCGCATTGGCAGTCGGGAGATTCTCTCTATACCTGATCCGATCCATTAGAGGCCATCCGAGAACGCATGCTTTCCTCGAGTCCGCTTGGGCCTCGCCCGACAAAGCGGTCCCGCTGGAGAGTGTTGTCACTCTGGACATGCTTCGTAAACTGGGTGAGCGGATTGCCCGCAGTTGAGCACTCAGCCCCTCCTAGGAAAGACATTTTAAAAGAGGAAGAAGAGGGAGAGGAGAAGGGAGGCTTGATCGAAGTATTCCGGATATGTTGAATAATAAAGTCAACGGCGGCACCTATTTGCCTCACTAACCGAGGCTGCCCCCCCGGCCCAAGGCAAACAAACGAAGTGCCCCGGAACAAGGTTCGAAACGGGATCGGAAGCTGAGATCTTCCGGGAACAAGCCACGTGACTACTGTAACACGTGATATCACGTGAGACACCGACAATTATATGGGCCCATGAAAATCACCCCCTTCTTCATCCTCTCGTCATTGTGGCCTCATCTTTTCTTACAGCTGCTCTATGCTGACCGTTAGCTTCCATACAAACTTTGCGTTTGGTCAGCATCGTATCCAGCATTGACTTGCACTGTCGCTCTTCAAGGCAACTCCAATCACCACTCAGATAAGCTGATCATCGTGTCATCAATACCTGCCACTCATCCGGGGCAGGTGTGTCGGTACGGCGACCTTCCGAGCATTTGTCCTACAGGCACCTTTCCGAGAATGGGTAATGCCAGCCTACGATTCGAGTTCGGACAAGTCTCATCAAGTCTGAGCTTTCTGGGAATCCTGGGAATGAATGATACATCTTACCAGGCCCTGTCTTGTGGCCAGTCGCCACCTCTCAGGCAAGCTGAATGAACAGAAACCGAAGATTATGTTGTATGTGTATATATATCTCCCTCCCTCAGTCCTGTTCTCTCACTTTGTCGCGCCGAAAGCATATCGTTTGAATTATTTTTGGCCCCCTTTTGCTTAAATTCCCCATCCAACATGGCCGTTATGACGCCCGCTCATTACTTACCCACTTCGATGACGGTGATCTTGCTCGGGGTAGTTGTCTCATCGATATTCCTCCGATGGCTTCTCGAGTTCTGGAATATGAGACATATCCCGGGCCCTTTTCAAGCCAAGATCACAAACTTCTGGATGGCAAGTAAGCTTTGGAACTGCGAGGACTTCAGAGATATTGCATTAGACTTGCATGCAAAGTACGGACCTGTCGTCAGATATGGACCAAACCGAGTCCTCTTGGGTGATCTGTCCGCTGTTTCCGCCGTCTTCAATACGAAGCACCCCCTGGTCAAGGTAAGTCCAATCCAGTCAAGGCAGCCTGTTGCTGAGCTCACGTGTTCCGGTGTTCTCATGATTGACTTTCTCTCCCCCTTTCAGTCCGAGTCCTACGAGGTCGCCTTCCAAGCCGTCAATGGGAAACTGATCAGCTCACTCGCCACCACACGCGACGAGGCGCGAGTGTCTGCCCTGAAGAAACAAATCATCTCGGCATTCACGACGACAGCCATCCTCGACTACGAGCATCACATCGACCACAACATTAAATCTCTGATGAAATATCTTGAAGAAGACGGGCCCGATGTCAATATCGCCAAATGGTGCATCTTTTTCACTTTCGACACAATCTGCCGCATCGCTTTCAGCGACGATCAAGGCTTCATGGATAAGCAAAGCGACCTCGGCAATACTTTGCAAGGCGCCCGCGAACGCTTCTCGCACTGGCACACCTGGCAATCACTGCCCAAGCTGGAGAAACTGCTCTTCAAAAACCGCTTCGCTTCTCGAGTGACCGGGACCTCTCTCCTGGCGAAGCTTGCGGGCGAGCGAGTCCAAAAGAGAATCGAAGACGGTGGAATAGGAGCCCACTCCGACCTCCTCGACCGATACCTTCAAGCCAGTATCCGTGATCCAGTCACCTTTGACAAATCCACCATCCTCGGCCTCGTGATTTCCATCATCCATGCTGGAGCTGAAACCACTGCCTCAACACTCAGCATCGTGCTGCACTACCTCTTGACGAATCCCCAAGCCATGAAGAAGTTGCGCGAAGAAATCTACGCCGCGAACCTCTCGTCCCCGCCGCCGTGGCTGTCCGTCAACAAGCTCCAGTACCTCGAAGCCGCGGTCAAAGAATCGATGCGCATGAACCCGCTCCTCCAAGACCCCATTGAGCGCGACGTGCCGGAGTCCGGAATGGAAATTTCAGGCGTCTTCATCCCCGGTGGAACCATAGTAGCGATCAATGTACATGCCTTGAGCCGAGACCCCACGATCTGGGGTGACGATTTCGCTGTGTACCGCCCAGAACGCTGGCTCGAGGCCGGCGAGGCTCAAATCTCCAAGATGGAGCGGGCGAATTTGTCCTTCAGCGCCGGACGGAGGATGTGCATTGGGCAACACATTGCCTGGATCGAGATGAAGAAGTTCTTGTCCGAGTTATTGAATAGATTCGACGTGGGTCCTGCCGATTGATTGCTCTTGAACAAGATCTCTTGAAACTGACGCATTAGTCTCTAACAGATCGAACTTATTCATCCGGAAAGGCCACTCGATACGGGAAGGGCCAACATGGTGCTTTTCGTCGATGAGATGCTTGTCAAGTTGACGCCACGCATGAACTGAAAGGACAAGAATACGCCAACGTCCGACAATTCACCACGCGTGTTATATGAAAGATTTCAGGCCGAGCACGTCCCACCGAGCAGAAGATTTAGTGCTGATTCTACCTTCCAACCCTACCTGATTGTTCATCAACAAACTGTGAGACAATTCGTCTTTGATTTCTGGCCGTTGCTCATTGTCCAAGATTCAAACCCGACTCGAAAAGGACAATTTACTTATTGAATCTGAATCTATGAGGTTTCAAATAATGAAAGGACAAGTGCAAACAAAATTATCTCAAGAAAAACTACTTCGGGAATTTTTGAAAGTCGTGTCTGAATGGAGATTATGATACACAGAGAAAACAGGATAGGGAAGGCAGCTCTTCACAAAGCCCTCCCCTTAATTGTTCCATTCCGCCAAGAAGTTTTTTTGTTTTTTTTTTTTTCCCCCATCCCTTGATTCGCCAAAGATTCTAACTACCAAAAACACGAGTACTGACTCGGACGTGTAGATCCTGAGCCGCCATCACCGTATCGTAATGCAATGTTTTAATGAAAAAGGTAGACTACTGGATCAACGGCCTCATCCAGCTTTCGGGCCTTCGGAGAAAGCAGCTCCCCACTCCCCCCCGGGGGGAGCCCTTGTAATGGTGTACATACAAAAGCCTCCGGCCAGAAGAACAAGACATGGCAACGGCTGGGGAATATGGGCGGAAACAATGAGCCGGCCTTGGTAACCTGTTGAGTCGTTTAGGCTAACCAGCACCATGCGCACCACCAACGCCCGGCTCCGTTTGTGCATGAGAAATTGACAGTCGAACGAGCCCGGTCGAGATGCCGAAAAACATGCCCCATGCCGGGGACCATAGCCAGCCTATGCCGATGTGTGTAGATCCACCGCTGGTACGAAGTTCACTTATTGAGACGTCGAAGGCTCTTCTGGGGGAGGTTGGTTCCTTGGCGCTCTATTCACAGAACTGAACGAATAATCCACTCTTAACTTTCGACCATATATTTCTTTTCCTTGCAACGAGTTCATGGCCTCCATGGCGCTCTTCACATCAATGAAATCAGCATGGGCGAAGCCTCTTGGTTGACCTGTTCGTCGATCGATGGCCACTCGGACATCGATGACGTTCCGCACACCGCGGAAGAGGTTGCTGAGGTCGCGGTCTGTCATCTCAAAGGACATATTGCCAATAAATAGGGTCTTAGATGGGGGGTTTCGTGGTTGGGGAGGTGATGCGCCATGCCGGGAGTCGAGTTCATTACTTTGGCGAGCCGCATATTGGACAGTGATACGACGGCCTTCAAACAATTGCAGATTGAGCCGCTGCAAGGCCGCGTCGGCAGCCTCTTGTGCTGAGAAATCGACATAGGCGAATCTAACAACATGTAAGCTTGTAGCACCACTCGAAGCAGCAGGAGAACGGACCCTTTGCTCAAACCACGGCTGTCTCGAATGACTCTGCAATTGAGCACCGTGCCGAAACGTGCAAACTCCTTGATGAGGTCGGTTTCGGTAACATCAAAGAATAAATTTCCAACATAGAGTGTTGGTTTCCGTTCGAATGCCCCATCCCATGATTGTGGAGGCTGTGAGGATGGGGTCCCTTGAGCAGAAGCGGCATTGCCTGCCGGGGTAGTATATGATACTTGTTCGGCAGCTGGCGCCGCTTCAGGAGCAGCATTTCTACGCTCGTCAACTATGCTCCCGTTTGTTTCGGCAGCCGGTAAAGCCTCTTTTGCTGCTTCGGTGGTATTGGTGGACTCTGCAGCGGCCGGTGCCGGTTCTGCGGAGGGAGATTCGGAAATGGGGACCTGGGGTCCTTTCTCCGGTTCGGTAGAAGCCCATCTCCGCGGAGTCTGAAGAAGTGAACTTCTAGGAGCGATTCTTATGGAAGGTGTACTGAAGGAGGTATATGTTCGCGAAGGGGCAGCGAGGACGGGAGGTCGCGAAGAGAGAAAACGTGATGCGCATCGCCGAAGGGCAAACCTGCGTCAATAGTCAGTGGAAGAGTTCTACCGATAAGAAGAGATGCTCACATGGTGAACGGGCCCGGTCTCAATATAAAGAGAGTAGGAAGAAGTTGAAAGGATCGTACAGACACAACAAAAAGATTAATGGATTGAAGCAGTGGAGCTGTCACACGCGAAAAATTAAAAAGTTCGATCACGATAGAAAGTCCGGATGTGCTCCTAGACGAATGCAGTTAGTACGATGTTTCCCAAAAAGTGATTGACTGACGGACAAATTTCTGTTCAAGCACGAGGGCAGGACGAACATTAGACCCTGTCAGACAGAAATTAATTCTGTTGGGGCCGGCATTCAGCCAGCCCCTTGACCTTCAGATATACGCTTCTGACTGCAACACTTTTCTATATCCACAAAGAAGACTGCCAGAACGCCTCTTCAAATACGTAAATTCAGCTGTCCCAAGGGCCAAAGTCCATAGACTCGGTTGAATCGCAGCATTCAATACACATACCGGAAGTACATGTTCTCCTTGTCCGTCAGATCGTCAAACGCAATCCGTTCGGCCTCCTTCTCTTCGAGATTCAATTGATTCCTCCTTCGGTTCTCCATCTTGAGCATGATATAGAGCACCGTCGCCAGAACGATCACCAGCACGTAACACCCGATGACACCCTCCCAGAGCCCTGGGTAATGGTCATCAACCGTCTGATAGACAATGAAGAAAGGGGATGAGATGTTTCCCACCGTGTACATGACGAATGTCGCCGCTGCCATGTAACTCTTCTTGGTATTTCCCGAAACATTAGCCATCCCCATACTCACGATCAAACTCGTCACGGGTGCAAAGAAGCCAATGATTGTATAGCCAGCAATGGGGGCAGCGGCATGCTCATACCAGGTGCTTTTCCAGATCATGGCACAGCCAGTAATGACAGGTAAGCAACAGGCTACCAACATGATCAACCTGATGTTGGGGACTTTGAGACTGAGAAATCCGGCGACGAGGATTCCCACAAAACAGACACCTCCAAGAGGCATTTGCCAAAGCAATGAGTCGTAAGCAGACCAGCCAAAAGTGGACACAATGAGCGGGCCGAATCCCGACACGGCTCCATTGACCGAATATGCCGCGCCCATCATAACGGCAATGATCCAAATTTTGAGGTCAAGTAAGGCTTCTCTGAATTGAGACCACTTAATCTTCTGACATCGGACCCCCAGTTGACCCATGCGCAACCGCTCAATAGCCACTCTTTTCTCCTCTTCGTCAAACCACCACGCTTGCGCGGGCGAGTTAGGAAAGAAGAGAAAGACAATCCCGTACAGCACCGTCAAGGAGCCTGCCATGAGATACAGATATTGCCATTTCTTCAAATCCCCACCGGTAATGTGGGCAAAGCCGAAGTTGATCGCTGCTCCAATGACCGTCCAGCCTCCGGTCGCAGAATACCAAAGACATTGGCGCCACGTCTGCTCTTTTTGAGTATAGTACCCACTCACAATGACCATGAAGGCCGTTGGCATTATGCTCTCTGCAAATCCGAGGAAGAAGCGTTGAGCCCACAACCCTTGATGGGTCGTCACCCCCGCGGTCGACATTGCTATTGCGCCCCAAACGATGACCACGAGGCCGATGGTGCGACCCAGATGGAATCGTTGGAACAAGTACGTCAAGGGTCCGACTCCCGCTAACATGCCGAAATAGAACAACGATGTCGCCCAGCTCAGTCGTGTTGTTGAGACTTTTGGCGGAGTCGTCGCCGGATCCGTCACGACCGTCAATTCAAGATCCGTTATCATACCAAACACGGCGGCTGCACCGAGGATCGCCTACTCCAGCACGGAACTTGGTTAGCAAAGTCGATCTCCCTTGTCTTCCCCATGATATGGGACGAGGAATGAGGACTTGTCTTTCCACCGGGCCCATCCTTTCGCCCTCGATGTCCTTCACTCTGTGGGATTGAAAATATTCCCAAATCCAAACAGCTGACGGATTAACAATCTAACTCTAACTCACCTTGTCAAAATAGACCAGCCCATATCCGACCCACATCAAAGGAATCAGCGCAAGGTCAATTTTGCGAACCACACGGCTTTCAACCGCTTTATCCCACGGCTGCGCATATTCCGGCACCACGGAAGCGGCGATATCCTTCTCTCCTAGTTCAGGGACAGCGTGTTAAAAACTTGTATCCTTCCTCTCCATTTTGGGTTCTTTACTTACCAGGTCTATGCATGTCGATATCAACACGAGCATCCGAACCTCACGCTCGGGATCTCCACTTTACGTCGTGCGATTCTGTGCAGATAACGGGTGGCAAAAGAAGGGGGTGGGAACTTGAGAGCCAAGCTCAGACCTCAGAATATTGGACGATAGTAAACGATATGGGAGGGAATGCCGGAAACGGACTTTCAAAATCAGGTACAAGTAAAACTTCGTCCGGTGAATTGAATTTTCACAGGCTCGTCTCCCGAAAAAGACTGCTTGAATATGATATCAAGACGACAAAAGGGATACGTGGTCGGTGGTGAGTAGAGGATTGCAATTAAAAAATTTATCAATTTATCAATTTATCAATTCGCCAACTTGATATGATTCAATGGATTTGAACGACGAACAGTTTTCCCCTCACGGACGGAAACTCCCCCCACCAATAGGCAAGTCCCTACAGGTATGTATGCCTAGCTAAATACATAGGTCGCAGTTCACATTCGAACACCGATCCCAGCAGAACGATTATTATCTGGCAAAACTCCATCCTCCTCGACCTGGACGTCGGTTGTCGGCGTCGATGTCCGTGTCGGCGTTGAACGGAACTCTTTTATGGTGAGCTGGAGTTTATCATTTATCGCCATGGACCGGGAAGGCGAGCCACAGCCAATGAGGGTAGGGAACCTTGCCAAATGCCTTTGTGTGGAATGAATGTATAAAAAAAGGGGGGAATTTAGGTGGACCAATGGACTTGATATATTTGCAACTGTGGAACAGAGGCTATGAATAACTAGTACACAAGGCGTGGTATACCTGCCGGTGTCTTTCGTAGCCCTGAAGGTTCATAATTGAAAGTGGTCCTTGTTTCACGTCCAATCACAGTATTGGCTTTCAATGCCGGAACACCACACTTCTCTCCCCTCAAAAGGAATCAAATTCCGTCCCGGCTATCAATCCAAGCATGCGGCCCTGAAACTTTCGCCCGACTTCCTGCCACTTGACCTGGATGCCTGCGACAAGGACTGGCCAGGGCATCGCCATTCCCACGCTCGGGTCGTCGCGGATTTCGGGGATCGAGGCCCGATCACCCAGCGCTGCGGCCCAGGAGACGAGCTCGGCGATCATAGGTCCGAAGTCTGTCACAAGTCGCTCTTCCGCGGTCGAGCCGGCTTCGATATTCAGATCAAGCAGTGTCAGAAGCAGGTGAAGGATCGTGGGGAGAACGATGGGATCATGCGCCAGTGACGGGATGGTGTGCAGCGTTGTCAGCAGCAGGAGGGTTTCACGCGTCAGTGGAGGGAGCTGGAGCGCGTTTGGACCTATGGTGGAAGTAAGGACGATGAGAGTTTGTAGGCTCAGTTTCAGCAGCGAGGGGTGCAAGAGCGTTGAACTTGCCAGATAGGGTGAAGAGATGAGTGAGGAGAGAAGTAGGGCCAGTCGCGAGCAGAAGGGTAGGCACATGGACTCGGCAAGGAATTTGTGGAGCTCCTTTGGGATGCGTTTAGATCGGGCTTCAATTTTAGCGGCCTCTTTTGCTGCCACGGCCATGCGGGACGAAAACGTGCGGATTTTGAGGACGTTGGGCCCTGTGATCTTGTCTGCGGCGGAAAGGGCCATAGGTTGTAGCGTGCGGTGGGAGAGGTTGATCGATAGGGTGTCTAGAGGTGAAGCATTTACCGAGTAAGTTTCCTCAAGATGGGATGGAAGCCGGCTTGAGGGGAAGGACGAGTCGGCCAGGTTTGAAGTCGTCGATGGTCGCTCAATCTCGTCGTCGATCCCGGCTATTTCCCTTGCTCCTAGGGCCATAGCGGTCAACAATGCTGCACGTTGCGCGATGGAGAAATCTCCTTCAAAGTACATGCTCGCAATCCAGGGGCCCATGACTCCGGGCTTCGAAACTAAGCATGCGATCAAGGCTTCGAGTCTCATTTGCTGCATCTCTTCCTTTGACATCCCTTCCCGAAGATTGAGAAGCGAGGAAGCAAGCTGAAGAATGTTTGAAGACAGTTCGTCCCCAAAATTTGCTTTTCGCCGAATCAAGGAGGGCGCAGCCTTGAGGGCCAATTCGATTGTCGATGGATCATCCGGGATGTTCAACTGCTTTATGAGCGAAGTGATGTAGACTGGGACAGTGGGTTTGTCGCGATGGACGAGGGTTGGATCTTCATCGGAATCGGAGGGATCGCTATCAGGAAGCGCGTAGGGACGCAAATCCGGATCTTCGTCGACGTCGACGTCTTGGTCGGAATGGGAGACTTCTTCGATTGCGATGATCTTGGAACTCTGAGGCTGAGATTGGACTGGCACTCGTTTCTGACGAACATACCTTAACGTACTCTCGACAGGCTGCTGTTTCTCCGGCTCAACTGGTTCTTTAGGCAAGTCATCCAACTCCCCGACCCGGTCTCTTATACTCACCAGCTCCAGCCACCGCCGAGCCTCTTCTCCTTCCATCTCTTCTACACCGAAATTCATGACCTTGTCAGGCTCATCTACCAATCTTGACATTGCAACCGCAACAATCATCCCTAAGAATCGAGCACGAGGAACAGAAGCCGAAAGGCGATTGGAAACCATACGGAGGAATGTAGTAGAGCTCGAAATTTGTTTGGCAGACTCGTGGTTCACGTGGTTGAGGTAGCCGATAGCAAGCAGAATTGTTTGGGCCGTTGCTGCAGGAAAGCAATCGATGTAAGTACCGGCTCTACCATAGGAGAAATAGAGGACTCATGTATGCCCCCGGGTTCACTTACATTCCTGCTGTAGAATTGGTTCATGTTGGATCTGTAACTTATTTCCGAAGTGCTCCAGGCTCTTGTCAAGGAGCTCCCCGAGTTTTTCTGCAAAGAATTAGTCAGGCGAGCAAGGCGGAGAGGCTGAGTCTACCTTGACTCGAGGCAAGAGTTGCAATGACAGCCCTCCGCGTATCAAGGCCAAGACCAGAATACTCCCCACTCGTGCTCGTTAGCCGCTGAAGGACATGAGCTTCTAAAAGACTGTTGTTCTGGACCAGTCCTGTGATCATCGCTGACACTCCTCCAATGACTGTTGCGTTTTTCAATAGAACATCCTTTTCTTGTACAACACCGGGGCTGTCTCGGAGGAATTTTGATGCCAGATCGCGCAGAATAATGTCAAAAAGACCAGTCTGGTCATACGTCGGCAAGCTCTGAACTAAGTCGTGCACAGTCGTCCACAAGACGCTCTTTCCAAGAAGAAGAGAAGTGTAGAGCTCCGTTACTAAAGGATCTAGACTTTGGTTAGCGGAACGCTTTGTAGTCTGGGTCCACGATGAGTCGTACCACGATAACCGAGACTCAAGCCACGTTTCAGTACCGGGCAAAGCATATTCAGTTTCTGATTATCAGAAGGAATTGAAGCATTGAGGCTTGTGGCTGCGGTCGAAATGTTTCTAGAAAGCCATCTGGAGTATTCTGGTCCATCTCCGAGCCAAGTACTGGTGTTCTGGTCTCGGAGGCTTCGCGTCGTTGCAAAGACTTGTGCCATCGTCGCAAAGACTTTACTTCCGGCCAAAAGAGTCGTCACTTCTTGCCAGAATACCCGACGTTGTATTTCTGTTTTGAAAAGTGTAATGGCGTCACGCAAAAATATTGATAGCACCTGGCTGCCGGCAAGAACGGTTGACAGAACAGATACCGCATCTTCCAGGAATGGATTCTTCTGGTCAGAGCTGACGGATGAGAGACGTCTGATCTGCATCAACAGCGCGCCTATTCCCGCCACACTATTCAGACAGGCAAGGAGAGACTTCTTCAGCTGGTCATCACTTTTGGGGAGGCTAGCACCACGCAAACGCAGCCACTGATCAGGAATCGTCACCGTCACAAGGATGTTGACGATCTGAGACGCTTTGGGGCTAGGAAGTCGCACGTCAAAATCATGTTTTCCGTCGATGCCATATTGGAGATATTGTAGGACTGCCGCTAGATCTCCGTTGTCTGGTTGGCTCTTGAGGATTTCCCGTGCATCATCTGGTAGCGAGGCTGGAGCATTCTCTTTCAGGTAAGATTTTTGAAGGAAAGCGGTTGAGTCATAACGCTTGTGCTTTTCATAGCTCGAATATGCCGAACTGGAACTTTGCAACGAGTTTCCGGAGGGTCGGAGGCTGAACGGCTCACTTGTAACTCCACTGGGCTCTTCTGAGTCGCTGCCAATGATCGAAATTTTAGACTTGGAACTGGCCGGTTGCGAGGCTGGCGTTCCACTTAGTGAGAGGGTCTCTAACTTGTCGATATTGTGCTGGACCTTGCGGGCGGTCTTGATCGGTTTGAAAAGATCGTCCATGTCTGTTGGCCCATGGTTCCGGGCGAGTCGAAATGTGAGGGATGCTGAGAAGGTAAATATCGCACCTGCAAGTCGGAGCCTTGTGATCGAATGCCAAGAGATATATTATCACGTGATACACGTGATCTTCTTCTGCCGTACTACAAGTGGGGGGGGTATTATTCTGTACACCAACTTTTGTTATTCTGTACACCGGAAAACCTGCTTATTCTGTACACCATGCCTCAACTCTCCTTATTCTGTACACCACCACCTCTCTCTCGCCTTATTCTGTACACTTAACGCTCTCATCCTGTTATTCTGTACACCGCGCTAACAGAGCTTGTTGCCGTTGGCCCGGCGATGGCGAGAAAACACTAGTAAGTGGCGTAGCTGTGGAGGGGTGACGCGTTAAACTCTCCCCGTTATAGGTGGTTGCGAAGCAATAAACACATTTGATTCCCTTTTCCTTGGTAGATAAGTACCGTGCATTTTGAGCTTCTCTGTATACTTTGTAAATTATTGTGGCCTACACAGCCGGATTTGTGTAGAGATCCCCTGCACGGTCGATACCTCGTGCTGACTAAGGTAACAAACCAGCGCCCATAGGCTTGGGAGGACCGCTCATAAGCCGGAGGGGGAAACCGCCCATGAACCGGGGGGAAACCGCCCATAAGCCGGGGGGCAACTGCCCCGCTTATGGGCGGTTCCCACCCAAGCCTATGGGCGCTGGTTTGTTACCTTAGTCAGCACGAGGTATCGACCGTGCAGAGGATACCATCGTTAACCATCATTTCTGCATTCTATATAGGCAGACTTAGGTGTTGTGACATCACGTATCTTCGAACTGCGCAGATAACCGGAAAAATAAAAATCCGGACCAATCAAAAGCGGTGTACAGAATAACAAAATGTGGTGTACAGAATAACATTACCCTACAAGTGGGACGCCTCCGTCACTGGAACCAATTGATGGCATCATCAGGTACGACCAGACTGGTAGCCAGGAGAGTTTACTAACCAGTGTCAAAGCCCTGGGGGAAATTCTAGCCACCAACGCAGCCCTCTTCACAAAACCCGAATCCGTGAGACAACGTCTTTCGTGTATTACTGGCAACGGTCTCCTCTTGGCCGAAGGGGAGAAACACAAGAGTTTGTCACTCTCGCGCGCTCCCTGTACTGGGAGACTGACTACGGGCCTAGGCACAACGCCAGAGTCTCATGCCGGCATTTTCCTTCCGGCATATCCAAGGCTTGTATCCTCCTTTCTGGTCGAAAGCGAGGGAATGAACAGAATGCCTTGAAAAAGAATGAGGCTCAACAATGTGACGGAGGCCAACGTCATTGAAGTGCGAGGTTGGGCGACTCGGACGACGCTTGATATCATTGATCTCGCCGGTATGGATCACGACATCAACTCCTCCAAGATCCCAACAACTCCCTCAGTCGGCAGTACGATCAGGTGGGCCCAGATCCATCTCAATTCATGATCGTTTTCGAATTTATTCTATCGCTCTTTTCAAGGTAAGCTGCCGCAATCGTGTCGGAACTGTCAACCAAGCAGAATAAACCAGCCAAGGCAGCGTCCAATTCTGTCCGCTCTGCCGTAATATTTTGCAGGAGAAGCGGGACACTTTGAAATCGGATCGGACTAAATGTGATGTGGGCATCATCACCGTCGCACTGAAAAGCGCTGTCTTCACCAACGGAAATCTCGTAGACCAGATGATGGCTTTCCTTGAGGCGGGACATGGCGCGACTTCACACACCTTTCCATGGGCTGCATGCGCTTGTTGTCGGCACGGAGAAATCCAAACACGCTTACGCGAAGAGATTCGTGACGCGGAACCCACGATTTCCGCCGCTGACAGGCCCACCTTCTTGACCGCTTTCTGCAACGAAGTCCTCCGCTTCTGCTCATCTGTCCCAACCATAGTCCGCGGGGCCATTTGCGAGACCACCGTGTCCGGCTACCGAATCCCCAAAGGAACAACCTTCACCATTTTCCCCGGCGTGACAAATCTTGATCCGGAGCTCTGGGGCCCAGACACAGATACATTCGACCCTGAGCGCTGGATGCGAGAGAGCTGCGCGAGAGGGCTAAGCGAATTCCCGGGGTGTGCGAAATAACTACGGGTTTTGACATCTCTGCATGGTCCACGAAGTTGTATTGGTGCGACATTCACCAGGTCGGAATTGGCACGTTTGGTAGCTGCGCGTGTTGGCAGATTTCGTATGGAACAGGAGAACCCTGATAAGGGGGTAGAGATGACGAAGCGTGGGATTGGTGCTGCGCCAGTGGATGGGGTTCGGGTCAAGTTTGAGATTGCGGGTGGGTAGATGTTTTGTGAAGCCGTTCTTGCTGCGTTGATTCGATCATGTCAGGAAAAGCTGCAGTCTGGAAACATGTGTACGGGTAAAGATGTCGTGGGACTCTCCTCAACCATATAGATTTGTCTCCTTGTTATCTCACGGCGTATTGACTTTGGTTTCATCAGCTGTGCGCCAGAGTGAAAAAGAACTTACTCATTATATTGTCTATTTTTATATATTGTCAACTATCCGGACACGTCAATGTTACGCACACAAGAGCTCGTGGCTGTATAGTGGAGGAACCACCAAATAATGTCATTGGCTCAGCATAACACTACAACCCTTCTTCCCCGACGGAGCTCCACCTCCATCCCCTTCTCTTTGGAAGACTTGCATTCCTGGTATTTTAGGACAACTCTTGAAAGCTGGAGGCCGGCGAATCTGCTGAACTCAAATGAGCGCCACTAACTCCCGGACGTCTACAAACGACCATGTTGAACCACGTGAGGCGCCACCGTTTGATCCAGAATATGTCAAGGAGGTCTCCCAAGAACGACAGTCCATCAGCCATACTTTTCCCCTGGTCACTGGAACCGGGTACAGCATTTACAAATCCACCATAGTCCCTGCGATAAAGAGTGCACAGCAAGAGATTGTTGTCGTCACTTGCTTCTGGGCTCCATCAGCGACTCGGGACGAACTCGCTGATGCACTTCGAGAGCTGTCCAAGAAGGCCATCGCCTCTTCACGCAAGATATCCGTACATATATGTTTCTCTTCTTCCTCCATGGCGCGCAATATGCTGTTGCCGACACCCAAAGCCGGACAAGCGTATCCACCAGCCAGGTGGAAGAAGCTCGGGCTGCCCGGGCCTGAAGAGCTGACAGGCTTGGATCTCCGAGTCACACGCAAGTTCTTCTGGCCGTTCGGAATCATACATTCGAAGTATGTCATTGTCGACCGTGCTTTGGCCATAATTCCGTCCTGTAATGTGTCCTGGGAACGCTGGGCTGAGGTGGCCATTCCGATCCGGGGCCCGGTCGTGGAACATTTATATTCCTTCCACTCCGACTTCTGGGACCGTGACAATGGTCGACCACGGGCTCCTAAAGGCATGAATTCTGCTCCTTCAGACCGCACAGCTGGATCCAGTTACCGTACAGCTCTTACGACCCTTCTTCCTTCGCCTCACACTCCCGCTTTGTTACCGAATTACCTCCATGCTCAATCCCTTGCCGGCCACTGCCCCTGCATTCCTCCTGTTCCTCCAGCCTTTCCTCCAACACCTCTTTTAACAACCACGCACCATCTTCTTTCCACTGCCAGATCCAACATTACAATGCTCACGCCAAACCTCACCGAACCAAGTGTGCTAGAAGCTCTCCGAGAAGGCCTAGAGCGGGGAGTAGACGTTCGGATCTACACGAACCGGAGCCTGATGACTGTTGAGCAATTGGTCACAGCCGGCAATACCACGCCGAGATGTGTCGAGGCCCTGAAGAAAGGATCACAAGAACCAGGGATGAGAGGAACCTTGGACGTTGTCTATTTCGACGATGATGTGCCACAGCAGGTGCCGGAGGACCGTAAGGAAACGATCCCAGTCAAGTTGCATGCGAAGGTGACTATTGTTGATGATACGAGGATATTACTGGGCAGTGGGAATATGGATGCCGCCAGCTGGAAAACGAGCCAGGAGCTCGGCATACTGATTGAGAGAGAGGAGGTAGTGTCGGAGTTCAAGCAGAAGTGGAGCGATGAAATCTTCGAGTTATGATCCACCTGAGGAGGTCGGCTCATCAAACTCCATTAATCTATCCATGCGAACGACCTAACAACCCCCAACATCGTGAATAAGTCTATCATATGCTATGCGCATACTTTACTCTATGCCACAGGCCATCCACCACTGCGTTTATAGGTCGGAAAGCCCTTGGCTATCAACATCTATGGGGTAGAGAGGGAAGGCATTGTTGGATTGACAGGATGAAGATGCAGTGCTCCAACTTGACGTCAAGATTCCGGAGGCTTTAGCACCTCGTCCTTAGCTGTCAAGACATGTCATGGAACGGAGCGATGGGTAGCAAATACGGGACCAAAACGATTGATAAATCCTCGACAAAGAGTGCTGAATGAGAGCGTTGAGGTCGCGAAGCACCAAGAAATATCATGCGTCGAGGGTAATGTTATTCTGTACACCACATTTTGTTATTCTGTACACCGCTTTTGATTGGTCCGGATTTTTATTTTTCCGGTTATCTGCGCAGTTCGAAGATACGTGATGTCACAACACCTAAGTCTGCCTATATAGAATGCAGAAATGATGGTTAACGATGGTATCCTCTGCACGGTCGATACCTCGTGCTGACTAAGGTAACAAACCAGCGCCCATAGGCTTGGGAGGACCGCTCATAAGCCGGAGGGGGAAACCGCCCATGAACCGGGGGGAAACCGCCCATAAGCCGGGGGGCAACTGCCCCGCTTATGGGCGGTTCCCACCCAAGCCTATGGGCGCTGGTTTGTTACCTTAGTCAGCACGAGGTATCGACCGTGCAG